GTAACTTTATTTAGTCTCCGATAATCGACAACTAGTCGTAGTTTGTCGGTTCCTACTTTTAGTACGAAGAGAATCGGAGATCCTACGCTCGAAGTAGACTTCCGGATCTATCCCTTCGCTAGTTTCTCCTTTAGCTATTAATCGAGGGATTTTAGCTCTTTTTCTAATAGCGGATAGATAGGTCCCTATAGAGGCTGCTTCCCTAGCTAAATGTTAATCTTATAGTCCTATAGTCTGTACTTAGGTAGGGCGTCTTTCCCTTCCTCTTCCTAAAAGAGTCTCTTATACCCGCTATACTCTTTAGGGATATTAGGTAGTATACGAATTCTACTACTACTCGTAACTTCTTAGCCCTTCTAACCCTAGTTAGTACCTGTCCGAGTTAGTTCTAGTCTCTAGATTCCGGTCGTCGTAAACTACGTCGTACTAAGTTGTCTTAACTTATCTACTAGCGAACGCTACCGCTACGTAGGGTAGATGTCGATCGTACAATCGTATCGCTTAAATCTAAGTACTCCTCTTTTCTAATCGATCGATAGGTTATGCTTTCTTAACTAAGGTATTCCGAGTACGATATTATAAGTAGCTATCTTAGTAACGTCGAACGTTAGTTCCTCGTAGTACTATTAGATTGCTAGTAGTAACGGTATCGTCTCTCGTTCTATACTCGGTAGGGGTAACCCGTCTACTACGACGAGTTTATACTCTCCGTCTTTCTTCCTTCGGGTTGCGATCCCGGATTCTTTTATAAATAATTTAGAGGCAAATATCCCGCTAGCGCCTAAATTAACTAGCGTACATGTCTTACGGCCGTTAACGATTACTTCCGTACGGAAGACTACTATTAATACTTAAGCATTTGTTACGATATTAAACTCTCTTCGGTCGCTTATTCCTAGAGAGTTAATCCTTTTCCTAAGCGGCGTTATTCGAGCTACTATCGGATCTTTCTTCTTATTTTATAGAGGTCCTTAGCTATCTATTACTCGGCCGGTAATTCGTTATATACCTAGCGATTTTGTACGTATTATGCCTAGGTAAATGCTTCTACGTAGCGTCGTATCTAGGCCCGCATTTCTTAGGTAACGACTTCGTTATTCGGTATAAGATACTTGTAGGGTGTTATAATACTTCTAATTAGGGGTTTCTCCTAGATAATTCGTCTAAAGTCTTCCTCTACCTCTATTCGTAGATACTTCTAGGCGAGAAAACGTATCCTAGAAAGTATATTATCGAATTAGATAGAGTTAAGGTATCGTTTTCCTTTAATCTTTAGAAACACTTCCTCGTTACTTCGCACGATCGCGATTACGAGTTCCCGTACTTGTCTTAGGGCGTCTACCGTAAAGGTTGTGATTTCTCCGTTATTGTCCTCCTCTATAATATTACTTTCTTCCGAGGATTCCGGTATCTCTAGTTCTTCCGGAAGCTAAGGTAGCTGTTCGTTACCTTCTTCCTCGCTGTCTTATTCTTCCTCGGGCGTTAGATTTTCCTTATCTAACTCTTCCTCGCTAACCGGTATAGGTAGCTCGAGTCTACGTAGCTCCTCCGGTATAGGTAGAAGTCGGTATCCGTCGGTCCTTTCTTCGTCGTTATCGGGCCGCGGATCCTATATAGGTAATAGTAGTCGTTATAGCTAGTATCCTACTCCTATCTTCGAGGAATAATATTCTTAGTAAGAATCGTCGTAATAGTATCTCTAATAAAGGGTACCGTACTTTTCCTTACGACGTACTATTACTCTAAAGAGTCGGGGTTCCTTTTTCTCGTCGAGGGTAGGTATATTATATACTCCTCGTCCCGATCTTAGTTATATTATATTGAACTGCTCGCGGCGTACTATATTCTTACCGTAGCAATCCCGTACTATATATCCTTCTTTTCTATAGGTATAGTAAGTTAGTTTTCCTACATTTTTCCTTCGAGGCGAGTTCTTACCTCGTATCTTACGACCTTTCTAGGTAGCGTCGAGTTCTATAGGTTACGGTCTATAGTAGGGTTAATATAATTAATTTGTCTTATTAAACCGTAGGTTATAATCGCCCTAGCGTCGCCTTTCGGAAATGTACCTAGCGCGTCCTAATATTTTCGAATCGTAACGCCTTTCTATTACTCGTTCGTAGAGCTTGTCGTTAAGATCGATTATAACCTAAACTAGTTCTCCTAGGTCTTCGATTAATCGCCTATCGCGTATTAATTCGTCCTTAACATTATCCTTTAGTCCTCGTCGGTATATCGTTTAAAGTACTTCGTCGTCCTAGTCGGTAAGTTAAGCGTGTTCCTAGAACTTAGCGGCATATTCGGTAGTAGAGGTACGTTACGTAAGGTACTAAATGACTCGTATAGCGGTCGATTGTTCGTTAGATATACTAAACACGGTCTTTATAGAGGTCTTAAGGTGTTAGTATAACTTAAAGATTCCGTTTCCTAATTTCGTATCGCCGGAGTCGAGGTATTCGTAGAGAAAAGGTTTGACCTAATACTATACACGTCCTCTTAAAAAGGTAGTAGTAAAGACAGGCTTAAGACGTTCTTCTATAGGGTTAAAGAGAAAGTAGAGGTCTATCTAGTTAACCTAGGTGTTATACTTCTCGCGGTTACTATAGTAGAAGTCCGGCTTACCGACCTTAAGGTTCTTGTCTCCTTCGTACGTAGCTAAAGCCTAAATAGCTTCGTTAGTCCTTAGTCGTCCTACTTTACTAGGGGCGGGAGTTCCCCTAGAACTTCGTTAATTAGATATCCTCGAGGGTGTTTAAAGCTATTAAGTCTATAACTTAATAATCTTATAATATATAAGGATCACTTATATAAGGCTTAATCGGTATTAGGCTCGTTAGTAGAGAGGTCTAGTAGAGGAAGAGTAAAGCGATAGAGTAGTATAGTAACTTAAGGGATTGTATTCTAAGTAGTAAGATACTATAGTAAGTTAAATATATCGAAAGCTAGAGGCATTCTTAGTGTTCCTATATAGACTTCTAGTTTAACTAACTTGTCCTACCTACTAGCTAGAAACTAGCTATCCGACTAGAGCTCTAGTCGAACGGTCGAACTTGTTACGTAGTCCTTCTCGTAGAGTTCGACTACCGGCTCCTCCCGTTAGTCGAACACGTAACACGTGTCGTGCCTCGCTATACGCGTAGGGTCTCTCTTCTATTTTACTAGCTAGGAATTCTCGAAGTAGCCTCGCTACTATTTCGATCCGTAATAGAGTATAGCTAGATAATACTTAATTTAAAAGTGTTCGCGACTTAAACCGCCTAAAAGCGGGGCGTCCCGTCGCTACGTAGCCTTTTCTATTATTAGCTAACGAAACCATTCTAGCGGATTACGTAACCGATCCCGTAAGGGAATTCCCTACATTGTCGCGCTCTCTACTTCCGAAAACGGGCGCTACTACGTCGGCAAATAGCCCGTACGTAAGCGATATGCTTTTTCTACCCTCGCCTATTCGACTCGCTACTAATTGCCCCTTTACTGTCGAACCGCGCCTCTAAGCCCCCTACGAACGTCCGGGTTATTATCGAGTACAATCGAGCCTCTTATACCTTACCTACGTAGGAGATCGACTTTTTTCGAAGCGCCTATTATTACTTTTCGTACATCTAAGAACGCCTTCCTCGGTATACCTAAACGCGGATTCTAACGTCGCTATATTCTACGCCTCTCGATCTAACTTCGCTACGCCCCTAGCTAAGGTAAAGTAAACGTACTACCCTACCGATCGCGAGCCGTACTACTTAACCGACAAAAAAATGTCTATAGCTACTTTCTACTAGTTCGGTTTAGTAGTAGCCTACGCCCCGATTAAGCTTAATCCCTAGATTAGGCGTCGCTAGTGTCGTATTACGGCCTTTATTTCCTAACGTCGCCTTACGAGGCGACGCGGCTAATGTTAAGCCTCTAATTACGGGCTCCGCTACGACATAAATATAAGAGGACTATACTAGAGAAGCTACGTACGCGTTATATACTATACTATATATATAACGTATAACCTTCGACAAACAAATTCGTATAGACTACAAATTTTCTCTCTAAGTACCGCTACCTATAGTCTTAAAACTATGTCAAATTAGATCGGTATTACGCCTTACTAAGGTCTGCCTTATAAACCCGATTACGAGTACTAGGAAGTACTAGGATAGACTGTTTACTTAGCAAACTCTAAGGGTAGACATACTTTGTTATTATATAATTCCCTTAATTATCTTAGTAGATAACAGTATAGTAAGGGTAGCTATCTTTCTAGCTAGGATGCTCCGACTTACTAGGTTAGTTGTTAGTACGTATTAATAAAGGCACAGTTCAGTTAACATACGCCATAATAGCTACAGTAGTACGAGGAGGAATTTCGGCTTTCTCTATAGCTTTAGTAAAGCCGTCTCGGATCTCGTTCGACAAGAATTTACGCCGCTAAGCTTCGGTCTCATTTGCGAATTTGAGCGTGACCTAGCGACTACCATTCACGATCGTCTTGACTAGGGCGCTACTAAGGATCTTAATTGGCATTGTGTCGAGAGTTTGCTAGTTGTGTGTGTGTGTGTGGACAGAGAGGACAGAGAGAGGACAGAGAGGACAGAGAGGACAACGCCGTCTTATTTACGCAATCTAGCTGCTAATAGCTGTCCTCTGTAAGCGCATACTATGTTTTGTCTAGTTGAGTAGTCATCGTGCTGGCGGTTACGACTGTCTTCCAATAGGTGGGACAAGGAATGTCGTGAACGCTGGATGATGAGGCTAGGGCGAGTGAATGTCTGACTAGCCTGAACCGGATCTGCCACGTTTCAAGTGAAACGTCCGTGCTGTTTCTATTGGTCAGAATTGTTTTGGCTATCAGCTCGACAGCGCTTGTTCTCCTGATATTCATTCTTCGTTGTTTACATCACATCTTCTCACGCCCGCCGTCGCGCTGCATTTCGTCGACCTTCTATTCGATGTTGCGACGATCCTGCGCCGCTCGACCATACCTCTACCCACATAAACGCATCTCCGGTGTCAGAATGAGCTCAGCCATCATCGGCGACTCTGGTCGCATTTATACTGGTTACACAGTGCTCAGACGGCATCCTCAGGACAGCAGCTTTGACATATTCAAAACGCAGTTCGTTCTTCGTGTCTAGGGAAAGATGATGTTTTTCTGACTAGCTAGGCAGATCCGGAGACAAGAGCTTCATCTTCAAACGTGTACCGAAACCGTTCTTCGACCTATCTCAACGCATTGCCAACGACTTTTCGTCATCCCGACGTCTTCGCATGCATGTGGACTGCAACAGCGAAGATTCTATCCTTGTCTATCCTTATTTTCGAGATACCCTACTTGCTCTACTGAAAGATGATCCGGCCTTTCCACCGGATGAACGGTTAAAGATCATGCGAGGTGTTGGAGAGGCAATTCAGGAACTTCATGCAAAGGATTGGGTTCATGCTGGTGTGTCTTGTGCACTCATCGATGGTATTTGAAGCTGACGGACTCCGGAAGATGTTAAGCCAGATAACATCTTAGTTGACTGGACATGCGACAGCGAGGGCAACAAGGTAATCACAGAAGTGGCACTAGGTGATTTTGACATCGCCTGTAAACTCAAAGACGGCGAGACTCGCGTTACACCATATGCTGTGGGCAATGCCATGTGGCGAAGTCCCGAAGGACAGACTGGCATTTCGACAAGGGCATCGGACATCTATTCATTGGGACTAGTGGTGAGTCCTACACGGCTACAAAGCAATAACCCGTCTGATTCTTGTCCACAGTATATCTATGCCCTAGGAGGTGGAGAACTGCTTGTACTAAATGATTACCAGAGGCTCGTGAAAGCGGGCATTACGCCAGAGCAAGAAGTATTAACCAAGCACTTCTGTTACTTCGGTCCAGTTCCGGAAAGTCTCTACCAACAAATAGAGGATGAAAAATGGAGGGCTGCTCTGCAATTAGCATCAAGAATGGCTGAGGCAGAAGTGGAGGAACGCCCAATGCTTAGATTGAGGGTCTGGGGCCAAGAATTGGGCGACAAGGCGATGGATATGCTCTCTGGGATGACGAATCTCGATCCTAAAGCCCGGTTGACGATCGACCAAGTGCTGGCGCTTCCGTATTGGCGAGAAGGTGATTCATGAAGTGAGAAGCGTGGAGAGTGCGCTTCCACTGCTGAACGATAACAGAGCATCGACGACCGTCTGTCAAGGCAGGTCGGCGTCGGCGTCGGCGCCATGGCATCTGCCGTTCCGTCCGCCCCGCGCGGAGCCAGGCCACCGAGACTCCGTCGCTTCCCATTGCCGTGCCGGTGCCGCTCCCGTGCTCCGCTTCTCCAGCTTCACATCTGCTTCCATAAAACCTTCTATACATCTGCAGACATCCATGGATAAGTACAAAAACGAGATCCGGAATGTATATCTACCGGCCCAGCTGATGGGCCATATCGTTCGCAAACGAAGGCTGCACTAGATATGCGCCTTGGCAACTTAAGGCCACCGGCCCGGACAACTAGGATCGACCATCTTATCCCTCACCCGACAGACCTTGTACTTCTCCTGCCTAGCAAGGCGAGTCTGGCGCAGACGACCCTGCTGGCGTTCTTCATTCCGTTGTATCGCGATGGAGCTTCTTTCGAGTAGGAAAACCGGGAAAAGTGATGATGATGTCGCCGAGACGGCGATGATAAAGAACCAAGACACCTAGGATGTCGCCAATGAAACGAGGTTGGCAGTCGCCCGGGTGGGGCTGATGCGATTCATCCACCGCGAGTCTAATGACACTGCAGCAGATGCCGATAAACTCGGCCTACTGCGATTGCAGGACTGCTACGGGTATAAGAACTGTATGAGAACTCGCGCCGACTTTCGCACAAACACTTAACACGCAGAGATCACGCATGTGATATGCCGAGCGACTTTGCCCTACAACAGCATTGCTAATTCTTCCTTGGACACGATCTTTCAGCTATCAACACCGCGGACAACACCTGAGCAGGTTAGCTGCCCGTGAAAAGCCCACTTTCCTTCACTGTACTCTCGTACGAGTCAAAAAACGTCTCTTCGCTGCTGACTATTTTGTGATTGAGGAAGAATTCACCATGGACGCCCCCTCAACACCCTACAGCGGACTGCTGGCTTTTGCGGCTGGTGTGGCCAGCCATCTATTCTACTTCCGCATTGGCGAGCATCACATGCTTCCAATCGTCTATATCCAGTTATTCGTTATACTCAACATTGCCAGCGCCGCAGCACTGGTCACCTCGCAAGGCTTAAGCTTCTCCAGCGCAGTAGCAGCAGTCTCAAGTCTCTCAGCACTCTGGCTGCTCGGCGTGTACACGTCGTTGGTCACCTACCGCCTCTTTTTTCACCCTTTGCGAAACTTCCCTGGACCGTGGCAGGCTCGCATTGGAGACCTCTGGTTCTCGACCCGACTCAGCAAAGGCGATGGCCATGTCCAACTCACCGATTTCCATAGGAGATATGGACGCTATGTTCGCATTGGATCCAACAGTCTCTCTATTACCGATCCTGAGATGATGCAAGCAGCATATGGACCCAACTCCAAAGTCGTCAAGTCCGACTGGTATGACGGGGCCTATCCCTATCATAGCATGCAAACCACAAGGGACAAAGGCCTCCACGATCGTCGACGGCGGGTGTGGGCTCCGGCGTTTAGCGATAAAGCGTTGAGAGAGTACGAGATGACAGTTGTGGAATTCAACGACAAATTTGTGAAAAAGATCGAAGAACAGGAAGGAAGGACAATAGACATTCGTACCATGTTCAATCTCTACAGCTTCGATGTGATGGGCCGACTGGCATTTGGAAAGGACTACGGAATGCTTGAATCCGGCAAACGTCACTGGGCACTGGATCTGCTGGTAGAAGGCCTGGAAGTCGGCATTTTTCGATTTCCTACCTGGGTTAACAGGACTCTGCGCTCGATTCCGGGCGCCGCCACGGGGTATTACAAGTTCCTGAAATTCTGCTCGGATGAATTGAGGAAGAGGGTGCAGGATGGTGGCAAGGAGACCAACAACAAGGACATTACCAGTTGGCTTTTGAAAGCGTATGCCGGCGAGAAGCACCCGGAAGAAGATGCAATGCTGCAAGGCGACTCGCGCCTCATCATTGTAGCTGGTAGTGATACTACCTCTGCCACGCTCACGCATCTGTTCTACTACCTTGCAATCGGCCCAGCGCAACAGGCAAAGCTACGGCAGGAAATTAAGTCTTTGGTAAAAGAAACAGTGATCGACAAAGACATCCAGCACGCCGATCGTCTTAATGGCGCCATTAACGAAGCCTTGAGACTGCACCCGGCAGTTCCCTCGGGCGTTGCAAGGAAGACACCGAACGAGGGAGTACGAGTTGGCGATACATTTATCCCCGGCAACGTGACATTCTACACGCCGCAGTATTCCATGGGCCGCGGTACGTGGCAACAACCTCGACCGAACAACACGTATGCATGCATGCTGACATTTGATGCAGATGCCGATGTTTACCCTGAGCCCTTCTCATTCGTCCCTGAGAGATGGTATTCCAAACCCGAGATGGTCAAGCATCCTGATGCCTTCGCACCTTTCTCTATGGGCTCTTTCAATTGCATTGGCCGCAATCGTAAGCAACTCGCTTTATAGTCCAGGAGCTTTGCAGAGGCTGACGAGATACAGTTGCTCGAATGGAGCTTCGAACATTGACAGCCCAGATCCTCCTGAACTACGAAGTGGCTTTGGCACCTGGCGAAGATGGCACCAGGCTTCTTACCCAGACGATGGACCATTTTACAACTTCTCCCGGTCAGCTCGATTTGGTCTTCACTCCGGTTCCAGTGTGATGGAGCGTTCATCGTGTAGGATGCAGCCTTCGGCGACAGCTAGAAGGGATCTGGAAGAACTTGTGCACTAGTCTTCTGTACTCACACGAGACGGCAACTTTCCCCTGTATAACGAATGGCTGTTCTTTCACCTCTAAAGCCGGCAAAAAGTCGGGGATCGTTGGAAGAGCAAATCCTGGGAGAATACCTCCATTCCGGTCCCTGTTGAATATTCACTCGCTGATTAAAGTCATGCGTTACTCCAAAATCTACTTCCATGATACTTCAATTTCCAAACCTCTCGAGATGTTGGCCGCTGACACGGGCGTCTCGATTCGAACCCCTGCTACACACTATACCGCATGCGGGACCAGCCGTCCAGCTAACCGAGGATGACTTCAGCTCCTCACAACTGCCTTTACCGACGACACCTTCGGCTGTGGAACGCCTGTAGTAGACGACTGTGCGTATGTATACAAATGGCGCCCTCTTTGGGTGATGTATTAGAGACTCTGTTGTACATTGACCCTCGCTCTTCTTTCCTCGCTTCCAAACACGACAGGAGCTAAGATACTCAAACAACCAACAAGACTACCCACAGCTCTAGTATCGAACGGTTACAATGCCATCCGCCGATCCTCTCACCAACATTCCCTTCTCTGAGCCCGCTTGGCTCGCCGGCCTCCCCTCGCCCCTCTACAAAGAAAAGCACATCAAATTCCAAAAGGCCTGCCGAGCATGGCTCGATCAACATTTCACGCCCTACTGTATGGAGTGGGAGAACTCCGGCGACCTCCCTCATGATCTCTTCGATAAATTCAATCAATACAATATGCTACTCCCCAACCTCCCGTCCCCACTACCAATCGAATGGCTCCGTCAAGTCGGTATCAAAGACATCCTCGGCACACCTGTGGAAGAGTGGGATTACGTGCATACCGGCATCTGGGTAGATGAGATGAACCGCAGCGGACTCGGGGGTCCCAGCTCGGGCCTAACAGCTGGGTTCGCATACGCAATTCCCCCGATTATCAAATATGGATCTCGCCAACTGCAGGAGCGCTTTCTTCCCGCTCTCCTCACGGGCAAGAAGAGGACTTGTATCGCCATTACGGAGCCTAGTGCTGGCAGTGATGTCGCGAATGTCGAAACGACGGCCGAGAAGAGCAAGGATGGCAAGTATTATGTTGTGAATGGGACGAAGAAATGGATTACGAATGGGATTTGGAGTGATTATGCTACCATGTGCGTTAGGACTGGAGGAGGGAAGGGAGCGGCAGGGTTGAGTTTGTTGGTGGTACCGTTGAAAGAGAAAGGTGTTGAGATGAGGAGGTTGAGAGTCACGGGTAACAAGACGGGTGGGACGACATTTATTGATATAGAAGATCTCAAGGTGCCGGTGGAGAATTTGATTGGAGAAGAAGGAAAGGGTATGTTTTATGTGATGACTAACTTTGTGAGTACCATTGGCTAGAAGGAAGGGGGAGGAAATCGCTGACTTCGGGGTAGAATCATGAGCGATTGCTCATCGCTCTCGGCGCTGCGAGAACGTCAAGAGTGGCTCTGTCCACTGCTATCGGCTACGTGATGAAGCGCGAAGCCTTTGGAAAGGCATTGATCGAGCAGCCAGTTGTGAGACACCGACTTGCCAAAGCCGGCGCGGAGCTGGAGACGCTCCAAGCCTGGCTGGAGCAGTTCCTCTGGCAAATGGACCACCTCCCAAAATCCGAGGCAGACAAGCGTCTCGGTGGCCTGACTGCAATGGTGAAAGCCAAAGCGGGCATGGTCCTGAACGAATGTGCTCAGACTGCTGTGTTGCTGTTTGGGTGAGTAGAATACACTCCGCTTGTGAAGGTGCATCAGGCTGACAGTGAAACAGTGGCAATGGATTCACACAGTCTGGCCAGGGCGAGCTAGTCGAACACATCTATCGCGACGTCTTCGGTGCTCGTATTCCCGGAGGCTCGGAAGATGTCATGCTTGATCTGGCTGTGAGGCAGCTGGTGAAGAATTTCCAGAAGGCGACGAAGGATTTGGAGAAGGATGGTGGTGATCGAGCGAAACTTTGAGGCGCTTCCATGGTAAGATCGAAAATTGTGAAGACTGTCTCGAGAGAGAATAGTGGACGACGAAAGACATGGGTACATGTTCCGTGCCACAGTGGTTCACCATGGACTGCAGGATTTCATGTAGGAAAAACAAAGCCTCCGGAGGACTAAGAAGCTTACACAGACTCATGATGATGACGATCTGATTTCTGCTGCAATGGAACACGTTCAAGCCGTCCGTATCACAGTCTGAGGGCATACTTATCTCATCTACAGCATTATTATTGGGTTCCTTTCAATTGCCTACAAATACAGTCAACATGCTTTGGAAAGCGGTGCTTGGGAAGCGACTGATGATCTGAGAGTCGTACGAACGTTCTCAGGGATCAGGTCAAGTCGACCGCTCGCCTCGGCAATATCGCGTACTTTGCCGAATATGAAGTCACCCTCGCTCAATATTAGGAGAATGACGAATTGCGAAAGTCCCCTTCGCAGACTCATGTGACGCTGTAGATAGAATAATCGTGAGTGCCAAGGTGAAGTGAATAGTTTCGGATGCAATGGCTTCGACTGTGTTAGCTCCGGCAGCTCCCGTAGATATGGTCCGAGCGTCTGCGCTAGCCTCGACCTGAGATGAGGCTCTCCAAAGAATCCAAACGTCTTCGTGCCACCAACAACTGCCCACGCGACCTCTTCTTTCCGCATCAACTGCCGATATACCTTCCCGGACGAACGATATCGCCGCGTAAAGTACACAATATTGTTTCCAGCTGCGCGCCGCCCCGGAAGTGACCTTTCAGCGGTGGAAAGAGGCCAAGGACAAAGGGAGCGCGCCTTTGAGCTGCGCGCGTGCGCTGGCCGCCACTGGCGACTTCGACCCTCACGATTGCGCACGTGAAGTGAGAATCTGGACAGAGCAGTGACAAGAGGCGCAGCGAGGGATTGAGCTCGACCAGCAAAGCAGGATGTCTTTCGATCCAATGATGGAGCAGATGGAGACGGAGGAGGATTTCGCAGACCCAAACATCATCACGGCCGAGGACTGCTGGTCTGTAATCCATTCCTTCTTCAACGCGAAGGGACTGGTCAGCCAGCAACTCGACTCTTTTGATGAATTCGCCAGTACGACCATGCAGGAGATCGTCTCCGAGACGCCCAACGTCGTAATCGATCAAGCAGTGCCCTACGAAGAAGACGACAGCAACATGCCTGTTGTCAAGAAGCGATTCTCGATCGAGCTTGGCGAGCTCACACTATCTACCGCTGCTGTGACTGAAGGCGACGGTACCACCCGACCGCTCTATCCACACGAGGCGCGCCTACGAAACCTGACATACGCCTCACCCGTATTCCTTTCGATGACCCGACGTGTGCATTACGCTCGTGAGAGATCACTGGGGGGGCATCTGAGCGAAGATGGCAAGTGGATAGATCCGGATGGCTGGCAAGAAGGCGACCCGAAAGAGACGGTCTGGGAGGAGGATCCCGATACACCTCCTTTGACGGAGCCTCAAGTCTACCTTGGCAAACTGCCAATCATGCTCAAGTCCAAGATCTGCGTGCTACGCAATCGAAGTGAGCAAGAGCTATACGCCTTCCAGGAATGTCCTTTTGATCAGGGCGGCTACTTCATCATCAACGGCAGTGAGAAGGTGCTGATTGCACAGGAGCGCAGTGCAGCCAACATTGTTCAAGTGTTCAAGAAGAAGGGCTCAAATACGCCGGTGGTTGCGGAAATCCGGAGTGCCATCGAGAAGGGCACTCGCTTGATCAGCTCCATGCAAATGAAGCTTTTTAAGGAGAGCGCGAATACTTCTCACGGCAAGACCATCAAAGTCTCCCTTCCCTACATCAAAGCCGATATCCCCATCGCAATCGTGTTTCGAGCTCTTGGGATCGTCTCCGACGAGGACATTCTGAATCACATTTGCAATAAGAATGACTGGCAAATGCTGGAGATGGTGAAACCCTGCCTGGAGGAAGCATTCATCATCCAAGATCGTGAAAATGCGCTCGATCACATTGGGCGACGAGGTCAGCAAGCGGGCACGAAGGACAAGCGAATACGATATGCAAGGGAGATCATGCAGAAGGAGTTCCTACCCCATATCTCCCAAGAAGAAGGCAGTGAAACGAAGAAGGCATATTTCCTGGGCTACATGGTGAACCGGCTTCTCCAGTGCGCGCTCGGCCGAACAGAAGAGGACGACCGTGATCATTTCGGCAAGAAGCGACTCGACCTCGCGGGACCCTTGATGGCCCAAGTGTTCCGCCTGAAGTTCCAGCAACTGGTAAAGGACATGAAGTTGTACCTCCATCGCTGCCTTGAAACCAACCGAGAATTCAATCTTACACTAGCAGTCAAGACCAACATTCTGACGAACGGGTTGAGGTACTGTCTTGCCACAGGTAACTGGGGCGATCAAAAGAAGGCTGCAAGCTCGAAAGCCGGTGTCAGCCAGGTGTTGAATCGATACACGTATGCATCAACCCTCAGCCACTTGCGGAGAACGAACACACCCATCGGTCGAGACGGCAAGATTGCCAAACCACGTCAGCTTCACAATACCCACTGGGGTCTCGTCTGTCCTGCGGAAACGCCAGAAGGCCAAGCTTGTGGTCTGGTGAAGAATCTGTCCCTGATGTGCTATGTCACCGTCGGTACCCCTGCGCATCCTATTGTGGAGTTCATGAGATCTCGAGGAATGGAGTTTCTGGAGGAGTACGACCCAGCTATGAATCCAAAGGCGACCAAGGTCTTCGTTAACGGCACATGGGTTGGGGTGCATCGTAGTGCCGGTGCACTGACGGAAACCCTGCGCAACATTCGGAGAAAGGGCACGCTCAGCTTCGAGGTCACGATCATTCGCGATGTCCGTGAGAGGGAGATTCGGATCTTCACCGATGCGGGCCGAGTCTGCCGTCCGCTTTTCGTCGTGGACACGGACCCACGATCAAGCAACAACGGAAGCTTGGTGCTCAAGCAAGACCACATTGGAAAACTTCAAGCGGATCAAGATACCCTTGCAACCTTGGACGGCTATAGTGAAGAAGATCGAGAGAGCAAGATCTTCGGCTGGAAGGGTCTTGTCGACGCCGGTATAGTTGAGTACCTGGATGCGGAAGAAGAAGAGACCGCCATGATCATCATGAGCCCTGAAGACCTTGAGGAGCATAAGGCTATGCGACGCGGCGAGACGTATGATGCAGCAAATGTTGGTGATCCTCACCGGCGCATCAAGAATAAGCCCAACCCACACGTCCGAACATGGACCCACTGCGAGATCCATCCAGCTATGATTCTTGGCATCTGCGCCAGTATCATCCCATTTCCAGATCACAACCAGAGCCCTCGTAACACATATCGTGAGTCGGCCCCCTTGCTGGTATTATTGGGATATTTTGCTAACCAGATCTTTAGAGTCTGCCATGGGAAAGCAAGCTATGGGTGTTACGCTCACAAATTACAATGTGCGCATGGACACCATGGCCAATGTGCTCTACTACCCACAAAAACCTCTTGCTACAACGCGAAGCATGGAGTTCCTCAAGTTCCGAGATTTACCTGCAGGTCAAAACGCAATCGTTGCCATTGCCTGTTACTCCGGTTACAACCAGGAAGATTCCGTCATTATGAACCAAAGCAGCATCGACCGTGGCCTCTTCAGATCTCTCTTCTACCGTGCCTATATGGACCAAGAGAAGAAAGTCGGCATGAGCGTGGTTGAATCTTTTGAAAAGCCTACACGAGCTGACACGATGCGCATGAAGCACGGCACGTATGATAAGCTTGATGATGATGGCATTGTCAGTCCCGGATGCCGTGTATCTGGCGAGGATATTGTCATTGGCAAGACCGCTCCCATGGCACCGGATGCGGAAGAATTAGGCCAGCGAACGAAGCTGCACGTCAAGCGAGACGTCAGTACACCTCTGCGATCGACCGAGAACGGTGTCGTTGACCAGGTTGTCTTCACAACAAACCAGGAAGGTCTGCGATTCGTCAAGGTGCGGACCAGGGTGACGAAGGTCCCTCAGATAGGCGACAAGTTTGCCTCTCGTCACGGACAAAAGGGTACTATCGGTATCACTTATCGACAAGAGGACATGCCATTCAGCGCCGACGGTCTCACACCAGACATCATCATCAACCCGCACGCCATTCCTAGTCGTATGACGATTGCTCACTTGATTGAGTGTCTGCTATCGAAGGTTGCTGCTTTACAGGGTCAAGAAGGTGATGCGACGCCCTTCACTGACGTTACCGTCACATCCATCTCAGACATTCTTGTCAGTCATGGCTTCCAGCAGCGTGGTTTTGAAGTCATGTACAATGGCCACACTGGCAAGAAGCTCAATGCTCAAGTCTTCCTTGGACCTACGTACTACCAGCGTCTCCGCCACATGGTAGACGACAAGATCCACGCTCGTGCTCGTGGACCTTTGCAGATTCTCACACGCCAGCCTGTCGAAGGTCGTGCACGAGACGGTGGTCTGCGTTTCGGAGAGATGGAGCGCGATTGTATGATCGCTCACGGAGCTTCGGCGTTCTTGAAGGAGAGACTTCTCGACGTCTCCGACGCTTTCCGCGTTCACATTTGCGAGATTTGCGGCCTGATGACGCCCATCGCGTCCATCAAGAAGCAGCAATTCGAATGTCGCCCTTGCAAGAACAAGACTCGCATCGCACAGATCATCATTCCGTACGCTGCCAAGTTGCTCTTCCAGGAGCTAGCAGCTATGAATGTCGCGACGAGGATGTTCACGACGAGGAGTGGAGTGTCTATTCGTTAGCGGGATATTTTGGACGTTTTCGGGGAATGGGTGCATGGACTGGGAGCATCTCACAGGAGTTTGGAAATCTGAGCAGCGGCGGAGTTTCTTGGAGTTTCAGAAACGTTTTATGGAAACGGTGGATGCGAATGAACCCCCGCCCTGAAAAAAGGCCGAGAAGTTCAAAAGACGAAAATTAGCATATTGTAACACTATCCAAGACTCTCCATGGGAGCGATTCCACGACCGTATATGCCTCACAACCGATGTTTCTTCATCTCGAAGACACAAGGACGTTTTTAGGCCTCGAAAAACTTTCGCGTAGGCACTGTTATGCATGGTCAAGCTGGAGCAATTCCAGGGCGTGATCGTCTATCTCGAGAACATAGGGGAATTTTGAGTCCCAAAGACACCTTGTATTGCCTCTACGGTGCTTTATCAACCTGGAACACATTCACGACCCATCAATTGTTCATCTCGAGGAAGAAGGATCCTTTCATTCCTATCAATGGCATGTATGGGCTCTGTCTTGCTCCAAGGCCTGCCGATAGCCCATCTCAACAAAGTTGTACGTCTTCAGGCCTACAAAGACCTTCGCATTGGCGATGTCGTGCCTCGCTATATTGATATAAATCTAAGGCTTGGCAAGAGTCCATATCCCGAGAAAGCAGGATCTCTTTAAGCCTTGAAAGGACCCGGGACTGGCAGAGATTTGTCTTGCTTGATTAAGCTGAGAGTCCTGGGTCTGGCGATTGTCTATCTCGGCGGAGAAGAGCGGTTTCAGAGCCAATCAAGAGCGCCCTGCGTTGGCTCTGTCTTGTCTGATCAAGCTGAGATAAGTCCAGACAGCGGCCACTCCCACGAATTTGGCGCTCTGCGACCCGTTATTGCACTGGTGTTTGCCAATGTTCTTGGGAACACAACGGCCTCCCGTTGTGCGGACACGCTGGATGACCATTCAATATTGATCAAGAGAGCTGATGCTGATAGTCTAGCGTTCACGACAGTAGTAGCTGCGCTATCCAACGGACAGCCATGTTCACCATCTTGGACACATTGGAATACCCATTACTTATACCTGCTCCACCCGCGTCCCGGTATGTCCTTTGCGAGGACATTCGCGCGCCGCCGAGACCTTCAACGCAAGAGACACAATGTTCCTGATCAGCCCGATACTCTCGTACTTTGCAGTACCTCTCTCAACACTTCTGGCGCTCTCCCTCCTGTATCGCTGCCGTGATCAATGGGGCTCCAAACAAGCCCACGATCCCGACTTACCTTCTAGCAATAATTTCATCTCAACTCTCCGTTCGCCTACCACGGCATTTCAAGACGACGATGTCTGTCCGCTCTGTCATGAAGAGCTCAAGGAGATCACTGCCCCGATACTCCAGCTACCGCGTTGTCGTCACATCTACTGCCGAACCTGCCTGGAAGCTCTCCTCGACCGCGGAATGAACACATGCGTCATCTGCAGAGACATTTTCTGCTGCCCTCGCGCACCCCCCGAGTTCCACCACTCCGTTCTCCGATGGAACTTTGTCCTCTTCAACGCGGGCGTCTGTATCCTGTACGAACCCGTCTTCATGCTGCGCGTGGCGTTCGCGGGCGATGAAGGCCAGGACCAGCCCCCAATCTGGAAGTTTTCCCTGGGCATTGGATACTTTGTGGCGTATGCTATGATCCACGTTGTCAATTTGCTGATCATCTCGGAAGAGAGGTCGAACGATCCGGATGACTGGTGGTTGCGTTTGTATGCGCGATGGGAGGAGGTCAAGACCAGAGAGAGCATTTGGGCTGCGGTCTCTCTTTTTACTTCGATATGGATGTTGGTGGACGCGCAGGCGATGCTTTGGAGGTTCATGAATGAAGAATCGATCGTCTAGTTAGTTTCAAAAACCAGAGCGTGTTTCCGCTTGTTCCATGTTTGCTCACTGCCTGCACAGAAGCTGAGAAATGTTGGGACTTGATGTTCACTTACGTGTGACCGGCAAAGTGTGCGCCTTGTCTTACCTCCTCACAATAAGCGTACAATCAGAATTATGCCACGTCAACATCACTTCTTCCTGTTCGCCAGGAACGAGCGCTTCATGACCGAGGGGCGCATCCTGGCCATGGTCGTAAATCGTGAATTCGTTTCAGGGGCTCCCGCTCATATGCTGAGCGCCCACTTCCTTGATCTCCACTAGCCCATGCACTCGTGCTGAGATGAAGCCTAACAAATACATCGTGTAGCCAATGTGCAGTCTTTGTGGGCAAGGACACAAGAGACGTGTTCACAACATGAAATACCCCGAGTTGCTGGCTTGGGCGCGAAAAAGTGCAGCAGCTTTCCGGATCCCATACAGATCTTCTTATATGCCGCGGGCAGGTCCTACTTGCTGGCTACCATGATTTGTCTTTAGCTGCAAGTTGTGCTTGCCTCAAGAGGGCGTTCGTTGCCTCCAATCTGCGTTATAGAGAAACGCCCGCTCAGCCGTCACCGATAGCCAATGGCTTGAAATGACAGAATTTTAATGCACTATGTGCTCGGAGTAGTCCATATCGTGAACGAACTTCATTCGAGTGACAATACCATAGATCAAAGACCTATTACAAAAGGAATCAGCCAAAACAGCAGGGGATATCGCCGCTCGCTCAATCGCTCAGTCAAACAAGATCCTCGTCGCTCATTCTTCCTCATCATAGCCAATTTGAAAGCCATCAGCCGTCTTCACGCATCCTCAATCTCTTCAGGTTCAGACGAAGCCCTCCCCAGCCTTTGCAGTTCCTCAAACGGAATCCCCTCCCTCTCTTCCAGATTCTTATTTGCGAGCACCGCATCTCCAATGACCCTCGCCAAGAAATCAATTCCAATCTTTCCGCTCAATCCATCAACATACTGAACAATCTCTTCCCTAGCACTTCCATGTTTCCAAACTGGGTCGCTACCATGGCGAGGATCCTTGCCATAGTACTCCCTACACGCGGCAGCAGTACGATCTCCTAGCCATTCGATCTCTCCCCGCTGCATGGCTTCGATGGTGCTTTGAGGCACAAGAATTTGCATGTAGGTAAAGACAACATAAGCGTGAGGTTTGGTGAACAAGAACCCGAAGCCGGTGATGCTAGTCTGCCAAGTGTCCAGGCGATCTTGAAGGTATGCTGGAAGAGGGCCAGAGCTGGGCACGATGCTGTCGCTGCGTTTCGAGGTAAGAGAGTTGAGCATCCGGTGCATGGTGCGCATGTGGCACATGTCCCAGGGAAACTTCTCACTTACAACACCATAGCGGTGCCGAACTTCACGAAGAAGGTTGATCGGGTATGCGGAAACTTCTTCTATCTGTCTTTGAGGAAATATCTCAGAAGGCCCAGTGGGACGAATGACAGCAGACCAGAACGTCGTGCTCAAGCGGCTAAGAAGACCCGGCTGATTGCGCTGCTGCTGCATCGGCTGCTTGGCCACAAGGGTAATCTCCTCAGATGAGTCCAATATTGACTCGACAGTATTTTGTGACATCGTTTGCTCAGTCGAGTCGTCTCGCCGGGTAAAGAGTGGTGGGTACTGCTTCTTCGCGGCTAGTAGAGATGAGTTGCCCTTTGAGTCGTAATGGGCCACCTGATGCTCGCGCTGAGGGCGCAGCAGCGACGAGGAATCGTTGAAGTTGACTCTGATCTTCTGAGGCGAGTCCACGTTCAAGCGCTCCTCGTAGCTCTTTGATGGCTCGGTAGGCTCTTGATCTCCATATTCCTCGATGTCGTCGTCTCCGTCTTCAAATCCCTCATGGCGTTCGGATTGTTCATCGTTGTTATCCACGACTTCCTGGCGCTCTCCAGCGTCGAATTGGTCAAGTGCGTTATCCACGTCGTGCACAGTAGTTCTCCAGGGTGGCCTACGCAATAGCCCATCCTGACTGTCGGATTGGGTACGACTTAGAGCTTCTTCCATCCTGCCTTGGAAGTTATCGGTCCTGCGAAGTGGAGCGTTCGGCGCAAAGTCAATTCGATTCGTTGTTCCTGAAGGAGCTGCGCGCGAGCTCTCCCGCATCTTACTGCTCCTGAGTAGACTCTTCCTCAGCGGGCTCTCCAGAGTCTTCTTTCTGCCTTGATCCGTCGGGCTGTCTTTGCTGAGACCAGAACTCGGGCGCCCATTACCAGGATCGTACTTCTTCTGCGCCGAAGAGCCACCTTCGCATTTAGGACTGCTGCCAGCGAATGCAGGTTTGGTCGGGCTGTCGGTCGCTCCGTCCAAGCCGAGCAGTTCGGTCAAGTCCATTGTCTTCTGTCTTTCTGGCCTTCTTCGTGGACGATCGGCGTTGTAAACCTGAGGCAAGTTGTTCAAAAAGAAGTTGCCCGTGTCGTCTTCATCCGGATCACTGGCTTCAGAATCTGGAGTGACAGCACCATCTTCATCGGCTTCACCTAGCTCATCCTCCATGTCTTCGTCTTCGTCTTCGTATCGGTATCGTGTGGCTTCAGCATCAGGCTGAAACTCACTCTCGGCATCTTCTCCGTCTGCTGCATCCGCCTCTTGCACATCCGCATCCACATCGTCCTCATCAGTGCTTGGTGGAGTAAGTACTCCGCTGCCGTCTGTGGAGTGCCTGCGTTCTTCGGCTTCCTCCGCCTGCTCCCCATGTCCCGCAGCGAGACGGTGAGCAGGTGAGTCGACATAAGAGAAGTCCATCCCGGAAGATCTTCGCCAAGTTCGTGGGATCTTAGACCTGAGTGGCTTCGATGGCTGCCCAGCAAACAGATCTTCAAATCGTTCCTCACGTTGTGATTCGTCCTGATCTTGCCTCTGTCGGTGTCGTGACCGATGAGATGCATCGTCAGGCTGTCCTTCTTCCAAAGACCGAGAAGCTTCGCCTTGCCAAAGGTCCTCCTCGGCGGCATCAACATGCGCCTGGTTGTCATCCATTTGCTCGTCAATATCGTCTGCGTCCACATCGCCTCCATCGACATCGCCATCTCCGTCAACTACGACAACATGTTCAGAGCCGGCTTTGTCGATCTGCCGGCTGACGGCCTGGCGCTCGCGCTGCCACTGCTGCTCAACGCTTTGTCTGTGACTTTCCGGCCTGACTTGGACCTGAGGCGAAAACCGGTTTGCAGGCCCTGTAGGCCGCCAGCTCGTGGAATTATACTCGTTCGCAAGACTCGACCTTGCTCTCACCGCCTTGTTGGCGAGATCAGGATACTGAGGCTTAGGTGGAGAGGATGGTAGATAGGAGACCGTGGCGGCGGATGTTTCGCCCGAGTTGTGAGATCGGGAGAAACTGGCCTCCTTGGCGCTTCGTAGTGAGTCGACAGAGATGATGCTGAAGTCCTCGTTCATGGAAACAGTCTTGTCGCCAGGTACGTGGAATCGCGGACTCGAGTGGCCGACCGCGTCCTCGAGTGCGACACCGAGCTCTTCGCGCGCGACACTCAACCGCTTATATCGATCAAAGTCATGCACTGAGCTGAAGCGTGCCATTCTGCTGGAAGCGCGTGGTACACGCGAGTGTGATGGCGGAGGCATTGAGTTCTCTTGCTCTGTGGCGGGTTCCATGGCCTGGTCTGGTTGACTTTCGGGTTGATGATACATCTGCGGTAGTGACTGGGTCTGTGTCTGCGGTGATGGCCTCATCTGTGGTGCGGAGCGTCTTTCTCGGATCGGCGTTCCCTTGCGCTTGCGGGCGGGCCTCTTGGTCTCACCGACGTCTGTCTTCTTGCCCATCGCTCTCTTGACCGGACTGCCCGACCTCGACCTCTTCCCTCCCCCCGCCGAGCCCTGCAGCGGGAGTGTTGTGGTCTTGCTGATGCGCTTTCCGGGACTTCCCTCTCGTGGCTCCGCCTCGACTGTGACCTTGATACGCCAGGGACTCGCGTCGCCGTTGGGCGTGTCCAGCACCATCGATTTACTCGGTGTCGCGCTGCGTCGTGGAGTCTTGCGCGGGGATGGCTTCATGGCGCTCTTGTTCGTCTTCCGCGACTGGGCAGAGCGGGTGCCGAGCGGCGACGAGGGCAGCGTGATGGGATCGGGCGAAGTATCGCGATCAGAGGTCATCACGTCGCTGATGCGCGCCATCGCGGCGGCGGGTTGCAGTATTCGTCTGTCCAGGCAGCAGGTAAAGTAGCTCGTGAGGTTCGGTTAGGCAGTGGTCGTTTGCTTTCTCGTGCGGCCAATGCCTCTTCTCCCTTCCACCCCTCCTCTCTATGCCAACAATATCCAACATACACAACTTCCAAGGCCTCGCGTCGCCGGGGACTCTGGAAAATATTCGGCCTTCACTCAGAAACAGCGGCGGGCAAACACAACGGCGCGTCACGATTGGGCGCGTTGCAAATAGCCGTTACCCTTGACAACGTCGTGCATCCCCCGCAACCCTAAGCCACATGGCGATCCTGTGAACGCGAGATGCATCGCAGAACATAACTTATTATCGCCTTCGAATGGTCTCTTGGATCGCTCACTCCGATCGTGAGCCGTCATGGGTATCCATGGGTAAGTGGCTCACACACTCCTGTGCCACCGACTTCCACTGACACTACACTTCATCGCAGCATCTTCAAGGAAATCGGGCCTGGACAGCGTATCTCTCTCCTCAAGCTGTCGTCAGACCACTTGGTCGCCCACAATCGCCCTTTCCGCCTTGCGATCGATATCTCGATCTGGCTCTTCCAGATTCAGGCCGGCAAAGGAGGCTCCAATCCTGCTCTCCGCACCTTCTACTACCGCCTGCTCCGCCTTTTGTCATTGAACATCCAGCCCCTCTTCGTTTTCGATGGACCAAACAAGCCGCTCTTCAAGCGCAACAAGAAGGTCGGAGGACCCGGAGTCCGGGTAGCAAGTGTACCGGAGTTCCTCGCGAAGCAACTCCTGAAGCACTTTGGGTTCCCCTGGCACGTCGCGCCTGGAGAAGCAGAGGCAGAGTGCGCTCTGCTGCAGAAAGAGGGCTTAGTAGATGCAGTCTTCAGTGAGGACGTGGACACGCTGATGTTTGGAAGTCTGGTCACCTTGAAGAATTGGAGCGCAGAGGGGAGCAGCAAAGTCCCAACGCACGTCAATGTCTATCGTGCGGCGCAGACGAAAGAGAAGAGCGGTATGGATAAGGAAGGTATGGTTCTAGTTGCGCTCATGAGCGGCGGCGATTACATTCCTGAAGGCATACCTGGATGCGGCCCCAAATTGGCTTGCGATGCCGCAAGAGCAGGATTTGGAAAAGAGCTCATCACGCTAGCGAGCAAGAAGGACACTGCCGGACTAAAAGAGTGGAGGGAGAGATTTCAGCATCAGATTCGCACCAACGAGGCTAAATTCTTCTCGCGGAAGAATTCGAAGCTGGTCATTCCAGAGGATTTTCCAAACCAGGAAGTTTTTGGCTACTATACACATCCATGTGTCTCAACACCGGAGAGAGTCCAAAAGTTAAAAGATAGTTTGAAGTGGGATTCTGCGATAGATTTCGCTGGTCTAAGGGACTTCGCTGGCGATGCTTTCGATTGGAGAAATCTTGGAGGGGCGAAGAAGTTCATTCGTAACTTAGCGCCCGCAATGTTGGTCCGAGAGTTACGACTTCGGGGTGATGAAGACCTGCAACTTGATCCGGAGGCGCAAGAAGCACGCGAGAAGGAGCTTGTCACAGCCATCCACGGAAAGCGGAATCATCACACCAGTGATGGAGAGCTGGAGTACCGGATATGCTTCGTCCCACACAATCTTGTGCCCATTGACCTGAGTATCGAGGACGAGGACGACGATTTCATTCCCGCTGGCGGGCTTGAGAGCGACGTAGAGAGCGAGTTTGCGACCATTGCTAGCACTACTGCTGACGGGGCAGTTGACCTGACAGCACCAGCTTCGCCATCGAAGAGAAAACGTACGGTAAAGCCATATGAACCCGATCAGCCAGAGAAAATCTGGCTCGTCCATAGCTTTCTCAAGCTCGGGAGCCCGCTCCTGGTCGAAGACCACGAAGCGAGCCTGCGAGATCCGAAAGCACTACTCAAAGCTAGAAGACAGGCTAAAGCTGCGACCGCCAGCAGCTCGAATATCCATGCTAAGAAGCCGACAAAGCGAGCAACGAAGAAACAAATCGATATGCCTCAACATGCCCTCATGCAACATTTCACGGTCGTCAAGTCTTCTCAAGAAAAGCCGAGTACGCAAGAGCAGCGAGAACCGTTGAAAACGCTTCGAGCTGGTGCAAATGTACGAGCTAAGGCGTCGAGACCAAGATCTTTGGATGCCGACGAAGTAGTAGCAGAGGTCTCGCGCTTCGTCTTTCCACAGACAAAAGCGTTGTCTTCTGGCCTACTTCCACAGGGGGAGATAGTGGAAGTTGAAGATGATGACGAGACACCGAAGCCTCGCAAGCAGGCCCCAGAACCTGCAAAGACGAGGGATCGTCCATTCCTGGCCTTCGCGGCGAAGAATATCCAGAAGCGGGCAGAGCCACACAGGACTCCGCAGCGGCGTAAGAGACGCTCGCCCGATGTGGCTTCACCTGCGTTGAGCCAGAGGACCATTGACTCGTACTATTCACCCTCCCCTGGGAAGGCTTTGCATCAGCAGTCCGAAATTATCGATCTCATCTCTTCTTCGCCTGTAAAACCCGATCCGCCACGCGCCGGCACTCCAACACCAACAAACCCTAGGATGCAATCAGTTCGCGAAGTGGATCTTGTCGTCGGCGCAAGCCTAGACTACTCGCCGGGAAAGCTACCTAGCTCCGTGACCAAACGCAGGAAAAAGGCATCTTTGAAGAGACATCAGACTGCACCGCCGCAAGGCGTTGAGGACGATCTGGATTTTTCCCTGCCTACGCCGACGTCCAGGCCTTCGACTCCTGATGTAACATCAGTCGATCCGATGGAAGCAATGGATTTGGCAAGCCCTCCCTTTGACAACTTTGCAGAGGCAAGGGGCTTCTTGAAAGAGGCGGCATCACTCTCAATGCCAGGCAAGGCACGGTTGAAAGCGCCCGTAACTTTACCAATGGTGCCTCCTCCCGCCCCGGCTATAAAAATAAGTAAGCCAAAGAGCACTGCAAGGTCTTCGAAAGCTACGAGCAGGCCAGATTCCTCCTCTACTCAGGCTTCTGCTGCACGTCGTTCGCCCCGTCAGCACTTCCAAGTCACGAAGAAGCGCATCCAACTCCGCGAGAGTCTCGAAGGATCATGGAAGGAGGTTGACGACGAGACTGAGACACTGGACCTCTCCGGCGACGGCAGTGGCTTCACACAAAGCAAAGGACGAGCGAAATTGGAAGGACGGCGAGTCAGTGGAATTGAGATTTTGGATTTGACTGGAGCATGATGAGGTGTCTGAAGCATTCCATTGGCGTTGTGGAGATAGTCCTTTGAGATACCCTATTGGTTCTAGAGTAGGATACGTACAGTTGCGTAGCCGTATGAAATATGCAAGTTTTGGCTATCTGGAACATGTGATTCCGTGTCTACATACATGTATCCTTTGTGATTGGTGAGTATACCTCCGTGAGGAACGATCGAGCTCAAGCACATGCTAGATACGTCATTGCAGCGGGCAGGCCCGAGGTTAAGCTTCCTGCCGAAAAGCTAAACGGTGAAATCTGTTCGAGGCATGTGAATGTTTCAACGCCCAAGTCTCGCAAAAAGAAACACCGTGATGGCCGACAACGACAATTCAGCTGCAGCTATGGACGCCCCCGTCAATCCTTTGGAGCCGAGTGAGCCACTGAAGCAAACCCACAGCGGCGAAGAATCGACATCGAATCCGCAAAAGGAAATCCTCCCCGGCGATTCTGCTACTACCAAGGCTGAGAAGGTGGAAAGACATGGACAGTCTGGGGCAAATGGGGACGAAGAGTTCGAGGAGTCGCCTAGGAAGCGAGTCAAGCTCGATGATTCTGAGTCTACCACGGAGCAGCCTGATAGACAGAAAGGCGTGGCAGCGATCAAGAAAGAATACCTGATCGATGTGTCGGCGCTGAAGAATCAGAATACAGTGCAGTATGACGATGACGCTGCCGAAGGCTCCGGTAAATCTCAGCCAGAGCCAGCAGGTGGAAGAGGCGGCAAGAAGACCAAAGGCGGACAGAATCGCAGCCGACAATTTGGAAGCTCTCGAGATGCTATTCAATTGTGCAGATCGCGGGTTCTGGCCAACGAATTCTCCGCGGTAACATGCTCCTTCGGCGAGAAGTGTAAGCATGAACATGACATTCGGAGATATCTCAAAGAGGGTAAGAGAGAGGATTTGCAGACTTTCAACGGCAAGTGTCCTATCTGGGAGGTCAAGGGCAAATGTAATGCCGGATGGAAGTGCAGGTTCGCTGGGAGTCACTCAAAAGAGATCACACACGAAGATGGGAGGAGAGAGTTCGTCTTGGACCAACCAAGTGAGAGTGACGCCCCAAGTTCGAACGACGGAGATGAGGGAGAGGGTGCTGGTGGGATTGTAAACATTGTCAGCAATGGGGACAAGATCACCCTGCGGAAGAAGAAATGGCCCACGCCAAAGTCTGACGAATATCTGGATTGGCTGAACAAGCACATGGCTGGAGACGACTGGAAGAAGCCACAAGCAAACGGGAACGCGGAGACTGCTAATGGAGACGCAGCGAATCATGACAATCGCGCCAGCTACATTGAACAACCACCTAAGCCCTCTGAGAAGCGACGGATCTACTATGGACCGGAGACGCCTGTCCTTGCACCACTCACAACGCAAGGCAACCTGCCTTTTCGACGCTTGTGCGTTGAACTAGGATGCCAGGTCACCTGGTCAGAGATGGCAATGGGCCTTCCACTGCTGAGCGGAGAAAAGCAAGAATGGGCATTAATGAAAGCTCATGAGTCTGAGCTAACGTCGCCCGCATACTCACCTAAGAACATCGTCCACGATTACGACAACAGCAAGGACATTCGCTTCGGAGCTCAGATTGCTGGCAACAAGCCATGGCTTGCTGTGAAAACCACAGAATGCCTGACTAATCTGCTGCCCAATCTCCGTGCCATCGACTTGAACTGTGGATGCCCTATCGACCTTGTCTTCCGTCAAGGAGCTGGGTCGGCGCTGCTGGACGCGCCAGGTAAATTGGAGAAGATCTTACGTGGCATGAACACTGTCTCTGGTGAGGTACCTATCACTGTCAAGATCCGAATGGGAACCAAGGACAAGTCTCCCAACGCCGATCGACTCTGCCAACGTCTGATCAACGGCACGTGGGAAGCTCAAGAAGCTGGCTTGGGACCTGCGGGCGTTGCAGCCATCACGCTACACGGCCGTTCTCGCCAGCAGCGCTATACTCGCAGCGCAGATTGGGAATACATCGCCGAATGCGCGAGTCTAGTCAACAAGCTGAAGGCTGAGCGTGCCTCGGTGACAGACACAATCCGCGAGCCCGAGGCTCGCGATCTCCCCGCCACCAACGACGGCCTGCCCTACTTTTGCGGTAACGGCGATGTCCTATCGCATGTGGACTACAACACCCACATGGAACACGCAGGCGTCGACAGCTGCATGATCGGCCGCGGAGCGCTTGTGAAACCATGGATCTTCGAGGAGATCTCATCGAACCAATACCTCGACAAGTCTGCCTCGGAACGCCTGGGTTACATTGAGCGTTTCTGTCGCAATGGTCTGGAGTACTGGGGATCCGACGACGTCGGAGTGGGCACGACGCGTCGCTTCCTGCTAGAGTGGCTGAGCTTCAGCTGTCGATACGTGCCCATTGGGCTGTTGGAGTACCTGCCGCCGAAATTCGGCGATCGCCCACCGGCGTATCGCGGCCGCAACGAGCTGGAGACGCTGTTGAGCAGTGGGAATTACAAGGACTGGATGAAGATTAGGTACGTGAGGTTGATGAAGCAGCCACCACGTTATGGTTGTTGTCTTTTTTTTTTTTGAAAGTGAATTGGCTGACTCGGTCTCCCATGCAGTGAAATGTTCCTCGGACGAGCACACAAGGATTTTCGCTTCGAGCCGAAACACAAGTCCAACAGCTATGAGATCGAGGCGGAGGGCTGATGACGAAGCGGAGAGGGCTGACGAGGCGGTGAAAACGGGCGGACGTCTCAGATTCCAAGCGATACCTGCTGACGTTTGTCCAAGATGGAAGTACGTACGTCTTTACGTCTTCCCGCGAATACCAGCATGGCAGTCGTACGCCTCCCGCAGCTTCTTTCGCCTTCTTCTTGTCTGGCATTGCACACTCATCATACCGGCCTCCGCGCGCGGTTTGTATCAGGACGGGACGACGATCACATTTCCACCTGACGTCGCTCCGGTCGGGGAAAGATAGGAAGGCCGTACTACTGAACAACCAGCTCCTCAACGAAAACGACCCTCTTTATAGTAGGCGACGATCACGGTGAGTTTACTGCTGTTGATGATGTCTGCCGGATCGTATAATCAAATCTAATGACGTTACATCCATGTTTCCTACGGCCGCACGTTGCTGTCGATCCCCAGCCTGTATCAAATCTCACAATGGGCCCTGGTCTGGTATGATGCTACTGTCGCCCAGGTCTAGCCCCGTGTGAGATTAGCTCGTGGTGCTCTTGCGCCATCGCAATTGGACATGTTTCACCCTATCTCCAGATCCTCTGCTAACGCAGATTCCGAGGATGTGCAGCGGAAAGCGCGAAATCAATCATGAGATTGTCCTTGGCGCAATAATTCGACTGTCCGTCGACGAGTCCGGTGCTTTCGCAGACCGTACCGTGGCCCAATCGGTGTACTAAATTGGGCAGGATGACTTCGAGCCAACGAGTCATGAAGTACACAGAATGTCTTGAATCATGATTTATTAAGCTGCTGACTTCTTTGAGAGACCCTGGTCCGGTGCGTGTGGAGTCTCCAGAATCCTCGCGGGTTCGCGTCGAGTCTTGTATTCAGGCGGGATGTCGGCAGCTTCCGGCATCCTTCCCCCAAACGTAGGCGTGGAACGTTGTAACCTTTTTCGAGAAGTCACACAGTCCTCTCACATCAGGCTGGTCGCGCGGGCCACGCGAGGGATGGGCGATTCAGCCGGTCAGCAAACTGCTGCTCGCAGTGTGCAGTGCTTGGATAGCTCTCTCGTAGCTCCAGGATCCAGGGTTTGGAGAGTTACGGGACGGGAAAGCTCTTACTTGGAAAAAGTATAGCGGTGCTATGTTGGGAGTGAGAGTGAGAGGAGGTCAGCAGAAGGAGAGGACACCGCGCGCGGACGGTTCTGTGGGTGGTTGGAGGGCAGCTCTGTGTCCGGGATCGCTTCGCATCTGCGGTGAAGCGAGTCAGGAACCGCTGCTGTGCGTGTATTGCATTGAGATTAGGAGCCACCCAGTCCAGATGCCCTGCATATTCTTGGCTCCGTACAGCGAATGAACGGCATGAAGGGAGGAAAGTACGCGCATGCAAGGCCAGGCATAATGCGGACGGTGGATGTGTTTTGCGGGAGTGCCGGCTGATCTCATTGGTTGGTGTGCTGTATTGTCGCTCTCGGTTGTGGAGGGCCGGTGTGTCGACGCCGGGGAAGAGGCAGCCTCATCCCGTGTCCGGGAAACATGGAGCGCACGCGAGTGACATCTGGACATGTCGTGTGCCCAAGATGATCGTTAGTCGGTCCCAGGTCGTGTGTTGATGAGCGTGGCGAAGGTGCGACGGAGGGAGCCGGGTCGGAGGAATCGCAGGAGGTGGAGGTGGAGGAGGTGCAGTGGAAGTTGGAAGCATTGCGGAAGGCTCATCAGCGACGGTGGCAGCGTCTCGATCTCGCTCGAGCTCTCTGGCGAACGCGCGTTGGGTGCCGGAGTTCACACGCATCTCTTCGAGAGGTGTCCATGTGAAGTAAGTCTTGACAGAGGAATACGAAAGAACAGGCGCGCCGTGAAACGCCCGACATAGAACCAGCGAGCCTGGGACGAACCTTTGCCGAGTGTGGTCGTAGGCGGATTAACCTACGCGCTAATCCCGACGGCGGCAACCTTACGATCGGCAGCTCCAACACAGTAGTACACGGCACACGGCACACAGCACACAGCACACAGCGGCGACTCGCATGTGATGAGTGATGGGCGAGTGAGTGAGTGAGTGAGTGAGTGAGTAGTGAGTGGGAGATGAGGCAGCGCGATTCACGGCGACCTCATCGCCATGCAGGCCACCCCGACACCACGCGGCGCCGCAAGTGGTGAGGTGAGTTGATGAGAGAGAGTAGTGCTTGAGTGCCTCCCCTCGTGGATGATGATGATGATGATGATGATGATGATGATGAGAGAGCGCCCGGCAGTGCCATCGCACGGTGCACGGATGCGATGCAGGCGAAGGCGAACCCTTTGACCCTTGCAGCGAATGACTTCAAGCCGTCGAATGCCTGCAATCGCCTTGCTACCCATGCCATCCATGCTACCCTCGACAGAAGAGCGGACTGTGAGATGATGGCGTTTGGCCACCAGCCCGGCACATGATGAGAGGCGTACTGGTGCCGGGGCGCGCGCGGTTGGTAGGCCGGCATTCATCAGACTTCACCCTCTGCCTCCTCTCGCCATCCTCAGCACACGAATAATAGCACCAACAGGCTCGCGACGAACGCCGACTGAGGATCGAGTAGTAATCGCTGCTGCGGCTGCGGCTGGGCCCGCTCCTGCTCCTGCTGCTCCTGCTATGCCCGGCGGCCGCGAGCAGGTTGCCGTCTGTCTGCAGCGCCCGGCCGCTCGTTGCCGCTATCGACGTGATGAGTGCACACAGGCTCCATCAAACAAGCGTGGGGGATTCCGAGTGGGTGGAGCGCGCGCCCCGGGGCCACACTGTCTCCCTCCATTGTGATCCGAAGAAATGGAGCGCTGGGAGGCTTCTGGAAGCGGCTAAGAAGCATCGGCGGCGACGGGGGGATGTGAGTTTGATTGGCTTCTGTAGGGATCACCCCGGCAAGTGATCTCTACGTCTGCAGGCGCTCGGCTCTGGCAGTCAACGAGTGTGGGACGGCAACACAGGTACAAGCGCAGTGTGGTGTGGGCGGTCACCCAGCGGGCGGCGGTATGCAGTACACACGACGTGGACAGGATGGACGAGATGGGTGGGAGACGCATCGCGTGCGGGACCATGCGTCGCACGACCAGCGCGTCCCCGCCGCATGCAACGAACCAACATTGCACTGCGTTTGAGGGAAGGGCAGTGGGCTGTGGACAGTGGGCTGTGGGAGGCATGGCACGGCGCGCACGGTGGGTTGTGACGAGTCTGATGCTGTGAGCGCGACCCTGAGCAGATGGCATGCCATGATGCCAATAGGAGCAACGCCGTGAAACCCAGCAAGACAGCTCAGATTGGCTGGGAGCACCAACCTACGTACCGTACGGTAGATACATCATGCCTAGTCATCCCATCCCATATGCTAGGTGCTGTCCTGTATTTAATCATGCCTGGTGCTGCTGCTGCTGTCACCGCTCGCCGCTCGCCCTCGTCCAGTCTTGATCATTATTCTTGCTGCACTGCTCGATACTACTACTGCTACTACTACTACTACTACTACTACTACTACTACTACTACTACTACTACTACTCGCACGCCCAACAACTGCCGTCCGTGTCCATCCATCGTATGCGTAACGATTCTTGTGTCGTTACGTTTTAGTGTCGAGCAGGCCCACTCGTAGCCACCGAAGCTGACCCTCTATACGCTGTATTGGGAGCACTCCCGAGACGGCCGGCAAGCTGGATTCGCACGCTACTTCCACTCACCTCCCTTCTCCCCCGCCGCCGCCCCTCGACCCGTCTTCTTCCTCTTCATCCTCGCCCTCCGTTGGCACGCCGAGCTCCGAATCCACCGACGACAGCACCTGCCAAGCCCTTGAGCCGAGGCGAGGGCGAGACGACGATACTTTCTACCACTGGCACAAAAAGGCCGCCGGCTACGGTCACTCGAGCGCCGACGAGTTTACGAGCGACGACCTCCTCTTTCCCACCGACGAGGACGACGACATCCACCTGCCTCTCTTCCCCTCTGCGTCGCCCCTGCCGCAGATCCGTGCCATGCCGTCCGCATCTTCGCCCATCGAGATCGGCGGCAGCCGCCAGAACTCCAACAGCCCGCGCACCCAGACCTCCAACCTGACCGCACAGCTGCAGCACAGCCAGTCGAATCGAAATGACTCGGGACTCACCGCAGGCACACCCGACGTCAAGGGACGTCAAGAGTCGTCCACGCTGCTGGGCACGACTCCGTACGGCGCACGCCAGATCCCCATGCCGGGCAACCAGCGGCGCGAGAGCTATATCCCCGGTGGGAGCCTGATGGGCGGCATGAGCTGGGGCGGGATCTCCATGGGCAGCTTCATTCGAGACGAGTGAGTACTCCAGAACGATGCGCCAGTAGTATGCTGCTCGCCAACTGACACTCGGATCCAGCATACTCATGACCGGCACATCACCCTATAACTTCCAGTCGCCCTCCCTCCACTCCTCTTCGTATCTGCCCAAGATGGAGGCAAACTACATGAAGGACTACGTATGTTGCGATATCCACCTCGACTCCATGCACGAGCTCCTGCAGCACTACGAGGAGGCACATGCGGCGCAACCTACACAGACGATGGGCAGGACACCGAAAGAGCAGCAGTACCCCAGCAGTCGGGCGGCGAATGCCACGAGCACCGCTCAAGCAGTTCAGCAACAATCGCAGACTCACCAGGGCAACGTGCCTCGACAACCTCACATGCAGCAGCACCACCCTGCTCAGCCCTCTCCCCTCTTCAGCAGCGACCAGAGTCAGGACCACATCGGCACCTTTGACAATCTGGATGACATGGACATGGACGATGGCACTCCCGCTCCGCACATGCAGCAGTCGCAGGGCTCCCAATTCCAGCCTCAACCGCAATTCGGTCGCCAGCAACCCCGTGGTCCTTCCGTAAATGTCAATCTGGCCAACGCTTTCCAAGGTCAGGGACTCAATTCTGCGACTCCAACGACACCACACGCCACTCAACAAGGCATGGGCTTCTCGCACAACCCGACAGTCTCTTCGGTGAACACTCCATCACTGACTACCCAGACAGCCACACAACAGACCGCCACCCCAGATCCATCGCAACCAAGCACACCTGCTGAACTAGACCCCGACTTTATTGCTCAGATGGGCAATCTCAGCAATTCCGACTATCAACAGCTCATGCAGGGAAATATGGACTTCAGCAGCCTCAATGGCATGGGCAACCTGAGTAATGGTGGGTCTGCGACCATTGACAACCCTGAGAAGCGGCTGCTGAGCAAACAAGGCTACGGCAACAAGGGCTTCCCGAACCCGGCATTTGCAAATGCTCAGAACAGCGAATTGACGAAGCGTGTGCGTGACACGCAGCTTCTCAACGGCCTCGCTGGTGTGGGTGGTTTCGTTGGGGAAGAGATCAAGCCATTCAAGTGCCCTGTCATTGGATGCGAAAAGGCTTACAAGAACCAAAATGGTCTCAAATACCATAAGCAACATGGCCACCAGAACCAGCAGCTCAAGGAGAACCCTGACGGAACATTCTCGATTGTCGATCCTGCCACCTCGATCCCCTACCCCGGCACTGTTGGCATGGAGAAGGAGAAGCCATACCGATGCGAAGTGTGTGGCAAGCGATACAAGAACCTCAACGGTCTGAAGTATCATCGCCAACACAGCCCGCCATGCAACCCGGAGCTGCGCAACAATGTCGCCAACCTGCCCAGCATGCCCAACAACCTGCAAAATTTGAATGCCAATGTTGCGGGCGCGGGTCTTCTCAGCATGAACGGAATGAACGAGGGGATGGGCTACTCGTAGGATTTCTCCGCGGCTCGCTTGCAATGGCGTGCATTCGCGCGTCGAAGCGACAAGGTCCACTCACCGCTTTCACGCTTCTCGTCGGACGAAGCGCTGGCTGCATCCGACCATCCGAGCGATCGACTTTTGGTACGGCACACCTGCGGGAATCCTTTGGACGAACGAAGAAGACGGCGGCAGATCTCCCCTTTTCCCGTTTTGATTAGCAGTACATGGATTTTTGTTTGTTTGTTTGGTATCGTTTAGCGAGGCGTTTCGGGAGCTTGTGGGATGATTTCTCTCCCGGGTGGGCTCTGCATTTGAGAGAGGATACCTGGCTTCGCAAGGTCGCTCTTGCTACGATACCCCCTAGACCGATCGATTGGTGCTGCGTTTTTCCCCCCTCCAGACTTGGGTCTGGTTTGCTGGCGGCGACTTGTTACTGTTTTCGAGGATGCTCCCTCCTTCTCTGTTGGCTTTTCAATAACATTGGTACACGCAACGTCGACCTGTACGACGCAAGAAACTGTTAGACGGCACACATTAAAAAGCATGCATGCAGGTTAACTGAGGTCGCTTCGCGCGCGGGCGTTTCACGGTGGTTTGGAAATTTGATGGCGTTCCAGCAAAGAAGGACGTGGTTGATAGAGCAAGAATGTAGAATTTAATCGTGCTTCACGAGCCGAGAAACGATGGAGCAAGCGAATGTAGATACATTTGGTATAGAGAGAAGATGCATGCCTCTCTGTAGTGACGGGTTTCCCCTTCACTTCACCCCTGTTGTGACTTCATCTCCATCTACTACTCCACCCCTCACTTTCCACAACTTCTCGGGTCGGGTAGCTCCTTCCACCCACACAAGCTTTCGTGTCTTCAATCGCCGCTTCCAAAAAGAAAAGAAAAGAAAAGACATGTCGACTTCGCGTAGGAAGGAGGTGTTCGTCAACCGACCGAAAGCAAAGGCGACCGAGATCCCGTGGCAAGAACCGCCCGCGGCGACGAATCCGGTGGTGAAGGGTTACGCTCTCCATCTGGGGGCCATCGCGTATGTAGGCAAAATTATTCCCCCCTCACCCCCGTCACGCCCAACAACGGACATCGGACGTGGGACATGCGCGCGCGCGCGCGGTTTTAGATGACTGATTGATTGCTGTTGCGAGCAGGATTTCCAATTTGCATTTCGTCCAGAGTCTGCTCTGGGGCAATGCCGGCTTCAATGGCCTGCGGAATCGGGTGGAATTGGAGGGGTTCGCGCCGAGGTATGATCCGACGGTGATGAAGGTGGATGGCGATGTGGTGAGTAGTAGTAAGCAGACGACGGACGACGAGGGGGAGGAGGGGGGATATGGTGTCCAGAAGAAGCTGCTGGAGGAAGCCTGGGAGGGGAAGAGGCCGACTTCGACGGCGCAGGTTTCGGTTCTGGATTACACGGAAGCGTATCGATCGGGTCAATTGACGCCTACGGCTGTGGCCCAGGCACTGCTGCCCTTGATCCGGAAGGACGCCACGCGGCACTCGGTGGCTTTCTTGCAGGTGAGGGAGGATTTGGTCTTGCAGGCGGCGGAGGAGAGCACGAAGCGATATCGAGCAGGACGACCACTCTCGCCACTGGATGGAGTTCCGGTCGCCGTCAAAGACGAGGTGGATGTGGCGGGGTATCGGAAATGCTTTGCTTCGCGATTGGACTTCACGCGGAAGGACGACGCTACGAGTTTCTGTGTGCGCAAGTGGCAGGAAGCTGGGGCTGTTCTGATGGGGAAGACGATAATGCATGAATTGGGCATCGACACGACGAATAATAATCCCATCTTTGGGACGCCGCGGAATCCGAATAATGATCAGTACTACACGGGAGGGAGCTCGGGAGGCAGTGCGTATGCCTGTGCCGCCGGATTGATGCCTTTGGTCCAGGGCAATGATGGCGGGGGGAGTATACGCATCCCAGCGAATTACTGTGGACTGTACGGGTTGAAGACGAGCCATGGCCGGGTCAGCAGTAGTCCATCGTTGAATCTGGCGAGGAGCACGGGTGTCTGTGGCCCTATGGCGGCGAATATGGTGGATTTGGAGATTGGATATCGAATCATGGCACAGCCTGATGGGGAAGATGCAGATTCGAAGTTGTTCCAAGCGCCGGGGTCGATTCCTCCTCCGGACCGCAAGAAGATTCTGGGCATCTATCGGCCTTGGTTCGACCGGGCGGATCCCGTCGTCAAGGAGGCTTGCCAGAAGACTCTCGACCACTTGACGTCGAAATTGGGCTATGCGACCGTCGACATCACCCTCCCTCTCCTCCACGATGCTCAGATGGCCCACGCCATGACCATCCTCACCGAGTTGAACACCGGCCTCGATCCCAAGGACACCCACAAGCTCTCGGCGCCCACGAAAGTCCTCGTCAGCGTAGGCCGACAGACAACCTCCGTCGATTTCCTGCAAGCCCAGCGCCTGCGCGAACTCCTCATGCAGCACCTCGCATACCTCTATGAGAAACACCCGGGCCTCATCATCGTGACCCCGACCACCCCCAACGCGGGCTGGCGGATCGAAAGGGGCGATCTCTCCCACGGACTGACGAATGGGAATATGCAAGTGCGGAATATGGAATATGGTACGTCCTTCCTGACCCTCCTATCCCAAAGAAGCCACCTTCTTCCCTTTCCTTCCTTCCTTCCTTCTCTCTCTAACATTGGACTCTGACTCTTCTCCCTTACCTTAGTCTACCTCGCAAACTTCACCGGTAACCCCGCCATCACCCTCCCCTGCGGCTACACCGACCCGCTCCCGGGCACTTCCTCCCCCGGCAGAATCCCCCTCGGTCTCATGGGTATGGGCGATTGGTGCGGTGAAGACGACCTGCTGGCTTTCGGGTACGACTGCGAGAGCTATCTCGGTTCCAGCCGGGAGCGGCCGGGCAATTGGGTCGATGTTTTGGAATTGGCTGGTGCTGCTGGTGCTGGTGTTGATGTTGATGCTGATGGTGGTGGTGCTGATGGTCAATAATAATAACACGTCCAACCACAGCAGAGGAATCATTCCTCTGAGAGCAATCCATATGTATGCCCATATCCCCCCCAGAAAGCCGTCGAATTTTTTTTTTTTGGAGGGTGGAACGGGCCTACTACCCACTCAAGTAAACATAAGATAGAATAGATCCCATCCCTGGAAACCTAGATCGATAGATATCGATCGATATCTATCTATCTAGCCCTAGCGAATGATTTCTTCTTCTTCTTATTACTATTATGCCGCCCGTGATAATCAACTTCAAAAAAAAAGGGAAAGAGAGCGAGCGGGTTCAATCAACAAAGGTCCGATGGACACGATCATCCCGAAACTCTGGGGGGGGGGGTGGTGCACTCCCCCATGTTTTGAATGTTTGAGACGTCCATGTGTGTGAGACGCGTGTGGAGAGAGAGAGAGAGAGAGAGAGTCAAGATCGAACTTTGCTTTTGTCCAGTATCTATCTAGATCTTGGTTCGTTCGTATTGCTCGGTTGTTTCCAATCAATCATCCATCCTTGACATCGAACATATGTATATTCGCCAGTTTCAATTAATCCAGAAAGACCTCGGTGGCCGTGTCAAAGAGAGAGAATAGGGCTGTCGTTGTTGTTCAAGATACGACCGAGAATGAGAAGGAGGAGGAGGAGGAGGAGGAGGAGGCGAGCTAGTGAAGGATCAAAATGCAATGTTCATGTTTTGATGGCTACCTGGGTCTTCTTCTTCAACGTTGCTTTCCGGTAACCCCCCTGCGGGGAAAATCGTCCGTTTGCCGTAACCGTAACCGTAACCGCAACAAGACAAGAGGTGCCCCCCCTCAAAGAGGAGCACGGACAAGATAATCATCATCAGCACCATCGCAGCTCTTTTTGCTCTCTTCTTCCGCGGAAGGGGAACGCTGCCCAAAATGTGGAGAAGCCACCAAAATCCCGACTCCCTGCTAACCGAGCAAGTGCGAACCAGAAATGAAGAAAGAAACCCCCTTGATCATTAACGCCTGAATGCCATGTCCTGCCATCCATACCATGCCATGCCTGCCTACTCGCTCCGTTCGCTCGCTACTGATGTGTGAAACCCGAGAGGACGCCTTCGAGAATGCATTACGTTCCATTTCCGCAGTGACCATGTGGATATGGTGGTAAGACTGGGGGAAGAGGGTGTCGGAAGAGGCGCCAAGAATGCGGCCCATGTCGTGTGTTGGGGTGGGGGTAATTCGTCGGCGATTATGCAGCTGCACGTGGTTGACTCGCAGCGACGGGTGTCGCGTTCTCCGGCGCAGTGTAGCGCTGGGAGGAGCGACGTTGCGAGAACATGGGGTGGCCACGTTCGGATTGCTCCTTGAGGTATTGCTCGATGTCGGGAGGTAGGGCTTGGCCTTGCTCCCACGCGGCCAGAATGCGTCTGTTGATGCGTTGCGTGATGGATTGATCACGGTGATGCGTGACTTGTGCGATGTGTCTCTCGCGCGCAGCCGCCTCGGAGGAAGTTTCGCGGTCGGGTGGAGTGTGGTCGTGCAGGTCGTCTTCCGGCGCGGCGTCATTCATGTCCTCGTCGTCTTCGTGAATGGGCGGTTGGCGGGCCTCGACGGTAACCGAGATGTCGGTCTTGCGAGTGATGCTATTCCGCCGGAGATATTCGTCGGATCTGCGTTCTCTCCGATCCACAAATGGCGCGATCTCGTCACCAGTGGTATCCATGACCTTGACTCCTTCGTCCTTCTCGTAACGCTCGCGTGCCCATTTGGTGCCCTCCCAACAGCAGAAATCCTGAATCTCATTGTAGGTGAGAGCGAGGTGGTCGAAAGCGTCGAACAGGCGGCGGTGGTGCTTGAAGCGGCCCAGACGCATGCGGTGAGGGGGATAGCAGTAGTTGAGGCCCGGGTAGCGAGCCTCGGCGCTGTTGAGATCGCCGTAGAAGGTGGCCACTTCAATGCGGACTTCGGGAACCAAGTTCCGAGCCAAGTGTGCAGCGAAGGAGGGCGGGTCGTTTGGGGTGGGGTGCGGGAACAAGTAGCTGTAGAGCAGATGGGGTAGGGGTGTCTGTCGTCTCATGGTGTGGTGTCCGACAGTGAGTCGGATGTCGGACGTCGGAGAGGGCAGAGAGAGCAGAGAGCAGAGAGCAGAGAGCAGAGAGCAGAGAGTAGAGAGTAGAGACGGGGCGGGGCGGGGCGGAGCGGAGCGGCGGGAATGTGGAGAGGACGGCGGGTATGAGTTGTCTTCCGCTCGGAGCGGAGTCGGCGAGTTTGCAGTGGGTGGAGAGGAGAAAAATGCACTTGAGCGCTTCAGCAGTGCAGGACTTCAGCACTTCAGCACTTCCACGAGAAGCGAGTGCGACCGGGAGTTCCTGGCAGCCACACACGTGACGGCGGGCACGGGATGAGGTGCGAAGTCGAGAGTGGCGGCGATTGGTGGTGGGCGGCGAGAGGTGAGACACCGAAGAGAGGGGAGAGGGGAGAGGGGAGGGAGGAAGGGGAAGGAAGGGAAAGAGAGAAAGAGAGAGGAAAGAGCAGGAAGGAAAGGAAAGGAAAGGGAAGGGAAGGGAAGGGATGGGAAGGGAAGGGAAGGGAACAGTTGGTTGGAGGATCCGAAGTCGAACTAGCTAGTTGATGGTTTGGAAAAAAAGGCAGACGCCGGCGGAAGGCTCCTGGCACTGGCACACTGGCACACTGGCACACTGGCACACTGGCACACTGGCACTGGGAGCTGACTTGACCTGCGGACCGGACTTGACCTGGACCTGACGCCCGTGGGTGCAACATGCAGAAGGTGCGGTAGCTGCGGTAGTGGTAGGTGCTGCTGCTGGCTGCAGATGCAGGAAGGTGCAGACGCATGTGGCAGGAAGGTGCAGACGCACGCAGGCAAGTGCAGGTGCAGGTGCAGCACACAGGCAACAGGTGCAGGTGCAGGTGCAGGTGCAGGTGCGGCCGGCGGGACTAAGAAAAGCAGACGCCCCCCTCCCCATCTAAATCTAAATCACTATATGAGACCATATCATTTGTACTGGTACCGCATCATCAATCGCAGAACCTCTCATCATCTCATCTCGACCTGCACCGCACCGCACCGCACTACACCGGACGGGACTGCATTCTTGTTGCGCTGGACACTTCCCCTAGCGCCCCAGAGCCTAATCCCACACGCCCCTGCTCATCTATCAACAAGCATTCTTTCGACTCGTGTACCACTCCCAGAATGGCTTCGCTTCGCCGTGCACCTACCTGCCTTTCTCTCCCCCACCCCCCGCCTCACGCTGCCCGCCGTCCGTGTCATGTTGAAGAGGCCATAGGTGCGCATTGACTTCCCACCTCCTCCACTATATTACCGCCCCGTCGGAATCCAACATGCACGTGGAAGCTTCCTCATGCGCCGCATCGTTGACCAGGACATCCAGACCACAGCAGACCATCCATCTAGGCCCCAGAAACACTCTTCTTGAACTCTGCAACCTCAACGCGCCCGCGGAGTACACGGCCTTCTGGACGGCCTGCTTCCACACTGCCATGACGACGATGCCTGCGCGCCTATCCCGCCCACTAAACTTCTGCCCGAGAGGAGACACGGAGGGGTAACTCGTGGCATGGCGCTTGGCCGCGTCTGTGCCGTCGAGTCGCGGCGCACGATCCGTTCAGCGTAAATGGTTGTATATTATCATCCTCGAGTACTGTAGGAGACATTCCAACTAAGGTAGGGTAGCCAGCGAGGGCCAAGGCAGACATATCCGACAGTTGCCGCTAGCCTGCCTGTGCCCTGCCTTGCCCGAACCAAGCGTCGTCACTCACACCTCACATCTCCGACCTCACTCGCCCAAAACTTCAAGGCTTGGCTTGGGCTGCTCACGAAAGTCTAGACAGCCACCGCATGCACTCCGGAAACCTGAAGCACTCGCCTCGCCTCGCCTCGCCTCGCCTCCCTCCCATCGCACGCGCACGCGCATCGCAGCCCAGATCGGTTAAGACCCGGCTTCGGTCCTTCCTCCGAAAAGGCTGATGCCTCGCGACTCGTTTCCACCCCTTCGCGCCTCGCTTGCAACCTTTCACACCTCTCGACAGGTAGATGGCGAGCTGCATCGCAAGCTCGAGCCTGCGTACCGCTCCCGACACGTATCTCTACGCACTCGCGAGCTGTGCAGATGGCACCTTGGCGACCGTCGGCTCTGACGACGCACTGCGCACCTTTGACGCAAGCAGCCTGAAGCCTAAGCACACCACACGATGCCACTCGGGAGTTGCCTGCCTCACCTCGGGTCCTCCCTCACACGTGGTGACGGGTGGACGCGATGGCATCGTCCGCTGCTGGGACACCCGGGCGGAGAAGGTTTCTGAAATGTCAGATCCTCGCGCCAACGGCATCGCTTCGGTTGCTTGTCATGACCGCTATATCGCGGCTGGGACCGAGAGTCTGAAAGAGGGCCTGGGCGATGTCAGTGTACTCATCTTCGACACACGAAACCCCTCGGCTCCCATCCGGCAATACAACGAATCGCACACTGACACCGTCACACAACTCGCTTTCCATCCCCATCAGCCGCATCTTCTCCTATCGGGGAGCACCGATGGACTGGTCTCAGTCTTCGACGTGAACATGGAAGATGAGGAGGATGCGCTCCAGCAGGTCTTGAATCCAAGGTCGGCGGTGCATTGTGCTGGCTTTCTAGCGCAAGATCTGGCGTACGTCGTCTCTACCGACGAGCAGTATTCAATCCACACTCTGGCCAAGACTGCTTCGGAAGACGAGGAGGTACCACCACCGATCGAGTTTGGCGATGTGCGCGAGGAACTGCAGTGCATGTATGTCGTCGGTGTGCTGCAGCAGACAGACGGTCCACCGCTCATGGCCCACGGCCACACCGCAAAGCAGACGCTCTCCATCTCTTCGCTTGGCAGTCCAGGCGCGTGGGCTTTCGGGCCAAGAGTTGATCTGCCGGGGGCGCATGGCGAAGAGATTGTGAGAGATGTGCTGCTTTACGGCAAGCGAGCTTTCAGCTGCGGCGAAGATGGAACGGTCAAGGCATGGAGTCTTGGACAGTAGGCAATGCGTAGGTCGAATTTCAGTACATCTGTTGACATGCAAGATACCCATGGTCGGAGCCTCGACAGGCCAATGCGCCGCACTCTGCTCAAATTGCATCTTGATTCTCTTCACCTGCGCTGCCGCAGACCCTGCTGCACTGCTTACTCTCTCATTCATATCGGAGCTTCTCTTGCTGGTCTACGTGCCGCGCTGGATATATCACACCACACTGTTCTTATCGCATTGTCGCGCGTGAACAACCATTCCGTCATCAGGTTCTGGCCCTCTTCTCATCATCAGTACAACTTCTGTTCTGGATGAGCGTTCCAAGCGCGACACCTCCTCGCGGCCACACCGCGAACGAAACTCTAACATTGAAGATTCGCGCGATTGCAAACAACACTTCGGTCCCTCGGGCATAAAATTTCAAGTCTAGATCGGATGTTGCAAGTGTGCCTTGGAAACGGGAGCATCTGATACACAAACCACTCCCTCACTGGGACGACGATGAAGACGATAAGGAACCACCGCTGGTATGCAAGCAAGACGGATCGAAACTGGAAGATAGGGCCGGTGCGAAGCAGAGATTACCGCCCTACCGCCGCGCTTTGTGCTTGTGACGCTGTATTGTTGAGGCGAGGAATTCTATTACTGCGGACAACTCGATGGGGAGATGTATTGAGCGGATGCTTGCTAGACATGTCCCAGAAATTGGCTAGACTGGATCTCGTCGATGAGATTAGACATGTAGGTGGATTGCTTCAGGAGCAGCTTTTGCAGGTCTCGGTGAAAGGTTATGCTGAGGAAGACAAGGGGAAGACAAAGGGAGAAGGGTGAAACGTGAGGCTGGCTGGCTGGCTTAATGAGCGAGAAGCTGTTGTTTGCCAGGATCATTGGAAATGTCGCTTCGTCCGTTTGGACATTGATGAAGGGTTTGTGGGTGATTGTAAATGCCAAGGACTTCTGTGCTGATGTTGCTCTGCCTGGAAGGAGGTATGCAGAAATCAGCCAAAGTTGCAAGTGAATGGATGCATGCATAAAGAATTCACAGTATGGCTTCGGAATCGACGAGCCGAGTCCCGTGAGGCACCTCACCTTGTGGGGACCTGCATGTGAGGTTGACTCTACAAGGATACAGCTCTCCGATTCCAACAAGGAAGCTCTTCGTCACTCCCTCCCTCCACTCCCTCCTCCTCCTCCTCCACCACCACAACAACAGCAAGACCTCCCTAAACAACACCCTCAACATCTCCCCACCTCCAAAAAAAAAAAAAAAAAAAAAGAAAAGAAAATGACCCAGACCACCTTCCACACCGAAGAAATTCACGCCATCAAATCCCTCATCCAAGCCTTCTTCGACCGCATCAACGCCAGCGACCCCTCCGGCCTGCAGACCCTCTTCGTGCCCCATGCACACCTCACCATCATCCGACAGGATCCCCCCGCTCTACCACCACCGCCTCCTTCCACAACAACAACAACAACAACAACCAGCAACAACGAGGCCCAAAAACTCACCCTCGCCCTCCAAACCAGCATCGAAAGCTTCATCGAGATGCTCCAAGACGGCAGCAAACCCCCCGGATCCGGTCCCGTCGTGCACGAAATGCCCGATCTCGACGCCACGGATGTCAGAGTCGATGGCTTGTTTGCGTGCGCGTGGTGTCCGTTCCGCGTGACGTTTGATGGGGCACTGCATCATTTTGGGAATTTCGTGTTTACGTTGGGGAAAGTGGATGGTGGGGATGGTGGGGATGGAAATGGGGATGAGGGGGGCAAGAAGAAGAAGAAGAAGAAGAAGAAGAAGGAGTGGAGATTCGAAGGGCTGACGCAGAATTATAGACGTACGCCTGGGTGGGAGGGGGAGGGGCAGCAGCAGCAGCAGCAGCAGCAGCAGCAGCAGCATGAGGGGAGGGAGGTTGCGAAGTTTTAGAAAATAAAGAAGAAAAAAGAATCGTGTCGAGATTGTGTTTTCTTTTTTCAATTGCGAGGGTGGATGATGGGATGGGGATCTTCTATACGGCTTTCACGTTCGTCTCGCCGGCCAGTTTCTTGCTATCAAGACCTCCAGCTCCTCCTTCTTCCTCTCTTCCGCAACTCCCGTCTTGTCCTTCGAGGGGCTCGGGCACAGCAATGCCCAGCTTGGCCGCCTCATCGGGCGTGAAGGTGTCGTAGTAGTCGACATCATCCAGAACGCCCTGCCCCCTCGGGGGAAAAGCCTTGTTGATGCCGTAGTGCACTGAAAAGCTTACAGCAAAACCCAGCGGGAAAGCGAGGTAGTAGAGATTGGTGCAAGCTTCGGGAACAGTGACATTCGGCGTCACGGCCTAGAATCGAATGGAAAAGAGTTAGCATCTCATATATGCCTTTTGAGTGTGTGTGTGTGTGTGTGTGTGTGTGTGTGAAGGGTGTTTATGTTCCTGTTGGACATACATGTGCGAAGCCGGGAAGCAGGTACGACCAGCCGACGATCCAGGAGACGAAGCTCCGCCAGTTGATTCCGTGCCAGAAGTAGTATAGGCCTTGCTTGCCGGGGTGGTAGAGATCGGATAGCTTGATTCGACGCCCTCGCAGGACCCAGTATTCGCAGATCATGATGCCGACCATGGGTCCGAGGAAGACACTGTACGCGCTCAGCACGCTGATGAAGGTGCTTGCGGCACTCAAGAGTTGCCAGGGGCACATTGCGATACTCAGGACCAGGCCGATGTAGGCTCCGCGTCGGATGTTGATGAAGGACGGACAGAGGCCGGCCATATCCATTCCGGCGGAGAAGGCGTTGTCGATGGTATTGATCGCCAGCTGGCAGATGACGAGCCCGCAGCCGGCAAAGAAAGCGCCCGCTCGTGATTTGGCATTGTAATCGGTGTCGAGCCACTTCTGCACAAGGTTGGGCGGGTTCCAGATCGCTTCGCCGTAGACTCTCTGCGTGGCAGATGCACTGATACACCCCAGGGATGGCATGATGGCGCCAATACAGATGATGGAGAGCCATTGGCCGAGCACCTGGTCTCCGGGTCGTCGCGCGAACCTGGAATAGTCCATTTGGTTTGTCAATCCGACGGCAATGCCGCCGATCACGGTGGTAACCCCATGCACGATTGCCCAGCCGAGCTCCCAGTTCGTCTGCGATGTAGCAGGCTGGTCGAGCAGTGGCCCGCCTCCGTCTGCTGCCGAGAGGACCCAGATCACCATCGAGAGCAGCGTGATGGCCGTGACCAAGTTCATCCAGAGCACCACCCACTTCATTCTTTCCGGGCGCACGTAGAGGATTGGGATCATGAGGATGTTGAAGAGCACCCAGCCGATGAACTGCTTCGTGTCCATATTGGCTGATGCGGGGAAGTGGTTCTTCATGTGCTGGTAGCTCGGAAAGATGGCAGAGAGGATGTTCTGCACGCAGAGACCGCCGGTCCAGGACTGCACGCTAAACCATACCAGAGACAGAATGATTCTCTGGATGAGCGCGACATAGTGGCCGTAAATGCCCCAAACGTACCGGCTCACGATGGGGAATCCGATGTGCCATTCTGCTCCCACATACCCATTGAATACTGCCACGGCAGCGATGATGACCTTGCCGATGATAATGGCTATGACGGCTTGCCAAACTGCCAAGCCTGCTGAGACCAGAGATGCGCCCAGTTGGAAGTTGGAGAGAGTCATCTGGTTTATGGCCCAGAAAGAGATGTACGCCCAGCGTGTCCATGTCCTGCGAGATGGTGGCAGTGGCCGGATATCCTCGTTGATCCAGACATTGGCAACGCTTCGATCGTTCGAAGGGATCCTGATGAAGTCAATGATTGATTTCAGCACCATCCTGGCTTTCTTGTTGAGGCGGGCGCCGCGCCTATGAGGCAGTCAGAAGGTGCCGCGAATGGATTGAAAGGGTTGACGACATCAGTGAGTGTTTGGAATGCGAGCATGGTGTACAGTATCGTCCTGGTGATCCTATTCCTATCCTGCCCTGCCTCTTGGTGCCACTGATAGGCAGATGGCAGTTTATCGTGGCACCCCTGCTGCATCCTGGGCGACGATTCGATCTCGCTGCTCGGCATTCGTGAGTTCGTAGCGTGCAGCAAAAGTCAGCTGACTTTTGTGTGCGGTGGTGGTCGTTGGGTTGGCCGAAGGCGTGAGATAGGCGGCGAGTGAAGAGAACGATTAAGCATCGGGAGATCTTCGGCGTCTGAGCTGCCCATATGTAGAACTACCCAAGACAGCTTGCCGCGAACGTGACTCCTTCCCATCACCAACAAGGCGTATCTCGCTTATCGCAAGGGCTGTCCGCCACCACGGCACTGGTAATGACATTCGTAGGGCAGGCCGTAGGCCGCCTTCGCCCGCGTAGCTTGCAGCTCGGCCGGTGGAGCTATACCGAACGACCATTGATGTCGTAGAAGTAGGCCGGTTTCTTTCCTTGTCTTTGTGTTTGAACTGACGTGCAGATCTGGTACAATGGGTAGCAAGGCCCCAAAGAGCGTACGCATTGGCGTTGATGTCGGTAAGCCTGGAAAGCCTGTATCATTCACAAGAGCAGCATTGACAACGCTATGCAGGAGGGACGAACACAGATGCAGTAGCGATAGAGCCCTCGCAACAACTCACACCATCCCGAGGCGTACTCGCTCACCACAAGACTCCCACAACTCCGGACGTCACAGCCGGAATCGAAGACGCCGTTCGTACCGTTCTCGAGAAATCACAGCTCCCCTCAGAAAGCATTGCCAGCGTGACGGTGGGGACGACTCACTTCATCAACGCCGTAATCGAGCAGGACGCCAGACGCCTACGCCGTGTGGCAATCATACGACTGTCCAAGAGCTTTCTCAGAGAAGTCCCTCCATTCTCCGAATTCCCACCCGGCCTAACGAGCATAATCAAAGGCTATGTTGGATACGTCGACGGTGGTCTACATATCGATGGCTCCGAGGAGGCTCCGATACGGGAAGAGCAAGTCGTGGAGAGATGCGCGGAGATCAAGAAGCTTGGCCTGAATGCTATAGTCGTCGTGGGGGCCTTCTCGCCGATCGACGAGGGGTTCAAGCAAGAAGACAGAGTGAGAGACATCATCCTCAGGGAGATGCCTGGCGCAGATGTAATCGTCTCCCACGAGGTGGCCAACATCGGGCTTCTGGAGCGGGAGAACGCGAGTATTCTCAACGCCGCGATCTTGAGATATGCAAAGCGGACGGTGAAGGGCTTCAGACGGGCAATGAAAGCTCTGAAGTTGACCTGCCCTCTGTTCTTAACGCAGAACGATGGCACGTTGCTGGACTCTGCCGCGGCTGCCAATATCCCCATTCGGACCTTTTCTTCTGGTGCTACAAACTCCATGCGAGGTGCCGCTTACTTGGCTGGTCATGAGACGGGCAATTCCTCCGCTATCGTGGTCGATATCGGAGGAACGACAAGCGATGTAGGAGTTCTTTTGCCCTCGGGCTTACCGAGACAAGCGTCGGCCTATGTGACTGTTGCCGGCGTCAGAGTCAACTATTCCATGCCATCTCTACATTCCATTGGTCTAGGAGGAGGCTCAATCGTCCGCGAAACAGATGGCAAGGTCACAGTCGGACCAGATTCTGTGGGTCACTATCTGACTCGAGATGCACTGGTGTTCGGCGGTAAAGTGACAACAGCCTCCGATATTGCAGTTGCTGCTGGCAAGGCGGAGATGGGAGACAAGAAGGCTGTGGGCACGCTCGACTTGAGCTTGGTAGAGCAGGCTCAACAGCGAATCAAGGGTCTGTTAGAAGGCGCAATCGATATCATCAAGACTTCTCCAGAACCGCTACCAGTTCTGCTTGTGGGAGGCGGCGCAGTGCTGGCCCCATCTGAGCTGAAAGGAGCCTCGGAGCTGAAGCTACCTCCATTTCACGACGTCGCGAATGCTGTCGGAGCCGCCATCTCAAAGGTCGGCGGTATAGTCGACATCATTCAGGGCGTCGCGGATCAATCCGTCACTCAGGCAATTGAGAGAGCGAAGTCCATTGCGATCCAACGAGCCGTAGATGCCGGTGCCATTCGAGAAAGCGTCATAATCGCAGAGGTCGAGAGCTATCCAGTAACTTACGTCGCCAACCAATTGCGGACCATTGTCAAGGCTGTGGGCGAGCTCGATATTAACATGCAGCCCGAGCAGCTCAACGACGACGAAGCCGATGATCCAGACCAGGAGCCAGAAGCGGCGAAGTCTTTCGCCGTAAAGATTGTCGATGAGCCTCCCGTCGATCCTCGTACTTATACCCCAACTGTACTCAAGAATGCACAGACTGGCATTCCAGAGTGGCACATCACAGAAACCGATATCAATTATCTCGCGGATGGCTGCTATGTCTTGGGTTGCGCTGGAGGAGGAAGTCCAGCTGCTTCTCGCATTCAACTTCGGGATATGCTTCGTGCAGGCTATAAGATGCGTGTTGTCGATGCATCTGCTCTGAAGGAGGATGCTAGTATTTACTGGGGTGGTCATATGGGCTCACCGGCTACTTCGAACGAACGACTGCAGTCTCTCGAGACTGTCAGGGCTTTTGAGGCCTTGATGGAATATCTGCATCAAGATTCGTTTGATGCAGTGATGGGCTTGGAGATAGGCGGTGCCAATGGCTTGGAGCCTTTCCTCGTAGGGTGAGTCCCTTCACCTCAATAACATCAGGCGACCAAGTAGCTAACGCGACATCTACAGATCCTCGCGCTTCTACGACCGACCAGTAATCGACGGCGACTGGATGGGCAGAGCCTATCCCACATACTGGCAGACCACCATCGCCGTCCACGCCCCGGGCGAGCTCGTACCCTGCGTGATCGACTCCGGCGACGGCAAGACCATCATCATGACCAAGGCCCCCAACGACGAAATCGTCGACCGAGCCCTCCGAGCTTCCTGCGCCGAAATGGGCAGCAGAGTCGGCAAAGCGGCCAAACCCACCACCACCCAACGCGTCCGCGATTTCGGCGTCCTCAACACCGTCTCCCTGGCTTGGCGAATCGGCCGGTGCATTTCCCTGGCCGAGGCAACGAATACCCTCTCCACCGTCGCCGAATCCATCGTGCACGAGGTCGGGGGCGAAAAGAGCGCCAAGATCCTCTTCCGTGGGAAGATCATTGGCGTTGAGAGGAGATTGTTCAAGGGTCATTCTTATGGGAGTATCACCATCGCAGGCCTTTCTACCGATGAAGAAGACGAACCTTCTTCTTCGAATGTGAAACGTCTACCTGCTGTTGTCAGCACGGGTACGGTTACGATTCCGTTCAAGAATGAGAATATCTACGCGGAGCATACGGATGTGAATGGGGAGAAGACGATTATTGCGAGTGTTCCGGATCTGATCTGTGTGCTCGATACGGCTTCTGGGAGGAGTTTGGGGGTGCCGGAATTTAAGTATGGGTATAGGGTTACGGTTCTGGGCATCACTTGTAGTCCGAGATGGTCTGATACGGAGATGGGACTGAAGATTGGAGGGCCTGTGGCTTTTGGGTACGATATTCCGTACAAGGCTCTTGGGGAGTATGTCGAGCCGAGGAGCGTGATTGAGGAGTTCGCGCCAATATAGATAGATCCTGATGGCTTGTCTTCTAGCGCCCGCGCAGATGCACTTTACGTGATTGAGACTGAGATGAGAAGTGTTTGAGGGCATCGTTGTAGTGTCTTGAATCTTGCTTTTGGTTCATGTAGCAAGATTGGATTCCATGTCGTAAGCTAGCTACGCCATACTGTTGTAACGCCGTAGACCACCACAGCCGGGCAGTCTGCCCAGCATCCCAGCCAATGCATGCAACACTGCACGATACGCTTAGAAGAAAGTGTTGGGGCGGGTGGCAGAGAAGATCTGCTTGCCGCGCTTCGGTGGGGCACGGTGAGGCAGAGGGAACTTGAGGCCCTTGGTGGTGAGCTGCTTGATGTATGGTCTCCGGATGTCATCGGTCTTCTCAACCTCGACGACCTTGAGGATCTGCATGAAAACAATGTAAGTATCTTTCCCGCGCGAGCATTCACGGGTGCATCTTACGTGGATGGTCCTGAAGCGGGCGCGGTGGCGCGAGGCCATGTCCTGGTAGAGCGACTGGACGGCATCGCAGCGGGACATCTCACGGTACTCCTTGTACATGTTGTGGGTGCCGGAACGCGAGTCGTAGCGGATCCAGATACCGAAGTTCTTGACCTTAAGAGGGTGCTTCTCGGAGATCTGCCCAAGAATCAACATCGCATACTCCTCGAACATTCGAGCCCAAATCTTCCTGGTATCCACTACGCACCTTGTTCAGCGAGACGATCTCACCGTTGGCCTTCTTGATCTTGCGCAGCTTGGCAAGGAAGTACCAGAATCGGCTCTTGGCGACGACATCGTTCGGGGCGAAGATGCGCATGCGGTAGAGCTTTGGGGTTGGGTTGGCGTCAGTGGGCAGATGGCGCCCGATGACCTGGTACTCTTGCAGGCGACCTGTTGAGCAACAGAATCAGCGCTGTCTTACAGAGACAATTGTATGTATCCAGGCCATGTTGTTCATGTCCATTCTCATGTCCACCTCTTTCTGCTCATGTGTTTGCGTATGCTGCGCATGTGCCTCGGATCGGCGGCGGAAGGAGGAGATGCTTACCCATCTGTTCAATGTCAGCTCGGTATTGTACTGGTAACAAGCTTGTTGGGCTACTCACTGTTGCTGTGCTGCGATTAGTATTTGTCGACGTGGTGAAGTCGCTGGCTGGATTTTCGAGAAGCTGAAGGGACCTCGAAATGTGCGTGTCTTGGCACGGACATAGCAGCTTGCCGAGATTCACCCGTACCTTCCAACCTCTCGACCTCGACCTCCAAGACAGAAGCACAGCACTTCTGTCCATGCACCCACAGAGGAGAGCCCTGACAGCAGACCCACCGCAATCATGTCGGGCATCGATGTCATGTTTGACGACTTCGCAACCGCACACGGAGACGAGAACGGCATCTTGATCGCGACAACAATCTCACCAGAGCCACCGAAATGGGACCTGGGGCGGCTCTACAACTTCCGCAATGGCATAAATCAGTACAGCGTGAAGACAGATCTCCAGTACAGACTACAGTACAATCCTGTCCTCCGGCTTGACAAGAAAGAGGCCGCCGCCTGGCTCGAGGTCTTCACCGCGTTTCATAAGTTTGTCGGTACGCTCCTGGCTGCGGAGGAGCTTCAAAATGTTGGTCGTAGTCAGGAGGCCGACTGGAGCAAGGTGTATGAGGATTGGAAAGAGGTCGTCAATGCTCTATTGAAGGGATACCAGAGCAACTCGTTCATGGGCTGGACGATCCCATGCATTTACGTGGCTGGACGATACCTGCGCATCTTCGCCATCAAGGCAGACCAAAGCATCGCGAGCCAGCGAGAGAGCGGATTAGCTTTCTCCGGCATAACGGATGAGGATGCATTCGACCCCAGCAGTAGCAATGAAAAGCTCGAAGACGCTGCGCGCCAGATCAATCGCGTGTTTGGTCTTTGCATCGGTGATCGGTAAGTCGTACCTCGACCTTCACATCCTGCACCTATATGCTTATCGATACAACCTTGCTTTCCGCGGCTTCGTTGTTGGTGCCATAGGCTCATGGTAAGTGCAGCAATCCTATGGAAGAATCCCGAAAGTGGGCTCTCTACTACGTCGCAACTCTCCTCTTCAAGACACACTTCAAACTCAATCATATCTCGCTGTCGAAGAACATACTTCGATCACTTTCGGCGTCAGGTACCGATATGCCCCCTCTTGCGCACTATCCGATGGCCCATCAGGTCCCGTTCTTGTACTACTGCGGCGTAATCCATTTCGTCGAGGAGGATTACACGACCGCAGAGGACTATTTGACGTCAGCATACAACATGTGCAGCGTCAAGTCTCCCAAGAACGTCCAGCTCATCCTGACGTATTTGATTCCCACCAAACTTATCACATCACACAAGCTGCCATCGACGGCAGTGCTGCAGCAGTACCCTTCTCTCGCACGACTGTTCCAACCTCTCTGCGAAGCCATCAAACGCGGAGATCTCGCGGCCTTCAATACTGCCCTCGAAAACGGCGAAGAAGAATTCGTGAAGCGACGGATATACCTGACGCTGGAACGCGGTCGGGACGTGATTCTACGCAACATCTTCCGAAAGGTCTTCCTCGCTGGAGGGTTCGAGCCACCAAAAGAAGGCGAAACGACGCCCGCTGCAAGGAGAACTCGGGTGCCGGTGGAGGAATTTGCGGCCGCACTGCAAATTTCGGGTGCTGATGTTGGCAACGGAGAAGGAGGCATCGACTACGACGAGGTTGAGTGTCTGCTTGCGAATGCAATATACAAGGTATGTGATACTCTTTCGTTTGGGCTGCATCTCCCAGCAATCCGAGATCTTCCTAATCGGGAATGAGCTGCCTGCCGCGGAAGGCATCTGCTGTTTGCCGCTCATACCCGTCCTCTCCCTGGACATCGGACAGCATTGGCATGATAGAGAGCTAACGATTGCAGAACTACATGAAAGGCTACATCGCTCGCGAACGCAGGATCCTGGTACTGAGTAAAGGAGGGAACGCTTTCCCGGGTACGGGGCTCTAACGAACGTTGGAGTCGCTCGATCCGATCCTCCTCCGCAGGCCGCACGCTTTTGCGCACTACCTGGTCTCGTCCAACCCATCACAGCTGATCCATCCACGTCTGAGCTGGCAAAGTATGCTGCCTGGCTTTATTGGCTTGGCGGTAGCATGAGATAGGCTGTCGGGAGGGACCTGCGGCCATTTTCTCGATCGGCGCGATATGGTGTGCTTGTGACAGCTTTCTCAAGCATGACTCACCTGCGAGCGTTATCACGAGATTTCACAGAGTTTGCCCTTCGTTGGCGATCGAAGGGCTGAGGGACGCGATGGCGATGGCGGATTGAGTAGCGTAATCTAACCCAAGTATTTTCGATATGAATCAGAATGAAAGCGCACAGTTCATTGAAACACTGAGTATTGTAGTTTTTCTCGTTAATGTTACATCCACATCTTGCCTCTAAGCAAGCAGAAACAAGCCCATTCATCTGTCAAGTAAACCCATCTCTCGCACCACAATTTGGTCTTTCTCAGCCCCATGAGTAGGTCCAACCAAACGACTGCATAAATAGTAGTACATTTCCTTGATTTTGGTTTCTGTTCCGTGTCCCGAACGCCATGCTAGAATCGAAAAGATATGCTGTGATATCCATGTACGAGAAGGGTATCATCATAATAATAATAATAATAATAATAATAATAATAATAATAATAATAATAGTAAGTTGAAATAAGATACGAAAAAGTCTTCCAGCTACGACCAGCCGTAGCTAGGAGCATGATTGAGTTTTGAGACGACGGAAATTGGAGACGCGATGTTGTTTTTCTTTAGGCGGTGCGTGGCGTGCGGCCGGCGCTGGCGATGTCATCCTGGCGTGGGATACGTGTCAGCCAATGGAGTACAAGGGAAAGATGGAAGGGACAGGGAGAAGGAAAGGTTGACGCACGAGATGGTTCACCATCGCCACGAAGAGATCGAAGAACAGCGCTGTTCCTCCCGCTTCCATTTCCATCTGCATCGTCCCGCTTCGCTTGAAAGTGCTCCTGCTCCGGATGATGAGGGCGAGGTAGTGGGCCCGCAGTTTGGAGTCGGAAGCGGGAGTGTTCGCGTAGGCGTAGCGAGCGGAAGAGAGGATGGTGCCGCATTGCACGCCGGACTGGAGGCCTTGCTTTTTGAGGGCGAGGCGTTGGAGGTTGGGAAGGCGGTAGTGATGGGCGGAACACTGGGAGAGAGTGTTAGTGTAGGTCTACTGACTAATTCGAGGGCAGAGGCACTTACGTATACGACGGTGTCTTTGAGGATGGCTGTTCCGCTTGCAGTGTAGACGATACTCTCGTTCATGCCTCGAGCAGAGTCGTCCTCTTCAAGATACCAGGAGCCATGTCGCTTATCGTAGTTCAGCTTCGGGCTGTAGTCACCTTTGTAGAGATATTCCAGGATGGCGGAGAAGACTTCGGGTGCCTCGTTGGGAATCTCGACTCGTTTGCCGTTGGCTTCGAAGAACTGCGCCCGGCAGGCTTCGGCGAAGTAGGGACTCTTGCAAAGAACGTCTTCGTGAGCGGCAAAGAGGCGCTGTTCGGGGCCTACTACGACCGTAACAATGGCAGAGCTGAGGTTTCTGCGACAGCGTGAGAAGCAAAACGAGAGACATCGGTGAGTTTGGCTTACGGTGATGTAGGTGAGCTGCCAGTCTTCGTCGGAGACGATTGCGCTGATGAAGATGGCTGGACTGGCTGCTGTGTGATGATCCGTCTCGTCGAAGGATACTCCTTGAATGACTTCTGCTTCTTGCTCATCGACTTCCCTGCCCGATACGAAAAGCTGTCCCGATATGACTTGTTCTTGCTTGTCGAGAACATCTTTGCGTTGATGTGTTCGATGCTGATGAAATTGCGACGAACAGTATGAGTGTCTGTCGAAAGAGGTGAAAAGGCCAAACGCACGAGAGAAGGTGGAGGCAGAAGGCTGTACTTATACATCGCCCGCAGGGCCGGTCAGGCAGCAAACGCGAAGGCGGGCAACTGGGCGGAAAAGAACGCCGCACCAAAGAGACCGGGCCATGCTGGCGGATCTTCGAGTATCAAGCGGCAGCACTACTCAGTTGCCCTGACATTCAAGGCGAAACGGATAAAAGTCACCGCAGAGATCAAGCCATTCTGCAGGGTGGGAGGAAGTCGTGATTGGACGCGTGGCTCCCGAGCACTTTACGCGAAGGCAACGGGATATTGGAACGCTGTCACGGGATCAGGCGCCGCCAGGACTGGGTAGCTTTTTTGAGTCAAGGGCGGCCTCCTGGAAGGGACCGCGGAAACGGATGCAAGGGCGGTGCTGTTTCACAGGCCCGGTGCAGTTGGGTGACTAGCCTTGGACCCGTCGGCTGTTGCAGCATGGAAGCCGGGGAGTCAGAGCCTAGGGAAGTGTATTTTGCCACCACGCGGCTTCTTGCTGGCTTGTGATCGGGCACAGAGGCGGCATCTCTTCGTGAAATCGCGTATATCAAAGCTCGTCCCCATTTGCTGCGTCACGTAGGCAGAGAGCTGACGCAGAGGCGGGTTGGAAGAAAGATGGAGGAGTAGTGAAAGTAGATGTGGTTGATCTGCCTGCCCTACCACACTACCACACTACTGCCTTGCATCGCTAGCGGCTTACAGGCTTGGCGGCAAGGGTACGATCGACGACCTAATGCAGGAACGTGGAGGCGCGATTGCCTTGTGGTGATGTGCCAAGACAGACTTTGAGACAAGAAGCATTGAAATCGAGCGTTGGCCGTAAAATCAATATGCTATTACTGTCTATAGTGACTGCTCTATAGCCTCTCTGTCGTGTAGTATCCTTCCCATCTCAGGCAAGGGCAATACTGTGTGACTTGCCGGCAAAACCCTGACTCAAGTGTCACATGGCCGCATCACGAGATGCCATGGAAATTCGAGGCAATCCACGTTGCTGGCAACGCGGCGTACTACGCATGTGAACAACGTGGTCAACATGGCGTGGCGCCTCAATGCCCGTTCACTCCGTTCACCCCGTTTACCCCGTTCGCGTGCCCCGGTGCCTTCAGCTTCAACAACTTCTCAGAGTTCTTGTAGGCAATCATTTCCAGCTCCTCCTTCGTCACGAGACCGCTTTGCTCAAGGTCATCCATCCATTTCAGACCATTCTCATTCTTCTCAAAGGGATAGTCGACGCTGAACAGAATATGGTCGATCTTCGTGTTGCCCAGGATACATCTCAAAGGATCTAGACTCCATACGCCAGACGTCGTGATCCAGATGTTTTCATCCCACACTTGCCTCAGCTTGCGCTGCTGATCGCCCCACCGAACGCTGAGGTTGCAGATGCGCTGGAGTGAGAAGGGTAACATCTCGCCAAAATGTCCGATGATAATTTTGAGTTTGGGAAATCTGTCGAAGACTCCAGCGGCGTAGAGACGAAGTATGTGTAGTCCAGTCTCCGTATGCCAGCCCCAGCCAGACGCACCCAGACTTCGACTGGCCCCTGCCGAGAAGTTCCCAGTGTACATCGACATCATGTTATCTGCAGGCCAGGTGGGGTGTAAGTAGACTGCGACATCCAGCTCCTCGGCCTTCTTCCACATGACATCGTAATCGCTGCCGTCGAAGAAAACCCCCTTAACGTGGTTGTCGATGAGGGCTCCAACGAACCCGAGCTTCTTCACTGATCTCTCCAGCTCCCGGGCGCACTCCTCGGGATAGGCGACTGGAAGCACCGCGAACCCAGCAAAGCGATCGGGATGCTTTCGGACGGCGGCAGCGAGTTGGTCGTTGCCTTGCCTGCATTGCTCTGGGCTCGGACCTCCAGGAGCACACGCATGAGAGATGACCTGCATGGTAACTTTGCCCTTATCCATCTCGCTTAGCCTGAGACTGTCCAGATCCTGGAGTTTCTCCTTGGCCATTGGGATAGCCTTGAACTGCTCCTGGTACTGCGCGTCGAAAGCATCGAGCACGGCAGTGGAAAGGAAATGCTCCTCGAGTGCAATGAGTGGCGGCGTCATCTTGATCGCTTCCTCCGTCCTGTTCTCTCTGCCTTCTGGTGGATTCAATGTTCTCGAGAGGTGTCAGAGTCGATATATGAAAGTCCCGATGCCTTACCGTCAATGCCAGCGGGATATATCAGTCCTTAGTTCGAACGGAGTGAGGTGGTACCAGACTCGGTACACCCACACTTCGGTACAGGAGGAGAAATTCGGCACCGAGAGGGGGATCGCACCGCATACACCACTTTACCGGAGACGAACAGATCTCCCGCCAACGACAGGCATATTGCTGGATGGAAAAGACCACCGGCGGCAGTCACTTCGGTTGTATTCGTGTCCGAGGGGTAGGAGAGAGTGGCATCCCGGTCATCATGGACTGAGCTGCCTTCGCTAGTCCCGCTAGCTCCGTGTTAGTCAGCATGAGGTTGTCCTTCGGCTACCTAGTCTTGTGTCCAGGCAGAAACCCATCGCATAATCTCTGCATAAATGCGTACTTTGCATAAATACCCGGAAGTTGCCGAATTCTGTAAGAGCAGCCTCCTCCTTGAGACTTTGCCAGCGCTTCCCGAGGTTGTCTGGAGCTCGAGCTTCACGAGCAGCACATTCGCCGTTGGTGGGCATACTCAGTAGGACGACACCAGTAGGTCGATTCTTCTCTCCAGCTCTCAAATTCATTTGGAATACCGTCAGCATATTCCCGTACATCTCACACACACCAGCATGACAGGCAAAGAAGCTCCAGGCAAGACAGCCCCAGGATCCGGCTACATCCCACCCCCCGAGCTCCAAGAAATCCCCATCCCAAGAAGCTACTCCGACATCCCATGGACAGAGATCAAAATCAGCAATGTCCCCGAGTCTGCAGAAGAAGAGGTCACGCCCGTCGTGCTGGTCACGCTCTACCGACCGACCAAGTACAATGCCTTCACACCCACCATGATGCGCGAGCTCGAACACGCCTACACCCTCTTCGACATTGACGACCGCGTGAAATGTATCGTCCAAACCGGCCATGGGAAGATGTTTTGCGCGGGCGCAGACCTAGACACAGGCTTCGTCGGGAACGAAGAGGCGGTTCGAGACCACCGGGACGGAGGCGGGAGAGTAGCCATGGCGATCAACAGATGCAGGAAGCCTACCATAGGAGCTGTACAGGGCAGTGCCGTAGGCATCGGAATCACAATGACATTGCCAATGAACATCAGGATTGCATGGCAGGACGCAAAGATCGGATTCGTCTTCGCCAGGAGAGGGCTGATCATGGAGGCTGCGAGCAGTTTCTTCCTGCCGAGACTGATTGGGTATGCAAGAGGTGATGTTGAAGTGAAGGGACTCAAAGGCTGACACCGACGATAGTGTCTCCAAAGCTCTCCATCTCTGCACGACCGGAGCAGTATACCCCGCGAAACACCATCTCCTTGACGATCTATTCACCGAAGTCCTTCCCACACAAGACGCAGTCCTGCCGCGTGCCCTCGAACTAGCCGACGAAATCGTAAAGAACTGCAGCGGTGTGTCGACGTACATGATGAAGGAGCTGATGTTCCGGGGGCCTGGAAACCCAGAGGCCACGCACTTGCTCGACAGCCGGATTGTGTACGAGCTCTTCAGCAGCAAGGACAATAAAGAGGGCGTCGCTGCTTTCTTGCAGAAGCGACCGGTCGATTTCAAGGGTACTATGAAGAACGATGCTCCTTCCGCGTACCCCTGGTGGGACCCGGTATACACTGGCAACAGACCCGTGAACCAAGGGTACCAGTGGAAGCCCAAGTTGTAGCTCTTCCAAATCTGATCCGCCATTGCAAAATCTTCTCGGCTCGTGATAATATCTCACGTGCCAAATGCAGAGCCCATGCACTCACATCCGACATATTTGCTCCTCTCTTCTCCTTCCGCGAAGCCATCTCTGTGCCTTCGAAGAGGCCTATGTTCGGCCTACGATCGGAGAACACGTCGAGATAACGTGAATTACAGCATGCGACCATTCGGCTTGCTGACTTAGACACGGAGCTTTGCTGCGGGGATGGCACTCGCGTGCCCTCAAACTGTACATTTTCCGCCGAGTTGTGCCTGATACCCATCACCCATCTGATGTTGTAAATTTTGCCCGACGCCTCAGCTTCTTTATTCGCAGAATGCCTTGAGGACGACGCGGAGGATTGTCATCATTAGCGGCCCGCTAGCGCAAATTTGCATGTGACGGCGCCTAGGAGGAAGGCGCCTCCCACGCAAAACAAAACACGTTTTCAAACATATGGAATACGAATCTATATCGCTATGTGGGGTATCATCTATCGTTACGCTTCGTGTGTCGGGCGTGTTTTCAATCCGCACTTACACCGTCTTTACACAACAGAATGCCATCTCGACGGCTGCTGCCCTGCCTTTTGCCAGGATGTTCCGGGGGGGGGGACAATAAAGCTTCGCTGTGCAAAGAAGCTGTATGCAAAATCATTGCTCATCTCCAAGCACCTTCTTCATCGCATCAAGATCGAACTTGTTCATGATCGGGGGATGCTGCACCTTGATCTCCGGCGCAAAGCCAATGATAGGTCCAGTCTGGTTGATACCCGGCGGCCTATGCTTAGGAGGTTTCTTTGGCGTCTGCGAATCGCCCGACTTGTCAGTGCTTCCCGAGGCCACGCTCACAGACCGACCCATCTTCGGGGCGGCAACGGTAGCCGAATCTGTTATTGCTACGGGTGCGGGAGAAGCGCCCCATCTTCCGAATACCCAGCCTCCAACTTTGCTGCCAAGGCCTTGCTTCCCAGACGGGTCCTGCCCATTCGCGCGCCGTTGGGAAGGCGCTATACCAGACAGAAGCCTTTGACCACTGTTTGTAGGCTTCGAGAGGGCTGCCGGACGTGCTGCATGCGCGGTCGCATCGCTAATGACAGCCTGCGGGGTGTAAGAGCCACTGTACGGAGTAAGTAATTGCGAGGGTCGTGACTTGAGAGTGTGTATGTCCATGCCCGAGAACGACAGAATAGACTCGTGAGAGGTTGCGCGCCTGATTGGAGGCCGTGGCCGTTGCTGAGGAGTGAGATCGAGGTCTTCGGAGAAAGGAGAAGTGGTGGCACTGAATTCCCGGTCAGGAGATGGGGAGCTGGTGTTCTCCCAGTCCTGCTCATCTTCCTCGGGTATGACAGCTTCCGATGTCTGTTGTTGATCCAGCTGGCGCAGGTCCTCGCTACTCATGTCCAGTATTGAATCGAGTGAGGGTCGATTGCGATGGGACGAAAATGACGCATGTCGACTATGGTAAGAGCTCTTCGAAGCCCGCTTGGAATGGGCTGGAGCCCAAACCGGCGAGCCAGGATCTTCCGTGTCAGGCGTCGTCGGTCGAGATGATTCTTGACCGGGATCACTGAAGACGCGATCGAAGAGCGAAGAGGCCCGATGGGTCGATATGGGCGAGCTGGGCCCCGAAGAGTCACGCATTGATTGGTAGGTATGGTTCGATTGCAGTGACGATCGCTTGCTGACGGTATCCGGCAGACTGGCGGCAGTCTGTGACAGTATTGCTGCTATTGTGGACGGCGTACCGTAGGGATAGGAGTCGCGCGGCGTGCTTGTTCCCGAAGATGGTGTATAGTGACCAGACAAGGACCCGTAACGTTTCTTTTTCGATCGCGATCGCCGGACAGTGTTCGTCTTCTGGGTAGCTGGAGGAGCATGGTAGTGGTGGTGGACGTGAAGCTCCGAAGCAGTCGCTCTGCGCATTTCCTCCTTAAGATGCGGACGAGTAGGTTGCGGCGTAGGCTGCGCAATGTCTGCCTCTTCGACGATCGGCTGGTGGACTGAAAGCTGTTTTCGTAAGGTCTCCACTTCCTCGTTAGATGTTTGCAACATGTCGCGCAGCTCAACGATACCCATCTGGAGGTTCGCATTGTCTTGCAAAATGTCCTTGACAAAGTGCGACACCACATTGGGCGAGCTTGAGTCGTTGGCTCCTGATTTCAACGCTGCAGCACCCTTGAGCCTTCCGGCCGCGGAGTCCAACTCTTTCTCCACAGCATATTTCCGTTCCATACGTTGAATAACCTCCACATGCCGTTCTTTCTCTTCCTTTGCTTCACGCTCGATTCGTTCCATTTCCTCCTGCAAACCAGACAACGTCCGCTCCGCTTGCTGCCATCTCTTGATTGCGAATTTCTCGGAAGATTCCTTCTCTTCAATCGTCGCATGCCATGACGCCTGCTCCCTCTCAAACTCCGCCAGCTGTTGCTCTAGCCTCTCCGTCCTGGCAGCCAGACCAGAAAGCCTGTGTAGCTCCTGTTGGGTGGAGCGTAGGGTCGCCTGGAGGTTAATGACCTGAGCGTCTGACTCGGTCACGGTATTGTTCAAAGTCTCGAGCTGGTCCAGGAGGTTTCGGTTCTCCTCGATAGCTGTCGCGTTCTTCTTCTCCAACGTCTGCTTCTCTGACTCCAGCTCTTCGATTTGCGCGGTCATAGCTTTCCGTTCTCGTTCAGAGTCCGCGATGTAGGCTTCATGCCGCACGAGTAGGGCCTGTAGGGAGAACATTAGTGACGATGTTCCCGCATTGTGCTTCGCCGGGAGCGGCGCCATGTTGGGCGTGATTGTAGGGATTCTCCAGGGCAGGCGCGCCTCAGTCGAATGTTCGACGCAAGCAACCAGGGTGAAGGCGACCACGAGCCAAACCGCAACAGCGCGATCCGAGCACGTGGTGGTGTGTTGTCACCTCCCCTCCCCCTTCGGCGCGCCAAGTGCGCAATCAAACGTGGACGTACCTTTCCTAGACTCGCGGCATCGTGTACCGAACGCTCCAGGCCGTCCAACGCGCTCTGGCTGTGCTTGAGGTAAGCGCAGTCGGGGTTGCCGCAGCAGCAGGAGACGCGCGCGTCTGGAATGTGGTGCGAGGCGCTGGGTCGGCTCTGTTCGAAGGTGTCGAGGAATGACTGGATCGCATCGTCGGATCTGCTCACGTCGCCCATGGTTGGCCCGGACGCACTACAGAATGTGTCCTGCGGAAGCTGCGCTCATGGTCTCCGAAACGAAACGCACTGCGCGGTGTGGAGAGGTGTAGGGAAGGGAAGAGAACAATAGCAGCAGGGAAGAAGGTAGTAGGTGCTGGAACTGAGTAAACAGAGACAACCTTGCATGCGCCGCACACCGGCTCCCGCAAGGACGAAGTGGAGTCACTCGGACTCGGAATCTCGGTGGCTGGTGAGTACCGCAGGTTACAGGACGATTCGCTCACGTTCTCCCATTCCGAAGACACCAACTCCTCGATGCCGTTCATCAGATGATGCTCCTTCTCACTACGTCTATCGAAAGTGAATAAGAATGAGATGGGTCCACGCGTCGAGCGCGTTCCTGGAAGATACGGAACGCTAGCGCGCTAGAGGGGGGAAGACCCCTGGGTCTGTATTCAGGAACAAGAGCTCTGTCCCTGCAGGTACGCGATATCAGATATCAGAAATATACGAAGAAATATACGAGTTTCTCCAAGGCATCTCATCGTCGATTCTCTACTCGCCTCCGCCAGAACTCGAGGAAGATGTAGCACGGGCGCACTCGGTGTGAAACGAAAAACAGAGGAGGACATTGGAGTCGGGAGGCAGCATCGAAAGTGCGGCCTGGCTGGCCCTTTTGATGCCATTACGGTACACCATTTTACACTAAAGAGTGTCCTTTCCCTTCTAATCGGGACGCAGGCTCCTTGCCATGCGATAGTGCTAAACGCCGGCCGCCGCGCTATGCAAATCAAATAGGTATCATGGTCATGCAATCATGCTCTCTCAGCTCGTCGTCGGTCCGCTCGCTTGGGTAATGTCCACGGTACCGCACATATGACCTGCCTCGATTGTCAGCAACAAGACCTCCGCCCATGAGACGAGACTGTCGCAACGACTCACCTCTCCTTCGCCATATGCCCAGAGGTACACTACCATCCCGATGAAATAATACAACGCGGGATTGGTTGCCTGGTACAACAATATGCTCGTCAGGCTAGCCAGCGGTAACCACATCAATCGCACTTCCAAGCTCCGCTGTATCGACGTGCCGGCAACGTATTTGAGTGGCCATTCGTACGCTAGCGATATGAATGCGACGACCAGGTTGATGACCTGAAGAATCGGTACCGGCTTCACGGCGCCATCAAAGTTCTTGGTGAGGAAGTCGAAGAAGAATTTGGGCCAGAAGAAGCCTTCTAACGCCGCGGCAACTTGATCTGTCCCACCATACCGTCAGTTGGCACCGTCGACTTGATGAGAGTCGTGGGCGACTTACATGTTGCGGCCGTCAAGCAGATCAGACGAGCCCAGTGGTTCTTGATCAGCTTGCCCATGCTGCGCGAGCACTCTCAACGCGATGCGCGGTATGGAGGTGACGCTGCACTACCGAAGGGGTCGCATGATCCAGGAAGACAGTTGAGACAGGGCCAGAAGGATAGGTAAGTATTCCAGGTGACGAGCGCTCTGAATCGTGACAACACTGACAGCGGTTCGCAGGGTGTTGGCAGACAGTCCAGAACTTGTCTGGCACACCACACAGACGGGAAAGAAGGAACAGAGAAGTGATAGTGGAAGCAACCACCTACGCCACCAAAGTTCCATTGCGTCTCCCAAGGCGGAGTAACATGAGCGATGGAGTGAGCTCTCCACTGCATGACCTGCCGATTATCCCAGATGGGATGCGTGGCAGATGCGGTGAAAGCGCTTGCAGCACGAAGAGAACGTTAAGCGCCCAGGGTGTGACGAATGAAGTCGTTCGCGAGTCGGTTTGCAAAGATGATTGGACGGAGCCTGCTCCCTCGTCTCTGCGGAGAAGACGTCCAAGCACCCCTTCGCATATCGCAAGGCTCCTGCTGAACAACATCCATACAATCTGGCGAAAGCGGGATGCTATAGGCAACTTTGACCTTTCAATTCCCAAGCTTTTGGAAGCAACCGTCTGGTTAAAACATCACTACTGCGATTGAACGGCACAGCAAAAGGCATGTGAAGGGGACTGCAACACATGGCCAAGCTTCCACCCTCTGCAAGTCTGCCAAAGAAACTCCGATGGTATGTGGCCTATCAGCTTTCACATGGGCGCCAAGATGCAGCACTAGCGCGGGCGGCTAGAGGAGGACGATGCGGATCGCCCCGCTCGACTGCAGGCACGCCGTACAGCAATTCTGAGAGGCTGGAACCAATCTTTCTACTGCTGTAGTCCGTTGCGAGATCTGCGAAGTTTCCACTTGGTAGGTGCCGGTCACGCATGGTCTCCACGACTCGGCAAGCTGGGGTTCTGGGACGATCGTTTAGCGCTATTGGAACGCCTTGTGTTTTCTGTGCGCGATGGAGAAGGTTGGTCCACGATTTTTCGTTAGATACTTCGATTGTGTGATACCTGTGCTTGAGGCTTTGGGTGTTTTCTCGTCCTGAGACTGCTTCGTTTCTTGAAGTGAAAAGGTGCAAGAGAAGAAAAGGATAGCCCCCTTCGATCCTCACAAGACGGCGCGATGCGACCACAATAGCCCCGAACGATTCTGGACATCAGTATAGCTGCCGGCCAGCATTCCGACCATCTAGAAAGCTCCTCCACGGATTCAAACCCACCATGGCCGTCCCCAAACAACGGTCCTGGCTAGCAGCACAATTCACGGCTCGAAAAGTCACCTTCTACACTCTCTTCCACGGCCTGCACATTCTCATCTTCATCATCGGATGGTACGTCCAGGCCAAGAACGAGAAACTCGCCGCGCTCAACGGTCTCGAATTCTCCGTCTGGTTCTCGCGAGGAGCAGGACTATGCCTCTCCGTCGACACGATGATCATCCTGCTGCCCATGTGCCGCAACATCCTCAAAGTAATCCGACCGAAAATCCGATGGTTGCCGCTCGACGAGAGTCAATGGTTCCATCGACAAGTGGCGTATAGCATGTTGATCTGGACGACGGTGCACGTCGCCGCGCATTATGTCAATTTCTTCAATGTCGAGCGGAGCCAGGTGCGAAAAGAGGCGGCCGTTCAGATCCACTATACACAGGCGGGAGGGATCACGGGGCACGTCATGTTGCTCTGCATGTTGTTGATGTACACGACGGCGCATCACAAGATTCGGCAGCAGAGCTACGAGACGTTTTGGTATACGCATCATCTGTTCGTGCCATTCTTCTTGGCGATGTACACGCATGCGACGGGATGCTTTGTCAGAGACTCGGTGAAGCCGTATAGTCCCTTCGCGGGCAGAGGCTTCTGGGATCATTGTATTGGATATGAAGGCTGGCGATGGGAACTGGTTGGCGGAGGCTTGTATCTGCTCGAAAGGCTGTATCGCGAGGTCCGGGCAAGGCGGCAGACGGAGATCATCAAGGTCGTCAGACATCCGTATGGTAAGTTGTTGGTCGCAAGTGTGGGCCGGACAAGGCACCGACTGACTGGTGACAGACGCCGTGGAGATTCAATTCCGCAAACCCAGCATGCGCTACAAAGCCGGTCAGTGGCTCTTCATCAACGTCCCCAACGTCAGCCGAAACCAATGGCACCCTTTCACAATCACCTCCTGCCCATTCGACCCGTACATCAGCGTCCACGTTCGACAAGTAGGCGACTTCACCCGATCTCTCGCGAACGCCCTTGGAGCCGGTCCAGAGCAGCAAAAGCTCTACGACGAGCTAGACCCGATGGGGATGTACGAGGTCGCCCTCCAAAACGGCCAGGAAATGCCAAAGCTGCGCATAGATGGGCCCTACGGAGCTCCAGCCGAGGATGTCTTCGACAATGAGATTGCAATCCTGATCGGGACGGGAATCGGCGTGACGCCGTGGGCGTCTATCCTCAAGAATATCTGGCACATGCGTCTTTCGCCAAACCCGCCCAAGAGATTAAAGCGTGTCGAATTCATCTGGGTGTGCAAGGACACAACTTCGTTCGAGTGGTTCCAGGCACTGCTCTTCAGCTTAGAGGAGCAGAGTATGGCCATGACCGGTGCTGGAGACCATCATGAATTCTTGCGCATTCACACCTATCTCACGCAAAAGATGGATGCGGATACCGCGCAGAATATCGTTCTCAACTCCGTGGGAGCGGACAAGGATCCATTGACGGAGTTGTCGAGCAGAACAAACTTCGGTCGACCAGATTTCCCGCGTCTTCTCGTTGGGATGCGAGAAGGTATTCTGAACCAGACATACATCGCCGGCTTAGATCGAGGCGGAAGAACAGACGTCGGAGTATACGTCTGCGGTCCCAGTGTGGCGGCTCGAGATATCAGAAAGGCCTGCAAAGAGGCCACTGTGAAGAATGTCAACTTCCGGTTTTGGAAGGAACATTTCTAAAACCCCTCGTGAACGATGGCATGGATATTATAGCGTTTGGCGCTCTCGGCGTTTTGAGATAGATACCATGCACAGCGGGACGTCTTGTGAGAGATGGATATCATCATGAGTATATGTACAGTCGACAGTATACCAGCATTTTCCAAAGCATGCCCTCTCCCTGTGCGCATATCCGGAACGCCTTGCCGTGAAATTATACATTGACAAGTCTGACGACAGCAGAAAACTTCGGAAAAGTTCGCTGCGCTTCGCCTTGTGCAGTATCTTCTTTTACCCCAGAAGTCCTTCATCAAGACCGTCAGTATCCTCCACCCTCATCTTCGTTGTGGGATCTCTTCTTCTCTTCACGACCCAAATATACCGCCTCCCACGCCACCGCCCTGTTTCTGTGCTGCCTCTCCCTGCATCTTTTCTGAAACCTTGATGTTGACCTCGAAGAACTTGGCGACGCAACGATCGAGGCAGACGGATTCGCCCTTGTTCAAGTCGGCTTCGCGGTACTCTGGTGGGATGCATTTCTTCGTGCAGGTGTCAACTAATCTAGATTGCAGGTTTTCAGCGCCTTGCTCTGATGAGATCCGAGGATTCGAAGAGCGTACTGGTTGAACATGTTCGAAACCATCTCGATCTCTGCCTCTGCTGCTGCGATCTTTTCCGCCGATGAAGGCTGCGGCCTGCCGAATCCGAAGAGAGACATCTTTTCCAGGTTCTTGTTCCGGTTGGCTTGGGTGTTCAGAAGTGAATGTGGATCGTTGAGCTGGTGATGGAGGGTGGATCGAAGGGATGTTCACGTGTAGTGCAGTCTCGTGCTTGGACTGAAGGTCAAGTCTCAAGGTTGAGCTTGGACCAACGGCGAAACACTGACAGGAAGCAAGATCCAGTGACATCGACACTTCACGTCTTCTCCTCATCATTCCATCTCCTCTCTCTTTCTTTCCTCTCCATTTGGCCCGCTTCCATCTCTATTATACCAATGGACGTCCCAAGCGTCTCGAGTGAGCATGACCCGGCCAGATACCTTGGCAAGGGAGATTTCACCTCCTCCGTTAAGAAAGAACTCTACAGCAATCGACAGCCGTCATCTCCCTGAGGAACATAGTCGTACTGGTTCTGGGGATCCTAGTTTGGCCGCTGTCGAGGCTGGAGAAGTTAATATCAGAGACCACCTGGATTACTTCGTGAATCATCTCTCAGCGGCCTCGAGACCAACCAACGGCCCGCGAATCAGCTTTGACGACTTTGGAGACCTATACAAACGGAATCAGCATGCGCGAGGGCATCATTTCGTTGTGCATCAACACGACCATCCCATCTCAGGTACAGCTAGGCCGTCTCTCAAGAGTCTGTCACGTAAGCTAATGCAGGTAAGGTGTGCACTATGACTTGAGACTACAGTTCTCCGAGACAAGCTCTATCAGCTTTGCTGTGCCATACGGCCTGCCTGGCAACCCTAATTCAATCAGACCGAACAGGATGGCTATCGAGACCAGAGTTCATAACCTCTGGAACCATCTGATTGAATCGGCCTCGCACGCAACTGGCTCGCTACTCATTTGGGACATTGGCGAATATGAAGTTATGTCACGACAGCAGAAACGCGAGGAGATGACCGACGACGAACTCTCGGACGTCGACATTGACCAAGAACAAAGTACAATCTCTGAAAGCGGTAAGCTGTTTAAGGCGTTCCAATCTCGGCACATTCGTCTGCGCCTGCACGGTACCAAGTTGCCTCAAGACTATACAATTGCCCTGAGGCTGCCCTCTGCTAATAACAGAGCCGCACAACCTGAGAGGCCGAGCCGTAAGCGGAGGCGTGTAGATCCGACAAAGGCTGCGAAGAGATCGGCAAGCCTCATCAACAGCGACTCGGAAGAGGCAGAAGATGTTAGCACGTCAATTGGAGAGACTGAATACGCTGGAACCGAGGGAGGCGACCTTGCTACAGGAATTGCTTCTGAAGACGAAGAAGATGCGACAATCCGCGCCAACAATGCGTATCCTGGTTCATCAAACACCATCGGCTCGATACATCAGCGACATTGGTTTCTAACGCTCGATCGGGCATACTCGGGGTTCCACAAAGTGCGTGCAGGATCTGATGCTGGCTGCTGGGTGGGCAACTGGGAGGCCTTCTACGTTCAAGGACGAGACCACGAGCGCAGCGTCGTAACGGGTCGCACAGCAGACGACATCATGGCCGACGAAGCAGTCGAGAAATTCGTCGGGAGAAAGATGTGGCGGCCCATCACAGAGTGACGTTGCGATATTGATTCCATGGAAGCATCCCGTGCTTTCATCCCAACCCGCGCGCCAAGCTCCACTCCAGCCACCCAGAGCTCTCCCATGACCTCAATCACCCCAGTATGCACTTCTGGTCAAAAGAGAAGGCTACCCCGATCAGGTAGTATTGGCCTCCTCGAATTTTTGATCGACGCGGCGCAAAATAACAAGTTCCCCAATACTACTCCTAACCGATCTGCAAAAATCGAGGGGAAGTGTAGAATCGATTTCTGATCGATCCCACTGGCAATTATGGCCGAGTAGCAGCTTGTCCACGCGCAAAGGAGTCCATTCTCCCGGTGTAACTGCTGCACCAAGGACTTTGGGATCTGACCCGACCAAACTGGTCGGCGATGTCGAGTAAGCATAATTAGACCACTCTTTGTGGTTTTGACCCTTTTCTCCCCCTAAGAGACACCCGATGAAAAGCAAAATATATAGCCTAAAATGTGAAAGTGACTATCTTAGATGCGCTCACGAATAGCGGCCTGTATGCTGCAATATTGCGCTGCAAAACTTTCTTGGACCATCGCGAAGCAGCATGTGAAGCCCTTGAGGCCTCTTCTATGCCCTGAATATCGTTCTTTGCGGCATCTGCATCTCTACTACCTGCAAAGCTGCCTGACATCGGAGGCCTCCCACACAAGATAGGGGAACAAAGTTCATCTTGGTTAGAACATCATTTCATTTCTTGCAGTCGTAGCGTAGCATATAATGTATACAAAGAAGGCAAATCTGCTGTCCCATGTTCCAACTCCCTCACAGCCCGGACTAAGCCTTCATCATATGCTCCAGTCTGATCTCAACGGCCCGTCGGTGTGCTTCTAGCTCTTCTACCTTCGCAAGCTGCATCACGGCCTTTCCGACGTTCTTCAACCCCTCTGCAGTCAAATTCGAACTCGTGATGTGCTTGACGTAACTGCCCAGGTTGACGCCAGAGTATTGCTTTGCGTAGCCGTACGTGGGTAAACTGTGGTTTACTCCAGCCGAGTAGTCGCCCACGCTTTCAGGAGTCCATTGACCACAGAATACGGAGCCGGCGTTTTGGACCATCTCGCGCACCGCGAGGGGGTCTTCAACTTGCAAAATCAGGTGCTCTGGCGCATACTGGTTGCTCAGGTGCATTGCTTCGCCGAGGTCTTTCACAACAAGCATGACAGAGTGTTCGATGGCGCCGCGGACCATATCGACACGAGGAAGAGCCATGGCTTGCTTGTGCAGTTCATCTTCAATGGCCTTCACCTGCGACTCGTCCAAGTCCACCGCGATGCACACGACCTGTGAGTCCACTCCGTGCTCTGCCTGCGAGAGCAAATCAGAAGCCACAAAAGCCGGATTCGCCGTTTTATCCGCAATGACTAGGACCTCAGAAGGTCCAGCAGGCATATCGATGCTAACATTGGCAGTCGTATCATTACTAACAATCATCTTCGCGGCTGTAACGAACTGATTGCCGGGACCGAGTATTTTGTCGACCTTGCTCACGTTTTCGGTTCCGTATGCCATGGCCGCAACAGCCTGTCCACCACCTGCAAGCACAATACTCTCGGCTCCGACCTTGTGTGCGACGTAGACAATTTCTGGCGTCAGCTTGCCATCGGAGCGGGGTGGTGATGCGATGACTATGCGCTTGCAGCCTGCTACCATGGCTGGTACTCCGAGCATAAGCGCAGTGGAGGGCAGCACTGCTGTGCCACCCGGGACGTACAGACCCACGCTTTCGATTGGCCGTGCGAAGCGCGAGCATACCACACCTGGCATGGTCTCCACCTCTAGAGGTCGGTCTTCCTTCTGGGCTGCATGGAACTTGCGAATGTTTTCGTACGATACGTCGATTGCTTCGACCGTCTCTGGTGGGAGCTGCATTAAGCTCTCTGGGAAGGGAGCTTTCAGAACAGGTGAAGTTAACGACGTGGCCTTTTCGAACTTGTGCGTGTATTCCAGTAGAGCTCTATCGCCACGCTCACGAACATCTTTGATGATCGGGTTGACGATGCCCATGATCTTCTCGGTCGAGCGTTGCGAAGGTCTCTTTAGGGCTTCCTGGATCGTTTCAGGGGATTCTTGGGCAGTCACATATCGGTGCATCTGAATGCGGCCGTCTTTGGTCAGGCCGGCTGGATCATCTTTGCTCTTTGGCTTCGACTCGGCTTCCTTGACCTCCTGCTTGGTCGCGCCATTCGTGGCTGCTGAGCGATTGACGCCGAACTTCTCCGCGTACGGACCCTTCGCATCGCCCTTCCGCCGTTTCACCTTGACGCTCTTCGCGTCCAGATTTCGTTCGATGTCCTCAAGCGAGACACCAGCCGCAGTCGCTTTTGTCAGAGCGAAGTAGAGCACGTCAGCAGCTTCCGCTGCAATATCCTCCTTCGACTGTGCTTCACAAAGCTCTGCGGCTTCCTCCATAATTTTGGCACTGAGCATTTTGGAGTCGCTGAAAAGGCGCGCGGTATATGATCCCTCAGGTGCTGATCGCTTTCGGCTTTGCAGAGTCTTTTGTAGTTTGGACAGTCCTCGATACTGGCCAAAGCATGTCGCCGTCTGAAGGTGACAGAATCCGTGACCCTGTTGTCTTACAGTGAAGCAGAGACAGTCCTGGTCGCAGTCCGCCTCTATGCGCACAAGCTCTTGCCAATCTCCACTTGTATCGCCTTTCCGCCATAATCCACGCTTTCTGCTGTGATATACACCGCGCCCAGAACGTAGGCTCTCTGCAACGCTTTCCTCATTGCTGTATACCAGTCCCAGTGCAACTCCACGCTCGTCTGTGACCAAAGTGGTGAGGAGTCCGTCTGGTCGATCGCTCTTCGCCTGAGCAAGTAGAAGAGGGGCGACACGGATTTGATCCGCCGCCGGCTCGGCATTGATCGAGAGCAGTTGCGCAGGAATGATTGGGACAGCGTCTTGCTTGCACAATTCGACTGCCTCCTGCTCCGTGATCGATGTCTTGGAGACGTATACAGGTGGTCGGTTCTTGCCAAGCTCTTGTAGAATTGTGCTCACAGCATTCACGCTGCCGACGTTTTGTAGGAAGAGTCCAAAGGTCGTGCCCTCAAGGGCACTGGCTGCGTCTCCCACGGAAGCGGTAGGGTGATATACGATGCGACTGAGATCGAGGTTCGGGACGTCCTTGAGGATAACTGCTTGCTGGCTACTAACGAACACTTTCGCGGCGCCAGCATCCAGCAGATCAATGACATCCTGCTGCGATTCGATCGCCGAAACGTCCAGATACACCGAGTAACGGCCGACAGTATCTTTGAGCAGACCCAATGCTGTGTCTACATTCGAAGTCGTCACTTGAGCGACGAGTCCGCCGGCGTATGCGAGTTGTTTGGAGCTTGCGATCTGATCCAGTCCAGAGTAGCTGCTCAGGTCAATGGCCGCCAGATACGGCGGAGATCTTTCTGGAGCCGCCATGGCCATGTCAATTGTCTTTCACTTCGGTGAACAATCCTAAGATTCGGACAGAAAGTAGCAAGTCAAAGCAAAAAAGTTTCGAGGGTGACTGTTTCAACAAATGCTCTAGAAGCTGGCCCCACCTTCAGTCATCATCGTGCTCCTTTGTGGCTTCGCAAGTGAAACCCGTGGACCCTTCCTCCTCCCCCACCGACAACAATATCACCAGCATGACACCCCCATCACGGCCACGCTAGATCGTCCGGCAGCATGGCGTCCTCCTTCTTAATATGCGCGCGTTCAGGGCCACTCGAGATGGCCTGCGATCTCGATGCGATCCGACCCTGAGCACGCGAACCGGCGCATTCAGATCGCAATCCATCAGAGCGTCTCCATTCAATTGGCAAAACACAGTACAGCGGCACCGACCTTGCAATGACTGCGTCTACAAGCGACTGGTGTTGCAAAGGCGAACTTTCATCACCGATGGCCTGCCTGCATTCCTGGTACCCCCAGTCATCTTCACGAGTCTTCTCGTTGGGCTGTGGACATACAAGTGTATGATGACGGTCCTATTCCAAGACCGTATTATCTACATGCCATACATGCCGCCATTTGCACGCTCTGAAAAAATGAAGGATTACACTGCTGTCTGCAAGCCCGTTGAGTGGGAGCATACGCACATCAAATCACTGGATGGCACGAGAATCGCACTTTGTGTAGGCGAGATACCAGCGAATCAAGCTGAGCAAATCGCACAAGATCGTAAGAGGAAGCATGTGATCATATGCTATTTCCAGGGCAATGGCAGTTCTCTGCCTCCAAGACTGCCTCTCATGTCCAACGTGCTCAAGTCCATCAAAGCACAAGTTTCAGCTTCGTCTGAAGCAGTCAGATATACTCTCGTCGCCTTATCGTACCGTGGCTATTGGACTTCATCGGGTCGCGCTTCGCAGAGCGGTATTGAGCTCGATGCCCAGGCAATGCTTCGTTGGATCAATGCAACTTATAGAAGTCCCAACACAGACCTTGAATTGATTCTGTGGGGTCAGAGCATTGGCGCTGGCGTTGCGTCTACCGCAGCTGCAGCTTATATCAAGGCCATTCAGAAGGATCCGCTCAGCCCAATTGCTGGCATCGTCTTGGAGACACCCTTCTCGGGGATAAAGAGCATGCTCTTGGCGCTCTATCCGCAGAAATGGCTACCTTACCGTTATCTCTGGCCGTTCTTGTGGAATCATTGGGACAGTGAAATTGCATTACGAGGAATTGCAAACACCGGCCACAAGCCGATGGTACTACTTCTGCCGGCTACAAGAGATGAGGTGGTGCCGCACTGCGAGGCCGACAAGCTTGAAGCGATCTGTCGCGATGCTGGGCTCCCGACTGAGAGAAGAGACATCATAGGCGCCCTTCACACTGAAGCCACTACCAGGCGAGAGGGACAAGATGCCGTAGCAAGATTCATCGTGGAATGTGCAGCGTCGCGCTGAGATATTGCAGATACGGGAGAGCCCATGAGCCTTTGCAAAGGCAGCAGCGAACATATCTCGTAAGCATTCGATGAAAAGCGGGGACAAGCCCGTTAGAAATCAGATCAAGTTATCTCCTTGCTAGCATGTATGAAACTCTAACATGAGCGTACTGTAAATGGTATATAAAGGGGTCTTTCCCCGCATGAATCCTTCTATTACTCCTCAACAATCATTCGACCATGCCACGTGATCTTTCAACTTAGTAACAGATTACATAATGCTTTCGTCTCTAACCCACTGAGAAATGCTGTTATTATGGAGAGATGGTAGAGGCTTCCGGGAGAGGTAGACGGAAAGAGGAAGAGGACAAAGGTGCGCGCCTCTCCTAGGGTCCAGTGTTAGCATTGGCCGGAGTCTTATTAAAACACGCTATTCCTTGGAGCAGAGACTCTACTCCTCACTGATTCTTCACTCAAACGCTTCCCGTGCTTATGAGTGCAAGGAGTGGTCTATGGGCTCGGACAACTTCTGCTGTCTTTGAATTTTGAATTGAAAGAAGCAACATCTCAGACAACTAGAGGCTATACGGTCCTTGAAACTCACTTTGGCCATTCAAAGGAGCTTTGCCTGCTTTACTCGCCAATATACGGTCAAAGACATAGTAGTACACGGGTTACTACACATAGGTTTTCCCTGCAAACGACGCAACCCGGATCCCGACCTGGATCTTGGGCATTGGTGATCCTTCTGGACGCGTTTGCGCAAAGGTACGTTCGCTTCTGCTTCACTTTGCACAGAGCACTTCATTGATAAAGAGACAGCTTCTGCATGAGCTCTGGCCATATTTATCCTAAAAGTGACGCCGGAACGCGACTGCCTTCAAAACACCTTGACGCGCTCCTTCCCAATTGAGATATTGTCTGTAGGCAACGTCACGTCACGCCCACCAAACAAACAAACACAGCCTTGAACAGCTATTCAAAACCAAGGCTTCTCATCTCTGAGCATCAATTGCAAACTTCAAACTTCAAATCACAAAAAGCAAAGACAGTATCTGTTCGTCTACCTAGCCAGTATGGGTAACGAGCATTCCATCCCTTCCAGTTCTGTCGAGGACGGACGTGAAGAGGGTCGAAGAAGATGGGCACAGGGGCGGCTGAACAACCCGAGACTCGAGAATGACAAGCAAGAGGCTCTAGAAGCCGGGCGGCTTGCTGCTGAAGAGCACAATCATATGCAAGCCGAAGAAGATGCTAGAAAGAAATCTGAGGAGCATGCGAGGAAAGAGACTGAGAAAGAGGCTGCCGCAAAAGCTACGCGTGAGAAAGCTGCGCGTGAGAAGCAGCAGCTTCAAATGAAGCTAGAAAAACAAGCAAAGGAAAATGAGCAAGCACAGAAGCGGCTCAAAGAGGCCGAACTCGCCAAGCAAGCTGAGATGAGGAAGAAATTGGCTACTCGAGAGCGGCCGAGTGAGGCGATTCCTCGGCAGCCGGCAAAGCAAATACCAAATGCTCCGTCAGGTCCTTCCGCCGGGCTCAAAAGCGGCGGCAGCAAACTGTCCGACTCAAATCCGCTACAGGACTGGCGTCCGAGGAAGCAGCCTGCGAGCAAGGACGCAGAACCTGACCGAGTGGACAATCAATCGCATCAAGGAAGAAGCCAAGCAGAATCTTCGAGACAGACAGAAGTCAGGCTGCCAGAACCATCGCGGCGGGACTCACAGCCACGCGTGGACAGTCCACTCTCTGCCTCTTCCAATGGAAATGCCAGGAATAGTCTCGCAACTCATAGCAGCACGCGGACTGCATCGGTGAGCACCAGCTCGAACTTTTCAGAGACGGGTAGCAACGCGACAACGGCTGGCATCCCAGTTAAAAGGAAGGCCTCAGATGCCTCAAATTCGGATCGTGAGCCAACCAATTCGATTGGGAGAATCCCCAAGAAGCCAAGAACTCCCATGTCTGCGTCTCAGTCACCGCAGTCACCTCCCGACGGCACGAGCCCTTCTATTGACGAACGATTGAACGGTCCAGCATGGTATCAAGATATCCATCTTCCTAAAGAGAAGAGCCGAAAAGGCACTTACGATGGCGGCACTGCCACCATTCTAGAGAAACTGAAGACACAAATCACCCGCGCAAAAGAAGCATACCAGAAACGTGGAAATGTCAATCACCACTTCCAAGATGCACGGACCTTTGTGCACCAGCTCTGCTTCCAAAGTGTCAACGAGAAGCTTTTGAAGCAGTACAGAATGCTGCACGGGAACAACGGCCTGCCCCAGATCTTTGACAGCGCTTTCTCAGGCGGCGTGCAGTGGCCGTTTGACATCAAATCAGATGCAGAAGAGCTGTACAATAAGTGGTGCCGGCAAGACTTTGACACCGATCTCATGCGAGGCATCAAGGTCGGAAAAGCAGCGGATCGCAGTACCGACTCGATCGACAAGAGGTACGAGAACAGAGTCGACTCCCATTTTCATGGAAACGGAAAGCTACTTAACGGACAATGGTGGCCAACCCAGCTCACTGCTCTACGTGACGGCGCACACGGTGAATCGCAAGGTGGCATCTGCGGAAGCCTGGCAAAAGGCGCTTATTCGGTCATCATGTCGCGCGGTCCACAATACAATAACGAGGATTATGGAGACGTGGTCCTTTACTGCGGTACGGATAGCTCGAAGGAAGACGAAGTGACTGACAATACGCAATGTCTTCTCAAGAACCTCGAGAACAAAGAGCCCGTTCGTCTGATCCGCTCGAGCCAGATGACTATCAAGGAATGGGCACCACAGATTGGATTTCGATATGACGGATTGTACGACGTGAAAGAAGTCGAGCGGCACCAAGCACCGCAAGGCTTTTACCAGCGGCATCGCTTCAGACTTGTTCGACGTGCTGGACAGGATGCCATCCGTGGAGGAACCGGACCGGAGGCACGGCCCACCATGGACGAAATCGAGGCTTTCGAAAAGCACAAGTTTCTAGCACGTGGAAAGGGCAGTTAGAAGCACTGCGTCGAATGACGGTGATCTTCACTTCGGCGTTGACACATGTATGGAGCTAGCACGGCAAAGCTGTTAATGTGGTTGTGTACGGCTACAATATGTCGGCATGGGCCTCGCTGACAGCCGGAGCGGCACATGTCAGCGGCCCAAGCCTGACAGATGGAGATTATGGCGGGTCAAGAAGCTTATATTTCAACGATTCCATAGCTATGACTGTATAACTTCATCCAAAACCTTGACATAGCCTGTGATCTCTTCCACTGGTGCACTGTCAGCTCATTTTTTGGTCTTCACATGTCTATTCGCGGTTTCACTCACCTGTGTTATAATGCAGCAAACTGACTCTCACCACACCATCCATGGGATCTAGTCCAAGCACTTCCTTCACAAGCCGATTGGAATAGAACGAGCCCCAACGACATGCAAAGTCGCTCTTTGCTTCAATCGCATCTACAACATCTTTGCTCTTCCTGCCTTTCGCCGTGAAGCTGATCACGGGCACCCGCTTCTCTCGATCAGCAACAGGCTCTCCCAAGATGCGAAAGACTTCCGGTTTGGAATTCAGATAGTCAATGAGAATAGCCTGCAAGTTCTCTTCATGCTTCGCACTCTCTTCCCAAGGAATGCCTGCTAAGTAGTCGCATACCTTTGGAATCGAAGCGGTGAGCTCGTAGTTTGCGGCGGCTAAGCCCAGAAGGTTCTCTAGACCGTCTGTTGGTTTGAAGAAATGGCCTAGAGTCCGGAGGTGCTTGTGAGCGGATTTGGAGGCGTACATGGAAGCAATATGTGGGCCGTAGAGTTTGTACCATGAGAAGGAATAAAAGTCGACGTCCCAGTCTGTTACGTCGATTGCTCGGTGAGGGGCGTATGCCACCGCGTCAACACATAGGAGAGCCCCTGGGACTTCGTGGACGGTTTTCGCGATGGCTTTGACGTTGTTGATGGTGCCGAGGATATTCGAGGTGTGGGTGCAGCAGACCAGTTTTGTCTTATCAGTCATGAGTTTCCGCAAGACGTTGCAATCTAGTTGGGGATTCTGTTTGTCTTCGGCATTCCACCATTTCAGGGTACACTGTCTCCATTCTGCAAGTTGGACCCAGGAGGCGATGTTGGCTTCATGATCTAGCAAAGACACGATGATCTCTGAGCCCGGAGTGATGTACTCATACAGTGAGAGAGACAGATTTCGGAACAGCTGCGTTGTGGAAGGGCCGAGGACTACGCAATCGGGAGTTGTGTTAATGTACTTGGCGACTGCCGCACATCCTTGCTCGAATAGATCGGTTGATGCCTGGGAGACGGGATAACTGGCTCCGAGCTGGACGTTGTTGGAGGTCAGGTATGCTACAATGCTATTCGTGTGAGGTCAGAGCGGTGGTTTGGGATACGAATGGGGAGCTGTACGAATCGATGACTGCCTTCAGGACCTGGCTTCCTCCAGCGTTGTCAAAAAACACCTGTTTCTGCTGCAGAGCTGGAAAGTGACTGCGAATCTCCGCTACGTCTAGGGCAGGCATGATGGGTTGAGAATCGATGAAAGGTAGGATACTCAATGTAGTTGGGAAAAAGAACAGGGCTGTTGCGCTCTCGCCGGCGAATACTTGGCCGAAGATACATGTTGTCGGCTTTGATAAGTGGGTCCCTGTTCGACCTGCCTAATCAGATGGGCGGGGGAGATCCATCCATCACAGTCCGGAGGCTAGACTCCTACTTCCATGTGCGGCTCTGGTGGTAATATCCTGTAGAGTTCATTCTCCCGGATGCTACGACGCCTTGGAGCGAGGGCCGTTCCAGCCATGGAAATCTCGCTACGCACGTCTTGAGGATCTTGCCGTGTGCTTCGGCAATGGATCTGTCTCATTGCGGTAAACAAGTCGAACGGCGCGTCGTGGCATATTCAGGTCAGTGCATTGCCTACGGAAGACGGGCACAATGCGACGCGAAGCTTAGCGAAGGATGCCGCATGTGCTTTCACAAGATAAGGTAGTAGAGAGGTAGATACGCGAACATGTTTGCCAAGCTTCTTAGCGCAAACCCAAACGCCGTGACGTCAAGGGTCATGGGAAGTGAATGGTGCTTGATGCAAACGAGATGGTAGCATGTGGATCGTGACTGGTTGAACATTCACCATGTCGCCTAGCCACCTGCAACAACACCTTGCTTCCCTCTTGTACCATCCACTTACAACGCCCACGCCCCATCCGCAAGTCTTCGAGTTCGGATAACCAATCTGAACCTCTCCGCCACCATCACTCCGCCACATTCTCCGCTCGCGCAATATATCGTGCATCTGCCGCCAACATGACGCGCAACTGGCGCTCTCGGCCGCAGCTGACGGAGTCTTGGGATGACATGGAAGACAGCGCCGAGGACAAAAGCGAGATCTACGACGAAGACGAGGAGCGGGACGAGATGGGAGAAGAGTATCGCCCACGCGCGAACGGCATGAAGGCTTCCATGGGAGACAGTCGCGACTTGCGGCGCCGCAGCCTGAGATCATCGGTCGAGTCAGAGTTGGTTATGCCGTCTTCCCCTGATGCCAGCCCGAACAGAGCATCCAGCGAACAGCGCGCATCAACGCCGCACATGCGCTTGAACCAACGATCCATGACAAGCGACGCCGGCGAGTTGCGTAGGAAGACGAGATCTTCGAATCTACGCGCGAGAGGTCTCGATCGCTCTACCACGAGTGACGCCGGCCGCTTCCGTTCCTCGCGCCTTGTCCAGCACGACGACGCAGATTACGAATCCGACGAAGAGAGTGCAACACAATCAGGGAGCGTACTATGGCAGCGCATACTTCGTCCAGCACTTGGATACTTTGCTAGCGTCGCAGGCTTGGTCATGCAGAACCTGAAGCCTATTCTCGCATACGGACTGCTCCTCTACCTCGTGGCAGCAGCGCTGGTATTCGGCGCAGGCTTCCTGACCAACAGCATTACCAACGCTCTGAGCCCCCTTTGCCGACTTCCTTTCACGTCGAATTTGGCCTTCTGCCCTTCGCCGCAGTCGCCAGAGCTGAAGGGAAACGCAGAATTCGACAAGCTCGTGCAGGCTCAAGATGCATTCCAAGATGTGTTGGCGGGCACTACATCTGGTTCTCAGCTCCCTCTGGCCATGAAGCGAGGTGAAGCCAGCATCCGCGATTTGAAGCATGTAGTGCAGTACTCGCATCTGCCCTCAAAGAACGAGCTTGTGTTCGAATTCGGTGGCTTCATCGATACTGCTCGCCAGGCGTCCCAAGACCTGGGCCGCTTCAATTCGCGCATTGGTAGGGCCGTCGATCACATACTCAGCACGAACCGATGGACAATATCTGTTATCGATGGCGTGGAAGCCAACGAGGCTTCGAAGGGCGCAATCTCAAATTGGGTCACCAAGAATTTGAACATCTTCGCTCCTTTCCAACCACTCAGCCTGTCCCGGAACGTACTATTGGACCAGTATCTCCGCCACACTAGCGCGGTTGAGGAACAAATTCTTGGTCTCATCAACGAAGCGCTGGCTCTTCGGGACATTCTGGAGAACTTGGACGGACGCCTAGACGTCATAGCTGGAATAGTGACTCGGGACGACGTGAAGCTCGGAGCCACGAAGGATGAGCTGTTTGCCACTCTTTGGACAAAGCTAGGCGGCAATCGGGCTTCAGTTGCCAAGCTTGAGCAGCAGCTGAAGCTGCTGAACGAGGTGACGCACTATCGCAAGCTGGCTTGGGGCCACGTTACTGCTACGATCCTCAAGTTGCAAGAGATCCAGCACAGCCTTGAGGATCTTCGCGAGCGGGTTGCTCTACCAGAAACTATTGGCACGGCGAAGATTCCGCTCGAGGTCCAAATCGAAGCCATCAACCTTGGAATTGAGCGCTTGGAGAATCAGCGAGATGTTAGCCGCAAGTTGGAGGCAGAGAACTATGCAAGGATTGTTTCAGCCGGGGAGTCCAAGGATAGACATCTCATTGAGAGGTCGAAGGATGCGAAGGAGTTGTGAGAGGTTTAGCTTGACATCGACGATACGGTTGCATGAGTTTACGGATTGGATTTTGTACGATGATACCCATTGACGCCTTTTGATAGCATAAACCGGCGCTGATTGACACACATGACTTGATCGACTCACAAGCTCGTCTTCTTCTGGGCCTCTCGTTCAACTCCTCCTTTCTTCCCAGCCTTCTCGTCATCCGCCACCAGCTTCCAGAATGCCTCCTTCGTCTCTTCTTCGAACTCGCAGAGGTCGAGAACACAGTCGCTGGACAGTTCTGCCAGCAGCTTGAGCGCATTCACCAGCGCCGTTCTCTTCTTCTCCCACAGAACAGGATTCTTCTCATCCTGAAACAAGATCTTGACAGTCCGTAGATGCTTGCAGACGTTCTGCAGATCGTCGAAGAATTGGCTCATGTTCGGCCAAGTACATACGTCTCCATTCTCATACTCTCTATCGCGGAGACGAAGTATAAGGGAAATGTTTCGAATTCGAGCCACATGCTCCAGGTGAGAGCGATGGCGTGGCGTCTGCTTCAACTCTGCTACCTTGACCCGTACTCTGTTCGAGGGCGAATGAACTTGCGTGGCTGCTGGAGACTGCACTCGCAGTAGTTGACAACGTGTCTGCGGAGTGTCATTGTGGTGGGCGCGATAGCGTACGAGTTTGAGAGAGTGTGTTACTGGCGAGTTGAGAATTGTAAACAAAAGGGAAACCCCCCCTCTTCCCAGGGGGTTCATAAACTCCATGAGAGCCAAGGTCGGTGCTGCACGCACCTCTCTGTTGAGCACGTGAATTGCGGAGCCTGCGACTTCTATACCTGTTCATGCAACTAGTCTTCCACAGGCAACCCAACGGCCTCGTAGCTCAGCTTCCACAGCTTCTCCTCCGCCTCAGGGTTGTAAACATGCTCCGCATAGCCATCAGCACCCATAGCGCTATCCTTGGCCACCGGCCCGCATTCACCACATTCCGCAAGATATCTCCCTCCATTTGCAGCCTCAAAATGTGGCGAGGTAGCCGCCCAGACAGTCGTTGCAGCTCCTTGCTCTGGGTTCTTGTAGAGATGTCGAATCTGGTCAAGGTTCATGCCCTGCAAATCTTCAGGCACCAAATGGCGCGACAGATCCGTCTTGATGACTCCTGGATGTAAAGAGAGGGCATGGAGATTCTGATTGCCGTAGTGGCGTTCAATGGAGGAAGCCATGTAGATATTTGCTGTCTTTGACTGTCCGTATGATTTCCATTTTTGGTAGGTTGCGCCGTTGGAGAAGTTGATGTCGTCTAGTAAGACTGGGCTCATCCTGTGGCCGGCTGACGAGACGGCGATGACTCGGGAGCTCATACCTGATTGCTGAGCGGACTCAAGGAGCAGGGGTTTGAGGAGTTGGAAGAGGAGGAAATGTGCGAAGTGGTTTGTTCCGATTTGCAGCTCGAAGCCATCCTTGGTCGTGGAGTAAGGGCAAGCCATGCTGCGAGAGAAGTTAGTGTCGATGCAATAGACGCCTACTGGAGAGTATACTGACACTGCTGCATTGCAGATGAGGATGTTCAACTGAGAAGACCGCTTCTTGAATTCCTCAGCGCCCTTGCGAACGCTCTCAAGGGAGTCGAGGTGGAGTTCTAACACTTCTGGTCGAGGAGCATCTTTAATGGTGGCCTTGGTAACAATGTCGTCGATGATTCCATTGAGCTTGGGAATATCCCGAGCCGTGAGGAACAACTGTGCTCCTGTTTCATAAAGAGCTCGAGCAGTTTCGATTCCGATGCCGGAAGAGCAGCCAGTGACGAGGATGGTCTTCCCTTTCAGCTTGCCGGCGGCCTCATTGTCTTTGATAATTTGAAGGGCCGTTGGTCGAGAATCTCCTGGACCCTTTGTGTCCTTGTGAGCTGCAGCATAAGGTTGGTATGGATTTGTTGGTGCTTGAGACATTTTGTGGTCTTGGTTGGGGATCGACTTCTGAGTGTAGTGGTTGATTTTGTTACTGTCTGAACACGAACAGCGACTTCTGAGACCCTTTTATACGATCTGTCGGACTTTGCAACGCTGATTCTTACGGCCAAGTATACAGGGGAGCTATACGCGTCAGTATCGAAGGTAGGACTCGACGGGGCGATGGTCGGGTAACCCGGAAGTGGATCGCACTTGCCAATCCTGGCCTAGCGCAGCCGAAAGGCCCGCTAAATCCATGATCTCCGACCTCTTGCATGACAACTTCTTTTTCAAGCTGAACTTCAGGCGGTCCAGACATGGCGTTTCAATTTGGATTTGCAAGCAATGGCGCCGACAGCAACGACGATGCCGTCGTCCCAACAAATGATAGTAGCGCGAAGCCTACGCACGTGGTCCCGGCTGGCAAGTCCGTGAAACAGCACAGATTGGAGGACTTGGTAGGTATGGAAGTCTTCACTTTCTCCTTTTCCTTCCATTGCTTCACTTGGCGCAGACAACATCGTCAAAGAATATGTCTCATGCGCAACATGGCAACTACCATGGACCCTTCCGGGCTCAAGCTCCAATTCCATACAGCATGACTGACCAAGCTACCAGGTTTCAACGCTGCCAGAGCGAATCAGCTACAGTACAGTCCGAATAGAATCGCCCCTTGGACGGATAGCGCACATACCACGACGAGAACTTTTCGATGTCCGCATTCAGTTGATGGCAGAGGACTCCTCTGTCAACGATGAAGTGATAGACCAGATAGACAAGTCTGATCTCCGGCCTGGGATATATGAGGGTGGTTTCAAGACATGGGAATGCTCTGTCGACCTTGCCAGCTTACTACTCGACCGTGGTCCTCGCAAAGATATCGACGAGTTAGTACGATGCGACCAGATCGTTGAAGTACGAGTCCCACCCTTCGTCGTTGCGCTCCAAACTGACTTTGAACGCAGCTTGGAGCCGGCACTGCTCTCCCATCCATGATATTGTTCCGCCACGCTATTCAGAATGATATCCACGGCCTCACATTCACATTCGCCGACTACAACGAAGAGGTTTTAAGACTGATTACACTTCCAAACATCATCCTCAACTGGGCAGCAGTCACCGGGTACGGTCAATTAGACGAATCACGACCTGGCTTGACAGAAGAGAGCAAAGGCGAGTTTGAGCTGACGCCAGATGCGATCAGCCAATTCTTGGCGGAGATGAAATTGGAGAACCTCGCGATTAACATGCTCTCTGGACCTTGGTCGTCGACACTCGCAGAGTACATTCCTCCTTCGGCCCCAGAGATGGGCTTGGTAATACTCGCTGCGGAAACAATCTACAGCCCAGAATCAACGGTAGCCTTTGTGTCTCTTCTCTCCATACTACTGAAGAGAGTCAAGATGGCGAAAGCAATGATTGGCGCAAAGCGGATTTACTTTGGAGTTGGAGGTTCTGTGGACGGTTTGAAAGAGGCCTGTCGAGAGGAAGGCGCTGTTGCTTACGAGATCGAGAATCATGGAGTCTCTGGAATGGATGGTGGTGTCGGACGAGCGCTGGTGGAAGTACAGATGTACTGATGACTGAAACGAAATCACGACAAGACAGTCAAGAAGCCGAACTACGATCTCGAGGAACTTCGAAAGGACCTTGGAGTGCAGAGTCGAAGACGAAGCCAGTCGCATGTTGGTCATGTTTCCTCCACCATTTTCCCGCCTCCACGACAGCTAGTTGGACCTTCAAGTGCTGCGGATCGGCGTGCCGAAGGCAACGGAATAATGGAATAAAGTTTGATAGAAGCTTCAGTCCACTTACCGCCAGTAACCGACTATGTTTTCACACTTGCATGTCCCATGTGATGCCGCCGCACTGGACTGCACTCCAAGCGCCGCGCAATACAAGCAGCATGCAAATCCGCACTACACAGTCAGCTGAAGAATGGCTCTGATAGTCGTTGTGTAGTGGGGGGAAAAGCGACATGGGTCGGACGGTTGGATATGTTTCGGGCCGACTCCGCTTCGACCAGCCTCCCCGGATTCAACTTACTAATTAAGCTTTTGGAGATGTTGTGGAGAGCGGCAGACTTCTTCACCTCCTCCTCCACCGTGCGGCGCAATTCTCGCCGTCCACTCCATCCATGCATCCTACTTCATCTGCACGACGGCTTGCACGGACAGCTCGTAGTGCCAAGAGACGGCATTATTACACATGTGGCTTCTCTCTCGGCTGCTTTGTCGGACGCGCCTGCCAATCGTCGCGCCTCATGCGTGTGGAGAAGGCCTGCACGTTTGCCCGCGTTTCGGGTGAAACCAGTCCTTGACTACATCAACGCTATACCAGTTCCTGTCGACACCTCTCGAGTTTCGTTGTCGTGACGGCTGCTTTGGGCAGAGAGCAGCGGGGAGCATACTGATCATCCTCATCATTGCCAGCTTCACCACAGCGCCGCGGACCCTTCGGAAGGCAGAACCGATCTCAACGATCACCTCAGACATGATATATACAGGTGGGTAGCATCCGAGAATGCAGCTTCCACTCCTACGATTTCTCCCTCTTCCCTCCTCCTCCACCTCCCTCTCCGCCTTCGACTACCTGCAAACCGTCGGGGAGCACGCTCAACACAGCATGGCCCGCTTCAGCTGGATGCAAGCATTGCTTGCACTCTCATCTCTGGTACAGGGCCAGCAGAGCACAACATCGGACCTCGCAGACGGACTCACGGCTACCGCATACGGCACCGGCACTTTCACCAACTCCATTGCTACTGCTACGGTCTCGGGGGCTACAAGCATATATTCTATTCCTTTCACCGTCCCAGCCTCTGCTGATGTTGGCCCCAACATCTTGCCAAACATCAAGGATCCAAACGCCAAGCAGGCGCAGGCACTATGTCCTGGATACCGTGCTAGCAACGTCAACCATACCGAGTATGGCTTCACTGCTGAGCTGAACCTTGCCGGACAACCTGTAGGTTGACCCCTGGAAGGACGTGGAATGAACTAGCTGACAGAGAAAGTGCAACGTCTATGGCACCGACATCGAGACCCTCAACTTTGAGCTAGACGTGCAGTCAGCGCATAGAATTCGTGTATTGATACAGCCCGCCTACCTCGACAACAGCAACCGCAGCCAGTACATCTTGAGCGACGAGCTCGTTCCTGTGCCCAAGCAAGGCATACCCGACCCCGAGACACAGAACATCGACCTCCAGTTTAGCTGGACAAACGAGCCCTCTTTCGCATTCAAGGTCATTCGCAAATCTACAGGCGATGTTCTCTTCGATACCACCGGCAGTGTTCTTGTCTATGAGAACCAATTCATCGAGTTCGTTTCTCAATTGCCAAGAAACTACAACCTCTACGGCATGGGCGAACGTATCCACGGTCTGCGTCTTGGCAACAACTTTACGGCTACCTTCTATGCGGCTGATGCTGCCGACCCGATCGATGAGAACATCTACGGTGTCCACCCGTTCTACATGGATACAAGATACTACGAGGTGGACGAAGATACTGGAAAGCACACTCTAGTGACAACCGAGAACACCACTACAAATGGAGACTATGTCGGTATGAGCCATGGTGTTTTCCTGCGAAATTCACACGGTATGGAAGCTTTGATGCTTCCTACGAACCTTACCTGGAGATCGCTTGGTGGGTCCATTGATCTGTTCGTCTTTGACGGACCAAATCCAGAGGCCGTTACCAAGCAGTATCAGACTGGAGCTATCGGTCTACCCGCGATGCAACAGTACTGGACATTTGGATTCCATCAGTGCCGCTGGGGATACAAGAATTGGACCGAGCTGGAGGGTGTTGTCAACACTTATCGTGACTTCAACATCCCGTTGGAGACGATCTGGACGGACATCGATTACATGTTCCAGTACCGCGACTTTACGAATGATCAGAACACCTTCCCGTACCCGGCTGGACAGGAATTCTTGAGTCGTCTGCACGGCAATGGTCAGCACTATGTCCCGATCGTTGACTCTGCGATCTACATTCCAAACCCGAACAATGCCTCCGACAACTACTCTGTTTACACTGATGGCAACGACCGCGGAGTATTCCTCAATAACCCCGATGGCAGCCAGTACATTGGCTCTGTCTGGCCTGGCTATACCGTCTTCCCGGACTGGCATGCCGAGGAATCCGTCCCATGGTGGACAGACAGTCTGCTGGAGCACTACAAGAACGTACCCTGGGATGGCATTTGGATCGACATGTCTGAAGTCTCTTCTTTCTGCGTCGGTAGCTGTGGATCTGGAAACCTCAGTCTCAACCCAGTCCACCCACCATTTGGTCTCCCAGGTGAGCCAGGAAACTTAGTCTTGACGTATCCGGAAGGCTTTAATCTGACCAACGCGACCGAGGCTGCTGCCGCTTCATCCATGTCCGCATCCCAGGCCTCGTCTGTAGCCGCTGCGACTCCAACAGCATCCAGTCCCTCTTACTTCATGGCGCCTACAATCACGCCCGGAGTCCGTGACGTCAACCAGCCACCGTATGCGATCAACAACGTCCAAGGCGATCTTGCAGTTCACGCAGTGAGCCCCAATGCTACCCACATCGACGGTACTCAGGAGTACGATGTCCACAGTCTCTTCGGCTACCAAATTCTGAACGCTACGTATCAGGGCCTGCTAGCTGTCTTCCCAGAGAAGCGCCCCTTCATCATTGGACGAAGTACCTTCGCGGGCAGTGGCAAGTGGGCAGGTCACTGGGGCGGTGACAATACTAGCTTGTTCGCGTACATGTATTTCTCGATCTCCCAGGCACTCAACTTCGCGCTTTTCGGTATACCAATGGTAAGTGAAGACAATTAAATTCGCTCTGCACTCTGCTAATTCGGGCTAGTCCGGCGTCGACACCTGCGGCTTTAATGGTAACTCAGATGAAGAGCTGTGTAATCGCTGGATGCAGCTCTCGGCTTTCTTCCCATTCTACAGAAACCACAACACGCTCTCTGCCAACTCTCAGGAAGCCTACATCTGGGCGTCTGTTGCCGAGGCCTCGAAGAAGGCCATGACTATCCGCTACTCGCTGCTTCCATACATGTACACCCTCTTCTACCTCGCCCACACGACTGGCAGCACGGTCATGAAGGCTCTATCTTGGGAGTTCCCCAACGAGCCATCGCTCAAGGCTATCGACAACCAGTTCCTCCTTGGACCTGCACTCATGGTCGCTCCCGCGCTTGGCCAGGGTCAACAGCAAGTACACGCCATCTTCCCTGGTGTCAAGGACGGCGAAGTGTGGTATGACTGGTACACCCAGGCTGCGGTCTCTGCTCAGCCAGGTCAGAACGTTTCCCTCGACGCACCGCTTTCGCACATTCCATTGTTTGTCCGTGGTGGATACATTCTCCCTCAACAGGAAGCGCTGTACACGACTGCAGAGTGCCGCAATAGCTCGTGGAGCCTCATCGCTGCTCTGGACTCCGATGGTTCTGCTATGGGACAGATTTACATCGACGACGGCGAGAGCGTCAGTCCTCCATCAAGCCTGATTGTCGATATGACTGCTTCAAACGGCAGCTTGTACGCCTCCGGCCGTGGCTTGTACAAGGATACCAACAGTCTGGCCAACGTGACTGTCCTTGGTGTGCAGAAGCAGCCAAGCACTGTCACTCTGAACGGGATGCGGATCGGCAGTGGGGTCAGCTACAACAGCACGAGTAAGGTTCTTAGCCTGAGAGGGCTACAGAACGCAACGAGCGTGGGCGCTTGGGCGAGCGATTGGAAGCTCACATGGGCTTAGCAAGGCCTTCATGACGACCTATGACTCTGATGACGATAGATGATGGCTAGCAAAAACCTATGAATAAGTATTATAACGCCTCAATTGAAGAAGAATTTGAAGTGACGTGTCTCACATCTATTTTCTTGACATCTACGATGGATCGCGCAGCACTGATAGACGCCAAGTCGTCGCCAGACGGCAGCCAACGCATCTCTTGATCCTCGGCGTTGGTGGCCATGTCGTTTAATATTACAGTAGTGTTTGTCATGTCAAAGCCACACTTCCATTTCACGTCAGCTCCAAGGGGAATGCGTCCCTTAGATATCTCGCATGTTTGATCCCTTCCCAAAACGTCGTATATCGTTCGTTGTGTGGCGACGCGGCCTCGAAGCGCAGAGCTCCGATACGATATCAGCAGCAGCATCGTCACGAGATGAGGAGAGCGGTTCGTGATGATGAAGTGCGGATTAGCTTTCTACTACTTCCCCTGCAAAGGTCCGTCGATGGAGCACACGTCATTTCATTTCCATGCAGGCAATTTTCTTGTAGGTGATGCATGTTCAATAGTTCCAAACTTGATGGATTGATTGATAAGAGTAGGGCAGCGAATTGAAAGTGTGAAGAGTAATAGATATGATAGTGGTAATAGCAGTAGTGATGAGCAATATTATAACTATCGCCAGAAATGGGCATGCTTTACCATTCAACATTAGATTCTATGTACAAAGTTAGTTTGTTTTGTCGGAAACCTTCATCAGCAGTGCGCTTTGTCGTCGTCGTTGTTCTTTTTTGTTCTTGTACAAGAGACCGTTCTCACATCACATGCGTTTCAATTTCCTTCCCGTCCGTCGCTATGCTGTCAAGGTCCAAAATCAAATCCAAGAATGAGGCGGTCTTTCATTCTTAAGCACCGAATTCGACAGCGCGCTTGGCGTTGAGGCCGCAAGCGGAAGAAGCAACCTTGGTGACGGTGGCATCGACGGTGCCGAACTGCACGGCATTGCCACCCGTGAGGGCGTTCATGGCCGTCGTGGACATAACAAGCCCATCCCCGGCGTGATCGATGGCGAGCATGTGGATCGTGTTGCCGTTGTAGGCAACCTCATAGCACTGGCCGCAAGAGGCCGAATTCCATCCTACGAACATGAAATGTCAGTTTTATTATCTTGAGAAGTTTTTTTTGGGAGAGACGTCATGGGATGGGATGGGGATGGGGATGGGGATTTCGTACCGGCAATATCGGATGAGGAGCCAATGTATGGGAACCCGGCGACTTGGCCGAATGTCTGCCACTGGTATTTGGTGATGAGGCCGTTGGCGCCGTCCGAGCAGGCGACGCTGGTCAAGCTGTTGCCGGCCGTGTCGTAGGTGGGGTCGTACTTGACGGTGGTCGCGGTGGCCAGGCCGGCGGCGGCGGCAAGAAGGGTGGCTCCGGTGAACTTCATTTTGCTTCTTAAGGAGAAGATTTGATTGGTGATGCTTGGTGGGATGGATGGATGACTGGAACGTGCTTGGTTGGTATCGCTGGAAGTGGTGCTGTTTCGATGAGAAGGCTGTTGTTGTTGTTGATGAGATGAGGCAGGCATAGATGGGAAGGTTTATATATCTTCAACCCAGCGACGGCCGAGCTTTCCCTACCTACCTTGCTGTGCCCTTGCATGGAAGCTGCCTCCAATACGAGGGATGGAAGCTTCCCTCGACAATACGAGGTCAGACGCTCAGAAGTCACCGGCGCAAGTCGCGTGGTGGCCGCAGTACCGACTCCGAAAGAGTAGGTACGAAGGAAAGTCGGGCCGGGGTCTCCGCCCAATACTACCTAGTCGGGTAGCTATTACGGATTAGGAATCGTACTATGACGGATACGGATTTACGGGCCTCTCGCAGTGCCAAGCCTGCTATTTGTGGCTGTCCGCTTGTCGGCTGCGCGCATGGAATTCCTTCCGGCCCGTACCTGCTGCTACCGTCGCAGTTGTAGTGTGTTAGTGGAAGATCTTTTACCGCTCTTTCGCAAAATGCCTTTCACAGCTTGTCTATTCTTGTTATCCATCGCGACCGCGACTCTGGAATGCAACGACGGCCGTGTTGACTGCATGGTGAGACCTGCAAAGCCTCCTCAGCCTCATCCTCCCCCTGGTATTCCGATCAAGCCGATGACGGTACAGATCTTATCAATTTTCCGCACAGCTCCTCTATCAGATCTTGGTTGCCTCTCGCAACTCTGCCACGCCAATGAATACGCCCAACATCCAGCATTCTGGTGTATACCGTTCCGTTTCGAACGAGATGCACGCATCAGACAACCAACGTGATAAATCGCATGCAGCCTGATAATCAAGCTGATGCATTCAAGGATGGTTTCGTCACCATTCGCAAGTTCCGCGAGGTTGCCGCAATCGTTCCACATGACAGCAATACCGCCTATTAGATCAGTATTGCAATTTTCCCTTGATCGTCTTGCCATTCTCTGTTCCACTCTCTCCAATCTGGGGTCTTGTGTTTCGAATCCGACAAGCCTCAAACAATGCTCGGAAGCAAGAAGGCCAACATCTACGTGTCGGTCACGGATGGCCACACGTCGATCAAGGCCGACAGCGATCATCTCGACCACATGGCCAAGCCGAGTGGCAGCTGGTTCCTGAGTGTCGAGCCGCACAAGCATCACATGCTCGGACTCCCACGCAAGAAACATCCAGAACCGCTCCATTACAGCGCGATGCAAGACGAGAGCAGCGGCAACGATCTGGTCAGAACGCATAGCGTCAGCAGCCAACCGATCATCCTGGGGAACATTCTGGTGGCCGAGAATGCGAAGACGACGCCGGAAGAGATTTTGCAACTCTTAAACGAGAAATTAGTCTCAGCTCCCTCATTCGTGCCCTCGGAAAGCACGAGCGAAAACGAGCCTGATCGTTGGATCAGGAAAGGTGGGTTGTCGTAAACACGATCGGACGATTCCAGAGCGGTCCTGATTCCGTGTCAGCATTGCACATCCTCCAGGCCGAGCATATCATCGAGACATTCGACGTTGGCGAATTCATGACGTTTGCGCATGGCGTAAGGCGGGAGTGGTTTCTAGAAAGAGCGAATCTTCTGATCATCCGACAGTACGCCGCGAAGCGAGCAGACCATAGCGCATCTGCAATGGTATGTCGTCCGTCGGCTTTTGATGTCCGCCGAATGCTGACGAGCCGGTTGTGCTTGCAGGTCACTTATCCAGAGCTGAACAGAGGCCACGAGAAGAAGGTGAGATCGAAGAAGTTCTGGGTCGACTATCCCATGGCCGCAAAACCGGAGCCGAGAGATAGGATCGAAGGCAACGCGCAGAAATATGGTGGCTTGATGTGAGGCTTTGATGGTGTCGAGTTGCATGTCCTGACCTTGAGCAGGCCCTCACACTTCACTTGAGTCTTGCCGTGAACTTAATCCGCTTATTTCTGATACCCACTCAGCGATTGCTGCTAAGACGTTGGCTGGAGTCTCTGCTCTTTCTTTTCTTGCCTCGGCGGAGATGATCGGCGTTAACTGAGCTGTATTAGTCAAGCAATCCGTTGGAGCCCCATCCGCCCACTTCCAAAAAGAGGTTGACATGGCATGCTTCTTCACCTTCTCAACATCCCTCGAGTTTTCTGATCGGCTGTCATCGGACATGGCATCAATCCTGGTTCTAGGCTTGGGCGAGCTCGGCCAAGAAGTCGTCAAAAGTATCGCGACCCATCCGAAGCGGAACGATGCGAGAGTCGCTGTACTTTTGCGGGCTCGCAAGCCAGAACAGCTTGAGAAGTTGAAAGAGTGGAACGTCGACGTTGTTTCCGGCAACGTTGCCGAGGACACGCAAGACGCCCTAGCCATGGTGAGACGAAGATGTGCCCTCTGCCTTCTGTCCTCCGGCTAGGTGAAATAATATCCCATGGCCCCAACAGACGTTTGCCGAATGGCACACAGTCATCTGCTGTACTGTATGTCCGCCCAACAAAGCGTAGACTTGGCCTTCCACGTCGAAGGCCGTGGGCGTCTGCTGGCATCCTGACTCGTACCTAGGGCATGTACGCTCCGCCGGAGACGCAGATCAAGATTGCGAAAGCTGCGCTCGCCGCTGGCACTGAGCGTTATCTGCCGTGGCAGTTTGGCATTGACTAGTAAGTCGAAGAGGAGACAACCCCTCGAGCGCCTCCTTGTGGCTACGAAAAGTCGCTTACCTTGTCTCTTGTCCCAATTAGCGACGTTGTTGGTCGGAATAGCTCGCAGAACTTGTTCGACAGTCAACTAGACGTCCGAGACCTCCTCCGAGCGCAATCGCAGACGCAATGGGTCATCGTGTCGACCGGCATGTTCATCTCGTTCCTTTTCGAGCCGGCCTTTGGACTGGTCAACGCCGATCGAAGCGTCGTGACGGGCATCGGCAGCTGGGACAACGAGATCACCGTGACATCTCCCGAGGATATCGGGCGTCTGACTGCCGAGATCGCACTGGTGCATCCAGAAATCCAGGGCGTCGTATTCACATCCGGTGACACGATTTCCATGCAGCGGCTGGCGGATGTGGTCGAGCGAGTCACCGGACACCAAGTCAGCAGAGTCCTGAAGACTGTGCCGGAGCTAAAAGCGGAACTCGCGGCGAGCCCGGACGACTCGATGCGGAAATACAGAGTGGTGTTCGCAGAGGGTAAGGGTGTTGCCTGGCGCAAGTCGGAATCATTCAATGCCGTCCACGGCATTCGGACGCAGACCGTAGACGAATGGGCGTCTTCAAGTCTGAGAGCGCAGTAGCGATATATGTCTGGAGCTCCTCCTCGACTTCGTACCTGACGACAACCCATAAGCTCTGTTGGGATGCGGCGGCAACATAGTGCACCATCTACGAGCAGCACTGCCCTGACGGGAAAGGGAAATTGAGGCCAGCGTGGCGTCTACGATCCGGTAGCATAGCAGAGATCCGAAGCGGCCGTGATCGGTCGTTGTAGAGTTCGTAAGCAAGCCTCAGAGTTAACTTGTGAAAGAAGACCTCATTTGCATTCGCGATCGCGAATGCCACAGCTTGTCTGCCACATTCGCCGGCATCGCGGGATGCACGCCTAGCTACTTCAATCAAGAGGGCGAGGCAGGCCGGGCTAAGTCGATGGAGCAGCAGAGAGAACTCTCCAAGGTCTGGAGGTGAGAGAAGGCGAAGCGGAATGTACATGTATATCCACAGTGGTACAGGGCAGTATTCGCGATGAAATGACGTCGTTTCGGGATCTAGGCTTCTGCGCGGCCCGACAATTTCTCCGTCTCACACCACGTGAGGGACTTTCTCCTTCCGGACTGAAAACGAACATACACTACACTACTTGCTGCAGCTTCTTATCAGATATCGCTGTCCATACCTACTTCCGGCGGAAAGGTGCCGCCGATAAGGATCTCGCGAACGCCAATCTCACGTCCGTCCAGGTAGGTACAGTCCCTAGGCTAGGTAAGGTGCTACAACATCACCTCGATGAGATCTGAAGTCCTACACATGATGTGACAGCTAGCGTCCTCTCCTTCTCCTCCTTTAGTAGTACCATCATCACCATGAGCAGCATCGACGAAAAGAAGTCCTTCCAGGACGGGAAAGTTGGCTCCACAACACCCGAAGAGGTCGAAGGCGATGTCCTGGATGTCCTTGGTTATCGCCAGGAACTCTCCCGGAACAGGAGCATGTTCACGCTGCTCTTCCAGTCGCTTGCGATCGCCGCCATCCCGTACGGTGAAGGGAGTCCGATGATTTCTGCCATCTACGGAGGCGGACAATTATCCCTCTTCGTGGGCTGGATCGTGGTCCTGGTGCTGGATCAGTGCATCGCCATCTCTCTCGGGGAACTTGCTAGTCGATATCCCACGTCTGGAGGACCGAGCTTTTGGTCCTTTCAGGTTGCGCCCAAGTATAAGACTGAGTTCGCATACGTGAGTTGGTGGAGTACATTGTGTAGAGGCGGATGAGATTCCCTGACGGGAGACAGATCACAGGATGGGTCTGGCTCATTGGCAACTGGACCATAACACTCTCCGTCAACTTTGGTTTCGCCTCCCTCCTATCCGGTACCATCGCCATGTATCATCCCGACTTCGTGCTGAACGACTGGCAGCTCCTGCTGGTCTTCTACGCGATTACGCTCGCCACGTTTGTGATATGTGCCTTCTTCAACCGCTACTTACCAATGGTAGACACGATATGTGCCGGTATGTCGCAAGCCTCCCGCAGTGAAAGTCATTGCTGATCACGACGTAGCGTTCACGGCTCTGTCCATACTGATCATCCTTATCGCTCTGTCGGTGAAAGCAGACGCCGGCAGAAACTCCGCGGGCGTCGCTCTAGGGAACTACGATACGTCCTTCTCTGGCTGGGGTGGCTTCACGTTCTTTATCGGACTATTGCCAGCTGCGTATACTTTCAGCGCGCTCGGTATGATCTCGTCCATGGCAGAGGAATGCGCGGAGCCCGCAACGAAGGTTCCGACCGCTATCAGCCTGTCTGTGTCCCGCAGTAACATGATCACTCGCGGCGTCTTTACTGATCGTCGTACAGATGCATTCCCGTCGGTGGCCTCGCAGGGTTCTTCTTCATCCTACCGATATGCGTCACCATGCCCCCGCTCGCCGATGTGATCAACGCCCCTGCTGCCCAAGCGTTGCCATACATCTTTGCCAGAGTAATGGGATCACCGGGCGGCGGGCTCGCGTTGATCTTCTTCGTCCTGATCGTCACCGTCTTCTGCTCAATCAGCATCACCACAGCGGCTTCCAGATGCACCTGGGCCTTTGCTCGAGACGACGCGATCCCCGGCGCAAAGCTTTGGGCCAAGGTCCACCCGAAACTCGGGGTACCCGTCTGGTCTCTCGCGTTGGTGACTCTTGTCCAAATGCTTCTGGGCCTCATCAATCTCGGAAGCTCCTCTGCTTTCACTGCCTTTGTCTCGGTCGGCGTGCAAGCTCTAGCTCTGACCTACGCCATTCCGATCGCTCTCAGTCTCTTCTGCGGGCGACGAGAAGTAAAGAAGGCTCAATGGAAGCTGCCGTACGGTCTAGGAACGATCGCGAATGTAATGGCACTTCTGTGGATCGGGTTTGAACTGGTTCTCTTTTCCATGCCGACAGCGCTACCTGTCACAGCGACGTCAATGAATTACGCAAGTGTGGTTTTGGTAGGATTTGGCGCGATCGCCGCTGTGTGGTATGCGATACATTCGAGGAAATGTAAGTTCACCCTCTCTGCGCTGAGAACGTGGTTTGCTGACAGCGATAACAGCATATAGAGGACCGCCGGCATCAGAAGGCTTGTAGACTGGGTATTGCAAGGTACAATTCTCGTAATTCCATTCAGTAATACACCTCGCCTTTCATCAGTATCTTGGCAGTCCGATGCAGCATCGCACTTTCGATCTTTCCGTCTTGGACATTGCAGCCGACTTCGATCAGACCTCCAGGATGCGAGATGGTGATGGAATCCTTCGAAGCAGATGTAGGCACCATCTGCGCAGGCAAAGTACCAGCGATTCCACAAGCCGATCCGACATTTAGAGCCAGAGTCACAGGCAGCGCTTTGTGAGCCTGCTGCATCGATATCGCACGAACTTGAATGTGGACTCCTTCGGTGGCCGCGGCCTCGCTTGGAGGAGCGACCATGACCATAAGCGGCACCCCCTTGACGGTAGGATCCATTCCCATCCGCCGAGCACCAGCTTGACGAATATTTTCCAGTCGGCTCATGAGGTTGGGCTGAGCTTGTAGTGCGTCGGGCTTTATTGCTCCATCGACACCAAGATCGCTGGCTCGTACGTAGACGGCGGGATTCGCGACATCTACGAGGCTGGCTTCGATGGGTCCACCGTCGGATTCAGGCAGCTCGAGTTTGTCAGAGGCACTGCCCGAAGGCAGCGCTTTGCCCGTCTTCGCGCCTGCCGGGTCGATGAAGCGGAGGGTGATGCGCGAAGCTGTCCCACCCACACCATCGATTGCATAGTCCCCATCTGGATTGAATTTGAATGTCTCGCCAGTCTTCTGCACCTTGAACGTGGAATGTATGATCTTGTTGGTATTGGTGTTCAAGATACGCACCATCGCCATCTTCCCTCCGTCATCATCATCATCATCATCATCATCATCGAACAGCTGACTCTCATCCACGAGCCCTTCATTCAGCGCCACGGGTCCAACCGCAGAGGACATGTTCCCGCAATTGCCCACCAGTCCCAGTTCTCCATCATCCACGCCGACTTGCACAAAGGTGTAGTTGATGTCGACGTCTGAACGATCGGAAGCCTCGATCACGCAGACTTTGCTAGTGGAGGAGATGCCGCCGCCCATGCCATTCAACTGCCGCCAATTCGGGTCCGGACTGCCCATTGCCCCGGCCAGAATGGGCTGCCATGCTTTGACGTCTTCGGGTAACTGGGAGCGTAGGACCACAAGGCCGGTCGAGGAACCGCCTCGTGCAAACGTGGCCTGCAAGCTGCCGTGGGACATTTTTTTTTTTGGCACAGAGGAGTAGTAGTACGCTTCCACCGGTCGGTCAGAGACTCGTGAATTATGTTTCTGGTCTCTGGTTCGTCAATGTCTGTGTCGGGCTTCTATACGTCTGTTATATGTCCTCGGGTGATGATGAAGTTGGTTGATGTGTATGTCCGAATACCCGATCGGGAGTGCTGCCGGTTGTCGGAAGTGTTGCGATATCGCCGTGATGCTTGCCTGCTTCGAAGGCTGCGTTTGGGATTGACGACTATAGCGTCTTCATCACCAACTACACGGCTTGACCGTTGCTAGAACTGGAATGCCATGCTTCTCACCGTCGAGTGATAGTGTAGGTGTTGTTGGAGGAATTGCCCCGTATGGAGACGTGCGAAGAGACAGTTATTACACTGGGTCCTCTCAGCTAGGAAGTCCTGGGCAAGATACCGCTTACCATGGGGATAGAAACGGCTACCATCCTATCTCCCAGCCGCCTTTCAGATGCTGCGACCCGCCAATGCAGCTTCAGACAAAATGAAGATAGCCCTCTGTTCCATAATGCAACATGACATGCAAACCTCATATACCCTCATCATTCATGCATAACATTCATCCCAAATGTGGCACCTTCGCGCTCGCAAGGGCCAAGTTGACAATACTGAGCAATCCTTCGCCCAAGATCAGACCAGAAGCAAGCACAATCATCGGCGTCTCTTCCCTCCCTTTCCAGCCCGTCCACCACCAAGCCATCACTCCCCCCACGGTCCTCGCGAGCGTGAAGGAAGGGGTGTTGTACATGCCCACGGCGACGGCAATACCGCCCGGAACGTACGGAACCCATTTCGCTTTGATGCTGTTCCCGTAGATTCGCAGTGCCGTGAGAAGAGAAAAGATTACAGCAGCACCAGCAGCGAACTCTGCGGTTTTCGGAGGCAAGCCTTGGCCCGTGACCAGTCTCGCGGTGAAAATCCACACGAAGCCTGTGGGAACTTGGAACAGTCCACCCGGGATTTGGTAGACGCTCGTGTAGAGTCTGTATACGAGCGCTGACACGACAGCACCGATTCCCGATCCGATGAGTTGGCCCCAGAATTGCGCCTTTGGAGAGGCTCCAAGCAAGTGTCCGCACTTGAGGTCTTGGAGGAGGTCGCCTGCTTGAAGAGCTCCAGCTTCGGAAACTGCACCAGCAATGAGATTGATGGTAACGGCGTTCTTGGCGCCTGGAGGGACAACGGCCGCGAAGATGAGCTGTGTGAGCTTGCTGATGCCGCTGACTGGGTTTAGATCTGTCTCGCCGAGAGCGCGCACGCCCATGATGCTCAGCAGAAGGGCCAGTACGAGGGCAAGCATCGTCAGACCAATAGAAATGATACCAGGAAACGAGTATTGCACAGCAAAAATGCAGAAAACAAGAGTGAGAACGGTGCCAACAGAGGTAGTCTTGACGCCAATTCGGTGCTCGGGTGGTGCATCGTATTCCTCTTCGTCGTCCATGGGAGCAGATTTGGTGTTGCGTATTCCATTCGTGTCTGTCGCGTCTTCGTCTAAGTTCACGGGGCTGTAGCCCCTCATCATTGGCCTTGCGACATCCTGGAGGCAGCGCTGGATGCCCTTGTCTCTAACACCCTTGATAATTCCAGGCCCATAGAGACGGCTGTAGTAGATGGTAGGTCTAAGGATCAGCCAACCAAGGCTGACGATCGCGTCTGCCAACATTATTGCCAGACTGACCCACACAATCCAGCCTTTGGAACCAGTGTTCCAATCCGAAACGGGCCCAGGCGCCCAGCCCTCCGATTTGGCCATGGGCGAGAGCACAGCCCATCCAAGTAGCGCGCCCAGAAGCATGTGAATAGTTGTAGCTGGACCCATGATAATGCCTTGGCCGACATAGGCTGGGCTTGGGTTGAGATTCCACACCCAGACTTGGGACATGTGAAGGCCGAGAATTGGAATTGAATGTAGCTGAGGAATGAAGTAGGAGATAAAGGTCTGGCACAACATCAGCACTGATTTCATACAAAGCTATCTGCAAGGTCCTATCGAGAGGAAGTATACGTACATAGAGCCCGGAGATGCCAAAGGAAGCTGTGAGAAGCTGAATTTGTTTTCTCCAGTCCTTCCTGGCTGCTGCGCTGTCACGTTTGCGCAGCGGTCCGCCATCGCCTTGCCATTGATCATGGCCAGCAGCTGGTGACCCATCGCTCAGTAGTCCGCGACTTTCCTCGTCGTCAGCATTCGCGTTGTTGCGTTTTCGCTGTCGCGCGGCATGCTGTTCGATGTTACCTTCGGCTCCTGTCCTCGTACCACCGTGCAGAACGCCGATCATCAGTGCGGTAGCAGTACCGGATGGAAACTTCAACTTCTCGCGAACAATGACCTCCTTTCGGAGAGGCACTGCGATCACCACTCCGAAGAAGCAAAGGCCCAAGGCCCATAGCAACAATTTCCCCATGGGCAGATGTATCCCACCGGTCTTCTCGCCCTCCGCCAAAAGTGCTAGCATGTCTGTATCATGCAAATTGCTCTTCGGCGTCTCTTCCGGCTTGAGCAAGAACTCCAGTGCTGGTACGACACCCACAAAACCACATCCTAAAGGCATTGTCCCGACCGATCCCGCGACTGTCTGCACCAGCACGTTCTCCACTTCGCTGAATCCTTCTCCAAGCCCCATCCTCATGAACGGTTCTCCAGCGCGCGATGCTAATGCTCGGAGCCCTTTGAAATATGCGAAACCGATCAACGCGGACGGCATGGCCATCCCGCTGATCCAGCCCGTCTGCAGACCGAAATAGGTATTCGAGAATGCGATTAGTATGCCGATCACGATACCCATCACTAATGCCCGGACCGTAAATTGAGGCTGCTCGCTCATCTTCGCCAGGAACTCTGGGCTTGGTTCTTGTCCAATGGGCTCTCGGGCAACACTACGGCTGGTCTCGTGCTCGAGCCCATTGTCGCCATCGTCTCTTGCTGCATCGCTTTCGTACGAATGTCGCGGTCCTCTGTCTGGCGCCATGAGTAACGGTGCTCTCCAGCACCTCCAGGAAAGTGTAAGAGTGCGAGGAGCGGGTCGAGAGGGCGGTGGAGGTGTAATGAGAAGAAACAGATGACCATCGTCGCGTGTGACGTGCTAGCTCGGCTGGCAGGGATGGCACGGACTCTTGAGGCTTATCCTTGCCCTATCTGGACGGAATTTAGCCGACCCGAATTTCCTTCACTCACTTCTTCTTCACGGCCCGTGTAGTGGCATATGCAAGAGGCGCGACTTCCGAGACCCCGGACACTGCTACTTCATCAAGCATGCCGGACCTCCCTCATGGATGGCGTATGAGGAACAGCGAGGGCGAGAAGAAGGGACCTCCTGTTGAAGACAACATTTTCCATTCCGGTGACGAGGGCAGCGAACCGGGTAGCGATCAACTGGATATCCGTCCAGATTCTGAAGGATGGGATGATGTTGAAGACGACACTGAAGAAGTCATGGTCAAGGATCTGTTGTCAGACAAGACATTTCCTTCGGCCAGTGCAATGATTGAGTATTGCAAGGAGACGCATGGCTTGGACTTCCTCGCGGTGATTCGAGACAACAGTACGTCCTGAACTTGCAAGCTACGCTAATACACGCTAACGATGTTCAGAACTCGACTTCTATTCCGCAATCAAGCTGATCAACTACATTCGATCAGAAGTGAAGGCAGGCCAAGCAAAGCCGAAGGTCACTGATTCAACCTTGTGGTCCGATGACAAGTATCTCCAACCTGTGTTGGAAGACGACGCTTTGCTCTTCAACCTTGACGATCTCGTCGACACAGCTGTCCCCGAAGACGAAGAGAAGACGAAGGAGGCTGAGAGCTAATCGCGCTGCCCTCCAATGGCCCACTCATGACATCCAGACCAAGCGATCAGTGCAGGATCCTGGTCCTCATCCATCAAAGATGCCACACTTAGATCAGTCGAGTGCTGTACAATCTGCCTCGAAGATCAGCAGACGGAATTGTGTCCAGGCCTGTTGTACCACGAATACTCCAAGGAAAAGCGAAGCGAAGCACATGGACGCCACCTCGCGCTCATGCATGTGACAGAAAGCATTTCTGCCCGAAAGTGCCGGAGAAGTGGCTACCTTAAGCAGGCCGTGAATCTATGTAGGTAAAAGGCTGCTATCTTAACGCTTGAAGATACAAATTACGAGGGTCTGCCGTTCTCTTCCTATTGCCAGGTACTATAACTTCCGCATCTGTATGCTTCGACAAAGCTTTCTTGTCATTGCCGTATATCTTTCCCTAAGCATTCTAATCTGAACGCAAGTCCATGCCAGCGTTGGTCTTGCAGATACGCCATGCTGATCGGTGCAAGCAGGCATTACCCGTACAGCTTGGACCTCGTTGCTCTCGACTGATAAACATTAGATTTCACCGTCAGACATCATTGTGCCCGAACACTCCAAACACGAAGACCGTCGAGCTTCAGAGGGAGATCGAGAAAGGCTGGCAAGATGCACCAACAAACACCAATCAAGATGGAGTGAAGTGCCCGTGATATGCAGCGAATGGGTTAAGACCAGAGTTTCAAAGTGAGTAGTAAGCGCTGTTCATTTCTTGAGAACACAAGCTAATGAAACTGCAGCGCAAGTTTCAAGTAGTCCCAATAACCTCTTTCCGTAGCGAACTTCCGGTCCTCATTGTTTTTAGCTATTGCTTTCATTGGGTTTAGCTACTGCTTTATCGTTCCTCAGATTATTCTCAACACAGAGACCACACATCCCTTCCTGGAAGTATAAATCTCAGCTACAGGGTCAGCAAGGGGTGCTGCTGCGCTGGCGAGCACTCAGGTCGTACTCGTTGTGCTCTCACTTACCAACTATATGGCCAGCACGTCGCGACAAGTCTTTGCGTTTGCGAGGGACGACGGACTGCCGTTTGTGGGGTTGATTGCCACGGGGATTTGAAATGCGACGACGCCAGTCAATTCGTTTATCGTCGTGTTTGTCTTTGTAAGTGCCAGACTGTACTGAACTTCCATTTCTCAGAAGTTGAAGTTAAAAATCTTCTAGATGGTTCTCATAGCCCTCATCGGAGTAGTTTCCACGATCGTTGTCACCGCCATCGTGTCGATCCAGCCCATGGCTATTGCAACGACCTGCGAAGTCTCCCTGCTACGCAACGCATATCGGAGCACTTGGAAAAAGCCACTATCGCGTTCTGCTTGGTCTCTAGAACGATTTGGCCTCCCGCTACACACTGCTGGTGCTCTTCGCCTGCTGGCGCTTTCGGTTATGCCGCTTGAATATCCGGTCACTACGACGAGGCTCAATTGGCCGCTGGTAATGCTTGGGGCCGTTTTGATACAGTCGCTGGGTAATAGCTTTTGTTTGCGTCAGGAAATTTCAACGAGGGACCTGTTGTTCATATACTTAGTAGTTGAAGAAATTCGGACTTAGCGGTAGAGTTGCCGAAAAAGGAAGGTGGAAGTGAATAGTCCTCTTCGTGCCTCAGGCCATAACGGCTAGGATCGGCTCAAATAAGTCCCCTCCGATTGGACAGACCAGCTCGTGGCGGGGGCCAGCAGCAAGGAAAGAGGGAAGGTGGCATGTGAGGTCGGTCTTGCTTCGTGATAAACATTCGCGAATATATGTTTGCTCGCTCCCTCCGTCCTCATCGCCACGTCTCCTACAGCTCTATTCTAGGAGCCCGCCCACAGAACCAACGATTTGTTCAGCGTCGATTCGATTCGTCTGCTGCTTGGCCCTACATCTACCGCACGACACCCTCGCCCAACATGGCGCCCCAACTACAAGAGTACTACAAGACGGTCGATTCTCTCGCCGAGCCGTTCATCGAGCGCCTTCGACAGGCTGTTGCGATACCTTCCATCTCTGCGGACGAGGCGAGACGGCAGGATGTTGTCAAGATGGGCATGTTCCTGAAGGAGCAGCTGGAGAGCCTGGGTGCACATGTGGAAGCACGTCCTTTGGGCAAGCAGCCGCATAAGGAGCATTTGGAGCTTCCACCGGCCATCGTTGGAAGGTATCCAGCCAAGAAAGACGAGAGCAAGAGGACGATCCTTGTCTACGGACACTACGACGTTCAGCCAGCGGACCTCTCCGACGGCTGGGCGACCGAGCCCTTCAAGCTCAGCGTGGACGACAAGGGCAGAATGTATGGACGGGGCAGCACAGATGACAAGGGACCAGTTCTGGGATGGGTGAACGTGATTGAGTCACATCAGAAAGCCGGCATTGACTTTCCAGTCAACCTGCTCATGTGCTTTGAAGGTATGGAGGAGTACGGCTCAGAAGGTCTGGACGATTTCATCATGGCAGAGTGTAAGCCGGGCAAATTCTTTGCCGAAGCAGATGCAGTGTGCATCAGCGACAACTACTGGCTTGGTACAGAGAAGCCTTGCTTGACCTATGGCCTCAGAGGCTGCAGCTACTACTCGATCGAAGTCAGCGGCCCGGGTCAGGATCTGCATTCTGGTGTCTTTGGTGGTACCGCTCAAGAGCCAATGACGGATCTGGTACGCGTCATGTCAAGTCTGGTCGACACAGATGGCAATATCCAGATTCAGGGCATCAAAGAGCTTGTTGCACCGCTTACGAAAGAGGAGGAGAGCCTGTACCAGGACATTGCGTTCACAATGGACAATTTATATGAGTCACTTGGCAGCAAGACTGGTATCTTCCCTGACAAGGAGCGCACATTAATGGGACGCTGGAGATACCCATCCTTGTCACTCCATGGTGTCGAAGGTGCTTTCTCGCAGCCAGGTGCGAAGACCGTCATCCCGGCCAAAGTCACTGGCAAATTCAGCATAAGAACAGTGCCGGACATGGAGCCGCCAGAGGTCGACAAGCTCGTATACACTCACTGCGAGAAGGTATTCGAGCAGCTCAACTCCAAGAACACTATGAAGGTCTATCTTCAACACGCTGGCAAGTGGTGGGTTGCATCGCCTAAGCACTGGAACTTCACGGCAGCGGCTAAGGCCGTCGAGGATGTTTGGCATGTGAAGCCTGATCTCACCAGAGAAGGAGGCAGCATCCCGGTGACTCTCACCTTTGAGCAAGCCACTGGCAAGAACGTTCTCCTGCTGCCAATGGGTAGCTCCACAGATGCTGCCCACTCCATCAACGAGAAGCTCGACCGCCGCAATTACATCGAGGGTATCAAGCTCCTTGGTGCATACTTGCACTACGTCGCTGAGGAGCCGATGGAGGGTTAGGATGGGCCATCAATCAGAGCTGGGACAGCTCCTCTCAACAAGGACATTGAGAGCCTTGAAGTGTTCTTTCACAACGAACTCGATCGTGACAACGAAGCGGGAGACACATCGGCGCTCGTTAGCTGTCGAGAGGTCCTTTGAGCAACTTTGGGCGCATCTCGCTGATCTGCCTGGAATTTTACATAGCACGAATACCACGGCCCCTGTTACTTCGGTCTCGCGGCCTCTTTCTGATATTCCCTCGGCATCCATTCAATCACATGCGTTCGGTTCCCGTGAATGACCTCAGAATCCTGCCTCAGATTATCCCCGGCCTTGCACATCCAGCGCACGTCGTTCGGAGAATACTTTGATGAAAGGGATAATTCGTCTCGTAAATCGGCGCGGTAGCTAGCCAGTGGGCGCCCAACGATATCGAAAGTATCTGTGGTTTGTGCAGCAGCAAACCCACTTGGACGCGACGGGGGGTACTCATCACCCCAGATGCCGAAATTGATGTCTTTGCTCTGGAGCGTGCCGAAATGTTTCCGATATACTACCCCTGAAGGAGATGCTTGGCATGGACAACAACTCCCCAAGAAAACTTGTCCACTTGACTCTTTTCCGCTCATTGACGCTTATTCAAATCGAGAAGACACACTGTAAAAAGCTTGAACCCGTAGAAGCTCATTTTGGACAGTTTGGATCTATCACTTACAAGCGGCTCACGGACAGAATGGAGAACAACACCAATTGGAGACGTCATGCTCGTGTCTATAGCTGATCTACGCCTAGTCTAGTCGCCGCCCGGTCTCTGGTAGTTTCATTGAGCCCTCTACGCTGCGCCCCGATCTCCACACACAATGACTATACGTCGGTAAAGCTGGTGAAGGGAGCTGCTATCAATTTGGGTCATTCTTCCCAGATTTCGCAATGAGCTGAGCTTCGTGCAGATACTTGATGTATCTAACAAGCCGAAGCCTGGGAGAATGTTCAAGCGTAGCACTCGAGAGCCAAGTGCTGGCTCGGAGGCGCCTCCCGATTTGCGATGGCCACGACACTGCTCCTGGGCACGAGCGCTCCAAGCGCTCTTCGTCGTGGTTAAAGCTGGTGTAGATCGCGCTCGACTCCGGGGTCTAATGCCACCGTTCGTGCGGTAGCACCCATGCCGATATAACTCCTTCATGACGAACGATCTAACAACATCCGCGCAAGAACGGTCTGAACTCCGTCATCCCACGAATAATTATCATTCTCCTTGACTAGGCTGGAAGAACACAGCTAGCTCGGAACGGGTCGACAGAGACATAAAGCTCTTGGACTGTCCTTTCCTCTCTCTCCCCTTCTTCCTCTCGCCCAGCATTCCAGCGCCTCGTCATTCTTTACGTTGAACGTTTGTGTTTCCAGTCGCTCATTACCGACCAACAGTCACTCTTTTTACAACACCGCACAACACATCAACGAAAATGAAGTCCTTCACGACCATGCTGGCCCTGCCAGCCCTCTTCATCGGCGCTTTCGCTGCCCCAGCCGTCTCTCCTGAGAAGCGCCAGGTCACTCAGGTCGTTTCGACCGTTCAGGGCCTCATCGAGGAGGTCACTACCATCACCTCCAAGCTCAGTGAGTCACAGCTTTGCCAGCGCGAGCAACCCCCATAGTATCTAATTATTGTACTAACGCTACGTGCACTCTAGACGTCACTGTTGAGAGCTATACCTCTGTTGAGAGTGTCCCCAACTCCGTCGTCGTGACTGTCCAGACCGAGCTCAAGAGCCTCGCTGAGCTCATCGAGAAGACCACCACCATCACCTCCGGCCTCCCAATTGTCGGCACCGTTGCCACTGGCGTTGTCGGCGAAGTCGTTGACGTCGCTGCCTGCCTTATCACTGAGATTGTTGCCACCCTCGGCAACGTTGAGAAGGTCGTCCCTCTCGGTGAGTTCTAAAATACCCAGCCAGTCATTCCAGCAACGGCGCTAACATCTCCTCACAGAGCTGATCACCACCGAGGTTACCTCCGTCACCTCCGTCCTTGGCGGCCTCCTCACCACCATCGCTAAGCTCCTGGACATCGGCAACCTCATCCAGCTCGTCACTGGCCTCGTCGGCGGTGTCCTCCCTCTTACCAGCGTTACCTCCATCCTCGGCGGTACCACCTCCGTCACCTACCTCCTCGGTGGACTCTAGATTCTTTCCATTTCGTTCGCGAGAGATGAAGAAAAAAAGGGTGGTGTTAGGAGCGTGGTCTTGATGACGACGTCTCGGAATGGTTCGAACGAGTGAGCAGCCTCAGCTCAGGAAACGGTAGCTCGGGCGAACAGCGGTCTCTTACTTAGCGTCTTATACCAAAACGTGTACAGTTAATTGTAGTGTACATAACGGCAGCACTATGATATGCTCTCGCAAAATACACTTATGTCTTGAAGAAGTTGTTTGTTCTTTCACATGATCTTAGCTTTTCAGCTTCCTGCACCGCCTGATATCGTTGACTCCGTCTTGCCGGTTGCCCATCTTAGTGCATTGTTATGATCCATCGTGCTTAGCACCAGGATCCATGTCAGCCAAGATGAGCGAGTTATCTCTAGAAAAAGATATGATGTGTCGACTTGTAAGTTGTGCTTGCATTTCGAGGCTAGCAAGGTTCTCACGATCGATAGTCACTATGTACTCCCTCTCTCACGGCTTCTCTGAGCCCTCAGATCTCAGCGGCGTGCTATCTTCCCTGGGGCTATGTTGTCGAGGTCCTGCGCTTGATGCCACCTCGATGGGATTGACTTGTCCATCAGGACTCGCTTGACGTTCCATCCTGTCAATGTGACAGCGAATGTGATGCCACCACAGGGTTACGCACTCGGCGCACGCGACGTTGAGAGCCCGAGAGACCTTTCCAGGTCGATTAAAGTAATGTTGTTTTCGACTCACTGCTTCTTCACCCGCTTTGAAGCATTTCAAGCATCCCAAGTGTTCGATTGGCGGATTCTGCCCACTCTGCGCAAGTTCGGACACGGGCCTTGACCCGCATGAGCAACCTGTATGCGTCTTTGCCTTCACCATCATCATTCAGCCAGTCATTCGTTCGGTAAGCATACAGATCCAAGAGTAGAAGCGTGACGTCTTGCAGCATATCCACATGTTCTGGATACGTGATATACTGGTAGACCATTTTCAAAAGCGGTATGATGCGCTCTTCGCTTCGATTAGCCAAAGCTGTCCGGAGAGCGCTGCGATGTCGTAGCGCTGTTAGACATGTGAAGAAGTCCTCCTTCTGAAATGTCTTTCGGCTCTCGTTGGGCAAGATCAGGTCCAGCGCCTCAACATAGTTTCCTTGCCTGAGACTCATTTGCCATGGTTGCAATTTGTTTGTTCGTGGACGCTCGTTCCCCGTGATTACAATGTCTGCGCCTTCGCCTTTGAAGTCTTTTCCTCGGTCTCGCGCGCGGATGCCTTGACGTATGTCTTTCTTTTTCTGTCTGCGCTCGTACTCATCTCCCGTTCCCGCAACTATGGCTTGCATCTTCTTTTCACGTTCTCGTGCGCGAACCTTCTCTGCTCCCGCTAGACGTGTTCGAAGCGACAGTAGTCCACTCTGTAGACCAACAGCTAGATGTCGATCGTCTCGCTCGGCTTCGGTACCAGTGGCTGATGGTACCACGGCTAGACTCAGAACTGGCGCAGGATATTTGAACCCGGCCACGACTTCCCAGCTGACGGTGTTGTGTACTTTCACATGACCGTCGAGTCCACCCGTGAGGATGCGCGAGCCATTCTGCGCAGTGGATATGCTAGTGACAGTCTTCTGGTGTGATCTGATGACGTGCTGCGCTTTTCCAGCTACGAGGTCGACGATAGAAACCTCACTTCCAGCAGCGGCCGCCAGGGTGGAGCTATTCAGTGGCAGAACGTGTTCGATTGGAGACGCAAACTTCAACGTCATAGCACCTGTGTTGCCGCTCATTCTTGTATCCCACACCCGCACAGTCTGATCGTAGCTTCCACTGACGACCATATGTCCGCCCTGTCCGGGAAGATATGCGCCACTTCGTACATAGTCTTGGTGTCCTATTCCTGTCCATTTAGCAGCATCTTCTGTCAGATCCCAGATCCGCACTGTCCTGTCGTCGCTGCAACTCATTAAGTCCGTGAGGATGGTCGGACTCCATCTGACCGCATGCACTGGCAGCTTGTGTGCATGCTCGCCTCTCCATTGTCTCAAAATAGCTCTTGAACCAGTATCGAACGCTTGAACGATACCACTATCACCTCCAGCAAGCAAAATGCGCCCATCTCGTCTCAGCACTCCAGATCTTGCCGTGTCGTCTACCCCGAATCTGCTGATAGTCTTGACCAGTTTGCGGGTTTTCACACTGTATGTTTGGACTCTGCCGCCGCTCGTGACAGCAAATGTATCTGCCTGTGGACCGGTTGGGTTGTAGTCTGGAATTGTGATCGAGGTAACACCGGCATTGTGAGGTGAAGGAAGCAAGAGCTGGTTCTTGAACGTTTTCCAATGTGCTTGATCGGCCGTTTCAGTCGCCGGACCGGATGGGCGCCGCACGCGCGACACTGGTTGTATTTCCGCGGCCATTTTGAGATCGAGATTATTGTGCGGCAGTTGCTATCGCATTGTTGCGACAGTGATGTGTGAAGTCCAAATCGGCAAGAGATGGAGACGAAGAATTGACGTCCGCGAAAAATTGCCTTTCAGGAAAAGATGCTTGCTTGACGGACCGAGCCTTCTCGCCGCAACGTGTCATGGAAGTGGATTTCATCTGCGAGCACTTCTGTGAGCACTTCATCACCTCCCTTTCGATTTCCACTTTCCACCACCACCATGTCACATGTCACATGTCATCGATATCATGCATTGTAGCCCTACATACCGAAACATTGCATTCAAAGAGTGCGAATGGGTACGACTCCTTGTCCTTTGCAACAGACCCTGTGGAGAACATGCGCATAGCTCATGAAAACAGAGATGCTGCAAGCAAATAGTGCAGCCATGAGATGTCTACGAAGGCGTTACGAATGAATGCACGAAGGTCTACACACGATGCCCAATTTTATATCGAAAAAACTCATTTGCATACAGTAGTCGTCCAGAAACCATGTAATCGGGGACGGTCAGCTGATGCCGCCGGTATGCCGAAGAATGATCACAAGCTTCGGAAACGCATTGCTGTAGACTTACCTGTTCTGTATCGACAGCGCCGGTGCCGATACCGTCATCGCTCCGACGAAGCTCAGCAGATTTACTGCCTTCGCGCCACGTCTCAACGGTACTCACGGACCAGAAATACCATCCCCTGCAACTCAGCTCCACTTCCTGGTATCACGCCTGAGACACGCCTGGAAAGTTGCTGGCCAGTACATATACCCACAAGATTCTCCGGGACATGTACATGTATGACGGGTCCTTTGAGCCCTCCGTAACACCCGCATTCCTGGATCTCTATAGGCTCTCGGTAGAGCTCTACCCGGCAACGTGAAGTGCTTGCATGCGGCCCGAATTCGAGACTTCATACTTCTCATTAAGAGACTCCTCACTATGCCTCGAGATTAGACTCGGGACACCGACGACAACGAGCGACCAACTATGCAAGAGTCGGGCTGGAAACTGGCAATGTTCACATTATCGGCATTGCTGCGCTGCGCTGCGCCATAATCTGTCTTGTGTTCAGCATCTCATCCCGGACAAACGGAGGCTGTGATGGACAGGCCTAACGACGAATCGTTCACGAGAACATTGTCTCGATCAACCCTGACATTCTGGTGAAGACAGCATTCTTGGTCACTCTGTGGAATAGCATTAAGTAGGTCTTGGCATATCGTGCACGCCAAGGTCGAACAATTCCTGCTAGCAAGTGAAGCTGCAAGTGACGAACGCCATGTGAGCAGGTCCTCTGCCAATTCTATTTCACACTTGTATGAAGTTGATGTTGTACAGTGTTTTCCTCATACACTCAATAGCGTCGTCCGCCACGGCCTCCTCCGCCGCGGCCGCCTTGGTATCCGTTCAATCCACCATATCCACCTCCTCCTCCTCCTCCTGCGCGGCCTCCTCCGTAGCTGCCGCCTCCGTAACCTCCACTCCCTCTGTGGCCGTCACCACCGTAGCCTCCGCCATACCCGCCCCCAGAGCCGTATCCGTTCTGATGCGGCGGTGGAGGGTGGGGAGGTCGATAAAGATCGTCGCGCGACGGTGGGTATCCTTGGGGCATTGGTGGTGGGGCCCGAGACTGAGCAGGTGGTTGATAACCTCCTGGCGGCGGGAATCCATGCTGGGCGGCTTGCTGTGCGAGATGCGGTGGTAGGTTGGCAAAGACATCTGCTGCTCTGCTAGAGAAGGCATCGCCTCTGCCATACCCTCCGTTAGCACCGTAGCCGTTTCCGTAGCCGCCATTTCTGTTCTCTGGTCGGTAGCTGTCAACATTGTCACGCGCAGCAAAGTTCATCTGACGGCCGTCTGACCGGTCACCATTCTGCGACAGCTGTACACCACCATGGCTGCGTCCTGACTTCTGAGCTCGGTTTCGAGTTGTCTGAATGTCGTTGTAATCCAGCACAGGAGCAGAGAACTTCACACCCGGTAGAAGCATCGACTTATGTATGCTGCTGAGCTGAGGCATGTGGTACGATACCTTGACACTCTCGTCAACGTCAAGACTCGTGTATTGGTCCTGTTCGCCACCTTCTAGCGGGAAGGAAAGCTCCCCATTCGGACTGTAGGAGTGGTCTTTCGATGCCTTCCCTGACAGGCCCTCAGACATGGTCGCATTGATCTTGAATTTAGGCGCACCAGCCTTCTTGCCGTAAAAATTGGCGACGACTTCGCTGTAGAGTGGGTGTTTAGTGCTGAATATGAGTGCTTCCTCGCCAAACGCGTTTCGTCGATTTTCATCCTCCGTCAAGAGCGGGTACTTGGTGGCCATGGCTTCCAACAGCTTCTTTTCGTCGATGAAAGGCAATAGTGCAATACCTTGCCAGGACATCTTCTTACCGTTCATGTCGATCTCAAATTCCAGAGGGTAGAACTCCTTAATTGGACTATCCTCGTCGGTCATGAGAGGGTGGAAGACAGCGGGAAGAGTGTGATTGGATGCCGGCGGCATCACACCCATAAGCTGCTCGTAGGGATGGAAGGGCTTCCCTTTGTCAAAGTTGACAACTTGCTTGTCCATGTCCTTGAAGTCGGCCGCGAAAGGCGCGTAATGGTAAGGATAGTACCAAGTCCACGATGGGCAGCCCTGAAAGTAGTATAGCAGTACCCAGCACAAACCCTCGACGTAGTGTCGAGCAACTTTGTGTCGAAACTCGAGGTCGTCAGGCGAGACATGGAACTTTTGTTCGTAGTACCGGCCTTGATAGCCTTCCTCCCACATTTTCACGGAGTCTTCTGGTTCGCCCTTTTCATCAGTAGACGAGTTGCCGCCTAGCTGGCCTGACGTGCCACGGTCCCAGGGGTTGGAAATTTCTTTGTTGGGTGTATTGCGACCAGGGGTAGACGGATCTGAGCTGGCTTCGTCTGCTGCAGCATCGTCAATCACGTCGCGAGTTCGCTTCCCAAGTATCGGCGCAGCGTCGCCGTTGCCGCCGTTTGCAAAGAGTGCATCGAGCTCAGCCTTCTGATTGTCCGCCGGCTTCTTGCTGCCCATCAGCTTCTCCTTAAGAGCTGCGGCAGCTGACTTGTTATCCTGGCTGGCTTTTCCCCCTACAACATCTTGATGCGTGAGACTTGCAGCGTATCGTGGATCCTGTTTTGTCTGTGCGGCGCCTGGAGCAAATGTCTGTAGCTGGCTCGGATCTGGCGCAGCCTCGCCTCTTATGATACCACCTCGCGCTCCTCTTCGAACGAGCGTCTCGTCGTAGCCAGTCGGCTCACCACCGTTGGAGTATCGGGGCCGCTTGTTCGAGTGCCTCCGATTTTGTTCACGCTGCTTTCGCTTTTCTGTCTCCCTCAACTCAGTTTCTCGTCGCCTCCTAAAGATGGCATCTTCTTGCTTCGCCAAGCCCTCAAGAATCATCTGCGCACGCGCGAGATCAACATGTCCGTCTTTGGTCACATATCCGCCCATCACGGGTATGTTGTCCCGCCAGATCGCGATCAGAGTATCGATACCATCCTCACGAATGTCCAAGGATGGCAGATGCGGCAAGAAGTCATTACCGACGAAGAAACACATGAAAACCCAATCATCCAATGCTCTCTCCAAGTCGAATTGAAAGCCTTGGTTGGGTACGCTCATTTCCACCGCGAGATACTCTCGTAAGATCCCGACGTGCAGCCAAATGAACGGCTTCAACGGCGGCTTCTCAAAGCCTTCTTCTCCGGGCTTAGGCTTCGCTTTGCCCTGGCAGTTCACGGCAATGTGACCCAACTGTCCGCACTTCCTACATGCTCCAGGTTTGGTGTCCGACGCGAAAACGTCTTCTCGAAGAACGCGGAAATGAGGCTCGTGGGTGGCAATACCCAACATGATTAAGTCTGCGTCGAGGCCGTAGATAACGTGACTGTGCAGGTTAGCAAAATCCTAGAACCATGTGCATCTTGCGCGGAGGTCCAGCGAAAGCAGAAGCAGAAGCGGCAAAGAGACAAAAAGTGGGCGAAGCTTACCTTGTGTTGGGGTCGTGGTCTGGCGAACTGCGCTGCGACCTGACAAAGTTCATGATCTTATGCTCACCTTCACCGGGAACAGTAGCGTCAGAAATTATGACCTTCATCTTCTCCCACGCCGGGTCGGTAGTAAGCTTGTAGCTGACCCAGTATCGCAAGCTGGCGGCCAACAGGTCCATGAAGGGCGTGCCGGGCGTGATGGAGTTTGAATCCCAAGTCTTCTTAGGCTTGGCATCTTCACCACCGCCGCTCTGGGTACGCTCACCTCTGGCAAGCATCTGCGCGTGGAGCTCGGCCGCCGCCGCATCCTTCTCGGCGGCGTCCTGAGCACTGCGGAAACGCCTACTCCGCTGCTGGTTCATCTTTGCGCGAGGCGCAACGCCATCGACAGCAATCATCAGCAGCTTGCGCGGGCGGACCATGTTGACCACGCGCTCGGTGTATTCAAAGACGGCAATCATCATCTCTTCCTCGTTGGCCGGCGGCTCCCTGTCCTCAGGATGCGAGCACGGGTGAACGATCCCGTTCATGTCGAGATAGAGATTGTCGAACTCTTCATGGTTGGGATTTGGCCCCCGCGCGTCCACGGGAATTTTGGTTGTAGTACCATCTGGGTTTTCCACCTCCTGTGGCTGCTCCTCCACGACCGGAGTGATGATCTTGGGGTATTTCTTGCTGAGCCAGCGAAAGAGCGCCGGAACACCCATCTTGAAATAATGCGCCTCCCGGCGAGTATTACTCGGATGGTATTCGCGAAAGAACGGAGGTTGCGAAGGGGAGAGGTCGAAGGTCGCATGCGAGCCTCGTGCGCCTAATACCGTGATCCGAACGTGATCCCGCTCGATCCGCTCGTCCGTTCGGTGATCCGGGAAAGTGCGACTGCGGTCGTGCTTCAGCCGGGCAGAAGCGGTATCTGATGCTGCCGGCGCAGATGGTGTTGTTCTCAGAGGAAGGAGTTGGAGAGGGCGACGCGGAGATTCGGCGTCGCATGCTGCCTCCGGGAGCGACCAGATTGCGCTAACCCAAGCCGGCTAGACGCCGCTCCCGCGAAGCTTCAGAGGGCCGACCCTGAGATCTGTCGCGACAATAATTCGAGAACAGCTGTACATTGGGCACAATTTGCATCATCTTGTCTCCCCGAAGCATTCTCTGGCCGGCTATTAATATCGGCTCAACAGTGTGCTCTTACGTCAACAGGCGAACTTCAGACCATGAACTAGCTGCAAGTCTGCCTTAGGGCAGCCGACATCCAAGATGCTCAAAACACCACCCTTACAGACCGCGACTGCGACAATAGACACTTTGTGCGGCCGTCTCGAATCTGCGACGCTGTTGGAGGATCGGAGAGCAGCAATACTCGGTCTAAGAAGTTTTGCAAAACAATATCCGGCCTCGGTCGCCAGTGGCTCATTGAGAGAGCTGATCTCAACTTTGAAGCGCGATGGACTTGGCGAAGCCGGCTCGACCAAGAGTCAAGATGGCGAATCACGGAAAAGTCAGGAAGGCGGAGATGTGGACACAATCAGATTGGTATTGGAGACCTTACTGATGCTATTCAATCCCGACGCCAACTCACCTGAGGCTGGGGAGGAAATTGCTCTCTTTCTGGCTGATGAATTCTCAATGGTATGCGCTCTGTATCACATGTCATATAGCATAGGGGCAAGAGCTAAGCTAATGCCAGCGCCAAGAAAACATCACTCTACTCCTGAACCTCCTCGATCCCACCAGTCCGTACGCCGATTATTACTCGCGCCGTTACGCCCTGCAGCTATTGTCTGGTATCTGTGGTGCTCGAGCAGAGAGATTGCAGGAATGCATATTGTCTGCTCCACTGGGCATATCCAGGATTGTGGGAGTACTGGATGACGCGAGGGACGATGTGAGAAGCGCTGGCCTGTTGTTGCTGGAAGCCTTGACCGCAGGAGCGAACGAGGACCTGCGCAAGATTGTGGCGTTCGAGGATGTCTTCGGCAAGATATTCGCTCTCATACAGCTTGAAGGAGGATTGGCCGAAGCGGGCATAACAGCGCAAGACTGCCTGGCCTTGCTCGGTAATCTCATTAAAGGGTCAAACAGCAACCAGACCATGTTTCGCGAGTCTGGATGTGTCGCTCAATTGGCAAAACTACTGACGCAGGCTTTTCCCTCGGAAGCTCAGGAGGCTGCGTTCATCACGCCAAATCGGAATAAGGCGGCTTGGGGGCTGTTGCAGCTTCTTCGATGGTTCTTGGTGCCAGGCGAATCGAGTACCGCACAAAATCAAGCTGCTTTCTTCAGAGCTGGCACTGCGCAGATTCTCATCGATCTCGGCTTTGCACCTAGCTTGCCACCTCCGATCCAGACATCGGCTCTCAAGGCTGCATCTGCGCTTATCCAGTCGAACCCGCCGATTCAAGAGCAATTTGCCGCGCTCACCGTTATCACTCCTGCAGATTCGGAGCATAATGCAGAGCAAGCACAGAAGCAGCAACAACCGAACGGCACGCGGCCAAAGAGCGCCCTTGGTAACAGGCAAAGCGCTCGTACAAGCGTTGAAAATCGCAGAACGTACATTATCGAAGCGTTGCTGGATCTATCGCTCAACCAGCCACAAGCTGAGCTGATGCTCAGAGCCGCTTCTACGGGTCTTATTCAGGCGTATCTTTTCGGCCACGATAGAATAAAAGCTCACTTCTTGCAACGTGCTGTGGCTGGCCATACTGAGCGCGAGACTGCGGCAAACGTGCTCAACACCCTTCTTCACCCATCTGAAGCTGATGTCAGCAGTGTATTATTCGCATCCTGGATTGTTCAGGACCTGGTAGCTGAGAACTTGGAGGCAAAGATTGCCCTTACTGCAGTCAGAGAAGGCAATGAAGACGAAGGCGAGGACGTGCTGACTTCGATCCAAGCTCTTGGCTCGCAACTGCAAGCCTCGCTGCAGAATCCGATGAATGAGCAACTCATGGCTGCCTATGCCAGTCTGCTGACCGTACTGTTATGGGACTTTGCACCAGGCATCGACGACTTTTTGGCAGAAGGCTCAAGTGTGCTGCAATCGCTTGTAGCGGTTGTGAAGACTCCGAGCGACCCAGTCGTAACCGGTCTATCCGCGATCCTACTGGGCACAGTCTACGAATTCAGCACGAAAGATTCCCCCATCCCAAGAAGAACTCTAGCGCCGCTGCTCCAGCAGAAGTTGGGACGAGCGAAGTATCTAGATGCCCTGCTCCAATTGCGCCGAGAACCCGCAGTGCGGGACTACGATCTAGCTATGGAAACGGATGAAGCTGACGACGCTTTGTTAAGCAGAGTCTACATAGACTTGTTCGCTGTAGAGTACTCACGTCTGCGGAAAGCTATCGACAAGGATCCTGGTGTCGAAGTATTGCCTCTATCGGCCGCGGAGGCTGGCGTCGATCGCGATGTCCTGGATGATCTTCGCCAACAATTACAAGCCGCGAACGAGGCCCTCGCACAAGGACAGAAAGAAGCAATGGAAGCCAGCCAAAAGAACGAGCAAGACCGCATGACCGTCGGCAAGGAGCTTCAGACCGCCAATACTGAAGTCGAGAGGCTCCGTAAGATTAACCAAGCAATGCAGCAGGGGCACGAGAGCGAGATGGAGAAGCTGCAAAACCAGCATGAGCAACAGCGCCAGACTATTGAGACTCGCCACCAGCATGCAATCAACGATGCCAGAAGAGAAGCCGAACGCAAAGCACAAGAAACTCTGCGTGAGAGAGAGACTGCTTCGACTCAGAAGATTCAGGAACACGAGCGAAAGATTGCTGAGCTTGGCAATGCGCATCGAAGTGAAGCCAGCGGACATGCACATGTTCGACAGCAGCTCGAGGCGCTCACCGGCAAGCACAACGACATCATCGTTCGTGAGCGAGACCTCAGCCGACAGCTGGAAGAACTGCAGCGACAATACGCTGTTGCGGATCAGAGCTTGCAAGCAGCTACAACCAAAGCCAGCGATGCCGAGTCCAAGCTAGATATTGCCAAGAAAGCGCTCGATGGTCGCGGTGAGGAAGTTGAGAAGCTAAAAGCAGAACTCTCGGAGCTTAAGGAGGATCTCAAATGCAAAGAGGGGGAGCTACAGACTGAGCGAGCTGGATTTGCTGAGCTGGAGAAGGAACTTGAGGCTGCGAAGGAAGCGGCGTCTGCCGCGGAAACTCGTGCCAAGACAGCCGAAGGTCGTGCAACAACTGCTGAGGAGGCGCAAAAGACTGCTCAAGACAAATTGAAAACCGCAGAGGAGAAGCTGAAAACTGGCGAGGCAGCCGCAAAGAAGGATGCAGGCAAAGGAGGCAAGGGCAACAAAGCCGACAAGGACAAGATTGAGAAACTAGAGAAGGAGTTGAAGGACGCCAAGGAGGCGAAACAGGGAGGCAAGGGAAACAAAGCCGACAAGGAGAAGTTTGAGAAGCTTGAGGCCGAGCTCAAGGAGGCGAAGGAGAATGAAAGGAGCTCTAAAGACGAGCTTGAGAGCATGTTGCTCGTCATGGGCGATATTGAAGCCAAGCGTGACGCCTATCGTGCGAAGGTCAAGGAATTGGGCGGGGAGGTATCTGAAGACGACGACGACGAAGATGAAGACGACGAGGACGAGGAAGACGAAGGTGGAGAGGATGATGTTGATCAGTAATGTAGGAATGTGAGCATCAATTCGTCGCCTTCAAGCTCGTCGTTACGCAAAATGCACACTGATTGCCTAATGCATGAAGCTAACTACACTTGGAGACGCAGATGCATCGAAAGCTACAAGCTGAGAGCTCAGCCATCTGTAACACTTCCATCTGCACTCTCTTCTTCCATTAGGGATTTTCTGATTGGATATCTACTTTATCTACACAAGGCGCCAGCACTCCACAATGACAAGCGAGAGGATGAGGAGGGCGAAACCTCCGCGAGCAAGCGGGCTCGGCAACGAGGTAGTAACACACGCAGAAGAGGATGAAGCTTCAGAATGCTCTTCTACGTCGACGTTCGACTGGGCAGAGGAAGCTGACGATGAAAGTGCCTTTGACTTCTTTTCCGGCCAAGTCGTGGGGACGATCCAGGACGGATCGCCAGAGACCAACATTGATGCACCAGGCGCACACGACAAGGACTCGAATCGTAAAGATACGTGGCAATGGCTTCCGCTGCTCGACGTGAATCACATTCGCGTGCTGTACATCGAACCAGCTTCTGGGCCGGATGACAACAGTCCCGTCAGCTGCCGGTTCGAAAGAGTTTCGCTGGGGGACTATTGCGACTATTTCGCCTTATCTTACACTTGGGGCGAGACCAAGGCCGATGGGTCTCATCTATCTGACGGCATCACCGTTGATGGTTACCCTTTCATGGTTACGTCGAATCTGCATAGGGCGCTGCGCAGGCTACGTAGGTGGAGAGGACCAAGTTCTTCTGGTTTACAGATACCTGCAGTGTGGATTGATGCTATCTGTATTGACCAGTCTGATCCGACGGAGAGAAGCCGACAAGTCATGTTGATGGACAAGATATATCAAAATGCTCGACATCTAATCATCTGGCTTGGGGAGCTGGGTGAGGACCCTCAAAAAATTCTTGAGGACAACATGAAAGCGTTGGTTGAGCATATTGCGGATGAAGAGGTCGAAGCCGAACGAGCAGCATTTGTCAATTTCCAGCTGCGGCAGCGGAGATACTTCAAACGCCGTTGGGTTATCCAAGAGGTCTTCTGCTGCAGAGGACCACATACTCTCTTAGTGGCTGACTACCAGCTTCTGGCGACAAATGTGACGACTGTCTTGGGACAGCGAGACCAGCCACTCGAATTCACCACATACGATCAGCTTGCATCAACGTATGGACGGCTTGCGGCGGTTAGTGACGCTTCTGGCCATAGTCTTTTCAACCAACTCACGAGCAAGACACTACTGCAGAATCTTATTGACTTCGAAGACGCGGAGTGTTCGGACGACCGCGATAGGGTCTATGCGCTGAGGAATGTGAGCTCAGATGGCAAGCACCTCAAAGTTGATTATCGCAAAGATTCAGAGGAGCTATTCCGTGCTCTGGCAGCGCAGTGGATTGCTGCTGGTCAGCTTCGGGTTGTCCTCCAAGCTGCCGTTGCTCAAAGGCTCACAGCAAGTCATCCAGACAATCTCGATGAGATTAATGATATTTCAACACGTTGTACACCCACCTGGATACCAAGATGGCTGCAACGACCTCCCGTCTTCGTCAACGCCCTCCGACTGGATGCTTTCTTTTCCACGCCTCGCACAATGGCATCGCTAGAACCACCTTCCCGATCAGCAACAGAAAATCCGAATCCCTATGAGGTCGATGGTATATTCCTTCGATGTCGCGGATTTGTACTGGAACCCTGCGAACACCATGAGAATGTACCAGCCGGGCCTCTAGACGAGAGTTGCAGATACTGTTTCCTGCTGGAGATTCTGCGCGAAGGAGGAGCCCGCTCAATGACGGATGGCAAGCCCTGGTCGCTGGGCGGTATATGTTGCGTTCTGGTCCATTCGAACCTCGCATTTGGAGTGAGCCGGACAGGCCACGAGGGTCCTTCGACTTGGGAAAGGGCATATTCTGTGAGAACGCGTATATATGACATGCCGATGAAGGAAGGTGCTTGGTATAATCCATCGGATGGACGATCCGTTGCGGCATTTGCACCAGGTACAGTGACTCTAGTCTAGCAAGCAAAGGATGGTCCCGCTTCTCCGCTCGCATATGTATCGACCAACGAATTTCGGATGGCAAGAAGACCTGCTACACAGATGAATCCTCCTGCTATGATTGTAAGTACGGCACACGAGAAGCCGACTTGTTGCTTTCGAAGGGCTTGCCCGCCTCAAGGCAAACCTCTGTGTGGATAGTTGTACGCTCGAGCGTGGCCTAGGAAGTGCGTCTCTGTACAAAGACAAGAAGCTTGAATTCGTCACTGTGGAGCCCAGGTAGACATATGTTACGATCCCGAAGAGCACATTGACGAGGTAGATGTAGAGAATGTAACAAGAAGCGCTTCAGTGAATGTTAAGTGAATCAGCGACAGACGCTAAACGTAAATGAGTTAGCTCAGATGCACGGACGCCATTCGAATCTCGACCGCGTAAGTTCCGTGTCGTGGCTTCAATTTCCAAGAAAGACATCGCCGAACAATGTCACGAATACCGTCAGTCTACAGCGTCATGTGGACGCCAACACTACGTACAAGCCGCGCGCGCATTATACCACAGATCCCGTCACACCGTACAGTACCTTTTCGGCGGAGCTACAACGGCCCCGGTCAGGCTCCACACACGACATACTTTCAACAACCGCCACCGCAGCAACCTTCACGAGGTCGACGCATAATCAGCAACATTCTATGGAGTACAGGGTGCTTCGCTGTCGGTGGCTTGACTGTTATTTGGGCTCTAGCGGACGAGCTCTCCGTGGAGAACCTTTCGGAAATTGCTAACAATAGCGACATTCCACTCCAAGAGGCTATCATAGCTGGGACACAAGATATTCTTGCCCGAAGGGTCGAGCCGATCAATTCTATCGAAATGGCAACCGACCTCCTCAAGTCGCACTCAGGCTATTCGGTCACTCCCACAGCAGTCTCCCACACCGGCCAGTTACCGTCAAATCTTCCATGCGAAGATACATGGTGCAGTGGCCAGTACGTGCACTTCAATGACAGCAGCAAGGACTGGTGTCAATGGGCGCTATTCGATGGCCATGCTGGGGCACGGACTTCCGAGTTCTTGAAGGATGCTGTACCCGGAGTCGTTGGAGGCGATTTGGTGAGAGCTAAATGTATGGACAAGCCGTACGTGCCAAACGACATGCACATCTTTCGGACCATCCAAAAGGCATTCCGCTTTGTCGACGACGAATTGATCAACCACGGGAGCAGATCTATCGAATCTGATTCTGCGGCGCTATGCGACGTTGTGGCGACGGCGGCATCGGCCTATGCCGGATCCTGCGCCCTGATGGCCATCTTCGATCCCGCAAAGTCGATCTTGCGCGTGGCCAATGTGGGAGATTCTCGCGCTGTTCTTGGGAGATGGAATGGCAGCAACTATGTTGCTGAGCCCATGTCTACAGATCACACCGGATTCAACCAGGACGAGGTCGCGCGCTTGCAAAGTGAGCATCCTGGCGAGGACGTTGTCGATCCCAGGACTGGTCGTATTCACGGACTCGCTGTGAGTCGTGCTTTTGGCGATGGCAGATGGAAATGGGTGGAGTCGATAACGAAAAAGGCTCACGAGAAGTTTTTCGGACCAGCTCCAAGACCCAATGGCGTGATCAAGACGCCGCCTTACTTGACAGCCGAACCCGAAATCAAGGAGACTCGAGTAAACGAAGGCGATCACCCAGACTTTCTGATCATGGCGAGTGATGGACTTTGGGACTTGATGTCCTCGGAAGACGCAGTAACCTGTGTCCAAATGTGGTTGGGAAAGAACAACCCGATCCAATTTCTGCAACAGAAGGAATCGGCACAAGCACCGAGCTGGGGTACCTTCTGGAAAAGTTCGGAACCACCTGTCGCGCCGCCAACGTATTACTCTACCCTGGACCTCCTTGGCGAAAATGATGAGGTATATTACGACGAGAACGAGAAGTGTTTGCGATGGAAGGTGAGCCCGAAGCACTTTGTCGTCGAAGACGATAATTGCGGCGTACATCTCATCAAGAATGCCCTCGGCGGCAAGCGACGGGATCTGTTCACGGGTGTGCTGACGGTTCAGCCACCGTACAGTCGCAATGTCCGCGACGACATTACGGTGCACGTCATCTTCTTCGGCATCGACCCGTCTAAGACGACTAAGCATCTGCGTTCCTAGCCGTTCGGAGAGCATGCGGAGATTGAACGTGTTGTACAACAGCGATGGAACCAGACAGCAATTGTTCCCAGAGCATAGCGAGGTGTCACGAGGCTCATCCTATGGGATTCTAGGGGAATGGCGCTTGCATCGAAGGGAAGATGCTGTTTGTACAAAAGCCAGTCTGCACACAAAATAAGGTGATACTTCTACATGAGCACTTCACAGCAGTCATCGCCCTTCCTGTATATAGAAAGCCATTGATCATGATACTGCTTGTGATACGGCTTGTGATGCGGTGCGTTCGGCTGGGGGGATTTATGACCAATTCATGCAGACGTATGCCGTAGATCTTCTTCCAGCCCGACAGCCGAGGCGAAGGAGGAAGCTCAGCTCCTCTTCCCACGGTCAAAGATCGTGGAAACCATCAACGATGTAGTCGAAATTGCCTTCTGGTTCATCGAAGATGTCATATGGCGGGACTCGCGGTGGCCGTCCGTTGGAAGAAAAGCCTTATCTGGACGGATATGACGGCAACACATATCGCCCATTCGCCGACCTTATACGCCTGGAGAAGATAGACGACAGAACATATAGGTCTGTTGCTCCTCCATTTGCTCCTGGTGGCAGGTTCGGTGTTGGGAGATCATACGGTGCTCACGTCTACTGTCAAGCTGCTTGGGCGGCGTGTCAAACGGTGGACAAGGGCTTCCTGCTTCATGTATGTATTGAATTCTGCCCTCTCGAACACGCAACGAGATGCTGACTTTGCGCTAGAATGTCTCTGGGAACTTCATCCTCGCCGGTCAACTCACCGTGCCTTTCGTCTACAATGTTGACATTGTCCGAAATGGTCGCTCATATTGCACACGGATCGTGAGCGTCACTCAGAGCGAAGGAAAGGGTGTCTGCTTCACTTGCATTTGCTCTTTTAAGACCCCGGAACCCCTGCAGGTGGAATCGCAGCAAGACATGGACCTCTGGAAAGAGTATGGCGCGATGCTCGGTGGCAAGAAACCGGAAGACTTTCCCGAATGTCCTGGTATGGATGTCCCGTTCTATTGGAAACAGCGAGCGCAAACTGGTGTCAATGATGAGTTCCCCGGACTGGAATGCCGCAGAGTCGACATGGAGAGGTATAACGAATCAAAGCATCCACTGGATCGAAAGCAACTCATCTTCTACCGAACGATCGGCTCGATGCCCGATGATCCAAACATGCATCTGTGTGCTCGTAGGTATACGACAGTACTAGGAGTTTCGTTGCTGACGCTCTTTCCCCTAGACCTGTACGCGTCGGATCGCAATTCTCTTTACAACGTAGCGAATGCATTCGATCTTGGAGACCGTTTCACGCAAATGAGCTCATTGGTACACACCGTGGTCTTTCACAGTCCTGCTAAGCAGCTGGCTTTCGGTCCTGGAAGCGGCCGGTCACCGTCTGACAGCAACGGGGGCCGATGGTTCTGCATGGAGGCCTATGCCAGCCGTATAGGCAGTGGTAGAGCCCTTTATCAATGCCGTATCTGGAATCCGGAAGGAATAAACGTCACGACTGCAATGCAGGACGGCCTCATCCGATTTATAGATGGAGGCAAAGCTTCGAAAGAGGAGGAAGATGAATTTGCGGATGTTCAGAAGCACTGGAAGAGACAAGAGAAGCTTTGAAAACGACAGCATTCATAGGAAAGGCATGCATGAAAATACAGAACATAGACGGAAGAGGCACGCTAGTTGAGTATCAGCATAATCATCCTGCTACCATCCAAACAAGTCTGTGCTAAGCTACAGCCTCCTCGAGTCATGTTCTGAAAATATCTCGGGTACGAGGAGAAGCCACTTTGAGTCATCAACAAGATAGTCAAGACGAACAGGACTTGAAGGTACAGCTCTATCCGGAAACTTGGAAGTCATGCCTGGCTCAGTACAACAACTTCAATTGCTTTCCTCCTTTGACGTTCGCACAAATTCTGGAGCAGGTTCTTGATCTACTCTTTGTTGCCAATATCATCGCTCTCTGGCCAATCCTGTCTGTGCCCTCCATACTTGATCTTCCATTCGACGGCGTACTTTGGATACAAATTCCTCCTTATGCTTTAAGAAGCCGCCTGGTCTCAAGAGTTAGTACCTGGTCGAAGCAAACATTCCGGAACATGACTTACCTTCTTGCGGCCCTGTGCAGTATTTCTGGCTTTCCATGCGGCTGCATCAGGACCACGAACACCTGTGGTAGGGTGCGCACCCTCTGCTGGCAGACCTGGGTGCCACCAGCCCCTTCCACCATGCCAGAAGTTCTTATCCGGGTGGGCCTTCACGTGTGCGGTGGGATAGGTTCCTTTCAAGCCACGAGCACTGCTTGGGGCTTTACTGCCGGACTCATGCATGACCGTGCGTCTGTAGGAGGGGCCTCTACGGTCTTCTGTTGAGGTGAGGACGCTAGCGCCCTTCAGTTTTGGTGGGCATCTCTTGTCGACGCGTTCGTTGGCAGGTGCAGCATACATCACGGGAATGCCAGGCGTGGAGGACTCCTCTTGCTCTTCCTCATCGTCATCTTCATGTTCATCCTCGTCTTCCTGGGGCTCATTCTTTTTCTCGTCTTCCTCTCCCTCATCTTCCTCGTCTTCTCCAGTATTTTCATCCTCGTCTCCCTCCCCATTCCCATCATCTTCTTCTGGCGTTTCTCCATCATCCATCTCGACATCCTCGTCATACTGGCTTCGGCACGAATTCCCTGTCATGAACGTCCTGTCTCGCAGACCCGTTGTCCTTCCAGCGCGAGCGAGTACTCGCATGAGCTCTGCCTTCTGCGGAGTGGGCTCAGGTGTTGGATACAGATAGGTTGAGTTGCGCTTGGAGATCAGCATTGCCTCTGCTTTGCCACCTGGTCTGAAATTCGAGGTGCGCTCTAGTTCGGCCGGAGGACCGCGGGTGCTATTGAAGGGAGTCGAGTTGTCCATGTCGAGAAGATCGGTGTCCTCAAGCTTGGCGTGGCCCGCGCTGCTGGGGTCTTTGTAGCTCAGAGCCGCGATGATGCTCGTGGAAGGCCTGATAGCGCCATTGAGCTGAAGAGGCGTGTCCATCTCTATAAGATCGGCGTCTTCTAATTTGGCTTGGCTGGCCATGTTGTTATTTTCGCCGGTGAGAGGGGAGGTGACATGCGATGAAATGGAAGAAGTGTTGGTGTCGTGTAGCTGATGGATGTTATCGGTTCTCACGTTGACTGTTTCAATCCTTGCACCGCTAGGACCACTAGCGCCATTCCCTGCCTGAGGCTGCAATTCATGTGCGTGCGGTGACAACATTCTCAGGTACGACCTTCCTTTCGACTTTACTGGGAGGAAATGGGAGCGGAAGAAGCTATCTGATATATAGTATAGACGAGCCAATCAGCGAGACTTTGGAAGCTAATAGTCGAAAGATGCACGTCTAAGACACACATTAGAAAGAATTTGCATTATCTTGCAATTGGTTTGTGTTTGTGATATACACAATGCAAACGAAGCCATATGTTCCAGTATTCTTCATGCTTGACTAGCAAAACTCTTGGCTTCAAGCATCAGTGTTGGGTACTACAAACTCGTGATGCAAACGACAGTTCTCTGTGTTGGACCACCACTACTCCCAGACATCGACAAATAGGCACTGATTGCAACTTGACAGGACGCGTTATTACTAAACAACTCGTTATACTCAATTTGAGCTCTACGTGTTGGTGCTTAAGGAGAATGCCCCTGCGGTAAGCCGCTGGGTTGAGGTAATGCTTTCGATGATACACTACAGAGCTGTAGAGGCTCCGGTGTCATACTTATGAACATCAGCATACTGCTTTAATGCTAACTTCACAGTTTTGCTTTGTGTTGTGAAGAGTGTGGACAAAGCTGAGACCTTGAAGCACGGCGCATGTGAAACGTCCCGATTAGGTTTAGCGCAAAGTAAGTGAATGTTCCAGGGAGTGTTGCAGCTCGACCGCGGCGAATTAGAATAGGGACAAGCTGAGATACGGAAAATTGGAAAGGCTCATATAATTTTGACTATTAACTAGAGAAGCCGCTTGTGATTATGGTGACGGTCCTTGTTCCCTAGAAGGACTTTCTCGCTGCACCGCAAGCGCCAACCCGAATTTACATGCGCTGTCCAGAAGTGTGAATGTCTCAAACACGTACTATGGTCATGCCTCAATCCGAAGCCTAGAATATTTCGAATAGTGATCCAGTGGTTTGGTAATCCCGTTCAGCACGAGTGTCCCTCAGGAAGGCGCCGTGTCCCCTCCTGAATCGTTGTGAGCCGATAGCGTCGTATCTCCTTCTTCTTCGTCGTCGTTGTCGCATAACATCCTCTCGACGAGGATTTCCTTATTCAAACGCAGCCACATCTTTGCTGCCTCAGCCTTGTCGTTGCTCTTTTGCTCTGATGCGTTTGGTGGCTCGTGGCGGAGCGATGGCGCATACCCACCGCCCTGAAGGTTAAAGTGTGGGAGCGACGCCGTGACCGGTATGCCGTGGAAGACGTAGCGAAAATCAGCTAGGCTGTTGGATGAGTACGGATCCCAGCGCATTGGCAGGCCTGCAGCATCATAACGGACGTTTTGGTTCAGTGGAGCCGGATTGACGTTCCGAGAACAGCGAGCCTGAAGAACAGCCGTGGTGGGTGATGATGAGATACTACCGCTTGATGTTGAAGAGCGTGGCTTGTGCACATGGTCCGATTCGCTCGTGGTTCCGGTAGTATTGTCGTTGTTGATGCAGTCGGTGCTAATGTCCCGTCGACTGCTCTGCTTTCCCTTTTTGTCAGATGAGGCGGCCATTCCACCCATCTTGTTGGTACTGAACGTGTGATGTAGAGTGCGATGTCGTAGCCACTGCTTGTTCTGCTGCTGCAGCAGAAAATGTCAGGTAAAAGTCTCTGGGTGCCAGCTAGGTAAGAGATAAAAGGAAAACACGAGAAGTAGAAGCTGGTAAATTCACGTCAGCGCAGCAGTGCCGTTCACTTGCTTCAAAGAACATGCCCGTGCGCGATCGCTTCACCTCTTCAAGTCTCGAATTCGGTACATCATTACGACCGTGATCACTATTGGCTTCGCGATGGGGCAGTGGTCTTCTGTTTCCTCTGGATCCCCCAATTCGTTGCGTAGTATACAGCCCGGCGATCGTGAAGCACACGCAGCGTTTGAGATCTATAATAGAACAATCCGAGCCGTTTTATGTCTATCCGCATGTTTGAGAGCTTATGCAATTCTGCGCGTGGACGATCTCGTCTGTGGCTAGTACACGTAATTTTGAACCGATATTAGTGCGTCTGTGTTACTTCACAAAGGGATTATGAGTTTTATTTGTTTCAATTTGGTCTAGTTGCTCGGGGTTTGTGGCCGCAGAATGTCAAAGGGTGCTTCTGGACAGGAGAGGCATGTGATTCTTGGCGTCTCTGCGCATCCAGCGCTAGCTACCCGTCGTAAGCGGCTTCGTCTGTCTTTCAACTTGCACTAGCGTAAAGCTACCAGCATAATCTTCTCAAACGCACAAAAACCGTCCACGCTCAATGCGTCCACCAACTTCGCATAATGGCGGACAAGACTTGGGAGCAAAAGATGAAGGAGATCGAGGAAGGCAAGTCGGCGGCCGAAGTTCACCACGATCCGAACCCGACTCTGAAATTCTCCCTGTTTGGCGACGAGAATGAAGATCCTGGTCCGCCAGGCAAGCGCAAGAAAGCTAGAAGAAATGGTAGATCCACACGCGATCACCAACTTTGGTGCCTAGCTGACTGCCGTTCTTTGTAGATCCTGACGCCACAGCAAAAAATCGTATCCGATACGGCAAGAATGGAAAAGGCTGGAGTATCGATGAGACCCTCGAGCTGCTGAAGCTCTATCGCGCCAACGACGAAGACACCCATGATGAGATTGCTCGGCAGCATTCGATCGCATTCCATGGGCATGAGAAGATGCGGACCAAGCAATCTTGTCGCTTTGAGCTGAACAAATACGCCAAGAAGGCAGATAGCTCAAAACTCGATGCCGAGATCAAGAAGTTGGAGCAGAGGAAGCTGGATGAGGAAAAGTCTGGAGGGGATACCAACAGCTGCGCAGTCGAGGATTGGAAAAACGCGCTTCTCACTAGGAACAAAATTAGTGCATACTACCTCTGTAACATTACCGCCTTGCGATACCTAGCGTTTAATCACACAGTATCTCGTAGGTTCTGAGCTTTATCTGCAGCGTGAATGAAACTCGCGAACGACGCATGTGAGAAACTCAAATTGCCACTTCACTTTTCGGTCACTTCGTCTAAGACGTCAACCGCACTAAGCTCTCACCAACCATCAGCAACACGAATTTCTCGGCCGCATCGCCTCGCAGCGTCAAAAGCTGCTATGCAAACACCGCAAGCGCCTGCACAAACAGCAGAATGGCCCTCACCATCACCTCAATGCTCTCCAGACGCACCTGGGCCAACTCCTTCGACCTCGCCCTCGGCGCCACAGCGCGCTACACCCTCCCTCAAACCCTGGCCCGCGCAATCCACAACCTCACAATCCTGTATCCCTCGCCCTCCAACCACCAAACCATCATCGCGGCCCTGAAATACGTTCGCCGGCACATCCAGCGCGACCCGACCACGCTCGTCAAAGACATGGACCTCTCCGCAAATGAAGCCACAGAACAATTGGAGATGGATCTTTTGCTTGGGATAGGCAATTGTTTCGTGGCGCCGGCGTATTGCGACTGGACGGCAGAGGCTTCGTGGGAGAATGCGGTGAAGTGTAAGGGGTTGTTTGGAATTTTGGCGGAGAGGGTCAGGATGGGGACTATTGATGGGAGAGAGGGAGACGGAGTGCCTTTCGAAGGAAATAAGCAATATGGGACAAAGGAGTGGGAGGGGAGAAAAGAGAGAGAGGTAAGTGAAGAGGTGGATTTGGAGGTACCGGAGCCGAATACGCCTAGGGAGGATAAGGACGCATGGAATGGGGTGAAGGTTGTGGCTTCTGGCTTTTTCTGAATGCGGTCTCCAAAGGATCGCGTGGCAATGTGGAGTTGGTACAGACACTGGAGCCTCTAAGCTAGTATGCCCACGGTCGTCCAAAATCGTAATTGGTGAATCTCGAAGGACTGCACGGTATTCGTTATTTTCTGCGTTTCTTGATCTATTGATGCCAAGGCGGCTAGGGGGAAGAAAGCTTGTCCAATAAGGGCTAGCATACCATCAGGGATTTCTGGACTCGGCCGACGAGCTCCTGGAGTTCCTTCGGACAGCGTCAGATGCGAACCGGGTACCATCACGGCAAGCTACTCAATCTAGCAAGTTTGGTATCATGAGGGAAAGTGCCAAGAGCTTGTCGTGGGTTCCCAAACCCGAAGAGTCGGTATGCCGACGTCGATACATGGATCCGACCATCCAGGGTTGAGTGATCCCGGGTCGCTTCAATGCGATGTTCGAGGAGTACTGAGAGTGCTCGATGCTTTTCTCAGCTTCCACCACGGCTGCAGACCTGTGTCATATCCGATGAGGTGGTCTCTGAGCAATGCTATCAGGCTTATACGTGGGCTGTGCTTTGTGTATACTGCGCGGACCGTGTAACGGCACATTCAGCGCCTGCCTTTTCAGGGTTAAATTTGTCAGCGCGTCATCTGAGGCAGGGGGGGTAAGGTACACTTGTAGTCTGGACCCCGCGAGAGACGAAATGGTGTTTTGTAGAGACGGCGTTGTGTGAATCGAAGCGGGACGACATGAGGAGGAAGGTCCCGTGATAGCGCGTTTCTAAGGTTCAGACCCCCTGAAAGACTAAAAAGTAGGGGTAAAAAGTAGGGGTAAAACTACCTTAGTGTGTTAGGGCTGTTGGACGTCTAGCGGATGTTTCACCAAGACGGATATCCGACCGCAGACTCCCCGTCCTCCAAGCAAGCAAGCAACCACTGGCCCATGCAGTCTCCATTCATTTGGCTACTCTGGTCCGCCAACGCTCGTTCATCATTCTCTTCCATTCCACTCCTCCATCCCGTCCGCTCCCTCTTCTTTGCGCGCGCAATCATTCGGGCATCGAGGTACGCCGTGGAAGAGGAGGAGATTAATACCACATCCCCAATACTGCAGGGTCTGCTGGCTCAGATCCCCGGGAACAGGAGATAGACGTTTGCCAGCATGGAGCAGATTGCGATGGACTCCGCAACGGCACCACAACCACACTCTCTCGCACACCCTTCGAAGATGCCGCATACAGACGACACGGAAGCAGCTCCAAGCCCCGTCGCTGCGGAGCGGAATCAGGAGTCAGGGAGCGCAGATACCAACTCCACCACTACCCGCGTCGACAGTCCCACCACCGCCGACAGGGTCACGGAACGAGTCACCACACCGACCCAGGAAGCACCCTCCAAACCCTTCTTCATCACCACCACTACCATACACGACGAGCCCGCGGAGGACATCTGCTCCTCGCCCCAGCCAGAGACCCCTACCGGCCCCTCAACACCCACCACCCCCCATGACTTGGCACGGGACTCCATGGCTTCAGTTGCCCTGTCCGAATCCAGTCTCGACTACGACCATCTCTCTCCTGAACAGGTCGAAGACGTCCTGGCGACTCCACGGGTCACCGGCGCCCGCCGCCATCTTCGAAGAGTGAGCAGTCTCGACATCCTGCAGAACAAGTGGGCTCCGCCAGAGAGGCAGAGCACCCTGTTCGACACCTCAGATGAGTCCATGCATGAGCCCATGTCCGCGATCGAACTTCAGGGAGCCCGAGACGTATGGGCAAGAGATAGTAAGGAGCTTCAGGCTGACGACGTCAACTTCGGGTGGAGGCCTACGAACGTAACAAGAGACACAATAGACATGCTAGAGCCTGGCGCGTCAAGACCAGGCAGCGTGAGTGATGCGTCATTACGCCGCTCCGATGGCTCATCGTCGGATGAGGAGACACAGGTCAATTGGCAAGCACTGGACAAGACTGAGGAGCAGGAGAAGGAGGACAAGGATCTACCCAAGGGCGCTGAGGATGAGTCTACAGCTTTCTTGCTGGCCAGGTTGGAACAGGAGAATGCCAAATTCGCATCAGACCCAAAGGCAGCGTCGAGCAGGTCCAATCCTGCAAAACGGGCGCGAGCTGGCAGCAGACCGCCCAGCATGGCGCACCTGAAGAAGCTTGTCTCGCAACAAGATGCTCCATCCATCCGATACAGTCTTGCATCGGACAATGGTATGCCAGAGGTGCCGCCCATGACCGAGCTGGAATACTGGGCAGCGCTCGTTCAGGATTATCCGAGCACTGCGGTGCGTTTGCCCACTTTGACCACGACGAAGATCCGATCCGGTATTCCTCCTCCTCTCCGCGGTGTCGTGTGGGCGTCAATGGCAGGTGCGCGAGACAGGGACTTGGAAGAGGCGTACGATAAGCTGGTACATGAGAAGAGTCCATACGAGGGCATTATCAACAAAGACGTTGGTCGTTCCTTCCCGGGTGTTGAACTCTTCAGGGAGGCGGATGGCGAAGGTCAGAGAATGCTCGGAAGAGTGCTCAAATGCTTTTCTTTGCATGATAAGGACATCGGATATTGCCAAGGACTAGGCTTCTTGGTCGGTCCACTCCTCATGAACATGGGTGAGCGGGAGGCCTTCTGCGTGCTGGCTCGGTGAGTAAACGTTTTCTTTTCCTTCAGAGCATCTATATTCGCTAACATGCTCGAAGCCTCATGGACCATTACTCACTTCGTCCATCCTTCCTACCTTCGCTATCTGGCCTACACATGCGGATCTACCAGTTCTCTTCGCTGCTCAAGCAGCACCACAGCAAGCTCCATGGCCATCTGACCGTCCTTGGCATTGAGCCGGCTTACCTCTCTCAATGGTTCTTATCCTGCTTCGCAGTCACTTGTCCCCTCGAGATGCTGTTCCGCATATACGACGTGATCTTCGCTGAAGGCGCGAACGAGACTGTTATGCGAGTAGCGCTTGCCTTGATGCGAAGACATGAAGAGACAATGCTCGCAACTACGGAATTCGAGGATGTTATGCAGCTACTCCTAGGACGGTCGATGTTCGACTGCTATGGTGGAGATGCAGACATGCTTGTGGACGATTTCACATCTTTGGGCGACAGTGTGACGCACGCGCGTCTCGCAGAGCTTGAGCGCGAGTTCGAAAGCCAGTCTTCGGAGATGGTAGGGCAGAGCGCTGGCTTCCTGCCAGATGTGCAAGCAGCAGCGTCAAGATTCTTGGGCCGACTGTGGGCGCCCAGCTATAGCCACACACCAAGCAAATCGGTTGCTAGTACAACAACGGGACACACGCCCAGTCCGAGCGTCTCGACATTGTCACCGCCGTCTACGGAGAGGGATACGTCCAGCAGCGGATACAGCATATTTGGAAGACCTTCCACTTTCTTGAGAAGAAGCCCCAGTAAACAAAGCATCGGCATCGTCAACGACAGCAACGGCAGCGAAGATAGCACATCTACTACCGGATCCGGCGCGCATAGTTCTGTGTCTACAGCGATAACGGAACCTGATACACCCACTGTCGATTCCAAGGGCATGGTTCGGGAGAGCTTTGCTGACAGCGCGAGCATGAAATCAAAGGCTGACTCAATGCTACCCAGCAGCCATAGCATGCATGGCAAAGAAACGCAAGGACTACATGCACAAATTGAAGACCTCTTGACGGCCATGACAGAGATGCAGAGAGAACATGCCCAATTGTCCGCGATGCTGCAGCGGGAGAGAGAGGAGCGGGGTGAAGATCAACGCGTGATGAGACAATTCGTTGGCAAGTTGCGGAAGGATGAGAAAGAAGGTCGAAGAAAGACGATGCCTGCACCACCACAAGCGAAGCTTGAAGTACCGACGAAGAGTCGTCCACTGAGTGTCGGCAATCGAAGCGAGATCCCTCTCGACGGGCAAAAAGAAGAGCCTAAGGACGAGATGGAAATTCTTATCGACAAGGCACAGGAACGTCTCTCGAAGAGCTCCAGATTATCCGCAAATCAAGAGACCAAAGCACAGCTTCGGAGCACACTTGCTCGAACGCGGGAGCAACTAGCCGCTGCAGAAGCCCATTCAAAAGACTTGACATCGCAATTGGAGTCTGCCGAAAGCGCTCTGAACGCTTTCCAAGCGGAGAGCGAAGACCTGCGATCCGAGGTCAAAGAGCTCAGGGTGAGAGTGGCAGACGACTTCAAGGTACGACAGAAGCTGGAGCACCAACTAAGCGAGTTAAAAGCCCAGGCACGATCAGTCGAGCGAAAGGAGAGGCTACAGCGGGCCGAGAGTCTGCAGGAGGTTCCTACTTTGGGTCGAAAGGACTCGAGCCCAGAAAGCAGAGCGAGACAGGGCAGCGTTTCCTCACTGCCTGCTGGATCCGTTGTCAATGCAGGTGGCCTTCGTGAACTCAAGCTTGGAAGACGAGACTCATCTTCGTCGGTCCAGAGCCTAATAAGGCCGAACTCGCGGAACATTACTCCAATACAGACTGAAGTGGTAGCATCGTCTTTGCGACCTCAAGACACCGCCTCGTCCGGTAACGCTTCCCCGGTTGGTGGCTCGCCCGATATTGTCGTCGAAACAGCACCTTCGCCAGTTGCACCTTCTCCGGGCTTAGAAAAGGCGGACAGCTTGGCACCTTTCCAGCGCACTGGCTTCGCCAGGAGAACGACAAGCCTCGCGGCAAAGGAGGTATTTGCCACTCCCGCACATGAACCCGTGCCTGAAGAGGCATTGTTGCTTGAGTTGGTCAACTCGAAGACTGCCGAGGCACAGGCTAAGCAAGAAGTCGACGAACTTAAGAAGGCGCTGTCGGTCAGCAAGCGGAAGCAGGAAGAAGCCGTTAACCAAATGCGCGCAGAAATGGGAGCGATCAGAGCTGAAGCTCAAAAGGCTCAAGAGGCTGCTCAGGCCGCCAAGGCAGAAGCTGAAGCAGTGCGGATGTCCCAGCTTTCGACTGTTGGCACGCCGCTCTTCAGTCTTCCACCGACTCCGTGCCTCGAGGATCCCCATGGAGCTGGCGACATCGACGGCGGAACTCCCTCGTCACAGGGCACGCCGTCGGACGAGAAGCCGTCAGACATCGTTGTGCAGAAGAACACGGAAACGTCTGCATCTGCACCTGGACCTGCGACCTCTGTCGGTAGTTGGTTCTGGGGTCGGAGAGCACCCAGCAAGGGTAGCAATACTCCAGAGTAGGCATTTCGAGACGGAAGGGAAGGGCACAGGTGATGCATTGTGCTAATTAGCGTCATTTGCATTGACAACGATTCTTGGAAGGGGTAAGACTTGCCTTGTGTATGTGTGTTCCTCAATAATGTCTTTACGTGGAGGTGCGTGGCATAGCATTTGCATGAGGCCTGGGAAGAGTAGGCATTTTACAGAGGAAGTATCTATCCCTGGTGGATAGTAAGTGAACCAGTCGAGATGATTGTTTCTTTGTAGCATAGTATTCAAAGACACGATTCTGTATGTCTAGAGTATGACATCTCTTGATATACTGCGCTTTCGGGACGCCGAGAAGCTATCCCAATGTGCGCTGCGGGGATTGTGAGCTGTGATGGCCACGCGGCTTGAAGAAATTCCTCCATGCGTACTATTTCCACACTCAACGTCCAGCGGATTCCATATCCAGAGCCAAGCGTAATGCGGTGCATGTGTGAGCGGAAAAACTCTGTACGTGGGAGTAGGCCAGAGGCGACTATGTTCACTTGTTCAGGGATGCGAACCGCCATTCCAGTGCGATCAAGAGACAAACGACATAGAGCTTGATAGCTGGGTGCAGGAGGTATGCTAGAAGGTGCGCAATTGTCATGACGACGACTGACTTGATTTATTTCTCGCTGAGTTGAGCTTGAGAGAAGTGGAAATACCCGTGTCCAGGTTGCAGCGTTTGCAGAGCAAATCGGATGCTTTGGATCACAAATTGCACAAAGACGATGTTTGCAATCATAGAGATCTCCTCTTTGGAACGAGCATTGAACGCAGCGAGATTTCCAACACTCAATCCTTGGTGCAGAGACATTGGCGCCTTCAACCCCCAGCAGTAGTGAAGCTAAAGCCTCGAGAGCCGTCCTTAAGCTGCCGTCTTCGTTCGCTTTGAGAGCCATGCTTCTACGCCCGAGGCCACATGAGGTGCATTAGGGGCCAGTTCCCGGGAAACGCTCCTTAGCATCGTCTTGACGAGCACCACGGCGGCGTCAGGCCTTCCATATTGTCTCTTGGTCATTGCCCCTGTACTTACGAAAGCTTGATTCCAAGCTCAATGGAAACCGCGAGCTATCAAGCACGCTGCCGACAACGTGTGGGCTTTTTCGAAAATATCGTCACAGCGACTAGTTGAAGGAACTGCTATGACTTCCTACCAGCGGCTTTCTGCAGGGATATGAGTGTCTGTTCTCATATAAGATGGAACATGTCGTACCAGGTAACAGTCTTTCAGCGCCATGAACTCCTGTATGCACATGTCTTTCTTTGCGTTTTGATAGTTGGCCGCCACGCATTTTCCATACACAGCACCCTGCTGGTTTCAATCACTGATTACTTCATGAGAAGAGGGGACTCTTACCTCAGCTGTGCATTTGGCTGTGGCTGCCGCGAACTTTTCAATGGGTCGAGTCCGGTTAGGCATCTTCGCGCTATGGTTCAGGTGTTGAAGTTGGTCCGAGTGAAGCAGAGGGACATGGACGACGTCAAGCCGGAAGCGCTAGTGGGAACGCAGCCGGCTGGCTACCGACTGGCCGAAGATGAACGGGCACTAGCGGCTGACTGCATGGCATGATAGCGCCGCGCGCGCCAACCACAAGCGAACATCAACAAAGCGCGTTCACGCAACACCGTCCGCGTCGGCTCAGCATTCACCTTCATCGCTCCGTTACAGCTCTTACGACACATGTCATAGCGTAGTGAAGCGATCAATCTCTCAGACAACGCATGGAACGCCGCACCCGATGACCAGGACATTCTCGAAGCGCGTCCGGCGGAAACACTTCCCCCCACCTCTCACATGAATGGCTATCCTCCCGACCGCGAGCTTCCTGAGCTGAGTAACGAACGTACGATCAATGTCATGCCATTTGACCTGCCAGAAGCTGATTGAACACTAGAAATTGTCCTCCTCGACTCGATCTGCAAAGCCGCATCCCAGTCCACCAAAGCGCCATTCAAAGCGCTTACCGCAGAATATGAGGCGCATTTCCAAGAGAGGGGACTTGATTCGAGTCGCGACAATGCAATATTGCGATGGGTTATGCGCGTGGGCGATAGCGCGAGGAGACAGTATCGCGTTGGACGGCCGACGGACTTTGTCCCCTACGTGAGAAGCTTGCTGGAATCGCAAGGAATAACTGTGATCGATGACGATGAAGAGGGCGAGATTGACGGCGTGACACGGTCACTGGAGGCTCAGCCAAATTCTGCTCAACGAGATGGTGCGACGGCGGAAAAGCGAAGAGTTTCTTTCGACGACGCGCGCCTGGAGGAGACGTGGTTGAGCGAGCGATCACAGTTTCCACAATCTTCACCAGAAGCAGCGCCGCACACATTGTTGAGACAACCCCCACGAAGGACAGCGGACTTCCGACCAGCGCCACGAGCGAGATCGGTCAGCAGCAGCGAGCGTCATTCTGTTGTACGGCATCCAGCGCCAAAGCACTTTCAACATGCCTCCCCTTCTCGTTCGAGTGCTAATACTTCGGAACATGAGGAACCGAAAGATCCAAGTCTCTGGTTTCAGCCTTCGCAAACAAGACTGGAGGAGGATGCGGACACGTTCTGGGCCCACTCAATCATTCGACTGACCCGGAAATGCTTGCACATATGGCACGACACCGCTCTGGTAACTCTCGCAAGACGCTCCGAGCAGTACAACATTGCTGCAGATTACGACAGAGAGCACTTACTCAGACCGGCCTTCGAAGCTTTCCATGGCCTTTACCGCGCGCGTCGAGCCGAGAGAGAGCAGGCGTTGGACCACCAGGCTCATCTTGAGGCGCTTTGTGAGCAGTTTACGCGAGACAAGAGCCAGCGCAAGCTCGACGAGACGTTCTCACATTGGTACCATTCTGCTATCTATCAGAGGCGAGTTAACACAAAGGCCAGAGTGGAGCATCTTAAGAAAAAATTCTTCCGGCTCTGGCGCAAAATCACACTTGAGAGCGAAACACAAGCTCGCTTGCGCGTGAGTCGAAAATTCCTAGCGCTATGGCGCGACAGAACTGCCCGAAAGCTCCTGGTCTATGAGCAGGCCGATGCACATTACGAGGAGACTCTAATGCGCAAGTACTTTACGCAGTGGTATTGGCAATTGTGGAGCAGAAAAGTGGAAGTCTGGCGCAAGGAAAGGCTCCAACGAAGATCTCTAAGAATCTGGCAACGCAGACTTGCTGAGCAGGATTTGCAGGAACAGGGCTCGCAAGAACTCAGGAATCGACGCCTCGCCCTATCAACTTTGCTGAAGCTACAGCATGAATCAAAGCAGCGTCGGCAGTCAAGCATTTCTGCCGAGGCGCACTACGGCCGTAAATTGACGAGCGGGTGCATTCAAGAGTTGCGAGTGCACGCAAGATTGGCTCCGCTTGCAGCCACGTTATCACTGAAGGTTACCATCAACCTAAAGCGCAAATGCTTCAAGATCTGGCAACTTCAACTATCACTCTGTCGCCAGGCAGCCGATGTTAATCGAAAACGTATCTTGCAGTCAGCTTGGACAGATTGGAACGATGCTCTACGATGCAAAGCTCTCGCCCAGCGCATCAATGAGCGCGTCCTGCTTGAGAACCTGTATAAGTGGGTACTCCATACCAGAGAAAACTCCTTCCGAAGATCACAAGAGCAGAAGCTTCGGAGGCGGACATTGGTCGGATGGAGCAACAAAGTACATCAGGCGGAGAGAACGCTTGAACAAGCTACAGCTGACTTTGAAGCCAATCAACGTCAGCGGAGGCTGAGATCGGGTATGTTGCAGCTCAACATTGCGCTCCGAAAACGCGAAGACCTTGAGCGCGAAGCAGTGGAGTTTTCAAACAGTCGCACAATTCCTGACGTGCTCGCGGTCTGGAAGTATCGAACAGAAGAGGTCCAAAAGCTCTCCAGACAGGCTGCGAGAGCACGCTTTTGGGTGCTTGGCAATAGGACTCTTAGTATCTGGCACGAGAAGACCACAGAGCACAAGCATCAAAGGCGGCGAGAGGCTTACGCGCAAGTACGATCAAAGACGAAGATCAGGATTGTCCGGACGTGCCTCTCCCGCCTGCAGGCCAAGAAAGCCGAGCTTGATTCTATTCGGGCTGATGCTGAACAAAGACATCAAGCACGTCTATTCAAGATCGGCACGCAAGCTTTCGACAGTCTACGCGAAAAGGCAGCACAGTACACGGACCTGGAACTGCGGGCCAGGGCCACCGACCAGCAAAGACTTTTGTTCTCAGCTTTTTCAGCCTTGTTCAATCGGCATGCGGACCTTTCTGCCATGGAACAGCAGTCTCTGCTGATGGAGCAAAAGTCGGATCTAGCTTTGCTTGGCAGTGCCCTGAAGAAAGTGCAGTGGGAGACGTTCACGGCTGCTCGACGAGCTAAGACAGCCGATGCTCTCTGGGACAGAATTCGCAGCCAGCATATCAAATTGATGCTCAGACATTGGGCCGCAAAGGCTGCGTCTCAGAAAGCTGCAAAGAGTGCATCTGCACCACAGGATCCTGAGAGCCCCAGCATTAGGCCTGCCAGCCGGGCAGCCTCCAGGTCTGCAGAGAGACTGGCTTTCACTAGCTCTCCACCAGCGCAGACTGCGACTCCCGGATACATGCGAACACCTTCGAGGTCAAGGAAAGCCGGCCGTTTCCGACCGCTGTCAACGCCCGCTCATGTCACTCCAATGTACTTCAATCGCAGCTTCTTCGCGACCGCGCCAGCTCCTCTCGCGAGTGCTCAGCCAGCTGAAACCCGTGGAGAAGCCAATGAGATTTTCGGTAGTGCCACGCCTCAAATAACACCATTTGCTCGAAAATTACGAGCAGGAGGCGTGACTCCGGCTCCTCATTCCGCTTTGAGGAGCAGCAATCTTGGTCGCTCTGTTGCTGGAGGTGGAACGAGTAAGAGCGTACGCTTTGCCGGATCTAGCAGATTTGGCTCAGGGACAGGAGCTGGGAAAAGCAGACTAAGTCCTACTGACGAGTGAACGGAAACGATGAAACGATTGCCCATGCTCATTTTGCAAAGTCATGCACCCCTAAGTGTACATGATCTAATAATGCTATCAATCCCATTATGCTAGACCCTGATCTGTAGCGTGGAATTTTCGCGTCCTGAGCACTGACCAAGCAATCTAGAAACGCGTCTTGCCCATGGTCAATCGAAAATCTTTGAGGCCCCGGACTATCAACGATCGAGAGCATTAAGCAGGTAGTGTAGCGACGAAGAATGCGGACAGAGCCGTCAATCTCTGGGTAAAGCTGAAATTCGCATTGACACTTCGCCCATCTCACCGCCATGGAGCCAATTCCTAACAGCATCAAGTTCACGTCCACGGCAGAATTACGCGCCTCTCTCGCGGATTGCATTGACTCGACGAAGGCGACGACAAATACGACCATCATGGATATGGACGAGAGCGCAATCCTTACCACAATACATTGTGATGCGGGACCAGAGCTTCTGGACAGCACAGCTCATGCGGCCATCACCAGTAAGTGGTCGAGCTGGCCAGGTTTGACAAGGCCGCCACCAATCACGACTAGGGGTCTCGAGAAAGTACATTTTGACCCGCGCGTTGTCACTGAAGCTAAGAGACTGGCGTCTTGCGAGCCTGAAGGTGAAGTTCGCAGTCTCAAGACTCGTGTCATTCACTCCACAGGCTTGACCGAAGATGACGCATAAACTGCTTTCATCGTTGTCAAGTCATTCGCTGTTCTCATTTATGGTAAATCCACTGGATTTCTGGTCAGCAATGGACATGGCGACCTCGAAACCGAAGGAGGAATAACTTACCCATCAATCACAAGATTGTGTCCATTCACCAAACTGAACCTCGGCGTACTCAAACAAACAACAACATCTCCGACCTCCTCGAAATTTGCCGTCCTTCCTTGCCGCTTCTCGTATATGCCCCAGATCTCGTCCGGTAGAGCACCAGTTCTGGCCGCAGGCGCCAAAAGCTCTGTTTGAAGAAAGCCTGGAGAGACACAGTTGACTCTGATATTGGCTCCGCGAGCTTCTAGAGAAGCGGCTTTGGTGATGCCGACTACCCCGTGCTTCGCGGCTGTGTATCCAGTTGTCCCCGCGCCCGCCTGTATGGAATTGACAGATGCGGCATTAACGATGCTGCCTTGTTGCGGTACTCGGCCTTCTTCCACGTCGATGGAAGATTGCTTCATCATCTGTTTCAGCTCCAGCCGAGTACACAGCCAGACTCCGACCAAGTTCACGTCGATTACTTTCTTCCACTGCTCCAGCGAGATATCCCAACTCGGTGCCAGAGGGCCGATGATACCGGCGAAATTCGCCGCATAATCTATGCGCCCAAACTCCTTTACGGCCTCCTCGACGGCTCTTTCGACCTGGTCTTCCTGCGTGACATCCGCGCGAATCGTAATGACTTTTGCACCATACCTCTCTACCGCGGCCTTGCCTTTCTGGAAAGTCTCGTCGTCCTGGATGTCGACAAGCGCAATGCCTTTGGAACCTTCTTTGGCGAAGGAAACGGCTATGGCATTTCCTAGGCCTCGAGCTCCACCTGTGATGAACGCTATGCCCGGGGCTACTGGTCCGTTGCGGAAATGAGACATTGTTCGGGCGATATAAAGCGGTGATTGGTAGGACTGGTCGATTTTGAAGAGCGAAGGAATGCTACTCTGCTTTCCCTACCTTTTGTACGTTGCCACATTCGCCGGAGGGACAACTCATCCTGCCGGCTACCTTTTGGCGATTCCCCCTCTTGAACAGGAAAGCCTTGACCTCGGCACTTGGTTGGCTTTCCATCCGATGAAATGGAGGCAGAGAATCGTAGATTCTGAGCAACGCGAGGTCTTCTTATATTTGCGGTCCGTAAGCCATCCATCCACACCTCATTCCAGCTTCAGTAAACACGAAAGGTTTCTTCATCACCCCCTTCATCTCCACGGGCTGATGTCATCAACGCACAGTGTGGAGCAATGGACGTGTAATGCCCGTGTAATGCCGCCAACCCCGATAGGGGAGATGATGTAGCACCTTGATCGCGTGAGCAGGCGCCCATCGACGCGATTGAGCTACCCCGCAGTCTCCCGTTCGAGCATCGAACATGTGATAATGGTGCTACCGCCAGCTCCAGCCTATGCCGTGCTGATATATCCCCTGGAGGAGGGGCATTCGCAAGGGGAGATGAAAAAGACAAGCAAGAGGGGTGGTCCTCCTGCTTTGCCTTCTCTCACCCAGCCAGCAGACACCAATCCACCCAACTTGCTATACACCGCCTGAAAGATTCCTATTGTTTCCTCAGTTCATCGAACAAAGTCGACTTTCTGCATCATCATGTCTCAGTCCTGGGAAGACAGAAGAGGTCTCTTCCAACGAGGCAAAGAAATCCACGAGCCAGGACGTAAATTGTCCGGCAGCGCGGGAGCAGGCGGCGTGATGGACGCCGTCCGAAGAGCCTCAACAAGCAGTGGAAACAGCGGCAACCTGGTCGACAAACCACTCTCCAATGACCCAGGCTCCCCAACTTCTCCAACAAGCCAGAGACGTCGAGTAAGCATTGGCCCTTTTCCAGAGCTCCTCATGCTCCGTGCTGACATATCGGATGAATCCTAGTCTTCCACGGCATCCGGCGGCCTCTTCTCCAATCTTCAACACCACAAACGCGGCAGCGAAGATTATGCCAACCGCCGTGCGTCTCAGACAGAAGCTTTGGGCACAGGCAATGGTCTTGTGAGCGGATGGTGGAATTCTACATTTCGGGGTATCAAGAAGCCGAACAATCTGCCCGAGGCCGCGGATTCCAAGAAAGGCGTGATGGAGTGACTATCTGATCGAGGGCCAGAAGCATGAGCATATACGAGAGGGAGAGAAGAGCAGGGCGTTCGCCGACTCTCCTTTGCTGTAAAGGTACATTGGTGTGTCGGATGGAGTCCGGAGTCGGTCAGCTGTAAGAGAAACGAAAACGACATCAGTATAACGAAGCGTATGAATGTATGAGTGTACGAGCCAAAGGGCGTTCTTTTCGCTTCAACATATGACCCCCACTTGAAGCCGCCATCAGCTCTTTCGGTGTGAATCTCGAAATGATAATGCCCAAATCTCATTCGGGTATTCGTCCTCATTCATTTAGTCATGCTATCGTAGAGTATCTTTGATCTCTATCATGTAGCTTCCGCCTTCATATTGGTGTGCACCTCTTTGGGCGCATCGAGTTGTCGATCATCAATCCGACGGCTGCCATGGACATTGTCGGCATCTTTCCGTCTCATGTCTTGTGCGTGCACGTGGCTAATCACCTCTCAGACCTTGAGGAGCTTAAGCAGCAGGCGAATCTCCTTGACATCTGTCTCGTCCTGGTCGACAGTCTCGCCAGCGCTGGTCTCACCGTCTCGTACCACGCCCTTACTGGCTGCCTTGACGAAGGTACCCTTCTGCTGTTCGAACATCTCGTCGATCTGTCGCTCATGTTCCAGTCGGCTGGCCTCAGAAACAGCAGTCGCTTCGCCATGCGAGGCGTCATCTGTGCCGTCGACATTCGTCACTGGCAGAAGTACCTTGTAGGCGACCTGAACATCATCCGTTGGCACCAAGCCAGCTCGCTTTCGCAGTCTCTGAATGCGGTTGAGCACCTCTCTTGCTAGACCTTCTTGCGCGAGCTCAGGATACGCGAAGCAGTCCAGCAGAATCATGACATCAGCATCGACATTTGGCTCGAAGTTTTCAGTCTCTTTACTCTCCTTGAGACTTCTCTTGACTCGCAGGTCCTCATTGACAAGCTGATGTCCTTCCACTGTGAGGCTACCAGAATCCAAAAAGCCACGGATATCGGCAGCCGACAAAGCAGGCAATGCTTTTCTGATCTTCACGGCATCCTTCTTGAATTTCATTCCGAGGTTCTTGACGTCAGCATCGACCGTATACTGAACGCCATATTTGTTCTCGTCGCTGGTGAGAACTAAATCGCGAACATTCAGTTCTTCCGTAATGTATCGGTCAAGTGTTCGAACATCCTCGAGGAACTCTAAATCTTGGTGCAACACCACCAGTGTCTTCAACGGTGTCTTTAGGGAGACGTTCTTCCTGTCGCGACATAACCGACCGAGCTCGATGACCTTCTGCATTCTGCTCACACGGCGTTCCACTACATTGTCGAAAAGCTCCTCTCGTACGGTTGGAAAGCGGAGGAAATGTACGCTTCTAACGTCATCTTTTTGCTTCATCGCTTCTGGGAGGAAAGGTGCCAATCTCTGGAAGATGTTGTCGCTCAAGAATGGGATGAACGGTGCCAGCGCACGAACAAGCGTGAAAAGCACCTCGTAGAGAGTGTTGAGGGCATGCAGAGTGTCGATCTTGCTGCCTTCTTCCTCGTCCAGGCCATTGACCTCCGACGGCGCTCCATTGGCTTGCGCTCCATTCGCAGTCGGCTTCGATGCACCGGATCCAGCTTGACCTTTTAATCGGTTCCTGTTGAAGCGTATGTACCAATTTGTGACATCGTCAACCATCTTCAGCAGCCTTGGAACCACAGTGTAAAGTCGATAGTCCTCCATCTCTTGGTTGACATACTGTAATAATGACTGCGTCGCAGCCAAGACCCATCTGTCCATCACGTTGTGGTTTGACTTTTGCATTTCAGGCTCGAAGACAAAGTCCTCGGACGTGTTCTTCTTAAACAGCGCTGCCTGTTGAGCGAAGAAATTGTAGGAGTTCCAGAGAGGGAGAAGCACGCCCGAGACAATTTGCTTGACACCCGCCTCTGAGAATCGAAGAGGCTCGCCTCGCACGACTGGTGAGTCAATCAAATATAGTCTCAGCGCGTCGGATCCGTATCGATCAATGACGAGCATCGGATCAGGGAAGTTCTTGAGTGATTTAGACATCTTTTTGCCATCCTCGGCCAAGACAATACCATTGACAACGCAGTTCTTGTATGGAAAGGTGTTGAAGAGGTGTGTTCCAAGGACAGAGAGGGTGTAGAACCATCCGCGAGTTTGGTCAAGACCCTCGGCAATGAAGTCTCCGGGGAACTTGGTGAAGAGCTCCTTGCCAGGACCGTTGTCTGGTGATAGCCCAGAGTCCTTGTCTGATGGATCGAAGCCGGGATAGTCGAATGGGTAATGTGAAGAAGCGTAAGGCATGGAGCCAGACTCAAACCAACAGTCGAAGACTTCTTCCACACGCTTGAGTGTGCCCTTGCCTTGCTTAGAGGGAATAGTAATGTGATCGACGGAGTCCCTATGCAGATCCTTCAGTTCACCTTGAAAGCCAGACAGCTCCTTGAGCTCAGCGACTGAAGAGACGCAAACGACCTCTTTCATGTCGTCGGAGACCCAAAGGGGTAAAGGAGTACCCCAATACCGGTTTCTGCTGACATTCCAATCTTTCGCAGCTGCCAGCCACTGGTGGAAGCGACCAGTCTTTACCATCGACGGCACCCAATGAGTCTTCTCCAGGTTGTTGAGCAAGTTCGGTACCACGTTCTCCACCTTAATGAACCAACTGGGCACAGCACGCTGAATGAGTGGCGTCTTCGAGCGAGGACAATGTGGGTATCTGTGAGTAATCTGAGACTTCCGCACCAGACGACCAAGACCTTCGAGATGCTTGATGATGTTCTTGTCAGCTGCCTTAACGTGCTGTCCTTCAAAGTCCGGTACTTCGTTTGTGTACTCCCCACCAGCATTCAGCGGATTTGGCGGAGGTCGCTCTGCGTTGATAATCCCTTCTCGCCACGAGATGTTGTAATCATCCTCACCGAAAGCCGGAGACTGATGTACAATGCCGACACCCTCATCCTGCTTGACATACAAGTCGAGAAGCACCTTGTATCCAGTGTGCTTAAAGGTGTCATAGAAGTAATTGAAGAGCGGTTGATACCTCATGCCTGCAAGCTCAGAGCCCTTGATCTTCAGAGGAAGTGTCTGGAACTTGTCCTTCGCCTTCTTGGGGTCCTTGTAGAGCACCTTCAGGCCAGCCTCAAGCATGATATAAGTCTTCGCAGTCTCTTTATCGTGCACGATAATGTACTCGTAGTCCGGATGAGCGCAAAGAGCAACGTTGCTAGGAAGTGTCCAGGGTGTAGTGGTCCATGCCACGAAGTTCACATCGCCGCCAGCCACCTTGAGGATCTCCTCTAACTTGGAGCGAACCTGCTCCGGTTGCTCGTTCACGGGGAGCACAGGGAACGAAACTGTGACAGCCGGATCTTGTACGTCCTTGTATTCCTCACCAGCCTCGCTCTTCGACAACGGTGTGTTCAAAGCCGTAGAGTAGGGCAAGACCCTAGCACCGTGATATACCAGACCCTTCTTATGTAGCTGTGCGAATACCCACCAGCAAGTCTCCATGAATGTCGGATCCATCGTTTTATAATCCCGGTCGAAATCAATCCACCTTCCAACACGGCCCACGACCTTTCTCCATTCGTTTGCATAGGTAAGCACAACCTCGCGACATCTCCGATTATACTCCTTGATGCCAATCTTGTCCACGGCCGCCTTTCCCCTCACACCAAGCTCCTCTTGTAGCTTCTTGTCAATGATCTGTTCAATTGGCACTCCATGTGTATCCCAGCCGAATCTTCGCTCTACGAAACGTCCTCTCATGGACCAATATCGCGGGATGATGTCCTTGATGGTGGAAGCGAGAAGGTGGCCGTAGTGAGGCGTTCCGGTCGCGAAGGGCGGGCCATCGTAGAACACGTATGGCTTCTCGTCTTTCGTGAGTTCGAGCTGGCGGTGGAAAGCGTCTGTATTGTTCCAGTGTTCCAAGATGCGCTCTTCCTCCTTCGGGAAGTTGATGGAGCCCATTGCGGGCGACGTGCTGAAGCGTTTGCTCTTCTTTCTTGCAGACTGATGGCTCTCTCCTACCTCCTCTTTTTGAAAACTTTTCGCGTGTGGCAGAAGCGCTGTGCAGGGACAATGTCTCACGGCAAAGAGTCAACAAAGGTGGGATGAGTCGAAGGCTCGCCAGAGCTTGGCGTCAGGCAAAAGTTTGTGGTCTGTGCGTCATCTGCCTCTTGTGTCTCGTACCTGAGCTCACATACCGGACTTCATCTCAAGTTGTCTTCCGCACTGTACTCCACGTGAGAACGGAAACTGAATCGGAAGAAATTCAGGGTACAGGTATATCTTGATCTATCTCAAAAACTCAATAGCTGGACGCAGATGACCTGGACTGTTCCTTGACGATGCCTCGTGATCCATGGACAGGGCTTGTAGAAAATGCTTCTGGCGCTGCGTGTACATTTTATCTCTTGATCTCCGCCCGTCCTTGATCTCCTCGCGAATCCCGTAAAGAGACCTCTGGACATCGTCCACGACATCTCCAGAGCGTGAAAGCTCTGCCTCCAGGGGTCGAGTCCGGTCCATAACGACCTCCAGATCCTTCAAAGCATACAACTCCTGGCCGCCAGTCCGCAAAACTTCAATCAATCCTGATAGATACGCCTGCTGCTTCCCGTAAGGACGTCGAAGCCGCGGCTATATCTCACCCTGCTCTCGATCAAGAAACCATGAACGAGTACGGCTCTGTTCGACTTTAGCTTCCAAGCACTGTAGATGCTTCCACTTAGGCAGACACTCGATATCGTTCTCAAGAACTCGGAGTCTCTGATCAAGTCTCTCAACTTGCAAGAAATGGTCGTTGTCCCATGCTGCGGCGATAGAGCCGTTCACCAATCGTACTTGGCTTTATATCTGCTCGATGACTGCGTCAGCTGCCATGTGCGCGCCGATGTCGTCTATGGTGGCACTTCTCCCGTTCCGAATACAAGTCCTACCTTAAGTTGGGTAAGCTCCGCCTGATATTTCTCTGGCGATCGCGCTGAAAAAATCGAAGCAACGGATCATCATGTTCGGCGAAGAAGAAATAGAAACTCATCTGGCGTATCATTCACTTTAAGGTAAAGTGAATGTTTGGGAAGCGTAAGCGATCCGCGCGTCAGGAAAACAAATCTCGAGTAATCGCAACATTCGATTGCATCTACCTGGTATGCCATGCTATCGGCAAGCCCATTGGCACTATACAACGCCCTGTCACAATCCGATGGCTATCTGCGGGCAACAAGCTCTGGCGCTGGTCTCACCAACATCATATGTTCCACTCAAGCCTCTTGACACATCTCACGTGCTCTTCAGAGCCCATCATCCAGCAGCGCAAGCTGAGCCCGCACCTAATGGGCCTTCTTCCGCAGGAGGACCTGCTCGTGCTTGACGGCGATGTGGGCGTTGAGCTTGGCAAGCTTGCCCTTAACCTCCTTGGCCACGTGCTCGAGCATCTTGTGCTCCTTGATCAGGTCGGCAAGGCTGTCGAGTAGCTCAGCGTCAGTTGGCGGCGGCAGCTGCTCGGCGGTAGCTTCTGGACGAACACGGGTAGGAATGGTGCACAGGATGTTCTTGGCTTCGGCAACAATCTCGGCAGAGGTTGGCTCGAGCAGCTCGAAGTTCGTGACCTTAGCAGTGGCGATGGATTGGCCCTGCTTAGAGAGCTTGAAGCTGTCTGGGGTGGGACCGCAGCTGATCGTGTTGGTTGGAGTGTCGTTGGCCTGAGCACCAGGCTGGGAGGACTCAGCTGTCTTGAAAGCGGCCTCAGCAGCGACGGCATTCTCAGACACGGATGGTGAGTTTCCCTGCATGGCTCGAACGCGGGCAATGGCGGACTGAGGGCCGGCGACGGCAGCCTTGACAGCCTTGGCCTTCTCGGCATCCTGAGCAGCCTTGACGAGCTTGAGCTTCTCGGCCTCCTCAGCGGCTTTGGCGGCGGCCTTGACCTTCTCAGCTTCCTCGAAAGCCTTCTTCTCGGCAGCAGCCTTCGCCTTGAGGGCCTCCTCAGCCTCAGCAGCAGCCTTCTGCTCGGCGTCGATCTTGGCCTTGCGGGCTTCTTCAGCGGCCTTCAAGAGCTTGAGGCTCTCGGCTTTCTGCTCAGCAGCCTTCTTGTCGGCCTCGATCTTGGCCTTGCGTGACTCCTCGACGGCAGCTTTGTTGGCAGCGTCGTCGGCGCCGGCAGCCTTCTGGAGCTCTTGCTGCTTGGCGAATGCGAGCATGCGCTCGGCGCCACTCATGCTGGAGCTGAAAGCAGCCATGGTACGCTTCTCGTCCTCGGCCTCGCGGTTCTTGTTCTGTTCGGCGAGTGCAGTTGCCTCTTTGGCCTTGGCGAGGGCGAGCTTGTGGTGTGGAAGTGACGAAGCTGCCGTAGTTGCCGTGCGATTACCGACAGGAGCGATGCCGTGGATGATGTTGCGGCGAGCGGAAGTGCTGTCAGTGGTGCCGGCGGGACGACGATTCTCGTCGTTGGGTGTCTTGGGAGATGGTGGGATGATGTTGAAGGACGGAGGGGAGGAGTTGGAAGTGCTCTGGTTGAGAGCACGGGTCACTCCGGATGCGCGAATGGCGGGGCTTGAGGACGATGCTGCCGAAGAGCGCGAGGCAGTGACGCGACCACGAGCACGAGCCTTGGTCATGCCCTCGTTGGAGGCGCGAACTTTCTGTTGCGTGTGTCATCGTGTTAGCAGAGTCCGGATGCTGGACGTTAAGGTTGTTGAGACTATGGTCAAGGACTAACTCACCTCGGCGCCTTCTGGGTCGTAGAGCTTTGGCGGCTGCGTGGGTGCCATGATCTTCTTGCGGGTGCTGGCGACGAGCGCGACTTCCGTGTCTGACTCTGTTGGGAAGACGAAATGTTAGCTTACACGGACGTCCGAGAGAACACCAACGGCGACGGCAGGCTTCACACGTGGCTGGCGTGTTGTGGGCAGAGTGACCGACCTTTGTTGGTGTTGTCTCTTCAGAAAACTTCTGTTGACATGTTTTCCAACTTATGTTTTCCGTGGGGCGGCGGCGCGGCGGGAGGAGCGGCACAACCCGCTAGCGTTACCCCCTTAACATGTGAAGAGGAAGGTACGACCGAAGGCGACAGGTGACAACTCCGTCAGATGAGATCGAAGTATGGGTCTCATGACTCTCACTGTTACCATCCTATCTTGTTGAATGGTTCTGACCACGAATTATTCCTCCGAATCCATCAAGTCATTGACCAGGCCTTCCCTATCACTGATTGCAGTCTCCACTTGCCCCTTAAGATATTCTAACCTCTTCTGGTCTCTGATCAGCCTCAAGAGAGTCTCATGTCTCACACTACACCGTTCAGCCTTCAATTCGGCGATCTGCACAGGAACGTGCCCCGAGCGTCCCCAAGTGTAGCGCTTTAGCTCTACTGCTAACTCCTCGACCTTGCCAGCAGTAGAGAGAGGGCTTTCATAGAGACTCTCTCTAGCAGCTTCCTTCTGCGCGTTCATCTTTGCTTTTCGATGGTGCATTAGCGAAGCGTTCTCTGAGACCGCTGCAGGCCGACCATTGGTGCTTCCATCTTCCTGACCTTGGGCATTACTGTCTTGAATGCGGCCAGGGCCTGTGGCTTCTTGAAGTCTCGCTATTCGCGTCTCTAGATCCTTGATCCTATCTTGTTGATCTTGACACGTAATCTGCCAGTCCTCGATGGATGTGATCTTTGTCGCCTTCTGTCGGTTCCTGACCGCATTCAGTGACAAATCACCATCGTTGGTGAACGAAGTCTCTGAAGCTCGGCCGTTGTCTCTTCTGGACACATGCAGCTCGGAGAATGGAGAATAAGTACGCGGCGCTGCAGACGACTGTTCCGAAGGCTGTTCTTGATGGTCGTGTCGGTCACCACTATAGCCACTACCCACGTCTCTGTGCTCAGGCCCCGGAGGATTGGAAGAATGAGGAGGTTGAGCAAACACACTGGTACGAGGCTCGCGTTGGTTTCGGAGTGGTGCAGAAGAACCGTCCTGAGTATCGCTGGGGGCGTGCGCGGAGGAACTCAAGCCTCTTGAGAAGTGCGCCATGGGGTTTGGGGAATTCAGAGTCGGAGCAGAATAGCACCCTGTCCCTTTTATGATCAAGGACTGCTTTGAGTACCGTCTACGAAGGTCACAGAGTCTCAGCATAGCAGACAATTATGTCGTAAGTTTGCTCACAGGTGGACAGTCCATCGGATACTAGCGAGACAGACAGTGCCAGCGTCTTCTCGACATCTGTCGGAACATCATACCAATGCAGCCTCTTCTAGTAAGCTTCACCGAGCCTGAAACGATCTTTGAGAATGTCGGTCAAACAGACCACTGAGCAAACATGTATCACCTACTGGACAGCCAAACAAAGAAATACTTGGTCATCTCTTCGAGAAAGTCTAAAGTTTACATCCGACCTCATTCCAGTGAGTGCTTCCGCCTCCCTATGAACCATGGCAAGTTTTGGTCGGCGGATGCCACTGTGTTGTTGGGCCGCTCGGAGATGACCGCTCTCCGAGTTGTGTCCAGACCGATGCTGGCGCCAACGAGAGACGCGTTGTAGTCCTACGGATCATCGTCCAGGTCAGGATTTTGACAAATGATTTGTCGTGAACCATATATGTATATAGAATGGTCGCCCGTTGTCAGACCCAATTTTAAGAAGACGGAATACTGGGTGCGCTGATAGTGATGATTTTCATGATTCTTGTCAGCTGTACATAGCGTAGCTCCTAAAGCTAAGACGGGGGAAATTAGGCCGCCCGCCGTAGCCTGACCTTGACACCGTTCTTAGGCGCAATTACAACTCTGTAACCCTTCGTTAAATTATCCTGTCCTTCAGGCGCCTTAATCTCGCTGAAGCGCTGCATCATTCGGGCAAGCAAATAGGAAATCTCGGACATGGTCATTTGCTCTGCGAGATCTTAGCTGGATCCTGTTGCGCGAATCCACTGCTGCAGGGGAGAGACTTACGACCAATGCACACTCGCGGACCTGCACCAAATGGCGCATATTCTGGACCCAGCTTCTTGTCTACCCAACGATCTGGACGAAATTCCCAGGCGTCTGGTCCCCACTCTGCTTCTCTGCGATGGACCAAGTAGATGTTGCATGTGACTGCTGCTCCCTTAGGTACGGCGATAGGCTGCATGCCATCCTTACCGCCGCCTCGGGGCAAGACTGTATTGCATTTGGCATTGCGGCCAATGTTGGCGAGAAGTGGGTACATCCGTAGAGTCTCGAGAATGACGTGCTGCATAGTTGTGCATGAGCGAAGGCCATCCCAAGTGATGGGCGAAAGAGGCTCTTGCTCGGTGCCGAACTTCTCTAGAACCTCGTCCCGCACTCGTTGGAAGATATCGGGATGAGCCTCGAGCTGGGCAAATACCCATGCGGCCATCGTGCCTGACATGTTCTGCTACGTGTTAGTCGCTGTTCGATCACGCAGATGCACGGATAGCATACTTGTCCTGCAATGAAGAGATCCATGACCAGATTCCGGATCTGGACTGGGTCTCCAATCTCTTTGATGAGACTGTCTATCAGTCCAAACCGGCTGCTTGGCTCGTCTGAAGTGTTGGCCGCTCTCTTTGACCTTGCAATCGCTTGCTTGATCAGGTCATCCGCAAACGAGTTCAGCGTGTCACAGGCTTGACGGTACTATTTCGAGTCAGTACAGCGTTGGAAAGACTACATCGTTACAACACATACCGTGAGACTATCTGCCATCCAGTATTTCGAGCCAAGCTTTGAGCGCATGGAATAGTAATGGCGAACAATTTCATAAGCTTCGTCGTAGCTCATTTTGCTGTCCATCCTGCCGCGGCGCAAGCCGAACTCATCGATCGCAGCTTGGATTGTTACGTTACGCATTCCGTTGACTTGAGAGTTGGCGCTGGTGCCAAGTAGGAAGCTAGTAGAGATGTCGAGCGACATTCGATGGAAGAGATCGAGCAAGTCAACAACCCCAGTCCAACCATCCTGCTTGAACGGGCCAATGGCATCGAACAGAAGTTCAATATCGCCCTCAGCATTCTTAACGTCTTTGATGTGCTTATTATGAAGGTGCCTCAAAATCAGCTTCCGATTGCGATGCCATGCTTCCCCTTCTGAGTTCAAGAGCCCATCTTGGGCCAGCGGATACATTGTACAAGCTCGGCTCTTTGATGGGCCCCAATGTGCTGATGACTTGCTGAGGACGGCATTGAGATTGACGGGGTCAGTTGTATGGATCACCACTGGCACTCCGTACCGGTCGTAGAGTGCGTGTGTAGAGCCATATTTCTTGAATTTGGTTGCATATACATTATCGAGAAGATCTCCTCCTGGATACAGTAGCAGGTTGACCTTGTGCCTGATGGAACCTAGAAAAATTTTGGGCATTGCGGTCGTTGGAGCACACCTGTTGCTGTCGGAAAATCGACTGTAGTCCCGCTTTCTAGCTGCAGATCGGTTGACCCGGTAGAAGAGTCGTATTATCCAGATCGTGATAAAACTCAAGCTGATGTTCCAGGGGGTGAAGCTCGTAGGTTGAGCTGCGGAGTATAGCAGGCTGCTCGACACCGACATCTTGGGCAGGGAAACGATTGGCCAGAGGATTACCGCAGATGTAGTTGCGGTTGACCCGATGCTGTGGTCTCGGGTGACGCACATGGTCGGCAGCTATTTGAAGCCCAGCGCATTGGGTCATTCGAGAAACACACGTCGATTGACGTACATTCGATGAGGCTGTTCTTTGTTAGCAGTGCCGAGGAAAAGCGCATCTTTCGCTTTGATCAAATGATTTCAAATGTTCCGTTGCCTGATGCGGCGAGGGAGCAACGGAAGTTGGAGGAACCGCCAGGATGGCTGCTGATTTAAGAGTGGGCATGACCCGGCTCCCACATGGCATTCTACAAAGCTGTGCGGCCGGTACTCGAAACCAAGAACGGATACGGATTCAACTTCGGAGAGGCGAGATGTGACTTAAAGGATTGACACACGGCGACTTGGCAAGTGATCCGGGGATGAAGTCCAAATGCGGAAACTTGACTGTGCGTTTCCCAAACGTGTACAGCGGCTTTAGTGGAGACCTAGTTTGGTTTCCAAAAGCGGCATGCGGAGTTGTCGCTTCAACAGATGCTCTTTCTAAGATGGCTAGGTCAGCGTTCTGATGCAGCAAATAAGTCTCTGCTGGCGAATATCGGAGAATGGAACGTTGCCCATAGTGTCGTAGAGAAGTCGGACTTGCGGAAGAGATGGCGGCGCCCATACAGATTCACGTGCGAGACTCCAGCAGGATCTTATCAAGACAGTATCGACGAGTGCGTTTTGCCATTGCGATAAAGTGATTGAACACCTTGAATGCGATTGAGATGGAAGGAAGAAGAAGTTTGAACGAGGTGAAGTCAGCCTCGCATGCCCCGACTTTTGCCGGTGGAGCTTCGGACGCGTCGACGCGTCGTTAATCGACTCAGATGACAGGATTGGTTATGTCGATTTCACAACATGTTACGGGTTGCTTCGAAGATATCGCGAATTCTGATAACTCCGGCAATACAATATCTGCTTCATGCGTGGCGTCGACCAATAGCTGTCCGTACGGATGCGTCATTGTGGCTACCAATCCCTTCGTGTCACACGATGCTTCCTTCAGTATCCTGCTGTATGAGCTCTAGCCCGAAATGCTGAGCCAAAGCATACATATTCGACTGGTTGGTATCGTTGATCCAGGCCGCCCCGACATCACAAACGCTTCCTTGAGCTCATCTCGATCAAGTCTGGCCAACGCGAGCTACTTCCTTCGCCACGCACGGCATGCTGTGTCGTCCCATTTCGTGGGTTACCCACCGTAGACTGATTCGGTCTTGGATATGAATTGCAGTTCCAAGACTGGCTGCGACCACCACTAGAGTAATGGAAAAGAGACCAAGTTGCCAATGCAAATATTCCAAATGCGCATCTAATCTATCCCGAACTTTCCAACACGTTTCCCTTCAAGCGCCATCTTCCACACCCTCAATCAGCGTCTTTATTCCTCGCGCGGCTTTCACCTCGCCGAACGCCTTCTCTGCTTCGGTGAACTTCACCTTCCCGGTGATGAGCCCCTTGACGCTGACTCGTCCACTAGAAATGAGATCGACCGCGAGCTGATAGTCACCACTCTTGTATCTGAAGCTCCCTTTCACGTTCAGCTCTTTAGTGCACATGGCGCTGATTGGGAAGGTGATATCAGACTTGCCCATTCCACCTTGAACGTACGAGCCGCCGGTCCGAAGGAGATGGATGGAAGTTTGGATCGCGGGCTCTGCTCCACTGGCATCGATTACCACATCGGCTCCAGGTCCAAGATCGGCGGCTTTGTTAATGCGAGCTGCCGAGTCCTCCGGAGATTCCTTCTGCGAGACCACAGTATGCGTAGCAGCATACTTGGATGCGAAGTTTAGTCTCTCCTCGTTTAGATCCACCGCTACAACTTTGAGGGCGCCGAATGCCCTTGCAACGGCACAGCAGAGTAATCCGACGGGTCCCGCACCAAAGACAACTACATTGCTTCCGGGCTTCATGTCTGCTTGTTTGACAATGTGTACGCCAACACTCAAAGGCTCCACCAAAGCTCCCTCTTCCAACGAAACATGGTCCGGCAACTTATAACAGAAATCCTCCGGCAAGACGTAATACTTCGCCAAGGTACCATCGTAAGGCGGCGTAGCAGCAAATGCCATATCCGGACACAGATTATAATACCCTTCCTTACACCTCACACATCTCCTGCACGGGATGCCGGGCTCCATCGCTACTCTGTCTCCCACTTTCAAACTCTTGACTTGGTCTCCTACTTCAGTGACGATGCCGCTGCTCTCATGGCCCAGCACCATGGGCGATTTGACGACGAAGTGGCCGATGGCGCCATGGACCCAATAGTGAACATCGCTGCCGCAGATTCCGGTGAATTTGACATTGATCTTGACGTCGTGGGGAGATTTGAGGGTGGGGATGGGGCGGTCTTCGTATTTGACGCTCCCGGCTTTCTCGAGGACGAACGATGGGTTCTAGTTGCGGAGAATTAATCTGACTGCGACTGCATGTGCATCCCACCTTGATGAATGCGGGGTGATGGGGGAAAGTTGAGGCGTACATTTTGCTGGGCCATGGTTGCTGCTGGAGATATTGCTGCTGATTTGAGGTCCTGCTGGTTTGGGAAGAGATGTATTTGTTCCGTTCTTACCTATGTTCAAGCATTCTCTCTGCTTTATGTGCCTACACAGGACCTTGTGTGGAGTTCCACCGCAATCGCGCATGAAGTGGGTGACGTTCAAATTCCTCCCTCACGCTCATTTACCCGGTATATGGCTAAACTTTGATCCGGGATCACGTGTCCGGAAAATATGGTGCCTAGAACTACCTTGGCGTCAGAGGGTGCCTTCCTCAACGGAAAGCGATACCTTATTATGCATCAATCTGGTGGGGCGAGTCCTTCACTTATCAATACATCATGAGTTCTGCGATAGAACAGGAGATCGGCGCTCTCCTCACGCCTCTTGAAAAAGCTATTACCCTTCCCTCTGATTGGCCAATATGCGAGCATTGATAACGAGCTGTGCGAGGACTTCCCTTCCTCGCGTGCAGAGCGCGTGTTTCCCACGAGCGAGCTGCTTATCGCGACGACAGCGACGAAGCAAATTGTATCGAGTAATAAGACTGCTGACTAGCGAGGCGTAGGTTTGATGGTTTTTATTCCCAGTCCACATTCCCTCTTCCTTGTCAGGTCAAATCTATACCAAGCAAAAAGCCATCATAACCAAGACAAATTCGTCTGTCTAGTGAAGGGGACGAGCTTCACACAACATGTCCACCACACCGCCATTGAGTCAGGCCACTGGCTACGGCATCGTCGTTGGCCTCGGCTTCTTGTTCGCATTCGGGATGATGTTAACGACCTTCGTTCTCAAGAGATATAACGGAGAGCTTCAGACATCCGAAGTCTTCAGCACGGCTGGACGCTCCGTGAAATCTGGCCTTGTCTCCTCAGCCGTCGTATCATCCTGGACATGGGCCGCGACTCTGCTTCAATCTTCCGCTGTGGCCTACAGCTATGGAGTCTCAGGACCTTTCTGGTATGCCTCAGGAGCGACTGTGCAAGTTATCTTGTTCGCCACGCTTGCGATTGAGCTCAAGAAGAAAGCACCCAATGCACATACTTTGTAAGCTGCAGCGATCTGAATCCGCACTACTTGACAATGCTAACAACTTGACAGCCTTGAAGTCATCAGGGCTCGCTATGGTCCCATCACACACGCCGTGTACATTACTTTTGCCCTCATGACCAATATCCTGGTAACATCGATGTTGTTGACTGGAGGTGAGCTAAGGTTCCGCTTATCCTGACGGCACGTACACTGACATTGTCAGGTTCTGCTGTTGTGACATCTTTGACTGGAATGCCAACAGTCGCTGCTTGCTTCCTGCTCCCAATTGGTGTGGTTCTCTATACTATGTTCGGCGGCATCAAGGCCACATTCTTGACCGACTACGTCCATACCGTGGTGATCCTGATCATCATCTTCCTGTTCGCTTTTACAGCCTATGCAACGAACAGCATTCTCGGAAGTCCAGGAGCTGTTTACGATGCACTGGTAGCAGCCTCAGAGAGGCATCCTATCGAAGGCAATGCAGGCGGAAGCTACTTGACTATGCGAAGCAAAGAAGGTGCTATCTTCTTCGTTATCAATATCTGTGGGAACTTCGCAACTATCTTCTGCGACAATGGATACTACAACAAGGCTATCGCTGCCTCTCCAGTCCACGCTCTTCCAGGCTACATCGCGGGAGGTCTGTCTTGGTTTGCTATCCCCTGGCTCTGCGCTACTACGATGGGTCTTTCTGCGCTAGCACTGGAAAACAATCCAGTCTTCCCAACTTACCCAAACCGCATGGCTGCAGCCGATGTCACTGCCGGACTGGTACTTCCAGATGCGGCCGTTGCTTTGCTCGGTTCAGGTGGTGCGGCGGCAACTCTGCTTCTCATCTTCATGGCCGTGACCAGTGCCATGTCCGCCGAGCTCATTGCTGTCTCTTCGATCTGGACCTATGACATCTACAGCACCTACATCAATCCAGGCGCCAGTGGTAGGAGGCTTATCTACATGTCACACACGAGTTGCGTGGTCTACGCTATCTGTATGGCTGCTTTCTCGACGGGGCTGCACTACGCCGGAATCAGGTGAGTTTCCAACAAACACGTCTTCAAACGAGCGCACTGACAAACTTGCGCTAGCATGGGTTACCTGTACCTTCTCATGGGCGTCATCATCAGTGGCGCTGTCTTGCCATCTTCACTCACATTACTCTGGGATCGTCAGTCCTGGGCAGCAGCTACCTTCTCTCCAATTCTTGCCCTCGCTTGCTCCCTCACAGGCTGGCTAGTGCAATCGAAGACGCAGTATGGCGATCTGAGTGTCGCATCAACTGGTTCAAAGTGAGTCTTAGTCCTGATATGTTTTGGCCTACGGGCGGAGCTAACAGCTTCCAGCAACCCCATGCTGGTCGGCAATGTCGTCGCGCTTCTGGCCCCCGCGATCTTCATTCCTATCTTCTCGTTGGTCCTGCGCTCTCCCAAATACGACTGGGTCTCAATGAAGATGATCCGAAAAGGCGACGACACCGATCTCGCCGCAGCTGCGCACATGGATCTCGAACAGATCCCAGGTGAAGCTCACCACACCGACAATGAAGAAGCCGAAGAGCAGAAGAATCTCCAGCGTGCCTCCAAAATTGCTCGCACCCTGACCGTGTTCATGGCGATTGCTTTCCTCGTGCTCTGGCCCATGCCAATGTACGGAAGCGGATACATCTTCAGCAAGCCGTTCTTCACTGGCTGGGTGTCGGTTGGGTTCCTATGGCTCTTCTGTTCCAGCTTCTGCGTGGGGCTGTACCCACTTTGGGAAGGCAGACACACAAGTGCAAGGACGATCAAGGCTATCTTTAAGGATATCACTGGTAAGGGAAAGCCGGCTGTGCATGGCCGAGCTTCGATGACGGACGCATCTGACGAGGCGGAGGAGAAGCGTGTGGAGAAGGAGACAGCGACTCCTCCAGAGACGGAGATCAAGGGGCAGTGATGTTGGATAAACCCACGGACGATAATGACCATATAGCTTGTAAGCAGAATGTAGACATTGGTATCTAAATATCTTGATACGCGTGAGACTCGAGCGCTGGAATGCTGATGGACCTCCGGGACCACTCGGCATCTTGATGGCGTGCCAAAATAACTAGGATATATGAGACGCGGCGAAGCTCTCTCTCATATTCATCTTTCGCATGCTTCCCGGCTAAATCGAATCGAATCGAGCAGAGTTCAGCCTCATCGTTAGCGTGGAAGCGTCCATGAAAGTCTGGAGGAGCTGGGTCCGTTTCCAGTTGTGTCTTCACTCCCTCGTGATGCATCCCCACGTCAAACACCTCCCAAGCCGAACAACGTACCTTATCCCGCCACAATCCCATCCAAAACAAAGAAGCAACGCCGCTCTTCGACACACTGCCGAGATGGATGACGTGCGGTATCCAAAATTGCCTCCGATCTCATTCGCGCAAGCAGATCTCGCGTCTGGCAGACGTCTTTCGATCCGGAGCTCCTTGCCTCATCATGACGATTTCCTTGCGTACACAGCATGACTGGAGCTTCCGTGGATACGCGACGACGCTGTACAAAGCACCCTACACGCGCAGAGGTAGGAGAAATACATGACCCCTCTCTCATCCACTTTCCCCTCAAAACCTCTTCAGTTTTCCCGCAAATCATACCGAAGATGGCCATGTCACAGGCAGCATACCAGGCCGAGAAGGCTCTCGGCCACGGCGACAATGCCGTCACAGCACAGGATGTCTCAAACCCTGCGATGGACCGTGAGAAATATGGTGATCCGAGCGAGAACATGAAAGCCTTGGCTTGGATGGGGAAGAAGTCGGTCGAAATGAGTGCGTCTTCTCCCTTCTTCCATTTCGTTTCTACACCCTTGACTGACTTCTCCCACAGTCGAATGCCCCAAGCCCAAGATCATCGAACCTCGCGACGTAATTCTCAAAATCACCGGCAGCACCGTCTGCGGCTCGGACCTGCACTTATACCATGGCACCGTTGTCGAATTGGCGAAGGGGGACATCCTAGGTCATGAGTTCTGTGGTGTAGTAGACGAGATGGGATCAGCTGTCACCGGACTGCAGAAAGGAGACCGGGTCGTGGCAAGCTTCCAGATTGCTTGTGGAGATTGCATTTATTGCAAGAAGAAGCTCACGTCACAATGTGCTCGGACGAACTCGAACACGATTCACAATGCGATGTATGGAGGACGCACGGCCGGCATGTTTGGATACTCGCATTTCACCGGTGGATTTGCGGGTGGACAGGCTGAGTACACGAGGGTCCCGTTTGGAGACGTCAACCTACTCAAGCTGCCTGATGATGTCCCGGATGAGAAGGGTCTGTACTTGTCGGATGTGCTCTGCACGAGCTGGCATTGCGTTGTGGACACCGGAGTCAAAGAAGGAGATGTGGTTGCCATTTGGGGAGCTGGACCGATCGGACAGATGGCTGCAGAGTTCTCTCTCCTCAATGGCGCGAGCAGAGTCATCATCATCGACAGCAATTGGCGCTTGGACTACGTCAAGGAGAAGTACCCCAAGGTGGAGACTCTGGATTACTCGCAGCTCAAGGGCACCAAGGCCGTCGTCACCAAATTGAAGGAGATTTGCGATGGCTACGGCCCCGACGTTGCTTTGGAGTGCGTAGCCGGCGAATATCCCAAGGGCTGGTTCCACACCATTCAGATGATGGCCGGTTTGGAAACGGACACCAGCGAGATCCTCAACGAGATGATCGAGAGCGTCAAGAACTTTGGCCGTGTCGGCATCACTGGTGTGTACGTCGGCTACACCAACAACTTCAACATTGGCTCTGTGATGGAGCGCGGCATTCGCTTCATTGGGAACGGTCAAGCTCCTGTGCAACTGTACTGGAAGGAGTTGCTGGAGAAGATTCAGAAGGGAGAGATTGATCCGTTGAAGATGCTCTCTCATCGGGTGAAATTGGACGATCTCGACAAAGTCTACGAGGATTTCGAGCAGAAGAACGACGGCATGCAGAAGGTGTTCGTGGAGACGAGATTTTCGGCGCCACCGGCTCCAGGCAGTCCAGCGTTGAAGACGTATTAGAGTGAGCGAAGGGAATGAACATGCAGACAGGTGCAATGAATGAATAGCACTCAGCAATGCTCGAAACCGAGAATCTCCAACTTCAATGTACAAATCGCGTACTAATCTATTCCTTCCCTCACCAGAGTGATCTTGAAATGTTAGTCACGTGCAGCTCGTCTAAGCTTCCCCGAGCCAGGAGACCCTTCACACGCGACCCCCAGCTTTCCGTTTCGTGCATCGTGTCCTGTCCCAGCTCCACCACAACGTTACCATTGACCCAACCAACTACACCCCGACCGAAAACTGCCACACACGATTCAAGGGATACAGGAGGAAGCAATGGCCACAATGCTCGCCCTCAAGCTCCTCTTCGCCTTCCTCCTCCCTCTGGTCTCCGCCCTGAAATTCGACATGCAAGCCCACCCGGGCCACGAATCGCAATCCAAAGAACGATGTATAAGAAACTTCGTCGCCAAGGATCAACTGGTCGTCGTGACAGCCACCGTGAGCGGCAATAGAGGCGATGGACAAATGCTCAACATGCACGTAAGTCAGTCACTAATTCCAATCGCCCTAAAACCCCCAAAACCCAAAAATCCAAAACCTCTCCCTCACATACCGCTTTATTCTTTTCTTACTTACACACTGGTGGTCATGACGAACAGATCAAAGACGCGCTGGGAAACGACTACGCGCGTCCCCGCGACGTCGCGGGCGAGGCCCGCTACGCCTTCACCTCGCACCACGACTCCGCCTTCGACGTGTGCTTCGAGAACATCATCTCGGGCTCCCACCAACCGGGCATGCCGCCCTACCGCAGCATCGAGCTCGACATCGACATCGGCGCCGACGCCAAGGACTGGTCGGCCATCCAGGCCGGGGAGAAGCTCAAGCCCGTGGAGGCGGAATTGCGCAGGTTGTCGGACGTCACCAAGGAGATTGTCGATGAGATGGATTACTTGCGCACTCGGGAGATGAAGTTGCGGGACACGAATGAGAGTACGAATGAGCGGGTCAAGTGGTTTGCGATTGGGACCATGGGGATGCTGGTTGCCTTGGGAGTCTGGCAGGTGGTCTACTTGAGGGCGTACTTCAGGAGTAAGCATTTGATCTAGATGGAATGTAGCGTGGAGGTTGATAGATGGATGCATGCATGTGTCATGAAAGACATGGAAATGAGGAGGTGTATTATAATGCCTACATCAAGCTTTGTCAAACAAGCTGGAGCAATACCTCCCGAATTTGCAAGCACGGCTCGTTTCCATGAGGCCTTCTGGTTACTTTCGAAGATTGCCGGAGGAGACCAGCACTCGTTTCAACTTTATTAGGCTACAAGAACACTATCGGATCAAGAAGAAGCAGCAATGCCTAGGTCAAAGTGTCATCATCATCATCACCATCGACAAACCCATTCAAAACATGAAATCCTCCGTCTCGTCCCATCCACACCGGCGATTCCTAGGTCCTCTCCTTTAAACCGCCGCAGTGGCCGCAGTAGCACCAGAAGCAGTCGAGGCCGTCTCCACCGTGGTCTTGGTCACCTTCTTTCCCCTTCCCAGGCAATGACGGTGGACTTTCTTCAACCTAGCAGCGCAAGAATGTTAGCGCGATCTCACAGAGATTGGAGGAGAACAACAACAACAACGACATACTTCGACTTGAGCACGAAGATCGCAATCCATCGCTTGATCTTGGTCTTGAATTTGCCCTGGCCCTCTTTTGGCTCCAGTTTCTGATCAATGTGGCTCCAGTGCAATCGCTCATTGAAACTGGGCCAGGAAGACTTCTTTTTCACTTCTTTCTCAACTAGAACGCCCTCTGAGGCCGATTCCTTCAGGGGCTTGGTGGTGGTGGTGGTCGTCGTCTCCGTTGAAATGGGATCGCTCTTCTTTTCTTCCACTACGACAACTTCTTTGTGTGGCTCCGTGACAATGACTTGGGGCGTCTCTTCGATCTTGACGGCCTGGTTTGATGTCAGCAGTGTGTCCACAATGCTGCTTTGAAGGACTTGCCTTCTTTTCCTCGGTCTTGGAAACTTCCAAAGGCGTGCCGTCGTGCTTGGTGACCACGACAGTCTCCGTTTTGGCAGGCTCAGCAGCCACTGCGGTCGTAGTCACAGGGCCGGGTGGAGGAGGATGCTCACTGACAGGCTCTGGTGGCTCGTGGTCATCCGGGCCGTCCACACTGAGACCGCCTGACATCTCCGCACGCGAGTACTCGGTGCAAGTCCAACGTTTCTTAACATGCTCCACGACGCAGGTAGTTGGCTCCTCAGGTGTTCCATCGGTTTGCTATGGCTCGGTGGAAGCTGGTGGGCAAGGATCAGTCTGCTCATGTGAATGCCAAGCACAATCGATACCCTTGCGCGGGTCCAGCTCTGCTCTGTGAATCTGGATCAAGGCATCGGCGTAGTCGACTGCAATCTCAGGGATCTTGAGCATGACGCCGCGCATCGAATCGGAAACGTGGGCATCTTGAGCAGTCGGATTCTCAGAGAGCGAACGCCAGGCAGCGGTGGCCATGAGAAAGTCGCGCATCGGGCAAGGACCAACGTAGGTGTAGATGTATTCGAGACGAAACGCAGGAGCCGTCATTCGTTCGCGGGCGTAATAGTGACGAATGAGGTCCATCACTGCGACCAGTCAGTCCTGTCGAGGGAGACAGAGAAGATCACTCACCTTTATTCTGCAATGGCTCCATATCTGCCTTCTTCGCCAACACATACAAGCCGAGGTAATGCTGCAAGCTGTGAAAGTCTGTTGGACCGTGAATCTTTCCAGTATGCTGCCACTGCTGCATGAGCTTCTCCGCCTGAGCGTCCGTGGTGACCTTGGAGGAAGGAGCGGCGGCTGGAGAAGCACCAGGGCTACTTGGCTGTGGAGTGTTGGAATCGCTGTTCCTACGAGAGGCCGGTAGAAGGTCGTCCTCATGTTCCACGCTCTTGCGAAGGCTGGATGCTGACGACGAGCGGGAGATGGGTTTGCTGCCAGCGTTGGTCGGGACGCTCAGCGTCGACATGGCGTCGGTGGGGAGATGGTTAGGTAAAGGGAGACTTCAGAATGAATTGATGTCCGATCGATCCTGGGTCAGCGGAAGGAATGAAACGACGAGAAGCAACTCAAAGATGAGATGCTGGGGAATGAGATGCTGCGCTGGGTGCGATGCGTGTGGATGTTGGTGTTGGATGAAGGAAGAGAAGGAAAGCCAGAGAGGAACAAGACGGCATATCGAAGATGTGGAAGTCGCTCTTCGATCGTACGCCGGACGGAGAGAAGCCACGATGTCCGGAAGAGGAAGCAGCTCACGTCCAGAAGTCGGAGAAAGAGCGGAATCGTGAGACGAAGCTGAGGGGGAAATTGTGAGTCTATCGCACGGATGGAAGCTATTGCAGCGGTTGGGAGAAAAGAACGTGGCGAAGTGAAGAGTAAGGTAGATGGAAAGCCTTCACTTGACTTACGTACACCGCAACGCCTTGCTCTACACCGCGATGCCTTCTGAGCCATGTCGCCCTTCGCTTAACGCTCTCACCATATCATCCGTGCTTCGGTAATCACGAGCCCAACTTCTGACGCTTGTTGATGTTACCACTCGCAACGTCTTCCATCGGCTCCGAATCGTTCCAGTTGCCAACTTCCAGGACTTCCCACTGCACGCGAGTCGTCCCATCCGCGGAAGCATGGCCTCCAGCTCGCCTTCTCAATCTACCGAGACGGCTATTCTCTACCATTTCTTCAAAGTATGGCATTCCGCGATTCGCGAGCTGGTGTCGAGGTCGTGCGGGCGCAGCGTCAACTCCTCCCATGCTTTGCTCGTTCGTGGCAATGTGATCCTCCTCATTAATGCTCGTGCCCTTGACCAACCCGTCCTCGCTCGTATCGGATTCTTGCTCTGCTTCCGGGTCGAGGATGTTCAACGCCTCTAATTTCTCCAGACTCTCGTCAAGCAAGGATCCCAGTGTGACATCTAGGAGTTCGTGCGTGTTCTGAGATGCTTCCCCCTCGTTCCATTGCGTAAGATGACTGCCGCAATAGCCGCAGAATTGTCGTCTTGTCGCTGGGAGAGCTGTGCTTCGCGCGGGCGCGTGGAACGTTCGCTTGATGGAGGAGTGAGACTCGTCAGGGAATTGGGCGATCGTGAAGCTGGAGTACCACTCGAGAGGGACCTGTTGAGAGCAGTGTCAGTGTGACGTCCATATCTCGTGCCACGAGCCGCATGTCCATACCCTCAGCCATGCTGTGGTTGGTGTTGCTTGCGTTCTGCCTTTTGACGTCGCGTCAGTATCCGGCCAATTCTTCCATATTCTCGTGTGCCTTTAGTAGTACTTACGACTCAAAGCAGTGTTGTCAAAGTAGACGTGTGCCAGAGACGCTGAAGGAGTGTCAGGGATGACAACCGTGTATTGGTTCCTCTCGCAAGCACAAGAGCCAAACAGATGATTGAGTGCGGCCATCACCGTTGCGCGCAAATTACCTCCTTAGCTTGAGAGTTTCATAGAAGAGAATGCGGACTGTGCTGCACCGGCACGAACAGAGTCGTGTGTAGATGGTGTGGTGATGGCGGCGTTGGCAGAAGGGAAGAATCGTCGAGCCTCTTCTCGAATCTCAATGGAACCTTACGTCACATTTCACGAAGCAGCTCCCCGATCGGGATATCCAATTCGGTAAATCTGCGGAAGGCAGCGATATGGAGTGATCGTGGTATGATTCGGGCATATGTTGTGTAATGATGTGCTACACGAAGTTCTTTGAAAAAGTAAATGCGAGTTCTGCACTAGAGAGAAAGGGACCAGTGGACATCACATGTAAAAGCCAAGAGTCTTGTTCGCCCGATCCATAACCTCCTTCTGTCCCTGAGTCAAACCCTCCTCAGAGCTATCCCACTCCAGCAAACCGAATGCTCTGATCCCCTCACTTGGGTTGACGTCCCTCACATCCTCAACTCCCGGACGTCCAATATGCTCCGATTCGCCCTTACCGCCACCAAAGTCTGGGCAAGGTGTGCCGTTGAGGAAGGCCTCACGCTGTCGGGCAACAAATTCGGCGTTTGATACCGTGAGAGGGCAGGCCGGGATGTAGAGGACGCTGGAGTCGCTTTTGCCCGCATGAACAGAGTCGACAGCATGAATGGTATCGCAATGCCAGCTTACGTAGTCACCCGGGCTCACGCGAGGTACGTGTATCATCGAGCTCGGAAGGTCAAGGTGAGGGTGGAGTTGGGCACGAAGCTCTTGACCGTGTCCAGGTGTGGCACCGTGAAGCCACGAATCCGGTGTGTCTCGAAGTTCCCAGTTCTCCGGTGTCAGGAAGGCTTCCTCATATACCTCAGACCCTGGATCCTGCGCTGCTTTCTTTGGAGAGAAGAACGGCCTGAGCAGATAGTAAGCCGTCGCTCGACTTAGCAACGGATTGACGAGTAGCGTGCCCTCATACGGGCCTGTGTTGCTCAATGACAGCCAGCCTTGGAACATTCTGAACATGCTGCAAGCTCCGACGCCGTTATACTTGTCTGACACCACAGACAATCGGCAGCTCGACTCCCACGGATCATATTCCTCCCATCTGCCCTGCCAGATAGCGTCGTACACGTTGCCTTTTCCATAGCCGTCCGGCTCCCACCTTTCGCAGGAGCCTCCATCGACGTGAGGTCCCAGAGCGAACTTATTATCTCCGGGCATCCTCATCCTCAATCTGTCCGCATAGATCATGGGATGGCTTGAGGAAACGAGAGCATTTGGATCTTTCGAACGCCAGAACTCCATCAAGAACCGCTGTGCTCTGATGAGATTCGGATGCGAGCGAGCTTTGATCTGCGACGGTGACCAATACAGCTCATAGACTTGAGGATTGTCCTGTGGGAAAGCCTTGGTCTGCGGGTTTGCTTGCAGGTATGCACGAAGGTCTTTCTTCAAAGCCAATGCTTCTTGCTCAGGTAGAACGTTACGGATGACGGCGACACCACGCTTCCTGTGCTCAGCCTGAAACTCTGGACTTGCATTGTCGATTTCCTTGAAGTCTATCTCGGGTATGATCTTGGGACCTTTCTGGGCGATAAGTGGAATCTCTTCCCTCAGTGAGGCAAGTAAGCGGTTCCAGGAATCGTACAGTGCTTCTTCATTCCCAGCAATGAGCTGAGCTTTCAAATCCGCGAATCGAGGTTCTAGTGGCTTGAATTCGAGGCCGGATAGAGAGGCAAACGCATCCGAGATGTCGCCCTCCCGCTTCTGAGCAGCTGCTGTGGCCGCATGGCGGACTGTCTGCGGGCCTGGGGTCCTTGCCAGAGCCGTGCTCAAGCATCGAGTGGCAGGCCGGACGATGGAGGCCATGGTGGAATCGTATCAGCAGTATCTCACCATGGACAAGGTGCTAAACGCTGTTATCCCTCGTCACTATCAGTCTTGCTTGGGGCGAGACTACCGGCTTTTGTACGCCTGTTTCTACAGCCAAGATATACGGCAGCTGCGGACCACCTCACTTGTCATGAGAGAAGGCAGACGTGTGGACAGTGGACATTAGACAGGTGTCCGTGATGTCGTCGGCCTTTGACCATTCGGCAATCGGCGCCAAAGGTGTCGCCTAACAAGCCACGCGTGGCTGATCTGTGGATCCGCCCACTGTGCACACCTCAGTCCCGTCGCCCTTGCTTAGTAAAGGAAACTCCGGTAAGCCCCGCACCACGTGATGATTGATCAACAGAACTTGGACCGTGGGACAAGACCACGATCTTCCATCGCAATCTATCCATCTGCCGCGAGCCAGCGGTGGTACAAACAGCGGTCCTGTGGTACCAACCCACAAACACGTAACACCCGCGCCTGCATCTGATGAACAACAGCCGAAGGCCCTAATCCAACATCACGTCCGGTCTCTGTCGTGCTTTGCAAACCCTTCGCGAACAAGCGAATGAGAGGTCCGGGTATTTTCCTCAGACGACAGGAGCGGTGAACAAGAGCTGCAGGACCGTACAGCTGCTGGAGACTTCGAAAAGGAAAACCACCCCTTTCGGCGATGGGGACAGCGGGGAGCTTGCAGATAATGTCTTCGTTGTCAACACGGTTCACCGACTCCTCGCCCGCCTCTTTGGTGAGGCTTTTTCCAAAGCTGCATTTGCATCGCCGACTGCAGCAGCAACCAGGTTGTTCTATCAGAGCATAGCTCATGAATTCGGCGATGTCACCTTGCGAATGTAACATCAATCATTTGGTCCAGACCAGTGAGATACTCGCCCCGCAGCAGTCGTCTCGTACCCGTTGCTCAGTTCTTGTCATGCGACGCCTCAAGCATAGCGAGCCCGGACACCACTCGCGCAGAGTGATATGATCGCCGCTCAGATATTAACGACGGGAAGCGATTGTCTTAAAACAAAACACCTCAGTTCGTGTCTAGTCACGGCACTCGACCCGGACTGACAGGTAGCCAGCCTTCAGGCCAGTGTTACGGCGAGCAGTTAGAAGAGCCTGGAGGCGAGGCTTCAACCTCACAGCAGTAACCCGGTCAACGAGTAGCAGTTACGTGCTATTGGAGATGCAATTTCGCAATCCCACGGCCGCTCGAGGACTATCCATGTAAGCGACATGGCGTGCGAATCTTGTTCAGAATCGCTGCAAGGCGACGTTCGTGCGCGAGCTCGCCCACGCGGCGTCACACCACCAATGGCTACGGCATTGCCATGTCAGTGCGACATACGCCTCCTATAAGACGATCCAATAGTGGTCGGGGACCATCGCTTTGGAAGGGTCCTGATATGACCTTGGGAGAAGGCCCATGTAATAGAAGCGCGGCCCTTCCGCGGGTGCAGTCTGGTGGTGGTTCTCAGCGGGAGGCTGGCAACCCACCCGGCCCGACAACCCAAAGACTCCTGCAAGCGTTTCAGCAACATGAGCGCGCCTGTAGCATAACAGCGAGTCCCTGGCTGCCCGCTGTGATCAACATGTGATGCTTCCGCGTGCTGGACTTATCGGCGTGTTCTAAATAGAATCTTAAGAGACAGCTTCGAGTCATCTACGCAAAGATGCCTTCTGTTTGGTCTCCCCGCGCACGAGCCAAAGGCATGAGGCCTCAAGAGAGCACCTCCTGCAGGAACTATTGCTCAGGTGGTCTCTTATTGCATTTGATCCCGCGGTGGTGCTTTCTCTGGTTGTTTGCTGGGATCGTACGTACACCACATAATGACCGCGTACCGTGTTTCATGGTCGGGTTGTCCGGAAGCCGGTAATGCAGTTGCGCGAGGAGACAAACGATAGAGCTCCTCGTCGTATTGGCTTGTCCGTACATGTTTTCGCGGGCGGCCCGATTGGAGCTGCGCTGCACGTACCTGGTCGCAGGACGCAAGGCTCCACAGCAAGACCAAGGTGATTGAGAGCGGCCGAGGTTTGAAATTGGCGTTTCGTCGATGTGATGGCTCGACCGAGTGGAGAAGCAGTGTCAGCCAGGATATTGCGACCTGCTACATCTGGGAGCTTATCGATTAGAATGGTGAACAGACCTGATGATGGCTTGCGGTCTCAGTCACGTCCCTAAAAAGATCTAAAGAGGAATCTGGTAGCACACCCTAGCATACGCAGGACGGATAGGTCCCGTGAGGATGTTACAGAAGTCGCGTGAAGATGGCGTCGAAGGCTTGAAGCCCCATGATGACGCCTGACAACCACAAAGATCAACAGATCCCGGCGCCGATCCGCGTTCATCGATCGGCTGTTTCGAGTAGCCTGTTCAACCTGTTGGTCCTTTGCTCGTCAGCAAGAGCGGCGGGGCGTGTGCGGGAGACGTTCACGCTGTCGTCAAGTGCGGCTTTGGGCGCAAGTGGCAGCAGTGTGAGGTGTGCGTAGTAGGCAAGAATGGCAATCGAGCATGCGTTGAGTTTGGCCGCGGTGCCTCGAAGAGGACGTCTCTGCAACGGCAGCCTTGTCCATGCTTTGGGGGCTATCGGGTAGCTCGTGTGTCGTGCGAATGGCTTCCGGGCTCGAGTCAAGCTGTGGTTGGAAAGCGGGAGGTTGGGAAGCGGGAGTGAGAAATTGGCGGTGCATTGGCGCAAGACTATTCCACGGCATGCATGCAAGGGGCTGATGCGGAGGGCAAGGTTTCGACGCCAATTCGGAGTGAGCTTGTGTGCGATGAGATGCAGCGAGAGCTGAGTTGGTTGATGAAGCGGTTTGGTGAGCGAGACTAAGATGGCCGCTCACCCACAAAGCGGTTGAGAGCAGCATGCGGTGATGTTGCGTGTGCAGCCAAGAAGCAAGTGCATGTAGACAAGGTGGTTGGAGGCAGGGCAGGCTTCCCCGCGGCTCGGAGCGCAGCCGAAGCGTGCATGCTGGCTGTTTTCAGGGCTCAGGGTTGATCCACGTCGATCCGGTGCCGCAGTGGTCTCAGGTGTGCAATTATGCGTTGCGACCTCTCCAGGGAAGGAGTCCTCTGCCATTGCTGTTTCAAGTCGGCCCTCGACCTGACTCACCTGTTGTTTGTTGTTTGTTGTTTGTTGTTTGTTGTATGGGGAAAGGCTGAGGAGAGTGCTCGGTCGCAGAGGCCATGGTCTCCGCTGGGCCCAGCTCAGGACAGGACGCGAGCAAGAGGTGTCCCGGCGGGCGGTGCCGGTGGTATTGGATCTGTACCTGTTCTCATCAACAACATCGTCAGCTTCGGCCGAGACTTCGATCGCGATGATGAGGGATGAAGATTCCACCGGCCCATGAGCCCCGTCCGGCTAGACGGGAGCAGCCGCGCGGGGCAGGGTTGATGACGGACTGCGAGCCGAGGTGGCTTGGTCTCTCGGCTTGCCGTCGGGATCGCAGATCTAGGTTCATGGCGGCATGGAGCAGGGCTTGGCGGGGAGGTAGAGGGAAGGTGGAGGTGGGGCTGGAGCTGTCGCAACGACGACACACGGATCAGGGAAGCTTCACCCTTCGCTTTCGACAATAATAACACTAATTCTGGCGATTCGGCTTCCATCACAAGGCATGACGTGTGAAACACGCCCTGCTGATCAGCATCAGCATCTTGCAGCTACGTACGTGTAGCTTGTTGGCTGCCGTAGCTTAGCTCGTCGGAGCGCCCAACATCACATGTCTGACATCTCATTCATCCCCACAGCTCATCGCGCCGGCAACCTAGAATGCGCGAGCGCGGCGGCGGCAGCAGCAAGTCCGGCCCCATGTCTGCTCCAGGGACATGCTATCTGCGGCTATCCCTCGCCGCCGCCCACGACGACATCGAGACCACGGCCAAACCCAGGAAGCCCTGCGTGCTCTGGTCTCAAGGGAGATTGCTCGTGCTGTACATGGACTGCCTCGCTCCCAGTGAACCCGCTCCAGGGTGCCATCGCTGCCATCCAGGTTGGAATGGGCATATCGGAGGGCACTGCTGTCTTATTCGTCACTGGTATAGGGACGGATGCGGCCTGTCTTTTGTAGCAAGTAACGCTGCCCGCGACTCTGATAATTCTGGTTCCTGACCACCCGGACCTGTCTGTGGCGCCCCCTCATCACTTGGCACCGGCCAAACTCCCTTCCACGTGGACGCGTGGCGCCGCCGCTATGCTGTGCTATCGTCTGGTTGATTCTTCGGGATCCGCGCTGGAAATGCCCTATTCGACGGTGCGCCCTCCAGCTACTCATCTACGCTTCGCATCGGCGCCGGCCAGCCGCACGCCGCGACCCATGTCATAGGCTCACTGCATGCCAACCACCTTGCCGTGCTGCAGGAAGTTTCAGGACCCGCGGACCTGGTCCTTGTTCTCCAGACTTTGCGGTGCTGCAGGAACGGCGGGCCTAGTCCTCGTCTCATAGTGCAGCACGGTTTGCAGAGCCTACATCCCATGCTTCCAAAGGCCTGTGACCGCATCTTGCAATTCCGCCGGTCTCTGCCGGAGGCCCTGGCGCACCCATAACTGCGACTAGGTTATTAGCATCAACGTCTCGCGCCTTCACCTGTGTCATTGTTTCCCTCTCCGCTACCAACATCTGCCAATGCTTCTTGAGGAGACCAGTTCCCACCTCATGAGACTCCCTACACCACGCCTCTACTCCACCCACTGAACCCTTCTCTTGGCTTCAACCGCATCATCACCACCATCATTCTCGCCGGAGATACTGGACGGCGACAATCACCCAACATCCACTCGACGACTCTTCCGAGCACACCACCAACCAGAACCGTACCCGGACTCCCATAGCCGCTACTTCCCATGACGTGCGTCGTATCAACCACGCCGTTTAACCACTTCAACGACCATTTTCCATGGTTATCGATGAATCCCGACACGGCATCATCGCATGGGTCGTTGGAGAAGTCGCACTCCCAGGGCTACGTGTCGCCCGGCTCCGAGACTCGAAAGTCTTCCACCAGCTCTGGTGGTAAGAAGAGGGCTTCTCGAGCCGGCACACGTAGCGTCTCGACGCTTTCTGCGGCTCAGCTGGAACGAAAGCGAGCCAACGACCGTGAGGCTCAACGGGCCATTCGACAGCGCACCAAAGATCACATTGACCAGCTGGAGCGAAGCATCAACGAGTTGCGAGGGTCTCAAGAAGGCAACGAGAAGATGGTCCACGTCACCCAGCAGCGCAATCGAGAGCTTGAGGAGGAAAATGCGTACCTTCGAGGCAAGCTCAACGAAGCAGGTTTTAGCATCGCCCTCTTACCGACAGAACGTTGGTCTACCCGTCCACGCGTGTTGTGATTTTGACTGACCTGTGTGTTCAGACCACCGGAATACAGACTCAGCTCTACTTTCAGTACCTGCGGCTTCCCCAGTAACCGCTAACGGATCAAGTATACCGAGACCAGGATCCACCTCCACCCACAGTAATCACTCCATGGCCACTCAGCCCACAGGATCTCGTCACGGCTCCTGGCAACATCAGCCAGCCGGCTTCGTCGGAGCAGCCAACACTGCCATTGGTGTGCTGCCGGGCGCTGCTGCTGCTTCCAATGCTCCGAATTTACCTACATGGAGGTCCCACGAGAATGGTCCAACGCTACAGGATCCTATGCAGCCCCAGTCCTCCGCGACCTACAATCCTGACCAGCGCGTTGAATGGTCAAGTAGCGGCGCACCTTACCAACCGTATGTGACACAAGAGCAGCAAAGATCACAATATGAAACTGCTCCGTCACAACCGAGCGGCTATTCGTCGTCGTCGGTACCGACTTACCCCGGACAGATGGCTGGACAGAGCGAGTACCCCAACATCTCAGTGTCCTCTTCCCCAAGCTCCTACCAAGTCCAGGGCCAGACAGCTTTCCCTCCGCCAGCATCCTTCCAGGTGAGCCCGATGCAGGTTCCAGCGAGCGGCACAGAATACACTCCTCCACACGGCCACATGCAGCCGCCGCCGCTCCCCAATCCGTCATTTCACTCCGGACATGGCGAACCCGGGGCATACGGAAGCCAGCCAGCAGCGTCAATGCAATACCGGGAGGACAATGCCAATCGATCCTACTCGCTTACGCACTACCCAACGGCCTAGAGCTGTGAAGTGATCCCGACGTGAGTCGTGTTGGATCGCTCGGCTCAGTGATCACGACAATTCCTGTTGGCTGGCTCGAAAAGCAGTCGCGCAAGCGTTCGAACTGTCTGCCCGAGCAGGAACGAAATTGCCGGTTTGGAAACTACTCAAACCTAATCTTCTGGATGGTAACTTGCGCTGGAGCAAAGTCTACAGCGCATCCGGGCATTCCTCATTGCTTTGGCCAGCCCGCACTGCATGTCTCGGTGGTACCTCTGTCCCTCCGTCCTCCCTGCCCATGGCCTCTTCTCTGGTTCCGGCCGTTGTCCGCATCAGATGTCCAGCGTTCGGTGTTCGCAACAGGAAAACTCAATCATGCGCCGGGCGAGCGCTCAGCAGCCACACGCATTCGGCTCAGCTGCTAACCGTATTCTCACAAGCGCCGAACTTTATCGCTTGCTGGGCAAGCAGAACCACAGATGGCTATACCTAAAGCAGAGCGGGCACTGGAATCTCCCATTGTGGATCTCCATCATTTCCGCGACAACGCCTACCGCTCTCTCTATTGCTACTCGATTTACTGTCCACGATGGAAGCCGGCACAGGACAGTACCCACGCATCATGGGGATTCACTATTGCAGAAAACCAGACGACAACTGAGTGCAGACGACCACCGAGTGTTTGTTTTGTTTTTGGAAAGACCACGGCTTCGCAGCACAAGTGTACTACTATTACCGCCTCTTGCTATTTGCTATGCGATGCTACGATATGACGAGGAGAAGATCTTGTTCTGTAAACTAGTAAGTTTGAAGTATTTGCAGGAAAAGTTGGCGCGAACCACAAACGGACATCCTCTCTCTCTCTCTCCTTCCCTATACGGGAATTGCAACCTCGTGGCTCTTTGATTTGAGATTGTCATCCTCGCATTGTCAAGGTGGTTCACTCGCGGCGAGCAGTAGGTCACGCCGTCCAAAAAATGATTCACGCCAGCTCTGCCATTGAGTTTGAACCGACTCCAAGCCACATACGACCGTCTCAACCCTCCGAACAACCCGAGATCACTAATCCGAAGCGCTACGACCACGCGGGATCTTCTCCTCCGACCCAAAGTCGGAACATCACTGGGCGCGGCGCTCTCCTGTCTTGTGTAGTGGAGTGGATGCACAATAGCATGTATTCTGCACTGTGCACTACAGACAATATATGCTGGGAAGCATGAGAGTATAGACTTACTAGTCTCTGAAGTATCGTCTCCGATTTCGATCACCGTATAGAAGGGGTTTTACTAACGAGTTTGTGGCTGAGAACAACAAATGCTTTATTATTCACAGGCTAACGCCAACGCTAAGCTATCTTTAGTTAGTGAGCCTCAATGGCTTGCTGTGGTTGTTTCTGCCGCTGCTGCGGGTGTACCTCTGCGATGCCGCCATCGGGCATCGACTTCTCGGACAGCTTCGCATTATTCGTCGTGGCGGCGGCCGCCGCTTGCTGCTGCTGCTGCTCCTCCCGGATCTGCGCCAGCAGGTCTGGATACCACCGCTCCCCGACGTCCGGATGGCTTTTGATTCTGTTCATCAACGTCGCCTCGCCGAGATGCTTCCAGCGGCCCTTGACAAAGGTGAATTCCACGTCGTCGCGCCGGCCGTTGGTCTGCGCGAGCACCTGGTCGCGCAAGGCGCGCACGTGCTCGGGCACGTCCATGGATTCGAATTCGGCGTCGTACGAGACGCCCTGGAAGAAGGGGATGGAGAAGCGGGGGCCGGCGCCGGCGGGCGGAGAGAGGACGCGGTGGGTGGTGCTTTGCGTTACGCCGCCCGTGAGTGCCTCTAAGCCTTGGCCGACGGCTACGACCAGAGTGCCGCGGATTGGAGGACCTGTGGGTGATGCGCGTGCGAGTGTCAGCGAAGAAGATTATTGCATGTCTCCTGCCTGCCTCCCGGGGCTATTACCTACAGTCGATCCATTCTCCCCGAGTATTCTGCGCCTGCAAGCCCTCGTGATCGCTTGCCTGGAGTAAGTACGACGAGAGCATGGAATCCTTATGCGGCCCGACACCTTGCCCCACACCATCGCCATTGTCCGGATACTTGATAATCTTCAACTTGTGCTGCTGATGCGCATCGAAGAACTTGTCAAACGCATGCGCTTCCATTCCCAGCGCCTCCGCGATCAAGCTGGTGAAGAACTCGCTGACCTGCCGCATCTGCTCCATGTATTCCTGATAGACGCGCTTGAACTCGGGAAGATATTGCTCGCTCGGCCATTGCAGAGGCCCAAACAGATTGTAATACAGAGGGTCTTTGGCAGTTCTCGCGGGGTGTTCTGTGCCCAGGTCGAGCTGCTCTCGCCAGTCTGCTTTGTGTGCCGTGATTTCATTCCCGAGGCGAGAATAGCCCAGGAAACTGGGTTTCTGCTTCATTTCGATCCGAAGCTTTTCCGCCTCGGGCAGATCGAAGAATTTGATACCTTCTTCACACACTCTATCGAAGGTTTCTTGCGGGATGCCGGTGTTCTTGATGTAGAGGAAGCCCACCGTGAGGAGGGCGTCTAGCAAGTCCTTGAGGAAGTCCGACTTGGTTTCTGGTGAGCGGGCCTTGGAGAGGTCGAGGACGGGGATCTCTTGGAATGCCGCCATGACTGTTGTCCCGGTCGAGGGCTTTGGCCCTGACGTGAAGCTCTATGGAAAGGTCTAGCTCGCTTGCCTTGATTGGATAGATACTTCACAAAATTCAAGTGAAGGAGTGCACAACGACGAGAGCTGTGGCTTGGACAATGGTCGAGAGCAAGACGGGAGAATTCCCATTGTCTGCATGAAAAGGCTCACGTACGCGGCATATCACCTCATCGCCGCCAGCGGGGTAGCATTGGTCGACAACGAAGCTCATCAGCACACGTGACCTCGTACAACGATGGAGACGCCGATGGAGCGATGGAAAGTCATGTGAGGAAGAGATCACGTGAGGCTGCTGCATCGTGGGTCCGAATCCGAATGTGGTTGCTTTCCTTTTTCCTTGTCAATACCGCGCAAGGATTCAAGGACAAATCATAATAACGTCACTTCAACTCAACCGTCACCTTCATCTCCTCCATCTCCCTTGCGCCAGGGTCTCATACTATTGCAATCGTCTCTGGGATCAAGGTAGGCAGCATGTCATTCTGCCGGGGGGCTTCGCAAGCAGCGGCGTGATATCAGATACGGTGAAACACGCGGAATCAACCCGATCGCGGTGGTGGCCAATCCGTGACGAACCACTTCCGTGCGGATCTCCCCGTCAGCAGCCATATCCCCGTCTCTGGTTGCTGGCGCCGAGGTGCTGTGCATCTTCTCTCCGGCCAGATGTGATCTCGTGCTTGGGAGCACCCAGTCTACAAGATGACCGGCATCAGCCTGGGGACGGCCGCCGTTCAAAAGCTGGCCGACCGTATTCACGGCTACGCGGCACGTTGCTCTCCGTCCAACTTTTCTGCTGTCCAGGATCGCAATAGTTGGTTGATCGCAGGAGTTGGGAGGGACATTCACAAACAACCTGAAGAGTCTCGGGAAAATTGCGAGCTCCACTCTCGAGCCGCAGACCCGCAGGGTGCATGCCGAAGTCCTCCACTCGCTGCCGGCACGCAAGTCACCATATCAGATCCACACCTTGTCGGACAGGCTGTCCCCGTCTCTGCCCCTGCAGCAAGTCCCGTGCCCGCGTGTCAGTGGCAGTACACATCGAGCTACCACCATTATACGATACCGAGCGAAATCGTATTCGTATGAGTCGGGAACGTTGACATGCCTGACAACCAAGTTCTTAAACAACTATAATGACCCTCGCGAAGCAACCGGCGAAGGCTCAGGCGCATTGACACCCGAGATACGATATGCCCCACTGAACTGAAGCATCTTTTGCTTCATGGACCACGATACACTCCGAAAGCCTTTGCGGGCTTTAAATTGGCCGAATCGGCATCCCGAACAACCACGTCATACCGAAAAACCACCTGTGAAGTGCAGCTGCCTCCGGATATTATCATCCGACGCTTGCAACATCGGGGAGATGGAGTCAGCGGTGCCGTCGAAATCTCAGGCCAATGGTGAATAGTTTGGTATGGCCCGCTTGGCGTCTATTCGCTCGACAACGCTGACCAGAATGGGCAAGGAAAAGGCCGCTGGGCATATGCATCCTGCCGACACGGACAACCAGCCCAGAGCAGAGCTGATGGACTGCCGCAGCGGACGTCAGACGGTCGACGTCCCGTCAACTCTTCGAGCTATTGTGTGTTAGGAGCATGAAAGTCCACAACCAACATTGCATCTGTGTGCCAAGCGTATACTCGATCAGTCCAGTTGTCTTGACGGGGCAACCCTGAACTCGTCGACCAAAACCATCGCCTCTTCAGACCGGCACATCGTACAAGCAGAGTCGTCTAGACGCTCCAAGTGCGTTGCCATCGGAAATGGTATCCTCTGTCGACCTGCTGGACATCTTCGGCCGTACGTGCTCGTTCCACGTAATCACGGCCGACATCGTCCAGGTCATCCGTCTCAGTGACGTGAGTCTCCGTGCCGTCACTATCGTCGTCGCAATCCAGCGAGAGGAGGGTCAAGGTTGGGACGAAGCTGCTGTCCAACGACTCGATCAGCGCATTTGCCTTGGCTTCCTCTGCGTCATCTCCGGCGTTGTGAGAGAAGAACCAACGCCAAACCGCCTTCTGCAATTTCGCGAGCCGCGTCGTGGATGGAGAGCTCACATCTTGATCTTCGTCTGGCGTGGCAGGAGGCTGCCTCGCTTCGACAACTTCTTGGAACTCCCCCAGTGGTGTGCCTTCGAGACACTCGGCAATCGCCGCGGTGACCGCACTGTGTTTTGGTATTGGTGATGGATGTGGGTGCTGGCTTGAGGATGCTGCCGCTGCAGCGCTGGCGCATGCTCCTTCCTTCCACTGCGGTCCCTCGTCGCGAAAGCTGGGAACTTCACCTCCCCATCTTCTCTCGCCGTCGCGAAGATGGTGTAGCAACCGAGGGTCGAAACTCTTTCGAGAACTCGCACGCAGAGCTCGTTTCCTGACAGCATCCGAGGCATTGGCGCGAAATCTTCCCCTTTCCGCCTTCAAATTGGCCAACTGCTCTTCATTCTCTTTCAGTCCACCCGAGTCTCCCCCACCATTCGGATAACGCACCGCAGTGTTGCCCTTACCAGCCAAGAGAAACGACCGCGCATCCTGCCCTGCCGCATCTTCTTGCCCCCGAAACCTCCTCTCCCCATCAGCATCCTTCACAACAGGCGCGCCCAAAACCCCTCCACACCATCCTTCCGCTCGCTCCATCACGTTCTCGAACTGCGCGCACAACGGCTTACCGTATCTCTCCAGCTCGCCAAGGTATGCAAGGATAGACGAGCTACCATTCCCGCCAGCGACGACAGAGGATGAAGCGTGCTTGCGGTCGTCTGTTCCTTGCGCTTGGTCCGCTTGGCCTACTTGCTTCGGACCGCGCTGCTTTTCGAGGGCGGTAGGGGAATTCATACTGCTGCTGCTGCTGCCGCCGCTCTGTACCGCGGATGCACTTACCAGTGGCTCTGTGTGGTGGTCGACTGTAGTTCTGCCAACGACGTGTGTTTGTTCGCGCAGTCTATCTTGTGCGCAGATGGCCTCGCGCGGTCGAGGCTGCTGATGCATAGTATGAGAATGCTCGACACAGAGAGAGAGTTGCGGGTGAAGGACAGCAGCGTCGCTCGAGATTTCTTGTCTAGCGAGTAGACGCGAGACTCGAGAGAATCCGTTTGCCGAGCAAACGCGCAATGCCGCTGCTTGCTATAATCCCTCTTACGCTGGTGTGGTGGGTGTCGTTGCTATTTGCTGCGAAAATTGATTGCCACGCAAGACACTTGTCGCGGTGCAGGAAATAAATTGTGTTGCTTTTCAACACGAACCTCACACCCAGCGGTGAATTTCGTCTATCTTTCTTCACGTCTAGTCACGTCCAGTCACGTCCCCGGGCGGCATTCACCTGTCACCGCCAAGCCCATATTGTCCACCAACATTTCACCTCGAGAAGTTCTTCACTTTTGCCAACCCAGTCATCGAAGCCAGTCTCCTCACCTTGGTCTACAACCACCAGACCGACAGCTTCCATCCTCACCTTGAAATCTTCTCGCTCTGAACCATATGCATCTCGCAGGGGCATCTCCACGATCACCCTGGCGCTGGTATCCTTACTGAGATGATACTCAATGGCTTGAGCGAGTAGTCGGGGATGCTCTGGACTGTAGATGGGGTCCGCTGCCAAGATCAAGGAGAACATGTTCGCATTCCCGTTGTACGTGTCGTTCAGACGGAAGGCACCTGGCTCCAACCAATCCAGTACTGCGACACGTGCCTTTCCCCCGTGTGCGGAGACGGACGACTCATTGGCGTGCGCGTTGCGCTCGAGGTTCGGCGTGATGGCAGGGAGATCGGTCAGTATGACAGCAGTGTGGAAGACGGCTGCAGCAGCCAGGCCAACGAGGCCAGTCCCAGCTCCGAGTTCCAATATGGCAGTGCCAGACGGCACAGAAGGCAAGGCGTGACGCAGCAGACCCAGGCGTTTGGCAAGTAGATGGGATGATGCCCAAGTCTTGAGACCCAGGTTGTCGGATGTTAGGGCTGGTTCATGTAGAGTCAGTTCCACGCAGCTGGTGGGACTCGGCTCGGCTGCAGAGACGGCATCAGAAGTTGACAGCGGGTTCCTGCTGATGGTGTCGTGTACCGCCGACGTAGCATGCACAGGAATGACAAATGTCCGACGTATCGCGCCCATAGCAGAGCGACCGCTGCGTTCGGCGAGGCGCTGAGACGCGGCTTCCCATACTCTTTCCTTTTCCCCATCATCTTCGATCCAGGCGAGTGGACTCGAAATGATGTTTGTGAGATACCTCGGCACTCCTTCGCTTCTGATCCTTCTCTTGCGGCGGATGGGGGTGGAGGCCCCGCTCAGGGGCGATGGTGGCGCGGCGGTCTTGGGAGTTGGTTCCCAGGCAGCTGGTTCGGAGCTCAAATCGGCTAGTGTCGCAAGCAGGGCATCGGGTGTAGGCTCCGTGTGTAGCTGTGGCAGATCGAGGACTTTGCAATAGTGTCAGCTCCCGAGCTTCCGCCCAGACGACGTGCAGATCAGGTCAGCGTACCGTCCAATGCCTCTTCGGCGTCCTCCTCCTCGAAGTCTTTGGGACCCAGATCCTCCACAGCAGCCATGACCTGTTTTTGCGGGCGTTGTCGCTGCCCGGCGCATGCGACACTTGTGATGCGCGCAGGCATCTTGGTCCGCCGTGTCGGGACCTTTCAACCCGCACAGGAGTTGGGAGTGTGGCGTGACGATTGCCGCAAGCGCAAAGGGAAGGCCAGCAAGGAGACCAAATTAGACTTTTGCCGGGCTTACCGACGCTTTGGGTGAGAATGGATTGAGTTCAAAGATGGACGATCGGTTATGGTTCGGGACGCCAAGTGCATGGCCTCCCACAGTCTCGCGTCCACTTTCAGGTGTACACTTGTGCACTGGTCTTGCCGTGCCTGTCGTTCGGAGCCGGCAATCCTTCTCCCATGGTACTCGGGCCCCGGCCGCACCACCGCGCTGGGTCTTTGCCGGTGGTTGCAAAACACACAACGGGTTGGTTTGCGTGTGGTTTTCGGATAGTAGCTGCGCCCAAGACCAGTACTAGTAGCTTTTAGTGTGCAGGCACGCCAGGCCGGGGTGCAATGCGAAACCCACAGCCGCCAACGCCGATCTCGCTGTCAAAGGGTGGCTTGCAAAGTACTACCAGGCAAAGTATCGCAACGGCGTGCGCATGGTGCTCGGCGGGACCTTCGATCGAGACGATGTTTGTTGGTGTCACTCCAGTGTGGCTTTGAAGCCTTCGTAAGCTTCGTTCAGGTCAAAGTTCATCTGTCGTGCTTGCTCCGGACTGAGTTCCTCCGCAGCACGCATTTGATTGAGCGTGATCAGCCACTGCACAATCTTACCCTTGCTCTCGAAGTCCCGGTCGGTGACCTTGTTGACGGCTTGGATCGTGTCCACGAGGATCGGGTGCAGCGTGTCCTTGGAGAGGATGTTCATGCGCACTGCATCGAACAGCGTGATGAAGTTCTCCGATGCAGACACGATGGCTGTGGCATTGGCCGCGCTGGGAGCGTTGCTGGGTGTCTGCGATTGGGATGTCGCACGTTGCGATGCCGTACGTGTCGGGACCGTCTCAATGGTTGCTGGCAGGCCAATCTTTAGACGCTCCGTCGCCTTGGGTACTTCCAACTGCCATTTCTATCAGCCGTGCACATTGCAAGAGCGTGACATCTCACGCACATCCCACTCGGCCTTGAAGCGTTCCACGTCACCGAACGCTGCTTGCACGCTTTCATCCGCGAGATTGCTCTTGTACTGGCGCAGCAATCGATCGCACGTCTCGGTGTATTCCGACTCCTCGATGCTGTCTCGCAGGTACGCCTTCTCCAACGCATCGAGGGTGATGATGATACTGTATATCTCGGCCAGCGACTCGTAAAGATCTCGTTCGGCGGATGTGTCTGCGAGCTTGACTTCCTGCTATCATCAGCAGGTACACGCGGCGGCGTACGGGTGCAAGTAGAGTACTTCGTCCAGATTGATTGTCGCGGTGAGGTTACTCGATGGTGTGTAGCTGTACGGTGTCGGCGCATACGCCAATTGCTGTGGTCCATACATCTTGTCGCATAGCATGGAGATAGAAGAGGCCAGTAGAGGTGAAGTGTTAAGTTGTCTCGTGCTTCTCGTCATGAATCGGGACTCGGAGCCGCTCAAGCTGTACGACAGGGCTGTCTCCACAAGAACCGGCAGAATTTCGGGGGCCAGACGTAAATCTGGGACTTTTCCCTGCACAACTTTGCGACTTTCCATTCGAAACAACCTCATATTGTCGACTATTGGTGCCATCGCACCTCTACATCCAAGATGGCGCAAAGAAAAGCAACCAAGAAATTCGAGAAGCACCACCTGAAGGACACCCTCGACCGTCGCAATGGACTGAAGAAGGTCAAGCAGAAGCAGCAGCTGAATGCGAAGAAAAAGGCGAGAAGGGCGGAGGAGAACGGCATAGACGGCAAAGAGGCTCAGGAAGAGAAGGCGACAAAGCAAGCAGGCAAGCAAGCAGTGAACGATGCTTTCAAGGACATGAGCGTGGACGACTTCTTCCAAGGCGGGTTTGAGGTACCAGAGCTGCCCAAGAAGAAGGGCGGCAAGAGGAAGCGACAGGAGCAGGAAGAAGATGCAGACGAGGCCTCAGAATCGGATGTATCCTTTGAGAAGGAAGTCGTCCCAGGTGGTAGCGATTTGGACTCCGATTCTGAGGATGATCCCGAGGACTTCAAGGAACAGCTCGCTGCCCTGGCAGAAAAGGACCCAGAATTTCACAAAATGCTGCGGAAGGATGAGCCTGAAGTATTTGAAGATCTGGATGATCTCCAACTGAGCGACTCCGATGACGATGGGCCTAAGCGCAAGAAGCAAAAGAAGGGCGAAGATTCGGACGATGAGATGGCGGGAGACAACGAGCTCGATTTGGCTACGGTCAAGAAATGGCGAACAGCGCTTGTCGAGCAACATTCGCTGCGTGCCGCCAAGGAGACTGTCATAGCTTTCCGCTCCGCTGCACAGGTGTCCTCTGCGGAATCAGAAGACAAAAGCTTCAAATACTCGGTGTCTGACCCAGACGTATACCACCAGCTCCTTACGACTGCACTGAAGCATATTCCGGAGGTCTTCCGACACCATCTCCCTGTTCAAGAGAATAAGAACGGCAAAGTGCATGTTTCGACAGAATCGAAGAAGTTCAAGACGGTCGCTCCGTTGCTCAGATCGCAGATATCCGGTATACTGCACCTCCTCGATCATCTGTCAGACCCGGCTACCCTCCGCTTGACGTTGTCGTCGTTAAATCCGCTCATGCCATACCTGCTTTCTTTCAAGAAGCTGGTCCGAGATGTTGCTCGTGCAGTTACTGGTGTGTGGTCAACCTCTTCAGCTACAGAAGCCACTCGAATCGCTGCTTTCCTTGTGATGCGACGTTTGGTAGTCATTGGCGACGCAGGCATCCGCGAAGGGGTACTGAAAGCTACCTACCAAGCTTTGGTCAAGAGCAGCCGCAACACAACGATTCACACCCTTGCAGGAGTCAATCTGATGAAGAACTCCGCAGCTGAGCTTTGGGGACTCGCCGGTGGAGAAGGCGGCGTCGCGTACACGACCGCTTTCACTTTTATCAGGAGCCTGGCCATGCACTTGCGGAAAAGCATTACTCAAAACAGCAAAGAGAGCTACAAGGACGTCTACAACTGGCAATACGTGCACAGCCTGGACTTCTGGAGTCGAGTCATTGCGGTGCATTGTGTGGAGACATCCTCGCCTCTGAGGCCGCTCATCTATCCGCTCGTACAAGTGACACTCGGAGCATTGAGGCTCATTCCTACTGCTACGTACTTTCCTCTGCGATTTCAGCTCATCCGATCACTGCTCCGCGTCAGCTTATCCACTGGCACCTACATCCCGCTCGCTGCGCCTCTCTTCGAAGTCTTGAACAGCGCAGAGATGAGGAAGGCACCAAAGCCGACTACGTTGAAGCCTATGGACTTCAACGTTGCGATACGGGCCCCGAAATCTCATCTTCGCACCCGGACATACCAGGATGGCGTGGCCGAGCAAGTACAAGAATTGCTATCAGAGTTCTTCACCCTCTGGACTAAGAACATCGCATTTCCTGAGCTGGCATTACCTGTGATTGTGATGCTGAAACGCTGGTTGAAGGAAGTCAACCAGCGCGGCCCAAAGAAGAGCGGCAACAAGAACCAGAAGGTCAACGGTATGGTGCAGCTGCTTGTGCAAAAGCTGGAAGCAAACTCGAAATGGATCGAGGAGAGGAGAGCAAAGGTCGAATTCGCACCTAACCATCGCAAGGGTGTTGAGAACTTTTTAAGCGATGTGCAGTGGGACAAGACGCCCCTCGGTGCATATGTTGTCGGTCAGAGGAAGACTAGAGAGGAAAAGGCTAGGACTGTTGAGGAGGGGAGAAAGGAAGAGGAACGCAGATGGCAGAAGGAGAAGGGTGCCAGAGCTAGCGCTGAGGAAGAGGATCAGAGCGGTGAAGAAGGAGAGGAAGACGATGAAGAAGGCTCGGAGGACGAGGAAATTCTCAATGGGGTTTCTGAGGATGGGGACGAGGAAGACGACGAAGACGATGACAGCGAGTAGGACAGCTGCATCTAAGACTGTCCGATCCCTGATTCCAAAACCGGCGGGCATCCGCCTTTCCAGGGCGTCCATGTCATCACTTTTCGGACTCCTTCCGTCGACACTTCGACGATAAATTTGTATACCTACTGCCTCGGAACGAAACGCTATGCTGTTCTCCGAGTCATCCCGAAAACTGGGTAATTGCTCTTGCCCAGATTCCATAACGCGACGCTAAGTGCTGTCTCTGCCAACAGTCTAGCCTGATATTCTTCCGCCGCGACTTGATCAGGTTTTGTCCGGGGTGACACCAAGTGAACTCGGCCTTTCTCTCACTGCTTCAATTTGCGGTAATCTAGAGCCTCCGGTACCTTTCTAGTTGCGCGCGAGCACGGTTGCAACCCAAAGACGCTGTTATCACATGCAAGGGGCTGCATGGGCGGGCCCGTGCGCGATTGTCGACATTTCTTGCTTGCTTCTCAGGCTTCACAGCATCTGTCTCCAGCTCCGACTTCCACTTTTCGATCGGAACAAATTCTCCAGCTTGCATCGTATTGAGCCCGGCCGTACAGTGCTTCCTTACAGCGGTGCCACGCTAATATGACGACAGAAAAGTCTCAAATTCATCCTGTGCTTAGGAAGCCTCTCTCTCCCGCTGGCTGAGAAAGCAAAGCTGGATCAAAAGGCTCGTAACCAGCACAACAACCTGAAGAATCGCATCAGTCTGAACGCGCGAAAGTCGTCATCGGGGGTTTATGGAGCAGTACTCAAGCCCGCTTTGAGCCATCCGGCAAGGAATTTCAAGACGACGAGGAATGAAACCCTTTGTGGTCCGCGCAACAAATTCTTGTGGAGCCGGCCGATTCAGAATACCAAAGCCCGCTCATGACTCTCTACTCTGGAGAAGCGAAGTATCATACATGCCATCTTGACCACCCACCCGTAAGCGGTTTCCCGATATCGCGAAGAAGATTCCCCCCCCCCCCCCTCCGGGACCATAGATTCCGTCGTCACTTTTGTACCAACTCCTCAATCTCACCCTCAACCACCAACTCCAACCCCAACCCCCCAAACCAGCCTAAAGCGCAGCGCCTCCCCCGCCGCAGGCCGACCCCGATTCCATCCTCGAAATCTCCAACGAACTGCGCCACAGAGCTCAATCATCATCCGCCATCGACGAAGATGATCTCAAAATTGCAATTGCAGGCAAACAGACCACATGAAAGCAGATTTTGCAGGTCAAGCGGAAATTGGCTGCTATGAGGAAGGAAGCGGAATGCTTGAGAGGGTCAGAACAGAGTTCGGGCGCTACTTCAAGAAACCTCTCCGATGCTAGCTAGCGGGGGGCGAAAGGCGAAAGGCGAAAGGCGAAAAGCGAAAAGCGAAAAGCGAAAGGGCTGGACGGCGTATGGCAGATGGATGTGAGAGACGAGAGCGTGAGAGGGCGTGAGACGATTTCTAACGATGTGTGTTTTTACCTTTCTTTCCTTGTTTTCCGTGAAATCAGCATTCGTTTGGCTTCTCCAAACACGAGAAATACTAGATACCAGCATCGGCCGCGTATGATCTTGAAGAATCTTCAGAGCAAGCAAAAACATGGCGAACAAACAATCCATGTATCATGGCTAACTCGCGGCATGCCATCAATGATGATCTATCTCTCACATGTACCCTCACATTGATGTCTTGTATGTGTCACACGCGATATGTATGATTGCTGCAGCATAGCCGACGAAGATGCTAGCAGTCGACAAGAACGGCATTCACACCAACAAATGCAGTAGATTTGAAAAAAAAAGCCCTCACTCCCATTCCTCATTCGTCCGAGCTACTCGAAAAGGATTCTCACAAAAATCAAAAAAGGCCATGAGCTAACTACTACACAAGATCTACCCTTCCCCTGCAAAAATCTCACCAATGGAGACAAAGGGGTGTGATCCAGATTGATCCTGTTCTCCAGAAAAACTCCACGTGATAACAAGAAGAGGATTCACAGCAAGCGATTGACTCCGTCTTTCTTTCTTTCTTTGGAACTCCTGCGCCCCAAAACATACTTATAACAGCAGCGACTCCCCGCTCTTCTGCTGTCGATTCGATTAACAGCGGTTCCAGGCAAGTACAGTAGACAAACAGATGTGTAAAATTATGAACACTAGAGCTGTGAGCGAAGGTGGTATAGTTGATTGTTCGTCATCTCCGACCAGGAGGTCGAGAGGCGGCGGTATATCGAGGATGGTTTGATTGGATCTGAAACCGTGGTATAACTCCGACCGGAACGAAAGGCGCCTGCGAGACTGGGTATCGATATCGGATGGAGAAAAGTTTGGAGAGATGAGATGTGCGAGAGAATGTTGAGTGACGGGACTGTCACACAATTGGTTGTCAGGAGCGGCCGTAAGGGGTCGAAGGCGTTTCAAGGGCTGCTGTAGACCGGGTCCACTGCATCTGGAGTCTGGGCTTTCTGCTCAGTTGGAGTGATGAGCTGCAGATCCAGATTCGGAGTTCGCATCGCACTCAATTCATCTGGAGTGTTGATGGCATCATCCACTTCCTCAGCTAGCGGCTCCAAGTCAGGTGTGCAAATCGCGTCTTCCGAGTTCAAAAGGCTGGCTACGCTCAATCTGCGCTTCGCTGGATGAGCATCTGGTACAGCTTGAGGGTCGGCATTCACGGCGGGCGCGCTTGTTGTGGTCTGGATCTCCTGGGAAAGCGACAAGTCCTAATTGTCGGTGATGGCCAGATTATCCCCATCACCGAAGGCAAAGTTCGCATCGAAGCCTAATCCTCCATCATCTCCTGTTTGATTCAGGAAGCTATCGAAATCGAAGTTGTCGAGCACATCGCCGCTATCTAGATTGGCGAAATCCATGCCGCCGTTGACGCTGAAGTCGTCACCGGGAAGAGCGCCAAATGGAGGGTTGTTCATGTCGTTAAGAGGTTGTTGAACCGGAGGTGCGCCACCCTGTTGGCCGGCGGGCTGATTCTGATTGCCCTGCTGGCCTTGAGGTTGACCATTCGGCATTTGTAGGTTCTTGTTCTGCTGGAAGTTGGCTCCGTTTGGATTACTGGGAGTGACTGGCGGCGGCGGCGTGGGCGTGGGGGCCTGATTTGCGCCCTCGTTCTCTGCAGCTGCAGGACCCTTCTTGTTCGCGGCGGCCTGTGTCGATTGCATTAGCATCGCGCTGAAAGCCTGCAGAGTAGATATGCTTACCTTCTTGTTCGCTGCAGCATCCTTCTTGGTCCCGGGCTTGGGTTTGTTGGCTTGATTTGGCGTGGGCGGCTGAGCCTGCGCCTGAGGGCTACTTGGCTGTGTGCCTCCGGGATTTTGCCCTGGTGCAGGTGGAGGTGGCATGTTGCCTTGTCTAGGGGTCATGTTAGGCTGCTGACCAGGCGGGCCTCCTTGGCCCGGCTGTTGACCAGGCATCATTTGACCCGGCTGCGGTCCACCTTGCCAATTCGCGCCATTTGGCATCATTTGGCCGTTTCGCATCATCTCCATCTGCTGCGGAGTCATTGGCGGGCCGTTCGGGTGAGATGATGGCGGACGCATGATAGGTTGACCATTGGGCGCCACTATCATCTGCTGAGGTCGCATAGCAGGATTCATGTTTGGATCCATCATGCCCGGAGCTGGTGAGCCGCGGCCTGTCATGTCTCCATTCGGAGACATACCTGCCTTCTTCATGTTGGGCGTGCCGCGCTGCATATCATTCGGGTTTGGAGACGGATCACCGACTCTGCTGCCCTGAGGTGACATGCCAGGTGCAAGCTGGCCACCGCTGGGCGGCACGCCAGGCTGGTGTGCCATGCCGTCTTGTTCTTGGCGTGCCATGAGCAGCCTCTTCTTGTTCTGCTGCTCGAGCAGCATCAACTGCATCTGGTAGTCCTGCAGTGCGTGGTTACCGTTCTGTGCTTGCTGGCCACCGGCTGCCACGGCCGCGCCGTTCTGTTGCACGGGCAGGCGGTTGGCATAGAGTTCGTTGCTGTTGCCGTCAAAGCCTTGCTGGTTCATCGGACTCGACTGCGCGCCGCCGGGACCCATGGCGGGATTTGGAGGCATGACCTTGTTCCCGTTAGAACTTGTTCTCTGTAAAGCGGCTTGCATTTGTTTCTGCATTGCATTCGAATAGACCTCCATAGACTTTGTTTGATAATTAGTAGGCTGTTGGGACAAGTGTCTCAGTTGCTCTGGCGAGATTCGATTGGGATCGATTCCTCTCACGCGTAGCATCTCGAGCGTCTCTGGTGGGATCTCGGACATGGGTGGGGTGTCGGATGGGGTACCCACCTGATTGCCGCCTTGCATCGGACCTGGTTGCCCAGGGCGCTGCTGGTTGATCTGCTGCATGTTTCCACCATCGATTCTTTGTCGCTTGGGTGAGGGCGCATCACCGCCGGTGTTCGGTGACCCGGAGCGCGGACCGCTCATGTCCATCTGGGAACCTTGTCGCTCCATCTGTGCAGCGCCCATCTGGCCTCCCTGCGCCTGCCGCTGCTGCATCTTCTGCATGGTAATCTGCTGCTGTTGGCTCCTATGATACGCGTCAGTGTGCCTCGAACTCGCGTAGAACGTACATTTGGGAGACTCACAGGCCATTCTTCATCGCCGTCTGCCTGAGGTCATTCATGCCGCCGTTGTTCATCATGCCATACCCTCTTTGCGCGTTCGGATCCATGTTGCCCATCATACCAGTGCGCGCCTTCTGAGCTTGCCGTTGATGGCCGACGTAAGTGAGGGTCGTCTGACGGCCGCGCTGGCGATTGGCTTGGTGCAGCTCCCAGAACTGAAGCCACCAGTCTTGGAGGAAAGCGCTGTTCTCGTCGGATAGAGTCAACGGTGCAGGCAAGTCGTCCGGCCGTCTCTGGATTCCAACGTGCTCTTTGCTGTCGACGTCCGTGCTGCTATCCAATCCATTGGGTTGGTTCTGGCGCTGGTTTGGCGACTGCTTGACCGGAATTTGCGTCTCGATATCAAGGCAGTTTTTGACGGCGCGCGCAGCGTCGTACTTCTCGCAACACAGAAGGTAGTCGTAGATGGCGGTGTTGAGCTTTTTGATTATGTCCGCGCTGGTGACACCGGCGCCCGAGTTTGTCGGGGTGCCAGCGTTGGCAGGCTGCGCGACCGGACCGCCGACGGGGCCACCCATTCCCTGCATGGCCATCGTGTGCTGTTGGCTCATGCTGCAGAAGAGGTGCGGTGGAGCGAAGGATGTGTAGTGAGATTAAGCAGACGGTGTGGGTTTTGGAGGTGGTAGGGGTGCGGAGGCGGGGGCGCGGCGACGGGCGTGTCGGTCGTTAGGTACGTTTCGGAGCGTTTCCAGGCTGTCGCGAGCGCGAGCGCGCCGTCCACGCTGGGCGTGCGGACGATACGGGAGTGTAGAAAGGAGCGAATGCGCCGTGGGTGCGCCGTGGGCCTCGTGCACAAGTGCCGTGAGGTGGATGTAGAGTAGTAGACAAGAGGTGTGGAAGGCGCACGCAGGATGGAAGCTCAGCCGTCGATCCCTCGAAGGCTCGCCTTGGGTCGCTTACTCTCCGGCGGTGCTGCAGGCTGGCCGTGCAGGGCGGCGGCGGCAGCGGGCGGGTGGCAGCAGCGGCGGCGGCGACGACGGGGACAGCAGCAGCGGCAGTTGGTGTCGGTGTCGTGTCGGTGTTGATGAGGTGGTGGTGGTGGTGGTGGTGGTGGAAGTGGTGGTAGTGGTGATGGTGGTGGTGTCGAAGTGCGGGACGGGGTGTCGGTACAGGCGCTGCAGGGCGAGATAGTAGATGGAGCAGCACACAGCACACAGCACACACAGCACAGTACAGCACAGTACAGCACACCGGGCAAGACAGGCAAGGCAGGGCAAGGCAAGGCAAGGCAAGTGTTGGAGTCGGTCGGGAGATCAGTCGTAGTTTGCGACGGGAGCACAGAGGAGCAGCGCGCCGGGACTTTCCTCGCTCAGCCTTGGCTCCAGGGTGATGAGCACCGCTTGTATGATAGTATGATAGGTACGTACCGTCGAGTAAGTTCCGTGATCTCCACTGCCGTCTCCGACGCCGAAATAGCACAGTCTGTGGCCGGCAGAGACCTCTGCGCGTCGGTCGCGAATAACTCGAGGACGAGACGAGACGAAACAAGACAGGACGGGACGAGAGATGACGGGAGAAAAAGGATTTCTCGGGCGCTGTTGGGTACGACGCAGCTTCACCTGCCCGCCACCCAATCAGCTTGCACCTCAGAAGAGCCAGAACGTCTTGGCCCAACCACCTTCTCCTCTCATTCTGCGACCAACACTCATACTTCTGCCTCGATCTACATCTTTCTGGGCGTGGACGTGAACGCGAACAATGCTTACTCTCACGGCGCAGACTCATATTGCGGCGACAGTCACATGGAGGCGTTTGAGTCGACGCTGTGCTGGCCTGGCCTGGCCTTGGCATCCTGCTAGCTATCTCACATGATCGAAGATGGGGGTGGTGTCGACGAATGATAGGCTTGTTTACTGCCCTTCAAACTTGTCCTTGCCTTGAGCAGCGTCACTCAAACGATTCTGCCGAAAGTGCGTCTGCCACCTCGATTCTACATGCACCATCCTACGTGTCAATCGAGAAGATGGTGTGTTGCTGTTAGCTGTCAAGATCGGTATGCCGATGCGGCCGAGCTGATTCCTCGCCCTCATGCCCGATGGCATTCAGAAAGCAGTGAGACATCGAATTGCTCGGAGCGGTGCAAGAATAGCGAACATGTTTATCGCTTGAAACACCGCCCAGTAAATAGTCGCAAGTGAGCCGCATGAACTCTATTCAGCAGCATCGCTGAGTGGCTGCACCCGAGTGCGCCCTTCTCACCGCTCGCATGTGGTATGCATCATGGCAGGGAAAAAGCTTCCCCTCTGAAGTGGCCGTCTGGAATCTTCAGTGATGCGGAGAACACCAAGCGGTGAAAGTGCTCGGAGAGCAAGTCAAGTTCGGTATGCGCAAGTGTGCTGGGACTGTGAGCGCGATCAAGCTAATCGTGTTTGATTCCGTCATTCATCATCTGGAGGCATTTCGTCCTCAATATAGCGTATCAGCGTAACACGCATCTCTGTCGTGTCGTTCCCGCGCAAGACATCGCTCAGGAAGCGTGCCTCGACCTGCATCTGAACCTGTACCCAGTGTCAGCATTCCCGGCTTGTAGAAGATGTAGCAAGTAGTCATGTACATACCATCTCCAGCGCTCCCCGTATCACTCCACAGAGTATATTGCTATACCACAACTCATCCTGTGCCCGTCCGTCGTCCGGTAGCTCCACAAAGTCCGCCAACGGATTCTCTTCAAACACCAAATTGAACGCTTTGTTGTCCTGACTCCAGTTTGTCACCACTGGTGTAATGTTCATGAATACCTTGAACCCAATCTTGGAAATCACTTCTGCCGTCTCTTTGAAGCTGGAGCAGGTGCCTTGGTTGGCTTTGGCGAGGAAGTCTTCGATGAGGCGCAGGCCGATGTTGTAGCCCATACGATCGAGCTCATGATTGACGGCCGCATAGTCGGTTTTAGCGGAAGTATTGGGGAGTGTGAGGTCGCGGCAGAGCTGGGCGACAATGGTGCCGTAGGTGAGGGTCACGACTTCGGCGTTGATCTTCTCGACGCGGGATCTTGGAGTAGAGGTTAGGATGCGCTGCTTGGTACGAGTCCAGTGGATAGACAAAACTCACTTCCACACGCTGTGTTCGTATTAGCCACTCGATTCCTGCCATACCCATCCTCGAGGGTGCTTACTCCTCGCCCTGTCTCGCGGCCTTTGAAGTCATTGTGCTTGCTGCTCGAGCGCGTTGAATTTCGAGACGCGCAGTTGTGCTGCTTCACCTCATCACTCTTCACACCCCATACCGTGAGATTAGAGGGTCTGCAGGATCGTAGTGCTCGTTCGTCGTTTGCGTGTAGTCAGTATAAAGTCGTAGCGTGGACTTGTAGTTTCGTGGAGGCTCCAGGGCTGCGGCACACCGCGCGCTAAAGAAGCTTGGACTCCCGGCGGCATGTGAGAGGGAAATCTTTTGGCGGACCATTGCTAGCACATTGACCTTCTTCAACTTCTACGAAACCTCTCGACGCCCTCGAAATTTGAGAACAGTACTCCAGCAAACAATCTCAGTATCGCATCGCGATCAAGCCACTCGCAATGTCGGGCGAAAAGCGATCAGCGGCCGAGTCGTTCGGCAGCACACAACTGGTCAAGAGGCAGAGATCTGATGTTGACATGAATGGCGGTGCTCTCACGAAGACCAATGGAGGCGCACTGATACAAGCGGTGAGTCTTACCCAAGTTACTTCCAAGTAGCTGGCTCAAAGCTAAAGCGGTGGATGAAGGGCACAATGGCTAATAATGGGTGAGTAGGGTGGTGCTGCTGCAAGTCTACAGGCCTCCGTGATGGAATTGAGTGGTACGTAGAGAGCATCCGGGACAATGAGCTAGTATCAGACGTGCTGATGACTTGCTAGGCCACTCCGGAGAAGTCTTCACAGCTCGCTTCGATCCTACCGGCGCACACATCGCATCTGGCAGCATGGACAGAAACATCCTTCTCTGGAACACCTCCGGAGACTGCGCGAATTACGGCGTACTCACCGGGCACAAAAGTGCGATATTAGATCTTCACTGGTCAAGAGACAGTCAGGTCATCTACTCTGCAAGCGCGGACAAGCACATTGCGAGTTGGAACGTAGAAACAGGCGAAAGAATACGGAGGCATGTGGGTCATGAGGAGGTCATCAACTGCATAGACGTGAGCAAGCGAGGAGAGGAATTTCTGGTGAGCGGGAGCGATGACGGCTACATTTGCGTTTGGGATCCTCGACAAAAAGCTGCCATCGATGAGATCGAGACAAAGTACCCCGTCACGGCTGTCTGTCTAGCTGAGGCAGGCAACGAGCTCTTCAGCGGAAGCATCGACAACGAGATCAAGGTTTGGGACCTTCGGATGAAGAAGACTTCATATACCCTCACCGGCCACACCGACACGATTACCTCACTCGCGATCTCGCCTGATCAACAGTCACTCCTCTCGAACTCACACGATTCTACCGTCAGAACCTGGGATATCAGACCTTTTGCGCCAGCGGACCGCGCAATCAAGACCTTTGATGGAGCGCAAGTCGGGCTGGAGAAGAACCTCATCCGGGCATGCTGGGATTCTCAGGGCAAGAGGATTGCAGCTGGTGGAGGAGATGGCACGGCGACGGTTTGGGAGACGAGTGGCAGAATGCTTCACAAGCTCCCAGGACACAAGGGCACCGTCAACGATGTGCGGATATCGCCAGATGGCTCGATGATTCTCTCCGCCAGTACAGACCGGACATTGCTGCTAGGAGAGCTACCAAGCAAATAAATGGATCCAGCGTGCATGCGAAGTGCGGTGCAAGAGCTCGAATTCGAGAATGTTATTACGTGGCGCCAGCTTTGCGCCTGAATCCAGGTCGAGGGATAATGATGATGTCAGACATATCTGAGCCTAACTTGACATTCGTAGGTATATCCAGTCACCAGAAAGTCGCTCCAACCATCAGCAGTTGCTGCAAAATCTTCGACCACGAAAATGCCTTCTGACACCCAGCCTCATCCTGATCCTAGCGCGGACGAGCCTAACCCAGAAACACCCAGGAATGTCTCAACTGGCAAAGTCGACTACACTCCCAACCCATCAAATTCCATCCCACTCTCCTCGAACCGCCAATCCATCCCTCAAAAAATCACCGCTTTCTATTCTGGCCAAGCTTCCGAGTCCAATATGTCCGTCTACTCCGAACAAGCCATCTACGACGATCCCTTCAGCTATTGCGACACTCGCTACAAAATCGCCGGCCAATGGTACGGAATCCCCAAGCTCTTTTCGAAATCCGAAACTCTGGCGACGGAAGTGATCTCTTCTAGTGAGGAGGAAATGGTGTGGAAACAACGGCAGAGGTACACCCTCGTCGGCGTAAATTTGACGAAGGAGGTGGATAGTTTGATTAGTCTGAAGTTGGACGGGGAGGAGAAGGTGGTTTACCATAAGGACATGTGGAACGAGAAGGATTATTCGCATGGGGGGTTGGGGATGTTGATTAAGAAGTTGAACGGGTGAGTACATTCTCGTTGTCCTGCTATTGCCAGTTATCCCTCTTGAGAGGATTGCCGATGCTGACTCTTGTCCCCACAGGGATAAACTCACACACATCACGAAGCCTCCAGAGTCTACCTGAAAGGTCGAAGATGCACCCGACTGTCCACATGGAAGTGCAGGCAAGAAAAAGTCGTGCATGGACTGTGCTCGTATTCTGCCTGAGGCAGCCAAGAAAGAAAGAAGAAAAGCCATTCACATGGAAATCGAACATTTCCTAGCGTCGAGAATATCCTGACCACTCAGCGTTCGCCGGTTGCTCGCCGATAAGCCTTCCGATGGAGTCTGGAATGCTGCCTGAGGTGTCGCTCGTTGTCGCGGCGGCGTTTGCGCGCCAATGCGCGGCGAATTTGGAAGGAGCGATCGATTGACTTGGTCGAGGCAGAACACACGGATATACCCGGAGTCGGAGGGCCTCTGGGGACCAGGCATTTGCGGACGGTAGAATGTCTAGCTGCTTCTATGTTGTTAATAAATATCATGCAATCCATACAGCTCCAGTGTACAGCGTTTTTCCGCGGCGAAATGTGTTCTCTTTTTTGAGAACGCTGATCGATATTGGGGTCACAGCGTGGAACATCATGCGAATCCAGCGGTAGCGGCCGTCGAGGTCACCTCCAGTGTCAACGCACTAAACGTGATAAGACGCAGACCTGTCCTTACCCGCTTCCTTCTCAGCTTTCCAGCCTGTCCGGCTCAAAAGAACACCAATGCTATACCAATAGCATTCGAGGACCTCTTCGCACTCCTTCCAACTTCCATTTTCAAAAATAGATGCGCAAGTTCGACGGCGCTGACGATCACAACTTACAAGGGCCAACTCATCGTGTTAGGATATGCGACATTGCGTTGAGGTGAGGGGAATCTTTGATCTTCTTCTCCTTCTTCTTCTTCTTCGCAGCAGGATTTTGCCTAGAGTTCGGCCCTGCCTATAAAGCGGCTGGCTCAAAGTCGCAACGATTTGCTCCCGTCTGGCTCTGTGGAGTGGAAGAAAGGTAAGGCCTCGAATTTGAATTGCAGGGAGGACGGAACGGCGCATGAGTGAATCTATTTCTACATGCCCAGTGGGAAGACTGAGTGACCATAGGCAGACATGTGCAGAACAACTCACCGTTAGCTCATCATTCGGGGTCCAATGCGAAAGCCTCTCCAGAACCAAAACTTTTCATTGCTGACGCTATCACATGCAGATTTGCCGGGATCTCGAATAAAGTTCACGCTAATCCAGCATCGCTGAAACCCGGTCGGACCCTGCTCGTTCAAAAATCGAAGAATCAAAACCTGATGTCGCCCGATCTTCCCAAATTGGCTGTTGTTACATGCTGTTGCTGGACCTCCGAAGTTATGGCAGCCATCGTGTGTGCCTCGTGGTGTGGGTAAATTGTGCTCAAAATCGAGGCCGACGAATCCGTCCGCCGGTGAAGATGGGAGCCTGTGCCAGAGCAGAGTCAGCTACCGTTCTATTCTTGTGGGAGGTCGGAGAAATCCTCGAAGGCCACGGACATCGTTGAACTCAGACCACATAGAAGTGCTCAATTCCGTCTTCCGAAGAGCTTCCAGCTTCCTCCAGCATCGCTGCCAAGAAATATCCCGGCAGTCGTGGGCGATGTTGGTGACCTGGGAGATGATGCTGTCGTAGCGGTCGTCGGCGACCCAGTTCTTCAACCTGCTGTCGTCTTCCTCGGTGAAGAACGGGTTCTCGATCTTTCGCTCGTGCACCATCTTGCACCAATCGAGCAAGTTGTGCCAGTCGTAACGGCCTTTTGGAATGATGGCAAGCGAGAATTCGAAGGTGTCCGGGAGGGCGCTGACATGCTGAAGCCAGCGTTGAAGGAGATTGGCATTGCAGTCTTGCACGATAATAACGAAGTCGTTCTGGCTATACCACATCATGCGGGCTTCAGCTCGAATCTGTGTGCAGGTAGTGAGTAACCCTGGCTGTTTCAGCTTCTTGTGAACAGGCTGGCTGTCCTTTGGGTCGAGGACGAGGGCGTAGTCGTAGATGCGGTTGCGAAGCTCAGGTGCGAGATCGAGAAAGCGGAAAGGCTGTTGGAGATGTTTAGCATGGCTGTGTTGCTTATGTTCATGCAGTGTGCAGTGTGCAGTGTTCCTGACCTGCGCCATCGCGGTGTTGCGGTTGAATCTGTTAGCGGAAGTGGCTGCTTGCATGGGCTTGCGTGGGCGTGCCCACTTGTTGTTGTTGCGCTTCTGTGCCATTGTGACAATAGCCGAAGAATGTTATTGTGGAGCTGAATGTTGCAAAGAGAAAGAGTAAAATAGACTTGACATTATGAGCGACCGCAAGTGAGGCGGCGGCGCTGTCACATGCAAGTCGTTTCAGAAGTTCACCACATCTAGCTGCAAGGCAGCAATCGCCGAGGGCGGCGCACAGACCCAGGAAGAGAGACAGGTAATTCATGTCCATAACAGTCCCATGGATAGATAGGTAGATGGCGTCAATGTCATGGCAATGGGCAGCCATCGGATCAATTTTGTGCAGGCGTTTGAGCGGCTAGCGAGTTGTGTTCCTCCGCTTTTGCCATTGACATGCTCGTCGGAAGGAGAAGACTGGTCCTGCAGGAGACCGAATTGTTCCACTTCTCGATTTCGATTGATGAATACCTCTGGACCAATTCTTCCGTCCGTGATAGCGGAATCCCGTTGTTTTCTATCCTGATACGGCCTTTGCTTGCCGCCAATGTCTTGACTAATGCTTCCGCAGCCATCGTGCTGGCGCTCGCTCCAACCTCGAAGTTCAGTTCTTCCGCCAAGTCAAGGATGTCCCGTTGAATGGAAGACCGCGGTTGGGATCGATCTGCTCGGCTTCTCATCCAGACTTCCCAGGATACAGCCGGCAATGCAAACGCGAAGAGAGTCGTCATGATACAGGAAAGAAAGAGTAATGGTAAAGAGAAGCATTTTTGACGAGTAGTCAGAGGCTGGCAATCGATATTTTTCTTCAGCCATCTCTCGCTCAGAGAAGCGTCCGAGTAGGTGTAACATTGGTCGCCGACGATGACTTGGAGAGGAGGGGCGAGTACACTGTGTTAAGATCTAGTTTCAAGGTTAATGTCATATATATATTTCCATTTTTTTCACGTAACGTACCAGCAGCCTCCAGTTCCACTTAAGGAAGATGTCCCGAAGAATGGCCCAGACTGGTCAAGCGACGATTGATCAAAGTTAAGAAATACCACTACGCGTCTCGGTAGAGGTGGTCGTGGGAGAAATTCGTGCATCCACCGGGCAGCTTCCCGTTGTGGGTCGACATGCTGAACCTCTTCATCATTGAGGATCCTGTCACAAGCAAGACTTCTGTGAGTGTATCGTATATCGTGATATATCCCGATACATATATGTGTATTTGTAGGTCATGTGTCGACAAGAACAACTGAATGCAAGCCACGACGAGGTGTTGAAGTCGGCTCAGCAAGGGCTGAGGACTAAAAGGGGGGGACGAGGCTGAGGCTAAGCTTTCTCTGGTCAAGCGCCCTTCTCCACGCAGCCGGATTACGTCGAATGGAGTCATGAGTGGTCACAACGGGAACGGTAGACGTCCTACACGCCATGTGATAGGCGCGCAAGGCGTTGTGGCACTTCAACGCGACTGTGCTCTCTGCGCGTGGATGAAGGAGCCGTCTGCCGGTAGGTTTTTCCTCTCTCCTCCTTCTTCTCTCCTCCTTTCCGTACTGTCTTCTCCCTTTACCCGCCATGACAACACGCAACGGGCGGTCTTGAGAGGCATCTGAGCAGTGCCACACGATAGCCGCAGCAACCCGACCGGGAATCGCGCAGGATGCTGCTCTCCAAGCAGTGGAGCCGAGTTGTGGGCGGAGTTCTTGCCATTGCAGTCTTCCTCTTGATCTTCAACTTCCTGGACACCAAACCATACACCGATTACTGGAAAGCCAAGACCTCCTCGGCCAGCACGACCGCCCAGGCACAGAGCCTCCTCAAGCTTCCATATCGACCGCAGGACGAGGATCACGAGCGCGAGCACAAGTTGCCAGAGCAGTCGCAAGAGGACCGAATCGCAGACTTGACGGGGAGCCAGGAGCATAAGTTGCCGTATAGGCCGCAGACCGAAGAACAGGATGTTGGGAAAGACTTTGAGGAGAAGGCCGACGCAATCAAGGGCATCGGGTCAACGAACGCGCATCCACAGGCGCCGCCGTCGTATGAGCCAGGCCTAGACCTGCCATACCGACCTCAGGCCGAGCAACAGGAAGGATCGCCGGGTCATGATGCCACAGCGAAAGTAGAACAGTACAAGTCGAGGACGACTACGGCGGCTCCTTCCCACGCTGCTGGCCTGCCGCCGGCAGAATTACTGACAGCAACATCAACGGCAAACGTTTCAGCAACTTCAGCGATATCCCCCACAAGCACTGCCTTTAGAAAGGCCGTAGTAATGGGCAAGACCACCGAAGAAGACACGGACTGGGTGAAGCAGAACCTCCCAGACTGGGAAGCAGCCATCTATGCCGTGGATCTCGAAGCCAATGTTACTTCTCCTACCGGCTTCCGAACCAAGATCAACAAAGCACGCGAGACGATGCCCTACCTCACCTACATGGCCGAAAACTACGATGACTTCCCCGACGTCGCCGTTTTCATCCACGCCCATCGCAAAGGCTACCCCAAAGCCTGGCACAACGACGCAAAAGGCTACGACGTCGTGAACATGCTGAACGAACTCCGACTGGACGAAGTCCAGCGACGAGGCTACGCAAATCTGCGCTGTATAGACTTCCCCGGCTGTCCCGACGAAGTCCAACTCAACCGCAAAGACCACAAGAAAGAAACAGACACCAGATATCCAGAAGTCTACGGCGCTTTCTTCAACATGACAGTCGAGGAAGTCAGAGAGCAGATCCCTATCATCGCGACGCCATGCTGTGCACAGTTTGCGATTTCCAAGCAACAGTTGCACCGAAGGCCGAAATCGGAATACGAACGCTTCATCAAAGTGATTACGGAGAACCGTATAGATGACCATACGCTCGGGACGATTATGGAATACATGTGGCATCTGATGTTTTATCAGGACGCCATCTATTGCGACGACACGGCGCATTGTTGGAAGACGCTCTACGGACGTCCGGATGGTACGTGACCCAGTGCGAGTGCTTGCTGGTATTTTTGCGCGTTGCTGCAGCTTGCGATCGATGCGTTGGTTTCTTGATTACGTGTGAGAGAAAAGACGGAGGATGTATGAGTCTGCCGTGTGGCCCTTCTTGCGAGTTCTGCGCGTGCTTGTTGTTGCGGCTTGCGTTGAGGAAGAGTAGTTGACATCTAACGAGAGCACAGGGTGGACGAATGAAGAGTCTTCGGTCAAGTCCCTGGAGTCGGTTTAGAGAGAGGAGCGCACCACCACCACCACCATTGTCGACAGGACCTGTAATATAACCAGCAATCTTGATACAGTTAGCGACGGAGTTTGGAGTACACACGCAGGACCGCGAAGAATCTATAAGGCAACATTGACCAGGGAGGCGAGAGCCCTTATTTCGAAGCATTGCTCAGATACTCTTCTTTAATTTCTAACAGCAAGGCTCCTTCACTCCAGTCTTAATCAACCACCAATTGATTGGCACAGCCGTCCAATGCCCAAAGAACATGCCAATCTGCATCAACCACCAATACGTCACCGTATTCATCTCCAGCTTGTAATGGAAAATGGCAATCTGAAAGCTCGCCATCCACGCGAAGAGACCGATTTCAAAGAAGAGAAGGGAGAAGAAATCTGCTTTCGCGGCGCGGTAGAGAGTTTTGGGGCCGTATTCGCCGCTCATGGGTGCGATGGAGAAGTATTGGAAAACCAGGCCGAGGGCGATTGCGAAGGCGAAATCTATAAGAGAACAACCGAATCAGCAAGGGATTTATCAGCCATCCAAGGGTGGAGAATCGTACCTATCAAGTAAGCAGGCCAGAGCATTTCGCCGTCGATCCTGGTATTCGTCCCGTACACCAACCATTCGCCGATGATATCTCCCAGCACACATCCAGCTCCGCAATGGCAGACAGCGACGGTAAGGGTTGCGAACATGGGCCGTTCAGAGCCACGGTCGTGGCAATGGTCGCCTTCCTCCTCGGGCTCTTTAGACGGAGGAGCGTGGTGGGCACAATGAGATTTCGGTCGCGGTTCTTCTTCCTCTTCCTCTGCTGGCTCTTGCGGTGAAGAAGCATGGCAGTGCGGTTTCGGTTGCGGTCGCGGTGCTTCCTCCTTGCTTGGCTTGGGCGGTCGACCATACTGGAGGTACACCCACAGCGTGAGAGGCCAGAGGTACAGCGCATTGATCACGTACACCGGGATCATGACGCCCATCATGCTCCTCCATCCCCGTCGGAGGAGAATATCGCCGAGAATGAAGCCAGCCGCGACGGCGCCGAGGCTGATCGAAATCGAAGAGATGATGACCAGGGCCAAGGGCTCGTGGTATGGGGAGTTCATCTTTCAGGCCTAAGGTGGGCGTCTCGTGGAAGGAAAGTTTGCCCGGCTCGAGAGTCGTGGTGGTTCTTCCAGGGTATTTCCAGGGTATTGACATTCTCAGGTGTGCGCTTTCATCATGAATGTGGAACGTCACTTCCGATTGTTTGTCTGCTTGTCTATCAAGGCAGGGGCGATGCAAAGGCGGCTCATTGGCTGGGCACAAAGAACGCAAGCAGCAAGCAGCAAGCAGCAAGCAGCAAGGCCAGGGAGGCGAAGATGTACATGCACCACACTTCCAAGGTTGCATTTCTTCTGTGCATCAAGTCGGGCAGCTTCCGCTTGTGATCGAAGAGACGTCATGTGATTGTCATACAGGGCGCGAAATACTTCCTGTCCTTTCTTTCTCTTTCCCCCATGAGGCCTTGAATGGAGCAAGAAATGTTCACATCAATAATGTTATGTCCGCCCGTCACGTTGGATGGTCTATGCTTGGCACTACTGGATATCACATGCCCAGAGGTGAGAAGTTCGAAGTGAAAGGCTCATTCCTTGCATCTATACAGCAGCCTACTCAACATTAGCTCCCTCGTTGATCCTCCTCGAAACCCCCAGAGGTGTTCATTCACGTAGTCCACTCACACCTGGCCGAAGTCGTTCGTGCTTTCTACTGAACCGTTTGGAAAAGATATGCTCCTCTTCGAAGATTGCCTGAACCGCGGCCTCATCTATTCGTCGAGGTTCTGCTTGCGTTACAGTCATTGGATCTTCACTGTCAAAATGAATCCTCGCCTTCACCAGCCATTCATTACAAGTGTTCCAATTCGCTTCCAAGAAAACTTCATGTTCCAATTCGGGAACAGAGCGGCAAGACAGGCCCGTCCACCGTTGTCGATGCCAGACGAGCAGTCGAAGCAATCGGTGTATCGTTGAAATACTACGAACTTGGAGACTGATCAGGGAGAAAGTCCGTGCGTCAGGGCACGCGACCGGAAGCCGAACCGAGAGCGAGAGCGAGAGCGAGAGCGAGAGCGAAGGCGAAGGTGCCCGGATGCATGTGAGCGTCACGAGCAAAGAAAGCTGGCCACTTCCACATTCTCTATCTCTGCCACCAGCCAGCGTTGTTTGCTACTACCATCTCGCCTTTCGAACAATCCTCTGATGGGCACTGCGAGATAATGCGTATCAGCTCGCCGGGCTCGGGCGCAGCTCTCTCAACTACTTCAATCAACTCGTCACGATGAAACGTCCATTTCTGCCGCTACTGCTCTGTAAGCTCTATAGCCGTAGACACGATACCGACGATCCGACTAATGTAGCCAACAGTTCTGTGCGCCCTGATAGCGTTGGTGTTCGCGCGCGAAGCATCCGTTGACGACCTCCAACAGCAGCAACCACTACAGGAACGCCCAATCCCATCCGATGCCGCAGAATGGACCGCAGCGAAGACAAACCAGGAAGATGGGGCGTATGGCGAGAGGGAAGAGGACACGCAGAGTAGTGCGGTGATAGAAGCGAGTGCGATATTGTGGAAGATCAAACCGCCCAAGACGTCCCAACTGGCCAGCTTCGTTCGCAAGCCAAAAGGCGTACTTGGGACAGTCGCTTACTACGCAAAGGAAGCGTTCCTGCTCCTCTTCATGAATGGTCCCAAACAAAGCGACCTCTTGACCACATCTACGACCACACAACCGACGAAACTTGCGCCAACCCTTTCCCGAGCTGTGAAGATTCTGGACGATGCGGCTAGAGAGAACGATCCGGCAGCCATCCTACTCCTTGCCGATATCAACTTCTACGGCAACTACTCCCACCCGATAGACTACGATGCCGCATTCACGAGGTACAAGCAGTTAGCAGACCTGAACGGAAACAGCACGGCTCAGTACATGCTGGGATTCTTGTACGCGACCGGATTGGCACCATCGGTCCCCTCGGACCAAGCAAAGAGCATGCTATATCACACCTTCGCTGCTGAGGGCGGAAATACAAGGTCGCAGATGACACTCGCGTATAGACATCTTGCTGGTATCGCCACGCCCCGGAACTGCGATGAGTCGGTCAGCTGGTACAAGCTGGTTGCAGACAAGGCCATTCAGTACTACCGCTCAGGCCCGCCGGGAGGCCACAGTCTAGTTCGTGATGCATATAGGATAGCTGACGAAGCAGGCGGCGTGTACGGTGAAGGGGCTAGTGTGGTATCGGCAGGGCACAACGCAAGGCAAGGCGGACCCACAAGTGATGCCTACGCCAATGTCGAAGACGTACTGGAATACCTGCATCTACAATCATCCCGAGGCGATCTCAAAGCCACATTTGGACTGGCTCGACTTCATTATGACGGCGCACGAGGCCTCAGACGGGATCTCAAACTCGCAAAGGGATATTTCATGGATCTTGCGCGAGAGTATTGGTCTGCCAATGGTAGAGTGAAGAAAGATGTTCCCCAAGGAACGGAGCGGCTTGCCGCAAAAGCCGCTGGATATCTCGGTCGTATGTTCCTACGAGGTGAAGGCATGGAGCAGAGTTTCTCCAAGGCCAAGATCTGGTTCCAACGGGGAATCAGCAATGGGGATGCACTGTCGCAATATAGCATGGGACTGATGCATCTCCACGGTCTTGGCCTGCCCGAAGATGCTGTCAAGGCCGCTGAGTACTTTGCGGCCGCGGCCGATCAAGATCTCGCCGTTGCGCAAACGCAACTCGGTAAATTGTTCTTGGACCAAGGAGATGCGGCCATTGCGACCAAGTACTTCGAGCTCGCTGTGCGTAACAGTCACATCGAAGCATTCTATTACCTCGCCGAAATGAACCACAAGGCAATTGGCCGAGATCGGTCCTGTGGAAATGCGGCGGTCTACTACAAGATTGTCGTGGAGAAGGCTGAAGCGATTTGGTCTTCCCTGGGGGAAGCTGCGGACGCATATGAAGAAGGCGAGAACTCACGTGCACTGATAGACTACCTGATGGCTGCTGAACAAGGCTCTGAGAATGCTCAAGCCAATGTGGGCTGGCTCTTAGACCAGACTGAGCCGCGCTGGTCTCCGCTCACATGGCTTGCTTCGGCAAAGAAGGACGCTACAAATGCAATCAATAACGCAGCGCTGGCCTTGATCCACTGGACTCGCTCTGCAAAGCAGAACAATATCGACAGTCTCGTGAAGATGGGCGACTACTACCTTGCTGGTCTCGGAGCCCGGGCGTCGGCCGAACATGCTGCCGCTTGCTATCAAGCTGCCGCGGAAACACTTCAGTCAGCGCAAGCGATGTTCAATCTTGGGTGGATGCACGAGAATGGCATTGGCATTGAGCAGGACTTTCATCTCGCAAAGCGATTCTACGACCAGGCTCTCGAGACGAATCGAGAAGCCTATCTCCCGGTCAAGTTGAGCTTATTCAAGCTCCGCTGGCGATCATGGTGGAATGGCGTGACTCGGGGCGGTGTTCATGGCATCGAGGAAGAGCAGGAGGTGCGAAAGCGCAGAAGCTTCGCCGAGTGGTTGAATGATTTCCTGGAAGCTGACGCTGCCTACTACAACGAGAACTTCGAGGCCGATGACTGGGATCCTAATGACCCCATTCCAGGCGGCGACGAGTATTGGGAAGGCGGCGAAGAGTACGATGACGGCGTTCTCGAGACGCTGCTTATTGGCGGACTCGTGGCTGCCCTTGGATATCTCATCTATTACCGACAACAGCAGCAACGAGCGGCCGAACAGAGAAGAAGACAGGCTTTAGAGGGCCAGCAACAAGGCCAGGGAGGTGGAGAGCAGCAACCTCCGCCTCCTGCGCCCGGCCAGCAGCCAGATGGAGGCCTCTTCCCTCCGGCCGGTGACCCAGCGTGGAACGATTGGGTTGCTGGCGGCGTAGGGCATTGACATGATGAATAGGCATAAATGTACAGCATGACTTTCTTCGACGACCCCTTGAAGCGTGACCTCGTGTCGAGATGTCTTGGCGTCGAGATGTCTTGGCGCCGGTAACATGGATGCACGCTCTGCTTTGACTTGCAGATCCTCCCAGCTCCCCTCCGCCTCCACTTCACCATCTACGCGATCCTCACGCATTGTAGCCCAATTTGGATGTGAATAGCGATGCGAAAGCGATTGAAGTGAGGGGCGCCGTTTGGTAAGTTCTCGCCTTCTTCCTCCTCTTTCTCCCAATAAATCTGCCCATCCACCATCTCGTACTACCCAAGAAACGTCCCCAACATGATTCCAACTTCAACAAACACCTTCTCGCAAATCCCCTCCAAAGCCACCCTCAAACCCAAACCCTTCACCGCGCATGTCAGCGACGGCGAATTACAAGACTTCCGCCAGCTCCTCAAATTGTCCCGCATCGGCCCCAAAACATTCGAGAACCAAACGACTAATGTAAAAGACTACCGCCATTTCGGTATCTCCCGCCAATGGCTCGCCGACGCCAAATTGCACTGGGAATCGAAATACGATTGGAGAAGGACGGAGGCAAAAATCAACAGTTTCCCGAACTTTACGGTTCCGATTGAAGAGGACGGATTCGTCTTCAATGTGCATTTCGTAGGACTGTTCTCGAAGAAGGAAGGTGCCGCGCCTCTGTTGCTTCTCCACGGATGGCCGGGGAGTTTTCTGGAATTCCTGGGGACGTTGGAGCTCTTGCGGGAGAAGTACACGCCCTCTACGCTCCCGTTCAGCGTGATTGTGCCCAGTCTGCCCGGGTATGGATACTCGGGTGGACCGAGACTGGATAAGAATTTCGATACGCAGGGACTGGCCCGCGTGATGGATAAATTGATGATCGGGCTCGGGTTTGGGGAGAGCGGGTATATTGCCCAAGGAGGCGATATCGGCTCCTTTGTCAGTCGGATTCTCGCCGTGACGAGCCCGGCCTGCAGGACCTGCCACATCCACCTCTGCATCGGCAAGGCACCGCAGAATTCGCAAAAGCAAGCGGAAAGTCTGAGCCGGGAAGAGCAGGGTGGCTTGCAGCGGATGGAAGACTTCGCCACGCTGGGGAATGCGTATGCGCGGGAACACGGCACTCGGCCTGCCACGATCGGCCTGGTGCTCTCGTCCTCGCCCATCGCCCTGCTGGGCTGGGTCGGGGAGAAATTCCTACAATGGAGCGACGCAGACCCGCCCTTGGACGACATTTTGGATTCGGTGACGCTGTACTGGTTCACGGATTCTTTTCCCCGGGCCATCTATCCGTACCGACAGTTCTTCGGCGGCGCGCAGCCGACCTTCTTCCACCCGGAGCCGGAGTGGTATATCCAGAAACCGATGGGGTACAGCTGGCATCCGCATGAACTGTCGCCCGTGCCGCGGGACTGGGTGGCGGAGACGGGGAATCTGGTCTGGTATAGGGGACATAAGGAGGGAGGACATTTCGCCGCGATGGAGAAGCCGGCGTTGTTTGTCAAGGATATGGAGGATTTTGTGGGCGAGGTTTGGGAGAAGGTGAAGTGAGTGGGAAATGTGGGAAACTCTGGAATGGATCGATGGGGCAAGATCTGTGATGGCCTGGAAGGGGGACTCTTGCGTGCGTTGGGTGGGATGGTCGGGTTGATAATGTGAATCTATATCACCAGCGTCGTCGACATTTTCCTCTAGCCTATAATCTTTCATGATCCCGACCAGTTTCCTCATCCACTCCATCTTCTCCTTTCCCCTATTTTTCCCCTCTTGGGTGTTCGCATGTCGTAGAGGTGCTCCCGTGTCGTCTCGTGTCGCTTTTTTGCGTCAGATCTCGGGATATATCGCATGAATCACAATGTTCCAATTCTTGCTTGCGTGGACAGACACGTTGATAAATATATATATATGCAGGATGAACGAATGCTGCCATATTCGATGAGAGAGCCATCTGATGAAGCTAATAATGCTGAATCATTCTTTGATGATGTCCCCTTTCTGTTCTGGAATGGAATGGAATGCCAAGGAAGTCGCGTACGATTTGATTCATTGCAGTGGGGTGAGGTCTGATTAGAACTTACCATGGGTGCAAGTGCAAGGCTCAGACCCATGTCATACACATTCGTAGGCAGTTGGGATCTAAGATGTGTAATAATATAAGCGTTCGCTTTGCATCTCTTTTGCCGCGTGCCGGATTGATCTCGGGGTTTAAGTGTATCCAAGAGTGAGGTGAAGTCGTGTCTTGACATCCTTGCGGGGCGTGAGAGTTGTTCCCTTCAAGTTTCCTTTACTACCTTCACTTCAATTACTTCTTCGAGTGGGCCGCACCTTGCTGAGCCGCAACTTCCATTGTGGGATGGGAATAAGGACGGGATGGCAGCTCTCAACTTAAGCGACCCCATCCGAAATAACGGCACGACTCCACTCTCTCTCTCGTACACTCGCACCTTCAATACCCGTCCGTGACTATGCGCAGCATCAGCCATTCCTTCGACGCACCAAATGTCACTCTCACCCTACCTACGGAACCCTACCGTGGAACCATTGTAAGGCTCAGAAGCAATCTCGAAGCACTACCCTCAAGGTCCATAGCGCTGCGAAGGAGACGCTGGGAGCAATGGTGGTGAAGAGCAATCGGGATGAAGTTTTCTTTCTCACGGAGGTATACTTCAGATACGCTGTCGATACGGATGAAGGCGCGCATAGCCAGAAAATCTACAAGGGCGATGTCTTCAAGGTCACTGTGCGGGCGCTGACGATCTTGATGAGGGAAGGCAAGGTGGAAACTATTCGGTGTAGTCTAGGAGAGGAGAAGATGTTGAAGCGCTGATTCGCGAAAGTCGTTCGAGGGCGCAGGAGGACTTGCTACGAGCAAGGTCATCAGGTCATCAGGTCATGCCTTGTTGCTGGTACTGTGATTGATTAGTACTGTTACTATAGTGTTTCTGGGTATCGTCAGCATCACGCCGCCCAACTCCCTGTTCCCCCATCGTGTACGCCCGCGCTGTGTGTCCATTATGCATCTATCTGGTCTGGTTTCACTGGCATCACCATCTCCACGGCAGCATATCACATCTTTCTTTTTCTCGTAGATCATCGAGGGTCCGGAATGGGCTCGTAGTCGTCCTGTGGAGGAAGAAGGAATGCGGCAGCCACCACTCCGGCGGCATTCACGAGTAAGACGACCCAGCTGACGGTGCACAAGACGAAAGACCTGTCGAGCTCCCAGCCCACGAAGAAGCGGTTGTCGTGCTCGAAGGCGTAGGCCTGTGTCGAGGTCAGAAATGGCGTGGCCCGTCTTACACTTTGACACATGACATACCACCAGTGCCATTGAAATGATCTGTCCCACCGCGACTATTGACAATAGACCAGCTACCATCTTCCATCCGGCTTCTCTCGAGCTCCTCCCGCCGACGAGGACGGTGAGGTATGCAATGACGCAGGCCAGTTCCACCACGATGCTGAGATTCATGAAAAATCCCGTGCTCCTCCATATTGAACAGAACCACCAGTCGTCGCCATGGCAGTCCTCATATTCTGGAAAGGGTGTGCATTTGCCCGTGATGGAGCTACATCTCCTGTGCAGACCGTACGTGACACGGATGGGATCGGAGCCGTCTGTTGGGCTGGAGTAGGAGATCCAGTTGGGGAGGACTACGGCAGAGATGGTGAGGGCCGCGGCAGCCAGGAAGACCCAGAGGGAGACGCCATACACGATGCGCCGGGTCATGGTGGTGATGGCACGGGACGATGGTGATGATGGGTCGGTGAGAGTTCTTCGCTGCGCTCGTCTTTCGGAGGGTCAATGGTGTGCTCGTGGGTGCGACCGCCGATCAGGTGGAGGCATGTGACAGCGGAGGGCAACGATACGCCGAGCGCGCGCAGTGGAGCGGTGGTGGAGGGAGGATGGGATAGGATGATGATTGATTAGTCGGGTTGCGCGAACGAAGGTCACTAGTAACTACCTTACTACTGCAAGGTTGATATGGATATGCCAAGATGCACAAGATGCACGCACAAGGGCAGCATCGCGGAGCACGTGCTGGCACCAGCGCGCGCGGGGTCCACCAATCTCTAATGAATCTCTATATCCGCCCAACATCTTCTCATCTCACCTCACCACCTCACCACCTCACTGCACACTGCACACTGCACACTGCACATCGTCACCGCACGCACGCACACTGCACCGTGTTACCGTCTTCGCCCGCAGCAGCAGCCACCGAGGCCCCGCGCAATCCTCCAAGCCGCCGTGAGCGCAGTGCATAATAATGTATGCGACGGTAATGGCGATGGCGACGGCAGAGGGCGATGGCGATGGCGGCCGCTGGGCCTTGTTCCTTGCAACATGCGCCGCCACACGCAGCAAAGAAAGCTGAGGACAAGCACGTGACCACAAGACCAGACGTCTCGGGTGTTGCTTGGCTGGCTGGACCGACACCATCTCGTGCACCATGCACCGTGAAGAATACATACTCCCCTGGTGACACGTGACATATCCCCCAGCAACCGGCGAAGAAGGAAATCTACCCGCATACTAGTGTATGTCTATTCTTCCCTAGGCGGACAGCGATTTGATGACGATCAATCTACGGTAATGCCTCGACCCGCCCGATCGGAGCCCTCAGACTCCACTAACGCCATGTAGAGCTTCTCTCACCAAATCCATACGCCTTGGCTCACGGAGCACCCTCGTCTCGCTCGCATATAAGTTCCCCACGCCGTCTGCTATCATGGCGCAGGTACGGCTGTCAGCTACTCTCGGGTCGCGTGCTCTCCAAGTCTTCGCTATGTGGTCCGCTCTATTGCTGCTCCCTCTGGGAGCCACCTTCTCCTACCAGGCGCCCTTGTTGGAGGAGAGACAACAGACCATCGCCTTCTCCGCCCCGTCCACTGTCCCGAGTAGCGCCAGCGATGTCGTCGGCAAGGACTACCCAGCTCTCGCCATGAGCGCGCACTCGTTCCAGGAGTACGCCGGCAACGCATCCACCCCCAACACCTTCTCCGCCAACCTCATCTCGAACATCGGGAGTCGCACAGGCGCTCCTGTCCACATTCGCGTGGGTGGTACCTCGGGCGACTTCTCCGTCTACGACCCCAATCAGAAGGCCGCTTTCGCTCTGCCGCCCGGGTCCGCGCCTGGAAGCATCCCGAGAGGTATCACCATGGGGCCAGCCTATTTCGAGGGCTTCGCCAATTTTCCTGGCGTCAAGTGGACCTACATGGCCCATCTCGCCAACGACATGGAGACAAACTCCATCCAGGCCACTCAAGAGGCTCTGAAGTACATTGGTTCGAACCTGGATGCCCTGGAAATTGGCAACGAAATCGATCTGTACCCCAAAGACGCTCGTCCAGCGAGCTACAGTGTCGCCGACTACATCTCAGAGTGGCAGCAGTTCTGGCAGGGTATCACAAAAGCCGTTGGCAACAAGAACTTCCAGGCGCCCGTCTACGCCAACAACAACCCGCCTTGGAACATTGCGAATGCCTTCACCAGTGGCCAGGCTGCCAAGGGCTCCATCACGTCGGCTGCCGTCCATCACTACATGGACGACACCGATGTTCCAGTCAGCTCTGTCCAAGCAAACTACATGAACCACACCCGCATTGTCGACCAACTGAACCCTTTGAAGATGCCAATTGCCTGGCTCAAGCAAAACCGACCCGGCACTGGCCTCCACTTTGGCGAAGTCAACAGCAACACCTACAGCACCGGTAACTATGATGTACTGGGTACCTTTGGCAACACTCTGTGGCTTGTGGACTTCATGTTGTACTCTGCTGCCATTGGCTTCGAGCGCATCAACGTACAGCAGAGCACTGGATTCAGTTACACCTCCTGGCGAGGCGAGGCCTACAATGGCTTGCCGGCTGCAGTCCTTCCACCATACTACGCTCACCCATTTGTTGCCGATGTCCTCGGCAACGCTGGCGATGTTCGCATCTCGGACTTGAGCTTGGGTCTAGACACGTTCTCCGCCTACGGAATCTACGACAATGCCAGCGGAAAGCTCACCAAGATTGTCCTGATTAACCTCGAACGCTACGATTCCACCTCGGGCGAGTCGAGGACCTACCAGATGCCGAGAGTCAATGTTGGCAACAACTACGCTAGCAACTTCACGATGGAGTACCTCACCGCTCCCGGCGCGGAGGTCCAAGACGCTAGCAAGATCTCTTGGAAGGGCGAGAGCTACACCTTCGCCAGCAACGGCAAGCCCGTTGTCGGACAATCGACTACGACTACCTCGCATGGGTGGAACGGCATGATCTGGGTACCGGTTTACCAGAGTCAAGCTGTTCTTGTCACGTTGTAATGAGGAAAGAGCAATGGAAAAGAAAAAATCTCGTATGATCTCGTATGACGAACACTCTGTACAGGCACTTGGAATAGTGCAACTTATGATACCACAGATGGAGGATTCACGACATTCTCTTCTGATGAATGAGATGTGAATTTTAATGCCTTGCTCGAGAGCACAAATCAACACAAACACAAAACCACCACACTGCCCTTTTCTCTCTCTCTTGCGAAATCTAAAATTCTCGAGCTTTTCTGTGAAAATTTCATGAAGCTCCTGGAGCTCTCTGTTGACGTTCTACCTTCTTTGGACAGCTCATGCATGCCGCCCTGCATCACGCCATTGACGCCACGTCGCTAAGATTCACCAGGCTATGAGGGAAGTGAGGGAAGCTTTGCTCGTTCTGGAACAGGGCGCGAAACCTAGATATACATGCTTTACCCTTGTTTATCCCGTCAGGATCGGCTCCGACAATGCATTTGAACGGTGGTGCACGTGGGAATACGGCCTCTTGCGGATGGATGGTCATGTCCGAGTGCTTTTCATTTTTCTTTCCAATTGAGGCCTTCCATGGCGAAATGACCTCATGAGGTTCTGAACATTCCAGTCGTTTTGGAATGGAAGGGTAGTGAGACGTTTATGCCGTCTCAGATTGCCGTCAGATCCGACGGTCTGTGTGGTCTGCTGGATGCTAGATGCTGCCATCTCTCTTCTTACTCATGATGCATGCAGGCATGATCCCCATCCCCATCCCCATCAAACGGTCTTGACAGTGACAGGATGACAAGATGGGAGGAGGTGGGGAAGGAAGGAAGCGGAAAATCTGCCTTTTGTTGAATCGTTGAGACCGGCATCATCATCATCATCATCATCATCATCATCAACTCTGTGGCAGAATCCATTCCATTCATCGGACCTCATGATAAGCTTGGCAAGGCAAAGTGCGGTGTTTGCTCGGCGTGCGTCGGGAAGGACACGCTTCAGCAATACATGTACCAAATGACAAAGACCCCCATGAGTTCGTGTCTGTCGCTTGGGGACCGTCATCACGGGAGCAGGACACTACTCGATCTGTTCCAAAAGGGATTTCTTTCAATTGACGTATGTCTATGATGGTATTACTGAGACGTCATCCAGAAATCTAGTACCGTACCCGTCGCTCTCAGCACGGGAGAAGAGATAGATAGATGGATAGATAGCCGAACCGCAAGCGATCAATCAACAGCCATTTTCTTTTCTGTGCGATGACGACTTGCTAAAAAGTGTCTGAGCTGTGCTGTGCCGTGCCACATCGACGACGACGACGACGAGTGACCAGTCATAAGCAATCCTCAAGCCCCGTGCTGTGCTGATAAGTAACTGATTTTCAGATCTCTCTCTCTCTCTCTCTCTGTCTCTCTCCTTCCGCAGTTTCTTTCATCAGCAGCGTATCGCTAAATGCTTCTTCGAGTAACTTGGCCGCGCAGCCGTGGCCAACCAAAGAGCTCGCTTTCCGACACGTGCGTGCGGCTTTTGGTTAGCGCACGTTAGCGCATGCACAGAAAGTCGATGCCAAGACTTCCTTCACGTGGGACGGGACAGCATCTCGGCCTATCATTACTCCGGAGATATGCTTCCAACTCATGGGGAGATGTTCCGTTTAGAAAGGTTCATTGATATTTGTTCACGTGATGAAAGAATTCCAACGTTGGAGGGGTTTGTTCGTATGCTATAATGTCGGGAGCTCTTGCTCTGCTTGCCTTTTTTTTAGCCGTACAAATTCATTACTTCGCTTCGCCATGCCACGCCACGGCACGCTCTAGACACGAGACCATGGGACCACGAGAAAGTCTACATCCCTCTCAACTCACCATGACTGATGCACATTCAACCCGGACAGAACACTGATCATGAAATCAACATACTCGGTCTCATCCTTCCCGCCACGTCCTGGGACTCCACCCAAGCTGCAATCAGCAATGACATTGCCGAATGATGCTCTGCATGCGCTCAGAGCAATGGTATGGCGATCGCACTAGCTCTTGGCGGACACTCGTGCGTTTCCTCCGGAGAGGAGATACGTTGCTGTGACAGTCTCCTCGTTGTTCAAGGTAGCGCGGTTGTACTTGTTGCAGAAAGTGTCGGTGACTTGGTGCATTTCACTGAGTTTCGCGGTGGGGCCCGAGGTGTCGCAGACGACGAAGTTGGTTGTGTTGCGACGTCTGAGATCCGTCTTATTCGTCGCATCGCCGTGGCCTTGTACGGGATCGGTTTCGGTCGCTGTCGAGAGAGGACTTGGAGTCATGCTGGAAGCAGGCACCACAGCTCTCGAAGGGCCAAGACTGGAACTGAACGGCTTCAGTGCGATGGATATCGCAGTCGAGGAATCATCGCGCTTTCTTGAGCGCAAATATAGAACTGAGGCCTCGAAGCTGACCGGAAGCCCGCTATAGGTTGGCGCAGCGGACCCACCGGATATGAGTGGGCGGTCTGAGTTGCTGCACTTGGTGATCGCGTACATGAAGCCGCTAGAGCAATTTTCATCTGACAATGTAAAGTTGGAATTGTCATTTTCGAAGGTCCGTCCAACCTGAAGCGTAATTGTGTTGAGATCATCCGCAGTAGTAGTCACGACGATGGGCGCTCCAGTGTCTTTCTTGACGTCGGCAGATGAGTCGCAGTTCTGGCGAATGATTATTTGGACCGTGTTAAGGGAGGAGCCGACTACGGCTGAGGAGTCGCAGCCAACGGTGGAGTCATCGAATTGTGGAGCTGGTGCTGAAGCTAATGCTGGGGCCGGAGAAGTCGGAGTTGGATCACAAGCAGTCATGATGCCACTGGGTGTGCAGGGAGATGCAGAGGACATAGCGACCGGGGTGCTTCTTTCAGTGCATGCGGCCGAGGTGCACGGATTACCAAACACGAGAGCTGGTATGAGACCCAACGTCGCCAGAGTGCGCTTGGATGAGGTCATGGTGCAAGTTCTTCGTTGGTTGATATGTGTACGTGTCGGTGTCACAAAGGAAGAAGTTAAGGAAGAGGAATGACATAACATATGGTGCCGTTGGAGCATTTGCAAACCGCAACAAAGTTCATATGAGTATGAAAGTAGCAACTGAAATCGTCTGAAATAGGTTCGAACGGGTAGCTCGTGATTCAGAAGCAACAAATACGGAGGCACTTACCCTGGCTTGAAGCGAGGAAGATGCTTTACAAGAGCAGGTAGCATCTTCGCACAACAGAAGGTTCTTGTTTTCCCGCAGATGCTGTAAACTTATAGGGTGACAGCGAATCGGATAGCGCCAATCCAGCGGTGGCAACCGTCGAGATAATCTTCCACGTGAGAAGACGATGTAATGCCTTATGCCACGGATAAGTCAGTATTGGAAGGATAGGGCGCAAAACAAACGTGGTCAGCCGAGTTACGGTCGCGGCTGTATCGTCATCAATCGGAAATGCCGATACCGAATACAAGTTCCAGGTCCATGTTGTTGAGCAGCCAAGAGGCCTGAGCAAGGCGAAGATGTTGAGGGATATTCGAAGATTCTTGCGGTCGTCGTGCTGGTCAGCGTCCCTTTCAGAGCGTACCTTTCAGGAAGTGTCATCTGCGATCGAAGTCCAGATCCTGATGCATCTGCGGGCACATACAGGCGCGGAGGGACAACAAGGCCTCTCGTTGGAAGGTGTACAGATGGCCATGTGTGCGAAAATGAAGAGTGACGTCCGATCTCTCCCCCTGTCCGAAAGAAGGATCGAGCGGGCCGAGACGGGCCGATCCCATCAGTAGCCTCGGGCTGCAAACTTCAACTTCCACAACAGCACAAATGCACAAGCAACACACGCGATTTGACGCGAGCGAAAGGAAGGGACTTATAAAGAGACATCATTCCATGCGCTCTTGAGTATCTCAGGTGTCTACTACACGCCTCTTCACTTGGCGAACGAGGAACTAGACTCGGCGCGTTGCCTGGTATCGATTAATCTCATCTCCAGGGAGCGACTGTTATTCGGATCGGATCCATCCTTTCACGAGTCCAATGGCTTGCGTGATGTTCGAGGACCAGGCTAAGTCCAGTCGTTTGTTGGCGGATCAGACGACTTGTGGCGGGCGCTCAGAAACACTGAAGGCCGGGGAAGACATTCGAAATCAAGCACAAAACTCACTTGCTCTTACGCTCGTGGCGTCTTGAGGTTTGGGCGCACTGCAATGTAGTATGCTGATGTACCACTGGAGACGGATCGGGGCTGCTCGATTGCTTCTCCATTGAACAACACGTCGTGCGGCTGGCCTCCGCCGGGAAGCTGCGTCGCGAGCCGATTGTACCACCCAAGTGGGCGGCGGTCAGTGTGAAACGCAGCAGACTTGAAAGGCTCGCCGTTGCCCAGACTGCTGTAAACTCAGCAGCGTCCTCGCCGCAACCCGGTCGACTGGCCATGTTCCGCATACGGCCAGGAGCCGAGACGCCTCGACCTTGTCGTCACCTTACGACGTTTGTCTCTGGAGTTGAAGTGGGGCGCCAGTCCGGCTTGTTGGAGATGAAGTCAAGACTCAAACAGAGAGCATTTTCCCGAACCCGTGGTCACCTCGACGACGCCCTCGAAGACAGCAAGTAACTCGACGGGTAGAAGGGCAAATTTCCCAGCTCCCACTTGAGGCAGTGTGTGGTTGCCTTCCAATGCGAAACAACTGACTGGATGCGGTTCGGCTCAGAAAAACACAACGTGCGTGTGCGAGCACCCGCTCGAGGTCGGTAGCCTACCGCCATCATCACCATACTACATGGACGATATCAGCGGTGAACGCGAACAACTGCACGCGTTGGCTCTATACAGGGGATCGTGGACAGCTTACGTACAGCTTTGAGATTGTCGAGTGAGAAGAGCTCCTCCGAGCTGACAACTGGAAGTGTTCAGTCAAACCTGCGTTGTTACTCAAGTACTGGAACTAGAGTACTGATGATGTGACAGAAGTCCGGCGGTTGACGCTCCAGATGCATATGCACGCGTGCCTGAGAGGTCGGGCTCTGCCGGCTGGTGTTGCGGGTTGATCCCATAACCGTGTCCTTTGATCGGGGGAAACCCGTCGTGCACATCTGGCAACACTAGCCGTGTTGGATGGAATAGGATCAATGCGTATCGATACTCCAACCACCTGTTGTGGTCTCGTTTGCTCTGCATTGACGTTGGAAAACATGCAAGGCCCACGCGCAGCCCTAGGATCTTTGCCGCTGCCATGGAGGCTGGTAACTTGCTAACACGTTCTAGGTCCCTCAGAAGTCTTGTGCGCTAGATCTTCCAAGCGCTTCCTTGACCGGCCTCAGTTGATGCAGTCGCAGCTACGTGCGAGAGTTGGCTTGCGTTGCTGTTGCATCGAGAATGGCAAGCACATCTGGAGACATACGCTTTGTCCTGCAAAGCAAACTCCTATCGAGATGGCACTCAACTCGATTGCTATGCAATCCAGCCAGACACACGGCCCCAGCCCAGATCAATGTCGAGATCCCAAGGCAAATAGGTTCGTTGCATGGGTTCACAAACCGGCGGTCAATGCACCTTTGATGCTCTTTGAGATGCGCGGAGCAGCACCGGAACAATGAGACATGCGCGGGCGGGCATGCTCTCGGTGCAGGTGGGCTGCCAGTTGCTACCTACCGTTATGTTACTTGATCGATGCACGCCGACACCGACACCGACTCCGCTTCCCTCTTAAGGCTTACCTTTCGACTTCGCCTTCTAACGACGGTACACCGCCATCTCATCCGCCCTCCATCTTCGCCATCTCCGTTTGCAAGCCCAGCCACTCGACATATCCTGGCCCATTCCATCTCCATCGGCATCGTTGGCATCGATGTCTTCGCTGCATTCAACTTATCGTCACCTCCACGCAACACCTGAGCGTACGATGCACTCCTCGGACTCCGGGAAGCTGAGGATACACGCATTGCTGAATCCAACAACCGACGGCAACCATTACGACGACGCACACTCAAGCCACTCACCCTTCGGGCCAGCAACTATGAGGAACGGCTCGCCACTGCCATCTAGCCCTACACCACAAGCAACACCCAATCCAACAACACTCAAGCGACAAAAGCTTGTGAAGGACGGAGCCGTCTTTGAGCGTGGCCCACTGAAAGCACCCAACAACTTCCCACCGTACGAATGCGGCGAGCCTAGCGCCGTCCTCACATCGGAGCAACAACTCGAACTCGCCGAAAAGCACAAGCTCTTCCAGATCTTCCCAACCGGTGTTCGATCGGCCGACGATGGATTGATCAGCGAGTTCCCGCGTCGCATTCCATACTCTAGCGACAAGAAAGACTTTCTGGAAAAGACCGGGAAAGACGCAGTCGATGGTATGTGCCAATTGCTCACCACACTTCGCACCAATCCTGCGCTAACCCGAATGTAACAGTATTCCAATACACATTCAAAGTCCCTGGTAAGAGTGGAAAGGAATGGGTGGTGATGTGGGACTACAACATTGGCCTCGTGCGCGTTACACCTTTCTTCAAGGCCTGCGAGTATGGCAAGGTGAGTGATCGCCCTGTGTTTACCACTACAGCCCCGCTGATGACTTTCAGACAATACCCGCCAAATCCCTGAACGTGAACGGCAACTTGAAGGAGATCACCTTCTCCCTTACCGGCGGCGCCCTTGCAGCACAGGGCTACTGGATACCTTTCCAATGCGCTCGCGCCATTTGCCAAACATTCTGCTACAATATTCGCTGGGCGCTAACGCCAGTTTTTGGCCCATCGTTCATCAAGGATTGCATTCCTCCTGGCCACCGAGACTTCGCCCGCTTCAAAATCGACCCAGAGCTGATGCGTTGTGCGCACTTGGAAGCAGCAACATGGAAGACAGGAGGCCGGCATGATACGCCAATGGCTTCGTACGGATACCAAGGAATACCACGCAGTGCACCGGAGGACAGCACAGCGGACAAGCATTTCCTGTCGCAGGCGAGCAAGCCCACGTTCAAGGCAGGCTCGCCGTTCGACGAGCGTAACTATACACACTCGCCGCCGACCATCGAGTCGCCAGCACTCTCTCCAAAGAGTATTCGAGGTGTGCCTCAACCTTCTCAATGGACGAGCATCAACAGCTCTCCCACAGCAAGTGCTCGTCTTCCAGCGCCTATGCCCCCGGCCTCTCTGAATCGTTTACTGCTCGATGAGCCTCGTTACTCACCCATCACCACCTGGCGGGCCACAGACATTGCCGCTCGCAACGAGACATCGTCACCTATGCCAACCTGGTCGCCGGAAGGTGCGCATACCCGCACTCGAGCCCGCAAGCGTCGTAGCACCTCCGTCATACCATCCTATGCCGAACCGGCTTCCTCGCCTTCCTCGAAAGATGACAACGAAGACCCCAACATCGGGTCCGCACCACTGACATCCAAAAAGAGGAAGATGTCGCCACGAGCGAGGGACAATGCGGAGGGAGCGAAGCAGTGGAAAGGTCCGACCGAATTCAGCGCCGAGGATGCTAACGCCGCCCGCTTGCTTCTGAGCCTCCATACTAAGGACGCTGAGCTTGCCTCGACTGGCCCGAACGTGGTTCGTGATGAGATGAGACGACGGGACAAGCGTTCGAAGCAGTAGACGCTCGTCATGAGGTCGACATGGGCCTCACTAACCATGGTCAATGAAGACAGAAAAGTAGATACAGCAACTAACGACACAGCGAATGACCGCGCATGATATGCAGGACACGAATACTGGATATAGATACCCAAATCGCACTTTGTACAATAAGACAGATGCCGAAATGACTCATTCCTTGCACTCCATTACACTATCTAATCGTCCTGTCTACCCGATCTTTATGGGCCTATTCTAAATCAGTGAGGATGTTCAATAATGTAACCTCGTCTCCTTTGGTCCGTCCCTAGCTAGAGCCACATTTCCAGTGAGAAGTACTATCGAAGCCTCCGTGGCTTCTCCAGCGTCCCTACTTCGCCCCGCAAATGCTCCTTCGCCTCTCTTAACAACGAGGGACACTCACACGTAAGGTAAGCTTTCCCAATGCCGCCTCATCATCCCCTACCGCTGTGTTCAACAAGCACTCCATGCTGTTGCGCTGTGTCCCAACGGCGCCCGGACCTTGCATCCCACGTGCGAGAGGAGGTGAAGAGCCAGAGAATACACGTAGCTCCTGAAGACGAGAAGCGCCGCGATACACGAGATGCTTGTAGATTCCCTGATAGGCAAGAAAGGTCACTTTCCGCTCAGTAGGGCCATGATCTCCAATGCCTAGTTCGGGCCAGATTGTGAGATTTCGGAGCTTGGGAAGTCCGGCGATGAGGTCGTGATGTTGGAACGTTCATCTCGAATGTCACTGTACACGTATACTTCCTGGGATAAATGCACCATTTGGGAGGAATGCCTGGATTCCGTGTTTCCAGTCCAAACACGTCCAGAAATTGCAGGCCTGAGGTTGGAACAAACGCCAACGGTTGAAAGTTCAGCCTCAAATGACTAAGCATGCGCTAAGCTGCATTCGGCTGTATGCGATTTTCTTCTACAACTTCGCCTTCACTTACCCGCGTCTTTACAACAAACTCGTCCAAGCAGCACATCATGGCACAGGAGAACGTGGAAAAGAAGAAGCCAAAGTCATTCGAGGCTCTTACACCCGAGCTTTCAGAATGGATCCTGGACTTTACGCGAGGCATGGGATTCGACCGCACAACGCCCGTTCAGGCCATGGCAATACCGCTCCTCATGGGGAATAAAGATCTTGTTGTGGAGGCTGTGACAGGAAGTGGAAAGACTCTGAGCTTTCTCATTCCCCTGATCGAGCGAATACTGAAGGCAGAAGAGCCCAACAAAAAAGGCCATGTCCGCTCGATCGTGGTGGCACCTACCAAGGAGCTGGCTAGCCAAATATACGATGTCGCTCGGAGTCTCTTGGAGTTCCATCCGCCTTCTGCGTCGTTTCTCAGGCGGTCCGCCCAGTCGCCGGAGGACAGCGAAGATGAGGAAATGAGCGACGCTGAGAAACCTGAGATTCTACCTGGACCCTATGCGATACCTCATTTGCTTGTCGGAGGGCGGACCAAATTGTCGGAAGATCTTTCGACCTTTTCACAGTTGAATCCGAACTTTCTGATTGGCACTCCAAAACGACTCGTTGAGGTGCTTCAATCTTCAAAAGTTCAGCTGAAGAGGCATTGGTTCGATTTGCTTGTGCTAGACGAGGCGGACCGCCTGCTCGATTCTAATTTTCAACCGGATCTGCAAAAGATCCTGGATGCAGTGCCGAAGGAACGCCGTACTGGACTGTTCAGTGCCTCTGTGTCAGAAGCTGTCAATGAGCTAGTACGAGTAGGCATGCGGTACCCATTCAAAATCAGCGCGAAGGTCCGTAGCAAGTCTGGAGCGCTAGACAAGAGAACACCGGAAAGTCTGAGGCTGTACTATATCGCTGCAAAGCCTACGTCGCGACTGCCTCTCATCAAGCGGATTTTGCAGGACAACAAAGCTGCAAAGAGCATCATCTACGTCTCCACTCGAGCAGGGGTGGATTACTGGAACCACGTCCTGCCAACAGTTCTCGGAGTTGCAGTTTTCCCCATCCACGGCGACCATAAATCCGCCATCCGCATGAAGAATCTGCAACGCTTCCGAGACTCGGCTTCACCCGCGATTCTCCTGACGACCGACGTTCTCGCTCGAGGTATTGACATTCCAGATATCGATCTTGTGGTGCAACTTGATGTACCAACCCAGCCAAAGGATTTCATCCATAGATGCGGGCGATCCGGCAGAGCTGGCAAACGGGGCATGGCCATTACCTTCCTGAATGAGGGCGGTGAAGAAGACTACGTAAAGTATCTTGGCCTCCAAGGGACAGCTCTCGAGCCATACCCCGCCTTGCCTTCAATTGCAGAAGAAGACATCACGAATGCTATCAGTGACATCCGCAAAGTGCTCAAGTCGAAGAGGGAGCTGCATGATCGCTCTCAAAAGGCCTTTGTCAGCTGGGTACAGGCTTACAGCAAGACGCTCCCAGCAGACATTTTTAGTGTCAGGAAGATTGATTGGTCAGAGACCGGCAAAGCTTGGGGCCTTCTTACCTGGCCCAAGATGCCAGAGCTGAAGCGTTATTTCCCGCAAGCTGTGCAAGATCGCACGCTCGGCTTACACCTACCTGAGGGCTTTGATTTGAACACTCTGGCTTATGCCGACAAAGTGCGGGAGGGAAAGCGAAAAGAGAATCTCGAAGCTAAAGCGCGCGGAGAGAAGCTACAGCTGCCTTCAAAGTTCGGAGGCGCGGCAGCAGATGCGAGAAGGCGTAATGAAAAGGCGTGGAGCAGTCAGAAGGATGCAAAGGCGTTACGAGAGAGCAGGCGAGAGAAGAAGGAAGTCAGACGCAAGGCCGAGAGCAAGTCCAAGATGACGGAGGCCGATAAGGCGAAGGAGACGGAGCTGAACGACTTGATTGCACAAGTGAGAGCGAAGACTGCCGCTGATCAGGAGGAATTTGAAGGGTTTGGTGACTAGTGTAGAGAATTCTAATCTCCTCGTTCTCTCCCAAATTGTCAATGCGTTCTCGTGACAGCGCAACCAAGCGCGTTTTGCGCGTGGAAGAAAGTATTACCGCGCAAAGCTTCTCTAACTTTGAACGTCTCCAGGTTCCATCTCAACTTCACCTCATCCGATGAGTCTCCCATACATTTGCACAAGCTGTCATCGCAGCCTGAAGCCATCCACATTCAACAATGCCCCTTTCAACAGGCTCTATAACCGCCCATCCTTCGCTCCGAAGCCCGTACCCAACCTGAAGCACATCCGCCTGAATCCTGGACTATATGAACAGAATTGCATCGATCGCAACTACGCGCCATACGCGATGAATGGTTGGAAGGTACTGGAGCTGCATGAGCGCATGGTGGAGCAGCAGAGGCAAGCTGTCCAGATGAGACAGAGGAGCAATGCGATTGGCAAAGAAGTCGGACGGCAAGCTGGTGCCGATGATGCAAGCCGGCAAACGCTGTTAGAGGAAGCGAAGGCCTTGAAGGGACAGTTGAGTGGATTCGAGAGCAAAGAGAAGGAAATGCAGGAAGAGATGGAGAGATTGGCGTTGGAGCTGCCGAATCTGAGTTCTTTGCACACTCCTGTTGGAGAGGAGCCACAGCTGCTGGGCATGATCAATGAGAACCAGAAGAGTCCTGAGACCGAGTGTGGGAAGAGCCATGTTGACATTGGGAAAGAGCTTGACATACTAGACTTCGAAGGCAGTGCTACTACCAGTGGATGGGGGTGGTATTTCCTGAAAAATGAAGGGGCCCTTCTGGAGCAGGCTCTGATTCAATACGCCTTGTCCGAAGCCATGAGCAGAGGTTGGAAAGTCATGACTCCACCATCACTGGTATACTCACACATTGCAAGTGCATGTGGATTCATGCCGCGAGATCAACATGGCGAGACCCAGGTATATGCCATTGCGCAGCACGATTCGGAGTCATCGGCGGATAAACCAAGCCTGGTTCTCGCGGGCACTGCCGAGATACCTTTTGCAGGATCGCAGGCGAATAAGACACTGAAGGCCGATGAACTTCCCTTGAAAGTGATCGGTCCCTCGCGATGTTATCGCGCGGAAGCAGGTGCCCGAGGAGTCGATACCAAAGGCCTATATCGTGTTCACGAATTTACAAAAGTCGAAATGTTCGCGTGGACGTCACCGCCCACAGACTCCGAAGGCGATCGATTTGGTGATACGGATAGCACTCAGGGAGATGAGGTCTTTGAGGAGATGGTGGACTTACAAAGAGACATTCTCAACAGCCTTGGGCTACACGCCAAGGTCCTCGAGATGCCCACGGCCGACCTTGGCGCCAGCGCAATGCGCAAGATCGATATAGAGGCACACTTCCCTTCTCGTACCTCCATCAATTCCGGGTATGGTGAGGTCACGTCTGCATCAATGTGTACGGACTACCAAGCACGTCGCCTGGGCACAAGGCTCAAGCTGTCCGGGTCAGGCAAGATAAGCTGGCCACACACCATCAACGGAACCGCAATGGCAGTACCTCGCGTTCTGGCGTGTATTCTTGAGAACCATTGGAACGATGCTGCGGGTGTCTTGCAGGTGCCCGAGGTTCTCAGGAGATACATGCCGGGCAATATGGAATCGATCCAGCGGAGAGAATCTACAGGGAAGAAATGAGAAAACTCCTGACCTCTTTACGACCTCTCGCTCCCCACTCTTGCGATACATAATATCATGCCATCTAGCCAGCGCACTACGGTCCACGGACCGATTCCGTTTTCCCAACATCACGAGATACCAGCAGGCTCCCGTACCGCGACAACACCTGCCCGCTGACCGCTTCTCCTTGCACCACCGCGGATGCCATGAACTCGAGCAGCACGACGCAAGTAGCGGGCGAACGGATAGCGGCCGCGGGACAGAACTTTGATTCCTGCTCGTGCGACGCCCTCCGAGAGGAAACACAGCACACCGCAGCACGGCTGTGACTCCGACGACCAGAACCGACGGCCTGGTTTCGCTCTCGGCGGCAATGGCGGCCGTATCAACCGAGTCCAAACTAATGTCACTGGTGCGACGAGAGCCTCCGGGAGGGAGCGGTGTCACAACCGACTGCTCATCACACACTACTGTACATGTACATGTACATGTACATGTATCCACGCACAGACAGACAGACAGACAGACAGACAGACAGACCACCTCCACCACCGCCTTCTAGCTTGTGTGATTGACGTCGTGATCTGTAGATCTCCGGCACATCGGGTGTATGTATGGACGGGAAATTTGGTGTCACGTTGCGACTGCCGCAATCTCGGCGCGCCTCGCTGTGATGATGATTCTCTCTCTGTACAACCCGAAGAGAACGCCGATGAGACGGACGGGCGGTTCGGCATCGCATCGCATCGCATGCGATTGATCATTCCAATCTTCGTTACCATTGCTCTGGGTCCATTTCGTGGGTCGACATGGTTGGAGAAAAAAAAACCTTCGGTGCTTCGATCGGGTTTCGTTGCATATTAGATTGCCTTCCTTTCCTTCCTTTGGTGACGCCATTCATCGCAGAAATAAATCCCTTTTTTTTACAGTGTGCAGGGCAACAATCGCTTCGTATACGATCGGATCGTCTTTGTACGAGGACATTATTGAAGATGTTACTCGTCTTTGTACGAAGACATGGGGAAATATTGTACACGTCGTAAAAACCTGATTAGGATTTCTAATAGTACATATTTACCCATCATCAATAATGTCCAAGAGATGCATCTAATGAGACCGGTCCTTTGTATGTAAGAGGGAAAAGTCATGATGTCCAAGAGGTGAAAACTGGGTCCATCCACCCATCCATCCATCCATCCGTCTTATCAACCTTTTGAAGTTTTGATGACGCCAACGGAAAAAGAGATTCCCTCTCACATCCACGGCGCCGTCGGCGTCGGCGCTTCTTCTCCCTTCATCATCTTCTCCTCCCACCTCCAGGCCTTCAACGTCTCCGCGCCGATACTGCGCTTATTCGCCAACGCCTTGCTCCGGAGCGCTTTCAGTGTCTCGTCGCTCGCTTCCAACTCATTGAGGCGATCGGGGGAGAGTTCCATGAGTTGTTGTGCCGAGAGGGATGAGCGGCGGATGTGGCGCCATAGCTGTCTTGCCGTGTCGCGGGAATCGGTGGGAACTGTCGGTGTGGTGGCGCGGGCGGTACTTGATGGTGACTCGTCTGTCGTGAGGGTGATGGCTGTGGTGGGTTTCGGTGCGGTGATGCGGGAGGTGAGGATCTTGGTGCCGGAAATCGACGTCGACGGGCTGTTTTGTGGTAATCGTTGTTGTTGTTGCTTGTTGGTTCGTTTCGAGGAGCTTAGAGGGAAGACTTCCGGTAGTGGCTGCATGTCGATGTCTGTGATGACAACCGAAGGCTTGTCTGGGTCCGGTGCGATGGCGTCGCGTCTGTTGTCGCTGAGAGGAATAGTGTGCTTCGCGTGAGTCTCGAGGTAGTTGCGGACGGATCGGAGAGCGTCAGAGGCAGTCGCCTGTTGTAGTGTCCAGCGATCAATCATCTTCAAGGCCCGCGATGGATCATAGTTGCTGGCGATGTACTGGGCCAGCTTCGCCTGCACGCTCTCCCGCGAGCAAGGCACAGTGCCAGGGCCAACAACGCTCCACCGTGAGTCCGTCTTCGGGCGTTTGATGCTGCAGATATGTCGCAGCGTGACCACGTTCTCAGTCGGCAGTGCCGAGTGGCGGTATCGAGCTTCGACATGGAGGAAGTCCGTCTCCAGTGTCCCCACGATACTCTCTAGCTCAGTCAAAAGCGAGTCTGCATCACCCAACTCCTCAAGACTTGCACGCTCAGAGGTATTGAATTTCGGCACGTGTACCTTCAAGAAGAGAGGACATCGCTGCCCGAGCTTCAGGTCTCTCACTGCTTTCTGGCCCAGCACTTCAACAATGCGACATTGCTCCAGCGGCTTGTAGCACAAGCGGAGGCTCGGGATGAGTCCCATCGGACAGCCATGACGGAGATCTCGGATCATGTTATCCAGCAGATCATTGCTGCAACCACCTGTTCCTGTGAAAGCAATGGACCAGTCATGAGGACCGAGGGCATGCGTAGGATTCGGTCCAAAGCCGATCTTGAAGGCGTGTGTCGGCCATTGCACAACAGACCTGATTCGATGCACTAGGGAATCTGGGTTCTTGCACACTGCAACGACCTGAGCCGAGTCTCGCACGCCCTGGTCGGCGATAAATCTGAGGATGTTTTGAAGTGGTTGCCGTATCTCGCCGAAGCGAACATTGACATAGGAGTCGTTGATCATAGATGGTGCAATGCCTAACCTCTCCAGAACGACCGTCGTCTTGGCAGGTTGTAAAGCCAGAAGCTGACAGCACTCATCGTCACTAGCGACAACCACTGCCATTCTATCCGTAGTCTCCAGTCGAGAGAGCAATTCGATCACACATGAGTGCGTGACGTTCGGCATCTCTGCAAGGGTGTCTTGGCAAAGAACAATGATGACATCCAGCGGTGTTTTGCGTATTGCTTTCGCAGTCGGCGAGTCAACGACTTTGGTGCGTATTGTTGCATCCACGGCGACCCACACGTCGCGAGTGAGGCCTACATCAACGCAATCGCGGTCGACTGTAACACTGAGGTCAACATATGGCACTGTAGTGCTCAAAGCTGATGGACCTCCCACCGAGTAGGCGAAAGTGCCACTTCTCGTTGGTGGTCGCGGCGTCAAGTCCTGACTGGGTGAATGAAGCCTGGGTGAAGCCTGGAGTGCTCTTGCCGGAGTCTGCCTGCCATGCGCAGACCTCGAAGTGATAGCTGATGGTGGCGTCGTCATTCCAGTGCCGGACAAAGACGCATTTGTTGAGGTGCTGGTATCTGTGAAGGACCGCTGCGAAGCTGAAGTGTCCAATTCAAGCTCATAATCTTCCAATTGACTCCCAATGCTGTCTCTGCTCACTTCGAAGCTCGACGCCCGGCTTTGCGCCTGCGAGCTTTGCTTCCGTTTGCCAGACAGGCGACGCATAAGACTGGTCTCGGAGCCTGTCGCGCGGATGTTGTTTGGACTGCGCGATTTGTGAGAGATGCCCTCCTTCACTTTGGAAAGCATTCGTTTGCTGATGGATTTCTGCCTCGACATCATGCTATGGAGAGGTGGAGGAGACATCGTCGTTCCGGGTTCCTCGCCGTCATTGGAGACCAACGTCGATTCAGATGTGTCCATGTGCACTTCTGTTGTGCTTTGGCTCGCACTTGCCAGATGATGTGAAGACGTGTCTGCGCCGCGCCTTGGGTAGCAGCAGTCGTCAACCAGATCGGGCGAATGTAGGCATGGAGGTGGGATGTCGGTGTAGATGCTAGTCGGCTCCAATCGCTTCCGCGACTTGCGCACCTTCAGAGATGGGTCTCGCCTGCAAGCTGAATGGTCTCTCTGTCGAGCCAGGGAGGGTATGCTGTTTGGGGAGAGCATCGTAAATGGTGGAGAACAACCCAGAGCGGAATGCTGCCAATGGTGCGCGACTGAGTTTGCCAGAACATTGCTGCGAGGCGTAGACACGCCATCGGGAAGATGACGGCCTGGTTCTGTCGCTGGAGAATGGTTCTATGCTTCATTAGAAAGTGAGCCTCTCCATCAAGAGCACCGTGGAACGGACCTCTTTGTTCGCCATCTTCTGCTATGTTGCGGCACCAACGAGCCCACGTCCGAAATGGATGAGCTACATGTAACGTATGCCCGAGGGGTACGAGGAATTGGCAAGTCGGGTGAGTGCAGGCATGCTGATGGTATCGCCTTCTTGCATCGTTGAGTAAGGAGGCTCAGCTAAGGCTGCTGAGGAAGGTGTAGAGTTGACTGCGCACAAGGAAAGAGCAATGAAATGGAGTTGGAGGAAGATGATACCTCCATTTGATGATGACGGAGTACGAGCTGAGTGCTTGACCATTCCCATAGTTTCATCGAGTGCAAATTTGGAGAAGGAGAAGCGAGCATGTCCACCATTAGCCCATCCATGTCGCCGCCTCGGCCTGTTATACGGGCGAGATTTGGCTGATTGCTTCCTGGTCCATCTTGAGGAAGCTAATCTACAGAAGCGGTCAGAAATGCTTGCCTTGTCGCGATGATGGCCATGATGTCTCACCACGTCGTTGTTATCGCCGCCGAAGAGTACCGCCTCAGACATGCTAGCTTGCACGCATCTCCTCACCCTCTCCTCCCACACTCCCTGCCAATTCCACTCTCCTGGCCGCCTCGCGCCGCCAGGCTGCTGGCGAGGTGACGCACTGCCCTCTTTGCTGTCCTCGCCGCCCTCTCCCACAGGTCGTGTGACCGAGGTACCTCTGCTACCAGAGCTCTGTGAGCGGTACGTCTTCCACGCGTGCCATGCACCGTTATTAGCGGCGGCATCCTCTGGAGTCGTGTCTAAAACTTCCTGGCTATCGAAGACGATGCGAAGGTACTGCAGCAGCTCTACTATATGCGGTGGTCTGCGCTCGAGCGCCGCACCCTGCTGTTCTTCCTCTTGTACGACCTGGGGCTCTACCACGTCCTTCTTCTCGCCTGCAGCAGGGAACCACTCCGGGAAGCCATGACGCAGACTGAGGCCGCCGGGTGGCAGTCGATGTATATCTGCTGCACTCTGGGTGTCGGTTCCAAAGTCTCTAGTGGAGTACGTGTACGTGGTGAGCGGTGTCACGAGGGGGTGAAAGAGGTCGCTCTGGAACGTGACGACCGGCGGTCTCTGAGGGTATTCGTCGGGGAAGTCGATTTGGAATCGCAGGATGGCATTCGCGTAGGGGCCTGCGCTCGAGCGTGAGCCTGTATATGCCTGGCGTGGATTTGAGTATCCCGTTTGCAGGACCACTGGTACCATACCTTTGCGGACGAAGAGCACGCCGGTCCAGAGAAGAGGCTCGTCCGGTAAGGGCGCGACATAGATGCCCTTAGGACAGGCGTGCTTCAGACTTGCGCTGGCCAACAATCATCAGCGGTTACACGAGCCAATGTATGACGGACAGTGCCAGCGCGTACAAGTCAACACACAGCTTCTGCCGCGTGAATGCAGTCGACAGTGGCGGCATGGCTTCATCATCATCGCGTTGCGGTGGAGATGTGCGAGACGGACGTCGTGTGAAGCATGGACAGTGCGGCTTCACGGCGAGACTAAAACAGACATCACGTGCAGTGGTCGCATCTAATCTACGGATTGGGAGATCTGATACATCAATGAATTGATGATGAGGCGATGGGTCAACCTGGCTACAGATGCGTCAATAGACGCAGGACGGAGTGCGCCGCTTAGCGACAAACACCGCAACTGCAGTGTGTCGCAGCATCGGACGAATGATATGGCATGGATTCCATGCCAAACGGGACAGACCATGGACATGCATCCCCAATCAAAGGAGGGAGAGAGTAAAGGAAGAATTGATGACTCTTGTGAAATGTCACCATTTCGTCTTGAAACCTCGCGCCAGAGGCTCGCCTGACTTGGCTTCGTGAGGGCCAAAATCCTGCAGTGCAATGCATCCGGGCCGCCTTGAGCCACCTCACACCGCTCGAGTTGATTTCACTGACTTTGTATGAGCCTCTCCTCGGGAGCTTTGGTCGTCATGTGGTGCGACCGAGCCCGGTAATCTGACCTGTCGTTCTCCGCTGCGGGATCCGGTGGCCAATGGCACGCTGCGCGGCACCTGAATTTGTGACGGCCTCACATGGATGGCCTGGCCTCGAGGTCAGCCCGTTCGCCTGGCTCCGACCTTGGTAATTGGTAACTGAGCCTGCGCAGTCTGTCTGTGTCGTGTCCGACCCAATGACAGAGATGCTCGCACGAATATGCGCTGGCACACCGCCACACCGCGGTTCGCGTTCGCGTCGGCGACGCCACTTCTCAAGGTGCTCTGTTGGCCGGCTCATGACGGAGGCAGTCTTCGATTGACAACATGGGGCGCAACCTCACGGCCGCGGCGCGGAGAAGGGTTGGGGAAAACGATCCATCGCACGATGTTTGCGTGACAGGGGGAATTATATCCTGCTCAGCGATTAATGAAACCGCAATCCCTGCGTTCCACCATCCTTGGCGAGCAGCTCTTCCGGTTCGTCGGTGCGGCATCTCAATTTCCATAGCTCAGGGGTTGTTGCAGCTCTCTCCCGCGTGCGTGCCGACTCGCAAAGCGCCCGCGCGCCGGAAGCTGCACTACAGGGCGGCTGCAGTGTTGCGTGACGAGTCGAGTGCTGTCCATCGCATCTCAGCCTGGCCGTGGCGACGGCATATATCATATACCGCTGATGTACAGGTGTACTGCGCGAGAGTGTTCATTGGTGATGAGGCTCTCCTCTCTTGCATGCAACCCAAAAAGTGACCTGCATGCATTTGATGCGTTCGACGATGACGTTCTGCGATCTCCGTTAGGGCGCTCAAGCCGTCCAGGCCTATACCGCATCCCCGGTACTGCTGCTGTCATGTGAGCGCGATAAGTGGGCTGCGAAGATGTCAGGAGAAGCTTTGTGTCCAGGAGGCGCGCGAATCACATCGCTGGGCCTGGATTTATCCGCGCTGGCTGTGCATTACTGCAAGTTAGGCTCATCGGCTCTGCAGCGTCCTGCATTGGACTCCCCGCGTGGCGCATGGTCTCTCCTGCAGGGTTACACGATCCGACGCAGAAGAACAAGAAGGTGGCCGAGGCGGCGAGGGCGGCGAGTCCATGCAGCGGGCGGACAGCTACAAGGCAGATGAATACCGTACGTGGAGCCACGTAGCTGACTCGTCCAGTCTCTTCAGGCCGGCGTAATCACGGGACAGGACTGCACTGCGGGTTGCGAGTCGCGAAGTGAGGCTCCCGCCTCAAACTGTGATGACGGAAGGAGGCCTAGCTCGCAGGAAATTGCGGGAGTGCAGAGCCGAAAGTCATCCAGGGACGCGGCGCGGCGGAAGGGCAATCGTGCTGCGAGTTACCGGTTACCTTTACGCCAAACTCTGCTCCGGCACCTTGGACGTAACCCTGGTTTTCCTTTTTCGGGAGACAGGCGCGTGAAGTGTTGCATGACGAGAGGCGCAGACGGCTTCCCTTCACCGCCAATTTATGGTTTATGGTTCCGGCGCAGGCGTCTGGCCAGTGGCTGTGACACTGTCGCTACACACTGGACGATTGACTCGAGCCACAAGCCGTCGCAACGCATCTGCCGCCCGACTACCGGAGTGTCAGCACCAGTGAGATTCGCTCATCATCCCATCAGCGTTGCGGCTTGACTCCTGAGGATGGAGAAGCCTTTTGAAAGTGCCGACGGGCGGTGCGAGCAAAGTTCACGCGGCAAGCTTCCGACTCCCAGTGCGCCGAGGAGATGATGATGATGATGATGATGATGCTAATGATGATGATGGGGCAAACGCAGAAGTGTTTCAGCGTGACATGCCTCGATCGGCTCTGTTCGCTGTCTTGCCACGTCGTTCCCGTGCTCGAGGATGTTGTTGTGGTTCATGCCTCACCAATGATGCCGGCAACCAGTCATGACAGAAAGGTACAGGCTACGGGCTCCGTGCTGCAGCGCATGATGAGCGGGTGTTGTAGGCGCCGTAGGGCTGATGAGACTGAGACTGTGCGGGTGCTAGGTGGTCAGTGGTGAATGAGGGCGAATTTGTCTGCGCTATCGTATCTCCTCTCGCTGCCGGAGTGTCCTCCATCTGCCGGGAGCGCTGACGCTACCAGAGAGGTCCCGCGGGCCCCGGCCAATCAGAAGACTTGGCTGGCTTCCCAGCCCCATGGGTTGGGCAAGATTTAGTTGGAGCTAGTCGCCAGTGACCCAGGACTCCAGGAGAAGGACAGCGCAGCGCAGCGCGAGTGAGAGGGGATCAAGCAGCGGAGTGGACGTGAGCCGTGCGCCGTGCTCTGTGCAGCGCTTCGAGGAGATTGATATGGTCATGTCGGAAGCGCTGGCGACGGTGGGAGGTGTGACTGCTCAGCAGCCGGGACAGGCGCCGGGCAGCACAGCTCTGAGCGCGAGGAGGTACAGACCGATATTTCATTTTAGTGCAGATTTCGCGGATCGTCGCCGCCGACATGGATGGAACTTCGTAGCCGCTTCCGTCGGCTTCTTGGCCAGGGCACGCCTGCCGTCGTCCCCGGCTCCCATCTGCGTGCATCCGCCGGCCGTGAGCCTGTCTCTGCCGTCCTCGGGGGAGCAGGGAGTGGCCCTGCACGCCCGTACCTTGGATCTCGCCCAGGGCGCCGGAAGCATGATCACGACTGGTCTCACTACCCGTCGCGCGCTGGCTGCTGTCGTGGGCACACGGGCAAGACGGGAGGGAGTGTCGACGGGACGGTAGTGCCGGTGGAGCTGCTGCCCGCTAGCACTGCCGCGCTGCGGTGTGCTGTGCTGTGCTGTGCTGTGGTGCGCTGCGGTGCGCTATGCTGCTGGTGCGCTGCGGTGTGCTATGCTGCTGTTGTCGCGACAGTGCACACTGGTGAGAGGGATGGATCCCCCGTCGTTGCATTTGCGCCTGTCCGTCCACAGTCCCACCTGCCGGCACGCATCGCATCGCATCGCATCGCACCTGCTGCTGCTGCTGCTGCTGCTGCTGCTCGTTTTTAATCGCCAACGTCGCGCTTTCCCCTATCGATTGCCCTTTCCCCCCCAACTACCGACGACATCCTGATTCCTGCCCTGCCCTGCCTGTCTGCCCTGCCGGTCGGTCCTCACTACCTTCCCAGACCAGACCGCCTCGCTCTTGCCTACCCACGCACTACCTCCTGCCTTCCGGAGCTAGCACCCCATTCCCCTGCGCGTCGCCGTGTGTGCCACCGCGTCGGGAAGGAAGGAGCACTTCTTCTCTCTCTCTGTGTCTCTCTCTCTCTCTCTCTCTCTCTCTCTGCCTGCCTGCCTGCCTGCCTCCCGCACTGTACTTCTTCATCTCCTTCATCTTCCTGCTGCACCCGCGCCCGCATCGCTGCACGACACACCTCACGACATCCCTCCATGTGTCACCATCGTCTGCGACCCTAGTACACCGCGACTCGCAACATTCCAATTCCGACTATCCTGAGCCAGACCTGCGTCACCCTCCACTCTACCTGCGGCGCTCCGACCAAGATAATAATATAAGCCTGCCTTCACCGGCGATCGACCTCCTCCGTGTCTGCTTTGATCCATCAGCCATTGCTTCCTCGTGAACGCTCTCCCTGCTCCCTTCACACCACACCTGCGACACACCCGACACCATCCTCGCCCTCGCCTGCGAACATACATCGACCTCCATCGCCGTCTGGCACCACCGCCCACCGACCCCTTCCGCACTCCGTCTGCCCCTCCTCGCCCATCATGTCGACTTCGACGAGCTACGACAATGCTCGGCACGACTCCAAAGCTTTCCCCTTTCGGCAGCTGCTAGTCTTGGGTAAGCGATCACATGCTTTCCAATGCCTTGCCTCCCACCGCGACGCACGCTGACCATCATGTTCTCAGGACTCTGCCGGATATGCGAACCGATCGCCTTCATGTCCATCTTCCCTTACATCTACTACATGATCGAGTCCTTCCACATCACCAATGACAGCAACCGCATCGCCCTCTACGCAGGCCTCGTCACCTCCGTCTTCGCCGCCGCCGAGTGCTTGGGAGCCGGTTTCTGGGGTAGCCTAAGCGACAAAGTCGGACGCAAGCCAATCCTCCTCACCGGCTTGGCAGGAACTGGTGTCAGCATGCTCATGTTCGGTTTCGCTCCCAACCTGCCTGTAGCTCTGATCGCCCGTGCGATCGGGGGTGCTCTGAATGGCAATATCGGTGTTCTTCAGACAACCGTGAACGAGGTCGTCAAGGTCGAGGCACATCAAGCCCGCGCCTACGCCATCATGCCAACCGTCTGGTGCATGGGAGCCTTCATTGGATCAGGCCTTGGTGGTGCTCTCGCCGATCCAGTCCGCAACTACCCGGGCACTTTCCATCCAGGCACCATTTTCGACAAATTCCCCTACCTCTTCACCAACCTCGTCTGCACCGGAGTCGTCGTGTTCAGTATGATAGTGGGTGTTCTGTTCTTGGAAGAGACGCACGAGGATTTGAAAGACAAGCGAGATAGAGGGTTGGAGACCGGAAACTGGATATTGGGCTGCTTCAGGAGGACAGCCGTCGACCGGGTCTCTGCACGCAAGGGCGACTTGAGCGATGAGACTCTCGTTCTGATCGATGAGCTTCCTCCGGATTACCGAAGTATCGCATCTTCGCCAGCGTTGACCCCAATCGCCGTCTCTGGGCTGCCTCCTCCTGCATATCGATCGATCGACGGCTCCCCTCGGAATTCCTTGAACACCACCAGCGATGACTTCGCTCGTGATGTGGAAGAGGCCTTGAACCGCGAACAGGCCCAGCAAAAGGCAAGATCGGGGCTTGGTCAAGCCTTTACCAAGCAAGTGATCTTGAACATCATCGGATACGGAATTTTGGCATAGTACGTCCGACTAGTTGTGACATTGTTTCTTGGTATACTAACAGCTTGCAGTCACACAATATCCGCAGAACAACTGCTTCCGGTGCTTCTCAGCATGCCAAAGTCGGACGCCCCAGCATCGCTTCCTTTCAAGTTTACCGGCGGTTTCGCACTTTCCACGAAGGCGATCGGCGGCATCTTGTCTGTGCAAGGTATCATCCAGATGGTCGCCACGATCGTCATCTTCCCCATCGTCAACCGCAAGATGGGAAGCTTGTGGACATACCGGAGCGTGGTCATGCTCTACCCGCTGCTGTATCTCCTGGTGCCTTACAGCTCCTTGGTACCGGACTCTCTGAAGCTTCCATGCATCTACGCAGCCCTTGTCTGGAAAGTCACAGCACAAGCATTTGCTTTCCCGTCCAGCAGCATCATGCTCGCAAACTCTGCGCCTTCTAGCAAAGTTCTTGGACGATTGAACGGCGCTGCGGCCTCGGCAGCCAGCGCCTGCAGAGCCTTTGGACCTACGTTCTCCGGCCTACTTCAATCCGCTGGTCTCTCAATCGGAACGCTCGGTCTTCCATGGTGGGTCAACGTCCTCATTGCCGGGATTGGAGCTGTTATCAGCATGTTCATGATCGAGGAGAAACGACGAACTTTCGAATCTGAGAAAGATGTACCGCCGCCCCTCCCAACCGCCTCAGACGTCGCCGGCACTGCCGAGTACGGCTCAGGCATGGTCGCGGCGGCAGAGAGCGCCAACCCGTCTTACGATAATTTACTCGAAGCGCCCGGATCACCCATTCTAGACAGGATATCACTGGACATTCGCCGGAGTGCTCGTCGCGACAGCAAATCCTAGGCCGGATGCCTCTCTCAAGAAGAGACGACTGCAACCAGCCTTTCACGTCTTTTGTTTTTCGAATAGAAGAAGCGTGGCACGAAACGTGTCTTTTTTTGGGGGGGGGGGAAGGCAATCTGAGCGACTTTAAATATACCTTATTAACGGCATCGATACACTGGCGCCTGGGATGCGGAGAAGATATAGGGTCGGAGCTTTGCCTTCGGCCGGCCGACTCGCGTTGGAAAGAAGAGGTCACGAAGGAAGGAAAAATCACGGATGTATTTGTTTGGGGCTGTATGAGAATCTGGGCAAGGCTTTTTGGGCGACATTGTAAGCATTGGAACAGGCGCTCTATGATACCCTCTTTTTGTTTTGTTGGTTTTCTTGGCCGCTCGAAATGGAAACGACTGCCATTCAGATGGGATCCGCACGTGGCAGACGGGTGCATCTGAGAAGATCTTTGTACTACTATTATACTACCACATGTAACAACCGCGAGATCTGGTCATTTTGGAATTCCACCGTTTGGTATATGTCTCTTCTTTTCTTTTGGTCTTCATACATACTACATACAACAGGCTGCTGCTTCTGCTGCTTGTGCTTGTCTCCGGAGCTACCTTATACACATACTGCGCGTATCAATCAGGCACACGCCACAGCCGTTATTATTATGCACGGCGCAATCAATCCATCGATCGTTCAAGTGGTCCTCCCCTCATGCCGGGCTTGACATGCATCCGAACCAGACGGCCTTCCAACAGACGCAACCAAAGAAAGAAAGAAAGTCCTTTGACACCACATCATCACATGCCAGGCAGCCCGAAAACGTGCTTGCATGTTTCTTTTCTTTTCTTTTCCCCCTTCCGCGCCGCCCTGCTAGCAGCAGCAAGAAATTGATTGACTTTTTGTCAAAACCAAGGAAAACCCGGTGCTAACTACTCCCTGTGTACCCTCCTCCTCCTCCTCCTCCTCCTTTCGCTACTACCATTCCATATCCCGAATCCCGAATGCCTCCCGGCAAGGTCAGACCATATTTGTTCTTTTGCCCTTCCTTCCTTCCTTCCTTCCTTTTCGCTTCCATTCTCGAGAAAGAGAGAGGGGGAGAGAAACAGAGAAGGCTGCAGAGCGAGAGTTGCCTGGCCCTGACCTATGTCAAGTCAAGTCAAGTCAAGTCAAGTCAAGTCTAGTCTAGTATCCACCAGCGCCACCAGCACCAGCACCAGCACCACCACCGCTGTTGCTTCCAAAGAAGAAAGAATCGAATAATTCACCATTGGCATCCCAAGCTTCGAAGCCCGTCGTGCCGCCGCTGCCGAAAGTCAGATCGAAGCCGTCGGAGATGTTGTTATTGTTGTTGTGGTTGTTGTGGTGGTGGTTGGGGGTGGTGGAGGTCTGTTGCGTCAGGGACGACGCCCAGGTGGGATCGAGCGAGGAGGGGGAGAAGTCGGCGAGGAAATCGAGATTGTCGTCGAGGGTGTAGTCGGCGGGGAAAGTGGGCGGTGGTTGGTGGTTTGGGTAGGGAGAAGCTTCTCGTTGTTGTTGTTGTTGTTGTTGTTGTTGTTGTTGTTGTTGTTGTTGTTGTTGTTGTTGTTGTTGTTGTTGTTGTTGTTGTTGTTGTTGTTGTTGTTGTTGTTGTTGTTGTTGTTGTTGTTGTTGTTGTTGTTGATAGGACGAAGAAGAAGGTGAGGGATTATTATTGTAGGGTGTCACGGGGCTGGTGTAAGACGGTTGTCCCTGGTGCTGCTGCTGCTGCTGCTGCGAGGGAGAAGGGGGCAGCGGCGGCGGGTGGTGGTGTTGGAGGCGGAATCCCTGTGGTCGCTGGCGACGTTCCGTCTTCGGCTGATGCGTCAGGCTTGGACGCGGACGGCCGGCGATTTCTTCCTCGGAGAACAGGTCCTTGAGGTTCATGTCGAATTTGGGCATGGGTCTGCGCGGCTGTGGCGGTTGTTGTGACGGTGCTCGTGTGTGGTGGAAGTAGCCTTCGGGGCTGTTGAGTGGTTGGGTGCCTAGAGTGGAGGCATTGCCAAACCCGGTGGTGCTCATGACCATGGAAATCGTGGCTTTGCTCATGCGCATGAAAGCGTCTCGGCAGGCTTCCGCGGGCGGACACGTCTCCGCCAGATCACTGAGAACGGATGTTGCGGCCAGCCCGGTGAAATCGACATCATCGATGGTCAGTTGAGAACGCACCAGGGTGGAGTGCCAGATGGCGTAGAGGAAAGAGATTCCTACTCGTGTATCAGTACTGACTCCCGGAAACACTCATACATGAAAACTCACCGCTCATAAACAGGTGATGCGTGGCCAAGAAGGTGTAGTTGACAAGTTTTAATCGATGAAGCTGTCGGTAGATCTTCAGCACCGTCTGGCCGGCTTGGGCGACTTTCAGGAAGACAATCTGTTGGTCTTCTTCCTGTTCCATGTTGACAGAGCCAGGGCTGTGCACATCCTCGCCAGTGGCCGGGCTCAACTCGTTGGCGAGTGGTTCCGGCACTGAGAGCGACTGCCTGTATAGCATGATGACAGCCTGCCAGTAGTTCAATTCAAAGAACAACGGATTGAACGCGACGCCGGTGTGGAATGGCTGTGGTGCGCTCTCTTTCCACTCCCAGAGCTTGAGATCAAGATGCGCTCGCCAATCCCGGAACGACCGATGTTGACGAAGGAAAGGGGATTCCAGTCCCGACTGCACGAAGTCGTTGGAGGCATGTGCACCCATCTGTCGTGCCGAATCTGCCTGTCGGTGTTGAAGCACCTGGAGAATCTCGGACTGCAATAACCTGAGCCGCACATAGTGACGCGAGATCAGCTTATAGCTAGGCACTTCTTCAACATGAGGAGCCTTCAGGAATCCAGCAGGCGTGATGTACGCATCGTCGAGCATGCTCGGGAATTCTATCGTCACGACAGACTCACTGATGGCTACCGGTCTTCCCACACATGACGAAACCAGCCTGTCCAGGTTGAAGACGCACCACCACAATCTTCTGCGCAGATCTCGGGTCCACTGCTTGCGTCCAAGTCCACTTGCGGCCGGCTCACCGGTGTCTGGATGCGTCGGCCGCGAATCGAGGTCGTGATCAATGTCCTCCACGTGCAGGCCAAGGTCGATGCTCAGTCGGACGGCAACCCCGATGATGTACCATAACCCCGGAGCAACAGGTCTCAGCAAAGCAAGCGAAGCCAACAGAATGACAGCCTGCAGCTCTTCCAGCCCACCGCCACCACCTTCCGTCGTAGGCGAAGATCCCAGAAAGCTCTCCAGATGGATGATGGCCGACGAGTGGTACTGCTCAGGTTGATGCTGCTGACTGGCGAGTCTCTGTCTCTTCTTACTCGGCGGCTCGGACGTCTCATTCGACTTCTCAGTAGCGGCTCCCGTTTGCGCGACGTGTGAAGAGTCCATGATAATGCCGGACCCAATGGCAAAGACGATGTTCAGGAAATATAGCTCCCTGGGTGTGGGTTTCTTTGCATCCGTAGCGTAGACCCGGTCGAATAAGGCCATGAACTCGCCACGATGCAATGCTGGAATCTGAGGATTCGCGTGTTCGAAATACAGCTCCACGAGTCGGCTGCCTAGTTCCTTGTCCGGGAATGGAGCAGGCTTGATGGTAGGCTTGGAGTGCAGACCGAAGAAGGAGTCTCGCATGCTCGTCCCACCACCGCTCGCCGCTTCAGCTGGCGCTGCTTTCGCAGACTTGCTGCCTCCTCTGTCTGAAGGTGTGGATGCCGGGTTCGTCGAGCGCTTCACAGCCGCGAAGACGACGCGCGCAAAGGAAATGCCCGACGCTGAGCCCAGCACTCTCGAGTCCGAAGTCCCCTGCACCGAGACCATGCCAATGTTGTTCACCAACTTCTCCGGCCTCTCCCCCTTGTCGCGCTCCGCCAGAGCGGGATCCAGCACTGGCCCGGGCTCGGTATCGACCTCCTGCTTGATAGCATTCTGCTGTCGACTTGGAGGTCCCGACGCGGCGGCACCTTCGTCATCCTGCACGGGAAAGGGAACATTGACGCCGGGCTTGATGGCGTCGCTGATGGCAAAGTCGTCACTCGGAGGGGGATATGCAAGATGATGCGCCTGGAGGAGGGATTCCAGGTTGTTGACGCGGGTCTCCAGGTAGTAGACATAGCTGCGCGGGATCTCGCGCTTGCTGACCGGGTCGAAGCCCACGCATCTCACACTGGCCTTTTCGCAGTTGGTGCATTTCGGTAGCTTCTGATCGCATCGGTTCTGAGGCAGTGGTCAGCGTTGATGATCGCGATGTCCGCTGCTATATATATATATATATATATAACGTATGGGTGGTGGAGTACTTTTCGATTCCGACATCGATTACAGGCGGATACATTCCGAAAATTGGTGGTCGAGGCAGCAGCAGCAGCAGCAGCAGCCGCCGCATCGACATCGGCATCGGCATCGGCATCGGGGTCTCGCTCGCGCTTCTTGCCCGTTGTTGTGGATGTCATCGGCATGCCGGGCAGCGCCTGGACCCGATTCGGCCGAGGGCCCGAGGGGGGTAGATGCAGTGGGTGTGCCAGGTGTAGGAAATGGGCGTGCGGGGAGGTCCAGGCACTCACTGGAGGACGATCGGAGCAGGCGGCTACCGTACAGGCGGCGAGGTCCGATGCCCGATGCCCGATGCGATGCGATGCGATGTGATGTGATGCGATGCGATGCGATGCGATATGATGCGATGCGATGGGCGTGTGCACCAGGAGAAGGTGTGCGCACGCGAGAAGAAATTCACGTTTACTGTATCATCAGCGTGTCACATCTCCACCCGTTCGCAGTGCCACCGTAGTGCCACAGTCCCCCAGTTAGACTGTGTTAGCTGAGTTAGTACCTACCGTAAAGACCTTGATTACCTGCTAGTGCTGCTGCTTCTTTTTTGGAGCATGCGTGTGCTTGCAAATCAGAACGCGAGCCCTTATCGCTGCTGAAAATCAAAAATTTGACAAACACAGTCCACCAACTCCACACTTTCGCGGCTGGTCCACGAAGGCTGTGGCTTGTGTACTACTAACTTGCGGCAACTACCTACTTACTACTATAAGGTACGGTACATGTATGCAACAAAACCAACCAGGCTGTATATGGGTATCTCTTCCAACTCCATGCTCAAACGTCAACCATTATTACACACGCTACAGAGGGGGCCTCTCAACCCTTCATCAACCCCCCCGCGTCATTCAATATCATGTCGTCAAAACTGTCGTCAACTTGTACCGGTGCAGGTGCCGAGGCGGGTCGATTCATCCGTCCGCCTCCCCATGTCGCCTGCAACAACATAGCCCCTCCCGGCCCTCTCCCTCTCTCTTCCGCCATTATTAGGTCTGTAAAGTCGTCCAATTCGATGTCTCCCTGCGTGCGTGGTACATTGGCCGTACTAGGCGCCATCCGACGCGAATTCGGCGGCGGATCGCCGTTCGCACCGGACATCTCATGCTCCTGCGAAAGATACGCTGCCGAGTCAGGGTGTAAGAGTCCGCCAGCGTCTTGCAATGACATTTCTGTCTTGCGTCGCTCTAACCGAGGACCCAGCACGCCAATGGGAGGAGATTCTGGTCTGGTAGGTAATCGATGGTGATCACGATGGCGACGAGGTGAGGCACTACCGTCACGCCCGCGGAGGATGCTACTCACATCTCGCAAGAACCCACGTGATCTGGATCGTGAATAGGGCCGAGGACGTCCGAATGCGAAGTCGACGGTCGATGTACCGGCATCGTTCATGTGTGGAAAGTAGGAATCGCCGTGTGCTTGTCCCATGTTCTCCTCTAGCAGATTACCCACGTCAAACAGGCTCACGCTGCGATTGGTCAATGGCGATGGCGGCGATACCCCATCCGACACGACTGGCTTCTGCAACGATTCGTCGCTATCACTGCTTCTTTCTTCTTCCCTGCTATCCGTGGCCGGTCGTTGATGTTTGACGCGGCGAGGTGAGTATCCTGCCGGCAGCGCCGGGGGTGCAGGACGTGGAGACAGAGCCGATTTGTCACTTTGCAGGTACGTTGGCATCCTAATACCCACAGACCTGAACAGTTCTTCCTCGCTCTCGCCATTGTGCAAGGTCGCAAGCGTCGGTCGCCGCGTCGATGCCCTCTCAATGCTGTCTATAATACTCTGATTCCTGTATTTGTTCTTCTTTGTGCCTTTGTCTCTGAGAAAAGAGCCGAGAATGACACCATTCGACACCGACACCGCTGCCAGGATCTCGCCCGAGGCCCACACAGTCCTGTACTGCTGGCGACCTAGATGTCGAATGACCTGTGGCATTCGTGTGGCCGTGACCGCAATCATGATGATGGATGCTGAAAAGAGACTGATCATTTGGAATTTGCGCTTCCAGCTCTGACCCGATTGCAGGACAACAGGGATTGGAAACGCAGTCAGCAGTATGTCCGTGATGATATCGCAGATACCCATGGTCAATAATTGCGCGAAGCCTTGACGGCAACGTGGGCCAGGATCCGGGCTCACCTGCCAGTAGTGATCAAAGGGCTGGCACTCGGCCAAGGTGGCAATCACCACGGCAATGAAGGTGAGGAGCAGGAAGGTCCTGATGCCTTGGAGGGTGACTTCCCACGATCGTCGCCACACTCTTTCGGTGATCCTCTTGAGGAACTCGCTGACCGTGAGCTTGTTCAGCCAAATCGTGAGGGCGTAGAAGATGCGTGACGCCAGTACTAATCTTGCACCGATGCTATGTTGTTCCAGTCGGGCAGGTGTGAGCTCCCGGTCCAACGCAATGTTGTTGGTGCCGTATATGAGGACAAAGTGGACCAGAATCATGCGGATGAACATGGGTACGCAGGAGAAGAGCATGATCCAATCCTCTCGGAAGAGTCGGTCGCTTCGAACTTTGCGGCCCAGTACCCTGGTGATGATGATGACGGCCGCGAAACTCGTGCACCACCAGGAGAATAAGACAGTCGGCCAATTTGCCAGGCGGCTTCGCATTTCAGGCGGCGCGGTGCTCCATAGTTGCCGTGCGTCCAGTATGGCGACCATGTTCAGGACAGGCCAGGCTCCCAGCCCGCTCTGGGGCAGCCAGCGCCTGACGGAACTTGTCGTCGATCAGACGTTGAGTAGTCGTGGGGAAGGTGTTATCTCATGAAGAAGCGACTCGAGTGTGTTCCCGCCTCCACTGATGACGAGGCCGATGCCCGAACGCGCATCGTGCGCGAACCCGTGGACTGTGCCCCGGGAAGTCGAGAATCTCTCAATGTGGTACACAAAGGTAGGCAATAAGTAGAGGAAAAAGGCAGGCAGCAGGCAGACAGACAGGACGACGACGAATGTTGTGCTGTCCGGGGGCCTTGCCAACGCGTATGAAGTGCGTGACGATAAGGTACCCAAGCCTGCCACTATCTCGAAGACCAGCACTCTACTATGCCTCCGAGGCGATAGTGACCGGGGTAGTGTCTCGGCCGGCTCGACCGGGTCAAATATCCCCCGCGCGCGCGCTCGTGCAATTATCGCATGTCGGCCACGAGGATGTCGATGGAGGTCCACGGGCGCCAGTGCCGTGCCGTGCCGTGCAGTGCAGTGCAGTGCGATGTTGTGTTGTGTGTGTGCTGTGCGGTGCGGTGCGGTGCAGTGCAGTGCAGAGGGTCGAGAGGAGGACTCGAGTGTCCTGCCAACACTTGCGCAGGGACTCGAATTAAGCGCGCCGTCTATTGCAAGTGGCGGGCAGCCGCTCACACTGCATGGCAGCCGGAGCCTTCCAACTTCTGCTTCTCCGTCCGGCGGGGCTGTTGCCTTGACTAAGAATGGTCGGGCTTCCTCTCGGGCGCATCGTCGGGAGCGTTGAGGCCATCGGCGGTGATTGGGAAGAGATAAGCCGCCTGCAGCGCTGCAAAGATTGCGGGTAGGAGTGGTCTCGTATTTTGGCTGTGTTCGTCTGTGGTGTGTGAACCGTGAAGACGGCGGCTCCATTCCAGTTTAGGCGGAGGGGAGGCACTTCTCACGTGGCTGTGGAGTCTTGACGTCACTACACACGGACCTCACCTATCGTAACACGTGACATCGGAGGGAGTCGGAACGATCACTGACGCCCTCTCCGACTTTGTATACATACATTGCCCACGGCCAGTCACCTCATACCGTCGCATTGTAATCGTCCCCTTCGCCCTCGCGCTCAGGCATCGCTTCCGCAACCTTGCGCTCTTCATCTTCCAAGACTTCTAGCCGCTTCGCCTCTACTTCATCTTCCGCATGCATCGCTTTTTGCTCCAAGGCCACGCCGCCTTCGCCAGACACGGGCAGCCCCGAGACTGGATCGATCGCGCCGTTGGGTGCTACCCCTCCCGCATCGTCCTCATCACCGTCCCTCATGTTCTTCTCTTCCACCTCACGAGCAACGTCCTCTGCGGGAATGCTGCCCTTCGTACTGCCATTCTGGTCTTGGTGAGCGCCGGCCTTCTTGTTGTCCGCGTGATTGATGAGTTCAATGTCCTCGTTGAAAATCCGCAAAAGCATGGCTTTCCGGTCTTCCTTCGGCAGCATGAGATTGACGCTGTGCATGCTGCGCCAGAGTGGCAACGTGAGAGGCTCCGAGAATCCCTCATCCCCCAGCTCAGGCGCAGGCTGCACGCGCATCACGCAGCACCCCATCCCCATGCCTTTCACCTGCTCTCCGATCTCACCCAAATCTTTCCAGCCGCCGCTCTCGCTACCGTCTTCATGCTTCTCAGTGAGTATCCTTGGGAACATCTCCACGAGCAGCTTTCGTAACGTCTTCTTCTGCCGCAGGCGGACCACCCTACCCTCTCCAACCCATCCTTCAATGATCGGGAGACCCTCCGTTTGAATACGCCAAGCGCAGATGTTCTGGCCTTGCGCGTCCTGTTTCATGAACATCTTGACGCCCGCATGTACAAACTTCATGCCACTCTTCTCGTTCTGCCTCAGGATTTCCTTGACTAGCTGCGAAGTATAGTAGATGCCCTTCACGGGATCGCCTGCCGGGTTGCGGACCAGAAATCGGTCGCGCGGGAAGGAGGGATGCAGCTCGTAGAATTTGTAGATGGAGAGCAGTTCCGGATGTTCGGCTGTGAGGTATTTGAACGACTCTTCCGTCGGATCATCCTTCCGCCTCGCAAGTGGCTGCATTGCCTGGTGAGGAATGGTCTTTTCAAACGGAGCCTCCGACACCGCGTCCTTGACGTCCACAGAAATAGCAACGCCTTCTTCACTGACTTTGGCCTTCTTCGCGGACGAAGGAGCACTCTGGTCTTCGGGAGCAGCTCTCTTAGTGCCTGCTGCAGCCACGCCGTCGTCAAGGGTATTCTGACGCTGTGCCGCAGTGGTGTTTCCGGACGGCGCATCGGGAACGACGGTAGCCTTGTCGGTATTACCTGTTGCAATTTCCTCCAGAGTCTTGTCGAAATCAGTAGACGAGGGCACGGCCTCTCCATCAGGAGCCTTCTCGGCTTGAATGGGAGCTGCAACGGGTGGCACAAATTGCCAGTTCTTGTTCACACTCTTGCTCTCGTTCTCAGGCTTAGCCTTGATCTCGCTCTGCTTCTCCAGGGCGACAATGAAGAACCCGCCAGTATCTTGCTGGTGTGGATAGACACGCCAACATCGCTCGAGCGGAATCCTCTCCTCTGGCTCGGGCGGGAACATTCCTGGCACAATTCTGCTGCCCTCCTTGGCCTCCTCGAACTGTCTCGCCTCCGCCCAAGACTCGTAGATCTCACCCCCTCGAGCCATGACTTTCCAGTCCGTGAGACCTGGGCTTCGCACAAGTCCTGGCAGCATATCCGAGCAATCGACAAGCTTGACCTTATCAACGCCGCCGCATCGCTCGATCGCTGAAGCAATCACAGCTTCATCCTCCACAGGGTTCATGCTGCAAGTGCTGTACACCACGCGACCACCTACCTTCAGCATCTGAAGCGCCCTGGTCAGGATCCTGACCTGCGTCTGGTACAGACCAAGCCCGTTCTGTGGGGTCCACTCCTTCCAGATACTCGGGTTCTTTCTGCAGGTGCCGTCGCCGCTGCACGGTACATCAGCCAGGATGCGATCGAACTTCAAGTACTTTCCTTTCGTTTGCTTCTCTTCGGATAGAAGCTTGATAGAAGGGAACATGGTCGCATCGTGACAAGTGACCACCAAATTGGGCGAGTTGAGGCGCTTGACCTGATGGACCAGCATCTGAGCCCGCTTGTAGTTCATGTCGTTTGCGATCAGCATGCCAGTAGCACGGCCATCGTCTTCGGCAGTGGGCTCCCCATTATTCGCACGTGCAATGGCTTGCGCCACGCGGTCTTCCTCGCCAGCGTGGATCATCTCAATGAGCTGCGCACTCTTGCTGCCAGGCGCAGCACAGAGATCCAACACTGTATGCTGAGGCTGTACGTCCAGCAGGAACGGTGGTATCATGCTGACCTCCTCTTGCCTGCTAATATTGCCCACACCAGTCTCACTGACCAAGAACTTTTGAAATTCCTTGAAATGCTCGTACTTCCTCACGACGTTCTTTGGAGTGTCCATGCGATATGCAAGCCCGTTCGGGTACCACGGCATCTCTGTCGGAAGCTTGACAGGTCGGCCATCGTGCGTAATCTCTTTGATCAATGGGAAATATCGCTGGACGAGGTTCTCGCGCACGGCCAGAGCATGACCCTTTGATCCGGTAAAGCGGAATGAGTTGGGCAATTCTCTACGCAGAGTCGCCCAGAAAGCGGCTCTCTCGTCGCCATCGGGGATTATGCCGAGGGTGTTGTAGAATCGCTCGAGCTTCTCGTTGTTCTTGGGTACTTGATCGAAGGAGAGTCGCTCCTGATATTGTCTGTGGCCTCCACCGCCTCCTCCACCACCACTACGACCTCTTCCACCTTTGCCTCCTCTGTTGAACCTGCCGCCGCCTCGCTTGCCTCGTGGCATGGTTGTGAGTTGTAGTTGTTCTGAATTGTTGGGAAATTTGAGATTTCTTAGGTCACGAACCGCAGCTGGGAGCTTTGACCACAAGACTGACTTTTGACGAAGCCTTCAATTGAACTTCACCTCACCTTTTTTACATAATCACAGGCACCCGAAATATGGGAATTTCAGACGAGCCAGAGATCTATATTGATTCGCGCGCGAGTAATTGGTAGCCTGAAGTATTGTAGTTTTGGCGGGCATCTGGAAATCACCGCTAAATGCATGCCGGCGGAGGGCAATCATGGCTTGAGCACAAGTCTCGAAGCTGAAATGACAGCGTTCTGGTCAAGAGGATGAAGAGCTTCACCGTACAAGAAGTCGACTTCAGCATAACTATCCGGAATTAACCGCCGAGCGCGTTCGCTGCGAGAGCACATTTACCGCTTACGACTTCTCTGTCTACCGTAATCGATCCTGCCTCTTTCCTAGTCGCTCATATTGTGTCCGCTGCGGCATCTTGCAGGTAGTCACGACTTTCTACTCGGGATATGATGTCGCCTGACATCGACTCCGTGAGCTTTCCGCTGCCTCAGACTACAAAATGATCTCATATCCCTGCTAATGGAAAAGGTTGGCTTAGGAAGTGAACAGACACGCACATGATCCGTGGTGATGACAGCCGTAGGCTTTTACGCCTCATGAAGGTGGTGCAGGATCCGCACTAGGTCCTGTAAACATCGTTCTCGACTTACGAGTAGCTGACGAAGCGCTGCCGCAGCATTTCGACATCAAGTTCTTGTTTCTCATCTCTGAGAAACCACCATGGTAGACTTTCGCTTTGCTTGCAATGGCTTTGACGCCGGTGCACCTCCTGAGTCATTGGCGCCATGAATTCTTGAGGTCTGATCAAGCACCACACAGCTGCAAGTGGCACCCCCTGCGCTGCTTCGAACAGGTTTAAATCGGCGTTTCCTCCACGGGAAGACGAAGTAGCTCCAGCATGATGCTACATCTCTGACGGTGTTGCGGATATGAAAATCAAAGCTTCCGAGCGGAGGAGGGTCCTTGCTGGCTTCGATCCAGGATACCGCTGCTCAAGGAAGCCCAGGAAGCTTGCAGTATGGAGCAGTCACAGAATCCGAGCCGGCGCGACAAGTCCGGCGGTGAATGAACAAAGTTCCTCGTCGACATCGTCCGTGTTCGATAGGAGACACGCTTTCCGAAAGGGCAGTCGGTCTCCCTACCTTGGCGAACGACGAATGGCGTGACCTGTGAAGAAAATGTGAGGCTGGGGCCGACCGGAGTTTCGGCCGCTTCGTCCTTATCACGTGCTCTTGCATGGGTCGCTGCGATATGATTTGCCAGAGGGCCTGCTAGCGTCGCGGGGTACCACTAGCCGTTTGCAGGTTAGCGGCTGCCCAAGGCTTTGGGGACTTGTTTGCTTTCAGCGACCATCGTTCCTTCCTCAACTTCAACTTCAACTCCAGCGCCTCGTCTTGCGCCGTCTCAGCCCACTTCACGTCTCTTCACTCTCCAGCCTGTTGCGCGACGTTCACCACCACAGCATCCACCCTTCGCAATCACCCACTGCGACCAACCTCATCCGACGCATTGTCCAACCTCATTATCGTCGCCGGCTCGACAAACACCAAACGTCAACAAACCCGTCGCCAGGTCGCTCAATTCAGACCTTCCTTCCACTGTCAATCTTCCGACAACAGCCTCCAAGATAGGTGGATCGCAGGCTCTCGCTGAGCTCGTTCTGAGACTGCAGCAGGATAAGCAATTGATGTTATTAGATCATCTTACTGACGCAGCTGATTACACCACCACAATGTCTTCCAACAGCTTCTTCCAGTCGCCGACAGTTGTCCTGCCGCCGGCACAGGACCAATACTTCATCAGCAGCCACTACGTTGACCAGAGCGGCCCAAATCGACCGACAATCAACGGCATCTCACCCAATGGTCTCTCCAATGCCAACCCGTTCACGCCATCCGTCTCCACCATTGGCTCCACCAAAGGCTCTATCGCTGGACGCAAGCGCTCCAGAGGCGACGTCTTCTCTCCCGAAGACGAAGAAGACGAACGTCTCGAGGATGGATCCGTCGCTACCCCGACCACAGAGGAACTACGTAAGCCACGCGGAAAGCCTGTCTATGGTCCCGGCATGACTTTGATCTACCCAGAGGATCCAGGTTACGAACTGGCTGCTGCGTCACAGTCCGGTACCTGGGTCGAAGAACAAGCTGAGCGTCGACCATTCAATCTAGCTCACATGAAGCGGCCATCCGTCACCAGCCGCAAGTCGCAACGCATGGACTCTACTGCATCTGGACCCGACGATCTCGCACAACTCGTTCTCCCACCATCGATGCGTGAAGCTTGCAGCGAGCCTTTGATCGACGAAGCGACCCGCAACTTAGGCATCAGCTGGACTCGCATGGACGGTACGGAAGCGCTTCAGATCAGCCAGAAAGCATACTCGAAATGGATTCAAAACCACTACCCTGCGCTGAAAGAAGTCTCCATCTGGTTTGAGAACAGCGCCATCCCAGGATACCTCGTCGTCGCAACCAACGCCTACAATGGTCAGAAGGAGTGGTACATCTTCTCCCATGACCTGACCGAAGCCCGCCTCGTCACGAACGAGCCGAGCTCCCTCGTCCCACGCCTGCAGATGCTCCCGGCACTCCATCTCGCAGCTCCCGGCGGCCACCTCCGAGCGGAGACGGATCCCATCACGGCCGCTCAGACTGAGTTGGACGCCGCGCAGACCGATATGATGAATGGAACTGCGCCAGAACTCCAGCCTAGCGGCGGTTGTGCCGCCCACTCGATGGAGTTGGACTGATTCGCCCCACTAGAACTGTAAAATATTGCTTCTATCTTCTGTGATTTTGCTGCTGAGTTTTGCGAGATGGCGTTGACGGTTAGATCAAAATGGTGGGCAAGTATTTCGGGTTCGCTCGCGCTCTATGCGCTCGAGGCGATATTCGAATCGATTTGAGGGGAGCTTCGACTCTACCTGTCTTTTGGAAGGCGAGCGAGAATCTTGATGTACAATATAACGAACCATTACGGTATCCATCGAACGAAATGCAATTTGTGCACTCTCGTCTCTTGCACACACACACAAGATACTGATCCTGTGACTTCTCCAAAGTAATCGAATTTTGATGATCAGATGGGTGGATGGATGGGGATGGATGCTGCCGTTCTGGATGACGCGCTGCTCTTTGTCTTGGCAGGGCTTCTAGGTTGCTAGCTTCGTGTTCCTCCAACATCGCCGACTTGTTTGCTCTGCCAATCACTACTCCATACTGAGGCCTTCAACACCGTCAAAATGGCCGAGGGCATGTTCTACGTGAGTAGAGATATGACGAGCCGCACGACGCACCTTTTGAGCTGACCCTAATGATGCTGTCCAGAATGCGACAAACGGCTACGTCGAGGGCATCGTTCGAGGCTACCGCGGCGCCCTGCTAACCGGCCAGAACTACGGAAACCTGACACAATGCGAGACAATAGACGGTATGTCCGCGAGGTGCCCAAAGTGAAGGCCTGGGATCTAATGGCTTGGGTGGAAACAGACGTCAAGCTACAACTCGGACCCGCATACGGCGACTACCTCGCCTCACTACCACCGAACCCATCCACCTCCGCCCTCGCCGACAAGACGCTCGACAAGCTCGTTGCCGAGTTCAGATATATTCAAGCAAATGCCACGGGCAGCTTGGCCAAGTTCATGGAGTATCTGACTTATGCCTACATGATCGACAACGTGGCCCTCCTCATCACCGGTACTCTACACGAGCGCGATACCAAAGAGTTACTCGAGCGCTGCCATCCTCTCGGCTGGTTCGAGACCATGCCCGTCCTCTGCGTCGCCACGAACATTGAAGAACTGTACAATTCCGTCCTCATCGAAACACCGCTAGCGCCCTACTTCAAGGGTTCGATATCACATACCGATCTGGATGAGTTGAACATTGAAATCGTGCGCAATACGCTGTATAAGAACTACCTGGAAGATTTCTATCGGTTCGTGAATGAGGCGCCCGGGATCAAGGGCACACCGACGCAGACCGTCATGAGTGAGGTTTTGGAGTTCGAGGCGGACAGGAGGAGCATCAATATCACTATCAACTCGTTTGGAACGGAGCTGTCGAAGCAGGATCGCAAGAAGCTCTACCCGAATTTTGGACGTCTGCATCCCGAAGGCACGCTGATGCTTTCGCGGGCGGAAGATCCGGAGGGCGTCAGGATAGCGGTGGATGGAGTGCATGACTACCGAACGATGCTAGACCAGACAGGCATGGGTGGTGGCGGACTGGGAAACCAGAGCGGTGGTATTGGCGGAGACGACGGCAAGAGCTTGGAGGATCTGTTTTATCAAAAGGAGATGGAGCTGTCCAAGCTGGCTTTCACCTACCAGTTCACGCATGCGGTGGTGTACGCTTGGGTGAAGCTGAGAGAGCAGGTGAGTACCTCTGGTGGCGATGCGGCATTCCATCCTACTGATACTGTCACAGGAAATCCGGAACATCACGTGGATTTCGGAGTGCATTGCGCAGAACCAAAAGGACCGCGTGAACAACTTCATCAGCGTGTTTTAGAGTAGTAAAGAAAGGAAAGGAAGCAGGGCGCTCGATTCAAAGATTCAATTGCTAGTCCGGTGTACATTGTAACATGGCGGAGAAAGGATACCAGCACGTAGAATCGCATTTTCTTCCGACGGCCTCCAGCTCAATACGCCTCACGCAAAGGTATAGGCCCTTGGGGCTTGCCGCCTCGGCGGTCAAGATGATTCCGTGGCTCGCAGTCGTTGCCGAGAGGGCGCGAGAGATTATAACTGACGCTAGACCTGCATCACATGTCAGAAAGAGTGGTTCGCCTCTCTTTAGAGTTTGTGACAACCTGAGGCTGTAATCGCATTGGAGGGTATCAGAAGATAATTGAGAAGATTGTGTATAGCTGGCGTTTAAGCATGTCCAACCGAGAGCCGAGAGCTCTGGCTGGACGGTCTTATGGCCCCAGCTTCTATCATCATTGAACAAATTGAAAGTGGGTTGGGACGGTGGACTTTACCTTGGTCATCTTTTTCCTGAGTTCTCACTGCGTTGTCGACGTTGCAGCCTATGATCAGATTTGCTGGACTTTCAGAGCGGTGTGTAATGTCGGCTTTCCAGATATGGCAAACCTGGTGTGTGAACGAAGCCTTCTCTCAAGACTCCAGACCAGCCCGGCATGATCTTGAATCCCATTCGTGGCCAGAAGCGGCCGCTTTCTCCGATCACGTAGTTGGATAGCAGGCGTTTCGCTCCCAACGGTCGGACTGCTTCGCTCATCAGCAGTGGTGAGCTCAGGCCCTTTCCGCGCTGCGATGGATGGATGCAGAAGCACAGTATTTCCCAGTCATCCATGCCTGCTCACCTTTGGCTGAGCCGGGGAGGTGGATATGAAGGTGCCGCCAAAGATGAAATCTTCTCCGGTCTCTGCGCGTTCGACCAATCTGAAGCCGCGAAGGGTCGCTCGCCAAGGAAAGTTGGCAGTGAGTTGCCTGAGACTGCCATGGCAGTAGTAGACTCCATTCCAGACGAATGAGGGTCGAAATGAGGCATCGAGAAGTTGAAGGCTGCCAGGCTCCAGCAGCCGGCTCGCAGGGGACTGGTCGTACGCATCCTCACTGCTGCCCGCCATCTGTCCGCTCGCGGTAGTCTGTACCTACGCTGTCGCACTGGACGCTACTTGGTGTGGGAGTTTCCATCTTCTCAGCTGCCTTGGAGGTCAGGTCCAATAATGCTCGTATGCGCAGGCACAGGCGAGAAAGGATGGTAGATTTGGCGTGCGCGTCTCCTGGGCGAGCGTCGTCGTGTCTCGCGTTGTATCCATGGTTCTTGCGACGTTTCTGCGCGGTCGGAGAACAGCGGACGCCATTTTCTCACCTCACCTCGTCGACCGCGACATCATTGCGCGAGCGCGACCGAGCGCGAGATTGATGTGCGCAGGGTTGGCGCGCAAGCTTCTTAGCACGGCAGCCACAGCAGCGACATCAGCAGTGACGCAACTCCGGCCGTGATTACATGTCCACGGCAGTCGCCCTTCCTTCAACGTGACGAGACTGCCACTCTCTTCCTTCCGCCATCCTCCGTCCACGAGTACTACTACCGAGCCGAGCACTGTCTGCATGCGACAACAAGGCTGACCTCTTCTTCCTCCTTCTTCCTCCTCCTCATCTGCGGCGCTGGGTTTCACCTGCCTCCTCACTGATATCCCGCGAAATACCTTAATCCATATCCCCGACGTTAACTTAAAATGCGACACAGCCCAGCGTTTCTCCCAGCCCTCGGTCAAGTTTTCAAGTCAGCCTCTTCCGCCTCGTCCGTTTGATCTGCATCTGCATCTGCTGGAGTCCCAGCGAGGCACCGCGCCGCTGCGGAGAGCAGATGGTGTCATCTCCGTCTCAATCGACAGAGCAGCATTGTTGTGACATTCTCTCCCGCTTGTCAGAGGCAGATCGCCGCCATCATGTCTCAGGCGGCTGGGTCGACGCTGTGGCAGCGGGTGAAGGGTGGTAGTAAGACCGGCTTCGACAAAACCTGGAAGGCTCTCGACAGACTCGGAGCGCCAGTGAACAAGCTGTCCAACAAGCTCGGGAGCGAAGCTTTCTGGCCAACGACGCTGGACAAGGAAAGTGACAAGGCTGCGAGGATCCTCAAGAGCTTCTGCAGTAAGAGTAGCCGGCTTCGCTGGGTCGCCTGAGCTGACAGTGTCCGCAGAAGATGGATTCTACGCCGAGGAGGAATTTCAGCCAGAGGATGGGCCGAAGCAGAAACAGAAGGTCGTACAGAAGATTCCAGAGAAAGTCATCAGGAATGCAAAAGGCTTGGCCATCTTCACCACCATGAGAACAGGCCTTTGGGTATCAGGAGCTGGAGGTAGTGGTATACTGGTCGCAAGGAAGGCAGATGGCACATGGTCGCCGCCAAGTGGCATCTTGCTACACACCGCGGGCTTGGGTTTCCTTGTGGGCGTTGACATCTACGACTGTGTGATTGTCATCAATACCGAGGAGGCCCTGCAAGCCTTTACAAAAGTCCGCTGCACGCTTGGGAGCGAAATCAGCGTGTCTGCTGGGCCCGTCGGCGCGGGAGGTGTTCTGGAGACCGAGATTCACAAACGCCAGGCGCCCATATACACCTACCTCAAGAGTCGTGGATTCTACGCCGGTGTACAAATCGACGGCACAATCGTCATTGAAAGAACGGATGAGAACGAACGTTTCTATGGTGAGAAGATGCCGGTGCTGGACATCCTGGCGGGCAGAGTGAGGCACCCTCCTTTGGAGATTGCCCGACTCATGGAGACTATCAAGGCCGCGCAAGGTGATTCTGACTTCGATGAGAACTTGCTGCCCACCGAAGCACCACCCGGAGACTTCGAGATCGATCATAACTTCGGCGTGCCTGATAAAGATGACCCCGATCCATATGGTGTCTTGGCTCTAGAGAAAGAAGGCATGAGTCTGAAAGAGGCTGGGACGAAGAAACGAGCCAGCTGGGAAGAGTTCACCTTCAGCCCTAGTCCAAGCAGCCCTATTCACAGCATCTACGCAAGGCCAAGCGTCGAAACCAACACCAGGTCCGGTAGCAGGCGAAACAGTTGGCGAACCAGCACATTTAGCACTGACCCCAAGACGCCCAGTTCTCTCAGAAATAGCACGGAGGTGCGCTCGCCTTCGCTCATGATAGACTCGTCCACTCAGACAGACTTAGACCTCGCGGACAGCACACCAATGTCTCCGGAGCGCAGGAGCATCCGAAGCCAACACAGCAGTGGAGGTAGCATCTCCGCGAATGGCCTCCAGATTCAGATGCAGGATGTCCCAGAAAATGAAGTGTTGGAGACCGATCACCGTATACGACAAGAAGCGAAAAAGTCCACGGCGAACGGTTACAACACCCCACCACATACACCCCCAGCGACAGCGACTACACACGGAGATGCAACTTCAAAGCATGCTCGCAGTGAGGATGGCGAAATTGGGGATGACGAAGACACTGATGATGAGGAAGAGGTCCAGGTCATTGAGCAGCCCGCGGTTACCATCCCAATGGTCCGGCCCACCGTAGCCGAAGCTCGCCAGGTAAACAAGGCTCGAATTGTCGAAGTTCCAAAGCGCTTTCCACCTAAACTCCCGCCGAGAAATCCAGGACGTGCTGGATCCGTCGTGGCTGATGCTTCTTCCAAGGACGCTTCCACGGATCCGGCAAGCTCGTTGAACTCGTCGCGACGTGGGTCTCCTGCTTCTGATACAGCCAAGAACGGCGCCCACTCGGTCGTGGACAAGAAGGACGACTCAGTCGCGGAGAAGATGCAAAGTGTGAAGCTAGATGACGACGAGGACGAAGAGGACGATCTTCGACCGAACCCATGGGCCAAAGTCGAAGAGATGCGCAGACACGAAGGAGAGGAGAAGATGAGCGCTAAGATTCCCGGTGGCTTTGATTGACGATATAGATGAAGAGACGTGCGATTTCATTTCCGCATACGACCCTGAACGATGAGGGAACCTTGATTAATCTTCGTGGAGGCGTAAGCGCTGCACTGGCTGAATGATGAGCCTCGCACTGCGCTTGTGCTCGTGGATGGCGAGTTTGATGTCTGATTCACTTGGAGAGACGTGCTTTGGATCTTTGAGCACGTCCGTGTTGGTTGTATAGATATGATGGCTGAGGAACGACAGTTTTGTACAGTTCGCTTCGAGGTTGCATGGTCGTTGGAGAGACATAATGAAATCTAAAAGCCCGTTTGGATCAGGCCTTTGCCAACGTCACCATATACCTTTTTGGAGTTCTATTAGCCTTCATCACGAGGAAGAGGAGTTGATGAAAGGATGTTGGACAGTCCTTGATGCCGTCCGGGTGCTTTTCCGCTTTTCTGCATGCCCCTTTAGTTTGAGGTCACCAACAGACTTGCGGGCGGAAGCGTAGTTGGAAGTCTGCTTGTTTACACATCGAACCGGCTAATAATAATAAGGCTCCAACGGATAAACCGTTGGCCGTTTCATCACGGGAAGGAAGCGTTTTCTCTTAGCAGCAATTATTTTGGACATTGCTTGATTGCATGGGACAGGACGGGAACCTTCAGACCGGAGGCCGGAGGATGTTATTAACGAGCCGGTAGATGAGGAGGGATACACAGGATGGGAGTCTGCTGGTCAGGCTTGCTATTCTGTCATTATCCCCTTCCAGTGGTGGGCGAGAGTTGGGGTGATGCTCTGGAGCGGCTCAGAGAGTCTACCTACAGACTATGATGTCCGCGGATGTGGCCGTGAGAAGGTCTGCCACGTGCGAGACGGCGCAGGGAGAGCTGCTCTGATGACCGGCACAGGGCTCCGGGTTTCGGGGGAATGCTTTGAGGGAATGCGGCATTCCTTCGTTCGTCGGCAGCTATAGCAGGCGGGGGGGAGCGGGGGATGGATGCCGTCCAGGTGCGGAGAATCCTCAGTTTGTCGTTGCAGCTGCGGGTAAGGAAGGTTGGTGGCGTGCGGTCTCTTGCAGGACGTAGTAGCGTTATTTCCCTTCTAATAAGCGGGTTGTAATGCAGTCTAGGAAGATATGGCATAATGAGTATCTTCGTGCCGTTGGCGGTGTTGTGCCGCTTTCGTGGTCGTAACGGTTGCGAAACATACGATCCGAGGCAGAAGCTTCTAAGCAAGGCTCTTGGTCTCGCAGAAGATGATGCTTGTTGTTGTTGAAAGGAAGAGTACTCGATGCCAAGACTGTAGTGCTCGTGCCAGTGAACCTAAGGTATAGTCTCAGAGCATCATCCCACTCAGACAAGATTGGGAAACGAGTAAGCTTTCGTCTAAATGAGGTGGCTCTGTAGCTGCGCCTGATTGCCCTTCCTTACTAATAGGTTGAAGCCTGACTAAGGTATACCGTGACGGTTCTGTAAACATAGATCTAAAGACAAATTTCGACCTATATACTATATATATAGACTATCTATATATTATTAAATCTAGAGCTATATCTAAGGATTATATCCTCTAACTCTAGTAGAAAGAGTCCTATAATTATTACTATAGATACATTATATAATTTAGACTAGAATTCTATACTACTAGTATATTTACGTAATATTAGTCTAACTTTACTCTAATGTCTAAAAATCATAGCTTAGAATTAGTACTAAAATTAAAATATAGTTTATATTCTTCTCTCTCTAATAGCTACTAATAATCTTTCTTAAAGTTTACGACTCTAAAGTCTTTTATCTATCGACCCAAAACGCTAATTAGGCCCTTCGACTAGAGGGGAGGTGCGTGGGGGGACCCTTTAGGTCTAGCGCAGCTTACGTAGGGTAGTCTGTGCGCTGAGACCAGTGACTGTACCTAGTGAGTCCGGACGGCACGGGGCGGCTGGGCCGAGGAGCCTACACCACTGAAAGCGAACGTCGCCTCAATGCCATCTCAGGCATTCGCCGCCGCCCTGCGTCTTGCTGCGTACCAGCCACCTTACAGTAGTACTTGCGTCAAGAGACCGCCTCCGCCGTCAACCCACAGCTTCCAACTGCACACGGTGCAAATTCGACTCGCTCGCTGCATCGGTATTCGTTCCTCTCTCTCGTGGCAGCCGCGCCGCCATGATATGCGCTCCGACCCATGCCTATAAGAAGAGCCGCCCTGCAATGAGATGGCCGTTGCACGCCGCAACGGAAGCTTGTCGTTCTCCAGAAGGGGCCGAACGAACACCTCCTATGCGAGTCTCTGCAGCTTCTTATTAGTGCTCGTCGTCAGCCTGCAGCCATGACCCAGCTTCCCCACCGCAGCTCGAGAGTATAGTGGGCCCTCCCTACGATCATCTAGCGTCCTAGCAAATACCGCACGTCTTCACGGCAGCAGGACTGAGTACACCCGCCGTCAATTGGACAAGTTCTATGTTAGCAGCTTCGCTAGATTGAGCTGTAATAGAGATTTTCTCTCGGAATACCTCCGGCATGCTGGAGAGAACGTCCGGCATTGACTCCTCGTCCTGGTTGTTTCAAGCTTAATTCTGCGCGGTCCGTTCACGACGAGGGAATGACCAACAGGACCACGGCTCGGCGCCGGTCGAGATTAGCGACGGTCAAGTCAGAACTGATCCTGAGCATCTCGCGGCTTGGGAAGGGCCTCGTTCTTGCAGGCGGCTGCTGCGTTGTCAAGTCGTCGTCCAACACTACCCGAGAAAGTTCACTCTTGCAGCTGATGGAAATTTTGCGGCAGATTGAGGGCACCTCGCTTTGCTCGTATCGGCGTCTGGCGAGTGACGGTTGCGCGAGCCGAGGGAGAAAGCACGAGAGCTGATAATTATATCTACACAAGGACTGACCTTTGCACCTTGCATTTGCGCAGACCGCGGCAGCTTCGAAGTGTGGGTAAGAGGGCTGCAGGCGGGCCGTCGCCATTGTGGATCGTCCATTCAGCTGCACCGGCAGCAAGCGGGATCTATCATGGTCGAAGTATACGTGTATGGGTGCGTCTGCCCTTATTCGCTTTCCCGCGCATCCCAGGATGTACGCGAGCGTGCAGTCCAACCTTGTGCGGGCTGACATCTTCTCCTAAGCCACCATCACTCAACAAGGTACCAAACGACCACGCCAAGCGGACGTGAACTGCTAGCTCCCCAGCCGATTTTCACCATCAGTCACGATCCTTGCCGTGAGCGCCGTGGCACGTCCTTTAGCGAGAATCGAACGGGTTTGGCCGACCTAGGAGCGCGCATCGTATGTGTGCTACCGTACCTGGGCCTCGCAGAGTGTGAGCAGAGTTTCTCGAAGGCTCCGGCAATGTCCAGATGAATACATCAGCTCAAGGACGAGGACCAACGCCCGAGCCGCTTGCGCTTGCCCATGGTGGTGGATGGCTTTAATATCTGACCATGAATAGGTTCAAGACTGCAGTGGGGGCGCATTCCCAATTAAGAGGGTGCAAATCGACCAACTCTCCACTGTCGACATGTGGATCACTCCTTTGTAAGAAGAAGCATTAGGCGCAAAGGGGATCTTATTAGCCCCGACGCATTACGGGCGAACACACTTCTTCTATTGTGGTCCTTCCGTCCGCAGTAAACCCTCCAACTTCGTCCGCTTCATTTTCGCGTCACCTCTTCCTCATGCCTGGCCGCTCTGGCTGTTCCTTCCTGCATTTGCTCCTAGGCGATACCGGACTCGACCTCAGATAGCGGCTCCCCTAGGAACCGCAATGCCGTTGAATTGGGGGTTGAGAGCGTTGACGAGAAGCTCGAAGAACCGGTTGAGCAGGGCAGGGATCGTAGATCGCCACCGCGATCTGAAATACATCTCGCAGGATCTCAACTGCCGAGGATTCGTATCCACGAGTTCGGTTCCGCGCGAAGACAGACAACCTTACTGGCAGAACATTGGCATCTATCAGCATGCTACTGAAGAAGACTTCCTCAGTTATCAATGGCAAGTACGTGGTAACCAAGCTGAGGTAGGGTCGATATTCACATGCAGCATTGCTGACAATCTGCAAAATCAGAAATCAAAGACGCTCGATCGACATTGGAAATTGGTCAGTTTTCTTGAGAGTGTTCTACCAGACCGGATACCAGAACCATCCGTGAAGAAGGCGCGGTGGGCTGGAATCAAGACTCGAGATGATTTCCTCGCAGACGTGGATGCCGGAATGAAGATGGCTCCCATGGCTGTCAGCCTGACTCCGCATATCCTCAGCGTGGCCGATTGGAATAACCCGTTGGAAGATCCTATTCGCAACCAATTCATTCCATTGAAATCAGGATTGAAGCCGGATCATCCTGCCCTCACACTGGACTCGCTGCATGAGAAAGACGACTCTCCAGTGCCTGGTCTCGTCCATCGATATCCGGACAAGGTATTGTTTCTCGCGAGTTCGATCTGCCCTGTCTACTGTCGCTTCTGCACTCGCTCATACGCCGTCGGTTCACCAACCGAAACCAACCCCAAGACCGGTGCACCCAAGCCGTTGATCAGTAAATGGAACACAATGCTGGATTACATCCGCGCCCACCCAGAAGTCCAGGATGTGGTAGTGTCCGGCGGAGATTCGTATTTCCTTGATCCAGAACACATCCGATATATCGGCGACGAGCTGCTTTCCGTGCCTCACATCCAGCGCTTTCGCTTTGCAACGAAGGGTTTGGCCGTCTGTCCCATGCGTATCATTGACCCCAACGATCGGTGGACAAACGAGGTGATCCGGCTGAGCAACGTCGGCCGCGAGATGGGCAAGCACGTCGCATTGGTACTCTTACCCACGACTTGCCACATCGCCAAAACTCTTGCTAACGCTTTGCCTTGCAGCACACGCACTTCAACCATCCCGCCGAAATCACATGGGCAACCACCCTCGCAGCCCGCCATCTCTTCCGCAACGGCGTGACGGTCCGCAACCAAACCGTCCTCCTCCGCGGCATCAACGACTCCCTCCCCACCATGTCCACCCTCATCCGCCGCCTCGCAGACCTCAACATCCAACCCTACTACGTCTACCAAGCAGACCTGATCAAAGGCGTCGAAGACCTCCGAACCCCGCTGTCCACAATCCTAGACCTGGAAAAGCAGATCCGCGGCACGATAGCAGGGTTCATGATGCCTGATTTCGTGGTCGATTTACCCGGTGGGGGAGGGAAGAGGCTGGCGCAGAGTTTTGAGAGCTACGATCCTGTGAGTGGGAAAAGCGAATGGAAGGCTCCGGGCGTTACTGGCGATGAGACTTTTGTTTATTGGGATCCGAAGGAGTGATACGATGGAGATGCTATTCCTGGAATCGAGGTGGACATCATCACGGCAGTTCTTGACCTGAGGTGCAACGGAACTGATAGTCTGAGGTTTTCCTGTTCCAAGGTGTTGGCTGGGGGACCCCTGGATAGTCAACGAGTTGATCATTGAACGCCTTATCATAGAGAAACGCCAATCTATGCGTGTTCCATATCTCAAGGTCAACAGTAAACATTGTCTTACCCACAAAAACTCCAAGGCGATGTCTAGGAGGCCTTGCGCGAGAAACAGTGCTCGATCAACCTATGTCGGGGATCTTCTGACTGCACTGCGTACTTAGCCTTGGATTGAGTGAAGCGGGAACGTGGTGTCATTCAGTAGCGTCTAGAGCGACTATCTCTACTCTCGCGGTCGTCACGATACCCGTCTCGACTCCGGGGCCGTTTTCGCTCGTCCCGATATCGATCGTCTCTCTGGCCAGGCTCATGCCTCTCCCGACGCTTCGGACTTCGGCTTCTTGACCGATGTCGCCGCGAATCCCGGTCGCGATCATCTCGATCGCGGTCTTCACCACGACGCTTGCCTCGATCGTCTTTGTCGAAGACATAGTCGTAGTGACGTCCACCACCACCACCGCCACCACCACGGCCTCCGTCATTCGATCGGTATTGCTTCCTCTTCTCCAGGCTGTCAATACCCCCGAAACCGCCCCGAGATCTCGCAGTTTTCGAGTTTGTCGTTTGACGCCAGTCAGCGGAGAGCTTTGAGACACTTTGGGAGAAATCGACATGAATGCGATGGTCGTCGATCAAGACTCCTTGCATCTTGAAATAAGCACGCTCGCAATCCTCCTTGTTTGCGAATTCGATAAAAGCGTACTGAAGGCTGTCGCCAGTCTTCTTATCCCGGATGACCTCGCATGACAGGATCTTGCCAAAGCGTGAGAATATGAGTTCCAGGTCCTGGTCACGTGTTACTGGATTGAGCTTGCAGACGAATAAGATCTGCTCCGGTGGCGTGACGTCGGCAAAAGGGAGATCTCCTATGAGCTCCAACGTGAGTGCTTGGGCACGCGCTTCACGTTCTCGTCGAATCTGCTCCATTTGCTCCGGGTCGTTGCTCTCCTGAAGCACTTCGTCGTGTGCAATCCTCACAGTGGCGAGTTGTTCCTTGGAGGGAAGAGGGCTAGCTGGAGGTTCAATGAGTCCAGGCGGGTCCTCGTATGGGTCCTCGAGCACCACCGTGTGCAAGATTCTGATGTCCTGCAGTGGTCTTCCGCTTGAGTCGACAAACGTCGCGTTGATCTTCTCAAGCGCGTCAAAGCCTTCCACGACCTCGCCGAAGATGGCTGCTTTACCATCGAGTTGCTCCAGAGTGTCACCAAGTGTGATGATAAACTGACTGCCGGCAACTCGCTCATCCGGGTTGGACTTGGCTGGAGTTGTTGCCATGCTCAGCCTGCCGCGCTCGGCATGTTTCCGCTTGCTTGGGAAGTCTGGTCTGAAGGTCGCGCACTCCGGCCTTGTGGCACGCTTGGTGGCGCCATCCGGTAGGCCCCATATCGAGGTTCCGCCATCGCTGTCCTTGGACTCCGGTCCTATGGGATCTCCGGTCTGGAAGGAGAAATCTCGCTGGACGTTGTAGATTGGCGCGTAGTTGTAGTACTTGACCTTGCACAGCTTGAGGAAATTTTCACAGGACTTCGGCGCGTCAGTGATGAACAGGTCGACGGTGATGTCGCCGACGCTGGTCTCTAGCAAGACTGACATTTGCGCCGCAGGCGAGTTTGCCGCCCTCGCCCTCGCCCTCGCCCTCGGTGTCGGTGTCGTCCGCGCGGGAGCCGCTGTGCAAAGAGAATATGCAGGTACCGACTCGAATCAAATAGGGCGAGTACAGCGCGATGTACGAGATTTTAGAAGACGGATACACAGAACCAAGAAATGGATGGCACCTGCCGATTGCTATTCATTGGTATAGAATTTACCGTAGCCGCCGGGCCGTCTGTCGATTGGGTTCGGGTCGGGCCGCACACCCGCACATTCCTGGCCGCGTCCCCCTTGCTTTCGCAGCTTTCCCCATCTCGACTACACGTCCCTTCGCAACATACCGGTATATCTCTCCTCCAACACCTCCATGTCCTTGTCGCCATGTCCTGGATGAAGCGCAATCTGTATCGGACATATCCCTCAATCAATGCCCACGCTGCCGTATCGCCATCGCCTTCACCGTCTGGAACCGAGCTGCAAGCGGATGCAGGCGTTCCAGGTTTGGTTCACCTCTAGCCCGCCACTTTGCCCTCATCCTTGCACGACTGAAGACGGAGGAGAATGAATTCGGAGAAAATGGCAAAGGCGCCTCAGGCTTGCCTGCAAACCCAACGTTGGGCGGCAGCCGGAACTGATTCCCCCCCGTACAACCGACCATGCAGTCATCCGTCTCAAGATGTCGCTTTGTTAGGCACGACAGTGTCTGAGATGGTCGCTGAGCGCGCAGCAAATGTGGAATGTGCCTGATCACAGCAGGTTCCGCCTGCGCCTACGACTGCCCGGACAGCGCCTCCTCTTGCGTGTTCTGACCGATCGTCCTTCGGCTATGATCGGTCTAGGCAAAGCGCCGCTCTCCTCACACTCCAATCCCCGTCGCGATGGCGCAAGGCTGACGTTCCGCGGCGACATACTGCCTGCTCTCTTCTCCAGATATACGAGCGTTTACAAATCCCCAATTAGTCGTCTCGTAAGGCCTCTAATACATCGAAAAAAAAAAAATTCTCAACACGTGAGCTTTGTCGGTCGCCCCTTGCCGCCTTGCAGAAGGTCTGCTGCAGGCTTGACGGGAGCGGACCTTCGCCGAGAGTACAACAATACCCTGCTCGAGCTGCGCCTCGGGCCTTCGATCAGAGGAAGGCATTGCGATCCTGCCGAAATCCGGGCAGCTGCATTGCTTTCCGCAACGACCCGCTTGCGGCAGAGATTGTTAGGATGGTTTCTAGTCTGAGCCCATGCTCCAAAAGAGAACGCCGCGACCAATAATGACGCCCAGGACGCTACGTTCGGTCTCAAGACGGTGCTGAACATCATTCAGGATCGCAACTTGATCCATTCTATCATCTTGCTGCCGACGTTGATGTCAGAGCGGAGAGACACCATAGCCAGCCACTCTAAGATCGGATCCCTGCTGTGGATCAACCTAGAAACCTGGTCCTGTTGCGTACAACATCGAAAGATGGTGGCCGTCACTCGCGGTTCCTTGTACGCCTCTCAGGGGTGTGGAACGTCATGGCGCTCTCGTCAAAGCATAAGGCCTGATCGCATTGAAATGGTCGCCGGCTTAAACACGTGTCGGTGAAAGCCGTGGCAGCCAACCAAGCTGCAGACGCCGACCTCAACGTTAGCATGACAGCTCACACAGCGCCTGGGTACGAGCAACTGCCGTGCGTTGTTTGATCATCTACGTTCCCCTTCGTTTCAAGACAGCTCATCTTTACTCCGATGCGCTAGTCCCGACGCCGCCCTGACAAAGCATCTGTATGCTTTGCAGTCATCGACAAACACATCAGTTCTGTAGATCAACGCTGCGGGAGGCTGCATCAGGGATAGATCAGGTGGGCCCATTACGTCTTCTGGATGGAATGACCTCTTTCGCATCGCATCTGAGTAAGTCTTTGCTTTGGTCGTATGCCGCTATCCGTCGGCTTGCTGGAATGCGAGACAGGTCCCAGGGCAGGACATGTGCGGTGAAAGACTGGTCGACTTAACTGCACCACTGGCCATGCTGACTTCACGACAGATCCAATTGATTGCATTGCATGACACTGCACGGTTCGTTGACTCCCTGAGGTGACACTGGTTGGCTATCGACGTAAGACGCAAACATTTTGGTGCCAGTCCCGGCGTCCTGAGTAATATTACAGTGTTTGCTCTTCGTCACTCCACCGTCCGTCTGGCATACATCCTCCTGACCTCGTCGGCTTTCAAATCTCGGCGCTGATCTGACAAAACCGATGCTGGCGTTCCTTTTTCTGCGGACTACATCGCTACTTGCCACCTTTCTTGCGGACTGATACTCTTGCCATTGGCGGATTCCTTCGGACTGCTCTGTGCCTTGGTGCAGCCGACGGCATCGTCTGGTGTGCTTGCAGGAATGCTCTCCTGCACTTTCACAAGATGACGATGACCCAGTCTTACTATGGTGGCGAGTTTGATGCAATCACACGCGGAAATCATAGAGCTCCGACCGCTGCGCACTACGATCGCCCTCTGCCGTACACTCAATACAATCACAACTACTATGAGTCTCCGCATCCCGAGCTACGACCAGATTACAGTGCACGAGCTGGCATGCGGGCTGCGATTCACGAGCATGCCGGCGATATCATGCCCCCTGGGATGCCTCCGGGACATTCTCGCCGCCGAATCCAAGTCGCAGTAAGTCTCCGCAGCTGATATCCAGTTCAAAAAAAGCAAACAGCTAACGGCACGAAAGTGCTCAAGATGCAGAAGGCGCAAAATCAAGTGCACGGGAGACCCGGGAGATGGCAGCGGCTGCTCCGCTTGTCGGTCCGCCGGCGCAGACAAAAATGCCTGCACATTCATCCGAGTGAGAAGGACTCAGTATGATTCAAACCTTGGCATCCCACTGATAGTCTCCAGGTGGGGAGCCACCAGCTCCCAGTGCCGGCCGTTGACATGATACCCGCCAGCACGTTGCCCGCGAGCAACGCGAACGTGCCTGCATATGGCGCAGACGCGACCGTCGGTGCTTATGACACCAGCCTCTATCAATCCCAGAATCAACATCGCCCGTCTCTACCAACGCTCCAAACCCGCACTGCGTACCCTGAGTATGATAACTACAACACGTCGCCACTGGATGAGTACACCTACGCCTCCTCTACCGTTCCTCGGCAGTCGGTTTCCAGTGCATACAACACGGGCAATTTCCGCCCTTGGACGAGCGGTTCGGTCTCTGCGCCTGTCACTTCCACGAGCATGTACTATGAGCCTGGTGCGGCCTTCAGTTTCGGTGATCTACATGCAGCTGGGCCGTTTCCGTCAACTCCTACAGGTCGACTGCCAAGCGTCACTGCTGAGGCTTTTTCATCACTGAACATGGCGTCCCTGCATTCTTCCCTTCCAACCCAGACTGTGCAAGAGCGAAGGCTGCCCGTGCCTTACACGCAGTCTTACCAGCAGTCGAGCTTTTCGACCGCGGATGTGCCACAGATCAGGCCACTCGGATCAGTCCCTGAGCAACAGCCACGCGTGCATATCAGCGGAATACACAGTCGACATGGGATGCCTTGGTCTCACGATGGGGCTCAGGAGCGCGCTGTGTCGCGAAGTGGTTCAATGAACAGTATATCCGCCGCGCAATACCATGGCCTACCAATGGCCACCGCAGGGGCGGCCACTAATTCGTCTTTGATGACAGAGCCGATACTGGGCTATCAATTTGGCGCCACATCTAGCAGCCCAGCAGTATCTCCGACCTCAGGACCCGCGCTTTCAGAGAGCTTCCCAAACACTTCCAGTACTTCAACTATGCCAGGCATGTTGGCTCCGTTCTCCAGCCTCCGTGCTAGCTACTCTAACTACACCGGCAACGACGATCAACAGCCGCCTCGACCTTCGTCTTCCCGAGAAGCTGCTTCCACCAGCTTGTACAGCTACAGCTCCGGGGTCGACAAATATGAAAGCCGACAGTCTCCCCCGGATGAGACACCAACGCCTCAACATCGGTATGCCCAGCTTCGTCATCCTCAGCCTCAACATGCTGCCAGCCTCGACGAGCTACGGCGCCGTGCCTCGCACGATCAACGCGCAGCCACTGCACATCGCATGTCTGTCTCGAACCTGAACGCGCGATACTAACCGCCTCTTTGGTCACGCCAAATGCGGTTGCACTTAACGATCCACCTCGGATCTCGCCCACCTTTGTCGCGATTCTCTGAATCTCCGCGGCGATCGGAACCACAATTTTTCGGCACTCAGTACTTTCTGCTTCGATCTGACACCAGCAGCTTTTCGTCGGCGTTCTATGAAATCACTGTTCTAGCGTTCCGCACTGTCATAGTACTTCGGGCGACTTCTCCGTTTTTTTCGGCGTACTGTTTCCAACACCAACATCCGGCATGACAGCACAGCACGGCACGGCACTTTACGACCAACCATTCCATAGCATTCAAGAGGTGGAAAAATCACACGACTGGACCACGATATCACGAGACCAAATTAGAAAAGGAGCATTCAGCCTGCGAGGGCTTCATCACGGCGCAAGATTCGAATTGAAACAGGGAAATGGACAGAAAAAGCGTTGGGTATTACAATAGTCTTTGCTTTGCCTTGCTTTTCGGCGTACTGCTCTTCTTACTTGCATACTGGACGGGCTTCATTGCCCTCATGACGGTCGGTAGAGTCGGTAGATAGTCATTTCGGATTTTTGTCTGCCTTTTGCTTTTCCGTTGGCGCTTCTGTGGGACATACCCAGACTTATACTTTTGTGTAACGGTAGACAGGAATCGCTATCTGGAGAGAGACGATGGAAGATGACAGATAGGACTCGGCAGTCTATAATGCCGACGAAAAAAACATCTTGCAGATGCCTCTTATACTCATACCCTAGCCGTTTCCTTCGCTGTCTCATTCTTCGCCAAGTCTCGTAAGAGCACGAATCTCACTCCACCTGTCAAGGCTTGTACTGCGCCAACCTTCTGCCCTACTCACTCTTTGACCTCCTCTTCGTTTATTTGCACTCCCACCCTCTCGACAATATATGCTCTCGTCAATTCCTTTCTTCCCACAACCGCTCCAACAACAGCCGCATCGATGACTTGCGGATGCGAAAGCAAAACACCTTCAATCTCTCCCGGAGCCACTTGGAATCCTCTCACTTTGATCGATTTCTTCTCTCGACCAACGATATAGCGTGACTTCGTTTTGCCATTACAGATGGCCTGTAAGCCAGCCACTAACTTTCGTGTGTACGCGTAGACCTTATGAAGGATTCGGGTCAAACAAGGCAATACTCGCGCTCCACGATCCTTATCCTTAGCATTATGGTAGTATTTTGGATGCTATAGGATGCCATGTGCAGCCAGTCGGAATATGAGAAAGTTGATGTTATGTAGTGGTAGAGGAGGGAAAGTCGCGGGAATTGGAGGAATGTAGTCGCGGAGTCACGTGCGCGTCGCGGCGAGATTCCGCGCGGACGCGAACTGTAGTTCTACGGGCTCAATGTTTGTAGATGTCAAACCAAAACATCGCTCAATACTCCTCCACCCGGGCGATATGTCCTTTTCAAACTTCCTGCCGAGCACGCCTAAGGCCCGATCAATCCGTCATCCACCATCCACCACGCCCAAAGAGCCGCCGCCGACACACTTGACCAATAAGTCTCACACCCCAGCTGGCTATCCTCACTCGCAGTTCGGGAGTTCCTTCGCGCCCTCGAACAACACTTTCTTGGGCAAAAGCAATGGCTACGGTATGCCAGACGAGGCATACAGCGACGAAGATGCCGAGGGAGAGCTCGACGACGAGCTTGCCGCCGATCTGCCACCGCTGCCTCTGCAGTCCTCCATGCTCAAGAGCTCCATACTACAGCCCAGTCCGCGCGGTTTGAAGAGAAGTCACAATGGAGAGCCGCGCGCAAACAGTGACATGGCCGGCATTGCGAGGGGAATGCTGAGCAAGACCAAAGCGCCCAAGCTGCACGAGTCGGACGAGATTATATCCCAGAACGAGCGACTCTTGGCGGAAATCGACGCAAAGGTGCAACAGAATCCACGCCAGACAGACCACATCCTCACAGAATCTGTGGCGCAACTGACGAAACTATGGGTTAAAGAGTGCGACTCGACCACCGCCCCGGGCGGCGTGGGACCATCATCCAACGATGCGTTCGCCAATGCCAACTATATTGCCAGCCTATTGCTGCAGCTGCATCATCCTCACACTCATAAACCCGGTAAAGCGCAACCTCGAGCTTCTGCACTCGGTGGTCGACCTACACACGCCGTAACGCTGCCGAGGGCGTTGCTTGACTGGCTCGAGACCTACCACAACCCCTTTCCCGACGACTTCGACGACATCTCGAGCTTCGATCCAGCCCCATCACACTCGGAAACATATTGGGATTGTGTTTTCGCCAGTGTCCTACGCGGCAAGGTCCCCAGAGCGATCGATCTATTGCAAAATGCTGGCTGGGAACATGCATACACGTCTTTGCAAGATTACGGGGATGAAAAGCTGACCGGATACCGTGGAGACCACGTCGCTACAGCTCGGGAGGCGGCGCAAGCCGCGGTGAAAGCGTTGGGAACCTGTCCGGGTACCACCATCAACAACTGGGACGTCAAAGGACTAGAATGGCGAATGTTTCGCGATCGCATTCAAGGTGCATCAGATGCTTTGGACGCCTACTCAGGGAACGAAGGATCTCACCTCACTCAGTCGCGAAACATGTTCGAAAGCAAACCAAAGGACGCTTCGAAGAGTGCCAAAGCGAACAGCAAAGTTCCTTGGTCTGTTTACGAGAATCTCAAACTGCTGTACGGGCTACTACTGGGCTCGGTGGATGATATTCTACTAGTGACACAGGACTGGTTGGAAGGTTCGCTTTACCTTACGATCTGGTGGGACGGTTTTGACGATGAGCCTGCCCCTGAAAGCCTCAACAGGAGCAGCATGCGCTATAGCATCCAAAAGCCCAGAGCTGTCGATGTAAATCCACTCCAAGCCTACCGGAATCGTCTTGCCGACGCTTTCAACATGGTGACAAGCGATATCGAGGACCCTGCTTTCGCTGTCAATACCATGGAGCTGCTACAAACTTGCCTTGCCAACGTCCTCGAGGACAATGCAAGGATCGTGGTCGAGGTACTGCGATCGTGGAGTCTGTCCATTGCCGTGTGTGTCGTGGAGATTGCAGCATTGGGCCAGTGGCTGTCTTTGACGCGACCGCGAAGTAGAGATGGGTTGTTGGATCAGGGGTTCTCTAGGGAAGATCTTCTTGTGCTATCAGCCGGGCCAACTAACCCTGCGGAAGCCGATGCTGTGGATCGAGACGATATGCTCAGTACATATGCTGAACTCCTCGCCAAGAAGCCGACCGTATGTATTCAATGCCGTAATTTCAAGTGACATACTGACATATCATATTAGATTGACGGCAAGGAAGGCTGGGAATTCGCTGTTGCAGTCTTGAATCGGCTGGACCAAGCCAGCGATGGACAGAGGCAGATTTCAGAACTCCTCGACACCATCGATCTCGAAGATGAAGCCCGAGTTGACAAAGTGCTCAGCGTCTGTGATGCCTTTTTCTTGACCGAGCAACGTCGAAGCATTGCTGAGGTATGTCACCGGTGGTTTTGGCTATGAACATGCGCTGATTTCTTCTCTTCAGCGTTTCGCAGACTCGCTTGGCGAGCGTCACGAATCCTACGGCGCGGCGTTGATCTATTACGCTCGTGCTCAAGCAACTGCGAAGCTTAAGGACACAGTTGTGTTTCTTACAGGCTTGTGTCTGGTGCACTCAGTTGCGATGCCCGTACGGCAACTACTCGACGCAAAACTCGAGTCACTGCTCAGCAAGGACCGACAAGCTCTCAAAGATCTCGCCAGCAGTGATGCCCAAGCTGCATCAACGCTTTCATCGCATTTGAGTGGCTTCGCCACGCTTCGAAAGTTCTACGATCTTCGAGACCAGGACGTCTACCTTGCGCAAGGCCTTACTATGCACCATCCGCTGAAGCCTCTAGAACGCCGCCGACAGGCAGCCTCCGCGCTTTTCGCTGTCATAACGAGCGCTGCCGACTGCATCGCGGGAGGCTTGTACGATCCCGAGGTTGAGTCTGTTGTATCCCCAGAGGGCATCCTCGCCCTGTTTGGCGAAGCACTTCCATTACTCGGCCATGATGAGCGCATTTTCACCCAGGACCAAGTGTTCGCTCTCTTGGCTGTGGTGGAAGACTTTATCAACTCCCCTTCTCGGATTAGCGAGAACGCCGATAGCTTGCTGAAAGCAAGTTTGAACGCTTACAATGATAGCACGAGCACGGCCTCGGGTATATTAAAGAAATCTGCCAGCAGCATGAGTGAGAGTAGCTGGGACATGATGGCTTCACGGAGTTTGATCATCCAGAGCGAGGGCCTCGGCAAGAACGCAAGGATCGAACGTGCTTGGGATTGGAGACAAGGTCTTCTTGGAATGGGTGGAGCGGACGCCGACAGCAACACGGTGCTGAACTTAATCCGCGCGGCTCTGATTCGGGAAGTCGCTGCAGGTTGGGGAGGGAGATTGAATTGGTAATGAGACGAAAATGGCATGTGTGAGTTCCCTGCGCAGAGCAACTCGCATTGATGACTGCTTTTGCACCAGGAACGATGAGACACCAACTTGACGGTTCTTGTATGTTTTTCTAGCGAGGAAGCCGCGCCGACGGCCGTCCTCCTGGGGTTCAACGTTGGGCAAGCTTGCGATCATCTTGCGTGCCTGGATCATTCACTACAATCTCGGAACACCCCTGGCGCTGACTCGATTAGTAGCAAGTCGATTTTGATTCTTGACCTAGGATTGTCTCTCATCTTGCAGCGAGAAGGTACCCCTCAAGGCGAAGAGAAAACCATCAATGCAGTCCGAAGAGTACGTCAAGTATCTCATCGAAGTGGACAAAAACAGCCTTAGCGCTCGCTCGCCGTGAACCGTTCTGAGATGGCCCACGTACAGTGCCAGAAATGGCTCATCGTCCACGCCACCTCTGCAGACCAAGTGAAGTCGTTGGGGCGTCGAAGGTTTGCTTCTCCAATAAAGGTTGACTGGCCAGGATGCCATGTAACATCGCCAGGCCTTAGGCTTGGAAATTTTTCGATCACCGACGCAACAAGACTCTCGGCGCGTATTTAAGGGGACGATATCCGTGCACTGCATCTTGGAAGTCGGATATCGCAACAGACCAGCAATGTAAACGCAGCGTATGTGTGGCTCGGCTGCACATGTCATGCTCTCCAAGCTGCTTCGCCATCCCCAGCCCTGGAGCTGTTACTGGGATGAACCGAGACCAGGGACCTGGCAATGACGCTCAACATGGCTATAGCAATGAAATTACGCTACGGACTGGGAATGTAAGGGGACGGTCAAAAAGAGCTGGTGACTCGTGCACCCTTTCTTCGGCACTGCTCTTCACCTACTAAATGAATCCTCGCGGCGATCGTGATGTTCACTCCCATCAACAAACGGGCGCCGACGAAAGGCGGCTTGGATGCGCATGCTCAAGTTGCCATTGGAGTCATTGTTCCCGTCTCGATTTTGCTGGGTGCTCTTCTAGGGCTGCTCTGGTACAACAGTCGACGGAGAAGTCATGAGCGGAGCTTGGAATTCGAAGATGCGGGATCCAGACGAGGCAGGACGAGGTTGAGCACTGTCTGGCGCGGAGGTGGAAGGGAGTCGGTGCTAAAGCCGGAGGGATTTGTCAAGCAAGCTGACGGCGTTGATGTGTCTCGTGGGAGTGGCACGCCGGTGGCAGAGCTGGACGGACATAACACCGAGAAGATTGAGCTCGAGTGTACGAAGAAAGTTGCGGAGTTGCGGGAGGCTGGCAAGGTCGAACTGACGGATACGGGCAACGTCGAACTTCGAAGTGATGCAAGTCGCAGCGAGGAAAATCTTCCCTCGAAACCCAAGAGACGAGCTCTGGTGCCGCCGATTGCCTGGAACATTCCGATGACCCCAGCGAGGGGACCACCACCGCGCGGCGATTCCCTTCCTCAGTCACCCACTGCGATCCGCAACGACAGCGCCGTCGAAGAGACCATGGCTCGACTCGAAAGCCGCGAAGCACAGCCCAAGCTAACCCTCGACACGGCCAACCTCCACCACGAAGAAACCTTACCCCCAGTGCAAAAGCGAAACACCAACCCGTTCCGCAAATCCCTCCAGCCACCCCTCCAACAATTCCATTCGTCCCCCAAACACGACTCCAAGCGTGCCACCCGTGGAGCTTCTTCCCGCTACAGCAGAGACAACCTAGACCGTTTCAGCGACGTCAGCGTCGTCGGAGCAGACGAAGAGGGTGTGGCCCACGAAGTCGGCTTCCGCGTCAGCTCGGAGAGTAGTCAGCAGACGTACGACGTCGACGTCGACGTCGACCTCGACTCACCCCTCTCCGGGGCATCGAGAAGAAACCCGCAATACATTTCCCTGCCGCCCGCGCCGCCGCCACCACCGCCTACTTCTGCGCCTCCGGGGATTCCGGAAAAGAGCAACGAGAGAGTTTCGGGCGCGGAATGGATGAAGCGGCTGAGTGCGCAGGAGAGCGAGGAGTTGGATCCGAAGTGGACGGAAGGAGGGGATGATCGGGTCGATGGTCATGGTCATGGTGAGATCTCTTCCGCCCTACTCAGCTGAGTATTCATTCCTGCTAGTGTGTACTAGTTGGTGACTTGTTCTTCGACACACAGATGATCACGAGGTCGCGATTCCCGCTACGGTGCTTTGTCTGTCTTCGGGCAAGCAGTTGAGATCTGGGTGTTATGGAGAGGCGTCTTGAGTTCCAAGAACAAGATCGATTCTCAGAGAGAAGAAAGGGAACAGTTAATGAAGGAAATGGGAATCGCGAAGTGGGTAACGGCCATGGTCTGTGGTGACAAGAAGGCTGATGGGAATTGGAAGGGTTCCTTTCGTCTGCAGGAGTGCGGGAGGAGATCTACTAAGGCTGTATCATCGTCAAAAAATGGATGTAGTAATGATCGCTCATAGAACATAACCTCTATTCGCTCCTGTTGTTTCGACTCTTTATTGATACGCCTTGCCACCAACGCTCTCGTCGAATGCCATAAGATCCTTCAATCCACAGACCTCAAACAAACCAGCTGGTCCGATGTTGTGCTCTTTGGGCGGCTGACCTGTTTTCTTCATCGTCGCCAAGGAATGCCTGAACGCCGGCACGACGGCTTCCAATCCCATTGTCGGCCAAATGACGATTCTGAAGCCCATCTTGTTCGCCTCTTCGTTGCTCACCAAGGGCGTCCGGCCGTTTTGCACCATATTCAGAAGCACCGGGATCTTAGGCAGGAGGGATATGACTTTCTTCGCTTCGTCGAGATCTTGGATCGCTTCGAAGAATAGAGCGTCGACACCGACCTCTGCGGCTCCTTTCAACCGGGTGATGGCTTCCTCAAACCCGCCATTTCCTTCGCTATCCTTTCCAGCTCTCGCATCTGTTCGCGCAATGATGAGGATATCATCTCTTGATTCGTCTCGGGCTTTGCAGGCTGCTCGCAGACGATTGTAATACACTTCTCTGCTCACGAGCAATTTGCCGCTGAGATGGCCGCATCTCTTCTCTTGGACCTGGTCTTCGATATGGCAAGCTGCTACGCCTGCTCGGGCATAGGAGGTAACTGTTCGAGCGATGTTGATGGGCCCGCCGTAGCCGGTGTCTGCGTCTGCTATTACGGGGATAGAAGGGTTGATGGAGGCGATCATGCCGGCGTTCTGGACCATGTCGTTGAAGGTTGTTAAACCGAGGTCTGCCATTCCGAGGCGAGACATGGCTGTGCCGGCGCCGGTCTGTCGAACATGGAGGTCAGCGTGGATGTGGTGATAGCTAGATGGCGTACTGCTTACCATGTATAGACAGTCGTAGCCTGCCTCGAGGGCAAGACGGGCTGTGAGACCATCGTAGACGCCGGGAGCTACGACCGTTTTGGAGGGATCGGAGAGCATTTCCCTCAGACGAGTTGCGCCTGAGGGTTGCCCCTTCGCACCGTTGGACGACATACTCGCAGCTTGGGAAGGCGTGTTCAGCGGCGGTTGTTGTATTGCTATGTGGTGTTGATGGCTTTGGCCGTGTTCTTAGCCGGTATCGTTGTGACTCAGGACCGAGAGATATGTATCTATCGCCGCCCGCAAGCATCAGATCGAACAGGCATGTTTCTTCGCCTCGCCGATTACGGAGCAGACTGCCCACTTGCGATTCATCATGCTGAGTCAATGCTCGACGATTCCGTCTGTGGGCACTGCTATCCGTTTGGCGACGTAAGAAGAAGAAGTTGTGAGGGACGATTGCTCGCTGAAGTCTCGGAGGTGAGGTCTGCTTCACGTCAATGCTCGTGCGCTGCTGTCACGTGCCACGTGCGGAGGTCCGGCCGCTCGGTGTTGGCGGACCGAGACCGAGACCGAGAACGAGCAGAGCCGAGCCGGGCAGAGCAGAAACAGGCGGGAGAAGAGAAGTTCAAGTTCGGATGCCGAGCCTCTCCAAGCGTACGTCAGACATCCTGGATCGAAGGTCTGATGTCCTCTTCGCATCTTGAGACGGGTCGTATTTCCTCGAGGCACCGACTTGGCCACGACCTGCGTCTCTGCACGTGTCCGCGTCTTGGCCCTTCACATGCAAGAAGGTTCACGATCTCCCCGGATTTGGCGCGCGTTTGCAGATCACCGAGGCATCTCTGTGAAGCGGTCTTGAGCGTCATGTGCTGGCTTGCCCATGTCATGCGATTATAAGCACTATTAGGGTACCTTTCTGTTCTTTCGCTCCCACTTTGCCCGTTTGCGACTTGACTGTCTGTCGAAGCACATTCCACTTTAATCCGCATCAAGAACATATCTCTCTCCAATTTCCGATATCCATAATGTCTCTCAAGGAAGGTAAGACCCGGGAAGACATCGTTCCCGTGGCTTTGGGAGGGTGCTGATGCAACGGTGGACAGATGCATGGCCATCGTCGGCCGCCTTCGATGACATCGCCGCGGCCCTCAAGAGCGACGCCGACAAGAAGGATGCCATCAAGCAGGCTGGCGCCATCTTCGCCTTCACCATCAAGAACGCCGCGAACGAGGAGAAGTCGTGGTATGCAGACCTGAAGGAGACGGGCACAGTCGGCAAGGGCACTGCGCCTGAGGGCAAGAAAGCCGATGGTGGGTAACATGGCCGAGCATGGCAGAAGAGGAGACAATGCTGACAAGGTGGCAGTCACCATGATTCTCAGCGACGACAACTTCGCCAAGCTCATCACGCAAAAGGCCAACGCACAGAAGCTGTTCATGAGCGGCAAGCTGAAGGTCAAGGGCAACGTCATGAAGGCGACGAAGCTGGAGCCCATCCTCAAGAAGGCCCAGCCCAAGGCCAAGCTCTAAGGGCGTGCGCGTGGGAATATACGCTCCATGTCAGCAAGAAGATGATGGTGCTGCTCTTGGACGCCGTTCCATTTGGGAGGGACACTCCATTGGAAGGGACACTCCATAGGAAGGGACACTCTCAATATATCCATGTATATCAACTCGAGTGAAATGAACGTTGTACTAGTATCACGAGTACCCGCTTGCTGGGAGACTCTCGTGTGTCTCATGGTGGAAGGCTGACTGTATTCATAATGTGAGAGCGCACTAGTCATCGACATGCCTGCACGCATCATCACCTCCTTGTATCAGTTCCTCTCGCCCCCGCTAGGCGGGATACGGGCAGTACTTCTAAGACCGTGATGATGGAGATCTGCGCGTGAGTAGTCTTGTCTGGTTGCGGCCAAGGGAGTGGTGAGAACCGTCTTTGTTTCCAGGGAGACTGCACAGACGGCAAGTTGCTTCGTCTGCAGACATCCGCACGCATCCAAGTACCTGCATGTTGCGAGCGAATGTGCATGCATCCGGCAGTCGTGCTTGTCGCTCGATTCAAGACTTGTTTCGCGTTCTGAAGAGTGAATCGTTTCTGCTGGCCCAAGTGAGCGTGTGTGCAGCAGCTGAGAGCTACGCAGCGGCCAATCCCGACGCGCCAACGCAGTTGCGCTTTCTTCTTCGCGAACTTCACTCGGCTTCTGCGCGCACAAACACACGAGCACCTCCATCCAACATCATCACACCACCCGCTCGCGACCATCACCACCCCTAGCGCATTGAGAGCTCCTCCTCATTGCCGCATGGAACCCCCTCGAATCTCCCACCGTGCGCCCGCGACTGTACATACTCCCGCCCTTCCTCCTACGTGACGTACCGAGCGCATAGCTCCGCGAAACGCCATAGCGACCGCGAAACACCTCCTCGACTACGACAAGTACACCCATCGAAGCGCAAAGAGACGAGCGACACCGCAATCATGAGTAAGCGCGGCGCTGGCGCGGATTTCGGGTTCGGCGAGAACAGATATGGTGGCTACCAGACCGAAAGCCCCATTGACGGGAACAGCCAAATGACCCCTTTGGCTGGCACTGAGGACCCGCCCACAAAGGCTACTGCAGCCCAGCTGGCGAGAAGAAAGTGAGTACACCCTTCTCTTTTGTGCTTGTTATTGTGCACCTGTGTTATTGTCCGAGCGTGAGCGTGAGCGTGAGCGATGGTATTGTCGGGCTGGGCTAGGCGAGGCGAGCTTGGGTGGGGCGATCATTGCGAATGGGGACAATTGGAAGAGCGTGCACAATAGGATCGCATGGGCTATCGTGAGAGGTTGGACACATCTTCGTTCTTCGACGCAGATTTTCAACCTTCAAACACGCTCGACCACTTCCTTAAGCGCACTCCAGAAATGGCTTTCAAGGGCCTTGACTTCACGCGCAAATCACGCGATTGGAAATACCCTGCACCAGCCAAGCGACCTACTCAAGCAGAAAGAGAGCGGGCCGCTGCAGCTCGTGCCCTTGAGAAAGCAACGAATAGCTTGCAAGCAGAGCAGGACTCTGCTGCTGTGGCGGCGGACAATGACTTGGCTGGCACAGAGCCAGGCCAGCCCGGCATCGCTCATCCCCACGCGCAAGGGCAGGAGTTTGTTGCTGAAGAGCTCAACGAAGGCATGGAGGACTGCGCTGCTGAAGACATGGACGGCATGGAGAAAACATGCGCTGCTGAAGACATGGACGGCATGGAGAAAACAAACGCTATTGAAGAGATGAACGGCATGGAGAAAACAGACGCTGACTCAGACAGGATTGCCGGCATGAAAAAGCCGGCCGGAGTGCGTGGACGCAGCGGCAGTCCCGCCACTTTCAGCAATCCACAACCCCAACAACAATCAACGTTCGATTCGAACAGATTCGGCTTCGCGTTCGGTGGTGCTTCACAACAGCAGGACGGCTCGAGCTCATTTTCATTCGGCGTCAGCACTCCAGCACCCTCATTTGGAGCCTCTGCTCCGGCTCCGGCTACTAACATGCAACCCAACGGCAATGTTTTCGGCCAGAATACACCCAATACACCCAGCTTTGGCACAAGCTTTACTGGATCATCGCAGCCACAACAGAACGGCTTCAATCCATCCACGACATCGATGTTCAATCAACAACCGCAGACCCCATCATTCGGCGGATTTGGCCAGACGCAGCAGAACGGGACCAGCGGATTCGGAGGCCAGCAGCAGCCAGCGCAAGGCGGCGGAAATACATTCAACTTTGGACAGACTCGGCAGCAGGAGAGCAGCAAGCCAAATACATCATTTACTGGCTTTGGCACTTCACAGTCAGCCCAAACAGAGTCCGGCAACCCGTTTGCGAAGTTCATCCAGAAGCCAGCAGAGACGAGCGAGAAGTCGAGCACGCCTGGTCCACTCTTCACTCAGAAATCGCAGAACGCTGGTGATAAGCCAAGCAATCCATTTGCAAGCTTCGGACAGAAGACGGCAGAGTCGAGCCAGAATTCCAGTGCTCCAGCTCCGTCCTTCGGACAGAAGCCGCAGGAGAATGGCAGCAAGCCCAGCAACGCCTTTGCAGGCTTTGGTCAGCAGGCACAGCAGAAGAAGGACGACAAGCCGAGCAACCCATTCGCCAATTTTGGTCAGAAGAGCGCCGACGCTGGCGATAAGCCCAGCACGCCATTTGGACAGAAGCCTCTTGAGAATGGCAACAAGACGCCTTTTGCGACATTCGGACAGCAGAACGAGCAAAAGGACAAAAGCTCCGGGCAGCAGACACCAAAGCTCGGGTTCGGATTTGGCCAGCCGAACGGAGACAATTCCGGCGATCAACAACAAACACCCAAGCCGGGCATCTTGGGCCAGGGTCCTGCGCAACAGACTACCCAGCCCGAGCAGTCAAAGCTTGGCGCGAGCAACATATTCAACCAATCGACACAACCGTCGAATCAGGCAAACAATATGTTCAGCCAACCATCACAATCCACCCAAGCCACAAGCAACATGTTCGGCACATCTTCTCAGTCCACGCAGCCCAAGGGCGAGAAGAAGGGCTTGTTTGGCTCGAGTGTGGCACCTGCCGGTGACGATCCACACGGCACGGACAGTATCTTCAGCAATCTTCCAAAGAAGAAGGACATGTCGAACGGCAGCAAACCTCTCTTCTCGTCCGCAGATCCCTCCCAGGTCTACCGCGGCGAAGACGACGACGACAATGCCAACGACGAGGCAGATGGGGACGCCGAGCAAGCAGAACAACCAGCGGCAAAGCCGACAGGAAGCTTCTTCGGCTTATCCAACCAAGCACAGTCATCTACTGCTGGTCTGAGCACCCCACAGGCGCGTCAAAATCCAGATGCAGCCAGCTCAAACGTCGGTGGTGCTACACAGACTCCAGCACCTCGATCTCTCTTCGATCGGATTGATAAAGATGAATTGGCGAAGCGATTGGGTGGGCCAGTCTCGCAGAACAAGCCTAACGAGACACCCAAGACGGGTCTGTTCAGCGGCGCGCCAGAGACTCCGGCGACTGTCAAGCCGCTCTTCTCATCGACAGCCCCGTCGACCACTGCAGCTCCGCTTCCATCATTCCAGCAGCCTGCTGTGTCACAGACGCCAATGGGCTCTCCGCCCAAGAGCCTGTTCCCAAAGCCTTCGACCCCGGCGCTACCGGCTGCCCCTCCCACAGCATTCCAAGCTCCCGCCACAGCGCCAGTGGCGCTGACGGCTCCGCCGCCAAGCGCTTCCGCGGCTACAAGTTCGACGGTGCTGTTGTCAACTGAGCAGAAGAAGCTTCAAGAGCTCAACCATGGCCTACTGGACCACCTAAAGAGGGCAGACAACAAGCAAGATTGGACGGCCGTCATGCAGTACTACATGAGGATGGTCGCAGGCATTATGAACACGTCTGCTCCGCCAGAAGCGCAAGATTCCACGATCATCTCTCCGCCAGCCACAACGAGCACCTCAAACACCACATTCGAGCAGACTGCTAGACCCGCCCACACCCCCAAGCAGCTGGGAGGCAGCGATTTGTTCAGCAAGCCGCCGAGCACAGCGCCACCGGGAGCCAAGAAGCGCACATTCGAGCAGCAGGAAGATGATGAGTCTGCTCGCTCGCCAGCCACCGAGAAGCGCAGCAAGCCGAACGAGTCTGTCAATTACCCGAAATTGCCCGAGACCTCCAGCAGCACCTCCAAGCTCTTCGCAGATGTACTCAACAAGAAGGACGCCGCAAACACTTCCGGCTTCAACCCTGCTACCAAGTCCATGTTCAACACTTCGACCCCAGCGTCATCGATGACACCGACTCCTGCAACCAACGGCTTATCGATGCCGAAATTCGCAGCTCCGGCTGCTGGTAGCAACAGCTTCTTTGCATCATTCGGCCAGAAGGCCAAAGCACAAGAGGAGGCAGAACGCAAGAAGCGCAAGGCAGATGATTACGACAGTGAAGAGGAGTCCGAAGAACAATGGGAGAAGCGTGATCGCGAAGAGCAGGAAGCCAAGCGCCAGAAGCTTGCAGACGCCGCGAAGAACGCCAAGGGCTTCTCATTTTCTACGCCATCCACTACAACTGAAGGAGTGAAGACCCCGTTTAAGCTCGGCGCAGCATCTGGTGCCACGTCTGCTACTCCTTCGACGCAGCAACCTAAGTTTGGTGGACTCTTCGGTGCCTCCACTACTGCAAACGGCTCAACAACCGAAGCTGGCAAGCTCGCACCGGCAACTGGTTTCAGCTTTGGTGGCCTGAAGACCCCGTCGCTCAATGCTTCGCTGGATGCATCCCGCGCCACGACACCTGGCGTGACCACGGACGGCGAGGCATCCAACGCTGCTGACGAGGGCGATGATGAGCCAAGTGATGAAGCGCCGCAAAATGTCGAGGACCACACTGCTCTCCAGGCTGCTGAGCGACAGAGCAGTGACGTGCTTCTCGAGTTGCCACAGGTCAACACGAAATTTTACAACAAGAAAGAAGACGAGGACAAGGCCAGCTGGAAGCCTATTCAGAGTGGCCGCATGTACGTTCTCAAGGACAAGGCGGACGGTGCCACGCGCATTCTGGCCAAAGTCGGCTTGGGCCGTAGCGCGCTCAACTATAAGATGGTTAAGGGCATGAAGTACGAGCTTCATCCCAAGAAGGATACCATGGTGGTGGCAACTTTCATGGACCACATTCACAGCGACCCTCCCAAGCTGGAGCGCTTCTACGTTACATGTGCCAATGCCAATGAGGCAAAAGATTTGGCGCGCGTCCTCACCGAGGGTGCGGCGAAATAGAAGGAGTACAGGAGGAGGGCGGATTCGATTCGGCATAGCATGGATTCAGGCGTTTTGAGATTGCATTGGCTGCATGGCGATCGGGGTGTCTTCAAAAGAAAGGAGTTGTAGGATTGACGAAGTCGGAAGCCACGTAAATAGTTGCATTGATGCACGACGCTGCAGCTCAGCGCATGCATACGAGCGGGACATCATGGGTAAGTAAGCGTAGTGTTTTGTTTACAAGAGCGGTTCTACACCGCCAAGGACTTTGCGAATGAGAATGAGAATGAGAGTTTCGAGACCGCCCCCCTTCCCCATTTCTTTATCACGGGCATGAAATGTAATCGGCGTGAGTTGTGAGGATCACAGTTCGGGGAAAGATCTCGAACAAGAACAATAGAGGCAAACCGGGGCGCACACCGACGGAGTATGGAGGACTCTGCTGTCCAATGCATAGGACACGATCAGCCTTTCTTCTTCGTCCTCCTCGCACTGAGACAGGTGAACAGCACAATGACCATTCCCAGCAACTCCAGCAAGAACGCCACCACCAGCATCCAGATGGCCTTGCTGAAATGCGCCTGCGCAGGGCTTCCCTGGCCGTCATTGACGTGTCGACGGACGATTCCGAAGAGGACGAAGTCGGTCGCCATGACGATGAACGTCAGGGCCCAGGCGAGGAGGGCGGCGAAGAAGCTTGCCAGGGAACCGACGATTCCGGCGCCGATGGAGAGCAGGAAGGCGATGAAGGTCACGCCGCAGGCAATCGGGTGGAGGACCATGACGCGCGTGAGGGAGTCGGAAGTGCCGGCGGAGAGGTAGCCGAATTGGGTGTTGTCGATGCTTGCCATGACGTGTGCTGGGTTGTAGCCGATGTGGCGGCCGGTGCAGACGTCTCCGCCTTGTCTGTGGAAAGGTTCCGTTAGTATAGGAGGAGAAGGAGGAGGAGGAGGCGGAGGGAGATGTGGAGAGGGAGGGAGGGAGGCAGTGCGTACGCGGTGTTACTGGTGCAGTAGCCCAAGGTACCGAAGTGGATTGTGGACTGGTGGCCTTGGTCGGTGGTGGTGTTGCCGAGTTGGACGGAGAGGAGACCTGCGGCGACGAGTCAGTGGGCGAGTGCGGATGCGGATGGTATCCGGGTGCTCTTGCCAAGATGATGAGTGACGGGGGCGCTTATGGTGACCATGAGGAGGAGGATTGAGGATATGAAGAGGAGGGCTACGCCGAACCTGCAAGGCGAGTCAGCGGTTAGTCGCTGGCGATCAATTCGAAGGCTTCGAACACCCACCAGTGCGTATGGTTCGTGACCCTCGCGAGCTTCATGTCGACTGGATTCTTCGATGCTGATATTTCGAATCGGTTACCGACGCCTAGAGAATGCTGGAGTCTCCAGTAGTTGTGTGACCGGCGCGATGGGAGCGAAGCAGAGGAGCGAGCAGCATGATGAAGGAGAAGAAGAAGGAGAAGAAGAAGAAGAAGAAGAAGAAGAGCACGATCGATATAAGTGTCAATGCGTTGGCGTTGTCCAAATCGCCATTCACGCTGTTGGCCGCGTCGTGTTACACCCATGACGTGCTCCCCACGCGCCATGGCTTCACATGATGGTATGATGGTAGCGCCGCCAACCTGTTTTCCGCCTGAGTGCTTCCCGGCTTGCGCTGTCACCTGTCAAACGCGAGGCGCTGCTTGCCATACCGCGATGACGCTTGGGAGATCGAGGGCTGGGATAGGTCCGTCCGTGGACGAGGTATGGCTTCCACCGTCGAAACATCTCTTCCCTGGCTGTGGGTGCTGATGCAGTGTGGCAGCAGGATGTTCGCGTCGATGCACTCGTAGCCGAGCTGCAAGTTGCGCGAGTTCGAGGGGGGAAGATGGTATGCCAGCTTGAAAAAGTCGAGTGCTGTCGTCAACCACGCGCCTGCCGAATTAGGAAGTGGACGAAAATTGTTTGCGACACGAAAAAAAAAGAGAACCACGCGAAGACTTGGGCCACCGCACGGAAATGGAAGAAGGAGACAGGAAACAAAAAAAAAACAAATCGAACGATTACAAGAACTATCTGCGATTTGACGGGCTCGCAAGCCCTCCTACATCCACTTCCCAACCCGACTAAAGACTCCCAGGCGAGAAACCTGGAGAGGAACGCCCGAGCCACTCAACCATGTGTATTCGCGTTCTTTACAAGAGTGCAGCGCTGAATTTAATATATAACACTTCAAAAGCTTACCTGGGCCAAACAAAAAAAGAAATCGAACGGTTACAAAAACTATCTGCGATTGACGGGCTCGCAAGCCCTCCTATATCCACTTCCCAACCCGACTAAAGACTCCGAGGCGAGAAACCGGGTGAGGAACGCCCGAGCCACTCAGCCATGTGTATTCGCGTTCTTTGGTGAGAGTGGAGCGCTGAATTTAATATATAACCCTTCAAAAGCTTGCCAGCTGGGCCCGAAGATCGGCCGGTGAAAGCTAAGGTCTTGGCGGGATTCGCATGTGAACAGGAGCCGCTGCCACGTACTGCGGGTTTTTTTTTTGGATGCTTTGTTACACAGACACGCAGCTCAGATGTGGAAATTTGAATGGTCTTTATGCTAATTAGTCGTCTCCAGATGTCGTCGTTGCCATTCTCGCCCGTCCCTAACTAGCTTGGAACTCCGAATTCGACGCCAGGGGAAGGATTCGTCTCCTCCTTCTCAGACCTACGCAAGCTCGCGGCAGCGTCCTCGCAAAACGCGGCCCCACTAAGAATCAAGACGCCGGCGCCCACTACAATTTGATAAGTAAGGTAGGATAACGGCTGCCTGCGGCGTTAAGAAGCGCCCGAAGAAGACGCAGGGAAGGATCCCATGCGGCTGTGTAAGAGACGTGAGAAATGAAAACAGGCAGCTCAATTACATCGACACTCCTCATCGCGATGGCGCATAGAAAACAATGCTGGCCAGGCGTGAAACGAACTTCTCGACAGGCGATCCTCAACCGTCCAAGGAGGAAGGGAAACTGATGATGCTGTTCACCACGTTCACCACGTGCCCCTGTGTGACGGACGCCTCTCAACGAGGTCGAAAATTTGTGCATGCCACGTATGCTAGGTACCAGTTGGGGGGTGGGTTAAGTTCCAAATTTCGGATACCATTAACTACCGAATATGAAAATCAAAAACGCCTGGAGCGTCCGTCGGGATACCCTCCCGAAATATGGACTGAGTATACTCAATGCATTTCAAAGGCCTCCACAGTTGCATTCCACTACACTCCCTCCGGTCATGAGGCGAAAGTGCGCATCGTTGTATCCCAAGCCGGTCCCAAATTCTAGCTACCCTCTAGCCCACATTCCGATACCGTCCAGTGCTGGCATCCAGAACACCATAGCTGCCATACAGCGCACGTGGGGAGTAGGAAACTGCCTGCGGCTGGGCAACTGCCTGCGACGGATAGGAGACTGCCTGCGAATATGCCCAGGGGAACTGCGCGCCCGTCAGAGGGCTCCAGACTCCAAAGCTGCCACCGGCTCGGTTGGCTCTCCAATTAGAGTCTCCTGTGAGACCCGTGAGGCTAGCGTCGAGCGTGTCCGGGTCGCATTGCATGTAGCTATACGCGCTGAAGGGCCATTGGTAGAGGACTCCAAAGCCAGACATCTCGGGACGATGGATGTTGTCGGTGATTTCGGTTCGAGTGAAGGGAGAAATCGTGGTCGTTCTTCAGTTATACGACTGCATGCCGTGGTGAATGAAGACTGCGTCTCTGAAGGGCATCTCGGCGACGTGGAATATGAGCAGATGTTCCATTGTCTGAAACCTCTAAGGTGGGTGATCGTGCATGCGTGAAGGCATACACACTGTTCAGATGGGAACTATGAATGTTTCGAGGTAGAAGGCTTGGAAGATCATGGAATGGTCACCAATGGACCCAGCCAGTGCACCACCAATCGAGGATGATCACAACGCTCACAAGCTACGTCGCAGGGATTTTCTCATTGGACTGCTGTCTGCATCGTGTTGGCACTGATTCAAAGTTGTGAGAGTCATAAAGACCTACCACCTTGGAGTATAACTCATGCTTGAGGGACATGTATCCGCTGTTCGGATTCCATATACTGCAAATGCCCACCAACACTAGAGCTGGCCGGGAATTTTCGAGCTCTCTGGGCCATGCCGCGAACGAAGACGCCGCCAGGTCCAGGGTCACCATACGGGCTGTAGTCTGCGTTGCCCGACGGTGGACTGAAGTATTCGACACCGTAGCTGTTGAAGCCGACAGGCCAGTTTGAAGACATTGAAAGGGCTTGTGGTGGAGCACTGGGTACTCATTCTGTCCCAGAGGGGCTGTTGATCTAGTTGAGCGAGACTTGCTTGGGACGAGGACGCAGTACAGACCGTCATCGAGCCTCAATACTTGGATAACGCAATGGTGAACAGCAGTAGCGCCTTTGGTATCCCTCCTTGAATAGATACATAGGCCATATCACGTAACAGTAGGAGCGAGGTGAACCTTTATGTCAGTGGTTGTGCGAGTAGTACTACCGTGAAGAGAGGCAGAGCCCCGAATTTGATGCAACACCCATTCCGAAGCAAGTTATCCTTGGTTGAGAAGCATCGCCGCATTACTGAAGAGTGATGCCGTTTTGATTGTGACGAGCACTACTCATCATGCAATGGTCTCTGGAGTAGCTCTTATCGCAGATGCTTCCCGTACTCTACGCAGACAAGTCTTGCAACCGAGCAAGCAAACGCTTAGCAGGGATGCAAGCCCCCTTTGACAGCACATTCACGCCATCTGGCTCTCGACTTCCATCGCTCATCTTCAAAACTTCCTCTACTTCCTTGATGACAGCGTCGAGTAGGCGAGGTCCATGCGGACTCTTATAGAGCCACCGCACTACGTCGTGTAAGCCTTGCAACCCAGATATAGCCGGGTCTGCAAGCGCTGTGAGCAGGAAACCTTTGGCGCGTAGGAATATCCGCTCGCTGTATAAAGCGCTCGCCCTCGTGCTCTGCTCTGTACCAACGAGCGCCTCGTATCCCGCTTCGTTGTAGTACGGCTCGCGTACAAGGACCAAGCCTAAGAGGGAGACGACAACTTGCAGCAGCGTGCTTTGAGCGGCGTTCCAGCTTTCACCCTTATTGCCTTCCCACGTTCCCAGCACACTCAGACAAATCTTTCCATCTTCGTAAAGATTGGGATTGACTCTTCCGATAGCGCCAATAGCAGAGTGTGAGGGCCACGAATGGAAATGGACCATCGGCGGTTCAGTTGGGAATGTCGGTGGAAGGTAGAAGTCGACGACGAATGGTGCGTGCGCATAAGGAGTCTCCGTGGGGCCTACTATGAGCACGCGGAGTAGGTCTAGCCTCGATTCCCAGCTTCTGATGTATACACCTTCTGGTAGGGTTTTGGGATCACTCAATATCTTGTGTTCTTTCTGTGTTCGCTTCACGTGAGCCGGCGTGTTCGTCGACGGCTCGTGACAGTAGCGGTGGTCAGATGGAGCATCTCCTTCAAGTATAAGGTAGGCAGAAGGAGGATCTGTGGCTTCTGCCGAGTCGGACACATCGCTGGCAGTGCTGTTAGCCTCGCGAGCATTGTTGGGTGTTGCTAATGATGTCGTCGGTCGAGTTTGATGTTCAGGAGCGTCGACCATTTCTAAATCGTCGTCCGGATCCTTGTCGCCGGTTTCGCCTTCGTCCGCAGATTCCCAGTCCTCGTTCTCAACCTCATCTTCATCCATTGGATTCCCATCCTCATCTTCGTAGCGAATCTCTGCATTTTCATCGTCCATGTCTTCACTGTCCCAATCGTCGTCATCTTCGCTTCCCTCGCCGATGTATTCCGTGTTGAAGTCATGATCGAATGCATCATCCACACCTTCGTCGTCCCATCCATCTCCATTCCCGCTATTGTCCGATCTGACAACTACAGTAGCATCGTGCCGAGGTAGTACCATGTCAACAACTTGTGTAGCGGCCCCAAAACGAACGACTAGACTGCCATCAAGTGGTGTGTCAACAATTTCACCTAGCCATGTCCGTCCACTCGGCCCCTGCGTCAAAGAATTGGCGGGCAAATCCTTGGTCATGACAATGTCCCCTCTCCGCACGTTCAAAGAGGCGGGTGCCTCGATGTCGTAGAGGCTGATCTCCTCCTGTGAGTCGGATGTTGTGTCAATGTAACGAGCGACTACATGTCTTTTTGGCCCCTCCTGCTCGAAGTCCTTGATGTAGTGTATAAATGACTTAGAGGACCACTTCACCTCTGCCATTCTCTCTGCTGCATTGACCTTTTGAATCACGCCGATATTCTGCGGCTGCAGCGTATGTTCATTGAGAGGCTTCATCTCCAAAGTGTGCGCTATTTCGCTTGGCCAGACGGCGTGTTCATCGTCAATGCTACTGTCGGGTATGACGTCCACGCTTGAGACAGTCGTAATACTCAAGTCTTGCCACTGGACTGTGATGTCGGTTCGAAATGACAAAATGCTGAACACATTCAAGTCGTAGCCCAGATGATTTTTCCGGTCGAGTTTGGGAATAGCATTGCTGGTCCCGCTGTACTTCAAGTAAGCGCCAGTCAGATCTCTGAAACGCACTCGCAGGTCCATTCTTGCGTCGATCTCTGAATTCGAGATGGTAATCCCTTGTGAAGCTGTTTGCGGTCTCCGTGTTCGATCGTACACTTGGAAGTCGTCCGACTCAAGTTCCGATCTCTCTAGTGTGGATGGCGGCTCATCAAGATCGCTGCCTATTCGCTTTTCAATCCAACTGACTTCGGCTGCCACTATGCGAACGTCGACAACGGTTCCGACGGGAGGCGTGTTGGCATTGTATTGACCAAAGATCCATCGACCGGTGCGCAAAGTGGCTTTTCGTGCCTTCACAATGTCGCCCACGGAGAAAGAGCCAAGCAGAGCATCTGCATGCTCGCCATACTCTTCGTTGATTTCGACAACAGCATTATCGGACAGTTTGACACAGATGCAGGTATGGAACGCTTCAACCCTCCCGATCCAGTCTTTGAAGATCACCAAATCTTCTTCCATCATGTCATCGGCACAAGTTAATTCTTCCGCGGGAATATCAACAAGTGCATTGGGCTTGTCATTTGGATATATGCAGTACGACGCTTCGACCGGATCCCACTTCCCAGGAGGTAGGATACCTTTCAGCTTTCGACCACTGTTCTTGTCCGTGACATCGCACATTGGTTGCAGCGTGCACTTGGTGAATGTATTCAGAACGCAACCGCTCATGGCATCTTTGGCGTCCTTCTTGACAATATCTCCGATGAGAATGGAGCGATCCACCAGGTGCAGTTTCGATGATGGCAAGAGCTCCAAGGATTCCTCGTCCCGCCACCGCACCAGCACTGTATCTTTCGGTGGGATACCATCCTTCAAAAACTTGCGAAAACTTGCGTGCGAGATGCTCGTGTCGCGCCTGATAGGCTCCCGTTCTGTCCGGGTAGGGAACGGTGAATGTGTGTCAATATCTCCATGGGTCCGCTCAACGACAGCAATTTGTTTGATGTCTGCTGTCTTGGCGACAACGTCGTCTGGAAAGAGCGAAATATGCATATCAGCTAGTCCAGAAACCGGAGAAATCAGTGGCTGTGATGAAAGTGCCGCTGCTTATAGACCATGGCGTCGTGTAATTCCACAAGGCAGGCGCGATCAGATGATGTTGGTCGGCAAATTGATTGACGATGTCGCTTTGTCCTTGAACGTTGTGAAGAAGCAAGAAGTTCCGTTGACGAGGCGCTCGATTTGCCGGGCCGAACCCCTGCAAACCTTCGAATCTAGCGTCGCACGTGCCGAGACTGCGGCCCGCAGAGCCCCAAGGCGGCTGAGCTTGCTTTGGAAGTGAGCTTTCGTGGGCTCGTGAGAGGTGACAAACCGTAGAAGGGTGGAAGACTCTTCGCGGTGCGCGCCATGGATCCTCTCTACGAACTGCTCGCTCCCTACTTCGACAACTCAGAATCACCACCCTCACCGCGAAATGCACAGACTTCGGCCTACCTCACACGGCTCAGCACGCTCTCCCTACCAGACCTCACCTCGACCGAGCCATCATCGCTTCTACAGTCAGCTCAGTCTCATCTACGTAACCTCCAGGCACTCTCGAAGCGGTCACACAAAGCTGTGATATCGTCGTCCTCACACCTCTCCAACCTTTCATCCCTTCTTCCAGAGTTTGGAGCGCAATCGAAGACATTAAACGATGATCTACCAGAGCTAGAGGCTGCAGCCTCCGCCTTCGCGCAGAAATACGACAGGAGCACAGAGAATACCGTTCTGGATAGGAGAAAAAGAGCAGCGCTACTGTCGCGGAACGTGGACAGAGTATCGGACGTGCTGGACTTGCCATCTCTGCTCTCGTCAACCGTGAGCGCTGCGCAAGCTTCAAGCTCGGGAGCTCCTACAGCTGGGGGCTCTGTTACCTCATATGCTTCTGCATTGGATATCCACGCCCACATCAAGCGCTTAAAAGCCCTGTACCCGCAGTCCGAGCTCGTTGCAAATGTCTCATTGCAGTCGGAGCAGGAGATGCAGAATCTTGCTACTATCCTGATCACTTCGCTGCAGAGCCAATCGCTGAAGCTCGCGGCGGCCATGCGAACGGTTGGGTGGTTACGACGAGTTGCTCCAGAGTTGGCGGAGGACGAGTACAGGGCATCTCAATCTGGCGCGCTCTCAATGAAGTCGTTGACGCTCTCGCCGAATGCGGTCAACGACGATGGAGCTCTGGGATCTCTTTTCTTGGTCTGCCGGATACATACACTACAAAAGACCCTAAAAGCACTGGATCCACTCCGAGATCTTGCCGACCAGGAGACAGACCAGCGAAAATCACAGTCCAATACGCATGGCAAGAGTGCCAAGCAAAGTGGACAAAACACAAACTCATCGGGCAGTCAAAGCGAACGCTACCTAAAACGCTACATTGAAGTGTTTCGAGAACAGAGCTTCAGCATCATGAGCATGTACAAGAGCATTTTTCCATCCAACTTACCAAGCCCAGAGCAAGGGAATAGTGAGGAAGAGATTGCCGGATTGGAACATCAAGATCCGTTGTTGCCCCTTCCATCAGCTGTGTCCTCCTTCGCACTGCATTTGGTGGATATGCTGGAGGCGACGCTTCGGGAGTACCTTCCAAACATCACCGACAAGTCAGCTCGGGAGTCTCTGCTGACTCAAGTACTCTACTGCGCCGGCAGTCTGGGCAGATTAGGAGCAGACTTTGGCATGATGGTGGCTTTGCTCGAAGACGACATCGCAGATGAGCAAGACCAAGCAGAGACCGACCAAGCTGAAGATCCCGAGTGGGTCCAAGTCATGAAGAAGCATCGAGTGCAAGCGAGCCGGCTCGAAGTTCTAGCACGAGGCGTTGGCTCAGGCAGGAAAACCAGCATGGAAGTGCAGCCGCCGTTGGCGACGTCTTCCTCCCCTTCACCCTTGGCGGCTTGATAGGTCATGTGGAAAACAAAGTACATTGTCCAATGATCATTGCTTTCGGGTCCGAATGAGTCGTGATCAGTGTTTCAAACAAGCCAACAAACGTCGCCATCTCCGCTTGTGAATGCTGGGATATCCTTGCGGTATGATGCTCAAGACGTTCTTCGCGGACTCCGATTGCACATTCTCACTATTCACCAGCTCTGCATTTCATGTACTCAATATCAAATTTCAAGACATTCCAGACTTGCATGGCAGGGCCAGCTGTGGGATATTTGGGATAAGCTTTCCGAAGAGAACTGGTGCTACGTGACTGTCTGTTGTACCTTCCTCTTTTGGGTGCGAGGCTTCGTCGGCACAGACCGATGCCTTATGCGAGACAAGACCCTGACAAGTCACACAACAGGACGGCAGTAATCGTTCTCCCGGTGGACTGATTTACCCGTCGCCACTCTGCCTTTGGCGTACGTATCGTCAATGTGCGTCCTTGTAACGAGGCGAAAAGCGTAGGGCCGAGAGAAAACCTATTCTTATATCCCCTGATGCATGTATGCCTGTGGCCGTGTTGTGTAGCTTCTTCCGTGAGCCATGCGCCCGGATAGGTTGAATAGCAAGCCTGTACATAGGCTCTCGGCAGATCGAGACCGGCTCAGCGGTTCTAGACGGCGCCATCGAGAGCATTCTCACTTTGCAATCCTCGCCTCCCCATCAATCTACTGCAAAGTGTGCTATTCTGGAACTTTGCAGTGTCTACGTCTAGGATGCGACGTTGATCTTGTAGCAGAATCTTCCTTGTCTGTTGGGAGAAACAGAAAGAGGGTGTACTGGCAGCGTCGGTACAGGGCCGCAGGAGTGATGTTGGGATAGTTGGGCTATCACAGCCCTGCCGGGAAGCTCGGCTCCACGGGAGGGAAAGATCTTCAGATCAGCGGCTTGTTGCGCCCTTCTCGGCATCACTTCCGGGTGCGGTAACACTTCGCATTGCTATATTTTGCTTTTGTGCTCGGGGCCGGGTGGTCGCTCTGTCAAAATGCATGACGGAGCGGGCTACTGGCGTTCTTGCGCAAGAGCTGATTGGTCAAAGTCAGTCGTTCATAAAGCTGGAGCCCTTCGCGCGGAGGTTTAGCAAGCGGAAAGTGCAAGCGTTATGAGCCCGGAAGTCTGTGTTTCGTTGGACGGCTAATGCCAACCCTGTACGCGCAATGTTTTGCTTCGAAATCAAAGAGCCATTGGCAAAGTTGCCGTCCAAAGGCTATCAGCTGGGCGTTTGCTGCAGAGTAGGTGGAGGGATGCGCTATCGGATCGTTGGGTAAGTCTATGCGTCTTGCTGTACGAGCCACAGATGTTGCACTTCTTCTGGAGCTGGCCCAGTGGCTGGAGAGGCTCGCGTCGTCTGCTGAAGACAAAAAGCCTGCGAAGACTCATCGAATGGAAGACTGACTGCGCCACATCATAGCACAGCCACGGTCTTTATCTGTGCTGCGGTCTCCCCATGTTCCTCGAAAGCAGCTGCGTCATTGCGCACGTGAACGGACCGAATCTGGTGCGGAGTGGGTGAGAGGCCAATCATCTTCTTTTGGCATTACAGCATCCAGGTACAAATCATCCGTCTGGTTTCTGCAGAACGCCTCTGACCTTGCACAAACAACAAGGCTGTCGGTCTCGCGTTACCTATTCCGGTGCCTCCGTGTCCAAGCAGACAGGGCTTTGGATGAGAGTGCCGTAGGCATCTCCGGGAAAGCCATAGAGACGCTTGGGCTGCCATGCAGACTGTGAGAAAAAGGACTGATGGATGGGCCGCACGACGTCATACGTCAACTGCCGTGTCGCATGGCATGCGAGCACAGCGAGCGTTCCTGAGGCTTTGCGCACTGATACGACCCAATACCACGTTGCAAGAGCCAAGGACGGATGCGATGATCCTCCGGGTAAAGAGGTCGTAGATAGTAGCGTACGAATTAGACAGTCGTACAGCACGTATCATGGCAATAGTGAGCATCAGTCAGCCAGAGCATCCGTATTCGAAGGCGTATCCAAGGCAGCTGGAGGGATTGCAGGAGATGGGTCGATTCCACGCACGCTGCTGAGGCGGAGCGGAGCGGGATCGGGGTAGGCTGATCTGGTGCCTTAGAACATCAACGGGCCCTAGCATTAAGCATGGTGAGTGAATGTTCACAGGGCAGCGCGGATGGAGAACAGCCCGAGGGTGCTCCCGCGCCCGCACACCACACACACGCTGCAGACCCATGCGCGCGGGTGACAGAGATGGAAGGTCCAGAAGGCGACGATGGCAGACCCTGCATCGACGTGCATCGACGTGCGTCGTCGTTGCATGCGACTCAGCCACGAGTCACTCGCCTGGCCCGAGGGCATCGAAGCACCTTGGCACCAAGCGAGAGTCCATACCTTACGATACGATGCACACAAGATAATACCCTCCTCCACCGCGTCTCAAATGGCGACTAGTGCCCTGCTTACAATTGCGACCACGTCTACGAGACTCCAGACTCCCACCGCATTCCGCAATCATACAAGCAACCGCTCGCTGCCCCGGCCCTTTCTTGGGAGAGAACAAGGGTCCACGTCCATTCCTGGCCGCCGCGGATGAACTCGCTGTGAAATCGGACACTCTCCGAGGTGACGTCATGCAAATGGCATCCACGGCCTCCCAGAATTTCAACTCGACCGCTCGCCCTTTCTCCTCAACAACAAACTCCCGAAACGTTCCCGTCTTTCACAACACCTCGCATCCGACCTCGAACACCACGACGACCACGTTTCCTTTCGACGATTTCGAACTCTACGAGCCCGCCGTCTACCACAAGGCATTGACTATCCTGCAGCAATCTGCAAATTCGGATACTACCGAGTCGTTCCCGAACCCCCGTACCAGGCTTCACAACCCGACGCCGACAACCGCAGCATCCCAGAACGGCTTTGCCGTGGGCGGCGGCGAACATCAGACGACCTCTGGTGGCGGTGTGTCGAACTACGACTGGCCGACATCGATGTACCACCCTCATCTCTCCCACAATAGCATGGGCGGTCCTGTCGCGGCGCAGAACAAGGGAGTAAAGAGAGCGAGGAGTCATCAACGCACACCCTCGGCCTCAACAATCGGCTCCAACGGTCCTGCCTCACCGTATATGTCCACCGGATCCTACCCTGGCATCGTGAACTCGGATTTCGCACCGCGCTCGCCCGCATACTACGCTGACCAAGGCTTACCGAAGCACCTTCCAACACCTTCTCAGACTCCAACCGACAGCGCGTTCTCCAACGCGGGATATATATCTAGCCAAGCAGCACATCTGCCGAACGCTCATCTGGCAATGAAAGATTTTGGTATGAACCATCACAACCCAGAAGACTACAACCCAGACTTTGCCCCTCCATCACGACAATCGATGTCGAGTTACGGCAACGACTCGCCAGCTACGCCCCAGTCGGGCGTTGGCGACGACCAAAAGCAGTATAGTTTGCCTCAGAATGGTGAGCTTGAGGCAGACAGGGCGCTTGATATGCTCGATTACTTACTCTTCGTTGAATCAGATTACAACCAACCTCAGCAACGACAAAACAACCCGAACGTCCAGCTTTTTCGGACAGAGTCGCAAGCATACCAGGACGAGCTGTACAACCCGAACGCAATGTACAATCCTCAACCGGCTAAAGCTTCTAATTCATACCTCTCCCCAAACCCACGAAACTTGATCAACGAACGACTGCAGACCGCAAACTTGGCTCGCTCTGCATCTCCAGCTTCAGCGATGTCGAGAGAGCGCTCACCATTCAGAGACGGCTCTCCTCTGGCTCCATCAAAAGACTGGAGATCGCAAGGTGCGCCAGTTGGCACAGCTGCGAGTATGAGGCAGCAGCAGAAGCAAGAGGCCGCAGATGCGGAATACGCACAACACCGTGTACAACTCCGGAGAGAACCGACCAAAACAATTTCTCCAAAAGACGCAGTGCTCGAGTACAATGAGTCAGATCAGCCATCGCTATTTCAGGATAGTATACCCGCAGGCTACGAGCGGCACTTGGGGGGCACGGAGCAGTGGCCAACCAACAACTATATGGCCCCGGCTTCCTCATTCGGCGATTTGTCCATGAATGGTCAGCAGAGTATGAGCTTCAGGAACGCCACTTCAGCAGATACAGGGTACTCCGCCACTGGCTTTGACTTTCCACGAAACTTGCCACAGGGGCCCGAGCAAATGCAAAGCAACCCCTTCCAGTCCAACTACCAGAACGCTGCGAAGATGAACGAGTTTGCTGAGCAGACACCGGCGTTCCCGGCTAGCATCCCATCAATGGAGACTTCCCACAGTGATGCTGGTGTCCCGCCGTCCTCTCAAGACAGCAGTGGGCAGACGTCGATGCCCCAACGACCCGATGACACCCGTGCCAACACCGGCACTTACACCTGCACGTACCATGGCTGCTCGCAGCGCTTCGAGTCTCACGGCAGTCTCCAAAAGCACAAGCGAGACTATCACCGCTCCCAGCAGCAAATTAAGGACAACGCCTCGACTTCGGGCACCGGCTCTGCATCGCCGCGTTCGACTGAGTCACCGGCGCCATCGACCTCTGGCATGACCTCAGCTGCGATTCTGGCCCGGAATTCGCAAGCTGGACCACACAAGTGCACTCGGATCAACCCCTCCACCGGCAAACCTTGCAGCACCATTTTCTCGCGGCCTTACGATCTGACACGGCATGAGGACACAATCCACAACAACCGAAAACAGAAGGTTCGCTGTCCGATGTGTCGCGAAGAGAAGACCTTCTCACGTAACGACGCGCTCACACGACACATGCGCGTGGTACACCCAGAGGTCGAAGCTTTCGGTAAGCGTGGGCGACGCGACTGAATCGGTGCCAAATTCAACTTGAGAAAGGCGTCAGTCACGGAGTCCCGCAGACCAACAGTCCGTGTGCGTGACCGGATTACCGCCAACTCCGCGTAAGTTGGGATGAGTACAGGGTCGCCATCTGATGCAGTTGTGGCTCAACAACCACAGGCCGCCACCGAACGCGTGCACACCAGGCAGTTGCGAAACCTTCGCGGCCGAAATGCACATGGAAGTTGCGTTGGGTGGCGTTCGCCGGGGGCTTTCGGCCGGCTTTCCGAAGACAGCGGACGCCGAGAAGATTTCGCAAACGACCGGACAGCCGCTATGCGCAAGAGCCGACACTTTCCGGACTTTACTATTTACAACCTTGAGCGCGCTTGGCAATCAGCAGTATTACGACGGTGGCGAATGTGCCGTGTGAGGGCATGGAACTCTCTTTGACGTTACGATGCGGCACCGGCAAGACCGGATGGTGGCGCAGAGCGGTGATGCATGGCATGGCATGGCATGGTATGGCGGGCACGGGCTTTGTTACCAAATGGCGTTCTGCTTTGACGGCATTGCATGGCATGGCATGGCGAGGGGCGGCGCGGCAATGTGTTCATCAGCGACGCAGAAGTGTAACACTAGCTTATTACTACGATGATGATGATGGAACGAAACGCGAGGTGGTTTGGGTTGAGATGGGGCGCTGGACGCTCGCCAGCGTGGAGCATGCTATATGTCGAGGATCTTCTTCCTGTCTTCTACTATCCTGTACCTGTCCTGTATTATTAGTGCTATATGGAAACAAGATTGATGGATTCTAATTGGTTCGCGACTCGCGAGTCTTTCTTGTTTTCTTGCCTTGCCCGCCTCTCCTCTCCCATGCATGCTCCATGTCTATATGGCGCTTCCTCCTCTTCCAAACCGCGACGTGCGATGCTTGCTGGAATCTACAGAAGGCTATTTGGTTTGCGATTCTTTGCCCTAAGGTATCCAGAGCAGAGAAAATTCTTTTACATGCTCTACTACCTCGGTCGCAGGGTGTGGCGCGCGGCTGAGAATCTACTCCCCCCCTCTCTCTCTCTCTCTCTCTCTCTCTCTCTCTCTCTCTCTCTTGGGTAGTATGTGCAAGGACCTTATCATTCATTCAATGTACCGAGAGAGTTGCAAACTTTTTTCTTCTTCGAAAGCTAAGCTGTTTGGAACTTGGGGTTACCACTTTCAATCGATACGTCTGTCTGATCGATCTGCTTGTGCTTGTGCTTTGCAGGCAGGTAGGCAGGTAAGGGCATCGCCATTCTGGGCTGCGTCTTTTTTTGGAGATCTATCTCGTCGAGATGTATGGTGGCCAGAATTCACCCCATAGTCTGGAATCGAATCGATGCACTCAGTGAGTTCTCCTTTGACTGTCGTGATAATAAGCTGACGACGCTGTGCAGCGAGCGATATGGGGATTTTTGCGGAGAGCGCGGTTGATGAAATGCGGTCGATACGGTCGGTCGATACGGTCCGCGATGAACGGAGTGATCGTCGTTCGTCCCCATGCATTCCGGTTTCACGTGGAGACTTTTGCTCTTCTATCCTCCCTGGTGATGTTGGTTTCCATTTGCGATGATTTCATCTTCGCATTGCGGTGAAGATTTGGAGGTTTCCGGTGGGCCAATTTTCGCATTGCAAAGCAGAGCAGAGCAGATGAAGGCGAAGACGTCGCTCTTCAGCGGAGGCTCTTTTCCAAGGACGATCGATGTCCGAGTGGTACGTACGAGAGGAAGCTTGGCGAGCGGAGTGGTGGAGTGCCGATTCGATGGGTTGGATGTCCAGTTCCGGTAGGGTGCTCTGGTGAGCTGCAGCATGAATCGCGAGGCAGGAGTTGATCTGTGATGAGAGGAGTGAGGCAGCAGACGCAGGGCAGGCCACCCTCGACCGGTGCACGCACGAGTAGAAGTACGCTTCTGCACCCCACAATGGGTTGCATATCCCGCTGTGCGCTCACAGCTCGTCATTCCACCAATGGTGCGCCCGATACCGTGGAAGGGTGGACCAATGGCGAGAGGTGCACGGGACGGGAGAGTGCGAGTACCGAGTGACCTTTGACCCCTCATCTCATGAACACTACTACACTACTACAGTAGTACTTCCTTCCAGCCAAGCTTCTCCTCCCTGCACGCAAATCAAATGGAAGAGTGGAAGGAGGTCTGGTGGTCGGCTGACAAGTCTCCAGGTCGTGCCACGCGGGATGTGACTACCTCGTAGTACTCCTCTCCTCTCCATCGCACGTAGGGTGTACCTTCCTCTCCGCGGTGGTAGGACGTGTCGCGACTAAGGTATGATGATAACTCACATCGAGGAGACATGGACAACCTAATTGATGAAGCATGCACCGTGTGGTGATGGCCTCCCAAGTCTGCGTGCTCTCGCGTGTGGCGGCAGGCAGGACAGGAGATTTCTTCGCCGTGCCAATCTCTTGCTCTCGTGATCCAAAGGGGACAAGTGCAGGATGCAAGTGCAGGAGGTGCAAGAAGTGCTGCCAGCCTGGATGCGAGTAGTGGTGCAGGATGCAGCTGTGCAGCTTCTCTGCCTTCTCCGCACTACCTTACCTTAGCATTCCCCCTGGATCCCTGGGCGACGGCGGCTGGATGCTGCTCCTACCTTACTTCCATTAGCTGCATCCCGACCTGCCCATCGCTCATCGCCCGTCATCTCAGTCGTGGTGAGGAGTATCACGGTGATTGTCACGGTGACTGTCGTGACAACGGGTGATTTTATCATCATCATCATCAGAATTATTATTGTGGGAATCCATCCTCGCTTCCCCCACAAGCCAACGCCCACCCGTTTCTGCCGTCCCACTGTGCACGCACACACGTCCTCGAGTCCCGATCGACCGCTCACATCATCTCACTCATCACGGGACGAAAGATTCTCAGCGCGTTGCGGCCACTCGACCTTCCTTTGCTGCATCATTCTTCGCCGCCCGCCTGTCCTGTCGCATCTGGTGCCTCCTCACCCTCCAACACCCACACTCCGCTGCTGCTCTCTGACTGCTGCGTGCGCGACCTGCAACGCCCAACGCTCAACGCCCAACGCCGCACGTAGAGCGAAGCGCCCGCCATCCCCAGCCGGAGGAACGGCGGCGACGGCAGCGACCAACTCTCCACATCCCACCTTCCCCGAGGCGCGCTTCTCTACGAAACACGAAACGACCGGCAGCAGCAGGAGCGACGGCCAGGCGTGGCAGTCACGTTTCTCCGAAACAGAAGCCGCGTCCTCGCGTTCCTTCCCGGTTCCTTTCACTCACTCACTACTCCAGCCCAGCGCTGCTCACTTGCCGCGCTGATCGGGACTGCACCTTCACCGCCCATCACGCCCATGTGAGCCTCAATCCCTTCCATTCCTTTCACCCAACATCTCGTTGTTCTTGGTGATAGACTGGAGGGAACAAGCGGCGTTGGGCATGACCATAGGTGAGCTCAACCCACCCCGCCCCGGCTCCCAGCATATGGCTTATTTATGCGGAACAGACTGATATAGGGCTTGAAAAGCATTTTGGTTTGCCTGTTTGCAGAAATGTATTAGTAGCTCACCACATGATATCACACGTGAGTTGCCACAAGTCCGAGAGGAGAGGAGAGAGAAGTACTGACCGAGAAAAACAGCGACCCATTCTGTAGACATAGACTAGACTGGACGACTGCTTACGACTTGGAAGAAGAGATTTGTTTCAGGTACGTATGCTCTGTCTTCTTCTCTTGGAGCAGCGGCCTGGAGACTTGGATGTCTGGATGTCTGGATGTCTGGATGTGGGGCAAGAAACAATGTACGGGAAAGCATCTAAACGGATTCTTCGCGCGCTATCTGCTCAGGTCCTATATGGCTCGCGCGGGAGCATGGCTCTGAGTCTGCCGATCCAGGCGCGCTTCCATTCCGACCGCTGCAGAGGTGCATCCTCTTAACCCGCTGGAAGACCTTGGACGCGCGGGTTTGCCGAGGTGCATTGGCCTGTTCCAGCGCTGGGACAGCCTCGAGCACATTCTCTGGCGACATGCTCCCGGACAAGTTGCCCGCCGGTCTCTCCAACTGTCGCTGTCTTCTGTGCTGCTCTTCCTCCTCTTCGCCTCGTATCCTACTCTCGTCCGTCGGGGATAGTGTGGTCTCCGTAGGGGTCATGGCTGACTTTGCTCACAGATATCGCCGATTGTAATTATTCCGCAGGAACTAGTGAAGTTTTCTTTGTATTTGCCATGAATGTGAGCTTGCCTTACCGCTACGGAGCGCGACGGTGGTGCTGATGATGAGCCTAGCCTGCGCGCAGAGGTACGCCCGAGTCGGAGGCAGTGGCCTCGTCTGAGGACGAGCGTCCCTGGCCTTCTTCGATGTCGTTCGGGAAATTTCCCTTGAAGGAGGACAGTGTGCCGGGCTTACCTGGAGGGATCTGGTCGCAGAAGCGTCCCAGTTTCAAGATGGAGATGGCGCCGCGGCCTGCTGTTGCGGTCGCTCGAGATGTTCGTCTGGGTGCTGTCAATCCGGCTCACGCGGCGGCGTTCCGTGGGACTCCTTCTCCTTCTTCGACGGGTGATGGTTCTGGATCGTTGCCCTTTGCTATTCCTTTGCAGCCGACACCAAAGGCAGGTCGTTCACTGTCTCACTCGCAGGGGCAGCGTGAAGTTCTCCAGGGAGCTGGTGGTGCGCATGCAGGCGCGGGAGCCGGACAGGGAGCAGCACTTCCGCTTGGCCTACTAACGGAAGAAGTTGATACGGAGTCGGATTCGGACCTGGAAAATGTGCTCACGCATACTAATTCGCATCCCCCTATTGGATCATTGATGCGTACAACAACTCTACCCGCTACCTACCGAGGCTACCAGGGACCGAGCAATGGCAGAGACCATCCGAATGGACGCTCTCCGCCCCATCAAGGCGTCTCGCGGGGAAAGACGTTTGAATCCGCCTTCTCACCCATCTCGCTAGGTAAGTACTGGACATGGTGGAGGAGCCTACGAGCGTTGTGGAGAGCGCATCTGAACGATATCTGACGCGTTCGTGCCAAAAGAACACCCACGACATCGAGCCCAATGGCAGAGCCATCTCGGCTGGGACGTCCCAGCTGGCATCAACGAATCGCGACGACACTCTCTCGCCGACATTCCAACTCGCCGTGGCTCTGTCGCAGGCGGCGAGCCAAGTCATCTCAGCAGGAGCTATACCATTAACGACGCCATAGAGGACGAACCAGCACGTAAGTTTGCCTTCATCTCCTGATCCGCCCCACCATTACGCCCTCGTGCCCTCACACCGTTCTACCCTCGCGCGCAAGCAAGCAATCAGGCGCCAACGCGGCCAAACAGCCGCTGCTGTGAATGATGTTGTTGCCTGCGCCACATCCTCACTTGCAGCCCCTGAATGCTATACCACTCTGTCGCGTCGCCCTCACTTTCACTTGACTCTTTCACAGTTTTCTCCGCATCTGAGCTCTGCACAACATCAACGACTTCGTTGGCAACACGCAGAACAGCATACAAACGTCGCCCATCAATAGCATCGAGATCGAGCGCTGCTAACACGACTTTCCACCAGAATATCAACAATTCGGCCCTGACAGAGCGATCGATACAGCGAACGACCCTCAGCACGTCGGCTCTCGCGCACAGAGAACCCCAAACATCATACCTCCTATGTACATCGCCCCACCTGTTGAACTCACCGCGCACGAACAAGGCGAGATGGACGCGCAGCGACAGGTGACCCAGGGCATCCACTGGGGGCCAGGCACCGGACGGCCGAAGAAGCAGCTCTACGTCGTGAGCTTCAAGTGCTCGCGTGTGGACGTCTTCTACCTGCTCGACAACACTGGCCTGGCCGTCAACGAGGGCGACATGGTAATTGTCGAAGCCGACCGCGGACAAGATCTTGGCACGGTGCAGCACGCCAAAGTCACCCCGGACGCCGCGCGCCTTCTCAAGAAGAAGTACTCCGAGGAGCAGTACAAGTGGCTCATGATGTACAGCCGCAACAAGGAGGGCGGCTTGAACCCGAACGCACAACTCCACGGCGAGAGCGAGGGCTTTGGACGCCTCTTCCCCGACGCGCCAACGACGATGCAGGGCACGATTCCGCGCGACAATTACAACAACCTGAAGCCCAAGGCGATCAAGCGCCTGGCGAACGACCACGAGATCAAGATGTTGGCGGAGAAGGAGGGCAATGAGGCCAAAGCGAAGCGTACCTGCCAGCAGAAGGTAGCGCATCTCCGTTTGCAGATGGAGATCCTTGATGCGGAATGGCAATGGTGAGTGATCATGTCGGCAGAGTGCAAGTGAGGTTTCACAGTTGCTAACGTAAGCATGCAGGGATTTCCAAAAGCTGATCTTCTACTACTACGCCGATCACTACATCAACTTCAAGGACCTCATCACCGAGCTCTACCGCATCTACAAGACGCGCATCTGGCTTTCTGCCATCAACCCGGCCTCCTTCTCTCAACATGCCATGGGTCAGCCGCCAAGCGGTATCGGCCCCGGCGCCGTTGCCCCCTTCAACCCTTACGCGATGAACAATTCCTACACCATGGCGTACGGCGAGGATCGCGACCCATACGGCGCGCAGATGCCATATCGCATCCCTTACGAGACATACACCCCGAACTGTAAGTTGAGACGGCGCGGAATTTGGGAAGCAAACCTGGCTAATCGCTGCACAGACCCAGCCATTCCCGGCGTATCCAACAGCTTTGCGCCGGCTCAATTCCCCAACGGTCAGAACTACCTGTTCTACGGTCCGGGTCCTGGTAACGGCCAGAATCAGGGAATGACGTCCTCGCCGCAGATTGCCGACGACACGACTCCGACGTCTGCGCAAGGCCCGGCACCGCGATCGAGCAATCTCATGGACTACAACTTCTTCCCCAGTAACGACGAGCACTACTCCATGGGCGTTGGCAAGGACGCGGCTCAACCAATGGCGTCAATGATGTCTGATATGGCCAACGTGTCGCTCTCCGACCCATTCAGCAAGCAGTTCGGGACGGGCTTTGCTCCACCATACAATGGCCAGGCCCAGACAGGCGCTGGTCAGCAAGCCCCAGGAGCACAGAACAGTCCATGGACCGCGAAGGTCCCCAACTCCGCCGGTGGAATGGGCCGGCCAAATGTCTTGCCTAATCCCATAGGCACTGCTCGTCCGCCCTCGCAGTGCCAAGAGTACGGCGCGCTTGCCGACAATCAGCGTCGCGCAACTGTCGACTTTGCGTCTTCTCAGTTCCGCGGTCTTGACACCACCCAGGCCGCCATGGGTCGTCCGAACTTCCTCGCCGATTCAGCGCATCCCAGCAACACGGGCAACGACAGCCGTGCCAACGTCGTACAAGCATTCAACTACCAGAACGTCGCGAAGGGCAGTCGTAGAGATAGAGAGGAGGCTGCTGGACGCGTCGGTACCATGGATCGCTACTTCTCTCAGCTCCCACCACCGACCGACATAGGCAACATGCATGCGGACGAGATGTCGCGCGAGCGCTGACCACGATGATCGTCAGCGACGTCCACGGCTATCGCAACCTAGAAAGCGACTGCGAAAGCGGCGGTGACGGAAAGAGCACCCCCCGCGACCCGCTTACGACAAGACCACCATCATGACGAATTCGACGACGACGACTTGAAAGTACCTGCTACAACTACAAAAACGGATAAATTGGAATGCTTGATGCAAACATTACAAACGAAACATGACAAAAACAAGATTGCTGCATACGAAAGGGTCACCACCACCACATCATACGACTTCCATCATCATCATATCACCAAAACCCCCTTTTGGGAGCATAGCAGGGCATCGGAGCGAGACTGGTATGGATTTTTTGGAAATGGTTGGGTGGTTTCCGTAGTAAGGGGGACATGGAGACTTCTTGGAGTGGAGAGCGGAGAGCTAACAACCTTGAGAGTCGAAGGCGTTTATCGGGCGTTGTGAGATTTCCTTTGGGGGGGCCATCCCTCTCTTGATGATATGGAAGAAAAGGGGCCAAGGGCTTTGCTTGCTTGCTGGTAATGACTCTACAGCAATAATGCCCGCGAGACTCTCCAGCAATAATGCCCGCGATGCGGTTTGCTTTTTCTTTTTCTGTTTCTTTTTTTTTTTTGGATCGAGATCTTTTAAAGTCTCGTACTTTACTGCAGTGCTCTATTTTTTCTCCCCCTTATTATGATGATGATGATGATGATGATGATGATGATGATGATGATGATGATGATGATGATGATGATGATGATGATGATGATGATGACGACGTAGTAGTAGTGGATCGTTGATACGATATGGGGTTTACTGTAATGCTGGAGTCCGTCCTCCTCAAACAAAGAATGAATGCATGCATCTTCTCATCCTTCCTTGACTTTGGAGTATCATATCACTCTGTGGTCTATCTATCTATCTAGAGATTTGATGGTTGGTTGGTTGGTTGGTTGGTTGGTCACTTGCAATTGCGATTTCTGTCTGACCTTGGGGGGGGCACGCTTCGCTTCGATCATGCATGATGAGCAAGCAGCAGCAGTTTTTTGTAAATTCCATCGCTGGATCTAGATGGAGATTGCATTTCATTCATTCATTCATTCATTCATTCATTCATACATTCATTCATTCATACATACAACGCGTGCGTCGGCCGGAGAAGAAGAAGATCTGACGGTGGAAGTAGAAAAGGAGACGGAGACGGGACGAAATCAATCAATCAATCAATCAATCAGGGGGTATCTATCTCATCATCACTTCATCATCAAAAGATCATCAAAAGAAATGCAGAGCATATCATCACCAACCAACCACCCGGTCTTGCCGCCGACGACGACGAGGACGACGCCAAAAAGCGCGTGCGTAGCAGAACGAACACCAACTATCCCCTTTTCTTGCCTTGCCATGCCATGCCATGAAGATAAACCAAAAGATCTCTCCTCTCCTCTCCTCTCCCCTCCCACAACGTTTCCTCACTCTTCCTACTCACTCGTCCCACGGCAAATCCCTCGCCTCGACCCTCGTACAAGTCAGATAGCCCAACCCGGCGGGCCCCAGATCCCGCAGATCCAATTCCAGGAAATTCCGCATGAGCGGTCGGACGACGTCCCGGGCGAGATTCTTGACTTCTTGGATGCGGCGGTCGAAGCGGCGGAGGTTGTCGCGGGTGTAGAGATCCGTGCCGAGCTGGGCGGCGGGGGATTTGAGGAAGCGTTTGAGGTCGTCGCGCGTGAGGTAGGTGGTGGTGGAGTCGCTGGAGCCGATGAGGCGGTAGACGCGGCCCGTGTTGACGGCCGGGGGAGGTTGTTGGGGAGGTGGTGGTGGCGGGGGGACGACGCGTTGGGTGGCGAGATGATTGCTGCTTCTGCTCGCTGCGCGAGAGGTGTTTGCGTTTTGGGCTGCCGCTGCTGGGGCTCGCGTGCTGTCTTTGAGGATGCCGATTGGCGCTGGGGTGGTGTTTTCGGCGAGCCATTGACGGAAGAGAGAGACTGCCAGCCAGCTCAGGTAGTCATTGCTCGGAGTGACGCGCTCGCCTCTACCGGTCGTGAGGTTGAGACGCCAGAGCTTGAACTCGACGCGCTCTTCCATCTCTCGCAACTCGTCGACTTTGTCTTCGAGCAGTTCCATGACGCTGGTCTCGACCTGTCCTCGGAGCTGCGGTGCTGCTGACGGCCATTGCCCGACGACGTGGATCAGGGATTCGGTGAAGATGGTTCGGGAGCGGGCGAGAAAGGCTAGCTTCAGGTACGAGGGCGGGTACTTGGCGATCTGTTTGAAGAGGCGTGCGCCGAAGCGTAAGAGGTGGTGGTCGACCCTCGTTCCCACAATCTCCAACGCGTCGTACATGTCTGCCAGATGGAGGAGCGCCTTGCATTCGGTGTAGGCGGTGGCGATGTTGACGCTGTCGAGCGAGGGCGGATGCTGGTACATGGTTCGGAAGAGATTGTCGTAGTCCTTGAGCACCTCGTCGCCGGGCTCGGCGGGCACGGACGGCTGGTTCCGCTCGTTCAGATCGAGGGAGGAGAAGTTACTGACGCTGCGGAAGAAACTCTCGTTGGACGTCGGCGGCTTGTTCCTCACCGGCGGCGGTCGCGCGTCATCTCCGAATACTGACCCGGGATCGGGATGTACATGTACATGTCCATGTACATGTATCGACTCGGAGCCCGAGCCCGTCGCCTTCTGCACCAACATGGGAAGGTCGTCCTCGCCCGCGGCTTCCCAATCCAGCTCATATCGCCACCGGCTCCTGCCCGCGCTATACGTGCCTGCCTCATACGAGGGCCGTCGCTCCTGACTGCTGGCTCTCGAGCTACTGCCCGCGGTGACGCTCTCGTTCTCGTTCTCGTTGATGCGGCCCAGCCCTCCTCCGACCGCAACGCCGCTACTACCCGTACCCGTCCCCTCCGCCTCCGCCGGCCGCCCACTCCATTCTGCGCTCGTGGCCGCTGCGAAGAAGCCGGAGCATTGGCTCAGGATGAGCCGGTGCAGCAGATATCGCTTCTCGCGCCTCCCACTCGCGTTCTTGATCACGATCTCCACGTCGCCGGTGTGGGAAAAGATGGGGAACTCGTTCTGCGGCCGATGCGACGACGCGCCATGATGGCTCCGGGCATGTCGATGCCGTCTCGTGCCCGAGCGACCCGAGGTCACGGAGGATGCGCGTTGATGGGTTGCGGGAGGAGCGGAGGGAGCGACGGAGGCAGGGCGAGGAAGCTCAGAATACGGCGGAGGATGGTGAGAGACCATTGGATGTTTCGTTTCGGTTTCTTGTCACGACGCTCTCTTCGCAGAGCATGTGCGAGAGCATGTGCGAGCCTTCGCCCTGTCTTCCAAACGCGGCATCACCAAGTCGATGCTATCTTTTTCTATGTCGTCGCGCCTGCACCAACGATCCGGCCTCAGCGAGCTCGGAGAAGGTAAGGTAGGATCTCGTCAAGCACGCGCAGCGCACGCGTTTCGGGGCCGCCGAACGATGCACAAGGTCCCCCGCCGTCACGTTGGTGGGGAGGGGAGGAGAGCAGGCCTTTCCTTTCCTTCCCGCCCGAACCTGGCAGCGCATCGCAGACGAAAGCGAAAGGCCAAGAACACAGAAGGCGTGCCCGAGGACCGACTTTAGCCGCAGGTGGCGGAGCGCTGAAGTGGCAGGAACGACGACGTGATTGGCTGTGAAGATACTCGACTAGTACTGTAGGGGTCTTCCCAAACATGAAGATCCATGGAGCAGCCTCTCATCAGTCATCCATCTATGGAGCAGCTTCTCACATCTACCGAGACACATGCTACCGATCGATCCATACACGTATCACTGTCCGCCATATCCTGAATTGCCTGACTCGGCCCTCTCAATCGCCCGCCTCGTCGCCTCATCCATGTCCTCCTCCGGCAGGCCGAGGAGGCTGTTCAGAGTGCCTCTCCTGGCCTCCAAGTCCCCATTTCCATCCGGATAGAAGACACGTGTGTACATCATACGGACGAATGCTGCATATCTCTCGGGCCCTTTCGCCTTCATCGCCTTGACGGCCTCCTCGTATCGCTCCACAGCCGGCTCCTCGCTCACGGTCCAGTCTTCCTCCTTGCTCCCGGTCACGCGAAGGATGGATTCGAACATCTCTTGCTGGCTGACCGTGAACGAGCTGATGTACACGAGCTTGTTCTGGAAGTCCTCGAGGCCCTTGTCAGAGCCCTCTGCCTTGATCGGAAGGCTAAGCAGGGCAGCCACGGCTCGTCCGACCTGTGGCCACGTGGACGTGGAGATCTTGGTCTGGCCTTGGTCGAAGTAAGTCACCTTTCGCTTGGCAAGATCGAAGCCATAGCTAGGCGGAATCGCCAAGCTCCATTCATACCAGAAGCCGGTGGAGAGACTAATGTGCTTGATCTTGCCCTGATCCTCGATCCACTTCTGGAACTCGCTCAGACCTCCAAAGTTGACGACATCCCGTGCAAGGCCTTCGTCTGTGGTGTCTGGCGCCCAATGGTTGGGAATTACCCACTCGACGCCAGCTGCAATGGCCGCATTCACCAGCTTGGCCTGTTGGTCCTTGGGAGCGACGACCGACATGGTGATGACCAGCACATCTTGGCCCTGCAGCGCCTTCACGATGGTCTCGGCCTTCTCGTAGTCGATCGTCTTGGCTGTGACTCCCTCTGGAAGCTTGGCCTTACTATCCGCTCGGGTGAGGGCAGTTACGATGTGCTTGCCCGTCTTGAGAAGCTCAGCTGTCATGAAGGAGCCACTGTTCCCGCCAGCACCGACAATGGCGACATTCTTGAGGTAGTTTGGGCTCGCCATGTCGGAATGTCAGAATCGTGTCTCTGGTGACGGGGCTTCCTCTTTGTTAGGTGGAGCTTGATGATGTGAGGAATGTTGACGAGCTGAACAGGACGACGTCGCCTTTTATCCTCGGCGGCAGGCCTACGGGGCATGTAAAAGCGCTATCTCCGTCTGCATGGTTGGCGCCTACATCTTTGGCGGATTCGAAGCCCAGTCTCCTCTCTCTCGGAGCGGTTGCACTCTACAGCAGAGAACATAAACGCGAGAGAGGGCAATGATCGACAGCAGAGCTCGAGATGCCTGTGATATGACCAGTTCGGACGGGGCGCGCCGGACGGGAGCTAGCCACACTTCGTACAAGACCCCTGCCGCGTGAAAGACGTCTCGGGTAGCCTTCCAACACTCGATTGTTATCGCTCGTCAATTATAGAACTGAAGGTGACCGGAGCTAAAGGCATCGCGTCCAGCCGAATAAGCCATTATTCGAATCTTACTAGCGTCCTCTGGACAGGCTTGGGAATCAGTCGTCTTCGACGGATTCGAACTCGTACGCTACAGGCCTAGCGCCAGGCAGTGGTCGTGGAGCATCACCTTCGCCTGCTGCTCGCTGTACTACTATGCTACGCAGCAAAGGCAGCCCAATCTCCACTGTTTCCGGCGACGCTGGATCGCCGTCAAGGCACTGCTGAATCGAGTTCAATGACCGCGCCATCTTTTCGTCAAACTGGCAACGCTTGCATCTGCCGCCTGACGTATAGCGGCTTTCGCATTTTCAGAAAGTAGTTCATCGCTGGCCGAAGTATGACGCGAATCTGTACTTCCGTACAGTGGGAGAAGAGCGCATGCTGCGAAGGCATGCACGTCGAATGACCTCGAGTCGTGATCAGAGCAGAGAGTGCATGCTGGTACTCCGAGTGACCGCCTTCGAATGCTTCTGAGGTAGAGGCATTGGATGGTGCTGGGGAAGTTCTCGCAAAATATTTTGGACCGGAAGCTTCGATGCTATGCCCGTCGCTTCACCGCGCGACCCTCTCAACTCATCGACGGTCTTTGATAGATTCTCCACAACAATTTCCAAACGATCGACTCTTTCTCCGGTAGGTTCCCTGAATCCATTCCTTGCTTTCTGGAGAGGTGGCTCAGACAGCGTCAGAGTGGTAAGGTCCAATTAGGCCTACGAAATGAAATGCCATTGCCCTCTCGCGGACTTCCAGACAAAAGATCGGCGGATGCAGTGTAACAGGCTTTTGCACTACAAGCGAATTTAACAATAGCTCCGGATTCTCACATGGACGCACAATGTCCATTGCCAAGACTGCGACATGAAACAACCTTCTCGACATTATATTGTCGAAGCCGGTCTGGGTATATGCCATTCTGCAATGTGCCGTTCAATCCAGGTTCGCTGTCAAAAAAAACACCATCGCTTTCCACCATGACCCCTAGCTGCTTTTTCATTCGCCTGGACTTCCTCTGCTGTCGCCCAACGTCGACGTTGTCGGATTCGAAGACATTTTGGTTCTGCTCCCGTAGCTTCTCGAACTTCTCCATGTCCGCGACGTATGTGTCTCCCCACCAGGCGGCCATATCAGGACTGGTGCCGGTTTATCGGGAGTCGGCATGCCGCCCACGGTACCAAAGCTTGTTTCGACGCCAATCTCAGGCGGCCGCTGCAGACCTGCTTCCAGCTCTCGTTCTTCTCGCCAAGCAGTGCCATCTTCGTGAAGGGTGGTGACTGGCTTTTCCGTGATTTCCAGATCCCCCTGGCGTAAATGAACACCATGCGGACCTCCGAAAGCTTCCGATTTCCCGGCTTTCCTTCTCGAGCGAGGAAGACCGATAGTACTCTTTCGATCTCGTCGTTCGGGAGCGTCACGGTTTTGCGGCAAGAAAGCTACTGGTGAGGGAGTGCGATTTCCGCCGCGCTGCCAGAACCAGCGTTTGAAGAGAGGTCGGATGATGGGTGCGTTGACGGCTATGATGCCCGCAACGGTTTCCCGTGTTCCCCAGCGGTTGATGTTGAGACTGTGGAGGCCTGCCATGCTGAAGGAGATTCGAATGATGGCGGCGGTGATGACGAAGATGCCGGAGCAGAGGAGGAGGGTAAGTGCTATCTTGCGAGCGAGAGGGAGGCGCATTCCCCAGAGTAGGGGGAGGGGGATGGTGAGGATGAGGGCGTCGGTGCCGACGTTCAAAGCGGTCGTGACGTAGAAGTTGGGGAGTTTCTTGAGGCATCTTGTGGTTGAAGGGGGAGGGATGACCTGCCAATTGTGTTGAATGGGCAAGCAGCCGCAGCTGATGGTGAGGAAGACGATGATGTAGCAAGCGGCGGTGATGACGGCGAAGATCTTGGCGAGACGTTCTTGGAAGAGGCCGATCGTGAGCCGTCGCAAGAAGACGAGCATCATGGCCTTGAGGCCCCAGAGCAGAGCAGTGTAGGTGTACCTAGAGAGCGAGCAACATCGATAGATCAGCGCCAAGACCTGGGATATTACATGTGTCCTGATGATGAACCACCTACCACGCCAGCAACTGCATCCTACTACCGATCTGGATCTGCTTGATCTGACAAGGCTCCAGCTTCGCCAGGTCTCGTCTGGCCCAGTCCAGGTTGGAGCCGAACTTGTACACCATCGTGATGGTCACGCAGTCGCACAGGAAGCACAGCCATACCGCTATCGCCATGTAGTCGTCCAGCTGCAGTCGACGCCATCCCACCGTCCGCAACCGTACGGCTGATCTCAGGCAGAGGACCAGACTTCTGGGAACTGGTCAGCCTACATTATACATTCCCTTCTGTACGACAAGACGGGGACGGGGACGGACACATACCCAATCGCGAACCATGCCCAGACTTCGTGAAGATATGCTCCGCGGTGGAAATAGGCCTGCGTGCTCGGACAGGCCATGTAGGTCGAGGGTTGGAGGATGGAACAACAAGAGTGATTCACAATAAAATCTTGTCGTGACCAAGGAGGAGGAGGAGGAGGAGGAGGAGGAGGAGGAGGAGGAGCAGGCGCCGCGCAGCAATCAATCGGTGAACATTATCTGACCTTTTGACCACCTGCGCCCCCCAAGAAACCAAAGCCACCTATATCAATCAATCTCCCACCGAGCTGGCAATTGTGAAACTCTAAAATAGAGAAAAAAAAAAGTCGCCTTGCCGCGCGCGTGGGCGCGCGCGCAAGCAAGCAAGCAAAAACAGACAGCTTGTTAGAAAAAGCGTTGGCCCGCCGAATTTACACACTTGTTCCCTTTTCCAGCTTGGAATGGGCCGTACACATTGAGCGAGAGCTCCGTCATACCGCCCGGGTATTTCTCGTGAGATCGATCCTGTTTGGAGGAGCTGGATCGGAGTGCCGTGGCGATTGCCCTCGACGGCAACCCGCCCAGGCTAACGGGGGAGGGGAGGGGGGAGGGGAAAGGATGGGACGTGGATGGTGTACTGTAGTTCCCACCGAGCTTTTTCAGAACCAGGAACTGGGGTTTCCCGTCTTCTCATCGACATTCAATCTTTTTCAAGACTAGACTAGACACGACACCGACACCGACACGGATCGTATCATCATCATCATCATCATCACTCCATCCACCCATCCATCCATTCTGTTCCGCCTCGAGGCTCGCGGGTATTTCTCACTCACAAACATTCATCATCAGATGTGAACTCAATCCCAGTCCAGCCGAAGTACTCTCGCGGTTCTGCTGGACGGGATGCTCTTCGAGGCAAAGAGACGGCTCTGATCTCGACAGCCGTGTCCTGAAAATCCCCCAGACTCCCCCGGGATGGCCTGGCAATGCTGGGACCCGGTTCAGGGCTCCTCGTGACTGCCTCGTGTCGTCCGTGTCGAGGCCCGGCAGGGTGCATGTGGGTGGTCGTGAGCGTCACAAACACTCTCGGCATACCTCATCAGGTGCTGTGATGTGAGCCAAGCGGTCAATCGATTGTGTTGTTCATCATCCTCATCATCATCATCAGATGGTCCTGGGGAAGATGCGGAAAGGATGTGCCCGGGACTGAAGTCTGCTCGGCCGCGGCACGAGCCGAGACTAGCCTATCCTAATCGCCTTCCCAAGGCTTGAATGTCGGGTATCATGTATCGTGCAGAGAGAATCCAATGGTTGATACATCTATCATGATATTATGCTGCCCCAGACACCTCGCTTTCCGACCCAAGATGACTCTCACCTCATTGGCCTCTGCCTCGACCTCTTCTACCTTCGCCCGTCTCACTCGCACCTCCCGCGCTTGTGGTGCGGCTCATTGGCTCACCTCCAAGTCTTCCGCTCAATGCAGCTGCCATGCTGATTCCTGCTGGTACAGTGCCCGTGACGTGAGAGCGACTCTGGATATGCGCAACTACCGGCAAGACAGGCGCGAAGCCCGTGCGTGGCTCTCTATCCACGCCACGGCCAAGTAACGCTCCAGGACCAGTCTCAAGTTGTGGTAGCCGATAAGGCGCTTGAACACCCGATCCACTGTCCAGCGCTTGATGATAGAGGTCTCGACGTAGATCCCGCGCCTTCTGTGCACCTTCCGGATCTATGCTCGCGTGCTCATCGGCATCAGCTCCGGCGTCCCTTATCATGTTAAAGTCGCTTTCAATATCCAAATTACCGACGGGTGGAGGCGCTGGAGCTCCCATTTTCTCGCTCCGCATGGTTGCATGGATATGCGGATGGCCTGGAGCAACTGGTACGAAAGGATGACGCTTCACGACCGGCGAAGTCGACGAAGCTGCTGCTGCCGCCAATTGATCCAACGCAGCCAGCGGATTGTTCCGTGCTCCTCCGCGCGTCAGCACCTGATGTGAAGCACTGCGCTCCATACCAGGTGCAGCAGCGGATGGTTCTGAAGGCGGAGGCGTATCTGCGCCATTCACTGGGGCAGTCGCATCCGTCATTTGCTCGTCCGCAGGCACAACTTCTGCTGACTCCACCACCTCTCCGTCCAGTGAAGGCACAGCTGTGCCGTTGCCATTGGAACTCTGCTCTTGCTGTTCCTTCGGTTGATGGAAGTATTTCCATGTAGCGACTCGCGCTGTATCTGTCGCCATGGCGAGCTCTTTCTCTGTGAATAGCCTCTCGATGCTGTACGCAGGGGCTTCGAATTGTGCATATTCTCTTTGGCCTCTGGCGTCTTTGAAGGGACTTCGACCACCCGCGAGGTGCGGCAGAGGCGACTCATTGCCTTGGTCGTCTTCCATTTGTGCCAATTTGCGCTTCCTCTTCCCTCCTTCGCCCGCCTCTGCTCCAGCCGGCGCAGGACTTGCACCGCGATTATGCCTGAGATGCCGCGTCCTCTTGCTAATGCCAGCACCGTTCTGGCTTGGCGAGCCTGGGTTGTTGCGAATGCTGAAGTGATTCGGGTGGAGAAGCATGGCGTTGCTGTCGGAGATATCGAGCTGCTCTTTGTCACGAAGCAGCTGTGTCTTCTTCTTATTCAAGTTTGATATTAGACGTGATCGGATCGTGTTGGTCAGTGCTTTGTGCTCTTCTTCGGCTTGGTGCAGTCGCTGCTGGTACAAGTCGTCAAGTTCTTTCATGGACGATTTGTAATTATGCTAAACCGCATGCATTAGAGCTGAATGGCACGTGTGCTCGACAGACCTGGGACTCACATTCAGCTGTGCCAGATCGGCGTCTCTCTCTTCAATGGCGTCGTTGATGTTCCTGACGAACTCGCTGTACCGCTTCCCAGCTATGCTCCAATAGTCTTGTCGCGCAGCTTCGTCGTTGGGTAGACTGACGCCTCCATTCCCATTCGCATCCCCCGCCATGACATCCTCTGCCAGTGCTTGTATCTCGTCATGACCGTCGTCAAGCGGTCCGTCTCTGTACGGGTCCGCACGAAGAACCAAAGTCATATCAACCTGTACACCTTGTAACTGTGCTCTGTAGTGATTGTGCTGATTCGCAGAGAAGCTGTTGACCATGCCCTGTAGTTTCTCCATGATGCGATTGCGTCTTACGTCGCGTTTCGTGAGGGGCTGTGGTTGGGGAGAGGGTGAATGGTCGAAGGGCGAGGTCTGGCGGGCGATGGCCATCTTGGCGGCTGTCTAGCGGTATCGTGCACGTACGGATGGTCGTAGACTCGCAAACGGGGTAAAGAGGGCAGTAATGAGATGCAGAGCGCAGGAGAAGAGCTGGCGAGTTGAAGCTGCAAACGATCGACAGCGCGGTCGCTCTCCAAGCCGTCCACTCGCTTCGAGGGATCAGCTGAAGAAGATTGTCCGTAGTGCTGTGCGAGATGTGGAGCTTGGGCAGAAAAGTGATGGTCGTGCAGCGTCCATGGAATAGGTGTGTAGCAAAGGGTGGGGGGGGGGAGTGTGTGTGAAAAGAGGTGCTGGTTTCTTGACAGCCCCAGGAACAGAGAGCATGTGCCATGGCTGCCGATATTCGCCGACGCCGACGCCGAGCCGACTTTCGACGTCACTCTCCACTGTCCGAATGCGGTATAATTCCGGAAACTCCATCTCTCTCACGGCCTCTGCCCCAACTTGCTCTTCCTAGATATCATCTTGAATGGAAACATGTGACACGCATGCCATTGCTACGGACATCGTCAATTCCATGCGGGAGGGCCTCTTGGCCATGTCGTTCGGCCGAAGCAGGACCACCACGCGGCACTCAATGCGGGGACCGATGTGCACCTCCAACATCAATTCGCCTATTGCCTTTGGCGAGAACCATGTTCACTTTCTGGCATCGTTGCCTCCTTGAAAGATGCAGAGGCTTGCAGCGGGTCAACAGAGCCCATCGCGCTTGGCCGTCGTGGAAAGGAGGTATAAGGTACGACTCGTACTCCCTCGACTCGATCCGTTCCACTCCTAGCCAGCCATCATGTTACTCTATCTCCCCAGCCTGCTCTTTGTGGGCGTGGTCTTCGGCAGCAAATATTCTCTACAAGACTCCATCCTTGCCTGTGCAAACACGAGTCGAAGATCTTCTGTCCAAAATGACCATCGAAGGAAAGACCTCCCAACCCCTCCAGGCGATGTCTCAATTTGGCTTGACACCAACTCAGGCGCTTTTGATCATTCTGGCCTGGTCCAAAACTTCGAACAGAAAGCGGAAATGTTATATGTGGGGTATAAGATCATGTGGGATCGGCTAGCAACAGATATCAGACGTGGACAGGGCTATGCGGTCAACAGTACGAGGTTGGGCGTTCCAGCCATCTCCAGACCGAAGGATGCCAGCGGGACACAGTGTGGATGTGAGAATTGAGTTTGGGACCGTGAGTGACTGTGGGGTTTGGATAGGGAGGATGGAATATGTTGTTGAGCTGGGGCAGCTTGTGATGTATATGCTGAGATGCTCGAGATGTTGATCCGTCCAGCCAAAAGGCGCTCGAGGGTCGGGCAGAAGCGAAGTCAGCGCTGACATATTCGTGTCGTGCGTGAGAGCCCACAGAACGGAGCTACTCGGTGAAGCTTCCAAGTTCTGTGCACGACTGACAAATCCGGGTAGCTGTTGCCGTTTCCCAAGATTCCTGCATGTGGATCTCGGTAGCTGGTGCCGGGATGTTCGTCGCTTGAGTCATGTTGCTTTTCCTTGTGCCGTGCTGTGCAGCATCAGCTCCCACTTCGTCATCGCTGAGTCGGTTGAGGTCGCACAGGCGCACGAGAGCTTGTCGTTTGCTGTCGTCTCAGTGAGGAGGAGGTGGGATGGAAGTAGACGGCGGCGTACGTCAATGACTTGCTTGACGACGGAACGGGGAGACAGCAAACACCAAAGGACTCAGCGAGCCATGCAGACAGACAGACAGACAGACAGACAGACTACGGACAGCATACACGCGCGCCCCGGTGCGAGGAAGGCGAGAGGACCTGATGAAGACCACTGCATAGCGGGACGAAAGCAAACGCGGTGGATAAGATAAAGATCAGGACAATGACGTCCCCATCTCACGCAGCACACCGAGCCTTCGACGATGCAGCGGCAACACGCCTAACACTAATCAGCCTCTCAGAGGCACGTCACCCATTCGCCATCGCCATTCTTCTTAACTCCGATTCACCACACACTACTACTACACTACGGAGGTGTGTGTTGCTCTTTCTCCTGCCCGCCAACGGAACGAGTATCGTGCCTTCCCGTCGTCTCTCTGCCTAAAACGCTCTTTCCTCCCGTTCCACTCTTCTCGCGCTTCTCGCTTCTCTCTTTCCTCTTCTCTCTTCTCTCCCTTCCCTTTCCCTCTCCCTCTCCCTCCCCCTCTAGCTGCCGCTGCGCGGAATCTCGCTAGAAAATACACAACACAGCACACAGAGAGAGCGCTGCTGGCACGGCGGTCACGTCCACGTCTGCCTGCCATGTGGGGAAGTTCGGTCGACGAGCGAAAGCTCAACCTGGCCGACAATGCTCGTGCGAACCAATGGCACCGCGGCGATGGCCAGGCCGATGCCGCACGCGTGCATCAGCCAACACATCCCACTGAAGATGTCGAGAGTAGTCCTGAAGACACCGAGCGCGCGGGCACATGGGGAGAGACAGACGTCGGCGGCTTCGACCGCGAAGGCGCAATGGAAGACTACCTGGAGTTGAGGAATCACCTCACCCACCTCACCAAGACCCGCTCCAAGGATCCAGGACACCCCCTCAAGAGAGCCGCGACCGGTGCCAGTGCAAGGAGTAAGAAACAATCACTCCGAGATTCGCCGTCATTCAGACAGGGCCAGCCCTCGGAAGGAGTCACGTCTGGTGATCCCGAGAAAGAAGAAGGACCGGAGGAAAGAGGCGATGTTGAGGCAGGTGCACAGGAGGAGGAAGAGGACGAATTCGAGCTCGATCGTTTCATGAGAGAAGGGTACTTCGAGAAGCGGACCGACGATGAATCTCACAAGAAGGTGGGCGTCATCTACAAGAATTTGACAGTCAAGGGTGTCGGGTCGACCGCATCCTTTGTCAAGACCCTTCCGGACGCCATCCTTGGCACCTTTGGACCAGATCTGTGGCGCATCATCTCGGGTTTCATACCGGCTCTGCACCGACGAAGTGGTGAGACCCGCACAATCCTGAACGACTTGACGGGATGTGTACGCGACGGAGAGATGATGCTGGTTCTTGGTCGACCGGGCTCCGGCTGCTCCACCTTCCTGAAGGCCATTTCCAACAACCGCGAAGGTTACGCTGAGGTCTCGGGCCAAGTCTCCTATGGCGGTATCACTGCCGATAAGCAGAAGAAAATCTACCGTGGCGAGGTCAACTATAACCAGGAGGACGACGTGCACTTCGCGTCGCTCAACGTTTGGCAGACCTTTACTTTCGCGTTGATGAACAAGACGAAGAAGAAATTCCAGGACGACATTCCTGTCATTGCCGACGCGTTGCTCCGCATGTTCGGTATCAGCCACACGAAGTATACTCTGGTGGGTGACGAATACACACGAGGAGTATCTGGAGGTGAACGCAAGCGTGTTTCGATCGCAGAGACGCTTGCGAGTAAGTCCACTGTCATCTGCTGGGACAACAGCACGCGAGGTCTCGATGCATCTACAGCTCTCGATTACGCTCGATCGCTTCGTATCATGACCGATGTGTCGAATCGAACGACGCTTGTAACACTCTACCAAGCAGGTGAAGGGATTTACGAGCAGATGGACAAGGTCCTTGTGATCGACCAAGGCCGCGAGGTTTTCATGGGCCCAGCAGATGAGGCGAAGCAGTACTTCATCGATCTCGGCTTCGAATGCCCTGACCGCCAGACCACAGCCGACTTCTTGACCGCCGTAACCGATCCAGTGGAGCGGAGATTCCGTGTGGGATATGAGGATCGAGCGCCGAAGACCCCTGAAGACCTTGAGCGTGCATTCAGACAATCTCCGGCCTATCAAAAAGTGCTCGATGACATCGCGGACTACGAGAAGTATCTTGAGGAATCCCATTACAAAGATGCGAAGCGATTTGAATCAGCAGTTCAGGAGGGCAAGTCGAAGCGGGTTTCCAAGAAGTCTGCATACACTGTCTCGTTCCCTCGTCAAGTTATGGCTTGCACGAAGCGCGAATTCTGGCTGCTGCTTGGTGACACTACCACTCTCTGGACGAAGCTCTTCATCATTATCAGCAATGGTCTTATCGTCGGCTCCCTCTTCTACGGCGAACCGGAGAACACCGAAGGCGCCTTCAGTCGCGGAGGCGCTCTGTTCTTCTCGATTCTGTTCCTGGGATGGCTGCAACTTACGGAACTTATGAAGGCCGTAAGTGGCCGCGCAGTCGTCGCACGCCACAAGGACTACGCCTTCTACAGACCCAGCGCTGTCGCTGCCGCTCGTGTTGTTGCCGATCTGCCTGTAATCTTGGTCCAGGTCCTCATCTTTGGCATCATCATGTACTTCATGACGAACCTCACGGTCACTGCCGGCCGCTTCTTCATCTACATGTTGTTTGTCTACATCACGACGATCCTGCTCACGGCACTGTACCGCATGTTTGCCGCTGTCTCTCCCGAAATCGACACCGCTGTTCGATTTTCCGGTATTGCGCTCAACTTGCTCATCATCTACACCGGATATGTGATTCCCAAGCCACAGCTGCTTACCAAGTACATCTGGTTTGGCTGGATCTACTACATTAACCCTCTCAGCTACGCCTTCGAGGCGGTGTTGACGAACGAGTTCGCAGGCAGGACCATGCAGTGTGCGCCATCTCAATTGGTACCGCAGGGTCCCGGCATTGATCCTACGTATCAGGGCTGTGCAGTAGCCGGTGCTGCAGTCGACGGCAAGTCGGTGGCCGGCGAAACTTTTGTGCAAACGCAGTACAACTATACGCGAGCCGATCTTTGGAGAAACTTTGGTGTTGTCATTGCCTACGCAGTGCTGTACATCATTGTCACCATCATCTGTACCGAGGCATTCTCTTTCGCCAATACCGGAGGCGGAGCTCTCGTGTTCAAGAAGTCGAAGCGCGCCAAGCAGATGATCAAGGAGTCGCCTCCCGCTGACGAGGAGAAGGCTGGTGTTGCTGGCGACAATGAGAGTTCCGCCAAGAAGGAGTCTGGCATGGGCAGCTCGTCCGATGATGACCGTGAGAGCGACGCTCTGGAGCAAATCACGAAGAGCGACAGCATTTTCACCTGGCGCGATGTTGAATATACCGTTCCGTACCTCGGCGGGGAACGAAAGCTCCTAAACAAGGTAAACGGATATGCCAAACCAGGTGTTATGGTCGCTTTGATGGGAGCTTCCGGGGCCGGTAAAACAACTTTGTTGAATACACTTGCCCAACGTCAAACTATGGGTGTTGTCTCGGGTGAGATGTTCGTGGACGGCCGTCCTCTTGGACCAGAGTTCCAGAGAAATACCGGCTTCTGTCTGCAGGGTGACTTGCACGATGGCACGGCCACAATCCGCGAAGCACTGGAATTCTCTGCCATTCTGCGACAGCCTGCTAGCACGCCGCGAGCCGAGAAGATCGCCTACGTTGATAAGATCGTTGAACTTCTGGAGCTGAACGACCTACAGGATGCTATTATCATGAGCTTGGGTGTTGAGCAGCGAAAGCGTTTGACCATCGGCGTGGAGCTCGCTGCTAAGCCTTCACTTCTCCTGTTTTTGGATGAGCCCACCTCTGGATTGGACTCACAAAGCGCCTACTCTATCGTCCGCTTCTTGAAGAAGCTCGCTCACTCAGGACAAGCCATCGTGTGCACTATCCATCAGCCGTCTTCAGTCCTCATCCAGCAATTCGACATGATTCTGGCTCTGAATCCGGGTGGAAACACATTCTATTTCGGACCTGTCGGCGAGAACGGACAGGACGTGATCGATTACTTCAGAGAGCGCGGGGTTGACTGCCCGCCCAACAAGAACGTGGCCGAATTCATTCTCGAGACTGCTGCCCGACCTCATAAGCGGGCAGATGGATCAAGGATCGACTGGAACGAAGAGTGGCGCAACTCACAGCAGGCGGTCGTAGTCGTCGAGGAAATCGAAGGCCTTAAGCTCACAAGAAGTACGACAAAGGCTTCGAATGTGCGCCGAGAAGAGCAGAAGGAGTACGCTGCACCGATCCTGCTGCAGTGCACCGAGCTCCTGAAGCGCACCTTTAAGCAGTACTGGCGCGATCCTTCGTATCTCTACGGCAAGCTCTTTGTCTCTGTCATCGTCGGCATCTTCAACGGCTTCACCTTTTGGCAACTCGGCAACACAAACCAAGACATGCAGAACCGTATGTTCACGGCCTTTTTGATCCTCACCATTCCGCCTACTGTCGTCAACGCCGTGGTGCCCAAGTTCTTTACCAACATGGCTCTATGGCAAGCCCGCGAGTACCCATCTCGTATCTATGGCTGGTTCGCTTTTGCCACGGCGCAAGTGGTGGCCGAGATTCCCCCTGCCATCATTGGTGCTCTCGTCTACTGGATCCTCTGGTACTGGCCGACTGGTCTGCCAACGGAAAGCTCCGTGTCAGGCTACGTCTTCCTCATGGTCATGCTCTTCTTCCTCTTCCAGGCCAGCTGGGGCCAATGGATCTGCGCTTTTGCTCCATCGTTCACGGTAATATCGAACGTTCTCCCGTTCTTCTTCGTCATGTTCTCCCTCTTCAACGGTGTCGTACGTCCTTACGCTATGCTGCCAGTCTTCTGGCGTTACTGGATGTACTGGGTCAACCCTTCGACGTACTGGATTTCTGGTGTCTTGGCCGCTACGCTGAACGGCATCCCGGTCAACTGTGCGGAGACTGAGGCCGCCCATTTCAACCCGCCGCCCGGACAGACTTGTCAGGCTTATGCTGGATCCTATGCCATGCAGGCTGGTGGTTTCTTGAAGAATCCAGGCGCCACTACCGATTGCCAGTACTGTCAGGTACGTGAACAACTCCCTTTCCCATTATGTTCTAATCTCATACTGACTCTTTCTCACTAGTACTCCTCTGGAAATGATTACCTCGCGTCCCTCAACATCAATGCGGACCAGAAATGGCGGGACTTTGGTATCTTCCTCGTCTTCGTCTTCACCAACTGGTTCCTGGTCTACTTCTTCATCTACACGGTCCGTGTACGTGGTTGGGGCTTTGGATTTGGATACCTCTTTGCTGGCCTGGGCAAGATGGTCGGATTCATCAAGAAGCCGATCAATCGCCTCATGGCCAAGAAGAGAGGAGGAGAGTAAGGCATAGATGGGGCTCTGGTTGCATGACTCTAGCGTTGGCGCTCTTCGCGAGACAGCATCGATAGATGTGCGTAGTGGGAATGAGATTGTAGACGATTAGAAATTTAATTGTACTGCGTGGGTACTGCGTTTGTGCATTCCAAGACCCTACCTGTCTGTCATGCGTCGATCCTGACGACCACGCAGTGCGGCTCGTCCGGGACCGCGTACATGGGCTCTTTTTTTGCGATTCCGTCGTCGTTGGAGTCCACCAATTGAAAGAGTTGTGAATGCTGACCACCGCAAGCTTCCTCTATCGTATATCCGTTTCGCCAAGACGGTCAGCACAAAACATTTCCACTTATATTCTCAAAATATATATGCTGCGGACTTTTGATTGATGACCATATATACAAAAGGCTGCTGGAGGCGGATCAATTGCTCCAAAAAATTTCACCAACCCTTGTCCTTATTACCACAACATCTCTCTCTCTCTCTCCTTAGCATCATCCTTTTCGACAAGAAGACCGCGCCAACCGAACCGCAACCGGTCACGACGGAGATGGAGCGCATCATCTGGGGTTTGGCCATGGTCCGTCTGCGAGAAGAAGAACGAAAGCGATCGCAATTCATGAACCTACCGAATGAACTGAAACTGGCCATCTTCGCGCATCTCCAGGCCAAGGATCTGCAGATCGCCACGGGAGTCTGCGCACACTTTCGAGAACTCGTATACGGCAATCTGCCACGGCTCGCGGATCCGCAAGCGCACCTCGGTCGACTGCGGGAATTCGTGGGATACTATGTGACCCCGGACCCTGCACGGGTCGATCTCCTCGAAGCGATGCGCAGGGTGATGAGTATCAAGGGTCTCTGGACCGATCGCTATTTGACCGATGTGGTGCTGGATTCTGTCACTTTCTTGCCCGCTGACCGCTCGCTCGAATGGAGGAGAGGGACGTGGAGGATGGCGGAGCTGTTGTACTTCCTGCATGCTCAACATCATCTGCAAGGGAAGCAAGGTCCCCGGTCATACGTGGATGGCGAGGAACCGGATCGCATCAGTTTCGAGAGATGGAGCGGCATGGTACAGATATCCGTTGGAAGGTTTCTTGAGATTTCTACTTCTACCCTGAAGAGCTGGCATGATACGATCGTCAACACCCCGGGGGGGCACTTTCGCGGCGAACCTCAGCTGGAGCCTCAGACCGATCTCATGCTGACGGGACTGTTCTTCATCAACAGCGCAACCGAGGCGGTGCAGCGGCCATTGTGGTTCAAGAAGTGCTACTGCAGCCTCTCTGGCAAGCTGGAATATCTGTCGATGCAGCAGCTGTCTGACTTGCTGCATGTTCCGCTGCTTCCGCAGTTGTGGAGCATCATCCCTAGTGGAAGGGTAGACGGTTGTTACTTTGCGTATTGTGTCCGGAGCGAGTGGGCTGTCGTGCGAATATATCAGGCTGTTTTTCAGGGAAAGGCGCTCTCGGCATTGGAAAGGCTGGCTGTACTTGAGGAGCTTTGGATCTGGTGACATGTGAATAGATTTCCGAGAGCACGTCGCGATATGCTTCTTGTACATGAGGCATTTCAGAAGGAAGGAGACTCCAAAGATGTTCCGTTCCAGTGGCTGAGGAATTAGCAATACCTCCAGCTACCCTTCTCGTTCAGCGAAGCCGGTATGCGATATAGCTCTGATGGCCAGCAAGAACCAATCTGCGTAGACCAGCGTAGCTCAATCAACACCATTGTGGATGTCATCTGGAGAATCCATTCTTGCATGGGATGTAGACGCTCAACGGGACACACCGGCTCAAGGCGAAAAGGCTCGCGGTGGTTCTTTGACGCGGCAGTCAGTCTGCCCAGCTTATATCAACTTCAAGCTCAAGATAGATAAGGAGCAAGATGCCTAATTTCTCGCCGGGGGGAAATAAACTTTCGATGAAGAAAGGAAGAAGAAGAAGAAAGCGAAGACGACAAATTTCCGAACATGAAGTTCGATGCCAAGAGACGCTTGGGCCTACGCTCATGGGCCTACGCTCACGTGCTTTCTTCTGATGCACGTATCTTAAACGCGTGCTTTCCAACACAGACAAGACACATCAACCTTTTGAATACAACGGGTCGAGAGGAAGGGGGCAGTCTTCATGGCTGAGAATTGAAGAATATGTTCAGTGCCGTCTGTGACTGGCCAATGCCTTTTGACTTCACTTGGAAAGGTTCAATGTCTCTTGTGAAGACACGATCTCAATGCCGAGATAGGTATGATCTGCATTTGTGCCACGACCGAAGCTCACTATCGGGATAGCAGTTCTATGTCGACTGCCTCATCAATTCTTTCGCGATGTCCATTGCCAGCTGAACAGATTCTCACAACAGCTGGCGCCAGCCGGCGACCGGTTCGTGATTGGGCTAGCAGCCATTGATGACACTTAATGGAGCATGGAACATGCAGGTTCGAAGTCAAAGGGGCTCCCCTGAGCTTGTTCCGCCGATCACCGTCAGTGAACGTTTCTTTTGAGGCGAGCGTGTTGTAATCTCACAATACCACCCGAGTCAGGAAAGCTTGTCGTTGAAGATTACTACTATCGAGCGAGAAGTAGGAATTACTGTACGAAGTAAGTTGTTCCTTAAACAAGAGCCTTTAGTGATCGGCCTTTCAACACTGACAAACGACAACAGCCTGATAAATTAGGTCGAACAACGGCATGGCGGTGACCGAGGACCTTTACGAGAAACTCGCTGCAACGGCTAGAGGATTCATCGAAGCGACGAATGCCAAAACTCCACGAGACAACAACCCCGACTACGACCTGATCCGATCGTTCGCCGCGCCCCATTTCCGCATCGAATGGGCTCCCAAGCTCTTCGCTTCCAGCTCACCCGTCCTCGGGGACGCGAAAGATATCGATGGCTTCTGTGCGCATATCCAGGGAATGTCTGCGAACATGTCGACATGGGCAATCCTCATACAAGACCTCTTTGTAGACGTGAAACGACGGACGGTGACTGTTCGGGCAGACTTCTGGATGCTACCGCGAGGGTCGGAGAAGGTGTTGAATGACATCGTCTGGTTCGTGAAGATGGATGAGAGTGGAGACAAGATAATCGATTGCACGGAATATGTGGATCCTGCGGCGAGCAAGATCATCAAGGATCGAATTGCGGCGAGGAGTTGGGAAGCCAACGTTGCCGCTTCTGCTGGCAAAGAATCGTCGAATGGGGATAGCTAGGCTTCCAAGACGCCATGCCGTATACTGTGGTTGTTCGCGCAGCTCAGAGAGATATCCTCAGCTTTTGCTCTGCTGCTCCTTCTTCCTCTCTTCACGTTTCCTCTTCAGATATCCCTCATACCTTTGTCTCCTCTCATCAATGCCATCCGCAAGCCCTGGATCGATGAACCCCTGGAAAGGATTGCCAATTGGTCCTTGTCTCGCATCCCATCTCCTATCTCTCTCGACGTATCGCTCGAGAGTCTTGGATGGAAGCATAGACATCGCGCTCCACAGGTTTGGAAGCTGCTCCCTTATGAAGTAGTGGACCGCACGTTGGCAGGTCTGAAGGACTGTGTGAGGGTCGCGCGGGTCGGAGCCAGAGGAGGAAGAAGACATTGTGTTTCGCCTGGTCTTGGGTTGAATGTTGAACTTGATGGACATGGGTTCGCTGGATGCGATGACGAACATTCGGCACGTCGGCACCAGTGTCCTGCATACCATTCTGTGCAGATGGAATTAACGCTTTGCGAAAGTCGATCGTTGCAGGCCGCATAAAACAATTTATCCGCATCGTACAGCAGCAGGCCTCTCTCGATTTCTCGATGTGGTGTGGCCTCCGGCGCTGGGTGAAAATCCTTTTGCGTTTCTCCTCCGGATTGTAGATGTGAACCATGCGGTGCAGTTCGAAAAGATCTGCTTCCTCCACCCCAGAGTGCGTGGCTGCATTGCATGTGCGAGATAGTACACGACACTGTGGAGGGAGAGTTGTCCATGCTCTGAATGCGTGACCATCAGGAGGTATTTGTTGTACATGAGCCATGAGAGACAGCTTGGGAACAGTAGAGCGTCCCTATCTCTAGACCTGAGGGAGACGCGCAACAGGCCGCAGGGCTCTGGTGAACAGCAAGTGGATTGCTGTCAGTCTTGCAAAGCGTGTTTCGTCTGACCAGAAACCTCAGATTAACTTAGTCGTCGCGCACTAGACGTCTGTCTTGAGGAGTCTAGGTGTCGTAACCACGAGACAATGCCTATAGAGCATTAAAAGGTACGTGCACCGCGCCCTTACCACAGCATCGGAACAAATAGAGATTTTTTGAATCTGGACGGTGGAGGAAAGGAGGGAAACTGGAGTCAAGGACATGGTTGTGAGATCAGAGAAGCAGCGCTACCATACGCGCGTGTCATACCGAGCTATACTTTCATAGCTAGAACGCCCGGCTCCCCTTGTGCATCAAGTTCCGAATCCTTTGATTTGCGCCCAAGGGCATCTCACATCACCACGCCAGAGTTGGAAGCGATACGCTGTGATTGTTGGTTAGCGCCTCAATCCACCTGACATATACCCAATTTGGGCTCATCTTCAACTTACCGGCCAAAGCTCCGCAGCCTCCTTACCCACAGGCCCCGTGATGGCCGAGCCCTTCATTTCACCCTTCGGGTTGACGATGACTCCCGCGTTGTCTTCGAAGTACAGGTAGACACCGTCTGCTCTCCGCCATGGCTTGCTCTGTCGTACGATGACGGCGGGCATGACCTTCTTCCGCAGCTCTGGCTTTCCCTTCTTGACAGTCGCCATGACCATGTCGCCGACACCACCAGCTGGTAGACGGTTCAGGCGAGCACCGAAGCCCTTGACGGAGATGATGTAGAGGTTACGGGCGCCGGAGTTGTCGCAGCAGTTCATGACCGCACCGCTATTGCAGATATCAGTATTTTCACATCTTTCTTCTCTTGATCATTGGGATTGGCATGAGGGCGCATCGTAAGCGATTCGAGCGAGGTGGACGTACACTGGCAGACCGAGGGTCATCTTCAGCTTGTTACCGGAGGTACTACCTCTTCTGCAGACGAAGTGTCAATATTTGCGCCAAATTCGCACTCTCGAACTCTTTCGATTGCATACCCGCGCTTGGAGGCCATTTCGTCGGTGTTGTGGGAAAGGTGTGGTTGTTGTCTGCGGCTCCGTGCCTCGATGAATTCCTCTCGGCCTTGATAGATTGGACTGTCGGCAGGAGCAAAACGGGTAGAGCCGGCAGTGTGGGCGAAGTCTTGGCGGGGTTTTGCTTAGTCATGACCGTTCCGTCTTCACATGTAAATATCACCGGGACAATCACAGCCTTGCAATGTACCAGCAGAAACGAGCTCCTAGCGCACATATTTATAGCTAGACGATATTTCAAGTGCTTTGCTTCAGTACATTTCGCCGTCAGAATCTGTCAACGCAGCAACCTTTATACTAGTTATTAATCATCCAAGCAAATCATCCAACCCACTGCTACCTCCACTGGGCTTCTGCCGACTCTGAGGCTGAGCGGACATCGCCGCGGGTGCATTGGCACCATACAGACCAGCCTGGCTCTTCTGCTTCGCCATGTCAGCGATGGTCATGCCCTTCTGCGCGGGGGCCGCGTTCTTCTTCATGCCACTGCCGGACAGGAGGTTGGCAAACGCATCGCCGCCGGCCTTCTTCGGCTTTCCGCCGCCAATGCTTGCCACAGGGGATGTGACAGCTGGCCCGGGAGTGCTAACCTGCTGTCCGCTCTGCTGAGTTTGAACAGACGTAAAGTAATTGGGACCGCTAGGCTGGTAGCCTGTAAGCTTTGACTGCTGCGTCATGGGAGACGACAGTCCAGACATGGATGGCGTAGCAGTGCTGCTAGGCGGTGGTGAAGCCGTCGAGAAGAGGTTGCCAAAGTCAGCTTTCTGCGCGCCAGACTGTGGCGAGGGTTGAGCGAATTGCGTGCTACTAGTAGTAGTAGTCGTCGCGGTGGATATGGAGCTATAGTTCGGTTTTGAAATAGCTGGCATGGTTGAGGCTGCAGGCGTAGTAGTCGCTGGAGTTGCTGATTGAAAATCGTCAAAGTCGTCGTCGTCTGCGGCTGCTGCGCTCGATGTCGCTGCCATGGGTGGAGAGAGTACAGCAGCAGAGGCCTGAGCACCGTTTGAGGGCGCTGCAGGCTCGTCGTCTCCAAAATCGAAGAGGTCCACTTCTGGCTCCTTAGGCTTTGCGGGCTCCGGCTTCTTGACCTTTGCTCTGGCCGCTGTATCTGCTTTCCGTCGGCCAGGAGCAGCCTGTGCACCACCATCGTCAAACTCGTCGTACTCATCGAATCGGTCCGCGTTTCCTCTTCTGCTTCCTTCATCATATTCATCGTGCTCTTCTCCTCCGAAACCGCCACCGTCGCCATATACAGATCTCGTCGAGCCACCGAATGTTGCGGGTCCACCGCCAGGGTATCCACCGGTCTCGCTGCCAAATCCGCCATATCTGCTCGAGCCGCCGCTAGGGCCAAAACTCAGCCCGGTGCCTCCTTCTACTCCGCCATATTTGTTCTTTGTAGCTCGTGCCTTCTTTCTCTCTGCGCGAATTCGGTCCACATCGCTCAGCAGCTCAGAGAGCTCCTTGCTCCTGTTCCGTACGTTGATGCCCTGGTCCTTGCCGTTTTGGTCGATGTAGTGAAATTGTCGCAGCATCTTGATCAGGGAGGTGTGGGAGCGCGCATCGTCAATGACTCGTTCTGAGCCATTTTTGATCAGGAATTCCATGAGTTGGAGCGCTTTGTAGATCTGCCGCCATTCCTCGGCGGACTTCTCGGTGAAGCGCTTGTAAATCATAGGCATGATCTCATTCAACAGCTGGCTAAGACCACAGTTAGCTTGTAGAAGGAAGTTGTTGGTAAAGCTTCTACGCACTAGTTGAAAGTGCCGTTCGCAATCTCCTGCATCATGGTGGAAGATGCGCCCCAAGGCTCATTGTTGGTGGCTTCTCGAACCTTGGACTCCATCTCGGTGTAGTTCATCACAGCTATTCTGGCCCATCAGTGGCGAAACCTGCAATGCTTCTTGGTCATCCATACCATTCTGGACTTTGCGAATGCCAGCCTTGACATCGTAGAGTGTCAGATTGCTGACTTGGTCCCGGAGGCTGTTCAGATCCATGGTCGCGGATGCCACGTTACGATCCTCGATGCTCAGTTGGAATCGAATGTAGCCGAGAGGCCGTGCTGTTAGCGATGTTGAGCTGGCCTCAATAGCAGAAGTGGAAAGTTGGGCTTTGTGAGGCGGAACGGCGAGCGTTATTCAGGAGCAGCCGCGGCTTTTCCCGCAGGGTCCAGCCTCCAATGCACAAGTGTTGCTCAGTAAGAGACCGCTACTCAGAAGACCCCGTTGTATGCTTAAGCTCTGGTGCAGACAGTACAGCAATGAGTGTTCCAATATGACAACTGTATCGATCAGATGCAACGTCAGGTGCGTTACCGCAATAATCAGATGGAGCGGTGTATTACGCCGCAAAAACTCCTGAAATCTATCCCGCGGTAGGTAGGGGTAGGGGTCAATGCTTCGAGAAGTCAAAGACACGGCCCAAGACTTTGCTTCCATCAACGCTTTCACTATCCCATCAGTTTCGATCCGTCTTCATCTGTCAAAAAGCGCTTCTGTTCTTCGAATTGTACCATAGTAAGTGCACTCGATGGGCCTAGGGATACCTGTGGCGTGGCGTCCCTGCATGTGAGGAGCAAGTTCGCTGAAACAACAGCTTTTAGGTGTCTAGCAGCTCAGCGCTGGCTGTTAAAAGTCTGTACGATTAAAAGCTCCTACTGTGAGTGTTGAGCAGTCTGGCCCTGACCGACGCCCGAGGCAATGGCGATGGCGATGGCGATGGCGATGGCGATGGCGATGCTCTCGATGGTTGCAGCGGAACACTGCAGACAGAAGCGCAATCAACTGGAGAGAGCTTGCCCGCCAAGACCTGACTCGGTCGTCGGGCCAGGCAGGACTTCGGAAAGGTGACGTTGCGCACTGATCCACTTGCAGGTCTGAGGAAAGAAGTGCCCCGCCAGTGCCCCCGCGCTCATACAACCTCCACCATGTTCTCGCGCAATAGAGTTTTCTCTTCCACTACAACAACCACCCTCACCAACTCCCTCAAGACTTGCAACCCAACTCACCGACTCCATCAACAAACTTTCAACCGCTCCTTCCACGCCTCAGCCGCCAACATGACCATCAAGGCCTACTTCGATGTGACCTGGACCGGTCCCCAGATCAACGTCGACGCCAAAGGCAACCCCACCAACACCGACAAGGAGGTCAAGGGCAAGTCGCCCTCGCATCCATTCACTGTCATCGATGTTGACTCGAGCTGATCACCAAACGCAGAACGCTCTGGCCGCATCAACTTCGAGCTCTTCGACGAGACCGTCCCCAAGACCGCCGAGAACTTCAAGAAGCTCTGCACCGGAGAGTTGGGCTTCGGCTACTCTGGCTCCAAGTTCCACCGTGTCATCCCAGATTTCATGCTTCAGGGCGGTGACTTCACCCGTGGTAACGTAAGTAACGATACGCAGCAGTCCACGGCTCTCGCTGGTCCGGCCACATATGCTGACGGCTGTTCTCATCCAGGGCACCGGTGGAAAGTCCATCTGGGGCGAGAAGTTCCCCGACGAGAACTTCAAGCTCACCCACAGCAAGCCGTTCATGCTCTCCATGGCCAACGCCGGCCCCAACACCAACGGTTCCCAGTTCTTCATCACCACCGTCGTCACCTCGTGGCTCGACGGCCGCCACGTCGTCTTCGGCCAGGTTCCCGACGATGACGCCGAGTCCAAGAGCATCATCAAGTCCATCGAGGCCTGCGGCTCCAGCAGCGGCTCGATCAAGTACCCCAAGCCACCAACCATTACCGCTTCTGGTGCAGAGTAAGCGGGAGAACATCAACATGTGGGCTGTAGGGGACAGCGGGTAGACAACACGGCACAAGACAGAGCCAGCGAGGCTATGATAAGGGAATACATGTCCCCGGCACAATAGTTCCAGACTCTCTGAGCCCGGAATGTGACGTAAAAAGTAGATTTGCATATGGTATGAAGACGCTTCTGCCATACTCAGGCATTATTTTGTGCCTCCGATTACCCTTCAGCGACGCTCGTCGTTATGTCTGTGACTCCGACATTGGCATTGCCACGATATGTAGGTATTCTATCTTGATGCGCAGATGCAATGCCGTTGTTAGTTTGCTATGCAGTTAGCATGCTCTCGGGTGTTGAATTAGGTCGTTGAGGGAGTACAGCCGACCAAGGTACCCTACGTGGAGCTGTCAATGGTTTCCATTGATAGGTACTATAAACATTCAAGCAAACAGATCGTCATTCAAGTCTCCATTCCCAACAAATTCTCGAGATATACTAAAGAATTCCTCCCCCGCCCTATTACCCCTCGGCTGATGATCAGCCAAAAGCTGACTGTGGTGAACCACGCATACCCTGTGCCTGATATTCATCGGAGATTTAGCGGCGGCCATTGTCAGTGAAACGCCAGGAATCAGATCGTCCATGAAGGCCTCGGTTGCTTCTCGCCTATTCTTTGCCCACTGGAAGATGTTCGATGGTCGCTACCTAGCATTGACGGTGTCAGCTGCTGCAACCTTCGACGGTGAATACGGTAAGCGCTGCAGATGTCGTTGGAATTACGAGCGATAACGGCTGGTCAAAGGGAAGTGTCACAGAGTTGTTTCGAAACATTCCCCGTCACTCCACCTTATTAACTTCCAGCAGTTGCTTTCACATCTCACTCGCGGCTATTTTCAGAGACGAACCCTGAGAACTCTAATCGCGCGCAGGGTACCCAATACGAACATCGGTCTCGTGTTCCGGGCTTGCCTTCTCTCGTTTCCACGTCGCCGTTCGTCCTTCTTTCCTCTGTTTCACCTGTTTCATGTTCTCTTGCCTGACACGATGTCGCTGCTGCACCGGCAGACTCGAGGCACGTGAGCAATCAGATTCCAAGCATCAGTCGGCATTGGCAGCCAGCAGCAACGACACGCGCCCAGCGGCAGCTTGAGACGAGTGTGGATACCTTGGGGTTGACTGTGCTTTGGGGTCTGGGGTTCGGGTGCTGGCTGTCTTCAATCGAACCGAATCCGACTACTTGACGCCCACCTGCCTCGACGCCGCCAATTCCGGTGCTGGACGCCAAACAACATGGCCGAGGAGGACAGGAAGGGCTCCAAGTTCCTGAAGAAAAGCAAATGGGGCAAGATATTCAAGGAGGATGACTCGGGAAGGACTGAGCGGCAGGGCACGTTCAAGCTTAACGAGGACGTCGTGGACTTTCTTAAACCGAGTACGGAGAAGAGCGTGCCGAAGATCGACATTGCGATTGCGAAGCGCTGGCCGGCCGCGTACGAGGTGCGAAATGCCGCAGCAGGTGACACTCCACCGCCGGTACGGTATATGAAGCCCAAGAGGAGGGAAGGCTTGATGGTGAGCTTCGTCAGGACGCTGCCAGAGATCATCGGCGAGGGCGGAGATGAGTCGCAGGTGCCGACTCGGGAGATATCGAGACATAAGGCGCTGGTGCAAAGGTCGGTCTCGGATAGAAGACCAGGATCACATGAGTACGGACGGCAAGGCCATAGGTCACCTCCTATAGTCCCAACAAGAGATCCACAGCTACAGCCTCAAATACGGGAGGAGCAAGAGTTGGTACCGACGCCCTTGAGGAGAGCCCAGACATCGCACGACGAAGAATCCCTTGGAGTACAGAGAAAGCATACCTCTCCTCTGCCAGAGCAGGTCATACCGCACCACCCGAGTCTAGGGAGAGTGCCCACAGGGTATAGCGGCTTCCATACGGATCATTGGGGTCACACTACTCCCACGGAAACGCCAATTGACGGAGCAGACCTTCCGAGCGGAAGCGAGCGACTTCGATCTCGAGACCGTCCCATAATCGATACAAATTTTTCGGTCAGGGAGTCCGAGAAGCCCTCCGCGTCGTCTTCACGATACTCGCAGGCTCCTGGTGGCTACTCCGGTTGCGGGCCAGATCGCGCTCTTTCACCCAACGATGCTCTATCTCCAGTCATGAAGAAGGGGCGAGAGATGACCAAAAACGAAGGCATGGTTTTGAGGCGTGCAAGCATGTTGATACATCAAGGCCAAGACCTGGAAGAAGTTAGCCCACCGCAAACGGGGCATGAGAAGGCCGAACCTCCAGATCAGCAATCCTCGTCTTCGCTTGGCTCTTCGCAGCCGCAAATCTCCTCGCCGGCCGAGCCTGAGTCTGGATCATTGCCCGCAACTCCTGATACACCTAATCCGTTTGCAGATCCCAAATACATCAAGAGACACTCCAAGGAAAGAGCTCCTGCGCAGGCACAAAACCAACCACAATCGCAGTCTCTACGGCAGACAGCTCGCCAGCAGAACTATGGACGACCAGACCATCCATCTGAACCGTATGCTTTGCAACCAAGGAAATCATCCTTGCCGAGTGACCAGCTAGTGGATCCATCACGAGCAGCTCAGATCCCCAGTGAAACCAGTCGGCACGTCCCACAGATTTCACAGCCTCCAATGAGCCATCAGAGAACGCCGTCTCAGGTACAACAAGACCTGCGTGCGGTGCCAGCCTCTGGAGCTGAAAGCGTCCCCTCGAGACCCGCACCGCCTCCATCAAAATGGCAAAATATGAATTTACCTCAGGCTTCATCTCGAGAAAGGTCCAAATCTCCGGCTCTACGGGACCGCATTTTCGATTCTTCTACAGGGTCATGGGAAAGACCTCAGCTGTTTACCAAGCCGAACGGCTCTTCTTCCAGCGTGAATCATTTCTCACCGAGTGCCTCGCACTCCCGCACAAACTCACAGGACGGATCTCCACAGCTGCTACAGCCAGCTGGATCTGGCTTGCAACAAAACTTGTCTCCACAGTCACCGCAATATCGCAATCAGATGTACAGCCAAGAACAAGGATCTAGGACATCACTTCTTGGTCCAGGCAGGGGATCATCTCCGAAACCTCGTGAAAGTCTTGATGATCGCAAACTCCCAAGCAGATCTCCACAACCTCAACCGGTTCGGTCCGCGGTCAACCAGCTTCGATCAGAAGATGCTGCACGACCCTCCTCTGCCAGTTCTTGCTTATCCGCTTCTCGGCCCTCAGTGTCGCCACAGCCACCCGAGCTTGGCAACCCTGCCGCAGATGCTGCCTATGCAGATTTCGCAGCACGAGTAGCTCACATGAAAGGCGTCTTCCGGTTGACAGCTGAGAAGGAGCAATCGTTCGACCGATGCACGGCATCCATGTGGTTGAAAGCAGGGCTCTGGTGGTACTTGAAAGGGAAATCAGGCCTCGAAACAATGCTTCAGCAACGAAAGCCGCATGAGCAACCCAGAGAGCTTCTGACCCAGGCGCATGTTGATCTTGCGAAAGCTTGGTGGATTCTTTCAGATGCGCTGGAGTCTTTCGACAATGTTGGTGAATCCGCTGCTCCTGATGATAGAGCTGTTCCAACGCCAGAAGAGGCCCTACGACAGGGAGTGTCGTCGCTTCAAAGCCACATGAAGTCGCTCGCGCTGTCGATGATCAAGAGCCATCTTTTACCTCCCACACAATCTCTGATCCAAGGGCAGGATACTCGCATATGGTTAGAATACCCTCGATTCACTCCTGACGCTGCCGCCGTTCTTGGAGGTAATGCCAAGAACTCAATTCTAGTGGACGATGGACATCCAACAGTCAATCCGTACGACATGCTTCCTCTTGGAGACACTAGAGACGCTTTCTGCTATGGGCGGTTCCCTGTCGAAGTGTATCTAAATGCCGAAGATGCGGAGACAGATCGTATTGTGCTACCTTGCATGCTCACAGTGCTTCGCGGCAAGAAAGAGTATCAAACCACGCTGGCGATTGCCAGTCAGAGCGACTTGGTCAACGTCAAAGTTGGTCCTCGTCAAACAGAGAAAAAGATCTTGACGTGGTCGGAGGTCTCCTGGAAAGCTAGCTCGTCTGGTATGTCGATTCGCCTTCCTCGAAACTTCGACCTGAGCGTTCGCATGCAGGATCGTGACTTTCGTGCCGTCTGGAACCTGTCCGAGTATGCTCGCAAAGTGGAGAAAAGCTTGCGACCGGAGACGGACGAGCAGTTGGTGCACGAGGCGAGACTTGCTGAGCTGCAATACGCCGACTCTTCCAACACGAGCGCTTTTCCTCCCGAAAAAATCAAAGGCTGCATGGCGCTCATTTTTGAGCGGACTACCCCACATAGCGATGGGAGCGGCATGCGTCGATTACATCGTGGCTACAGGATGTTGCTGATTACAGACCCCGGACACAAGACGCTGAGCAGCGCCAGTCATGAGGTCTGCCGAAGAACACCCCTTTATTTTGAGTACTTGACAGACTCTGCAGCGAACGGCACCACCGCGATGGTCATCCGCGTTCGCGAGGAAAATCGTCAATGCCGAGTCCTCCTTGTCTTTCCTGACATGGGAAAGCGACAGGAGCTCTATGACATTCTCAACGGATTGACCATTGGCCATGAAGAGACGATTGTGGCCAAGGTCACGTTGACAAGCCTGAATATTGAAGCCGCTTCACAATCAGCAGGATTCTCACAGTCAGGACATCCTGCGCTACGGAATTTGCAATGGCAAAGACTGGGTATCACGAACGGGCAGCCCGACGATCCTAATAGCAGAATTCCCAGCACGGTGCAGTCAGAAAGTCTTCGCATCGTTGCCGGACACAGTATAGGCTGCGTGACGGATCGACTGAACCTTGGCAAAGGAGAGTTGCAAGTTCGTCTACCCGCCACGAATACTCCAACAATACAGATTCTCCGCCAGGCACAGGATGACTTTACTACGTCAATTGATACACGCAATGCACCGCGTGAAGTGACTGACGGGATGGCTCAGCTTTTGAACACGGTTCAACAGCAGTCCACCATTCGTACCTACACATTCGCCAGTGCCAGCGATCTACACATGTTCCAGATAGCGATCACCGGGTTTGGTGTTCGCTTTGATGGCACCGCAAGCACATTGAGCATCTCACGACGACGCATGGTGGTCCCCATCTATAAAAAGTGGGAAGCTTCGAATGTGCGGATTCAGCTCGTTTCCAAGGATGCGATTGTGCAACTCCTCGCGTGCATGGAGGACTTCAGCCATGCCGACGCGTTGTGTTTCCAGGTCAAGTCGACCGACACGTTTGAATCGTTGAAGGGTGATAGCAAGCACAACAAGTGGAGTATCAAGCTGGTCGACGCCAAGTTCTCGCTCCCTAGCCAAGAGAAGGGCGAGGTGAGCGAGGAGGACAAGCTGAAGAGACGATTTGTCAACTTGGAAGGGCTTGAGTATGCCGAGGAGCATGACGATATCATCATCACGTTCGAAACGGAACAAGGCACGTCTTCCATCGTATCACGCCATTACTGAAGGCGACACATCCGATTGCTAACCGAGCATACAGATCGCGACAGGTTCGCCCAGGCATTGCCTGCTGCTACGAGTGCATCGCGAGGCTTGACGCTCAAGCGGCGCATATGAAGGACGACTGACGACTTTGGAAGCCGGCATAGATACCTTTTTGATGGATTACGGATTGTTGAGCTTTTTGTTTTGGCAGGGCGCTCGGAGTACCGCCCACGATACCAAAAGGACCCGGCGCAGCATGATACCGAAACCGATTTTCTTCCACTAGACGTAGGCATAGCGGAATGGCGTTGTTTGTCTTTTCTCTGGCGGGAACATGTACTGCTCTGCTCGGCTCGGCTCTGCTCGGCTCGCAGTAGTCCTGCCGACTCGGGCTTCGGACGCGGAGCGGCGGCAAACCGGCAAATGGCGGGAAGAGCAGTCACAAGTGGAAGGTGGGCTGGTGGGCTGCCTCGAGAGCACCCACAGCACCATCGACTTTTGGGGCTGCATTGGACTTGACTCTGACGACAACTTCCTCAGGCGACACAGCAGGTCACTGTTCATTGTCACTGTCTCTGTCACTGTCTCTTCCCTATCTTCTGTCTTCTTCTCGTCTTCTCCAACACCATGGCCGACACCGATGGCAACCCGAACAGTACCGCTGACCTTGCAGTGCCCGATGCTTCCAACGCCTCGAAGCTTTCACTTGCAACACGCGGTATCCACGCCGACGACCCCACCAACGCGTATACCGACGTTGCTCCCGCATTGCACGTCTCGACAACCTATCGCTATCCTCGAAACCCCGACGAGCTCGTCACTGAACGTACGTCTGCCCCAAAAAGACGTTCTTCGTGCTCCGTGCTAATTCCTACCTTGTTCGCATAGACGACCTCGATATCGGCTCCAGATTCCCAATCGGTGGTCCAATCAAGGGCGATGCACACATCTACTCCCGCCTTACCGCCCCCAATGCTTCACGTCTCGAACTCCTCCTCACTTCCGTCCTTGGCGCGCCCGCTCTGACCTATTCCTCTGGACTCTCAGCCTTTCACGCCCTTCTCGTCCATCTCCACCCGAAAGTCGTGGCTATCGGTGCCGGATATCATGGTTGCCATGGTGTCCTGAAACTCTACCAGAGACTCACCGGCTGCAAGATTGTTGACCTATTCGATGAGAAGAGCTGGGACGAAGCAGATCTCGGAAAAGGCGATGTCGTACATCTGGAAACGCCAGTCAATCCCACGGGGGTTGCATACGACATCCAACACTTTGCGGATCTAGCACACAATCGTGGTGCTGTCCTCACGATCGACGCGACATTCGCGCCGCCCCCGTTGCAAGATCCTTGGGCTTTTGGAGCGGATTATGTGATGCATAGTGGGACCAAGTATTTTGGTGGACATTCGGATATGCTTTGTGGAGTGATTGCGGTAGGGACAAAGAGGGAGGGATGGCAGAAGAGTTATTATGAAATTCTATCGGATCGGATATATTTGGGGAGCGTGATGGGTTCTATGGAAGGATGGCTCGGAGTGAGGAGTCTCAGGACCTTCGAGTTGAGGATATCAAGACAGAGTGAGAACGCAGGTAAGCTAGTTGCTTGGCTTGCTGGATGTCTGGAAGGAAAGGGTGAAGAAGCGGAGATTGTGAAGAAGGTGGTGGAGAAGGTGGAACATGCTTCGTTACAGAAAGAGGATATGGCCTGGCTGAAGAAGCAGATGCCGAATGGGTTTGGGCCAGTGTTTGGCGTCAGCGCTAAGAGCAAGGAAATGGCGAAGAGGCTGCCGAGTAAGCTGCATCTCTTCCATCATGCGACCAGTTTGGGCGGCGTGGAGAGCTTGATTGAGTGGAGGAGTATGAGTGATCCCTCGGTCGAGCGTACGCTTTTGAGGTTAAGCATTGGAGTTGAGAATTGCGAGGACTTGAAAGCGGATCTTGTGCAGGCTTGCAAGGCTCTGATGGCTGAGGGCACTGCGTGAGGGTGGGAGATATGAGTGACTGAGGTGACCGGGCACTTAGAGATAGAGGGGCGGAAAGATTGGTAAAAGCTCCAATGTCGAGACCGAATCGAGACCAAGCCCTACGTTATAGGTCGATTCTCCTGGCACTGTGGCACCAATCTTATCAAGTGGGACTCGGTGTGGGGTGGGAGTTGCCGTGACACTGGCACATGCTTGTCCCTCCCCACAGCCACGTGATGCCACGGACCAAGGCGCGAGGGGAAAACAGGCATCCCATTCCCTTCGACTCCATTGTGACACACGCACGTGCACAATCATGAAATTAGCACGGGTTTTGCCGGAGGAGTCTAAAAAGACAACACTTCCTTTCTCTACCATGATGGCTCTTCCTCGTGGCAGGCAATACCGTTGGAGCCTTATAAGTTATACCAACTCGAATTACCAGCAAAGAAATACTTGATCAGAAGATGGGGGACGCCGGAACTGGTCTTGATGGTCCCGTGCCACTCTGGATTGATGGGGCAGAAGTTGTTACTTCGACTACTTTTGACGTCGAATGTCCGACCGACGGAAAGAAACTATGGACTTCGTCTTCCACTTCCGTGAAAGAGGCTCAATTGGCCGTGGACGCGGCTCGGAAAGCCTTCACGACCTGGCGAAGAACTAAACCGGCCAAGATCCAGAGCATCCTGCTCAAAGCCGCGGAAATCATGGAGGCTAGAAGAGAGGAATTGAGCAAGTACATGATGCTGGAGACTGGTGCTCTGGAGGGGTTCACGAATTTCAATATCCAGACCACAGTGGACAATCTCCGGGATGTGGCGGGTCGAAGTGCGGATATCCATGGTATCATACCTCCGACCAAGGAGCCTGGACAGGGAGCATTTGTGTTCAAGGAGCCGTTTGGGGTGATATTGGGGATCGCGCCGTGGAATGCGCCTTACATTCTCGGTACGAGAAGTTTCCTCTACGCTATCGCCGCAGGGAACACGGCTGTCGTCAAGGGCAGTGAGCTTTCCCCGAGAGTCTACTGGGCTCTGGGGTCGGTGTTGAAAGAAGCTGGTTTACCGGATGGAGTTCTGAATGTGCTTTACCACCGGCCGAGTGATGCGGCGGATGTGACGAATGCTCTGATCGAGAATCCTGCCATAAGGAAGGTGAATTTCACAGGTTCGACTGCGGTGGGAAGCATCCTCGCTGCAAAAGCCGGGAAAGAACTGAAACCTTGCTTGATGGAGTTGGGAGGGAAAGCCTCCGCTATCGTCTGTGAGGATGCGAATATCAAACAGGCAGCTTTCCAGGTCGCTCTGGGATCGTTCCTGCACGCTGGACAGATCTGTATGGCGACGGAGAGGGTTCTGGTCAACAAGAACATCATCCAGCAATTCGGCGAAGAATTGAAGGCCGCCACCGAAGCAGTCTATTCTCCCAACAACGATGCTCCGGTCCTTGTAGCGAAAGCTACAGTCGAGAAGAACCAGAGATTACATTCGGATGCCCTCCAAAAAGGAGCACGAATCATCTACGGGGATACTGCTTCTGCTTCCCCTGACACCTATCGCATCCGACCTGTCATCATCTCCGACGTCACGAAGGATATGGAAATCTTCTACACCGAATCCTTTGGACCTACCGTCTCTCTGATCCCCGTGGAGAGTGATGAAGAGGCCATCGATCTGGCAAATGATACCGAATACGGACTCTCCGGAGCAATCTTCACCGAGTCGTTGGGCAGGGGATTGAAGATCGCGAGGGCGATTGAGGCTGGAGCGGTTCATATCAATTCGATGAGTGTGCATGACGAGAGCGGATTGCCGCATGGCGGCTATAAGAAGTCGGGATGGGGAAGGTTCAATGCCAAATGGGGGATTGAGGAGTTTCTGCAACTCAAGACTGTGACGTATCAGGAGGGTTGAAGCCTGTGATAGATGGAGTAAGTGTAGAGGAAAAGAGAGGCAGGTCGAAGAAGACGTTGACGCTTGGATTATATGTGCCATGTCGCTATCATCCTCGTCTCGTTTCTTCTCATTATTCGCTGTAGCAGACCATACTTCTCGATCGCATGCGGATTTTCCTCGTCAGCACCATGTCGTCCTCCCACGTTCAAGAACCCCTGATCCAGCGTCGCATGGCGGATACTGTAGTCCCGAACCTTCATCATCCTCTGTTTCGCGCTCTCAACAGCTCTGAACATCCGTCCCAGATTTCTTCCATCTACTATCTAGCAGTCACATCTCGTTCTGCGGATGCCCGAATCGAATCGGCACCGCGAAAACGAACCGAACCGCCAACAGACTTTTTTCTTTTTCTGTTTCTGCCACGACAAAAAAAAAAAAGTAGAGCGTTACCCAATCCCCAAAGAGCATCCATATTCTTCCTTCCAGCCCAGCGAAGATCGATGGGGGCGAATTCTTCATTGCACGATTCGTACTGCACCGAAGGCGGTTTGATGAGACTGCTGGGAGATTTCTCGTCGTCTTCTTGTTGGTTGACCTGATTTCTCCTCCGAGGGCATGCATGCTGCCGAAGCTCATCACGTCGTTAATAATCGCTCGCTCGCTTGGCTATCGAGAGAAAGTCTTTGGAGACACGTGAAAGGAGGCGAAGACCAATTAACTGTTGGGCGGCGTCAGACGAATCGATCGATCGCTGTGTCTTCTGCAGCATCTGAATCTGAACCTGAAACCTGAAAACAGACCCGACGCTATCCTTCTCACCATCTTTTACCGGGGCGCAGCGAGAAGAGCCACCTCGACTACATGCCAAAGACCCCAAAGCTACGGCCGGAGTCTTCCCAGAACGCAAGAAAAAGGACCCGCGAGAAGAAGAACTGGACGACGATCAAGTACAAGATTTTGGGCCCACCCGCGTAGAGACCAATTGCTTCTGGATAGCTGGCGAGTACAGTAGGTTCCGCGTTGCAAGCCAGGCCAAGCCATGTATCGAGTTGTCGTCCCGTCGTCCTTCAGCGCCGCCTTGATATCACAGCGTCGAAATGCAAAGTGTAATTCCAGATAGCTGCCGCAGCTTGATCCGGCGAAGACCACAAGTCGACTGCTCCAAAGCAGTCGGTGGCCTTACCAATGTCAGTGGAAGGTTATGGCGCGGTTGAGTTGACTTCCACCTTTACTGGAACTGGGGCAGATATCGCTAAGCTGAGCTGAGCTGAGTGTCGAAGAGTGTGCGCACTTCTTCCTCCATCGCGCGCGGTCTGAGAGAGTTGTTCAAGCACAATTCGTGCGTCTTCTCCTCTCGACCCTCGGTCGTCGATGATGACAGAATCGCTCCTTGTGCCTCCAGCTAAGTCGAATGTTTTGGATTCATCAGACCTATACATTGGCTATGATGCTGCTCCATACATGAAGTCGATCAGAAAGGACTAGTTTTCGAGACCTAGCCACAGTAGATTCCGCCTGCAGCTTGTCAGCACGAAATACCGAACGGATAAGTCAAGGGAAGGAGCAGTGAGCCGAATGTGCCATTATCCCTCTTCGCTAGCAACAACAAAGGAGTAACACTAAGATATTATACACCGAAGCTCCCGAAGAAGTCTTCGAGACTTCGTATCGTCATGATAGTATGCCGCTAATAACCACAATCTTTCTTCTTCCTCTGTTAGCCTCACTCCCAATTCTGTTTGTCTACTTTCTCCGTTGCTGCAGGGCCAAGATCTGCACCATACGGATGAAGATGTTGATGAAGTCGAGCTCAAGCGCGATGGACTCGTTAACAGCATCACGCTTGAAGAGACCACGCTCTGCCATGCGCGCGTGGGCGAGAATCTTTTGGGTATCGTAGAGGGTGAAGCCACCAAAGACAGCCAGACCTCCGTAGAGCCAGATCCTCTCACTCCACATAAGGGCGCGAGTTGCAGTGGCCGGAAGGACGAGCGGGGCGAATCCAGAGATCGCGACGATGGCTACACCAGCAAGGAGGGGACCACCAATGTACAGGTACTTCTCCTGTTTGGCAGTGGCGCCAACGAACGCAATGGATCCCATCATACCAACGGTGTAGAGACCAGCGCGCGCAAGGATAGCAGGGGAGAAGAACAGCAGTGGGCTGAGCAGAGCGGCTTGAGTAACGTTGAATGCAGTCCAGAGACCATATTTGAGCATGTAGTTCTCCGGTGGAGTAGCATGGCAGCCCATCATAGTGCCGATAGATCCAACAAGGCCAATACCAAGAACCAGCCATGGGTTTGCAGACATCAGTCTATAAGACCAGCCGTTGACATGGAGAGCGCGAGCGGCAACACCGATAATTCCGATTCCCAGTCCCGTGTGCAAGAACGTCTCATTCAGGTAGCTTCTCTCGTACGGTGGCATTCCTCCATCTTCTCTTGTTTCCCGGTTGAAGACCAGATTGATGGCAAGCAAAGTTCCTCCGAAGATGGCGCCGCCGTATATCAGGCGCTGAGTGAGGTTTCCTTGTGCGAGTGGATTTGCGGGCGCGTTTGTTTGGTATGTCCTCCTGCTTGACTGTTTGAACGCTTGGCGAAAGACATTCTGCTGCTGCGACGCGAACGCGCTTCGGAGAGGCGTTGCTTGCTTGAGGATGGGTTGTTGCTGGGTTGCTTGGGTCTGGAAGCTGCGGAAGGCGTTTCGTGTCGCTGAGGCCTTCGGTAGCTCTTTGGCGATGGTGCCTGCGACCGCGAAAGGTCGCCGTAGGATGAAGGCCATCTCCGTCGATGAGACTCGGATCGTTCGGTGGGGGAGAAGTGTTGTCTGAGGGTAGACAAAGATGGATTGGAGAAGAAGAGCATCGGGTGCGGTACGTCACTATTTTGCACACAGATGCACGGTGGCGCGATTCCCGGCACGTGAGTCAGAACTTTCCAGAAGCCGAATCGGCAGCTTGACTTGGCCGATTGCATGTGATGCACTTGGAAATACACTTTTTTTTCTTCACCTTGAGGATAGTGATCGCAAGGCTCAATGTCGATATCTCACATGAAGTGGAGCAGGGAAAACATCATCGTCTTTAGACAGAAGTGAGTGTGGCTACAAAATGCCTTGACAGCTTAGCATCTAGTGCGATCCTGAGAGAACGACCATTCGGGTCTCGTGCTGAGTCTCAAGCGCGAGCCTGTCCGTCCAAATCTGCGCAACGGCGCCTCATCATCATAGAGCGCTTACACTTCAGCGTGTGAGGATGAAGAGCTCACATCTGATAACGCCTTCCCACCAGATTCTCGTAGTCCGTGTCCCTGTCCATTCGTTCGTGGGAAATCATCTGCAATGAGAGCTTCCTACGGCCGCCCGGAATCTCGGCGCTGCTCGCCACTCGCCGTTTGCTCGTGCTGCCGGTCGATTCGTCGCTGTCGCTGGTGATGCTGCTGAGCTCGCTGCTGCCGCTGCTGCCGTCCCCCATGCCTGCCGGATGCGCCACTGCTCGCGGTCCACGGCACTGAGATACCCATCCAGGCCGCGCTGCTCATTCAACTCACCCGAGAAGCCGAAGCCATTGATGTAACGAACATCTCGCTCGTTCACAGCCTCCTCCGCACCGAAATAGCCATGGGCCATGTGAATCATACCTTCGTAGCTCAGATGCACGTCGGCAACTTTGCCCAAGGCCGCCATGAGCTCCTTGTCGTCCTCGAGGTCCTCTCTCGCGCGGCGGATGAAGTCTGGCGAGATATACATACGGCGGGCTCGCTGACGACGCCTATGCTCGTTGGTCGGCATGGCGCGAAGTTCTGTGATGAAAGTAGCAGTCAGTATATGCAGTGCAGCGAGAACTTGTTCCGAGGAAAAACTCACGGTGTTCCGCGGTGATTTGCTGGTCAGCTGCGAGATCCAGATCGCGTTCTATACGCAATGTTTCTGGCGAATGATCCCATCGGCGCGCTCGCTGGCGACTTGATCGAGGCGGTCGGTACTCGTCCTCGTCATCATCATCCTCATCGAACGGATGCGAAGACGCGAGAAGTTCGACTGTCGAGCCCATTGGCCCGGTGACATTTCTCAGGGACTGCATGTTGGCACCCGTTCGACGAAGTAACTCTTGCAGTGTCGTCAGATCGAGCTCCAGGAGTGAAGCCGGCAGGGTGATAGCCATGGCTGGCCCATTGGCAGTGCCGTCCTCGTCTCCGCCGTCGCTTGCCTCGTGGTGTGGGGGAAGAGACATGCTGGATATATAATGTTGTCTGTGATTCGGATAGAGTATAGATGCACGCAGGAAGTGCAGCCACGCTGATGTATATTGTTGCTCGAATGGTGTGTCTGTGACTGCTCGTGGTTGTTGTGATTGTTGTTTGGTTGCCGGGCCGGAAAGCCCGCCGCCGAAGAAGAGAAGAAGACAGGCGCGACCAGCTGGCGGTGGCTCGGGCGCGCCGCTGCCTTAGCGAGTTCGCAGTCCATGTGAGTTTGCGTGTGAAGCGGCTGGTGAAAGGCCCTTTCACATGAATATCGATCGGCATGGCGCGCCAATCTGGCCACATGTTGCGGAACGCCAGTCGCGCTCTTTCTGGATGCCCACCGGATCAATTGCCAGCTCTTGTATCCCAGCATTTTCGATGCTCTGCCTGACCTGTTGCTTTAGTGCCCTCGCTCTACTGGCAGTCTTTGCGGATGCATGTGAGTTTTATCTGAGCTGAATGAAGCAAACCCGCCAAATGCGCAAACGGGTCGACCGAAAGGATACCAACAAAGCTTCCATAAAAACGGTTTGTCAGAGTGAGCTTCATCCGAGACAAACTACGCTGTCTGAAAGAACATAAGATCAGGGGCAATCAGTTGTCTAAAGAAGTCGAGGTGAGGTGAGGATATCGGGGATAAGCTATCTCCCGGGAGCCTCAACCGTTATCTACAACCAGCCGTTCCGTTTCCGTTCCGTTTTGAGATGGCTTCCATCAGTCATCAGTTCCTCCGCCAAGCGCAGCCTCCAGATACAGTACTTCGAGCAGATCCATTCAATCACCTGGCCAGGGTGACCCCGACGACGGACGCAACCAACTCAACTCAGCAGTCGATGCAGATGCCTCGTGACCCAAGGGAGAGGGTCATTGAAGCCCCATAGAATACCGGGTCGCAATCCTTCTGAACGACGTCTAACGCGCAAAGCCTGCATGGCCGAGGAGACGAGTCCAGGATCTGAGGCTTCTCCGCCAGCCGATGGCGACGAGACGAACGTTGACCATCCATCCAAGAATCCTTCCGCCTTCCTCGCGCCCTCGGACTTCCTCCCGCGCCTACCTCCCTCCACTGAAACACCTTCGGGCTCGTCGGGCGTTGCTCCAAGTGATGGGACATCTGATGGACCGTCACACGATGGGACTGCTCAAGATGCGCCAGCAACGACAGCGGCGAGCAGGTCTTTGGTCAATGCGCAAGGTCGAACGTTGAATCCGAGGTCGTGCGTGACTTGTCGACGCCGCAAGGTCAAATGCGATAAACTGCATCCGTGTAGCAATTGTAATAGGGCGCATATTGAATGCATTTTTCCAGCTCCCGGCAGAGCTCCCAGAAAGCCGCGGAAGGCTGGCGAGGGAAGAGATAAAGAGCTTCTGGAGCGTCTGCGGAGATTGGAGGGCGTGGTAAAGGGCATGGGCGTTGAAGTACCGAATAAAGAGGGAGAACCTGCTCCGAAGAACATCGACAACGATACAAGAGCGGGGACGAACAGCACTGGTCAGGTACATGGGGCAAGCGAAAGCAACGGGAATGGTTTCAACAGGACAGTGGCGAAAGACCAAGCCGATCAAGACTTTCACAACAAGACCAGATGGGTTGAAGAACAGCAGAAGGGACGTTTCGAGAACAAGTTCGGCAGGCTAGTTGTGAATGAGGGCAAGTCCAGATATATAAACAACTCATTCTGGGCCAGTCTTAGCAACGAGGTCGAAGATCTGAAAGGAATTCTCAACCAGTCAAGTGACGAGGAAGACAACCTCGCCTCGTCTCCTGGTTCCAATGCTCCCCAAGCGCCAAGCAACCATCATGGCTTCGTCTTCGGGTTCGGCTCCCAGAACGTGGATATGTTAAGTCTACATCCTCTCCCTGGCCAGATATCGGAGTATTGGGATCTCTACAAGGATCGAGTAGATCCGCTGGTAAAGATTCTTCACCTCCCGACCCTTGAACCAACGATTCTGAATGCCGCGTCGCATTTGTCGAATCTGTCGCGAGGATTCGAATGCCTGCTTTTCGCCGTCTACTACGGCGCTACGACGAGTCTGAGCGCTCGGGATTGTCTGCTAAAGCTGGGCGAAGAGAAGCTGAACCTGCTTGCGCGGTACCGGTTTGGCATCGAACAGGCCTTGGCGAGGGCTAACTTCCTTACAACCGAAGAGATGGTTGTACTACAGTCACTCGTGATCTTCCTCATATGCCTCAGGCGTAACAGCGATGCTCGCGTTATCTGGACCCTGACCGGTCTTGTGGTACGGATAGCACAGACCATCGGCATACATAGAGACGGCTCGCACTTCGGACTCACGCCTTTCGAGATCGAGATGCGAAGGCGCTTATGGTGGCAGACATGCATATTAGACACAAGAGCTAGCGAGGACCATGGCTGCGATCCGACCATCGTCGAGCAGTCCTTCGATACGAAGATGCCGCTCAACGTCAACGACGTTGATATCTCACCGGACATGAAAGAATTTCCTCCAGAGCGGCGAGGCTGCACCGACATGTCTTTCTGTCTTCTGCGATTCGAAGTATCGAACACCTTTAGACGGATCAATTACATTCCTCCGGGACCCCCCAAGGCATGTACCGAATACCTCACGTCCGTGACATTGCAAGATAAAGAGCGGTGGATCACAGAATGCCATCAAAGGCTGGAGGAACGCTATCTCAAGCATTGCGACATGAGCGTTCCCCTCTTCTGGGTCACAGCGACTGTAGCACGTCTGATGATGAGTAAGATGTGGCTCATGGTATATCATCCGTTTCAAAGACAGAGTGGCGGATCTGCGCTATCAGAAGAAGTCAAAGAGAAGCTCTTCATCACCAGTCTGGAGAATATGGAATACAGCCTCCTCCTGGAGACAGAAGCCCGAACGATGAAGTGGGGGTGGCTGTTCAGGACATACGTTCAATGGCATGCGCTTGCTTTCACCCTATCAGAACTGAGCCACCGGACAACGGGGCCCCTGGTGGAGAGGGCCTGGGCAGCCGTGGAGAAGACTCGCGATGGGACATGGGTCGTCTCAGTCACAGAAGAAGCTGGCGTCGGTCATCTGTGGCGTCCGCTAAAGAAGCTCTACCGGAAAGCCAAAGAGGCGCGACAACGTGGGTTACTGGAAGAGCAGATGGCCATGAATCCCGCCTCGAATCCCCCGAACAGAACGTACAGTCCCAACGAAAACCCAATGTTTGGCCATCCAGCTCGACCGCGCATGACAAGAGCTCCCCTGAGTTCTGCCCAACTCAAGCGATTCACGGAGGGACCGGAATTCGGCAAGGCGCCTCTGGATAAACACGAACTACTACGATCACCCAAGCTTTCGGATACGACCACCCAGGATCCTATGGACACTGCGGGCCTGACTGATGACATCCTCCAGCAGCCGCAGCCGCAGCCGCAGGAAATCGACCGAAATTTCATCGCAGAACAACAATCGCAGCCAATGAACGGCATGCAATCCTCATCTGCCCAGTCCGTCGCGACGCCGCAAGCCCTCAATCCTGCTCCAGGGTTTGGTCAGAATTTCCTGACACAGTCTGGAAACATCCACTTCAACGACTTCCCGAGCCATGGCAGCGGGATGCAACCGAGCACCAATGGCATGCGGATGAACTCGATGGACAGCCTCGACAATGATCTCGGTAGCGTCATGGATACGTCCGGAGACTTGAATTGGGAGAACTGGGATCAACTGGTGCGGCAGTTTGGCATGGATGTCGATTCTGGCGTTGGCATGAGCACCGGCCCCACGACGAACTGGAACGGTGCGAACCTCGAGGTGGGTACTAGCGGGCAGAATCTCAGAATGGGCATGGGCATGGGTGGAGGAGATTGGTTTTGATTTATCGCGCGGCGGCGGGGAAAGAGGAAAAAGAAGAAGATATGCTACAAAGATGGATGCGTGATGATGGGGGCAAACGTGGCGAATCTTCTGAGGTATATATGAGAGATGCATGAACCACCTTTTATTTAGCGGGAGTTTTCTGCTGAATTGGATATGTAACATGTGGTGTGTTATTAACAACATGACGAGGATCTCGCGATGGGTCAAAGAAAAGACAAAGTCGGCGTTTTGTGAACTTTTTTTTTCTCTTCGCCAACGCTGTTAGATTCCATCATTTAAATATTCTACCCAGAGATTTTTTTGCTCTGGAATGGCACTTTGCCATCTGTCGGTTCACCAGTGGGTGTCTGCATCATGTCTTGGAGTCAAAAAGATACAAGAGTGGTCTTCTCGGCCGGCTGGGCGTATGGCTGGATCGCAGGAGAATTTCAGGCAAGCGGGCTGGGACGTACATATTGATCTTGCACCCAGGGCGATCAATGCTCCTCCAACGACTGCAATGCAGGAATTCGATGCACGCGGGCTGGGACGTACATTGATTCCGCAATGTCCCTGCAACGACTGGTCGAAGACGACGGTTCGCTAAGGGAAGACTGCAGATTGTCTCGAATGCATGCGTTGGAGTAGTCCGCATTGTATTAGATGACGACTTTCTGCAAATCGCAAGGCCAGCTGCGGTGTGATTCCGGGTCGAAGAAGGAAAATGTCCCGTAGGTGCAGCGCGCAGGGGAAAGGGGAGCGAGGAGAACATCCATCATCATGTCATCGCGCGTTCATGTCTCGGAGCGGATGCCAAGGGCGGAAACTCAGCTATCTCCCTGTGACTGGTGATGTGCGTAGTTCAATCTCGAAGCAGATGTTGACTTCGACGGTACCGAGAGAATCGCATCGCAGTAGAGCAACGCAGTACCTCTCGGTGGAGTTGGCGAGAGCGCATCTCTAGAGAGGACGTTGTCGATGTAAAGACCAGCGCCTTGGAACAAATGTAGGTGGCTGGTCCGCAATACAGCTTCATTCGCTCTCGTGGAGGGTAGACTGGCGGGCGTCAGTGGGAGCTTGCATAAGTGCGTCGTCTTCGGGGAGTTGTTTCAGAGCCGCGTGCTGGTAACGAGCAAGCCTCGTGGCATTTTCCGTGGAAAACGCGGCTCGCTTCTTGAGAGGATTTGCATCAAGATCACACGCCTAGAGTAGCCTGTTCTGGCAAGAGGATTGCCTCGGTTCTTCTTATACGAGTTCGCAAATGTGAGCAGGCCTTTGAAGAGCGTGGCGATCAAGTATTGGCGAGCGATATTGTAGCTTTCGCTCCTGGAGGTTGTAGGATGGGCGAAACCTTGAACAGGAAGCACCTGACAGGCTGCAAATCGATCCGGCTCACGGCAGCTTGCATACCATTTTTAAGGTCTTCAGAACTTAGAACAAGCAGTGCAGCATCCTGTGAAGATGTTTCGACGATAGAGCTGGTCCTTTCGACGGGCATTAGCGGCTGTCCGCATACGACCATGAATCGCAGTGACAGGAGGCAGGTCGTTGCGAGATCAACATAAGAGGATCGCTATATTGCAACGATGTTGGACCTGTGGGGTGGCTCTGGCTGGAGTGCCGGCGCCTCGACAGGCTCTCTGATTGCTCGTTGAAAAGCGGGCATTGATGGATGCCCATACTTTATCTCGGACCAATATATATATATATATATATAGTACTCGAATTCGTCCGTCAACGGGCAAGTTATCCATGGAACAACCATGGGTGGGCCATGCGGCACTTGTCAACCTCATGTGTCTGATAGCCGTGGTTCAACAATGCATCTTGCACATGCTCTCGCAATTGACAGGTGGCTGGACATGGCGCTCTTGCGGGCATCAGTGGGTGTCTGCATGCCGTTGCTATGCACTGGTACCGAGCTGTCTAGCTAGGCGCATTCCTCAGAGTCATCCTGCGTTTGGTAGTTTTAATATATGAGCACGCGGCGACATCTCAGGCATCCGGAAACTTGATTGCAACAATCTCGTCGGTTTGATCTTGCGCGAGGGCCTCGCAATCCGTTTAACGCGGCGTTGAAAAGCGCAGTCGAGGCTTAGAGGCGGCTCAGGCTTGGGGACATCCTTGGACACAATGGACGCATAGTGTCCGTGTCAACTTTCAAGCCGTGGGACTCCTGTTGATCTCGTCTTCAGCTGACTCAAGACGTGAGTTGGAACTGCTCCGACTTGTCTATGAGTAAAACTTTCACCTCGGGCATTAATGGAAGTCGTGCATCGAGGCCATGGGGGGTAACAAATCACGAGGGGTTTCGACCGCCTCAGGTATGCTTAATTGCGGTATGCTCGGCAAGCCCACGGCACATTGGGGCACGAGGCGTGTCGGAGTGGTTCACTTCGTACTGGCGCGATCGCGCGGACGCGTGTGCAAAGGCTAATATATTAATAAGGTATGATATGCATGTCGAAGACCGGCGGAGATTTTGTTGGATGGAATCCGAAGCCGATCCGGGACAGATGAGCGGAACCGTGGTACTGTCGCGAATTGACTTTCTGCAACGCGTCGACGCGGATGACACTCTCGTCTTGTTCTAACGTGCTATAAAGTGAAGCGGTGGTCGGTCTCGGGTTCTCCGCGGCTGGTCCCGCGCTCAGGCATCTAGGCCATCCGGTCTAATCCGTCACGTGACATACTGAACGTTACTCTGCGACGCGACGCTACCTTACACTTCTCACTCCAACAAGACAACCTTGAAGCCTACATCCGCGTATGCTTCGTGACCTGCCGCCCTTGCGTCCACGCATCTCTCACGATGAGGAGATCTTCATGAACGGCGCACCAGGCAGCAGCCCACATCAACACCACCAAGACCATCAAGCGGCCGCTGTGGACCCGTTGGACGACGTATTTGGCTCCGCGCCTTCATCACCGACGCTTGCAGCCCACGATGCCGAAGCACCTCGTGATCGTGACGGGAGACCTGGCGTCCAATACCAGGATGTGTCCCGACTGAGGACCACACATACTACAAACGGGTACCGCGAGGGTGTTGCCGCGAGCAAGGAGAAATACATCCAAGAAGGCTTCGATGAAGGCTACAGTCTAGGCGGGGAGATTGGAATGAAGGCTGGCTGGTGTCTGGGCGTACTGGAGGGCATGCTCGTTGCGGCGCGGCGGATGAGAACGGGGAACAGCAGCGCAACGACGGAGAAGGTGCAGAAATTGCTCGACGACGCGCAGCGAGAGCTCAAATTGGAGACGCTCTTTGGACGTGAGTATTTCGAGGACGGAGTGTGGCTCTATCATGTGCCAGAGCCGGCGGATGATGCCGAGCCGCAAATCACTTTCGGCGACGTCGCTGCGAGACATCCCGTCCTGAAGAAGTGGAATGTCGCTGTCTTGAGCCTCTCCAAAGAGTACGGACTTGCTCTGCCTCAATCGCGAAGCTAGTTAAAACACTTCAACATAGCCCATCTTCAGAAAAGTTCAGCACTCGGTGCCCAGTGACGACCAGGCTTGTCTCGCCCTGGTCGGCACTCGGTGCGCCCGTCCAGAAGAAGCCTCCTCATAGCCCATGCCCCAATGCAAATGTACATCTCAGCTACACAGCGACTGCATTGTCGTAGCTCATCCACTTTACCAGTCCATTCGTCTGACTACAGCAGCTCACCGCCCCAGCGACTCGATCCACCGTCCCCTCCGCTCCTTTCAAAGCCAGATCGGAATATTCATGCGTTCCTTTTGCACCTCCACAACCCTTGAAATCACGGCCAACTCCGTTCGCCCCGAGGAACGATCATCCGTACGTAGACGTGCCGATAATCACTCTTGTGATGTCTAACCGTCTCCCAACATTCAAGTGCCACACGCTATTGGTATATAGACCGCTTTGCAAAATTGTGACGAGCCGTGGGGGGACAAATGCAGTTGTGCATGGTGACCAGACACTGCTGACACGCACCCTGCGGAGTCGTATGCCATCAAGTTGACATGGGCGACAATGGAGACGGGCCATACAACGACAGTCGGACGTCGATATAGCTGAGACACAACTCACTTGCCGGCAATTGCGGCAGTCAAGAAGTATTGTAGCGATGGTAGATACTTTCGTAGAGCTGGAAGAAGTTTACGAAATCTGGTCCTTGGCCTGGCCTGACGTGCTTGGATGCTCCCAGTCGACTATTCGCTGCACTGTCAACTATGAACATTTTTGTGTTTGAGGACCAGACTCACTCCAAAATCGAAACCCATTCCCCTGGCTGACCTGCTGAATTGCGCCATAGCTGTTGGCATGACGCAAGAACTCCTTCGGCGGCTTATGGCATTATTGAGGAGACCGAAATGCGGCATGTCTCCAGAGGTGGATTGACCTTCTTTTCGTCAAGCAATGAAAGCAATCCGATTCCCTCCCTCAGCGGGTCAATCCAGGACGGACATACCCGCGCTACGACGCTATTTCCAAGATCATGTTCGGTCTCGATCGAGCGTCTCTTGAGTCAATGCAACCGCTCTACTCCAATAATTCGTACCAGCCTCCACCCAGAAGTCGCGGAGAGGTCAAGGCTATATGAACATTGCCAACGCATGATGTGCATCGCCTCCGTGGACGAAATGGCACATGCTCGCCGGGAAACTTTCTGAGGGACGCAGTACCAAGGCGAACCGGGTCATGATCGATCCTTGCGGGAGGTGTCGAAAGCAGCCAGCACGAACCCATTGGGCTATTTGGCATTCACTCCATTCCTGGACGTCGGGGGACACTGCATCCCAGTCAACCCGAGTATCTCCTTTCAAACTCTTCTTTCCCACTCCCTGAGGCTTGCACGCAGAGAACGCAGGATCCGCCAGCACGTATCGACAAAAGGATCATGAGCCATTTAGCCAAGTGGCCTGGTAGTCCGAGGACGAGAATCCTCACAGTCGGCCTCGGATTCAAGAAAAGTCAATCGCCGCTGTCACACTCTCCTGGAATGGCGCTGACAACCTAGCTTCTAGAGGTTTGCGGATCCCTTGTTGGCTGCCGACAAGGTTGAGGCGGTATCGAAGCTGCATGAGAAGCTGGTGGTTTGAGCACAGACCAGGTGGGCGGAGGTTCGGCTAGGGGTAGGCCGAGAAGCTGGACTGGACAGCACAGTATTTGTGTGAGTTCCATGTGGGCGTTGTGGACGTTGCTCGAGCGGGGCTAGACATGGCCGTCTTGATGCAAGCCCAGGCCCAAGGATCAAAGGTGGAGTAGTTCTGCAGGACGACAACCGAGTAGACAGCGGAATTGGCAGGCTCCCTGGGGTTTCGTGGTAGCAGTTTCCTGTGAAGGACGTCGAGAACTTTTGCTGCTTAGAACAATTATCTGTACACATTACCAGACTCCGTTACGTCATATTCCACTCCCTAAATGTCGTGAAGTCATTCCGTCTAGTTCGACCTCGAATAGGTTAGACTTGTGATTTCCGTTGTCTTGTAGACAGCATCGAGCCTATTGATCGGCCCCACGCTGCCCCTTCTTGCCGGTTCGAGGCCTTCACAGCTTCCACCGGCGTCGCTTGGTCTACGCGTCGACAGTTCGCCTCCAGAAATTGCTACCGTGTATGGCGCTTCCTTGAGAGACCGTTTCCTGTCGCGCGCCGTTTCCCGAAATACAGTAGAAACCTCGCTGACGTCCATCTGCGGAGTGCGTGATGAACAGCCCAACATTTCGAATTGGAACTCCCTGCCCATGAGAGACTCGACGTCGTCACCGGCTCGGCAGCGAGGACCACTCGAGACATTGATGGTGGGATTCTTCGAGTATTTGGAGCCAGGCCAAGAGCCACTGAGAGCGTGCTTTGAGCCTTTCAGGATCTTGTCGAATAACGGTCTCAGAGCTGGCAACGAAGATGCCAGAATTCCAACGCATAGCTCAGTCATGTGCCACACATTGAACGAGTTGTGCCATGTGGGGTCCTTCTCTTGAAAGAAGCTGTGTTGTTTCACCGTCTTCACAATACCCGCGGCGCAAGCGAAGTAGCCCAAGCTGAGGATCACGCCGAGCGATAGCTTGGTCCGCATGTTGACTTGAAGCTTCGTAACGAGAGGTAGCGGAAGTACTGCCAGAATGAAGTCCGTGACGCAGTTGATTGTAGAGTTGATGAGGCCAATGTCGGTAAACGTCGAATTCGAAAAGCAAGTCGTACTCTTCTCGGCTCGTAAGCTGGAGTCCCAGGCGGCGGAAATTGGTATGCATTGGAAAATTAATGTCCCAAGACACGAAAGGCAGAAGCAGACCAGAAATACTGCGATGCAGAACGTCAGTATGAATGCATATGTACAACGAGGCAGTCATACCTATAATGCCCCATAAGAGACGCTGCCATTTCTTCCCTGGAGGTACCAAGCGCGCGAGGAACAGTGCAATCGAGATCTTGACGATCACAACTCCAATCATTGACCACATCGAATGGAAATACTGCCATTTACCGAACATCTCGTACTCTTTTGGGGTGATGCATAAAGAGTGCTTTCCGATTGCGTAATTTGTCTCGTAGACAAAGCAAACCATGGTCGCTATCGTCAGGAGTAAGGCGAGTGATATCGCATGATCGTCAGGCCCAAGAGATCTTGTCATGAAGGCTCTGACAAGCAATCTGATCACAACCACCACGATAGCAATGGCTGTCATGGACCCGGTGATTGCGAGAATCTCATTCTTGTTGCTCGCTGCGCAGTATTCAGCGCTCGGTAGAGGGGCAGCCTGCGCCTGACGCGGGTAACGCATCGTAGTGGGTGTTGTTGTATTGGACGACCAGTCTTCCGATATAAAGCAACGCAAAGACAGTGAGAATGAGCTTCAAGAGGTTGATGTGGATCGTATCGCGGCGCTAGAAGGCCTTGAGCATGGATGCTCTCTGTCCAGATATGTCAGGCAGATCTCACCAAGCTTAAGGGGTCGATCACATACCCGGATTTCCTTTGCGACGTTGTAGGTAGAGATCCGGTGCTTGTCAAGACTTGGTGTCGCAAGCGGAGTGTCTCGAGGTTGACTAGTAGAATCGATAACCTTGCACACCACGGGAATGACATGTGCCAAGCCCACCATCGTCGACGTCCGGATGGCACGTAACGCTTTGCCCGCTCGTGCGCGTCCAATTGGCGTCTTGGATCGGCCGTCTCTGCTTGTTTCCAGGAACAATAATGGTCATGGGTAGCGAAAGTCAACAGAGACGAGGCACAAGACCGTTGAGCTTCACTAGCCAGCGTCTCAAGTAGGGACGAAGACGGAACGTGCTTCCTCCGGACTACCGACCCCTGGACATCGATGAATCTAGCGTCTACGCTTCTTACAAGCGCGGGTGAAGCAACACAGCTTCTCCTCACATCGGACTGTTCTTCCGCCTTTTTGGCGCTTTCCGGCTCGCCGTGGTCCTCAGATTTGTATTGGCAAAATTCAATCGAGTTTGCGTTGCGGAAAGCCGCCATAATGCAGGAGAAGAGCCGCGGAAGTGAGACTGTGGAAGAGTCTTAGTCCAAGAAGCCGGGGGACACCACTGCTCGGACCCGACTCAGTGCCAACTCTGGGCATATCTCTGCTAATAATGCAGAAGCAGAGGAGGTATCCAAGTAATCAAAACGATTCCGGAATTACCCAAGAAGTCTCGCCGGGAAGATGCGCTTCGTCACTGCCGGGAGCATCAAGAGGGGGAATATCCGTAGACGAAGTCGAAAGCTGACACCGAGGGAGAGAGAGTAAGCTACCCATCATTGAGGTTGCATTTTCCGCGGTAGTGGCACGGAGGTAGAGGGTAGATGTTGCCAAGTACCGCCTGCGGACGTAGTGCAGCTAGGGTCAAGGATGATGAGATCCTTGGACATTGCGTCCTACATTACCATAGCCTCATGCAGTGCTTATGGCGGCCAATGCAGCTTATTACCATCTCGCCAGCGAAGATTATGTGACAACAGCACGGAAGATACTTACTGAAATCTCAAGAAAGAAGAAAGTGAAGTCTATGGCGCCAAGGCGCTAGTTCGAGTGCCTAAGCCCCATCGGGCTGTCGGGGCTGGTTCTTTCGCCACGCCGACTTTTACTCTCTGAGATGACGACTCTGCCAATAATCTGCATGTGCTTGGGCGCTAGCAGAGAATAGGTTCACACAGCCGAACGGAAATGGAGATTGTATTCGACAAGCCGGGCCAGAAGAGTACACTGATGAGATGAGATGATGAATGTGCGCGTCGGATTCGGAAGAGCTTGGCTTTGCGGGCTGAAATACGTCCCGACTCGTAAGCCTCGCGGAGGTTCAGGCTTGGTGATGGTTGCTCAACTTCGGGACATCGTTGTCATCTCGTTGTCATCTTGCTCGACATGGGCTGTGTGGGTGGTGCGCCTCATCTTTGAGCTCATCTCAGGCGGAATGCCTCACCTGCCAGGGCGCGCCAAGCTGCATGAAGTGCCTGCGATACACGCGGGCACTGCGACCTTCATCCACATGGTAAACGACTCAGAAGATCAGTATGCTGATCAAAGACCTCCTCGTCGCGCTCTTGGGGCCCGCGACCACCTTCAAGCCCGGACCGACAGAACAGACGGATTGCCTGGCAGCTGAAGCGCTACAGAATGCGCGAGATCTCCAGCATGAGACCCGTAGCTATGGACGTGATCAATCAAATGGCTACGACGGATCAACATGTACACCAGAAAACCTTCTAGTGCGCCGCGAGTGGGATGCCTTCTCGCGTGGGGAGAAGCTGGCCTACATCGACGCCGTCAAGTGCTTGATGAGTCTACCGGCGCAAAGCAGTGACTTCGCACCTGGAGCGCGCAATAGATGGGATGACTGGTCCGCCGTACACATCAACCAAACTCTATCAATACACGGAACAGCAAGTCCCCTTAACTCACCCGGATGATCCATTGTAACAGTTTTAGGGCAACTTCCTCCATTGGCATCGCTACTTCACCTTCCTCTTCGAGCGCGCGTTGCGCAACGAATGTGGCTACACCGGTCTCCAACCCTACCTCAACTGGCCTCGCTACGCCCACGACCTACACAACGCCCCCGTATTCGATGGCTCCGACACCTCGCTGGGCAATAATGGCGCGTACGACCCCAAACACAACGGCACCAATATCCCCAGCAACGCATTCCCCTACATCACCCTCCCTGCCGAAGGAGGAGGCGGCTGCATCACCTCCGGTCCCTTCGCCAACACCACCGTCCGCCTAGGCTCCGTCGCCCCAGCCCTAAGCGACGTTCCCGCAAACCCCCTCGCCAACGGTCTAGGATACAACCCCCGGTGCATCCGTCGCGACATCTCAGGCACCGCAGCAAAACAGTACCTCACAGACACTTCCGTCTACACCCTCCTCACCACCTCACCCAACATCTCCTCCTTCCAGACTACCCTCCAGGGAGATTTCCCCAACGGCTACCTCGGAATCCACACAGCGGGACACTGCGGCGTCGGAGGCGATCCGGGCGGCGATCTCTTCGCTTCAACCGGCGACCCATACTTCTTCCTGCATCACGCGGCCATCGATCGGGCATGGTGGATCTGGCAGAACTTGGAACCGAATGGGACGAGATATCGGGAGATCGCGGGGACATTGACGACGATGAATACTCCGCCTAGTAGGAATACGAGCCTGGAGGATTGGTTGGACATGGGCCCGCTGGGAGACAGTATCCGGATAGCAGAGGGCGTGGACACGTTGAAGGGACCGTATTGCTATGTGTACGAGTAGACGACAGAAGGCTAATCACTGGAAAGAGACAATAATACCATCAACAGGAGAAAAGATCATCGTGTGTGCAGCAGCCGTGTCAATTCTCATCCCGTTGTGTTCCATCGTGGATATTTGATAATGCAGACGATGGCAGCCGTTTGATGGTGGTATCTCTCCAAGTAAACGAAAACGACAAAACTCAAAATGCGCCTGAAATCACAACCCTAAATCAACCACGCGCAAGACAAAGCCACATGTCATCCGTGGCTTTTCGTCCTAATAGACATCCATATTTCTCATCATCCCCAGCCGAGACGCCTCGCTTATAGGGCAACGTTCAAAGATCCTGATCCGATCAATATGTGCACTCATATCCACCTCCCTTCAAATTTTGTGCAGGGTGAAGATCACTTCGTAATCGCTCTCCAAGATCCATCCGCAACGATGTCGAATTTGATGTTTCTGCCCAAAGGGCCATTCACCTTTTGAATGCCGCCCCTATCGAGCCATGGCCGTAGATTCTTGCATTGGCTGACGTCTAACGTTTCCAGATAGCGACAGCCTTCCACGACGCTTTCGACGCCTGCTCCTGTGACTCGGACGCAGCCTCGTACGCTGAGATATCGTAGCTCGAGCAGATGGAGACCGATGCATCGCAAGCTGTTGTCGCTGACGGCGGAACCGCAGAAAGCCATATCAAGCTTTCTCAATCCTGGCAGTCCAAGACTCAGCACCTCTGTCGCTGTGTCGGAGAGCGCGCAGCAGAATGATAGGTCCAATTCTTTCAAGTTCCGACACCCTCCAACCACTCCGACGATTGCTTGATCGCTGAGGTAAGTGCAATCGGCCAGAACCAATTTTTTCAGGTTGCGGAACTCGTATACGCCCCAAGAATGAAAGCCGGCATCTGAGATGCTCGTGCATCTAGTCAAGTCCAGACTCTCGAGACGGTCTGCGGCATGTACCGCGATATGGGCCATGCTGCGATCCTGAACGTGCTTACAGTAAGACAGTGTCAGGTGCTTGAGATTTGGCGCGCCTATGATGGTCCCGGGAGGCGGCGGAGGCTGGTTGTCCTGGCCAGGTAACGTTAAAGCAGCTGAGCCCTGGCGCTTCGAGTTGTGGCGCTTGCCATTCGTGAACTGCGGAGGCAGTGGTGGTTGTAGGCCGGGCTTAGCCTCTGGCACGACCCACCCAACCACACGAGCAAGCAGATTGTCACCGACCTTTCTGCAATTGCTCAGGTCGATCTCTTCGAGCCCCTTTGCTCTATCGACGAGTGCCAAGACTGCGCCGGGAGTGACATCCCACACTGACTTCATCTTCCACACTCGGGCAGTATCACCGCACGACTCCGTGAGCGCCTTGAAGCCCTCATCTGTGACATGGAAACAGTTGCACAGATCGATCTCTTTCGGCCTGTTTCCAACAAATGGCACGATGATGTCACGCAGCGTCTCATCGGTCACGTACTTGTTGTATCTGGCGAGATCAAGTTGATGGAGGAGATCAGGAGAAGTCGTGATCAGATGGTGCCAATGCATGCTGACTCGTCGGCATCTCATCAACTCGAGCAAATCCAACTGCTTCAGGATGAGTACCAAGACAGAGTCTGGAAGCCTCCCTTTGCCACAGTTTGACGGTCTCCTATCGAGACTCGGCCGTCTTGTCGAGAAAGGACTTATTAGACGCAGCGGAGAGCTGGGTGATGCTGTTGCAGGTGAGGATGCGGGGGATATCTTGTGAGGCAGTGGCTTCAAGGGAGATGAAGGCAAGATACGCACAGCGGGTGGACTGGGTGTGCGATGATGCTGTTCGGGTGTCGCTCTGTTCTCGCTCAAAGCTGACATCTGACCGTCCGCTGGTGGGAGAGGTGGCGCAAGCGAGGATCGCCGTGACTTGGCGCGCATGTTGTCCAGATTCTCGTTGAAGAAAGGATCGGGATCGATCGGCTCCATCTGCGGCACAATACCATGGGCATGCTCCGTTGGCCCATCAAGCGACAGCGGCTCGTCAAATTGGACTGTCGGTAGGTCTTTTCGCCAATCATCCTTAGCTCCTCCAAGCGTATCGGTCTCAGTACTCTGGTCATCTCCCGTGCTCACACCTTTACCAGCTGTTCCTCCAACTGGGACTCCGATATCTGTCATGACTGTGTCCTCGTCTTTCCTGGCAGCCTTCAATCTCCTCTTTGCCTCGCTTTCCACCTGCTGCTTGATGTCGGAGCTACATCTTCGCCACAAATCATCCAAGACCTCTCCTGTGATGAGCAAGCACTCCACCGCGTTGACAGTACGCACTGTCGCCACGCGCCTCGGGGCAAGGCTCAAGCTCGTCACTTCGCCGAAGTATTGCCCGGCAGTCAGACGGGCACACATGCGTTGCTCAGGCTGATGTCCATTGCCATTCGCTTGCGCACTCGTGTCTGCCGGAGCAGGAGTTTTCACGGTGCCAGGTATGTCGGTGAGAACCTCGACGTCGCCTCTGATGATGAAGTAGACTTCCCGTCCGCTGCTGCCCTGTTTGACAATTTCTGTAAACGGCGGAAAGGAAACCGGCTGCGCATTTACGCCAAGGAAATGCAGGATCTCCGCAGGTAGTCCGGAGAACAGAGGAAGCTCCTTGAGAAGCTGGCGGACCGTGAGTGCTGATGTGCCAAGCGCGCTGGATGCAGCTACTTCTGCTATGCCTGGAGATGGCGACTTCCGCTTTTTGTTGCTTGTGATCTCTCCATCTTCTAGTGAGCCGGCCTCGCCCATCTCGACGTCGCCGGCCATCCAATCACGTGATCGTTTCCGCGGAGCAGCAGGAGGTCTAATGCTGCCATCCTGTGGTCCGTGGGAGCCTGTCCCGCGTTCCTTCTTCTTGCGTTCCAGTATCGCCAATCTCTCCAGCGCTTCGTCTCTTATCGCTCTCTCCACGTTGGGATACGAAGGCAGCTCTTTCTGCAGGTCTTCCTTGTTCAGACGCACCACCAGACTGCGAATACTTGCTACGATGCTTGCAGTTCGCGGCATATCCATCAAAATGCCGATTTCGCCAAAGAAGGAACCTGGCCTAAGCTCTGCGTAGGTGCTTTCGCCATCTCTGCTGGTGACACGGACGGAGCCGCGAACGAGCCAGTACATGGCCTTTGCATCTTCGCCCTCTCGAATGATCTCGTGCGCTGTTTGGTATATCTTTGGGCGGAGGCTGCGGCCAATTGACAGTAAGAAGGTTTCGGGCGCAGTCTGGAAGAGCGGGAAGGCCTTGAGGCGGTCGAGCAGCTCCAGAGGAAGGCCGGTGTCGGTGGAGGAGCCCAAGGGGGACGATTTAACGGGTCGAGATGGGTTGAGGTCGGAGTCGTAGCTCTGAATCAAGCTGATAGCGTCGGGAGGACTGACTGATCGCAGCGTTTGCGAAGCGCGGAGGGGATGGCGGCGCATCTTGACGGCAGTCTCAATGGCAAGTCACGACAACGATCCAGGCGGTGGTAGTTCATGAGAAGATGGGAATGGCCAGGACAGTATCGTCTTCTTTCATGCGCAGGCGGTGAGTGATTGTCCAGCACATGCAACGGGCAGATACCGATACTGCAGCCAAGCGACGCCGTAATGCCTAGCGACGCATGCGCGTTCCCATTGGGACAGTGTTACCGTCCAGAAGAAACGCGTGTCTGTAGTCGACGCGGGTGAGGGAGAGCGAGATAGGGCGGGTAAGAAAGTCGACGGAGGGAGCAGGAGGTGTAGTGAGGTGGGAGGGGCCCGTTCGGCCAATGCTTAGGTTAGGATATGCAAGGAACGGAGACGGGTGCTAAGCGGGAGGCACGCACTTGCTGGGAGGCCCGACGAATGGAACAATCAAATGGCCGAACACATGTAAGGAGAGAGGGAGGGTGCACGGCACAGGTGTTCATCGGAGGAATATCATAAGGTATGGGAGGAGGAGGATGACGAGCAACAAGCACGAATGGGAATGACGGCGCAGGGCGCAAGGCGGGCGGGCTCGCAGCGAATGGATGCAGTGCAGCAGCAGTACCTACCAGCGGCTGCCGGGCGCACTAGTCTCCTTTCGACGACGGCAAGCTCGTCCCGCCGCTTCTCCCGCTTCCAGAAGCAGGGATGCGGGCTGACTCACCCTTCACGCTGGGGCCCCGCTCCGTCCCTGCACGTCGTGCTGTGTCTCTTCCATTGTTCGGGGACCTTAGCTTCAAACGTTGTGACGACTTCATCTCGTGACGACTTCCGAAGTCATCTTTCCTGTCGTAGACCCATCTCCCGTCACGTCTCGTGCGACGAGCGGGGGGTCGGTGGTGACATCCAATACAGCGGAGAGCACGACCCGATCGGGAAGCCGCAATGGCACAGAACGGCGGTCGAAACTCCCAGACTCACACTCGGAGACGCAGCTTCCGTGGGCATGCTCCTGCGCTCCTTCCCTTGGAGCTCCTGCGCGCCTTCTCTCGGGGCTGAGCATGTGAGTCAACAATCGACCACATTACAAACATTTTGGCCAAGCCACATCTATCACAGATATATTCCATTTCGTCCCAGTCATCGCTTCTTCCTCTTCCTCCTCCTCTCCTCCTCTTTGCTCTCCTCCTCCTCCTCCTCCTCCTCCTCTTCCTCCTTCTTCTGCTTCTTCAGCGATCATGGAGGACACTCAGCTCCAGCAGGGCAATCAGCTGCAGCACGAGAATGCGGTGGCGTACAACGCGCTTGCCACAGCCATTGACAACATAATGCTGAAACTCGGATTCCAGGACGGCGGCGACTTGTACATGAATGCCACACCGCCCGACCGCGGTGAACGCCTTCCGCCTATGATCTTCGAAACCGGCACACTAATGTATGGCATTGTTCCCAAGAGCAGATCTTGCAAAATCATCTGTGTCGCCGAAATGTCACACAAGCTTTTCTGGGAGCACTTTCGAGAGAGTCTAGGTACTGTCACAGATTCCGAGTGCGGCCCCTTCTTTGAACCTGGAAGCAGCTTCCTCCACCAGCAATGTGAACCGAAAGTTGGGAGATGCTAGCTGACCCTGTGGCAGGCTTGAGTGCGGATACTGGTGCCGCACCGTCAACGCGTCAGATAACCATCCATACAAGTTCAATTCCTGGCCTAGATCTCAAGCCAGGCGCCACCATACAATTTTTCCATAGTCGACAGGACTGGAGTACGTTCGAAAAGTGCAGAAAGACCCTGGGGCAAGAGCACGCATGCATCGAGCCGGGGAACTACGCTGGTGAATTCGAGCTCTGGCGCAGCATGCAGTCTCCGCCGACTCTATCTCTCGCGGAACTCAAGAACCCTCGCGCGAGTGTGACGCAAATGCAGCGCTTTCGCCACGGCTACCTCGTTTTCCGGCGATGGGCAGACTTGATGGGTCTGTTCTCTGATGTGCCAGAATATGGCTATCTTTCGGAGAAATGCCTCTGCGAACTTTTTCGTCGTGCTGCTCTCGAGATTGGTACCAATTGGTCCTCGGTGTTGCATGTCTTGGCATCAAAGACCTTCCAAGAAATTATCGAGAAGAAAGCAATCAGTGTGCTTCTACCCAACGGAACAAATCTCGCTGCCAATGTGTACACCGAGCACAAGGATGCCATCATCAGTACTATTGCCGATGGCTCATGCACCGCGCAGCCCTGGGATCAATGGCCAGAAGTAGGCGTGCAGCTCTTCTCCCGCGGGTGCTCCACTTACTTGAAGTACGAAGCGCACTGCTGGAACCTACAAGAGAACGAGGAGGTTGCTATCACGGTGCGCCTGCTGCTGGAGAAATACATGCAAATAGTGCGAAATAACCCCAAATTGAAGGCTCGACTCTGGCCACGACCTCTGAAGAATGAGCAGAAGGGCGACTACTTGTACCTGATTGGTCTTCAGTTCCACGCGGAAGATGGGGCAGGGCTATCCGAGTTACTCGACCATGTGAAAGACGCGAACTTGTGGGAGTCTTACCACAGCGGCTGGTATCATAGGGTCGATCACGTGGACGAAGAAGAAGCTGCCACTTTACTTGCCAGTTCGCAGTTCGAAAATGAGACCGAGGAGTGCGAGAGTACAATATCATCAGCCTCTGCTTCCGCCAAGCGCTTCCGGTTTGCCTCTGAGGCCATGAGTCGGCTGTGTCACGACGAGAAACATATGTACAGAAAGTACGAAATTGGCTATCTGGATCGATTTGAGAAGGAATTGCTGTGGAAAGACCTCGATAAATGGGTTCCTCGAAAGCACTCAGAAGCTGATGACTTCGTCCCAATACACCGCGTCCAGAAGATCAGGACCACTGAGGATAAGTCTATCATATGGGATCGAGCAAACAAGACCGACAACACATGAGCCTCGTCAAACAGTACTGGTGTCTTTGAAATGTCGTCAACCTCGCCGAGCCTGCGGTCTGCGCTAAGAAGCACACGAAGAAGTTGCAACAGAAAGAGAGTAGAGCACTGGGTGCGATAACAGATTTATTGCATTGCAAAAGGTATCTTAGAAGCATATACAGTCCATGCTGCATGTAAAATCGCAGCTCGTGCAGCAAAACAGCGTCCAGCCCGTCCAGCAGTGTACTTGAATCTTACAAGAAAACCGGAACATCCCACCATACATCCATACAAATCCATCAAAATCATCAAAGAGCCGCCATTCGCATCCGCGTACCAACCACTCTCACTAAAGAGAATCGCGCGTCCCGAATGCCCCGAGTTCGTAGAACACATTCGTCATCTCCCTTGGTCGATGATGTCTCGTCCGGGGTGAACCGTTTAGAGGTGGCCCTTGAGGCAGAGCGCGCAGTCGGCGGGCAAGAGAGATCCAATCGCAATAACGGCGGCGACGCAGCTCGAGTCATCCTGGGCATCTGAAAGGGTTGGTCATGTCAGTGGATGCGCCTTGTGTAAATAGGTGAAGAACGCTCATGGTAGACGTACCCTTTCCTTTGTGGATAGCAGCCCAGACGCAGCCGTTAATGGTACCGGCGGCGTGCTCCAGGCACTTGAAAGCACGCTTGAAGCCGCAGTGAAGACCGGGAACCTTGCCGCGCTTCTCGAGGCCCGTGGAGGTGGTAGTGGTAGTGGTAGTCTTGTCGTCCTTCTTCTTGTCGGTCTTCTCCGTCTTCTTGTCATCCTTCTTCGCATCCTTCTTCGCATCCTTCTCCTCCTTCTCGTACTTCTCATAATCCTCATGGACGTCTTCGATGGTGATCTTCTTCTCGCGGAGCAACTTCAGAATCAAGTCGCCCTTGTCGAACGACGTCTTGTCGGTCGACGTCTTGCCGGTCGACGTCTTGTCGGTCGACGTCGTGTCGGCGACAGTGCTCTCAGCACGACGGTCAAGCTCATCGTCAAGCTCATCGTCAAGCTCTGGGGCACGAGCGTCAAGCTCGTAGTCACGAGCGTCAAGCTCGTAGGAACGAACGTCAAGGCCTTGCTCTGTGGTATCAAAGCATCAGTATGCGCTCATCTTCGTTCAAAAAGAGGATCTTTCTCGATATCATACCGTTGGCAATGGGCTGCGGGAGGGCCCAGGCCATGGCTGGCAGAAGAAGAGCGGCGGTGGCGAAGAACTTCATGGTTGCTGAAGGGTTGATTTGTTGTTGTGAAGCGAAGTTTGTTGGTTTGTTAGTGAAGATGGAGAAGGCTGAAGGTGATGCTGTTGCTGAAGAGGCTGTAGACTGCTGATGCTGCTGGATGATGATTGTATTCTTCGAGCGAGAGAATGCCCTTTATGTATGCTGTCGTCGTCCAGACCTCACGTGCTCTGTCATGGGCCTCATATTGCTCTAGAAGATAAGACCTTGGTCAAGATGCATTATCTCGAAGAAGCAAATGTCCCGGCATGCTTAGCCTTAGCATAAGGCTGTAAGTCGGTCTGTATTGATGGCGCATTGATCAGGAGTGAGACACTGCGGCCGCCACACAGCAAAAACAAAGGCCCGTGCCTAGCGTGACGTCCATCCATCCTCGAGATTCTTCACAACTTCAAGATTTTCGTAGATCTGCGATTCCTATGCCTCCCGCCTCTTCTTGAAAGTCTCCTGTCCCGTATGTACCGGATAAGAGCGATCCTCCAAAAGCCGAACAGTCGGTGACCAACGTGTACGCGGATTGCAACGACATAGCACATAGCAGAGAGAAAGATCCGAATGTCCAACACAGTTCGTGTCTTACAACCCCTGTCACATCCAGCCAATCGAACGGCTTTGCTCTTATTGTGCGGAGCAGTCGGCAGATGCAGGTAGCATATCGGCTTGGACGTCTAGTGGGATCCTAGGGTTGCACATATCAGCAACTCACGCGTTGGAAGGCGGAGGGTGAGACTCAAGCCCATACATAGGACTGAAACATATTTGTTATGTTTGGCCACTCCGCACCACTCTGTGTGTTGGTCATGTCTCGGCGTCCTTTGCTCCATACTCCGCGTGAGCCATGCACCAATGCGACGGTATCTGTGGAGGATCGTTACAGGCCCGCGCTGCCTATGAAAAGATCGTAAGCAATTTTTTGATGCATTGCACAGGGGTGATCAAATTAAGATAGATTGACGCTAGTTGCTTGGCATACCAAACCTCCTTACCAACACACTTTTGAAGTCTCTACACCAGCACCACTATGGCCCCAAGGCTCAGAAATCATTCACAAAGGTCAAAGAGGCCAGGGAAATTCAAGACACCATAAAGGACGCGGTTTTTTGACTATTGGGATGCATCTAGAGACTAATACACACTCAAATACTTCTGCTAGCTGTATGACCACGAAGAATGGTGCCCTGCCTACCTAACAGCTAGCAAATGGCTCTACTAACGTGCAGAACTCAGAGCAGAAGCTGAGCTATCCCCTACCCGAAGACTACCACGAAAGGAAGCCCCTAGACCTAAAAAGAAGGATATATCCTACTGGATTGAGATAATAGCTAAAGGCCCCTAAGATTTAAGGAAACAGGACTATACCTTCTTCCAAAAGCATACAGAAGCCTCATATTTAACGTTAAGAAGAAGGATAAGGGAAAGGAAGCCACAGATACTGCATAGCAAGAGGCAGAGCACTACACAGATCTCTGACAACAATAAGAGGCTTAGGATTCAATATAGGCACCAATATAGGTCAGAGACAGTGGATAGCCTCTAGCAATGGATCCATTGGACAGACGAAGCTCATATTGACCGGGCTATATCTCTTTATTAACGAATCTTTCGTAAGAAGGGCAATTATAAAGGGATAGTATACGAGCAACCTGAGCCTAACTATTTGGTAGCCTATATTACTGCCTCTGTCTCTTAGTGGCATAAATCAGAGCTTGTCTTCTACAACGATAAATAGTGGAACCATAGGCATATTACAGAAATCTAGAAGGGCCAAAAACTACGAAGAAACAGAAGGCAGAAGACAGAAGAGCAGTATCAAGCAGAGTTAAAGGAATGGGCCAATTTAGAGCCCCTACACACCTAGAAGAAGGGCAATTCAATGAGCCAGCTCTACTATGCAGAGCATATCCTTCTAAAGCATGTTGAATGGATCAAATAGATAAAGAATCAAGGCCACCCTGCCATTTTGATAGAAGATAGTGATCCATTATATAGTCATAGATCAAAGGACAATCTACCCGAAAAGACAAGGCAAGAACAGCTAATCCAGCTTCACTGGCACCTAGCATAAAGCCCTGACCTCAACCCAATTGAAGGTGTGTGGCTACTGCTTGAAGAGAGCCTTAAAAAGATGTATAGGGAGTCACTATATCAGATGGACTATCAAGCTCTCAAAGCAGCCTGTATCTATGCCTGGAATGAGATTTCAATGGATCAAATCAGACACAGAATACAGAGCATGCAATGGAGGTGCTACCAACTCACTTTGAATGGTGGACAGCGTGTAAAGGATGATATTTGGTAGAGATAGTATGCAGACACCAATGCCAAGCAACTAGCGTCAATCTATCTTAATTTGATCACCCCTGTGCATTGTACCTGCATAGATAAGCCTAATAACAGATCTGGGCGTGAGCTTGTCCGTGCGATTCGTGGGGTGCCAGGGGTAGCCATGTCCAAAGGCCTCCGATCATGTCTCGGATCATTCTCGAAGCCGCTTCCTCGGTCCACTTTCTCGGTCCAATACGGTCCAATAACTCCCTTTATTTGCCGATGTTCCTGATGAGCATCCGTTCGTTCCATCGATTGGCATCGAAAGTGACAAGAAAATATGACATTCTAAGGCCGCTGTATACCGAAAATCGTTCGGTCACCCGTTGCATATGATCGAACCGTGCTACGAGTCAGATGACACCGCAATGCACAATTTTCTAAGCCAGAGCGGAGTGCTGTTCATCGCGACATCGCTGTCCATTATAATTATAGTCGTGCTGATCCGTCCCGAACAGCGCCCATCATGAGACAGTCGAGCAAATGATCCGAAGTCGACATTGTGCTTTCGAAAAGAACCGCTCCTTGGAAGGTCGCAGTCTGCTGGCAGCAAGAAGCTGAAGGTGGACAGTGACCAGGTCTCCCTTATTCTCGTTGAGTTGAGAGATCCGCAACCTCGTCTATGATTCTGCGCTCACATCATCAAACGCAGACTCCCACACAGGAGATCCGCCTCTGAGCTGGTATGCCGTCGCGTCCGGAACGAATGCCTCCTGCTTTGTTGTTCATATAGCGGATCCAAGCTATGAGTCTCTTCGACAAGGGCCACGGGTGTTGTCTGGAGCTCGATTAAAACGTTACGCCACCACATGGCAGGAGAGACTGAGCCATCTGACAAGCCTTGAGGTGGAGTGCAAGTTGTCCAACAGTGAGAATCTGCCTGGGCCATGCAACACAGGATGCCATATTCGAGGAGCCTGGGTCGAAGTAGGGATGATGCTCGCTGGTCCGCAGTTTACCTGGCGAGGAGTATCGCGGACAAACGTTTCCGATCCTGCGGTGGCGAACTATTATAAATTGTTCGCAGAGTCCGCAGGGCTATACGTGGTGAGTTGGTCCACCAAGCTTTGGGTGAATCGCCAGTATTAATTTTCAGGGCGTCATGGCCTGTGGCGGACTTGCGAGAGCCCACGTGTTGGAGCAAGGACCAAATTCTGGTGCTAACCCGCGGTTTTCGAAGGACGACTGAATCAGCGCTACAGCGTTTCTCACAGCCGAATGTTGTCGTATCCCGAGAATCCTAGCCAAAACAAGGGCAACAGCGAGTCGGATCGCGCGAAATCAGCGGGAGCAGCCGTGGAGATGACACCCCCGATGTGCGAATACGCTGTATTACGGAATATTTTGCAGGCCCCCTTCATTCTTTCTTGACGTGCACTTCAACCATCATCGTACTTGCCACTCATGCTGGACACGTGGGCGGGGAGCCAAGCCTGTCTGCTGGTGTCGAAACGATGGTTCTCATGGTCTGTGCCTGACAGCGCCTGTTCCCCGTACTCTTCCATCAGGATATCCGCATAGGCATACGGAATGCTGGCGGCAACACCTTCGAAGCGACTTTGGCGAAGTGGATAGATATCATCATAAGAATAGTGGTGCTTGTCCTTGACCATCATTGCTTCAGAGTCTCCAGCAGTCGTCGCAGTCATATTGCGCCGAAGGGTGGTAATGTCAATGAAGAGGCCGGTCTCAGTGTCGATCCAACGAGCATCAATACGGTTGTCCCTGTCGAGCCCGTCCTCACGGTAGTGGGGGTTGATTTCGAGCATGTAGCTCCTGGTGGCCTCATGCCCGGGCAGCCTGAACTTGTGAACCGTCATATTGTGGAAGCTCGCGAGGAAGTGCAAAGCACTCTGAGATATCATGACATCTAAATCGGAATCCCAAGGCATAATTCGCCTGTTCCAGTACCAGCCCAGTAAGGTACCATGCATGAGCCAAGTCTCTCTCCCGATAGCCCCCATGTCATTCATTGCCGACAGGTAGGTCCGGATGAGCGCCGAGAGATGCATTTGCCTTTCGTCATACTTCAACGGACGGTCTGCAAAGCGGCCATCATAGTGTTGATGGAAGTTGGATTCGTGAAAGTACTTGTCCGGAGGTTCGTCGTCTAAATTTACGTGTGGATGATCCAGTCTCGTCCGGACACTTTCGAAATCGGCGTCCCGGCGTTCAATGACGGGCCGGCAAGAGGCATGTCTGAATGTCTCGACGCAAATGAGTCCAGCGAAGAGGGCTAAGATTCGACATTTCATGTATCGCGGGACTTCCCTGTACTGCTGGAGTACAACGCGTCCGAGCGGCGAAAGACGTAAGTGCGGTGGGCGTGAGTGCGGTGGGGGCGTTGCTGAACAATTGAAGACGGTGCCTTAAGGAAATGACAGGGATTGGAGTACGGCTGGTTCTCCCGGATGATGGAGAGGACGATACAGATACAGTAGTAGAAGGGAGGAGGGAAGATGGAAGGTGGTCATCATAATAATAAGATAAGGAGGATGGAACGACTGACGCGGCCACCCCGGAAAAGGGTCCACTCTCCCCGATGCGCTAATCAACGCGTGGCTGAAGCTTGTATCTTCAGGTTGTCTTTGTTGGCAGCACTGAGGTTGCCAAGTACAGTAAGCTAAGCTAGTGCATACTTGCCGTAGGATGGTGCTCGCAGTCATCAAAGGTCGCACAGGTGCCCCAGAGCGTTTCCGGCGAGGCAAGAGGCTGTGGACTGCATCGGTCTCTTCAGATGCTACGAGTTCCGAAGTCGGAAATTACATGAGCGGCGTGCTGGTCAATCAAGGGGCTTTCTCTCGCCTATTGCACAATGCAACAATAATGACAACACCGCCACCTCTGTCGCCGGGGCACGGTCAAGCCCTCCTCGCCTCCAATCATGATTGAATCGTTATCATCGCCACGGTCATCATGCGTTGCTTGCCCCTACATGAGGCTCCGCACGCCTTGTTTCAGCCTGAACTTGACGAGCGTACGCTCGCGCAGCCTCCTTCGTGGTGATTTCGACCGGAGGACTTCGACTCGGCTCGTCGTTATCCTCAGGAACTGGATGTGATACTACTCGGGAGCCTTGAAAGGCTTAACAAGCATTTCGCTGAATCTATAGGCAGTTGTCAGCAAACGTGCTTACACGCGGATCATGCGCAAATACTTACTTTGAGATGCTTTCTACTCCACGAACCTCTTCAACTAGCAGAGGCATCTTGACCACATGGAAGTCCTCGCCGTACAGGTCGTCAATCTGCTCAAGATACTTCTTCTGCATCTTTCTCCGTGCATTACACTGCTCGCATGGGTTGTCCTTCTTTGGGAATAACAGTTGATTGACAACCATGGCATGCGTGTCGATCTCGTACGAGCCAAGCTCTTGGATCATTCGTTCGGTTTCGTAGAGGGACAAGAATTCCGGAATCAAGACCGGGACAAAAGTAGTCAGGTCGGCGTTCTTGAACTGCTTGTTGACGTCGCCAATGGTGTCTTGAAGATCTCGCATGCGCTGCAGAACATCGTCAAAAGATTGCCCGTTCGGAAGGCCGCCTCGTGCACCGATGAGATTGTTGATCATGGGACCGAATTGCTGACTCAGCTGGCTGAGCTTCCCGAGTGCCTTTTCTAGCACAGTCGGGAACTGCAAGAAGCGTAAGGTGTGACCAGTCGGTGCAGTGTCGAAAATGATGAGTTCGTATTCCATGCCCTTGACTTGCTTTAGAACTTCCGCGAACGACATGGCCTCGTCTACTCCGGGAATGCTGAAAGCCATGTCTTGGAACATGTTGCCCACACCTCCAAGGCCAGACATAGCATCTTGCGCATCATCTCCACCTGCCGCAATCAAATCTTGGATACTGCCATTTGGATCGATTTCCATGGCGGCGAGACCCTCAACACCGGGGACGGGTCTCGCATCCTTGCCAAACTTGACGCCAAAGGCATCTGACAAGTTGTGTGCAGGGTCTGTCGATATCAAAAGAACGCTCTTTCTTGCCTTTGCCATCTGCACTGCCAGCGAACATGATGTCGTCGTCTTTCCCACACCACCTTTTCCTCCTACAAATATCCACTTCAGCGATTTCTGGTCGACGATCGGCTTGAGACTCGGCTCCATCTCTTCGTCCGCCATGTTGACTTGAGGCCCCGGTGCGCGGCTCTTGGTTTGATGTGTGGAATGACCACCGCGATTGCAGGTTCTGTCAGTTGAAAGTCGCGGCTGATATCCGTATTCTTGAGTGCGATTACGAAGCGTATGGCTGGGGAACTTGTCGGTGTTGATTGTTTGTCTCAAAACTTGGAATCGTCTGGAAGCTCCATCGCGGGGCACTCTCCGCAAGGTTAACTCGTCATTCCGCGTGGCCAGAGCCGCAAGCCGTGAGACCAATCAAATACTGACTATTCAAACCACGCACTTCGCTGAAACGCTAAAACAATGCAGGCTGATTCTCGGCAAGCTTGCCATCTTCGACATCATCACTCCATCCACATTGTTCTTGACCATGCACCGATTCTGCTAGCAGATGTCTCGACCGCCCGGTATCATTAAACGAGCGTGGTTCAAGTGGAAGTCTCTCAAACTCCCGTGGCGGAATCAATTCCTGGTGGGCAACGACCTCGCTGGAAATTCTTTCTGGGAGTTCAAAGACGCGCTCAATGCGAACAGGCTGAGGCGGATCGTCAAGTACAGTGGCCGGGTCCACTATGGTGATGTCAAAATATCGCGTAGGTCGCATGGGCATAGACGGAAGTGCTGAAGCCGAGCTGACGAGAACGACAGCACAATGGCATCAATGGCTTCGCCACACTCGCGAAGAAGCTCCATCAATACAGGAGCAGCAGTACGAAATCTCACGACAGGCGATGATGAAGCAGTTGGCTGCAGAAGCAGATGAGAGATGGAAGAGCATACCATCGTACCTCGACTCGCCCAATCGACAACAACCACAACCGGCCATAGGGGTGCAGGATCCAGGTGGATATGTGCAGCAGACTGAACCGGAGTCGCAAGAGGGTGTCAGAAGCGCAGTGGATGATCAAGAGAAGGTCAGTGCTGCAATAGAAGGAAATCCCAAAGATGAAGGAAGGTTCAGGGGACAGACGAAGGAGAAGAGGACAAAAGAGCCAGCGCCATGGGATAAATTACGACCGCAAGGCGCACCGAGTGAGAACTGGCAGCCGGAGCCGTGGACGCCGGGTGTTGCACAACGGGGCCGATAACAGGTTTTGAATGAGGCATATGAGGAAAAATTACGAAAGCGTTCCTCATGCAAATCACCTCCATGTTGTTGCAGTGCCTCCATGTTACGATGTGGCCATTGGTACCTTACTTTCGTCATCGTAGTCGCGAGCGCTCTTTGCTCTACCTCACGCGAATGCGGTCACTTCGCCAGATTTGGACTCATCGGTATGAAATGAGGCAAGGGCGAAGCTGGAGACAAGGTGACCTTCACCAGGGTAGCACCTACCTTCATACGCGTTCTATCAATCATTTTCCGGGTCATTGAAAGTGAACGGCTTCTGCAAGCAAACTCAAACTTTTGGACTTCCTTGTGCATATCATTTTTCCCCTGGTGATTCACCCAAGAGCGCTTCTAGCATTTCGACCACAGTGGTACTATGCGACTTTCACACTCCCTATGGCTCTTTTCTGTTATTAGCGGGAAGATCAGCTGGGCCAGCGCTTTCGTCACAGTATAACAACCCACTCAACGCTTCCAGGATGCCAACTTTCGCAAACTCGATCACAGAAGCCAGCGACTTGATTACTAAATTGCTTCCAACGGCCAAAGCCGCGGTTCTTCATGTCTTGGCTAGACTACTTTTGCAACAATTCTGGCGTCCTTGCGATGCCGAGCTACCTTTCTATGGGCTCTCGCCTTCTTCATACCCCTGTTCCTCCGCGACAGACGACAGAGATGAGTCTCTTGCAAAGGCGCGACACGTCGTGTCCAAGATGTCTGTCCCGGGAAAGTCGGCCACCACTGTGGGACAGTTCTCGTTGAATGGGTGTACTGGCTTATCTGGTAACGTCAAGAGCTTGAGATCCGGGTTTATGTCTTCAAGACGCGGAAAATGGTGTTCGTACGGGGGAGAAAGAAGATGTCAGAGGCTATCCTGCGCCAGTTCACGTCGGAGCGTCCTGGAACCGGACGCTCGCGAAATAATGTGCTTTGGTCGTGGGCAGAGAATTTCAGGCGAAGGGAGTGGAAGCTCCGCTAGAACCAGTTGCTGGATATTCTCTTTATTTCTGTGTCGCAATCGCGCGAAACGCTAATGCGGATGTAGGCCACTCGCCAGAAAAGCAAAGAATGGCCGGAACTGCGAAGTTTTCTCTGATGATCCATACCTCAAGCGAAGCCTGCCAGCTCCCACAGTCTCCGCGCTTCAAGAATCGATTGCTGCATGTGTCAAACATGCGCCTGCCAATGAGCAGGAGACCTATCGGATATCATTGTTACAGGATAGTATTTCGAATCCTGGAAAGCAGGCAGTATCTTCGAACATGAACGATCGAACGATGCAGGAACTGTACCTGTGGTCATCTTATGATGCATTCAGGGCTGGTGCTGAATGTGTGATGTACAGTTACAACCGACAAAGGACTCTCAGCTCCACGCAGATATCTCGACTAACATTGTACAGGGTGACCGGCAGTCACCGTCGTCAAAACGGCAAGGTCATGAACAGCTTGCTGAAGAATGAGCTTGGATATGAAGGATTTGTAGTCAGTGACTGGGAAGCTGCCCATACCGCAATTGCCGCGACTCAGGCCGGACTGGGCATGGTGATGCCATGGTCGTGTTATTTGACATCCTCCGTCATTGAGCACGCAGTCGGCAACGGCTCCTTAAGGGAATCTCGAATCGACGACCGCGCAGTCCGGATACTTGCTGCTTGGTATCGCTTTTCCAATTTGCCAGACTCACGCGACTCCAGTAACCGCCCTTTCGAGCCGAGTATTGCCGATGCTGTCACATTTCAAAGTGCCGTGAAAGGGTACGTATTGGTAAATCACACCAACAGGACTTTGCCAAAGAAAATGCCTCAACTCTCTCGCTCTATGGTTGCGATGCCGTTGGAAGTCAGAAACCATCTTCCAATAGCCCTATTAGCTGCAACGACGGCCTTTCGAAACCTAAGCGCTACTCTGATGGAAACTTGATTCACGATCTTGCATATGGCCCTTCTTGTTCTCGGCCCTTTCACTGGGAAGACTGGACCGAGCATTGCAATGAACGGTACAATGCTCACGGGCCGACAATCAGGCGCTGTCACATCGAGCTATCCTCATTCACTGTATAATGCTTTCTTAAAGCAGGCAAGATTGGACGGTACAAAGCTGTACACTCACTTCACGTCGCAGAAACCATTTGTCCATGCGCCAAATGATCCTTCCATCGTCTTTATTAACTTAAAAAGCAGCTCGACCATGATTGTGATACACAACATCAAGATACGCATTTTCTATAGCTGGATCAATCACCCTAATGTCACAGCCGTCGTCTTTGCACATCTGCCGGGCCAGGAGAATGGGAGAGCACTCGGTGAGCTGATGTACGGAAGACAATCTTTTTCGGACGTTTGCCGTACACTGTTGCCCAAAAGGAATCGGACTATGGCGCGCTGCTGGGACCTACAAGCTTGTACAAAAGCGTCAAGTACCCACAATCAGATTTTCTGGAGGGCTGTTGATCGATCACAAGCAATTCATCAACAACGATGTCACGCCTCGATTTCCACTGGGATACGGGCTAACGTATTCGAGCTTCGCGTACACAGGCCTCCAGAATTCACAATAACTCCAGCGCGAATATGAACGTCGTGCCGCCGGATCATGGAACGTTTCCTGTGCCTTAAGTTGGACCGGAATCCTTTCATGATGTCATCGCAACTGCCACCGGCATCGCAAAGACCACAGGCGATAGTTCTGCTTCAGAAGTCGCTCAATTGTATCTCGAGATACCCGGCAGCCAAACGCCAAGGGTCCCGCGAGGATTCAACAAACATCTGATCGAGCCCAGGCAAGCTGCCTACTATCATTTCCCGCTGAGACGAAGCGATCTGAGTGTGTGGGATGTCGTGCAGCGGCAGCGGACGCTCAATCGGGGTGTGTATCGTGCTATGGTTGTCAAGGACGTTCTAGATATCCCGCTTGAAGGAGAGTTGAAGGTCGAGTGATAGCGCAACACGTTTGTCGTCCAACGAACACGTCGACTGGCCTGGCGTGATGTCCTGCTGTACCTAGTGCGAGTCCCTAATGATTTGCTTAGGCAAATTGCAATCATGAAATCTTGACTGATCCATTCCTTGGTGACGTGTCGTAAATTCAGAATCAAGGGAGATGGTGAGGTGGCACGCTTGGAGCTGTTGATGGCCGAAAAGCGTTTGTTGATGACGCGAGATGACTTGGGCTCGGATGATTTCACTCATATACGCGCTGGCCATTTGCTAGAGTGAACGGAGATTGCATGTGAAGCGGGCCTGCCACGAATTAGCGCATGTTGGTGAATGGCAGAAACTGGAGGAAGGCAGACCCCGCCAGCGGCAAGCTTCCGGTTGCCTCGCCCGGACGCACGTGCCACCAATGACACCGTGCTGTACTCTTAAAGTCTTTCACCAAACATCATCTCAAAACTGCTCTGAACTCCACTCCTAACCATAAACACACCCTCCAACCACCACCACAGATCCACCAGCTCATTGCCTTACGAGCACCAGCAGATCGCTCGATAGAACCCTTCAAGCAGAGCATCGCGCGCGCACGCCAAAACCTACAGACAACCCCACACGCGACATCAACATGGCGGAAGGCCAAACTCCTACCTTCAAGCTCGTCCTCGTCGGTGACGGCGGTACTGGAAAGGTCAGTACCACATGAAAGAGCTTGAACCAGACAGTGACGGCAGGAAGAGAGCTGTAAGAGGAGAACAGAGGCTGACTCACCGCTATCTAGACTACCTTCGTCAAGCGCCATTTGACTGGAGAGTTCGAAAAGAAGTACATCGCCACGCTCGGAGTCGAAGTTCACCCACTTGGCTTCACCACCGTAAGCATTTTCTGCGCATACATCGCCGACGAAATCAGCAGGGACTAACAAGAGCACAGAACCTCGGCCAGATCCAGTTCGATGTTTGGGACACTGCAGGACAGGAGAAGTTTGGTGGTCTCCGTGATGGCTACTACATCAACGGCCAGTGCGGTATCATCATGTTCGATGTTACTTCGCGCATCACGTACAAGAACGTTCCCAACTGGCACCGCGATCTTGTCCGTGTTTGCGAGAACATCCCGATCGTGCTCACTGGCAACAAGGTCGACGTGAAGGAGCGCAAGGTCAAGGCCAAGACCATCACCTTCCACCGCAAGAAGAACCTCCAGTACTACGATATCTCCGCCAAATCCAACTACAACTTCGAGAAGCCCTTCCTGTGGCTTGCGCGAAAGCTTGTCGGCAACCAGTCTCTGGTAAGTCGGGATTCAGCTTCAAATCTCGAACCTTTACTGATGTAATACTAGGAATTCGTTGCCGCACCAGCCCTCGCTCCACCTGAGGTGCAGGTCGACCAGGCTGCTATGGAGCAGTACCAGAAGGAGATGCAGGACGCAGCCAACATGCCGCTGCCAGATGAGGAGGACCCAGACTTGTAAGAGGCTGGGTGATGGAGTCACGAAGTCACGGCACGGGATGGACTCGGATTGGATCGAGATGCACATGCACATAGCGGGCTAGCGCTCGCGCGAGCAGGCCCTGGCTGGTAGAGCGGTCATACGGACCCGGGCGATGGATCATGGCTAGCGGTTTGTGTGCTTTTCCCTCAAGCCTCTTCTCGGTTTTACGAACGGGAGAGCATCACGGCATGTTTCCAGCATGCTCCTGCAAAGCGGTGGCGTTCACGACACATGCTGAGCTTTATGAATTTAGATAGACGAATCATACTATACCAAAAGCGCTTTCATGAGACATCCCGCAAACCATCTCCCAATGTGGCGTCCATTCTGCGATTCCTGGCCTTCAGATGACTGACCGCGGGCAATCCGGTGCATCAGCCGCTTCGTGGCACCTCTCACGCGATTGAGCCTCGTAATGTAAAATGCAGATTACTCGTGGGCGAGCGCAGCAGTCAGAGTACCCCACTGAATGCCGGTACGTCCGCACATCGCTCTTGGAGGTTGCGAAGATAGAGCAATCCCCTGCATGACCCATAGCCTTTGCCAACACGGTCTCTTCATGAGTGCCAAAACCGCTGTCCAGCCTCGCGTTTCATACTCCTTGTCGTATCCATCGACCAGATGCGGCTCCACGAGCGCTTTACGGCCAGCGTACCCAGACCCCAGAGCAAACTCGCCATCATCTTCGCCTTCGCCGAGCCAGGCAATGGTCCTAGTAGCTTTCTGGTAGATCTCGTGCATCATCGCGACCTGCGAGCTTCTTTCGGCGACATCACGCTGGTTGATGCAGAGTCCACCCACAGTACTCTGGGTGGATTGATCGGAGAAGCAGCGGTACGGCGAAGACGGTGGAGGGCGTTGTTCAAGTTACTGCTGACCTCAATCTCGTGTTCGTCGATAGTAATTGGCTGGGAATGAGCTTGTTTGCCCCAACAATACGATGAAGCCTCATATTCTGGAACATCTGCCAAGCGCGCGTTGAGCAGGGTGCATCTCACTGGGCCGTCATGCCCGTCACCGTCCCGCTCGGTGCGCAGTAGTCGTATTTCTGAGCCATGAGATGCAAGCGTCACATCATCGTATACGGAAGACTCCAGAAGAACCATGATAGTCCAGAACTACTTCATCGACCAAGCTACCCAGACAAGATGTACGGCTTCTTTTTACAGCGTCTTCGCATAGCGGAGTTCTATCGTCTTTCCGAAAATGCTAGCAAGAAAGCAGGGAATCAGCGAGTCGGATAGCGCCCGATCCATGAGCTCTCGTTCCAATCCGGATCCTCTCAATATGAATAATGTAGACACATCAGACTGCCACGTCCACAGCGCAATGCCGGGGTGGGAGTGAGATCGGCGTCGGGTTCGGATTCGGGTTCGGCAGTGATCTCCGCGTCGTCTGAATTTCTCCTGAAGGCATTGCATTAAGGTACATTACTTCGCGAAGGCAGCGTACACATCTCCATCACGCGACCATTGCAATGGCGACGTCCCTCTTTTCACAACAATTACGCCCGTCGCTCTTCTCATCAGATACAGCTGGTTTTGTGTGCAAGACCTGCCGGCGGAATGCCGCTTCATTTCGAAGGACGAGAAAAGCGCTGCGCGTGAAAGTCGACCCTTCATTTGCGCCCTCCAAGACGGCAACCGAAGACCACATCATCTTTAATCCTCCATCGAGCGCGCCAAATGTCTATCACACCCCCTCCAAGTTTCTACCCAAATCGGATCCCCGAAGAGCGCTCTACACCGTACCCAAATCACCCGCAGAAGCACCAGCAGCACCCTCAGGAGTCTTGGCTTCAATAGCTGCGGAAAGAGCATCATCATCACGACCAGCAGCAACCCTCAAGCCAGTGAGACCGATCCAGGAGAAGAAATACCACCTCACACCAGAGCAAATCGATGAGATACGAAGATTAAGAGCTGAGGACCCCCGGCAGTGGACTCGGGTGAGGCTGGCAGAAAAGTTTGAGTGCTCGCAATTCTTTGTGAGCTTATGTTGCTCTGCTCCGGAGATCAAGGCAGAGAGAGATAGAGAGCTGGAAGAGATCAAGGCAAAATGGGGACGGAGGAAGAGGGAAGCCAGAGATGCCAGGCAAGAGCGGAAGAAGCTATGGGGACAGGATGCCTAGTGGGATGAGCGAAACAACGCAATATTCTAAGAGCGAGGTCTTGCAACCTGCCCGGCCGCAGCAGCTCGCGCAGACGTCTCGAGTGAGTAATGGCATCTGGTCGGTGATGGCACGTGGCTTCGTCCACGCAGACGCGCTGGAAGTCAGCCGTCTTACGAGTCTGGAGACGGGACCTGCACGATTCCAGCGGACGCCCGATCGACCTGAACCTGAATACAGTTGAGCATAATACGTGCTCACGGTACCTGATTAACATTACCGCGCCGGCCAAGTCGACACACCTGCAAGAATTAATCAACCATGTATGATACAACTGTACAGACAACAAAATGTCGAAAGAGTGGACGAAGCGTAACGTTCATATCATTTCTCATCATTCCATCTAACGGATACCTATTCATACTGACACCCCAGTTGTGTTTATGATGAATCGCGCGGCATCTTCTCCATACAGAGTGCCATACGTAACATGAGGTGATAGCACGACTGGGAGATTCAGCTCACACACAAGATCGACCTCGACGCAATACTGCTTGATCAGGCTTGCCGACACATTCCCACTGGTTCCGAAATGGCTATCTGCTTCAACATAAGCATCGTCTCAATATCAGTCAGGACAGAGTACACACCTGGATCTCCAAAATAAGTAATCGCCTTGACCTGGTCACTCGGTAATCCGTCGTTGTTCAATGCGGCTTGCACCACAAGGGCTCCCTGACTGTAACCCGCCAAGGCCAGTTTCGTTGTGGGACACTGCTGCATCGCCTGTCGAATGGCCTCCCGTCAGCAGAGGCCAACCCAGCAGATGTCGGAATGCAATTACCTGTGCCGCCAAGTTCCTTAAATTCTTCCCGCCAGGTTCTCCACTGACGACAATGCCACTGACTGTTGCGGGATATGGCACACCCTGCAAAGCGACGTTTCCATCCAAGAGGACCGAGAGGTTTCCGCATAGAGGAGGGCCTATTACTCTTCCGAGTGTTCCTGGGTCGATGGTGCCGCGAGCGAAGAGCAGTGTCAAAGGCGCGCAGACGCCATCTTCGACATCAGTCGCGTACTCTGAACCGATGACATAGTTCGTTTTGCTTGCTGCTCTGGAAACCAAAGGGTGAGCGAGAGCTGGAATAGAGATGGAAAGCAGGACGAGAAAGATGGAGAACATCCCGACAAACAGGCAACAAAGTCAACAACAAAGTGAGTGTCCGCAGAAGAGGATATCCACTCTCGGCTGGGCTTCTTGGTATACCTATTTCTTTTTTTATTTTGACTCTCCTCAGACATGGCCCAGTCGCACAATGTCGGTCCGACTCACTCCATTCACAAGAGTGGAGCTGGAGCTGGAGCTTGCCATGCCGCCAATAGTTATCAAAGAACTATGGCGCGCGTGTTGGTAGGGCTTGTGCGCTTTGCGTAAACATGGGGCTATCACGGATAACTTCTTCAGAGTAGATAAGAGGGTTGAGAAAATTCTTCAAAAGGTCTACGGATCTGTATATCTGCTGTGACTTCAAAGACAGGGTAGCAAGGAACTGTTCAGAATGCTATAGTTTTGCTTCATCTCTAACGTAGCTCCAAGCTTTGTCCAATCAATAATACAACGCACCTATTCCTCTGGTCTATAGTAGAGCAGAATGATGTCGATCCTTCGCCTGAGCCACACGGCGGTCAGTCGGCCTTGTACGAACTTCCCAAGACATGTAGTACGCGCGTTGGGAGTAGTGTGACTGATTCGTACGGAATTCCGGATGCGAACGGAAGAAATACGGATTCTCCTCGGCGCCAAGTGCCATGCAACTGTTGATTCTCGGTTTTGCATTTGGGAGATGTTTAGTACTGTAGTGATGATCTTGTTTGCAAGCCGTGTTGGCAGGTCTGCCGCGGTATGCATGTATAGTAAGGCTTTGAGGGTGGTAAGCTGTAGCTCGCGTACTGGCGTCCAGCTACTTCCTAGCTGGGAAGAATAAGGGTGAGCGGTCCTGTGAGCTCCCGTTTGGGCAAGGAGAACGAACACCCATCTATTCCTTGCTAATATCCTGTGCCGCTGAGTGCTGCATAAATTTTGCAGCTACAGTCTTCGCGGCGATCTTTGCAAAGCTCGCGATCGGTCGAGGCGTCTGCGTCCGTAGAATGTTCACTCATTGTTCCGGCCGTCCCATCTACTATCTTCGTAAAAGCAACCGACCGACACCCAGCGCTCCAGTAGCTACAGTCGCAACGCCGAAGAACTCCTGTGGTAATTCAACAATCGCTTCGTAGAATCTCTCAACCGACCAGGTCGCCAGGATCGCGGTGACAGGCATCACAAACAAAATGCCCTGAGCAACACGTCCATTAAAGAAGTTCGGGATTTTCCTCCACCATTCAAACCCCTCGCAGTCGCGCAACTTGATTGCGCCGTAGAAGAACCACAGGCTCGGCAATAGCATGATCACGCGAAGCGCTTTCATCTCCATCTTGGCATCCAGGGAAACACCCATCCCCAACATGACAACGCTGACACACGTAGATCCCACCGTGAATTTCGCGAATGCCGTGAGATGGCTGTCGCCCCGATGAAAAGCAACCATCTGACACGCGCTGCAGAAATTCCAGCCTTCGGGCTCTTTACTCATCTGCTTCAGAGTCTGATGGGACACAATGTGTCCACATCGCAAGAGGTGAGAATCCGAGTCGTGTTTCCGGCATCGGCAGTCCGTGTGCAGTACCCCATTGTGATGATACACAGTCTTCCAGAGTTCTTCCAGGGACGGGACTATATTTCCCTCACGGTCTTGGCGATTGTCTGGAAACAGGACGTAGGTACGCCAGATGGTGACGAATATACCAGCGGAAATGAGCCATGCGGGTCCAAAGCATGCCGCAGCGAGGAGAAATTGGACAATGTCAAGGTCGGTGAACTTGGAAGTCCAGACGATGGCGATGAACAGTCGGCGACCGATGATGAAGGTAGGGAGGAGAGTGGTGTAGGCGATGTTTACGAGGGCGCTGAAAAGTTGTGCCCTCATGGTGTGTGTGCGGTGAGGCCGTGGTTCTGCGTTGCGTTCGAGTATTGAGTGTGGAGTCGACGTGGCGACGTGTCGTTTGGAAAGTCACACATCGCTATTGTGAGGCGTTTGAAGCAAACAGAGCGGCGTCAAAGCTCTGCCAAGAAGCCGTTCCGATATCTCATTCACATGCCGAAGATATGCCGTGACCAGATCCCGCTCTCAGAACGTCAAGCTCTCCTCGCTACTGACACGCGACTTATTTCTGGCAGGAGCTTCATATAGCCCCAATGACTTTGGGAGAACCGCAGCTTCCTTTGGCTGCCTCAGAATATCTACACGAACTCTTTTAAGACTGGCGTGTTGTTACGCGCTTCCACATTGCTCAATTGGGGCTTCTCGCCGCCCCCGTTGCGACATTTCGCTAAAGCTTGACATTCTTAGCAAAAGAACCACAAACTCAACAGTTGGGCGCGCTTGGCTTAGTCAATCTTCTTCGTAGGAGCTTCGTCAGCTTTCGCCTCGTGTTCAGATTTCTCCACGACTTGTCTTGCCTGCTCAAAACCAGCGTCCTTTTTCTGCTTGCCCTTAGATCGCTTCTCGCCGACGTATTTAATCGACCTAGTGATGCCTGATGTAAAGACGCCCTTGATGGTCTGCATCGTTGAGGGCCACGACACCGTTGCTCGCACACACTTGGACATGACCTCAGGAAGATCCGCCTGCTCTGCGATCTTCCTCTCGAAGTCACCTCCTTCACGCCGTTTGAAGCCTTCTGGGTCGTCATCTTTTGTTTCTTCGAGGATATTGTCGAAGGCGCTTCCCGGAATGCCGAACTTCTGCTTGTATTCGTAGTAGATCTTCTTGCGGAAGGCCTTTGGTAATCTGCGGACCATATTACCGCGTTTAGTAGGATCCATATCTTGAGAAAGAGATAGTCCGGTCTCGCCGCCAAGGACGTCGTCCTCCAGCCTAGTGAGGGTGCCGGTGTGCCTGATCGCATCCTCCTTCTCCCAGCCGTACTCTCGTGGCGTCCGCGAATCTGTGAACTTTACGTTTGGTAGATTCTCGATTAAGGGTACGTATAGTTGTCGGAAGCCGGGCAACTGCGCGCCAACGATATTAGAAACTTTATTAGGCGCTTCAGAAGCAATCATGGAATGCATTCGGAGGTCGCCCAAGTAAGAGAGACTAGCAATGCGCTCATACAGCTGTCGCTCGTTGAACTGCTCTGGCAACATGAGCAGCGCAGTACGCAAAGCAGAGACGAGATTGATCTGATTCGAAAGGCGTATCCGAGGGTCGTCACGGAGAATCTTGACCGGCTTCTGCAGGCGTCCCGCCAGGTAAAGCGTGTCCCAATCAGTGAGATCGCGTGCCAAGGTATTCAGGTTCACAACGCCGTATTTGATCATGATGCCATTGACGGTGATGTACGGGTTGTAGTACATTCCGGCTCCCCAGCCGTCCTGCATCCAAGAGACCACTGCAGAGGCATTGGGAACATACTTCAAGCCAGAGTAATGCTCAGGATATTGCTGCAGGTTCAAGCTGTGCCAATGTTGGGTATGACTGACTCCAAATATAAAGTCGATGATCTTGGCGCCTCCTTTCTGCCACTCCTCAACAGCCTTTGGCGGGTTCGGGTGTGGACTGAATTCGCTTCCCGTACTGCTAGAGGACGATTTCTGCCCGAACACGCCAGATCCATAAGCGAAAGCATACCTGATGGGTGCCCTGAATTGCCATAGTACTTGTCGCAATGATTCTTTAAAGTCCTCATTGATCTTGATGTGTTGATTGTAACCGAAGAACCGATGAGGCAGGTCGGCGAACCGTTGGACGTTGTAATCGGCGTTCTCTTCCCAGCCTGGAGGTAGACTTTGGTTCGGACTATCCTTGGCTGTGCTGTCGGCTCCCTGAGTCTCTGCCTGAATGTCCCTCTTCGCATTCAACGAAGCTGTCTCCTCTTCCCGCTTGGAGCTAGCTGAGGATGAATCGGAGGTTGCTGTCGAAGACGACTTGGGCGAAGACGGAGATGGGGGACTTGATTGCTCGGGAGGTTGGGAATTATTTCGAAGTTGCTGGTCGCGTAGAAGAGGTGTTGCTGACAAGGATCGGGACTGGTGTTGAGATCGTAGAAAGGAAGGTCGGTAATGCCATGCTGCCTGGCCAAGGAGGAAGGAATGTGCGCCGACGAGAGAGTGAAAGGCTGGCGACGACTACAGGAGGGTCAATATGGATTCATTTATATTCTACATGGAATACGTACGGCCAGTTTATGGGGCAGGGACATGATTTGGTGATGTGCAGAGTGTTTCCAAAGAAGTTTCAATCAAATGATCAATCAATTTTGTACGCCATCTTGTCGAGGTCGCTGGGGGTTCAATCCATGGTATCGCAGATCTCCTAGGTTCCTAGTAAAGGAGGCTGTCTGATTTGAGGCTTTAAGCGGATGCGCTCTCAACAAATGTGGAAGATCGCGCGTTCGAGCTGCCGTCTGGAAGCTCACAGCTCGGCACACGTGATACTTACATAAGCGCTGTCGGCTCCGTTCGGCAGGCGGCCCGCCCCATGCGTCACTCCAAAGTAAACAAACCACCAAACAATTGAACTACTCCTCATCTTCTCGCGGATTGAACGATCCCCACCACCACTGCCACGCCCTCCGTACGGTCCAAGAGGAGGACAAGATGGCAACGACTCCCCAGGAGATGCGCAGGTTTCCCAGGCGTCTCGCGAGCTTTCGCGAACCTCATCCTGTCGGTCCTCGCGCCTCTTCGTCCAGTCGCAAGAAAGCTGCCAATACCACCGAATGGCCGCATGCAAGACCAGAGCCTGAGGCTGTATGTCATTCTGTATTTGTGCCGCCACTCTACTGCATACTAACTGTTGCTCTAGCTTGCTCGTGCTGGATTCTTCTACCGACCCGCGACCGATTCAGCTGACAACGTTCAGTGCTTTTGTTGTGCCGTCAAGCTCGACGGCTGGGAAGAAAGCGATGATGCTATCCAAGAGCATCTGGCACATACCGACTACTGCGACTGGGCGACTGTCATCAGCGTGCGACGAGAGGACGATGACGAGCGCGACCCGGAAATACGTGACCCAATGTCCGTCGAAATGACAGCTGCGCGAACTGGAACATTTATGCACGGATATGGATGGCCTCACGAGCATAAGAAGGGCTGGAAGTGCAAGATCAGCAAACTTGTGGACGCCGGGTGGTCCTGGGATCCTCATGCAGAAGGCGAAGAAGGAGACGGCGTGTCCTGCTTCTATTGCAATATGTCTCTTGACGGATGGGAGCCAAAGGACGACCCGTTCATGGAACACAAGCGACGCGCGCCCAATTGTAGATTCTTCCAGCTGCTGAGGGAATACCACGGAGCAGATGCAGCGAATGGCAAAATGAAGAAAATCAAGGGACAGGCGAAAGCTGGTACAAGAACCAGCACTGCCAGCAAAGCTAGTAGAATGAGCACTCAGAGTGCGATGAGCGACATGCCCAGTATGGCTGGAAGCCTTGCTGATACCCTCGACAATGGGAGCTTGGCCGGCGTCGATGATAGTATCCTCACCACCGCGACCAATGCCTCTCAAGCGATTACTAAGGGTATTAAGAAGGGAGGCAGGACAAGAGCGACTGGAAAGGCAAAAAAGGGAAAGAAAGATGCTCAGGTAGAATCTGAGATGGACGTCGATCAAGCTCCGCCGGAGGAAGAAGAATCACACAAAAGGGCTGCTAAGAGAGCACGAACTTCGAAGCAAGTGGACTCTTCCATGGTAGAACTCAGTCATTTCGACGCCGCTCCTCCTAATAAGACGAGAGGCCGGAAGCCAAATGCGCAAGCACAGCCCGATCCACAGCCGCAGGTGGTTCATCAAACACCAGAGCCAGAAGTAGATGCAGGTCCCAGGATGAGCGAGGTTTCCGCACAGCTGCACGAGGAGCTTGACCATACTGCACCGCTCGATCAATCGACTCCTGTCATCGAGCAACCCAAGCCCAAGCGCGGCATAAAGCGGACATCCGATGGACTCCGCAAGGACACCCAGATTGACTCCAGTGCCGTCGAGGTCGACGATCCCGTCCCAGCGAAGGCCCCACCTCCTAAGCGCGGTCGAGGCCGACCAAAAAAGATTTCCACGGAGTCGACAGACGCAGAGAAGGACATGCGGAGCAGCGACGTGGTGCCCACCGAACAACTTGAAGCGATGGGAGTGGAACAATCGCAGGTGGAGACGATTCAAGCTGCACCTGCGACAAAGAAAGGCAAAGGCAAGGCGAAAGCGAAAGGCAAAGGCAAAAAGACATCTTCCACACGATCTTCAAAGGCAGCCTTGGCTACCGCAGAACCGGAAGCGGCTGAGACAGATGAGCACGAAGACCTCGAGCGAGACGAAATTGAAATTGAGGCAGAATTGCAACGAATTGCTGCTGAGCAGGCTTCTGAGCAAGCAGCAATGCAAAACGAGCAGGAACAGGTAGATGAGTTCGAGCCTTCGCCATCTCAGGGTCGTGTCAGCAAAGACAGCGCGGAGATTCAAGGCATGCGCGACGAGGTCCAAGCGGAGGATGAGAACATCTCTAGAAAGGATTTCGTATCTCCCTGGAAAGAGCCAGCAGCTGGGCCCACTCCTAGCCCTAGTGGGAGCGAGAAGGAAAACCGCCCGTTCACTGCCTCGAGACACTCAAGCGAGAAACAAAAGTCAGCCGCCAAACTCAGCCCAACGAAGACGGTTCGCATCCCGATCGCTGCCAGCACTCCGCATCGCTCGCCTGGAAAGAGGATGCTCAGCCCTAGCAAACAAATCTCGCATCTTCACTCCTCTGCTCCGTGGAGTGCAGTAGACCTGGATACTGCTCTTCTCCCCTCGCCACAGCCTACTCCCGGCAAATTAGAAGAACAGCTCGTTGCGGCCGCTGGCAACCTGACTGAGGAAGAGAAGAAGATGTCTGTCGAAGAATTCGTGCGGCACCGCGCTGGCAGGGCTGAGGAACAACTCAGGAAAGGCTGTGAGCGATTGGTGGCTGCTTTTGAGAAGGAGGGGATGAGAGGACTGGAGAGTCTCAATGGAATCCAAATTGCTGGCTGAAAAGTTGCACGAGGGGGATTTGTGGATGTGTGGCTGCACATACTCTGGCCTTGGTGTCGCTTTTCGTATTGCGATGGTGTTCTTGGCGGTTCGACTTTGGCATGGGCTGTTCGTCAGCAGCACAGAAACTACTACTTGCATGAGACACGACTTTCTTGATATCTTCACAAAGCGTTCATTGGCTTCAACCCCTTTTCCACTAGCTTCTGATGGTGGTACTTGTGGTCGTTACTTTGCATGCTCCTAGCTCAGGTTTGCATGGGGCGTCTTCACGTAGCATTACCGAGCGTTGCATTTCTCCGAATCATAGATATCATGTATTGCCAGTGACAGCATAGCCCCTTGCCAGTTATTCAGTAGCCAACCTGGTGTCCGCTCGATATGCCCTGAAACATTCGTTCACCACTGTTGGCTCTCTGTCGTAGAACTGTCGTCGTGCTCAAGTGCCGTTCTCTCCTCGAGTCTTTCCACAAATGTATTTTCTCCAACATCGCACCGCCTGAGAATGCAAGGATTAATTAAAGAGTCACCTGCCACACCTATTGTTACACAGATTACAATGCGCCAGAAAAGCCACTGACTGCGGTTGGTGCATGTTTCGTATGTCACTGAAGTTGTAGTCGAAATAGCTACTGATGAAATTCAGCGATACAGGAAGATTATCGTCACCACGGTAAATACTAAAATGGCCTTGCCGTGATCTTCCAATCGGATGTTGACTAGTTGAGTCGTTCGTGTGACAAGGCGGTCCGTCTTGTCCGTAAGATCTACGAGACCTGCAAGTTCCCGCTCTAGGTTTTCTAATAGCTGGTATTATTCGACAGTCTGGCGAATCGTGAGCCGTACGCTGGTAGCTCTTCAGGCGCAAGTTCCTAAGCCACCCGTAGTCATACTCCCGGTTGGTAAAATGTCTGCTTCTCGATGGGATTCTGAGTAGCGGCATCGGCTATCTGTATGAGACTAGCCGAGAGAGCTGTCGAACTCAGGTCGAGAGTCGATACTGGCTTTCTCATTCATCTCCAGCATTACTGGCCGAAGCGTTTCGAGACGAACATCGTGGACGAGAACGTTCGCTGGAGTCAGCGGGCGGTTCTTCCAGAACGGGCTTGCCTCGTAGTTGTGACCGATGGATCCCTCGTCTTCTGGTAAGACTTGAGGCGCTTTTGGCATTGCATGGCAATGATGAAGATGCTATGGACGGAAGGATCCGGAGCTGAAGTTGAAGACGAAGCTGAAGCTACTTGACCGTATCCCTGTCAGTGGTCTGTGCGAGAGCGACCAAAAGCAAACGTAAATCCCTCGGACGCGGACACACAAAAACCATCCACTTTGGAGGCAATTGACCAGTGAAGAAAAGTCCGGAATTCACTTCGCCGCCTTGTTCATACCGGTGTCGCTTATAACCCCCCCTACCAGCCTGACGAAATGCCGCCAAAACCAGCACTTCAGAAGCTCAATGGCGTGCAATTGCCGGCAGCAGCAGATATGCATGTCCACCTGCGCGATGGGGAGATGACTGAACTCGTGGTGTAAGGCTTAGGCTTTTCCAGGAATGTACCTAAGTCTAACGCTTTATAGCCCTACTATCCGACGTGGCGGCGTCAATACCGTCTTCGTGATGGTATGGGAACAAAGGATATGAGATGTCGTTAAGAAGTACGCTGAATTGTCCCACAGCCTAATCTGGTTCCTCCCATCACCACCGTCAGCCATGCACTGAAGTACAAGAAGCGCCTGCAAGAATTGGAGCCCAATGTCAACTTCCTCATGTCACTCTACCTCCATCCGAACATCAGGCCAGACACAGTCACAGAGGCTAAGAAAGCCGGCATTACTGGTATCAAGTCGTATCCTCATGGAGTGACCACCCATTCGGATCATGGTGTCATGTCATATGAGGAGTTCTACCCTGTCTTCGAGGAGATGGAGCGACAGGACATGGTCCTGAACTTGCACGGCGAGCTTCCCCCATCGGCAGGAGCCGACATCACTGTGCTGAACGCTGAAGAGGCCTTCCTCCCAACACTGCTTGATCTTCACAAACGCTTCCCCAAGCTCCGAATCATTCTCGAGCACTGTACTTCGGCTGCGGCCATTAAAGCGGTAAAATCATGCGGCGAGAATGTCGCAGCAACCATCACGGCGCATCACCTCTTCATTACAGTGGATGATTGGGCCGGCGACCCACATTGCTTCTGCAAACCAGTCGCAAAGAACCCATCAGACCGTCGAGCATTGCTTGAAGCAGCAATGAGTGGCGACCCGAAGTTCTTCTTCGGAACCGACTCAGCCCCTCACCCAGCTATATCCAAGCGCGCTGACAAGTTTGCCGCTGGCGTCTTCACCCAGCCGCATTCGGTGGGGATAGCATTAGATGCTTTGCAGCAGGGCGTGGAGCTGGGCGTGCTGAAGGAAGAAGACGTAACTCCGGAGAAGCTTGAAGGGTTTCTCAGCAAGTTCGGACGTGCGTTCTACCGAGTACCAGATGAGAAGCAGGAGAAGATCGCTATAGAGCAGGGCGCGCTCGAGATCGAGGACATTCTCCGGAGCGAAAGTGGTCAGATCGAAGTCGTGCCTTTCCGACGAGGGAAAATGACCTGGGCGATCCGCTGGACATGATTGCCACCATGGGCATGGGCACTGGGAGCTTCAGACGAATCCAAGGGCAACATAGCTTGCTTCTGCGCTCCGGAGAGCATCGTTAGGCCCATCTCCCCGGGTATCTGCTTAATGTCAGCCTGGCTTTGGGGCCGCCCTTGAGAAGACATACTCAACTGCCAGTCGAACCCCTGTTGATCGACATTTGAGACGTACGCGCCTAGGCTCATGTCTCTTCCGCCGGCAAGATCGAATTGGTTGAGTGCGACAAGGACCGTGGGTGTCTTGGTGAAAGTGTCTTTGGGGAAGTCAATGCGACCACTGTTGCTGAAGGATTCCTCTTGCCGCGCCTCCAAGTCCTCCGTGCTGAAAGTGCCGCTGGCGACCTTTGGCTTACCCTTGTAGTAGACAATGCAAGTAGTCGTTACGCGTTCGGCGTTCTTGCCCCCACTGACATTCGCCGTGAAGCCGTCGGAAGTGACATTGGAAGCCCAGACATCGCACGAATATGGCCCGGCATCCCACGTCCGGAATCTGAAGTCCTTGATCCAACATACAACCTCGACATTGCCCTTCTGAGGTCTTGGAAACTTGACCTCTTTCTTCCTCTCGCCGTCTTCCAGGTTCCACGTCGTCGTGAAGACCATGCAATCGCTCGCTCTTTGCTTTACCTCCATCCATGTCATCTCGGCATCGTGGATCAGCTGGGTGTTACTGCTTGAGTTCCGGGCTTGGATCATGGGACGCATGGTAGACGTGTTCTTGGGATGTGTGATGAGGCACAGTTCGATGTCTATCGCGCGTTTTCCGTCGCAGTCTCGGGCCTCGTGGCTGAGGTCGAAGGCTTTGAGGCCCTTGGCTATCTGGAAGATGGATGTTGTTAGTTCTTGGAGAAGCTGTGAACGGATGGCATAGCATCTCCTCACCTGCGGAGGCTTCTCATAGTGCTGCTGCGGCAGAGCAATGATGCGTGAGCCTCCACGATCTGCCTGCCCACGATTCTCGCGCACCTCACTCAACGCGAAGACACCGGTGTCCGGGCCGGCTTCTGAGAGATGGGTGAATCCCGCAGCTCCATTTTCTAACCTGTTCATCGGGGTCGATAAGCCCAGCTCGCTCGTGGATGCTGTGTTGCATTTTGCCAATAGGGTCATGATGCGCATTGAAGCGGAGAATTGGCAATACACTTACACGACGGAGCTGGGAGAAAGAAAATCATCTGGTATTTACCTGTTTCCGAGTTACGGGGAGTGTTTCAGACATGATCCCGGGCAGACGTCCCGTCGACCTTGCTGAAGGCATTACGATGAAGAATGAAGACGGCAAGAGATGAGCGTGCTGGGGCACACCTGGATTGTACAGGGCACGTGATCTTTTCCCTCCTATCCGGCCCCCGGCTATCGTAACGACGTCATCTCTGGTATGGCCGTCGGGTAGTCCACGAGTGGGTCACATGTGTGCATACATACCTTAGCATCTCCACAAGGACCACGTCCCTCCCGAGCTATGGGAACCTGGAAGTGAATGGAATGTTCAACATTCTCTGAATTACGACCTTCCCATCCCTTGTTTCATCATCATGCCGAGGGAGGAGTTTCAGCAGAGTTCGTATCAGCTCGACGCCGGGTCCTTGGGATATCTCGAAGGGCTCACGCTCACTTCTACCTCGTCTCCTCGTTCCTATCATTACTTTGGGGGCGTACCGTACGCTCTGCCGCCCGTAGGACCATATCGCTTTCGGCAAGCGAGAGCTCTACCCAGCCTCTATCGCTATGGCAGTAAGGCCAATCCGGGTCGATACACTGCGCGTGCCTCGGTATGCCCTCAGCCGGGTTTCCGTACGGAACCGGATGAATCTCTGTGGGATGAGGATTGCCTGCAGTTGAACATCTACATACCAGGTGGCACAGCTCCAGTAGGAGGATGGCCGGTGTTTGTTTATATCCATGGTCAGACCCGAGATATTGCCCATTGAAGCGATTGCTGATTCTCCTATCACCAGGCGGCTTCCTACAATGGGGCTCTCCCAACTTCGAGGTAACGAGCTTAAGTGACTTCATGACCAACAGTGCCTTCAAAGCCATCATGGTCACACCAGCATACCGTGTGAATGCCCTCGGATATCTAGCCTCTAGGGAATTGCAAGCGGAGGCTTTGCTACGCGGAGAGCCAACTGGCAACCAAGGATTCTGGGACCAACGTCTTGCGCTAGAGTGGACCGGCGAAAACATTGGAGCTTTCGGTGGCGACAGCAAGAACATCACGATAGGAGGCTACTCAGCTGGATCCCACAGCGTGTTTCAGCAGCTCGCTCACGAGCTATATTTCGTACCCGCCGAGAAGGCTTTAATCAAGCGAGCTATAATGTGGTCCAACAGCCCTGGTGTCCAACCGAAAACCATCAACGAACAACAGAAGCAATTTGACGAGCTTCTAAGTGCCTCAAACATCCCTCTGATGGCCTCGGCGGGCGAGAAGCTCGAGAAGCTACGAGCAGTGTCGCCTCGAGATCTGGTAGCAGCACAGAGCAAGATGAAAGTTCACGAGTTCAGAGCTTTCTCCGACGGCATCTTTGTCGACAAGGACATCATCGGCAAGATTAACAGCGGAGACTTCGCAAGACGCATGAAATCTCGTGGTATTAAGCTGATGAACGGGGAATGCAGAGACGAACACAACCTGTATCAAGCCTGGCGGACACCTTCGCCGTCGTACGAGGCGGTATATACTCGTCTGTGTGCAGACTACCCGGAAACTGCAGTCCAGAAGCTCATGTATCTGCGATGCGGCGAGAAACGTCACCTACCAAAGGGCTGTCAGGACTGGCAGGATGCATTTGGACGACTGTACGCAGACATGCAAGTCCACGGGCTGGAACGGGGCTTTCACCGAGCACTTGCCAACGGCGGACTGGAACCCGGCAAAGATCTCCTCCGCTATCGCTTCAACTGGAGAACTGAGGGCTCGAAATTGTTCCTCCCACCTGAATGGGGCGTCACACACGCCACGGATCACGATATCTGGTGGTACGGCATCCACGGCGATGGGTTGACAGACGAAGAGAAGACGATTCTGAGGCCGTGGAACGAGAAATTCGCGGCTTTTGTTCATGGACAGGATCCGCGATGGGGGACTACGGATGTGCGGGAGATGCTGAGATTGAGAGAGGATGGAACGACGGACATCTGGACTGATGATCGCTTTGACGAGGGCCTCGAGGTCTGGGATACAGTCAATAGCCAGACCGCTAGCGTTCTGGGTTGGATCAGATCAATGCTGTAGTTAGTCCGGCGAAACGTGGCCTCCCCTGGCTCCTGATACGTGACCACCCAAGCGTCATGTCTCTCTTGAAAGACGGATGCTTGCCAATGCCACTCTGTTGCTCGTTGCTCGACGTGCTTGCGTCTGAGCCGAGACGCAAATGCTACATCCAGGCTATCTCTACACATATGTGCATTACACATAGCATGCGATTGCACCTCTTTGCGGCGTTGAATGTTATGCATCGCCTCTGCACCAAAATTGTTACATCGTCATTCCGTGCTTTGATCTTTTGAGGTGGGTGCTTCTGCAACTTGTTTGTCCAAATGTCCGTCTCAGCCTGCAGTGGAGGAGCAATTGCACGTGTCTGAGACACAAACGGCGGGATGCAAATCAAACAAACTCATGGCAAGCGAACTAGTCTTCCGTGGCGCGCGAAATAAGATATATCTAGGCCATGCTCCCATTTCCTTCAAATTGAGCCTTTCTTCTGGTACAACCAAGCCCAAAGCGACACACAGTTCTTCTTGACGACGACTACTCCAAGAAAACAAACTATAGAGTCTTATTAAGCCTCCGACCAATCAATCTACAAGCAACAAAACCGAAAGCAATGGCAACCTACAACCCCTTCTACCCGGCCACTGGCTACGTCTCCGCCACGTCGACCGCTCCGGGCCACTCTCGTCTGGCCTATTTCATCACGCGCAACAACGGCCTGCCCGTCCCTCTCATCCCGGCCGACGAGCTGCCCTTCAGCGTGAAGCTGCAGAACGTCCCGCGGGTCTTGACGCCGGACCAGACGCTCGGCCTGCAGTACGCCGGCAGCGCTCCGTACACAGGCGTCACGTTTGTTCTGGACAAGGAGGTGGCCGGTCTGCCCATGCAGCGCTCCACCAGCGGACCACCAGGCGAGAGCATGCATGCTCGCAGCCAGAGCGGCGCGGCCAGGCAGTTCCTGGCTCCTGATGCCCACGCACGTCAAGCTCTCGCGAGCCACGCATCCTCCTCTCCTCAGACCCTCCCGATGCGTCCCGTCTCTGCCTCCGAAACGGCCAAGTCCTGGCGTCGTACCGAGCCTCTGCCTTCGTCGTCGGCCGACAGGGACGCCACTCAGTCGGCCATCGATGCGATTCTCCATTCTTCCTCGGGCGCCGAGACGGCAGACCGCATCGGGTACCGCTCGCGCAGCAACATCACTCCGCCGCCATCTGGTGTGATCCCCGACCAGGAGAAGAAGATCTACTGCACGCACTGGATCCTGCAGGGATGGTGTATGTATGAGCAGCAGGGCTGTCGGTACAAGCATGAGATGCTGGACGAGGAGGGATTGAAGAGCATCGGCATCAAGCATACGCCACGCTGGTGGAAAGAGCAGAATGCCCCGGTCAAGCTTGGTTTCGCGTCTTCAGCCGAGAAGCGTGCTGCTGCTGCTGGCACGTCTCCACCAACCACGGTTGGCGTTCTGACGAAGCCAGAGGATTGGTTGAAGGCGAGGAAGGGCAGTGAGAGCTCCATCGGATCCAGCGAGGATGGGCAGCATTCCGAGACTACGGCAGCGACCAGCGAGGAGGAGACTCTGACGAGGAAGGGAGGGAAGCAAGCCGTTACTCCTTCGACCAGCTCAAAGAGTAGCAAGGCGACTTCGCCAACTCTTCCACCAGCTCGTCCATCCACTCCAGTCCAGAAGGCGGTCAAGACTCGCGAGCCTTCGACCACCAGCGATCTCATCGACTTCGCTCCGCTCCTCCCAACTCTATCATCTTCTCGCTCCACTAGCAAGAGCACTGCCGGCTACGTGGAGATCCTCAAGCGCGCAGTCAAAGTCGACTCCAAGGAAGAAAACCCTGGCAAATCTCCTATCGCACGCAAGCCCGCCGTCTTCGTTCCAGCAGGAGAATCGCCAGAGGTTCACATCGCCGATTTCAAGAAGCGTGAGCGTCTTGCTCGCAACAAGACCACGCGCACTCCGTCTCCAGTGCAGAAGACGAAGACTACAGCTACGACCTCTCCCGAAGCGAAGAAGGACAAGGAGGCGGTGAAGATCAAGCCTACTGGTTTGCAGGCCTCTCGCTGGGCGGCTGCTGCGCACGCTCAGGGCCATATCAAGCGCACCAAGTCCGACTGCCGCCCTCGTCGTCCCGGCTCTTCTTCTCCTGCTGCTCGTAAGAGCGCCGCCGACAAGAACGAGAAGAAATAGTCGTCTCGCTACTCTCTCTTCGCAACCTCAGGAGACTGATCTCACACCACATACTCGATAGATTGCGCAGTGCTACCAGCATGATTCAGGCGCTGGGATTTGGTTATGTATAGTCTCGCATCGATGCTTGACGGCTCGAAATTTGGATGGCGTATAGAGTTATGAAGCATTTTCGTATAGCAGGTATCCTTATCATGCTCACTCTCATCTCACTGTCCCGTCATCTTGAGCTATTCGTGCTGTCGCCTCGAGTGGTGAAGTTCCGTTCGCCGACCCCATAGCGGGCCTAGTGGCGTGCGGCGTCCTGTTTTGCAGCCTGATGGCCAGTATTGAGGTCAAGCGCGAGCGGATCGTTCCACGTGCCATGGTGGTAGCCGAAGCCATTCGGAAACGTTTTCATACTTGGCCCCAACGTGCCAGGGCCGTTCGTTCAGTTGTTCCTTGGTCGATGTTTGCAATCCTGACACCCCACGGCCGCTTCATTTCGACTTCAACAGCTTCTTCCCATGATCCCTCACAATGCCGTCCAAAATTGCACGGATCTGCTTGCATCCATCCAGACCAACCGAAATCATAGCTTCTACTCGTGGTAGTTGTACTCTGGTTTCCATGACAAGCACATTGACCTTGTCCTCGCCTCCACTCGTACCCATTGTCAGAAACGGCAGTTCCAGCTCTTCCACTCCATTCAAATCTAGGAGAGGATCCGCCTCTTCGTCGTTGGAGGCATATGATGCGGTAGACCCGGTGGTGCAAGCTGTGATGTAGTCTTTCATGGGCACGCCCGCGTCGATGAGAGCAAGAGTGGCAGCATTGAGGCAAGCAGCCAGCAGTGCGCCATCCTGGGAGAGCACGTGCAGGAGGATGCTGATGGTGGAATGCGGGTAGAAAGAGGTAAAGACGGTGTCGGAGAAAGCGGATGAGATGGCATACTGCATTTCGTGTATACGCCTATTCCCGCAGCATCAGCACTTATTGTCCATGTCCCGATGGGCGTGTCCTCTCTCACTTGTCTGTCCTGGATCTCTTCTTCCTGTCCATGCCGCTGAATCCAGCAAGGCCAATCTCTACTTCAATGCTCGCCTTGGCGCTCTGACTTCCCCCTCCACTTCGCGTCTGCTGCCTCGGGCCTAGCACGGTACAGATGATCTTGGTGTTCCCCATCTCGAAATAGCTACTGCCATCTGCAGCGGCTTGAGTGGACATCTGACCATGGATGCGCCTGAGCTCGTTCCATCGCCGACCGTCGACGCGGAGATGCGCCAGGGCGTAGGTCGAGCTGTCCAACGGCATGCTGTTGGGTGCGGAGATGTCTGGCCGGGTTGATCAGCGCACAACCGACTGTCGCGATGCACGATGTTGTATAGCCATTGAGCGAGAAGGAAGAAAGTCGGCAGCAAGGTTCCGGTTCGGGTTTCGGCTTCGGTTTCGCTTCGACCGCGTGGACGCTCGGACCAGATCACGCGAGTGGCGACGATCGTTCCACGCCAATGAGCCAATGAGGAACGCTTCAAGGAATTCGTTGCGAGATCCTGGACTTAAACATAACATCGCACTCGGTCACGCATCACTGATGACACACCGAATGTCGTGGCCACGTCTGGACCAGCCTGTCGGGGAGCAGCTCCCAACACTGGACACGTAAAATAGCGTGATGCGCCTGCAACGCAACCGCGCTTCTCCGCGGATTCCTGGGATCACGGTTCGGCTATCTCGATATAAAGGATGTAGCCACCAAGACTGTATACGACGGTAAGCAAGCAATCGTAAACCAATCAAGACGACTACAATGTCTCTCACCCCGGAGCAAGTCCAAATCATCAAGACGACGGTGCCAGTCCTACAGGAACACGGAGCAACCATCACAACTCTTTTCTACTCGAACATACTCGAAGAGCATCCAGAACTCAACAATGTATTCAACCACACCAATCAAGTCAACAACCACCAAGCTAAAGCGTTAGCGGGGTCTCTTTACGCCTATGCGTCTCACATCGACGACCTGGGCGCGTTGAGTCCTGCGGTGGAGAAAATCTGCCACAAGCATGCCTCGCTGTACATCCGCCCCGAACACTATCCGATCGTTGGCGAGGGCGTCCTTCGTGCCATGAAGAGCGTGCTTGGCGACGCTTGTACTCCGGCAATAACAGAGGCCTGGGCTGCTGCGTACCAGCAGCTGGCCAATATCTTCATCCAGCGCGAAGAACAGCTCTACGCTGAAGCGAAAGGCTGGACGGACTGGCGCGACTTCACCATCTCTGACAAGGTCAAGGAAAGCGATGAGATTACCTCGTTCTATTTCAAGCCAACGGATGGCCACCCACTGCCCGACTTCCTGCCTGGTCAATACACTTCAGTACTTGTGGATGTCCCGCACTTCGGCTACAAGCAGTCGCGACAGTATTCGCTATCAGATGCGCCGAACCAGGACTACTACCGCGTCAGCATCAAGAGGGAAGTCGGTCTAAATCCCAATGAGCCTGGAGCCGAGGCGCATCCCGGATGGATATCGAACATTCTTCACAGCGAGAAGAATGTCGGCGATGTGGTTCAACTTTCACACCCTGCCGGAGTTTTCTTCTACGACCCACTCAAAGACCAGGCTGGACCAGTCGTGCTGCTCTCTGCGGGCGTGGGCATCACGCCCATGGTCTCCATACTGAACACCCTTGTACAGCGCGAATCGAAGCAGCAAATTTCGTTCATTCATGGCACGAGGAACACATCTGTTCAAGCCTTTGCAAGCCACATCTCAGGAACAACTGCGGCGCGGTCCAATGTGCACAGTGTCATATTCGTTAAGAATCCAGTGCCGGGCAAAGATGAGGGAGGAGTGCACTACCACCACAGCGGCCGATTAGATCTCACTAGATTGGACCGACACGCAGATCTGCATCTGGATGACGACAAAACCAAATACTTTGTCTGTGGCCCGGAAGAATTCATGGCAACCGTATATAGGGGCTTGCAGACCATGGCTGTGGAGCCGGAGCGCATCAAAATGGAGGTTTTTGGCACGGGTGAAATTCCGGTAAGCTTGTATCCCGATTTTGGTCGTTCAACCGGGCCCGCTAATTCTCTTGCGCATCAAGAAATAGGGATGTGGTCTTGGTGTTTTGACTTTAGCCAATGGACTGCGATAGTGGTGTATTTCAACGACTTCTCTGAGACATTTTATAGCGACGTGGCGCGTACAACCAGCCTGCGCAAAGTTTTACTCTCAGAACCCAAGGCTCGTCCTTCGCCTCCAATGCCTTCACATCTACCGGTCTCTTCCAGAATCGACTTGCTGTAGATGTGTCTGTCACCTTGCAGACACGAACTGGCAATTCCAGACTGTTCCTTGAGCTGAAGTCTGGAATCCCGGTGTAATCTTCACGTGCTGACGATTGCTAGAACGAGCCACATTAGAACGCGTAAAGCACCCCACCTCCCATGATCACGCTGAATCTCTCAACTTGAGACAGAACGTAATGATATGTGCCATCTGCAAACATCCATCCACTCCTGCCGCCACATCGAAGTCAAAAGGTATGCGTGCAAGCCATGTCAACGAATTTCGGACTCTCCGCTGCCCACAGAATGCACCTCCGCACTCCCGATCAACAAAGACAAGGAATAACCCTAAATCAGGCAGAATGTCTCGCTCTCGAATTGTCGACGCCCTCTTTCTGCGAGTCGAGAGCGACGCACGGGAGAGGCGCAGAGGCGGAATGCGATGGCGTATGGGCTGAGGCGATCGGAGAGGGTGGAAGCTGCTAGAGAGTTGGAACGAAAGGGCCTGGAGAGGCAGAAGATGGGATTGCCGTAATGATCGTATCGTGTAGAGGCTCATGTTTGCGGTGGGTGGATGGACGAAGAAAACTTGTACCTAGTCTCGTAGGATTTTCTGATTAGTATTGCTTGGGTGAAAGATTTCATGCTTAAGCGTCTTGGTAGGGCAAAGAGAGAAAAGTCCACACAAGCGTCCCATCATCATGTTCACATCATATCATCAACAGCATCTGCTAGTCGTCAGGAGTGGCTTGCGGCTCGAGCCAGGTATTGTCGACGTCGAAGGCAGGGAGACCGCGGAGACAGGGCCTTACAGCAACCTTTAAAATCAACGAATTTGGAACAACCTAAATCACCACCTGACCAGCTCTCCGCCCAAACAAGACAATACTGCTCTTACATTCCTGTCAACTAGTTTTCGGAGCTCGCATCTGATCCTGCCCTCGAGCATGGGCGGCGCGATCCCCTCCGTCCAACCCATCCCATCAAAGGAACTCTCCAGTTCCTTCACGCATTCGTCGTTCTGTGTCGTGTAGATTGAGCACTATTCTCTTCCACTTCCATACCGCCTTATTCTTAAGCCTCTGCATTCTGTCGTCCTCGTCCGTCCAGCGAGCCGCGACAAGGGCTCCAGAGGATTCGTGAGTGCATTTCCCATCCCGAGTTGAATGGGAACGGCTACGCGCGCGGAAGGAAATGGCGTGGATATACATGGCAGGTCAGTCGATTTGTTATTAGCTGGCAGCGTGTTGTGCATGGTGAGCGGGAAGGCAATCCTGCTGTGGGTTGGGGCTGGTGGGATCCAGATGCAAAGGTGAGCTGCAGCGAGGCACCTCTTTCTGTTCCACCTGGATGCTGATCTGATCCTGTGTAGATGGCTGTGAGCTGGACTATTGTTCTTGTCTTCGCCATAGCAGCCTATATTGCTTCACAACTTGGCCCATCAGAAGGCTGGGACGCTTTCAGTCAAGACCGGATCCCTCAGATTCTTTTTCATACGGCGGAGAGGTCGTGTAGATAAGTTGACTTCGGCTGACTCTGGCAATTATGCATTGCTTGCTGTTGTCTCCATTGATCTTTTCTCATGGCGGCGAAATGCATCCCTGCCTAGGTATCTGTGCACAGGCCCCACCCAAAATCGACGACTTCAGTCACTTCTCGCCTCATCTTCGGCTCTCCTTCACCACTGCCATCCTTACTCACTGGTTTTGTGATGAATGGTCTTGCAAATTTGCTGTTGCTGCGCTTGGATAACCGCCCGCCAAAATGTGCCAAGTGCTATCCTGTCCGCGCAGGTGGGATCTCAGTCAGTTCGTCCTCGGGAGCAACGACTGGTACTCTCACATTCGGTTTTCTGCTCGGAAGGGATCTCTTCGCATCATACGTTCAGTCTGCTGGCAACTGCCGACTTGCATCTCGGGCAAACTGGCGCTACGACATTTTCAGACCTCAAAAACGTCTCAGTTGCTGCCAACATGCTCCAATTTCTCGCAATCCAATGTCTTCACGTCGTAGTGTAGCGCACCTTTGGAAAGAGCCTTCTCGTTTCCCGATTCATTATCGGCCGTGGTAATGCCAGATGAGCCTGTAAGTGCCACGACGTCGGTCTTGTCGAAATTTCTTGCCGACACCTTTGTCTGGAACAAGACATCAAGCTCCGCGTAAGTACGACCTTTGGGTCTAGAGGCGGCAGTCAGCATATGCGATCGGATGAGAAGAAGAACAACGACTTACTCAGGCAACCTGAAGAATGTCCAGACGGCACACAGGGCACAGGCGCCTCCCCAAAAGAAGCCCGACTTCGCACCCCATGCCCATGAGTCGGGATTGAGCATGTGCGGTGTGAGGATGTTTGCGACGATGGCCGATATGTTATAGAGGTTCCTTGCAAGGACAACCGTCTTTGTACGAAGACGGGTTGATGCAAGTTCCGCGACGAGCGAATAGCAGACAGGACCGACTGTTGCGTCGTAGACGAAAGTGTAGATCAACATCATGCCTGCAATGCCCCACTGCGCTCCTGAGGTGTTCGCAATACCCAGAAATCCGATGATCAGCAGGACAAGAGACATAAGAATCTGGCCCCAGAGGTATAGGGTGCGGCGTCCGAACCAGCTCATGAGGAACCATGAAAATAATGTGCCGACGGCTCCAAGGGCATACAGACCTAGAGACATGGAAAATGCGTGCGACGTGTCCAGGCCTGCTTGGGTGAAGAAGTAGGTTGAAAAGCCGATCATAGAGCTTGCGCCGCAGGCAGTCTGGATAGCCCAAACAAAGGTGACTATTTCTGTTCGGCGAAGGTTCACGCCTTTGAAGCAGTTCCAGTACCTGGCTCCAGAAGTAGTTTCCTTCTCCAACTCGTTCGTGTAGATCATCATGGATACAGTCGCGTCCGGATCGAAGTCGACCTGACTACGCGACGTGAGGCGCAAGAGCTGCTTCTTCGCATCCTCCTTGCGGCCCTTTCGGACAAGCCACCTGCAACAGATGTTAGGCGCTGGCTCTATTCCAAAGTTCTTTCGACTTCTCATTCTTACCATGGACTTTCTGGCGCCAGGGCAATTCCGATAATCAGGGGAACTGGATAAATCCATTGCAAGGCATACGGCATCCTGAATCCGATCTCGCCAGTCTCACTGCTGACGCCTTTTAAGACAGCCGAGGAGAGGAATTGTCCAATTACCCAACAGAGGTTGACGTAAGTGGTGAGGTAAGGGCGAAGCGCTACGGGGCAGACTTCTGATGCGTAGGTCGTAGTCAATGTCTGGAATGTTCCCCAAGGCAGGCCGCAGAGTATCTGAGGTAGGAAGATGTCAGTACCTCCGTCGTGAGATGTTTCGCGGAGATGATACATACCTCTCCCGCCAAGAGCATGGGCAAGTTCTGAGCAAAGAACGGTAGGAAGATGCAGCAAGTCAGCATCCCGAGAGCACCCATCATGGTCTTCTTGTAGCCAAACCGCTCCGTGATTATGCCAGAGACAAACAGACCGAGGATCTCGCCCACGAGAGCGCCGTTCGAGAGGCCAGACTGCCAGGCCGCTGAGATTCCGTAGGACCCGTCGCGTTGACGGTCGCCAAAGAATCTCTGAAAAGCGGGCAAAGCGTAGAGAGAATTGATGAGAACGATGTCGAAGCCTTCCATAATAATGCAAGTTGAAAGGAGGACTGACCAACCCACAGCCTTGGGGTAGGTCTTCAGGCCTTGGAGAAGGGTCATGGAAGTCTCGCTGGCGGAGGCCTTTGCGGCTTCTTCGACCGTGCCGGCATCGACATCTGGGGCGTGACCAGCATCTTGGACTGTGACACTTGCCCGTCGCTGAGTGGAGATGGAGGCTCCCCTTCCTGGGGTTGTTTGAGCGGTCATGGTTTGCCGTCCGGAGTGGAGGGAACAAGTCGGGAATACAGGCGTCGTGTGTCGGCGTAGAGTGCTCTTGGTTGTCTGAACGAGATGGAGACATGGACAGGCTCCCGAGGAGTTCTTATAAATGCGCTCTTATGTCTTCAAACACTGCCATTGCTGCAATAGTCAGTGAGCAGTTGGGTTGAAGCTCTCGTGGATGACATCCGGCCCGATGATGGACCAATCGGTGCGCGTGGCAGAGCAGAGGGTGGCGCGTGGCAGGCGAGTGGAGCGGTGGAGTGACTTTGCTATTGCAGACTTTGACTCCTTCTCCCGCAGCGGAGGCTTCTTCGATGCATGCTGTGCCGTCTCGCAGTATATGTTTAAGGTTGTTCCCTACGCCGAGAAATCTGGAGCACAGGAGGAAGCGATGATAAGGTTTAGATCAGCGCTAGCCTGAGATGGCGATGGCTATCGGCCCGAGACGTGACCAATCACAGACCATGCATCGTTCCAGGTCCCGGCATCTTCCCGTAGCCGTAGCCGTCGCCCTTCCACTTCGACTCTCATTCCTGTGCCACATCCGAGCTTCACGAGTGACAATATCGCCCCGAGATCTGACCAATGAAGTCAAAGATGTCGGAAGACCGGCCTCATTGTCGGCTGTGGAGACCTTACTGGGAGCAGGTAGCAGCATTGCTTAGCTACATCTGCGGAGCAACATGAGGACATAAAGGTGACGGAAAGCCGCGAATTGCGCCCTCCTTCTACCTCACTCGCTACTATCCTTCAATATGACAATTACTCAGCACCCTTGGTGGAAAAATGCCATCGTTTACCAGATCTATCCGGCGTCCTTCCAGGACTCCAATGGCGACGGCATCGGCGACTTGCAGGGTATCATCCAACGGCTAGAATACATCAAATCGGTTGGGGCCGATGTTGTTTGGATCTGTCCAATGTATCAGAGTCCCCAGATAGATATGGGTTACGACATTTCTGACTACCAGGCCGTGCATGCCCCCTATGGCTCAATGGAAGACATGGATAAGCTCATATCCAGGGTGCATCAACTCGGCATGCGTATCATACTCGATCTTGTGGTGAACCATACTTCTGATCAGCATTCATGGTACGTCTATCACTCCTCTGTACATTCTCCTGGGTCTCATCGTTTGGCGCAGGTTCAAGCAGTCACGATCGTCCAGGTCTAGCCCAAAACGCGATTGGTATATCTGGAAGCCCGCCAAGTACGATGCTTGTGGCAACCGAAAGCCACCAAATAATTGGCGCTCCAGCTTCGGTGGTAGCGCCTGGCAGTGGAACGAGCATACGCAGGAGTACTACCTCCATCTCTATTGCCCAGAGCAGCCAGATTTGAATTGGGTTGGTTTCAGCAATCTCCTCAGCAGAGACGTGACTGACGGCCTGCCTCGCAGAATAACGATGCAGCCCGGCGAGCAATATACGAAAGCGCCATGATCTCCTGGTTGGAGAAGGGCGTCGATGGCTTTCGCGTGGACACGGTCAATATGTACAGCAAGGATCCGAGATTTCCAGACGCTCCAATTACCGACCCCAACTCTGAGTGGCAAGAAGCCGGTCTAGTATATTGCAATGGGCCCCGCATGAACGAATACCTTTCGGAGATGAATGCCATCTTGAGTCGGTACGATGCCATGACAGTCGGAGAGTGCCCCTTTACACCCGACAGGAATACTGTCCTTGGCTACGTCGGTGCATCCAAGAAGCGCCTCAACATGGTCTTCCAATTCGATGTCGTGGATGTCGGCATGGGCAAAGTCTTCAAGTATCAGGCAACGCCATTTGCCTACTCACTACGTGAATTGAAAGAATCCGTTGCACGTACACAAGGACTGCTCTCTGGAACTGATGCATGGACAACCTCATTCGTTGAGAACCACGATCAAGCGAGAAGCATTTCTCGATACGGCAACGACACTGCCCAGTGGCGAGAACGATCAGGCAAGATGTTGGCTTTACTGTTCGCTTCGCTTTCAGGGACGCTCTTCATCTATCAGGGACAAGAGATTGGTATAATTAATATGCCACCTGACTGGCCCATTGAGGAATACAAGGATGTCGAGTCCTCGAACTACTACAAAATGGTGGCTCAGCGCAGCAACGACAATGAAACCGAGTTGATGAACGCCAGGGCATCCCTTCAGCACCTAGCACGCGACCATGCGCGCACGCCGATGCAGTGGAGTTCTTGCCCCAATGGTGGCTTCACGGAAGACTCTGTGAAGCCATGGATGCGGGTCAACACTTCCACCTCAGATATCAACGTGGAGCAGCAGAATTCTACCAAACACTCTGTGCTAGCATTCTGGAGAGAGATGCTTGCAACCCGGAAAACAGCAAGTGACATGCTGATCCATGGGCAATTCGAGCTCGCAGACGAAGACAATGACAAAGTGTTCTCTTTCTTCAAGCATGGGAAGACTCGGAGCGCTTTGGTGATGTGCAACTTCTCGTCAGGCCCTGTCGAGGTTCCGCGATTAGTTCCAGACCTAAGACGTGAAGTACTGATTGATAACGTGGCTGGTACGATCGACCAAGAGGTGCTGGCGCCTTGGGAGGGGAGAATTTACGCCCTGGATAAATGCACATAGAGTAGACACTCATGTCTTCGCTTTAGATTCCCTCATACAGTCTCGCCATTCATGAGACCATCTCCTCTTGGAGCATCGGAATTATAAGCACGTGTCTTGCTTAGCGTGCCCCACATGCACTCCGACTCGAAAACTGCGGGGCTTCCGATACTCACCTATTTCTGGCCTCGTCTTCCTGTGGGGACACTTCATGGAAGACAAGAAACGGAGACATAAAGCCTGCAACGCCTGCAGCCAGCGCAAAGTACGATGCAATGGTCAACAACGTTGCCAGCAGTGCGAGCACCTCAATCTGCCCTGCGAATATGCAGCACCAGCGCCACAAGAGGTCAGACAGAAGTCTTCTGCAAGAAAGAAACGTGCATCGGCTGGAATTGTTCGAGAGCTCGCGGCGAGACATCAGGACCAGCAATATAATGCGACGTGTGCACATTCACCGGGCCATGGCAGCGACAACAGCTCATTCTTCCTCACACTGTTGTCTGATTTCGAGACATTTGTGCTACCCTTCCATCCTGTAATCACCATGGCCGAAGCACAGAGTGCTATCGAGACCATGGCTGGAGACGACGAGGCAAAAGCTTTTGTATACGGACTGGTGGCCGTGACCCTAAATTTGACTCATTCGCTCAGAAGCCATACGACTCCACAGAGGTCAGATATCGAGACTTGGTTGTCGAGATCGCTGAACACTCTCCGGCCTGTCCTACGCCAGGAAGAAATATCGGTGCGCAGAGTGGCAACGCTGCAGTTCATCCACGTATGTCTGATGGGCTTGGGCCGGCATGATCTTGCCTTCTACTACCTGCGTCAATCGACGACGATGGTGGACATACTCCGCATCCATGACACGGAGAGCATGGCAAAGCTTCCGCTGACGGAGCGAGCTCGCCGCCAGCGACTATACTGGACCGTTTTCGTGAGTTCATCCCATGCTTGCTTGCTCGTCTGTGCAGTGAGAAGTCCGCTGACCAATCGCAGGTCCACGAGCGCTTCTATGCTATAACTTGCCAGCGCCCAACTGTACTGCCTCCTCTTACGGTAATGCCAGAACCGGACGCGACTGTGCCAAATGCTATCGCCACTGGGTTCGTTCAGATTGTACGTCTGTTCATGCACATCGACCAGGAGATGCTATCTAGATGGTTCGCGACATTCGATGACGACCAGATCATCGAGCCTGCCTGGATAATCGAAAAGCACCAAAAGCTCGATGACGAAGCCGCAGGGAGCGACACCGAGATCGTCGGCCTTTCAAGCATGCAACAGGCCGACCTCGTGATTACCAAACACTGGCTAAGAATGCTGGTATGGCAGATGGCCATGTCAAAGTGTTTGCTCTCCTCTGGGCATCCCGAGCAGTCCATGTCGCTCCTCTTTCCCGTCGGCTTGTCCGCACAGCTCAGAGCCCTGATCGCCAACATGACAAAAGACTCAATCGAGGTGCACGGCTCTGGAATCCAACAGAAACTCTTCGAGCTCACCGATACGATCGCGAGTGTGGTACTGACTGTGCCTGCTACGTCGTCCGAAGAGAAGTGTCAGAGGGTCGACGACTTCAAGTTTCTGTTTGAGTTCTGGAAATCTCTACAGCGATCGAATCCCATCCAAGGAGAGCTGCTCGAGAGCAAGTATCGCAGGCTTATTGAAATCGGATTGTAATAGTCGCAGCAAGTAGAACCTTAACTTTTGGCCAAGGGCTACCGATCCTCCAGAAGACCTAGGCAAGCCCATCCTAAGGAAGAAAGATTACGACCATGCATGAAAATGCATCCCAGAGGATGTGATTTTCTGCCATCACCTTCCTATTCGGGTCCTACAAACGTCGGGTTGACCAGCTCTGCCAACATCGAAGCACCGAGCGACGTCGCTAAGGACTATTGAAGTCAGAGCAGTTCTTGAGATCCCATGATCCTCGCCACGTTTGACAAAGTAGATTGGGGCATTTAGCAGCTTTGCAACGTTTAAATCCGGGCATCATGACTCTGCTCGGCTCCCACTACGGGTCGAAAGAGTTGGAAGTGCCGATATTCCACCAATCGTCTCGATGAACCCATAGCGCGGTCAAATGAATCGATGCAGTGAAAGAAGGAAAGGCACTGTCTTGCGCTATCTTTTCCCACTACATGACGAACGGCCAGTCGTCCAGCTCCACGGCAAGTCTTGCGATGCCTGCAGCATCCATCCTCAAGAGTTACTGCTATAGCGTGGTCCTTCATTGTATGGTGGATGCCAAATTCCTTCCAGTCAGGTCTGTTGCTCTTCTCATACTGCTATTGCAGCGGATCAACGCTGTGTTACATCGCTCGTGCTTCCAGTGGAATCCATGCGTGCACATTGACCATGCAAGTGCCTGCACGCCTTCACCTTGCTTGCGTGTACAGAGGAGATGCATATGCGAAAGTCGGTAGAGCGGCCGAGGCTAGCATGTCCGGAGGCAGGCATCAGATTTGCAGCACGTCAAGCAATGAGAAGTGCCGAGTTCCATTCAACATTTGATGATCAAATGGAAAGCGACCTTTCCTTCGTTGTACGAAAGAAGCACGAAGGTTCGCTCAGCTAGAACGAGGACTTATGGCTGCTAAGATCTCAGCTGTTCTGCCATGTTGCTCTCAAGGGGCGCCGTGAACGCGAGACGGTCGGGTTGAGATGTGTTGTTGGCGTGAGAGTCTGGAGCAAGTTAAGTGTGGTCCAAATAAGGTAGACTCGCACAGGCATCTGCGGATAGAGCCGCTCGCTTTGGCGCCTGAGGCACAATATTTGCAGTCATTTCGCATATGCCTGGTCGGGAAGGATGCGACATACCCCCTGATCGGTGGGCTGAGATGCTTGGCGTGTTTTCTTGCGAGCGGGCCAACCGCTGAATCGTGAGTATGTGACTGCTGGTCGAAGTTTTTCACATGATGTTGACAATTTCTGATACACAAATACTGGTCTTGAATTGTTACCCCATAGCCCAAAGACGAGGCCGCCCTCCGCATTGAAAACGCGCCGGGTATCTTTCTGCCTTTTCCCTCTAGCTCCAAAAACGCCCATGTCAGTGTCGTGAGGGGCGTATATTACTAGTCGTACAGGATCTCTTTCCAGTTGACCTCTTGTATGAGGCACTGCGCATTTGTTCTACCCTAGCGAAGCTTTAGACGAAGTTCACAGTGTATACCACTCCGGCGATCACGATCCAGAAGCCGCTACTCTCCAGAAGGCTCTGCTTCAGTCCTGGCGCAGCGCTGTCCGTGCCACCTGGAGCCGTGGTGCCGTTGGGCAGGGTACCGTTGATGACCAGAGTCCCATTGTCCAAACGGCGTGCGATGGTATTGTTGTTTGCAACGCTGGTCAAGTAGTCGGTGTCGTTCCTCGAATCGCATCCGCAGACGCTGTACTGCTGGCATAAGCACTCGACTGGACCGGATTCGTTGCGATTGCTGGTGGTATTGCGCCAATGGTAATTGCCAGGGTATTGGTAAGCGTAAACACCGTAGAGCCAGAGACCAGGGAAGATGGCCAGAGAAGCTAGCGCGGCACCTCCGAGGAAAGCTGGTGCAACGCCGCCTGGGGACCTTCTGCCGTCGGATGGGTATGGCTGAGCTGCTCCACCGCCATAGTATGCGCCTCCTCCGTATGTTCGAGCGGGACCGCTGCCTGCGCCAGTTGCGCCTCCCTGAGTGGATGTGCCAGATGTTCTGCCGCTCGAGGATGAAGAGCCGCTGCCACTGCTGCTGCTGCTGCTGCTGCTGCTGCTGCTGCCACCGCTTTCAGAGCCGCCGGCGGATGTTTCTCCACCTCCGCGACCTCCGCCTCCACCACCACCCTTACGCTTGAACAGGTCGCGTGATGCTTCGGCAAAAGAGTCCAGAGGTGCCGGGAGGGCGAGGACGTGTACGGTCGCGACTAGGGCGACGAGGAAGAGAAGTGTCTGAGGCAACTGCATCGTGTCGGCTCGGTGATGGCCGTTTGAGGTGAAGTCGCAAGTGGTTCTGTTGTTGTGTTAGGATGATGACCTTTCAGGGAGTACCAGGTTAGTTCAGAAGCAAGGCCGCGTGGTATGCAATATATAATGATTGCATGTATCTTGGTTGTTGCCTCAGCTCAGGCGCAGCCCGCGGGAGGAGTGAGGCGACATGGCGATTACCACTCGATTCTGTTGCACTGCCAACCCGGGCGCAGCAAGGCCTGTCTTCATCCGCCAAGTTGCCAAGAGCCCATCCCGGCGACAGATCCGAGACCCTAGCGACAGATCCTCTGGATTTGACATCACTGCGCATTGCCACGCTGGTGCGTCAGGTTGCATTCACGTGCCATCCAGAGGTGATGGTCAGGCATCAGCACAGACATTTGACTGGTATGGGTCGAAATGCTAAATTCGCTTGCATGTCTTCTAAGGACGATAAGGTATTCTACAGGAAGGGACGTAACTCTCCCTCGTTTGTTCTACAATGCTGCTGTAATGACGCGCCTTCGCTATGCTTCCCACAAGTCCACCCGCCCAGCCAACGCCAACATCAGGCGCTAACAAGTCAATGTCAAGTCTACCGACGCTTCTTTGGTCGGTGAGAGCGATCTCGCCCATGCTTGTCCAGCCTCGTCGACGGCGGCGTGTATCTCCAGTCCTGGAGCTGCCGCTCCATGAATTTGATCATGAACAGGTCTACGTGACCTCCTCGCTCTTTTTCAACCAGCTCGAATTGCGCGTCTGCGCCACCAGGACCAGGTGTATTGGCTTTCGACGGCCCCTTAGACGACTGCTCGGTAAAGTCAACATCGTCCTGCCGGTCTTCCTTGGCTGCTTGCTGTGCTGCCTGCACGTCTTCCTGGTCTTCCACAGATTCCAGCGCCTTGTTCTGGTTCTTGTCATCACCACCCAGGAACCGCTCGATCGCTGCCTCCACGTCGTTCTCGCCTTCGCTTGATTGCTCCCGCCGACTTGTCTTCTGGTACTCGGTGGTGAAGTGGCCCTCCTGGATGACGGTCTGATCAAGGAGACTCTTCTGGTTCGCTCGGCGGAGAATGTTCTCCTCGACCGTCTTCTCACTCACCATCTTGTAAACTTCCACGTCGCGCACCTGTCCAATTCGATGCGCACGGTCCATACACTGGCGATCCATCTGGGGGTTCCAGTCCAGGTCGAAGAAGATGACAGACGATGCGCCTGTGAGATTGAGACCAACACCGCCTGCTCTGGAGGATAGTATCATGCACTGGTACTTCGAGTCTGGACGGTTGAACTCCGAAGAGTAAATTTGTCTTCGCTCCACCGGTGTACTTCCATCTAGACGTAGGTACGGTAGATTGAGGAGGTTCAAGAACTGCTCAAGAACATTGAGCGTGCCAGTCATTTGTGTGAAGATGAGACTGCGCGACCCGCGCGATTGCAAGTCCCGCAAGAGATACACAAGACGCTGGAGCTTCCCTGAATCGAAGATGAGAAGTCTCGAATCCGGGAATGCAATCGAGCTTCTCACGCGAGCCTCGTGGCTCCAGTCCTTCTCAAGGGGGTAGGCAGGCGACGCCCTGAGATTCTCCTGTAGTTTCGGCGATATGGCGAAGTTGAGGATCGGCACAGTCACGGCTGGTGGAACAAACGTGAACCTGACAATGGCGCCTTGCATTCTTTCGGCATAGCTGTCACAAGTCGCGATGTCCTGGTGAAGCTGCGTGCCTGTTGCAAAGAGCCAATCGCCAGGATGCTCAACTTCGATACGTTGGTGCGAAAGAGGCAACCAGCCCTTGCCACGCCAGTCCACTCGCGGAAGTCTGCGCAACCGACCGTTGTGCACGGTAACAAGCTCACGCAAGTCGGAGCCATAGATCGGGGCACTGCGTAGAGCACTTTCGGTGACCTGGATTGCTGACCTAAATTGCGACAATTTGTGCTCTCGTTGTCGAAGTCTTTGCAGTGCTCTGGATCCGGTAAGTGTTGCGGGATCCGGATGCATGTCTATTGTGACAGCCTCGATCTCCTTGATTTGACGTTGCAGAGCACCCGAGGCGTCGAGGCTGCGCGACCGCTGCACGGCCGCGCGCCGACGTCCTTCATTATTAGCCACGAGAAGTCTAGCGGGAAATCCCTCTTTCACGCCAAGGAGTTGTCTCACGAGCTGTTCTGTGGCGCTGTAATCCTCAACAGGAGAGCTTTCCATGGCAAAACTGGTCTGAATCGGCCGAGGATCGAAAAGATCTGGGTGATTGCACACCTTCCTCAAGGCTAGCAACACACCTGCAGCTTGGACGCCACTTCCCTTGGCAAGCGTCGCTTTGGTCTCTGCGAGGCCCATGTAGTCCTGGTAAAGCTGTCGCTGACGCTTGCTGAGCTTGCAAACAACGACGCTTTCCGTCTTTTTGGGCAAGTCTTTCTCCACTTCGCTCTTCTTGCGGCGAAGTAAGTACGGACGCAGCGATATGTGGAGTTGCTCAACGACTCTCTGCGCATTGTCGGAAATCTTCTGCACGCCCTGGTCGAAGATCTCTTTCACGGGATCTTTCCAGTGACTCAGAAATTCTTCAAGCTCACCGTGCGAGCTGTCATCATCTCCTGCGGTAAGGAAGGTCAAGAGCGACCAGACTTCGGCTAAGTCATTCTGCAATGGTGTGCCGGTCAATAGAAGTCGAGCTCGTGTCCTGAGACGAATCAAGATCTGCCAACGTTGGCTGTTGAAATTCCGAATGTTGTGAGCTTCGTCGAGGATGAGATAGTGCCACTGGACAGTACGGATGGCGTTGATATCTTGCATCGCCACGTTGTAGCTCGTTATAACAACATTGTACCCTCGTCTGTCCTTCTGCTCGTGGTGCGGATCGTTTGTCCAGCCCTTCCGTTTCATCTGGCGCTCCTCCGCCGTGCCATAGTATCCCAACACGCGGAAGCCTGGAAGGAACTTTTGAAACTCGGTGACCCAGTTCAAGATCACGGAAGTTGGAACAATCACTAAATGGGTCTCCCACACTTCGTGAACTTCCGCCAAATGTGCCAACAGAGCAATCGTCTGAATCGTCTTTCCCAAACCCATCTCGTCGGCCAGGATTCCGTTGGTGCCATTCCGGTAGAGAGAAGCCAGCCAGTCTAGGCCAGCGTGCTGGTAAGAGCGAAGAGTGCCTCGCAGGAGAGCAGGAGTTGGCACTAGTGACTTGATGCCTACTTCTTCTTCGACTTCCATCTCATCCTCCGCATCGGTCTTCGCTGGCTCAGGTTCTTGCAGCAAAACATTGTCTTCCTTGGGAGAAGTAGTATCCTTCTGGGCAGGAGCCGCAGCGTCCTCTACGAGCTGTTCATTCGGATCTTGCGACTGTTCTTCTGGAGCGCCTTCTGCAGCCTGTTCGACAGACCTCGGCTCGGAGTCCGATCTTGGGTTGTCGTTGTCGCCGCCATTCTCCACGCTGGTAACTGGTGTGGGCAGGCCGTCGTCTTTCATACGCAAAAGATCTTTCTTCTGGTAGAACCCAAGTAGAGAAGGTTTTTCCTCTTCACTCTCGTCTTCGTCGTCATCATGGTCATCCTCGTCATTGTCGGCATCCTCTTCATCAGTGCTGCTCATGTCTTCGTCAGAGTCATACATCTCAACGGATTCATCAGACGACAAGTTGTCGTGAGCGTCGGCTTCCTCTGCAGCAAGCGCGGCAGACTCGGGTACTACATCCCCATTCACCTGCCGCGGGCCAACATCATCGGCGCCCATGTCGCGGGCATTGTCACTCATTGTGACGTCGTTTGCACAACTGACTTCTGGCGTGGCACCTAGCACTCTGCTAGAATACCCATCACCCAGAGCTTCTTCCTCCACCTGGATCTGCTCACCGGCTTGAGATCCTGCCTCAGCCGGTTCAATCTGCATAGAATCGCCTTCAGGGACATTGTCTTCTCGATCATCTTCGTCCTGGTCCTCATCAGGTGGGTCGGCCTGCCTTTGCTCAAGATATCGCTTCAAGGCTTCCTGGTCCATTTCACCACTTTCTTCTGCTTCGTCGAGGCCGGACTCGCTGTCCGACTCAGTCATGTTCTCCTCGGAAACATCCTCACTATCTTCGTCTGACTCTTCAACATCTCCAGTGCTGTCCTCGTCGATGTCTGCGTCGCTGTCTAGGTCGCCTCGCTGCATTGCCAGCAGATTCTCACTGTACTCGAGCTTTCTCTGCAGCTTTTCTGCTCTTATCCTCTCTTGCTCGACCTCCCAGGCCTTCCTCTTCATCTCTCGAACATGAGACTCTACCATTTCCCATTTAGACTTCATGTCTGCAATGACCTGTTTCTTGACAAGCTCCAAGACCTTTTGCTCCTCTATCAGTAGATCTTCTTCCGTGGGCCCGTTTCGTTGTTTCCACTTCTCAAGGGCTTCGTGTGCCAGCTTCTTCGCGAGAAGGCGATGTTGCGATTTTTCACGCAATTGCAGCTGTCGCAGATACAGCACGTGCGAAACGAGATGGTCGTGATGGCCATACTGCTGCGGAGGTTCTGCTTGCCGCTCGTCCTGGAAGATGCCCAGTTGTTCCTTGCTCAACGCACCACCGGGCTCGGCCTCTTGCAGCAACTTCTTCCGCATTGCTCCTTCTTCCACAGCCTGCCGTGCTGCTCGTTGTTCGAAGTAGTCGGCATCAGGAGGTCCTCGATCATTGTCTGTGTATGGTTGTTGCATCTCTTTCAGCTCATACCTCTCGATTATCTGGTATAGGGAAAGATGGGGCGGTCGAAGAGGGGATGGCAACTTTGCCAGTGGATGTGGAGGAGGTACGACATGGCGAGAACCGATTCTGAGCTTGATCTTCGGCGAAGGTCGAGATTTCTCGGGTGACTGATCAGCGTTGCTCATGCGGGCCATCTTTCGATGGACAGGAGGCGAAGCTGGCCGCTCTGGCCTCGACTTCTCTCCGCTTTGCTTGCGCTTTGGCCCAGGTTTGCTGTGCTCCTTGCCATTCTCCTTGCTGCTGCTGCTCAAAGGCGCCGGGAAGGAGCGCGATGGCTGCAGTGCGGCGATCTGAGCTTGCAGCTCAGCAATCTTCTTAGAGCTTGCCGTGTCGGTGGATGGTCTGTCTAGTCTATTGACCTGCTTCTTTGCCGATGGCGTCTCTCCTCTCTTGCTGCTGGCTGCCATAGTCTTCTGCGCCGACTTCTTCTCCCCATTCTGTGGTGTTGAATATGACAACTTGTCTGCCTGCTTCTTGCTCCGCGGACTGACTCGCTTCGGCACTTCCGTCAGCTCCTTATTGACACGGCCGCTCTTACGCTTGCCGTCGACCTGGAGTGTAGTTGGACCTGCTGCTTCAAACTTCTTCCAAGGCGGACTTGGTGGGCGGGAATGCGATGCTGGTCTGCTGAGACTACTGCTGTGCCCTCTACCCCTCTCCTCTGCCTCGCTCAGCCCGGGAGTCGACGTGTTGACACGCGCAGATACTCGGCGACCATCTGCGGTTCTCAAAGTCGTTGTCTCGGCGGATGGGAAGTTCCAGGGGGGCGACGCTGCACGCCTCCGTTTCTTGTACGGTCGCTTGTCGCCAGGCTCTGGGGTAAAGAGTGCTGCCTCAGACTCTCGTCGCTTTGCGCTGGGCTGAGAAGTGGCACGTGAGGTGAGATATTCGTCGTCGTGAGGTGTCGGCGGCGCAGTGGACTCGAGTTGATGGTCGTCGTGCTCGGTTTTGATAGTGGTTTCGATGCCAATTTCAGGCCTGCTGGCTGACTCTGTGGATGCGGGGTCGCCATTATTAGCTGACGGGGATGTGTTTGATTCGCCATGCGTCGCGTCGTGTGTTTCGCCGTTCGGGAGCGTATCAGCGATGGCGGAGTGGTGGTCGCGGCCGCATTGTTGGAACGAGTGCTCCGATTCAGAGGAGCCAGTTCTCTCGCGCATATCCCGCGTCGTCCACGCTCATCATCTCAGTTTCCCGAACCTCTTCGTACCATGCGATGTCTGCTGTCGTCGCGATGTATTGGGAAACCACGTGAGTATCGAACTACCACTCGGCACGTGCAGAAAATGGGTGAAAGAGCGACACGGGAGGTTGTTGGCGAAATTGGGCGGATGCAGGTTGTTGCGCGTTCCTTCGTTCGCGAGAAAGCTACTGTGGAGGAAACTTCCGGCCACCCCAAAGCGCGCTAGTCGCTGACCATTCCCTGCGACGAGCTTCACCTCACACCTCGCTGTCGCCGACGACACTGCAGCGTTGGACTGCCATTGCGACACCACCCACCACCACTCTATCCCAATTCTTCCATCGCAGCCATGGCGGGCCTCAGGACAGCCCTCCGTCTGGCACCGCGAGCCCAATTCGTCCGCCCGGCGCCTGTCTCACGCATCGCACCGCTCGCCCAGCGCCGATATGCCAGCGTGCAGCCGAACCCAGCTACCGACACGAAGCCCGCAAGCCAGGCAGAGCAAGCTCAGGAGGATGTCGCACTTGCTGGTGATCAGGGCGAAGACCCGAACATGGTACGCAAAACCACTTGGAGATCATGCAGGAGGAAGAGGGAAAACAGGACGCGAAATCCCAGGCTGCTCCCTTGTCCAGAGGACTGATTGCAGACTACACACGCGAATTTTGAGCGAACCTCGGGCTAATGAGGGTGTGTTAGAACGGCAACTACCCAGACCCGACCCTCACATCTGCGCTTCCTGTCAAGCGTCAATTCCGTGATCCATATGCCGACTGGTAAGATCTTGTTCCGATACTTTAGAGTCAGAACAAAGCTGAGAGATGATCCAGGTGGGACCCGCAAGAGCGAAGGAACTACGGCGAGCCAGTGCACGAGGACAACGACATCCTCGGTATTTTCTCGCCTGAGGAATACACCCACTTTACACCTGGATGGGGCGCCGTCCTACTTGTAAGCTCCACAACAATCTTGTAGACCTTGCGATCTCTAACCTGCGCTGCTAGGGCATGTTTGCTGGATCTGTTGGTGTGCTATGTGCGGTTGTTTACCGGTATTATCCAGACAAGGTACGCGATCACATGTCTCAATCAGCTTATGAACGCTCAAGCACTAATATCAAAACAGCCTGCGGTCAGTCGAACATTCCCTGGCGGACTGGAAGCTGAGCTTGGTGGTCCTCTCGCGAGGAGAGCCAGAATCTCAGATGACGACGTGGCTCCGTTGGACCGGACAGAAGCATGAGAGGAACACTCGCAATTAGGAACGGCATGAATATACTCCTCGAAAGATTTCCTTTGTACTATCTGAACCATCGGCCATATACCACAGCACTCTTTGCCGTCTTGGCTTGACCTCGTAAGGCATTCATCGTATTCCCTAGGCTCCCGTCACCACCCCGCATCAGCAATCACTCCGAGCTGTGCACCTCTACAGCCTGTTCCTTCTCGAGGGTCATATTTCAGTAGAAACTACCAGTATAAGTGCGATAACTCGGCAGGCTGATAAGCTGTTCCGATTGGCGTGGCCCCTCACTGATATAGCACGAGGAGACTCAATCACGATTTTCTCGCTGCATTTTTCGACCTAAGTAAAGTGGGCAACGTCGCATCCTGAAATCCCACGCGCTTTCTCGATTTCATTCCGACGATGAAGTAAGCAATTTACCTATCCATCTCAACTCATCAGCAGATATCTCCTCAAAACGCAGAAGGAATGTAGGCAACTTGCGGTCCCCACAACGGCAACGTGGAAAACGGCAACACCCAAACAACTCCTAATGCTTGGCCCCATGGCACACATCTCGGTGTAGCATATCTCCAGGGACAACAGTCCGAAGTATACCAGATTCTCGGTCCGACTTTCCAGGCGCAGCTCCCAACTACTCCAAGGCAGTCCGAGTCCATGCAGAACATGTTCGGGAGGGATGATGCCGGCCAGACTGGTGTTCCCGAGGGTGTGAAAGAGTGCAACTCGTCAAGGGTACTGTCGTGGCCGACTTTCTGCTGCAGGGCAACAAAGTCATTCGCTGTCGGCTTCTTCGTTTGCGAGTCGACATTGTAATCACAAGCCCTTCCAGTCCGCTGGCAGAGTCCGCAATCTGGCAATTGCTTGTCACATTTGCACTTCTGTCTTCTACAAGACGCGCAAGCCTGCAACGCTAGGTGCACACCAGCTTGAGTCGGATATTCCAGTCCGTTGTCAAGGTCCATGCTCCGAGGGTCTGCGCATATCTAGAACTATCTCGGCGGACGATGCGGATGTGGATGCAGTGTGCAGAGTGCCGCGTACGCGGGGAAGTATGGCCACTAACCCTGATGCGGATGGTATTCATTAATCCTCGCTAAATATTGAGGCCACTTCCGGCGTACTACGACTGTACGGCGCACGACAACGGCTCCATCGCCAATATCACATATCGCGCGCCCTTCAGACCCGCGTCGCAATGGACGACGACGCCACGAGCAAGAAGAGAGTCGGCCGGCCTCCCAAATACGATTGGGACGACAAGAGGGACATCTGCTACAAGCTATGGGTTGATGAGCACAAGAGCGCCGCGCAGATTGCTGCATACTTCGCCGAACGATTCAATGTCCATCCCAGCGAGCTGCCGTGTCGCAAAGGCTTCCACCGTCAGTTCCAGATATGGGGCTTTCCCTCTCACAAGAGGACCATGACGCCGGAGGATGAGGCTGTCGTGATGGCACGCGTCAAAGAGTTGTGGGAGCAAAACGTGAACCAGAAGGACATCAAGTCAACCCTTGCAGAGGAGGGCTGGGCGCTCAAACACTATGATTTTCAGAAGCTGTGGAGATCGCATGGCTTGAGGCTACGGAATGACCAGGGGTTCAGAGTACCGGAGCCAGAGAAGAATAGGAAGAAGCGGAAGAGATCCTCCGTGCCTGCAGAAGGCGTCGACCGACCCCAAGAGACTCAAGGGACACAGGCCAGTAGGGAGACCCAGGAAGCTCGAGAGGACGAGAATTCGATGTCAGCTCCACCAGGTCCCGAAGAGGCAGCACAGCGTGCACAACGACTGTTCGAGATCCAGCTCGAAAGTGATCAGAAACTCCAATCTCGAAAGCGCCGGCGACGCATCCGCGGATACGGTCATCTACCTCCTGACGCGCCAGGAACAGCACCCCGTTACGCATCGGAGACGAGTCTAGACGAATCCAAGGCATTCCTTCACCTGTCCAATGAGATGTACCAGGCCGTTCGCAAGGACTATGAGACAATCTGCCGCGAAATGGGAGTTATCAAGAAGACGGAATGTCCCGACGTAAGCGTTGCTCTCAAGTACAGAAGTCCGTTACTACAAGCTAACAGCACACGCCTCCTAGGGTGTCTGGGAAGAGTCGCAACGAAGATTAGTTCGCGAGAACATGCATCTAAGCGCAATGATGCACCCTCTGCAGCCAGATCAAGATAAGAAAAAGGTCGCTCTGGAATGCCTCTGCGCGGACGTGACCAAGCGCATGCGAACAGCGAACAAAGCAATTACCATTGCTGAGGCTAACAACATACTGGGCTTGAACCCAACAGAGAGTAAAACAGTCCGTCGTTCCTTATATGAGATACTGGAGGCAAGCAGGTTTGAGTCACGTCTTGTCTCCGGCGATGACCATTGGCGTGAACTACGTCAGCGCTGGTTTGACACAAACCAGAAGCTGCAACAGGCCGCCATTGAGAACGATGCAAGGAAGATGCAAGCCGTGGACCTGTTATGCAAAGACGCAATGAAACGTTTTCGTGAGGACAGGAATAAGCGCGGTGAACGACCAGGTATGTGCCTGCCTCCCAAATCCTGTGCGATAGCAAGACTACTAATATTTTCTAGTGGTTCAGCGGAACACCTACTACGGTCCTGGTCCTGGGCCCGCTTGGGCTGCGGTACAACCTCGCTCGAAGACTGGTCTTGAAGAAAAAGCTGCTCGGCAAGCTGCCACGCAAACCCGTGAGCCGTTAGTGCAGGAGCGTGTTCAACACTATCCTCCTTCTGAATCGGGCAATATAATTGCTGCTCTCGCTCAAGCAACTGGCAACGTCGATTTTGATTTGGATCCAGCTCTCTCGGGGCCAACACCTTTCACTGCACAGGCAGAGTCTCCGCCGCTTGGAAATCCAATCGCTGTGTACTTCCGACTGGGCCCAACGTCGACTGTTGTTGGCAATCATCCTAAGATGTGGCTGGGAAAACTGACCTCCGTTTCCATGACAGCGTTCAACAAGGCCGCTACGAGTAAAGCGGGAGCAGCCTCGGTGACAAGAGTTCATGGATTGGTCAAAAGTAATGATGGTACTGAGGACAAATGGATCATTGAGAATCAAGATGAGCTTCAAGCTTATCTAGTCGAGGCGGGGGAAAAGCCTTCGTTCCTTGTTCAGCTCGAGGGCGGCTATGCCTAAGTCTACATGCTCTCGGAATACGCGTGGGTAGGCGATGACGCCTTTTGCGCATCTATAACCCCAAACTCTTTCCTTGAAGTGGTCCTGTTGCTGATGGAAGCTAGAAGCAAGGCAGACAGCACATTGGCAACAATGGATCGTCAACCAGAACTTTGAGCAATAGTAGAAATCGCAGACAATCATGACATAAACGGCGGAATTTTGGCCTCCTCATTGCTATAGCGTCTTTCCGCAGCGGATCGTTGTCGTCTTCTCGAAAATGATAGCTAAGACCAGGGCAGCAGCGAGTTGAATAGCGCAAAACCAGCGGTAACAGCAAGCATGGTCGCCGACGCATTCAAGAATCATGGACAGATGGGGACACACCTCGAAAACTTGTGTCAAGCGTGTGCTGAGTTGCAACAGTGGTGCCCAGCAACAAGCGACAAAGAGTGAAGCCAACTTTACACGCTCTTCCATCCGGAGAAGATCCACACGCATGCCGCATACGAGGACGACTACAGGGCATTTCACAATGTGGCTCTCAGAGGACCGGAGGTTTCAAAGCTATTTCGAGGACGTAAGGACGACGGGTCAATGCATCCTCTGTAACCTATGTCAAAAACGAGAAGGCCTCGTTGTCCGCATTACAGCAGGCCGTCCCTTGTGTCGATGCCGTCATCATCAATATTCGTCGTCGGAAAGACAACGACTCATAATGGAGTAGCCTCGGAGCGCGCGGCTCCATGTGAGATGTCGAAGGCACCGTCTCCCCGTGACTTGGGCATGTTGGCGCGCAATGTATGTGAAAGTTGGTCAGGCTCAAAAAAAAACTCGTAGCAATTATGTCCAATTTGAGAGGGTATCCTGCAGCATATGAACCGGCCGTAAATCTCGTCAATCAAGGTTTGAACAACCAATCGTCGCTTCTGAAGATGGCTTCCAACTCCACACTGCCAAAGACACCAACAGCAGCAAGTAAATCATTCTCGCCTTCCAGACCAACCAGGGATCCAGCATCCGCGTCCGCGTCTTCTTCCTCGTGGAGATCCCAGTGACCATCCATCCTGCCATTCCTCGTGAAGAACGCCTTGCACCGCATGCTGACACGATCTCCGTGCACCGGCGGGGAATACGTCATGCCAATCCCGACGACATCACCTTTCTTGTAGGGCGCAACAAAGTCTCTGCCACCATAGCTGTTGTCCACGTAGCGGCGACCGTCATCGGAGTGAACACCAATAGAGCCACGATGCCATCCTGGGAGGCGCCAGGCTGGGTATGGAGGAGCAACGAATCCGAGAGCGAGTCCGGATTCAACCTGATTGTTTTGGTTATAGCGATCCCCAATTCCCAGAACGTGAACTTCAAAATAGATGGTGGCCGGTTGGCCGGTACTCAGGGGACTCTGGCGAAAGGAGGCAAAGATCGGGATGTCGGAGAGAAGGATCGTGTCGCCCAAATGAGGCATGGTACGTATATAGCTTTTTCCAAGTGCAGGCTGGTATTGGGTTACGTCCGTGGTGTTAGGAGGAACAGTGAGGCGAAGGTCACCCTCTTGGATTCTCTCGATCAAGATGGCGTCATGTTCCCTGGCTGGCCAAAGTGGATTCTCCGTACACCATGCGTGGGCGCGGGCAGCATCATCATAATCCGCATTTGCAGTCGGGCTGCTTTTCTCAAAGATGGGCGGTGGAGGCCGCAGACTGTCATCCGGACCAACCCACGGATCGTATGGAGGAGGTTCCATGGAAGGTGCGCGAGGGTCTGGAGAGATGGAAGGCTTGTATCCTGGTGGAGGGCGCAGAGAAGGTTGGAATTCCATCTTTTGGGCCGTACGGTCGGATGGTGCACCTGGAGGAGGTTGGAAGCTGTCTTCGCTCATCTCCACATCACTGGGATGGCTTGGTTGTACTACGGGAGCGCTGTGAGGAAGAGGAGCCTTGGTCGCAGCACCAGATGAGATGGACTGATGTCCGCTGATGGGGCGCTTCAGACTTGAAGGCCTCTGCTGGGTTTGGGCGGGCACGCTTGGGGTGTTATCACGATAGCGATTGTTCGAGGGAAGCTCCCGGTTGCTGCTCGGCCCACCACCGACGGTCCATGAGACACGCTGCGCACTCTGCGGCTGCTGAGCGCTCCGCTGATCCTGCGTGCGTTCCACATCCGACTGGGATTGGGTCCTCACGTTGGGCGGCGGTCCACGTGGAGGATCAAACTTGTTGTCCATGACACCTGTGACCCGTCTCCGGCGCCGTTCAGGTGGTGATGACGCTGTGTGGGCTCTCACGTTGCGAGTAGGACTAATAGCTGGTCCAGGTGTAAGTTATACTGGAGGCCTCAGAGGCGGCTGGAGAGGCGTTGTTGCTCGGCCCTCCTACTACGTGTCGAAGGAGAAATTCGGGCCAGTGTAAGCGATGATGGGTCATCCCTGAGTACGAGCCGCTCAGCAGTCCAGGACGGCCAAACTGCACATCGCCTGGAGGTAACAAGACGATGCTCGTTGGTAGGTGATACGATGACGGTCGTTGCTGGAAGGTGTCACGGCGTGTCATCTGGCGCTTTGGGCATCACCGAAGGCCAATTCAAGGAACATGCCTGTCGCTGCGGTCCCGAAGGAGTGTGGAGGGGCGGCGGCGGCCATACTGTACAAGAGGAACGGGCCGAGGCTTGGCACGCTATGCATCCCCCGACCGGGAGCTTAGGACGTTGCACGCTTGCGTTGTTAAGCTTGCGACCTTGTCAAACGCTGTTCACTAGCAGTGCTCGAGATGTAGCGCCAATGGCCTTCGACGAGCCATCTGCTCAGCTGCACCAGGAGCTACGGTCCGCCGTCCAGCGGGCACTCTCACTGCGACGGCCGGTACTGCGTGAGTATGGCGCCACGAGCTTGTAGTGGTTGGACGCGTTGGAGCGTGATTGCTAATGCTCTCCAAGATCACTTGAATGCGGATTCGTCCTGGCTGCTCCAGATCCCTCGTCCCGAGACCGCCATCAAGCGAGGCGCGCGATTCTACTACAACATCCTCCTCGATCCGTGGCTGTCGGGCCCGCAGACTGATCTGGCAAACTGGTTCTCGCAGCAAGTACATGCCACTCCGAGCGCCGTCCAATCCATCGCAGAGCTTGAAGAGCTGGTCCGAGAAGTCGAGATACTCGCGTCGGGACTACGATCAAGCAAGAGCAGAATCTCAAATGCCGACGTCGAGGCATCGATTAGCGAAGAGGAGACTTTGATCGATGCAGTGGCAATTAGCCATGAATTCTCAGATCACTGTCACAGGGACACATTGTTGCAGCTTCATCCGGATGTCTCCATTTTCGCGATCAAGGAAGCTGCCAAGTCAATAAAAAGCTGGGACCATTTTCGGACCGTGGTGGTCATCAACAACTTCGGTGTGGATGGCGACACAGATTGGCGCTCGACGTCTCTACCCCCGTTACCAGAATGGATCGGAATCAGCCGCTTGCTGCAAACGGACGGTGTGCTCAATTTTCACAGTGCTCTGTTGATCACGTTCAACAACCGACATGGAAATGCTATGTCGAAGCTAAAGGCAATGAATCGGCACACTGCCAATGCCGTGAGGGAAAGACATCACAGTACAATCGAAGCAAACGAGGATGATGAGACCGCGGAAGCGGTCATTTACACACCACATGGCATATTTAGCGGCGATTTGGACCTCGTGCCAAAGGCGCAGCCTCCGATCTCTACGCTGGCCTTCCTTCATGGCCTGCATAATGTGCGCATCGGTACTGCGAGAGGTAGAACAGCATTGCAAACGAATCTTGGAGCGCACAATGGCCTCAAAGCGCAGAGGATACTGAATGCGTCTTACTGGATTGGTACGCATGATGAGGTGAAGAAAGGGGTCGGGATCATCGCCAGATTCTTGCAGCGCGACGAAATCACCTTGAAAGATGCACTTGAGCATGAACGCCGATCACAACAGGATGGCGGAACTCGTAAGGCGAATGGTGATTGGAGCGCAATGCTGGACTCGTTCGAAGATACCAATTGGATCGATTTGCGGAATGGAGAGAGCAGGATACTGATGTGACCTATGCAATTGCAGAATACTGGGTAGCGAAGTGCGAGCAGGGTACAAGCTACAGCAAAGCTCCATGAGCCTTCTTCCAGATCCGGAAACTCAATTCCACAGGTTTTGCGGCATGAGTTCTTGCTTCTGTGATTTGTAGCATCGCGTACACTGCCGAGGGACCGGAGTGCGAGCCGCTCTCCTATCGCAGCGCGGGCAATGTCTGGGACAGAGGTGGTATCCACCAAGGCCCATGGCAGTGGAGGTCACTGTGCGGTCTTGCTCAATCCTGTCTCTCACTCTCCCTCCCTATGTACAAAGCTTCTTCCATCTCGAAGGAAGCTACCGTTGATTAGCGCTATTCGCCCTGCTTTGACCCTTGTTCTGCTCGGAGTCTGGGGGGAAATGAGCACCGTCTGTGAAAACACGCTTTACACCACACACGGGACGAACCACACGTGGGCGGCGTTCATCTGTGCATGTAAAGATTGATGCACAATCGGGGATCGAGATAGCACCCCTGCTAGCGTGGAGGGAGATCTGCAACCCTATTCCCTTGTGGGGACCGGTAAGACCGCACAGACGGGTTGTCGGATCGCTGAATCCAGACGGAAGACTTCACGGCGCTGCCGCATCACCGTTCTGCGTCCCCCAGCAAGCATATCGTCTGGACCGCGAGGCGACGCCGCTGCCTTCACCTCCATCCTACTCTCCACCGCCGCCCTCTGGAGCTCCTCCGCCGTCTTGCTGGTCCTGAGAATGACATCACGAAACGCGACAACGCAGGCCATCTCCGCAATAGTAGCAGACGACAGGGACATGCCACTGCGTCGGGAATGAACGACTCGAGCCAGCCGAGCATCTTCTCCTCGTCCAAGGACAGCCTGACGCGGAATCTATCGTCGCTCCCGCCGCTGCAGCCGCCCTCCACCCTCCAGAAGAACGATCGCTCTCGTCGCGCTCCTCGCACTTCGTCACCCTTCCGCCGGCAGAGCACCCCAGAGGTTCGCCCGCAGGGCAATAGTCAAGCTGCCGCGGACAGCTCTGACGCCGCGCCCAACGTCGATACTATCTCCCGTTTGCTCAGGAAACCAAGTGAGCGACTGGTGGAAGCGCCGTCGGGGAGGGAGCAGGCGTCGTCGCCATCCATATGGACATCATTCGCTGATCGCACATCCACTGCGACTCCCCCGAATAAGCCGCTCGCGCCCCGGGCTCGCAGCGTTAGTTCCAGTCGAACGTTTGTCGGTAATAGGGTCTTTCCGAGCGAGGCACCGATACATCTTCCGCAGACACCTCCCACGTCGTCGCCAAGCGCTGCGAAGAGAAAGTTCGCGCTTGACACTCCCTACGACGAGCGAGGTCCAACTTCTGAGCCCTCAAACAAACGGCTGAAACTCCGCCCACGTACGAAGCTTTTACTCGATAGCAATAGCTACGGCTCGTTCGATTCTTCGCTTGCTCAACCTCCCTCGCCATTGTTCTTCAGTAACACTCCAAGAGCTCGTCCAACGCTGCCGCCGCGCTTCTCCAGCAGTGAGGCGGCAGCCAAAATGCTGAGTAAGGCTCGCACGGAAGAGACTCATGTCAAGACTGTGAGCTTAGCCCGCGGCACTGTCAGTACGCCTGGGGTAGGCGCTAGCATACCAACCCGGAGCACACAGCGCAAGAGTCTAGAGCGTACGATAACCGGTCGGAGCAGCAGTCCGGAGACTGCCAGTAATGGCACGAGAGATGGCGTGGGTGGCATCAGCACTATGCTCAACAGCATTGGAATCATTGAATTGCTGGAGCAGGATGAAAGGCCAACTTTCATCATTTATCTCGGGGATAGCACCAACTACGGGCCGGGTCCGCTCCATCTAATATACTCAAATCTTTCGCTGCGATCCTACGAGGGCATGTATGCACTTGTCAACGGGACGAGTTCGAGTGAATTTCCGGGTCCAAACAACTTTCTGCAGTTCAAATCATGGCTGCTGAGTGCTGCCGTCAACGGAGAGAGCCTGAATGTCTGCCTACCGCCCTTCAATTATGGCAACATGTTATGGAGCTGCTCGACGCTGCGAAACAGATTACGGATAATCAGTGGGACCTTTATTTCGCCTCCACCTGCTGCTACTGCCGCTATGCGCGTCAGCATACCTCCCGGCGAAATGTCTCATGAGAACGAAGGTTCCGATTACTTTGGTCAGATCGCCGACGTGAAAGCCGGTTCAACCTCTGGCGATTCAAGTACCCACACAATGCCCGACATCCTGCCCACGATAGAGGAGAATCATGCAAGAACTGGAGCTATGCTGAGTATACCGCCCGACCTTGATCTGTCGGATGCAACAGATCTACTTCCTGGGCCCAATACGTACGTACAGCCACCCTCTGCTGGCACGAGCATCCTTAACCCAACCGCCGCATCTGCTGCATCAAGTTCAACAAGCAAGGAGAGTCACCTGACTAATGACGGGCCCGTGAACAGTCAGATAACGACAGTGCTTCCGGACGCGCCTTCATTCGACTGGACACGCCTACCCGTTTCAGACAGTATGCCAAAGCACATCCAATTTGCGCGAAGTGTGGACTGGGCTTCGACTGCTCTAGGCCCGATCGAAAACTGGAGCTTGGATCTAAGACAGATGTGCAATTTGATCATGGCCTCGCCGCATCCCGCAGCTATGTATTGGGGCGAGGATCTGATTGCTATTTACAACGAGGCCTACATCTTGCTTGCAGGGCAGAAACATCCTTCACTCATGGGCCAAAGCTATCGCGTGGCCTGGGCCGAGATCTGGAATGAGGTTAAGGACGTATTTGCAAACGCCAAGACGACCGGCGAAGCGACCATGAAGGATGACGACTGTCTGTTCATTAGACGCAGTGATCATCTCGAGGAGGCGTACTTTTCTTGGTCGATTATTCCGATGGTGGGCCGAGACGGCAGCGTAATGGGTCTTTACAATCCAGCTTTCGAAAAGACCCGTCGAAAGATCGCTGAGCGCAGGATGTTGACCTTGCGGGAAGTGGGCGAAAGGACCGCATCTGCTCGAGACGTGAAGGCATTCTGGACTCAGGTGCTAGGATCTTTCGAATTCAACGAGTACGATAGTCCATTTCTCATGTTGTATTCGGTCAGCGATGAGGCCGATAGCGACAGCAGTAGCATCCACTCCGGTTCGGTCTTCACATCAAGGCAATGTATGCTGGAAGGGTCACTCGGGGTTCCGGAAGGCCATCAAGCAGCACCAGATCAAATCGACATAAGGTCCGGGATGGAGGGATTCGGGCCCGTATTTAGAGAGGTCCTGAATACAAATAAGCCGGTGCTGCTTGAGGTAGGTAGCAGCGATCTTCCGGAGGGCTTGATGGAGGGCCTCCAATCACGCGGGTTCGGCGACCCCATCAAAGCCGTTGTTGTCTGTCCAATTCATCCAACGACCGGCGAGAGCGTTCTAGGTTTCCTTGTTCTTGGTGTCAATCCAAGACGGCCTTACGACGACGATTACAGCCTATTCCTGCAGCTGCTGAGCCGTCAATTGGCGACTTCCCTTGCTTCAGTCGTACTCTTTGAGGAAGAGATCAGACGGGGTCAGAAAGCCGCGAAATTGGCAGCGCTTGATCGAATCGAGCTCTCCGAGAAACTGGCGGCTCGGACTGCAGAGGCCATCGAAAGCGAGACAAAGTTCACACGGATGGCAGAATTCGCCCCGGTCGGGATGTTCATCGCGGACGAGGGCGGCAAGATCAATTTTGCCAACGACACTTGGTACGACATATCGCGCGTTCCTAGAAACGCAGACATGGCAGACACGTGGATGGAAGCTGTCAAGCCCGAGGACATGGATCTGGTGAAGAATTCTTGGACCGATTTGGTCACCCACACTAAAGCAGTGTCCATCGAATTCAGATTCAAGGCTCAGTGGAGGGATCGGAATGGCAATTATGGCGATACGTGGGTGCTGCTGTCTGGCTATCCGGAGCGCCACGACGACGGAAGGTTGAAGAGCATATTTGGCAGTATGACGGACATTTCGCAGCAGAAATGGGCGGAGGGCCTGCAGACGCGGCGTGCTCAAGAGGCCGTTGAGCTGAAACGGCAGCAGGAAAACTTCATCGACATTACTTCGCACGAGATGCGCAATCCACTGAGCGCTATTTTCCAGTGCTCGGACGAAATCTCGAGCTCTTTGACAAGCTTCCGACAGGGCAACGAACGAGTCATCCCGGATGAGCTGGTAGCCAACTGCTTGGATGCGGCGCAAACCATCAGTCTCTGCAGCCAGCATCAAAAGAGGATTGTGGATGACATTCTGACTTTGAGCAAGCTCGACTCGCAACTGCTCCTAGTGACGCCTGTAGATGCTCAGCCGCTTACTGTGGTCCAGAGAGCTCTGAAAATGCATGAAGGTGAATTGCAGGCCGCAGACATTCAGATGAAATTCGTCGTCGATCAGTCTTTCCGCGACATGGGGTTGGATTGGGTGCGGCTCGACCCTAGCCGTGTGCTTCAGGTTCTGATCAATCTAACAACCAACGCGATCAAATTCACCGGTACAGAGAATAGGAGGACCATCACGGTGACCATAGGAGCGTCGTATGAGCGTCCGAGCGAGAATCCCAACGCGCCTGTGAAATACTTTTCGACACGCCGGAAAGAGAAGGCAGACCTAAGCGATAAAGACTGGGGCGATGGCGAGAAGGTCTACATACATTTCGCTGTACAGGACACAGGTCGTGGTCTGAGCCCTGAAGAGAAGAAATTGCTGTTCATGCGCTTTTCCCAGGCGTCTCCGCGCACGCACGTTCAATATGGAGGATCAGGTCTAGGTCTCTTCATCAGCAGAGAACTGACCGAACTACAAGGCGGTGAGATCGGCGTTGAGAGCGAGGCAGGCAAAGGCTCGACATTTGCCTTCTTTGTCGCCGCCAGGAGGAGTGCGGCTCCACAAGACAGCGTTGACGGCTCCACTGGTGTCAAGCGCCACAATCCTCCCTCATCCAGGAGCAAGTCGGCGCCGTTATCCAAAAAAGATGACGGCAAACCAATCCAGCAGGTGGAAGGATTCGCACCTAAAAGAGACACGTCCAGCGAGAAACCAGTCTCGAGGAAGGTACTAATTGTGGAAGACAATCTGGTGAACCAAAAGGTGCTCCAAAAGCAGCTGAAGAACAACGGCATCCAGGTACATCTCGCGAACCATGGCGGTGAGGCTTTGGAGAAACTCATGCAGTCTACTTACTGGCGCGATGGCAATGACAGCCCTGACAGGCTCGAATTGGGTGTCGTACTGATGGATCAAGAAATGCCGGTAATGGATGGGTTGACTTGTACACGCAAGATTCGAGAGCTCGAAGCCGAGGGCAAATTGACCGGACATGTGCCCATTATCGCTGTGACAGCGAATGCGCGGGCTGAGCAGGTGCAGACTGCTTTGGATGCAGGCATGGTGAGTCCTTCCAGCCGCTTTATGACTACTTATGCACCGATCACATCTGTGAGAATTTGCACACATGACGCGGTCACGAACGGTGCGCCGTTCACAGGTCTAGGCATCCGGATCGCTGGCTCGTACCTTCTGATCTTGAGGGCAGGGTTGACAGGTTGGGTTCCTCGCATGACTTGCTGACGTGTTTTGTGCTACGCAGGATGATGTTGTGAGCAAGCCTTTCCGCATCCCGGAACTCGTACCAAAGATTGAAGAGTTGACGGTCAGGTATCCAATGCCGTCGGCCACGCGGTGAACCGCCGCTCCGCAAGAGAAGAGCATCAACTCCTCCGACCCAAAAATTTAAATGTCCTCCGTTCTGGATCAGGATCGACTCAGATCGTGAGGCGGCACTCGCTTCCTCGGCCCACACTGGCTCGGCCACCCTGACCAGGCAGAGCCGTCAGACATGAATTCACCATACGAATCGACGCGAATCGCCTCGAACAGTCAGTAAGAATCGGCTTGCAGCCGCTGGAAGAAACTAGCAGAAATTGCTGGCAGTGCACCCCCACCGAAGTAGGAACCTCCCAGCGAACAGCAGATGCCGGCGAGGATTGGGTACACAAGATACAGCACGGTGTGCTCTCAGAGCAAACCGGGGAATTTCCTCATCATCAGAGGGAGGGAGGGGATAGGCGGAAACACAGCACGGTACGAAGCACACACGGAATACGTTGCACGACAGGACATGACGACTTTTTCCTCTTTTTTTTTTCTTCTTTTTGGGATGCACGACAGGACAGCGGGAAACTTCGGGACAGCGAACCAGCGAACCAGCGAGCGGAGCGGAGCGGGGAGTGAGATGAGAAAAATTCCTTCTTGTTCTTGTCTATTCTTTTGCTTGGTTTATCTATCTAGATGGCCGATGAAATTCGTCTTTTGCTGAAGGAGAGAGGAGAGAAAACATGACTGGAACCCAGGGGGGCAGGCATTATAGACTTATCATCATGTTAGCGTTAGCGGGTTGGATTATATACAATCGGCTTCAGGCGTCTATGGGAAACCTATCTTGAACCATCGGCGGCCATAGAGAGTGTTCACATTGCAGGTTCGGTCGGTCGGGGGCCGTAGGTGTTTTCCGAGGGGGGGGGGGGGCGCCCGCGGGCGGGCGGGCGGGGGGGGGGGGGGGGGGGGGTAAATGAAACTCTCTGACCCCGATCTATCTATCTATCTATCTATCCATCTATCCATCTATCTGTCTATCTGTCTATCTATCTATCTATCTATCTTTCTATCTACCGAAGGGGTTTCTTTCCCTCTGGATTTTGCTCTTTCTTTTTCTTTTCCTTTTGCCTATGGACTTGGCGTCTCTCCGCGACAGTCTCTCCGTCTCGTTCTCATTAGCAAGGTGCAGGGAGATGACAGGAAGAAGGAAGCAGGAAGCAGGAAGCAGTCTGTGGGCGGCAGGGAGCAAGGAGACGGAAGTGAAAGTTATCATCCGAGGCTTCCTTCCTTCCTTCCTTCCTTCCTAGGAGGAGGACGCTGTGGCTAGATATTCTTCTCGCCGGATTTTTTCAGCAAGAATGTGGATTGCGAATCATTCCCAGATCAGAAGCTAGGATAGATAGATAGTATACTCATTAGCCATTAGCCGGATAACGTGTTGCGAGCGCCGTCCGTGCAGCAGCAGCAGCAGCAGCAGACAGAAGAATTCGGATTCTAGTCTGGGCGGTCTTGTCGTGAATGAGTGTGAGCGAATATTTTTTTGTTCGTGATTGGGGCATTACTATTATCCTATCATACCATCCAATGGCCTTGGAATTCACCCCAAAATAATCTGCACTCCGCAAGGCGTAACATGCGCGACCCAAAAGCAGTGCTGAAGGAAAGGATGATCCCTGATAAACATCAGCGCTGAGATCTGAGAACCTGAAGAGCTGTTACCAGGGGGTCCACTCCGTCTGATCTTCGTTGTGGGCAGATTTCGAACGCTTAAAAAATAAGTCGAGCAGATCTAGGGAGATAGACAAAGGTCTTCTATCATACGCGGCGTAGCATACCGTTGCTTTCGTCGAGAACCTTCTGGCTTTTGGTATTCAAGAACATGATTGTTATAGATCTGGAGTCATGGCCGTACAGCTCTCCCCATCGGGAGGGAGGGACCGCAGTCGCTTTTGTCTCTCGGCGATAAGGTTTCGGGCAGCACATGCGATGCAGTAGCTTAGCTGCTGGTCAGGTATCAGGCAGGACAATCGGATTTCTGGGCGTTGAAACCCGAAATACCTTATGTTGGACGGTTGGCTGGCTACGGGTTGGATGCTGGGCTGCTGTCATCAACACGACGAGTGGCCAATGTATGCGGAGTTGATTTTGAACAAACGGAGACCTGGATGTTCTCGCGGGCTGCTGCGTGTTGACGAGAAGTGTGTCGGGGAGGCAAGAGGATCACTGGCATAGCTCATCAGCTGCTGTAATAAGCTTCACAGCTTCTTGGACCCAGGCCAGGCAGATCGGTCGTCAGGCGGCTTTGCAGCGGAAAGGCCTGTCCGGACGGCCGCTGCGGCGGATTTCGGTGTGCTTCTTCCAGGTTCATGTCACGGCCGTGTCAGACCATCCGGCCAATGACAGGCGTCGAATGCGTAGACGATGTATCGTTCATATCGCATGCTTTTGGGCTTCCATTCATTCGCATCCACGGGCTCGCAGTGTTTCACGTACTGCACCGAACGGTCCAGAAGATGCGAGACCGGAGGCGGATCGAAGCACGGCGTGTGCAGTGTCACCGACGCCATCGGAGGTTTGGGGGGGGAAACGGCGGGAAGAGCGAGCATTTGCCATGTAGGTATGAGGCGAATCGGGGTACAAGATCGGCAAGGAGACTGCAGTGCTGCTCGGGCCACCATGGTAGTAGTGATGGGCTATTCCGGTGCTCCTCTGGACGTTTGAGTCGCTGAGCAAGGAGTCAAGGAGTGTTGAAGCATGTGCTGTGTGCTGGACAGGAGAAAGTCTAGCCGGGACGTTCTCAGGCCCGCCCAGCGCGGCGGGTGACGACGGAGTCTGTGCTCTGTGCCTCTGGTGTGGTCGGTCAGACTGCCACATGATTTTGATTGAGGTGCAGGCCGATTCCAGGAAAGGGATATCGATATGGAAATGGAATCTGTGCACAGTGGAATAATGGCGTGGCGTGGCGTGGCGGTCTGGAATGGATCACGTTGCCACGCGTGCATGGTCGCACCATTGCAATATATTAATGTAAGCCTGGCACGCCGGTCATCAGGAACTTTCTCATGACATGGTGGTCGTAGAGGTCGTCAGATAAAGTGTGTTATTAGACCTGCTGAACCGGATTGACAGCCCGGACATGTTACCGCGTCGAGGTGGAGTGGGATGGGATGGGATGGGATGCATTATTTTAGCAATGCATTCTTAGCTCGTCCGTCTCCACGCATGCACTGCACACTGCACGCACGACTGCACCTCGCGCTGGAAGCGAGTTTGTGATAGATCGGAAGCCGTGCACGAGCCCGAGGCGGACAACTTCACGTGGTGTGCATGTGTGCATGTGTGTGCATGTGTGTGCATGTGTGTACGCTCGGTGAGGATGAGGTTGTTGGTATGTATGTATCTATGACCCTAACTCGCGACAGGTTCGACATACATAGGTACCGTCCGACATTCTGCCTGACCACCAGCAGCTGAAAGCCGTTTCGTCGGGCCGAAGGGAATCGCGGCCCTAGTCGTGTGGACGGTTACATCTCAGCTGGTAAGGTACAGTACATAGTTGGGTACACAGGGGTTCGCAAATTAGGATAGATTGACGCTAGTTGCTTGGCATACCAAACCTCCCTACCAACACCACTTTTGAAGGCTCTGTATCACTACCACTATGCCTCCTATACTTAGAAATTATTTAGAAAGGTTAAAGAGACTAGGGCAATTCAAGACACTATATAGAACCCGTTTTTTTGACTATTGGGATGCATGTAGAGACCAATACACACTCAAATACTTCTGCTAGCTATATAACTACGAAGAATGGTACCCTACCTACTTAATAGCTAGTAAATAGCTCTACTAACGTATAGAACTTAGAGCAGAAGCTGAGCTATCCCCTACCCGAAGGCTACTACGAAAGGAAGCTCCTAGACCTAAAAAGAAGGATATTAGCTACTAGATTAAGATAATAGCTAAGGGGCCCCAAGATCTAAGGAAGTAGGACTATAGCTTCTTTTAAAAGCATTCACAAAGCTCATATGCAACCTTAAGAAGGAGGATGAAAGAAAGGCAGCCACCAATACTGCGTAGTAAGAGGCAGAGCACCACACAGATCTCACAAACCAACAAGAGGCTTAGGATTGAGTATGGGCACTAACATAGGTCAGAGACAGTGGATAGCCTCTGGCAATGGATCCACTGGACAGACGAAGCTCATATTGATAGGGCTATGCCTCTTCATAAGCGAATCTTTCGTGAGCAGGGCCAGCACGAAGGGATGATATACGAGCAACCTGAGCCTGACCATCTAATAGCCCATATCACAGCCTCTGTCTCTTGGTAGCACAAATCAGACCTTATCTTCTATAACGATGAATAGTGGGACCACAGGCATATTACAGAAATCTGGAAGGGCCAAAAACCACGAAGAAACAGAAGGCAGAAGACAGAAGAGCAGTATCAAGCAGAGTTGAAGGAATGGGCCAATTTAGAGCCCCCACACACCCAGAAGAAGGGCAATTCAATAAGCCAGCTCTACTATGCAGAGCATATCCTTCCAAAGCATATTGAATAGATCAAATGGATGAAGAATCAAGGCCACCCTGCTATTTTGATGGAAGATGGTGATCCATTATATGGTCACAGATCAAAGGACAATCTACCTGAAAAGACAAGGCAAGAACAGCTAATCCAGCTTCACTGGTACCTAGCATAAAGCCCTGACCTCAACCCAATTGAAGGTGTGTGGCTGCTGCTTCAAGAAGGCCTAAAAAAGGTATATAGAGAGGCCCTATATCAAATGGACTATCAAGCTCTCAAAGCAGCCTATATACGTGTTTGGAATGAGATTTCAATAGAGCAAATCAGGTATAGGATATAGAGTATACTATAGAGGTGTAGACAACTCACTTTGAATAGTAGACAGCGTATAAAAGACTCTATTTGGTAGAGATTGTATACAGAGTGGTATGCCAAGCAACTAGCGTCAATCTATCCTAATTTGCGAACCCCTGTGGGTAGGTACTCTGGACCCGCCGCCTGGGACACGGTGAGAGGGAGGAGTCTACGGCTCGTGGGTTCCGATGAGGCCGCTGGGAA